CCATTTAGTGTGGCTCTCAGCTTAGTAATAAAGGAGGTGAGTCTAGATCCACGACGGGCCACATGATGCTGAAGAACCGCCCTTCGGCTACAAAGTATACGATAGACACGAGGTGTAAATTATATATATCCCCTCTGCGCCAAAGTATGCGATGGTGGGTCATCATAGACGACAGCATCTCTATATCTAGTGGTTATATCCATGACGGATAAGAAGCATTGGCTCTAAAAGGCTGGCTAAAACAACGTTTACTATTACGCTGAGATATCAGGAGGTGGCAGTGCAAGACTGGAGGGACGAGGTTAAAGTGGCGAGGAAGGCCGTCTATATCGTCGCGCGCTAGATGAACCGCCTTCCCCGATCTGGAACAGGTGAGATCGAGGATTTCTATGTATAGAGTACGAGATGTAGCGGCTCAGCGGCTGCTTAGTTCACGCAATATTCTGGATATGTAATTGCAGAGCAAGCAATATGTGACCTCCAAGTCGAAGGGGAACCATGGATATTTTTACCATACATTCATACACAGCTGGACTCTGCATGCCTTTGTCGCATCTATGGGGCAGCTGGTGTCCAGCCCCCACAAGGTGTGTCAAGTTGCGACTGTTGCGAAGTGTGTGTTCGTATAGAATATGTGTTTGTCCAGAAACATCAGTAAGCACTAAAAGTAACCGGAGTACAAGCAGATGAACCAGAGTAGCAGCAAGACATCGACCAACAAAGATAATATCAGTCTCATATCAATATAGTCATTTAGAACCAATAAATAAGTGATAAGCATCATCGTCAACCAGGATAAAGGGGCTGATGACTAAGTTTTGCCTTCAAAAAAAACTTGGCCTTTACAAGCTTGAAACGGTTTTTCCCTTTTCTTCTGGACTTGAATAACTAGTTTAGTTGCTCGTCCACGCGGCTCTCGTTAGCCACCGATATGTGAACTTATTCTTCTTGACCTGTTTGCTCCTTATCTCCCTCCCTGCGCTGGGCCTCGATTCGCAAGCATCTCGTTTGTGCTGTGTCACCCGTCTCTCATTTGCTCTCGCGCAGGAGGACAGCCTTTTAAGGTCGCCCTTAGCCCTGTAATCTCCCGGACGAAGAATCCGTCTCATATATAATACGCATATACCGGGAGAGACGAGATAAGAGAATCCTGTTGCTGTTGTTGGATACATCTCTTAATCTTCAAGATGAATGCAACCCAGGGCAAGTACCTGCGGTACATCCTCTTTGCAATCTTGGTAAGAACTTCCCCCTTTTTTTTTCTGTATATATCATGAAAAAGGTGGACGCTGATGGCGGGTGCAAAAAGGGACTTGCCATCATACACTTTATAACTTCCTCCTCGTTGCCAATCCCAAAGGCAGGCGATCTTGGACTATCCTACCCCAAAACGGGCGAACAAAGCGCCTCGGCTCCGGCAGGTGCCCCTCCTGCTGTTCCTCCTTCACCCCAAGAACCTCCCAAGCAACAACCTCCAAAGCAACAGCCTCCCAAGCAAGACGATCCCAAGCCAGCCACTCCAAATCCACCTGTAGCGAACCCGCCAGTGCCAGCCTACGAAAGAGTGAATGCAACCTTCGTGACATTGGCACGAAACTCGGATATATGGGAAATTGCAAAGTCCATTCGCCAGGTGGAAGACCGTTTCAACAAAGACTACCATTATGACTGGGTATTCTTAAACGATGCCGAATTCTCAGAGGAGTTCAAGAAGTTCACGACCAAGCTGGTATCCGGAAAGACCCACTATGGTCTCATTCCAAAGGAGCATTGGTCATACCCAGACTGGATCGACCAGAACAAGGCTGCGGAAACCAGGAAGGCGATGAAGGCTAAAGAAGTCATTTACGGAGACTCTGAAAGCTACAGGCACATGTGCCGCTATGAGTCTGGATTCTTTTTCCGACACGAACTCATGCTTCAATTTGACTACTATTGGCGTGTAGAGCCCAGCATAGAATACTTCTGTGACATTCATTTCGACCCCTTCAAGTTCATGAGGGACAATAACAAGAAGTACAGCTTCGTCATTAGTTTGCCAGAGTACCAAGCAACTATCGAGACCCTCTGGAAGACTTCCAAGAAATTCATCGACCAGTTCCCAGAGCACATCGCAGAGGATAACAACTTGGATTTCATAAGCAATGACGGTGGCAATTCTTATAATCTGTGCCATTTCGTAAGTTGCATTTCCTCACCAATCCACTGCATATATATCCGCTAACCTATCACCTCTAGTGGTCTAACTTTGAAGTCGGTGATTTGAATTTCTTCCGCTCGCAAAAGTACCTTGATTTCTTCAATCTTCTGGATCAGGAGGGTGGCTTTTTCTACGAAAGATGGGGTGATGCCCCTGTCCACTCCATCGCCGTCGCCCTGATGTTACGTAAGGACGAGGTACAGTTCTTCAACGATATCGCATATAGACATGTACCATTCGTCCACTGTCCAACCGGAGAGCAAACCAGACTAGATCTGAAATGCCATTGTAATCCAGCGGATAACTTCGATTGGAAGGGTTATTCATGTGAGTTTATCATGCAGCCATATACACCCCGCTATGAGTCGAGAAATGGCTAACCGTGTCAAACCTAAACTAGGCACGTCTCGTTTCTTTGATGTGAACAAGTTGAAGAAACCTGCCGGCTGGGAGCTTGAGAGAAACTGATAGGTTTCTCAACCACCTTAGTCGTCAGATCTCTTCTTTCCTTTCTTTTTTACTCCTGATGGCTGAGCTTATTAAAGCTCAACTTGACTCTTCTCCATTTCATCATTGGTCTTTCTTCGTACGATATCACGTTTTCGAATGTCTAGACGCACCTTTGGAGCATGCTAAAATTGCCGTGCTCCTAGAATTAAATAATACCTATTGCAAAAATCAAATTCTTAGCGTACCCGGCTTGCTTGCTCCTCCCACTTACGCTATTATGAGCATTTTTACAAAAACTCTTCCGGGCTGATTTTCTGTTCCTATTATCCATATGTATATAAATTTGGCTGGGATTTGCGAGGTTCCTGTTTTCATTATTGCATGTGATGTCGTGATGGTGTTTGGATTTGCCTGCCTGTAATAAGATACTTTTAAGAAACATAATATTTCCCTCTTAAAGTCTGATCTGCCTGATAATATACAATGTTAAAGCATAGATAAACAAAAAGTAGTGCGCTGCCAAGTAGCATAAATGATCCTTCTATCTAAACAGCCCAACCCCAACCTACTCTTGATCGATTAAACACAATCCACCGTCTAGCCTTCTCTTGTTATACATCGTTCTTATGTCGAGGCCTTCGGTTTCTTAGTTCCATATTTCGATCGGCTGGTTAGCCGGTTTCCAACACCATTCTGTATACCACGAGTTAGTACGATCGTTTTCATGCCGTGCAAGCTGCAAAAGTAAAAGTACATACCAAATCCATTGCCCCACGAACAAGACGATATTTCACACCAGGACAATCCTGCAATCTCCCGCCTCGTACCAAAACGACACTGTGCTGCTGAATATTGTGGCCTGTCAAGAAAAAAGAAACATCAGCATTTAGCAGTCTGCCCATGACAACTATCAGAAAGTCTCCGATCCCGTACCTTCGCCAGGAATATAAGCCGTAATAACCTTCCCACTGCTAAGCTTGACCCTTGCAGTCTTTCTTTCCCCAGAGTTAGGCTTCTTCGGCTTCTCAACCTGCGTCTTCAAGCACACTCCTTTCAGCTGGGGGCGGTTCACGAGCGCCGGTGATCGCTTCTTTCGTGCCTTTTGGCCGGATCGGCAGCCTCGTCGTACTTGATTTAATGTCGCTTGGAGCTGTGAGGTGGTGGAAAAGTTCTTATGGAAGGCATTCAAGGGGGAGGAGGATCGGAGAAAGCATTGGGCCTGGAAGGATGAAGGGCCAAACTGCTTCGTTGGTGCGATGGAGGGGAATTGGCGTTGAATTATGTGGCGGAAGAACCGCGTGGTAAGGATTGAAGGAGAGAGCGTCATTGTGGTCTCTTCCTTCGAGGTAGCAAAGAACTTATGATCGTACCTTGCCGTCGCTGCTTGTTTTTTGATGAAAAGCAAGAATAATTTGATATTCACTGTCACGTGATTAGAACTGCCCAGTTGGTCTCTATCCGTCGCCGGACAAGCTTTACGTTGTTGATTTGGCGTGCCTGGAGATATAGCTCTTCGTCTTGACACTTATATCAGCCATTATCCTACACAGCAACCCCTTGATTCGGTCTTCCTTTCTCTGTGTTTATAGAGACGACTAGCTAGAGTTTTTTACCGACAGACTTTCTTGACAATTTATAGCTTGCTCCCCCAAGAAACCGAAAATAGTCATGGTACTGTACAGCCCATATAAGGCAGCTCTGAGGTGTATCATACCGGCAACAGAGATGCCATAGGAGACAGTACCTTTACTAATATATCAAATAGTCTCTCCGCATCACTCCCCAGGCCAACTACTCCTCACAGACCTCCAATACTTCCAAGAAAACCCCACAGCCACACCTGCGCAACGGCGCTCCATCTGCCCCGGGTCTCCCAGATACCCTCCGTTCCTCACTCACCGCAGCCCCAGAGACACCCGGTCTCCAGAAAACAACTTCAACGCACCCTCTCGAAGCTCGCCTGCTAAATTGGCGTCAAACCCAAGATGCTATGAAGATGGAGTCCATTCGACGGATACATGGCATGGCCGAACCAGTACGACGTGGTATGGAGCTGAAGATTGTTCGTGACAGCCAGTGGAAACCTGCTGTCTTGGGCGGGAATATGCACGGAAGTATACATGAGGATATCTTGTCTCTGGGAGGGAGAGAGGCGGAGGTTACGTGGGAAGATGTTTACCCTGGTATGTATACACTGTCTTATCGTAAAATAAAAGGAAGAGTTGCTAATATATCTGGTAGGAGATGAGCTTCGTGAACCTCCTAGCTTCCATGATGAGTTGGAGCACAGATTGAAGATGAACTGATGCCTCATCCTGTTTACTGCTGGTGGATTTGGTTGTTGTCACGGGCCATGGCTCTACTTACAAAACTTATCTCATGTGTATCATAGGTCCTAATGATGGCTAAAGTGATGAGCAATAATGCCTCATTAGATATCACGTTGATTTGCCTATGTTAAGAGCACAGGATGCCCCCTAAACCAAACAAGTCTACATTCTAATGACGGCATGGTTTCCATGCTGCATAATTGCAATTCTCTACCTAGAACATGGACTATACCAGCAGCTTCATATGTCAATATCTAATGGTGTGAATATAGAAAGTCACTTTATTCCACGCGTATTATCATATCTATAATATAATGAACGGATACAGTATTGGAAATCAATTCATAACAGATCAGAAATTTAGGGGAAGAGTAGGCTGTACAAGGCGTGAAACGTCCGTAAAATTAACTCATAATCAATGAGTGTAATGCAGCGATACATCATAGGCACCTCAAGGGAGTGTAAGTGGTAGGAGTATTCAAAGAAAAGGCTTGGCGAGATCAAAATATAGGGAGATATAAGATGGTACATAGGGCATCCAACAAGACCAAATGGGGAGTGACCAAAGGGCAAGATAGTCAAACTAAATGCAAGAAGGAAAGGAAAAAACAGACCACCGATTCAATCGCCTATTCCGACCATCAATTCGCAGTACATATATCATCAAGCGGGACAATTGCAAGGGAAATCAAGGCGCAAATATAAAAAGCAATTCAAACTGGTTAAGGGAGCTAAGGAAGACCGGAAAAGCAACACGAACGGAAGGCAGAATACGACAGAAGCAAACTCCAGACTGCACCTCCAAAAAGGAACGGAAAGGAAAAGCCACTGTTTGTGGCAGGCGGAACTCCGAGTTAAAGTGTGAGAACAAGCATAAGGAAACAGGAATAGGAAAGAATATATGTTCCTTCGTAGCAGGATGAGATCTCCATCACCCAACAACAGGTGGGCATGACTCTGTTTATATGGCGCTGATTTGACTATAATATGACACAGCGGCAGCCGGGGCTCCTTTCACCCTCCTCGTGGTCCCGGCTCTGGGTGCTTTTGGCGGCCTTTGCATCCTCCTCGTCGACTATTTCTTGTGGCTTGATGGTCATATGAACCACATTAGGGCCTTCCCGATTGAATCTACAGTCTGTTTGGAGAGTCAGTATACATATATATATATATATATCATTGTGATATGGGATTTGCGTGAGATATGGTATCATGGACGAGTAAATAGAATCAAGAAGGCTTACCAGAAAGTGGCGATTTATCATCCAACAGCTTTCCAAACGATATAAGACGGATAGCCGCGGGCGAGGATGGGCGGGACTCCCAGTCTAGTAATGAGATGAAACAGATACAGTCAGCCATTGATAAATCGCATCATGAGATAGATAGTGCATAGATAGGATCCCAAATGCCATACCTGATCTCCATTCCCTCCATATTAATTCTTTTAACGTATATACAGACATCGAGAACGGGTCATTGTCGGTCACATTCACCTCCCGTTTCCGTAGGTATTTGCCATCAAGTTTAAAGGGATGTTTGCCGCCGGAGGTAAGCAGGATATTGAGAAGTAAGGTAGGTCCGTCGTCTTGAGAAGGAGTAGTTTGAGATAGGTATGCGGAAGGCTGGCCCTCTACAGCCGCTCCAATGCTCGATTGACCAGCATCACCCGCCGATAACGATGTAGCATCACCGCCGGCCTCTTGTTTTGTCTCTGGCACCTGCTCATTCTGCGGTACTGGCTGTTCCCCCTGTTCTAACGGCTGCGGTGATTGCTGTTGTTGTTCGGGATTCAACTGTCGTGGTGGATGATGAGGCTCGGTTTCTTTCGAGTCAACAACGGAGTTAGTAGCGGCACCCTGAACAAGCGGTACCTGCTGAGCCAACACTCCCTGTTCATTCTCGAGTGTACGCATATTTTCCGGTGAGGTGGACGCTGAGACCTGAGTGTTCCTATCATGTGAAAGCCGCTCCGTCTCTGGTCGCGTGGTGGGGACGCTCGATTCATTCAGCGCACAGTTATGGCTCGTATCCTTCTCTACTTCGTTCATAGGTGCCATCCTCTTTCGATAACTCCAAGTTACGGAGTCGTACACTTGACTTCCGGTAACGTAGATGCAACGAGCGACGGTTAAGGAGGCGAAAAAAAAAAGACGGGGAAGGTTGGCAACCCGGGAGAGGACGGCGTCGAAGAATCAAAGGAGCTAGCAGAGAGCAAGCGATTGTAAGGGATACTGATATATATTCTACAGCATGCTGGGGAGAGGAAGAAGATATTCAATAAGAGAGACAGAAGGATGTGCCCTTTTTTCCCTTTCTCTTCTTGCTGGCTGATGTTGATATTTCAGACGGGGGTGGAGAATTCGGGGGTTTTGCCCCCAAACACCCTAACACATTTTATATGGAGAAAGGGGGAAGCCAGGAGTACCTACATACACACACGCAAACGCACACACAAACGCACTTGCAGCAGAGGATAGACGGTCACCGACAGCAGTAACTGTTAGTTATATATATATTTATCTTTCTTTTTTATTTTTTATTTAATATTAAATAGTAGTCGTTTAATTCTTCATCAAGTCACGTGACATGCCATCGACTTCGTCCAACAAGAACTCGCGATTTTGACGTAGGAAGATACAAAACATGTATAAGACGCTGCTGTCTAGCGCCCTGGAACCCTGTTCATGCAAGAAGATGGCTGCAGAAGCTTAGCCCACAGTAGTGGTCGTCAGCCAATGCGACTTTGGACTCCTTTTTTCGCACCGGGATTTTCTCTACTTCTGGATGATGGGCTGACTGTGAGACGAAGCCATGCCGCTATCCGAACTGTCCAAAGGCATGCATCCGAGAGACCTCAAGCAAGGTAATAATGTCGAGACGGGCTCCATTCGGTCTGCGTCAGGCTCAACGCATGATCCAAGGCCCAAGTCCGCTAGTACGGCTCCCTCCCAGAGCTCTGCGGCAAGTTCCAGCTCGAGAGCTTGTCTCCTCTCCGTTCACGATGAGAATTTCTCTCGAGAGGATGTTCTGTTCAATCGCCAGGCTCTGGGTGACTGGGCTGTCAAAGTAGGAGACCTTATCGAGTTATCCGCATTTCACGGTGACCCGTCAGATTCCCAGCAGGATGGGGATCCTTCTGGTGCCAGCACCCAACAGGATGACCCGGGAGGGAACCCGCCACGAAGCCAGGGCGGTGGTGGCCGTTATAGCCCTTTACCCGGTCATCGAGACCGCCGAGGTGACAGTGCGGTGCCAGAGACCTCTCAAACTATGGGAAACTTCCTTTTTATCGTCAAGCACATGCAGCCAGAGATTCTAGGAAGACACCCCAATCTCCAGATATCAGTCTCAAATCAAGTCGCCAACAGGTTTGGATTCAAAAAACGCTCCCAGGTGCTCTTGACTGTGAAGCCACGGTCTTTGTGCTCCGCAACTCATGTCGAGCTAGTATTCCGTGATCAGTTCCTGCTGCGGTCCGATATGTGGAGGCTTGCCATGTCAGAGTTGTTAGAGCGGCCTCTCTACAAGGGCCAAAAGATTGTCTTCATGAATACTGTAAAAGCAACAGTCAAGTCTATCTTTCAAGATGGCCGGAAAGTGATGGCTGGCTACTTCACGCCTCGTACTATACCGATCTTTAGAAGCGAGTCCGCAAGATATGTTCTCTTCATTCAGATGTCCAAGGAGATGTGGGACTTCAACACGGAAGAAACTGGTGATATCCTATTTAGTCGGGTGATTGATGGTCTTCTGCCAGAACTCTTTAAACGGTGGGCGAGCATAGACGCTCACCATCTTATCACCATCGTGCTATTTACCAGGGTCCAATATAACCACAGCTCCTTTAACGAGTTTAAACCAATAATCCTCAACAGTAGCTCACTGAATCAATCTACGATAGGAGAGGATGGGACCAGCGTACAGGATTTTTACCGGGTCGTTGTCAATGACATGCCCAGTGGCCGATGGACTGCCATCTTGGATGAGCTTAAAAGGGAATTTAGAACATTCCTCCGTGATATTCTGATTCCCCCACCCCAGGCGTCAAAGGACGATGATAACTTTGCCGAGGGTTCTCCGCCTATCACTACGGCGGGAACTTCGCCCACTATCGCTGGCCACCTCACTTCAGCAATAAAGGGCAACATCTTAGAAGCTATCAATATTGCTTCGTCCTATTTAGATTTTGAGTATGTTGGCCGTGACTTGGTCAGGACGGGAACATCAATCGTTGTGATAACTCCTGGTTCTGGCACTTTCGAAGTGTCATTTGATACTCTCGCTTTGACCTCGGACGCCCTAGGTAGTCGCTCTATTGGCATTGACCTTATATGCCTGAGTCCCATGCCACTACATTCGGTGCCACTATTCAAATATAAAATCCCAAAACGACGCCCATCAAATGCATCAGCATCCACTACAAAGAATGACACAGCTTCTCCCCCACCTTCTGAGGTGGTATCGTCAACATCTACTACGACTACGATTGCCGCCTGGCCCCCTACCCCAAAGCCTGCTCAACTGGCTGGTTCAGGTGCGGTTTACTCAAGTCCTGCTGCCAAGACAAACATTGACTCTGAAGGGTGGGGGTATGGAATTCCATACTGGATTGACATCTCCTTTTGGGGAGCTCATAATTATCAGGACAAAAAATGGAAGAAAAATAACGTTACGCCGCCAGCATTTGGCACAGTCGCACCACAGCCGAAATTATTCCAGCCCAAAGTCCGGATGTACGAGATACAGATGATGGGAGTAATGGAAAGTGAGCAGTCAAATATATCTATACCTAACCTTCACGTTGGGCATTCAGTCATAGATGACACAGCTGTGCGCCCACGAAGCTCTGAACTTGGCGCCTTAAATTCTCCGTCTACATTAGCTTCCCATAATTCGTCACACAAACCTCAAACGCGCGATAGAGGACAGCCGGGATCGTTCATGTATAGCTTTAAAGACTCTAAAAAGCTGATAATGTCCAACCAGGAAAAAAGGCGGACGAGTTTAACTGAGTGGATGGATTCCTACGACGAACTAGCATTTCACATACGGTCTAAAAAACGAGTACCGAAATCACACTATAAACAGAAGTCACCAAGCATTTCCAATCTTTCTATCTCCTCCAGACGAGCCTCACAACAGCCACCACGGGCCTCAGCCCTCCAAAGGAGTTCAACTACCCCGACTCGCGCAAGTGCTGTTTCTCCCATTTCTAACCCAGTCACAAACTTGAATAAGGGGTTACCTGTCCCCACCACAAAACCAAGCCATAAGTCTAACCTTAAGGACACTTCAAAACCTCCAGCCTCACGTAATAATACCCGTTCAATTAGCTTTGCATTGCTAGGATTTGGTCGTGCGCCTCCAACAGCTACTGCAAGCACTCAGGTGAAAACTGAGTATGCAAAAGCACTACCAACTGCGAGCGGGAAAACCCCAGATGAAAATGTATATGATTCCAAATTAGATGATCACTCTCAATTACTCGGCCCTCTTCTACCGGTTGTGGTAGAGCAGCAGAACACAGACGAATCTAGTCATTCAGAAGTTATTCCTTCAAGGCCTATATCTATTAGAACAGCAGTCACTCATACCCCGAAAGAATCTGGTACAGGTGCAGCTTCTTTGGACGGTTCGTTCCCCGCCCCTCTACCCCAAATGCGACATGATCAAGGGAGTTTATTTGAAAGTCAGGCTGCTGGCTCAAAACGAACTGGTCGTAGGTTAGATATGGCAAACAACAATACCCCAGTCACAGGGACTCCTGTTCCTTCGGCAGAGAAAGTATTAGACCCTTGGATAAAACATGTTAAGCCATGGAATCCTCCCAAACATCTTCCTGCACGAGAGAGTTGGTTTGGGCGGTGGCACCACGTCTACCCTCGCAAACCGACCACATCATCTGTAAACTGGAAGAGTTTGAAATCACCCGCTGCCTTACCTCTAACCACAGAAGAATTCCCAACCGGGGATGAGTTGGAAACAAATTACTTGCAGACCCCCTACACTGTTTATCAGGATGAAGACTCTGAAATGACTGAAAGCCCCAAAACGAGGGATGCGTTACTGAGGGAAATGATTGCCCTACGATTATCTCACGGATTCCAAATAGTTCTCAGGAATCAAAGAGAAGATATCACATTTGGAGACTCTATTTTCGACCTAAGTGCCCTGGCGAAAGATAATGTGACCATTTACATGTCAATGGGTGGAGTTATTCATCGTTTAGTATGCGTTGGTAGAGGTGAAATTGAAGTTACTCAATTCACACGCAAGCCTCTCAACGGCTACCTACAGGACTCAAAGGACTTGGAAATTACTTATCGCCCTGCTGTCAAGACAATCCAAGGGACGCAGTACTGCAAAAACCGCATCCGCTTGACATTGTCTCAACTTGAATATAATTGGAGCTTTGCAGATTCATTCCTTGCCGGCCATCGAGATCATTTAGCAGATTCTTTGCGTCAGCTTAAACACTGGCGAACGCGCTTTGTTTTAATACCCGTTCATGTTTCAACGCATTCCCGACGCCCTAATTCCTCCATAAATGAGGATAACGAGGAAGAACGTCATATAATGGGTATCTATCAGCTAACACAAGTTTGGCAACGGTATAAATATGTCCCCCCAGAGGAGAAAAGATTTCAATCAACTAGCATGAAAAAGAAGGATCAAAACCCGCTAAACATTCTTTATCAAACATGCGATCCGTCTGTCGTCGTTGCAACCGAACTTGACAGGCTTTTACTAGAAGACCCAGGACTCGATAATCCACCTGCACAGCTTCTCCCCGAATCAGAATTGCTCCAGAAATCTTCCGTATCACTATCCTCAATTGCTCAAGCAATGCAGTCTGATAAGGGAGTAAGAATGATGGATAGAAGATGGCACTGGCGCCTTCATTACAATTGTTTCGTTGGAATGGAGTTGACAAGCTGGCTGATAAAAAATTTCAGTGATATTGACACCCGTGATGAAGCAGTACAATTCGGAAATGAACTCATGAAGCATGGGCTCTTCCACCATGTACAGCGGAGACATAATTTCAGGGACGGGAACTATTTCTATCAGATTACTGATGAATATAGAATAACTAGGCCGGAGCCTAAGGGCAGTTGGTTTCAGACCCTCAAAGGTGACAAGTCGGCCCCCGCCACACCTATGAGCGGAGAAGGAACCAAAGATTCGCCTTCTAGCTTCCGTTCTAGATCTGAAAAGAGCTCTGATGACGGCGGTGGTAGAAGCGAAGTTCTTCCGCCACCACCAAGATCGTCAGGCCGAGGCAAGGTTGCCATATGGTTAGCAAAGAGCATGAGGTACGACTTAGATCCTCGCAAGCGGTCAGATCGCCCAGAGATAATCGACCTCCATTATGACAGAATCCATAACCCAGAAAACTGTTTTCATATCCAGTTAAGTTGGATGAATGCAACTCCCAAACTTGTCGAAGATGCAGTTGTATCTTGGGCTGGGCTGGCAGAGAAATACGGACTGAAATTGGTCGAACTACCACTCTCTGAGGCCTCGTCAATTATCGAGTCACAAGTCTTCAGACGCCCGTTTCCAATAAAGCTTAAACACCCACCACCCGAGCCCCCATCTGCGAACCTCTTCACCTCCACATCTTTTGCGTCTCAATGTGCTCCGGACCGCCATTTCTATCATAAAGCCATCCTAAAGAAGTTTGATTTTATCCTTGATTTTGAACCTTACAGCGCATTTCCAACAGATGTCGAAGTATCTTATTCGTGGGGTAAGCCTGATTATAGATTCCCTCAATACGTTCACAGGTCTGGAGCGGTTCTCGCCCAAATCACGGATGAAGGAGACTTCCTACTCTTAACCAATCGATTGTTCAACACCTACCATCCTTCCGTTGTGATTAAGGAGTCAACCAAGTTTGAGCGAAGCGAATATTTCCGGCCGCGTGCATCTACCATTGTTGACTCTACACTGTATGATCGTGGTTCTCCTCACCTATCACCAGTCGTACGCAGCTCCGGAATCAACGGCTTCTCACCTTCTGTCACACCACAGCCACAGCAGCAGCCCGAGCCTATCAACCTATATCAGGCAGCAGCAGATCTGAAAGACAAATTACAAGCGTTCTGTAACGACAAGGAGAAGCTGGATGCTTTCTTTGCTACTGCTGCTGCGCAGGGGAGACCAGTTTCCACGAAAGCCAGCCCAACGAACACAATGACTTCTGACTCGTTGATCCCGTCCCTGGTGTTACCGGACAGCGTAGTACGCCATTCAACCTCAAGTTCGGCGGGGAAAGTGCCTCAACGGTCTGCCTCCATAGACTCGGTCGTGGTACAACATACGCCCCGATATAGCCCGGCGCACGATTTTCCAGGAACTCCTCAACTATAAGCTGGTGCCTCATAGTGTGTCGTCAGGGTCATCAAGGGTCATCATACACAATCCCATGAGAATGTTGCATCCAACATTTTTCATGCCTATATTACGCTTGATTTGTCATATAAATTATCCGTCTCTGTAGACCTTGTCTTTCTCATGTAATATAATCACTTCCCATTACTATATGAATTTATGCAACTTATGCTTGGAGCGCAATCATTGACCATAGATAGCCATTCCCATATTGAATAATTCTGAGTATTGTATAGATAATTCTGCCATGAGTTAAGTATTCTTAAAACGATTCCTATAAAATGCTTAACGGGCTAAATAATTAATTAAGGCTAGACAACTGACAACCGGATAGAAGGCTCCGAGAAATGCCTCAGGGCTAATCAGGAAGAAAGGGACAGAGAAGATCCTTCAAAGGATTAGAACAGCCTGCAACAGTCGCTGACACAACAAGAAGCTTAATGTTAAGGCAGGGCGTTGAGAAGCGGCGAAACTATTACCTCTAAGGATTCGCCCGTATATGCTATTATTGACAGAACCAGGTGCACAAATAGAACGAGAGTATATGGCGCTGGATAGAAATAGACAAAACAATGCATTTCAAATATCAGACAAACCCTCACTTGAGCAATGTTCACGGCCTATAAAATAGAGCTGATGGCAATAGCGGAGCTAAAAAAAGAAAAAGAGAAAAAGCTATACCAGCGGAGAGTGCATGCGGCTATGTATGTAATGTAATAACTGTTCAAGGTGCAAGAATTAAGCATGAGAGAAGGGTTAAAGGAAAACACAATGGCCACAACAGGGTATAATCCCGAGATAATAACTAGTAGCCCAGTAAAGTAATAAATAAAAAGACGCATATGCAGGTCCCAGGGTATCAGAAGGGCTGAAGCGAGAGGTGTCAACAGCAAAAAAAGAGAGGAAAAATTAAGAAGAAAATGAAGATGAAACCCGGATCAAAAATGCAGTGTATGCAAAGGAGAAAAAAAAGGCTCAAAACATAAACAAAGAATGGATCAAAGCAATACTCCCGCAATAAAATATGCAAAGTAACTAGAAATTGGAAATTAAGAGCTTCTCAGGCTGGATATTCTAGGGACCCGAATTATCCCAGAGAGAAGGTAATGGACGGGGGCACTTTAGCAAGATTCATCAATGTCTTGAAGCCACTTGCGTATACCTTCTCTTAAAGTATTATCGGTGATACCGCCGTATTTCTTGTGGCTGTATTTTGGGAGCCCTGCGGGTGTATCTGACACACCAATATTGGATTCTTCCTGGCGGTGTTCGGCAGCAACACTACGTACAACCTCATCAAGAGCTCCAAGAACCATACGGCGACACTCATTTCGTGGGATTTCCACAGAAGGAACATCTGTTCGATTATTGGTATCGTTGTATCTTTTGTTATCTTCCGCATGCAGTACGTTAATACGGCCCTTGCGCATACGGCTTGGCGACGGAGCACGAGAGTGGATAGCAGATGTAGGTCCAGAGCAGGCCAGGACTCGTTCAACGGCATCAACAAGTGTAGCGTCTAGGTCCATAACCGGCTCCTCGATAAATTCTTCCTCCACAGTGCATGGCTGGGATCTTCGCAAAGTGGGAGTTGGAGTAGCATCTATGCTGTCCATTTTGCCAAACGGTTGATATGGAAACTGAGGGGACGGCGTTTGCGAATAATCTACAGCCCGGTCATCGATAGTGGCAATTTTACGGCGCAAACGGATTCGTTTGACAGTGAATGTCCTCGTATCGGCTATGAGTGTAGAACAGACATCAACCCATCGCTCAGAGCCGCCATCAAAATATGATGTTTGCCCGAAGTTTGCAAGATTTGGGGTAGGTTCGGCAGACATGGAACGTTTAATGGCAGATTCAAGATTGGGGTATGGGTGCACGGCTTGAAGTGCAAAATCTTCGTGATAGCACTTGAGCCAACCAGCAACATTGACGCTTGGGCCATCCCAGTCTTTATAATTATTATGAGACCACGGGCTATTGCTGTGGAAAGATCCGTCACAATCAATGCTTGTGATTGATGTTCGGGTCTTTTTCGGTGAAGTTAATGTGGAGTCGTTTGAAGATGAGAGAGACATGAATCCAGGTAACGGCACTTCAACATCAACAATACCTTCATTCGCCTTAACACATAGTTTAACGGGTGATGTGGGCTGCCGACTGTCTAGTGTAGCATCTTCCTTAATCGTAACGCTATCTGTTTGCGCAGACACAGAAGTGGGTATGGATATCATATCATTCGACGTTGTGGGTGCATTGTCTAGAATCGCACTTCTATTCTCTCTTATTGCAGTCGACACTGCAGATGATTGTGACTTCGATTCCAACACTTGTGTTGATGTTCTACGAGGTCTAGATGCATCACTGTTTGATGGAGTATCTTCTCGCGAGTTCCAAAACCCAGAGAGAAGATTCCCCCATTTACTTTGCTGCTGGCTAACATTGGCTAATGTCTCGCTCTTTCGCAAGTTGAGTAACAAGTTTGCAGAGGCAGACCCTGTGTGATCTTGGGATTCATGATGAGCACTATGCGGCTTTCTCGGTTGAGAAGCAAAGTGTGGAACTGGGGTTGCCGTGCCTGGCGCTGCTGTTGCTGCGGATGCTGTGCCGCTTTTCATTGGTCCAGCAACGCCCCCAGGTGGGATGGATAAACTCGAAGTTCTCATAGACCTGGCATCGGAGCCACGTCGTCCTTGGGTATTAGGAGACCTGCTAAATTCCAATTCATCGGGGGCTATATTTGAGGTCTCGTTGGAAGAGACGCTAGCAGATCGTTTGGCTGCACCACGTTCATGAGGAAACTGACGTGTTCGAGCTCGACGATTTATGGTTCGACGCAGCGATTCTTGTCGAAACATAGTTGGGTTTGGGGGGCTTTGAGACGTTTGGCGGAAAGATGTAGACGTGCTTGGACGTAGAGGGGAAGCCAGCGGGTCTGTACGTTGCTGAGCTGGTAGAAAAGCAGAAAGCACAAATATTAGGCGCCTTGCAGCCATTTTATCAGATGAAATGATTACTGTTCTGTTGCATATGCTTAATTCACTGTCCTGTTGAGCCCGTTGTTGCAGAAAATGACGACGTCGATACCAATCAGGTCCGAGGAGACTAAGCCATTCGGTATGATTACCTAGAAATGCGGTAATGAGGACCAAGAAGAAAAAGTTGTGTTCCTTCTCACTTAAACTCCTTGCAATCCATCGGGCTTCCTCTCTCCAGACACCCCAGCGGCTCTGGCCCGAAACAACGGGAGGAATTCTAAGAGCCATGCAAATCCTGAAAGTAGCATGATGCGCCTCTTCTTGGAGTAGCTTGTTTTGTGCCAGGCAATTTGGTAGGAGTTGTACAATTGTCTGGTTAGTTCTTTGCATATTTGGACCCTTCGCGGGCTTTGGTGTTTGCGTGGCATGCTGGACCGTTTGCTTTAGCAGCTCAAGAATCTCATTGCTTGCAAGTTTCTCGAGGCGTGATAATGTTCGTGCAATGACATCCCAATAGTCAACAAGTAAGTCTATTCTATCATCTATACTTGACCCAGTAGTCGAATAGGACGCTTCGTCAAAAAGAGACCATTTTGGATGAGAGTCCAGAGAAACTGACATTCCAGCACAGGGTTTAGCCGGATCTTGCTGGTAAGGATTTCGCGGCTGGCGAGCACTAGATTTTGCAGTTATCGGGAGTCGGACTGTAATCGCCACCGCATACATTGGAGTCTTCTTTTCTTTGATTTTTTTAGCCTTGGCACGTGGTGAGAACTTGAATTCCGGGTCGTAAGGTGACGAGGGAGTTGCTGAATTGGCCTGCATTGGAGTGGCAACTGGAACGCCATATGATTCAGGCAGGTTGACACTGAACATCCTGGTCACCAATACAGTTACACTCGAGGATGAAGATGAGGACGATCTAGCACCATCGCAGCTCAATCGTTCACGAGTCTGACTGATACTCCTTGGGGAACCGCTAAATGTATCCGCTCGACGAAGAGTTCGCCGGTAAGGGTCGGAAACACCAAAGCTAGAATCATCAGATGGTTTATTGTCGTCTGCTGGAACGATGTGCATTTTGGTCGAAGGGCCACGATAGCTAAACGCGCTGCTCCCAAAAATGCAATTCAGCAAGCCAAGTTCGTTAGATTCCCCAGAAAGCCGACCATGTTGCTGATCGTCATCTCCAGTAGTGTTCGAGAATGTGGATCTTCGATTTCGTGCACGGAAAAAGGCACTATTTGCAGCATCATGGTTGGAAAAGGATGATAGGGGAGGTAGATCAGACACCGAGGCACGCGGTGCATGGTAAGAAGTCCGTCCACCGTTTCGGGGGAGAGTTGAGGTACGAGTGTGTCGTGATCGCGGCTTTTCCGAAGAGGGACGATCTAGAGAGGGCCAGGCAGGTTTCTCAACCTTCAGCGGGCTCTGAGTATCGAGAAGAATACACGGGTCATCACGGTCTCCGATGGCGTTTTGTGCAATGATAACTCTTAAATCCTTTGTGGCATCGAGTTCCAAACCGCCTCTATCATCGAAGCTCCCAGCTGAGGATGGGCTAGGTGAGACAGAGCTGGTCTGCAGCGGATATGCATGTGTCCTCGACCGGTGAAGAAGGCTCACGTCTGGGAAGAGAAGGCCAGAGGTGTGTTCCTCTTCTGTCACTGATTCAAGTTGGTTCGAGTTGCGGTTGGCATATGACGTGGGGTTGAGCGTTGCGGCAGCGGTATTCAGCAGACGACCCAACATCTTTGTAGTTGGTTTGATACAGGCTGTCAACGGGTCGAAACCGTTGTCTTTAGTACACAACAGGCAAACCTGATAAAGCGAGGCGAGGGTGAAGGGTTCTATAAGGCTGCTTCACGCGCAGATTCATGGCTCTAGTTCGATTAAGCCTGTCCGCAGTCGCTGGTGTGAGACGAGGGAGGTGGGATTGAGTTCACGTTCGTCAGGCGAGACACAGAAGGGCGGCCTCACTCTTTAAGAGACAAAGGCAAGAGTATACTGAGTACCCAGCGGCAGCTTTAGCCTGGTCTCGCGAGGCCAGACGCTATATCAGGCCGCAGCGACGGCTCTTGTGCGATGAAAGAAGGCTAAAAAAAAAAAAATTGAATGTCGTTCGCGGAAGCGACCCTGACGCTTTAGGACAAGTTGGAAAAGACCCGCGGGCTGGCCAAGAGGCGGTGAGGAAACACCTTAAAAGGACCTCTGTTGCTTATGTACTGCGGAGCCTCACGCTAACTCTACTTAGTCTAGTTTGATAGTAAACTATTACCGATTGGCCGGTCATCTCGCACTAGCCGCATTCGGATAGGCCTCGGCTGGTCAGCCTGGTCTTGGTTCCTTTTGATTGGCTAATTTGGCCAGTGCTCGAGCCTGTATGTGGTTTAGCGCAAGTTCTTTTTGGTCGCGCCCTTCCAGTTGTCATAATAAGCTTCTGCGTAGGTAAGCGACGCCCTCCCTGTTCATGCTCAATGATATCATTTCACCCCCAGCCCTATCAAGGCTATCAACCCTGAAGCAGAGGCCATATCTTGTTTAACCAGATTCATAGCCTGAGATATAACTATACCCTACATAATACCATTGACTGAAAACTTCGGGCTATTAGCCAGCTGTAGTATTCCTAGTAATACCAATACCTCACTCAACTTTGAAACACAAATTCTCACTCCAACACATGTTTATCACCCTAAATATTCTTATCGATGTGTTGTTAGGAGATTGCATGGCAACTAAAAGGAGGGCTACCCACTTTCACATACTCCATTTTTCTTTTTCGTTTAGTCCTTTATCCTCGTTTCTCATTCTGGTTCGACGTAACTGCGAATTGCCATATCACACTACCTACACCAAAACCAGCAGCAACCTCCATTGGTTTTACACTTCTCCAGTGCCTCATTCTCAGCCTAACTCATGATGTATTTCTTCAAATCTTTCCTGGGAGCATTACGCCCTTGTTTGTACTCCAGTTTTCGATACCCTTCACACAGTAAGTACGCTATATTGTTTGGTGCGGCAAGAGTACTCCAATACCCTGGATACCACAACGATAGCTGCAGGCTATCTAGCCATGTAACTCGTTACAAGGATATCCTCCCAAAATCCTCTATGGAAAATGGAGGGAGTGGCGTATCGCCTCCTAAACTATCGATGCTCAGTGAACACCAGCTCGGTGAATTATTGCGTGGAATATTCCCTTCTAATTATCCATCTGAAGTCGTTCATCTAAGTTCCTTCACCCCCGAGGCTTTCCGCATATACAAAGCATTCGAAAATCATAAAAGGTTTGACCCCTTACATTGTCTTGTGCTAATAGAGCGTTAATCATACTATCTGTCTAGAGTTAGAGTGACAACCGATAGAGCCTTCTCAATGACAACAATTCGAAATTCTCCTACTCCTCTCCATCAATGGGTGCTATCTAGCATATCTCACTCCCTTCAATCGCAGATACCTCGTGATGTTCGAATTTTATCAGATTCACTCCTTGAAATCCCGGAAAATATGATGGAAGACATAATTATTCCCGACCTACAGGTTCTCCATAAAAAACAGGGGACTACTGGGGATTTTCCTGTCCTTGTAGTCGAAGTCGGATTCTCCCAGCAATACGAGAGCCTCAAGTATGCTACTTGCAGGGCTATTGACGAAACCCAAAGCGTTAATGTCTCCTTGATGATTAATCTTAAGGAGACTCCAGCATTCCGTACACCTCTTTTATGTCCATCGTCTGGTGTATATCGACATCCAGTTACGAAGAAGAACGTGGATAAGAACGCAATCTTAGCGTGGCTTAATTCTTCAGAGGGTGGAAATCCACCCCCAGAAAACCCCAGCGACCCAGAAAGCCCGTTATTATTTTTAGGGGCCCGTTGGGTAGGAAGAATCGAGGGGAGTTTAGAGGTCTGGATTCGCGATACGAAGACCGGAAAGGCTGTGCGGAAACTTAAACCAGTTGTAAGTGTACCCAGAATAAACTACGCCTCAATTTCACGTACTAATGACTTGATAATTTCAGCTATTCTACGGCTCCAAAGCAACATTAGATAAGGACACACCACGTATTGATGCTAGGTCTGCGAATGTCGACGTTGGCCTTAAGCTGTCTGATATTATTCCATCCGCTGACGATGGCCTTGAGAAACCGTTCCATATCGATTGGGCAGATTGGAGGGAAAGTATCAACCGTGCGAGAACCTCCCTGGTCCGGAGTCGATACCTTACAGTTCTCAAAAGCATTAAAAAATCGGGAAAAAACAAAAGAAACTGAGAGAAGTGGAGTAGTCAATCCGAGGGGCTGTGAGTGAGTGGATAAGATATACATAGTACGACTAACTCCGGAGCTTGTTAGCGCATTTACAGTAAATTTTTTATCAGGGTACATGGGTATAGCTGAGCTTCGAGAAATATGGGACATATACAATGATTGGAGTTGACAGTGTGGCTTTATCACTCGGCTTCTTTACCTTATGGTGGATATTCCAGTGCTAATCTTAGCCTTCAGGTCTTTGACGTTATTTGTACACTTTCTCAGTACTTCAGTGGAATAGAATAGGTTAGGTCTAGTGCCAAATCTGGCTTCTCGTCGCGTACAGAGTAAACTTTTGTAAAATCCGCCCTTCAGCCAAAAGGCGAGCCCGTCACTAAATGGTGGCAGAGACTTGTTGACAATTTTGTTGTTGTTAGCTCAAAGTCCAACTCGATATCATATTATTGGATGAGATAAAACCAAGCCTTTTACTGTGGGGCCAGCGTGATAAAAATAGGACGTCCACTTTAACGTTCAACATTCAACATCCAAAACATCCAAACTTCAAAAACCACGCGACAAACCGATGAACCTCACAGGTCATACATACATGCGGATGTTACCTTTAGAATAAGTGTTCTAAAAGAAGATACAATATGCGAAGTATAGACTACGAAAATGACGAGATATTACCCACTGCTCACATCTCTGCCAACGGCTGATGTTTTGCAATTTGCTACACAATCGACTTCCAACTACCTCGAACCTACTCTTTCTTTCCCCCGTAGTACTACATCTTGTGTTCCTGAGATTCTGGAGAACGAGGACGCCTACTACTCGATGATACCCAGCTTTAGTGCACTGAACCTTCCACTAGTCCTTCATGCACTTCCTTAACACCAAAGTCTCAGCCTCAGTCTCTCCCATTTTTTGATCACTTTCCGTATACAACCAATAGGCTCACTGGTGATCAATTTTGATAGCTGCCCGTCTTATTCAGTTTCCTCTTAAACTGGCTGTTCAGTAAAGAGCTCTGGTTTATTTCTTCGCTTCACTTTAATTTATACAACCTCAGCTACAAGACGTTGTGAGAACCTCTACCTTTGCTCACGTATTCTTCAATACCCAGCTTCTTTTCTTTTTCTCTTATTTCAGCTGGCTTTCTTGACGACTTGGATTACTATCACCCCTTTTCTTCTGCTTACTTTAATCCGAATAGACATACAAGCGTATAACACCTTCAACTTTTCCACAAACCGATTCACTTTAACTCATCGATTCGTTAAATTAAGATTGTGAAACTCGATCAAGAGCTCCCGCATCTCTCAGTTCCGCCAGGCCACATAGCTTCTCATTATACCTCTATTCCGAACTCCTTCTTACCAATCTCTCACCTTACCTTAACTTCAGTTTCTTCTTCGGATCACTGGTCATATATTCATCTGCTATCAACCTTGACCTATTCCCTACGATTTTGCTGTCTTCTTTTGCTAATAACTAGAGACGCTTGATCCTCTTTCCTTTGAATACATTGGCGTTAGGCGTGCGCATTTCTTGCAAAAACCCCTACTGCCTTGCTTTCAACCTAAAAAATGGATACGTTTAACGTTCAACCAACAAACACTAGCTATACCGAGGATATTTCCCTAAACGAATATATGCAGATCTTGGCTCCTTTATTGGAGTTCAATACCACATATATCCCTGAAGGGCCTTCACGTACGGAAGATGGGTTTCCACTTGTTGAACCATCAGGCAATATAGATTTGCAATTCATGCAGGGCCATATCAATACAACGCCCAATTCTAGTGATTCTTTGGGCCAGAACGACGCCATAGATCCCCAAAACGAGAATGCTGAATTGCCGGGCTTAGATAACCCCCGAGATATATGCTTTGATATAGAAAGCAACATGAGCAATGACGGCCCCGACGAGGACGGTTTAGAGTAAGTATTGCTTGCCATGGTACTGATCGTGCTAAAATTCTAACTTTACATAGATATCAGAGGGCAAAAATAGCGTTTGAAGCAGAAGAAAACCCTACCCTAGAAAGTCAAATTCGGTTTAAAAAGGCCCAGGAAAAAGAACATTTACGAACCACAAGAATACGACTTCGAGAGGCACTTAGTCAGTCAGAAAACGATATTTCACACCCGTATAGCCATAGTGAAGCTATCGAAAACCCTGGAATCCAGGCCTCCGAAGATATTGAGGAGCAGAACACTGGCCAGGAAGGAACGTTTGACCTATTTTGCTCTGATGATGAGGCAGCTCCTATACAAGATTTAGCCAACCATTCCATTTTCAATAATGAGGCGATCTTATCAGTTTGTACAAAGGAGGATGCTCCCAAGCCGAAGAAAGTGGCTAAAGCAAAGAGTGGCACTAGACAGGATGAATTGTCCAAAAAATGGGGGGAAGCATCTAATGACAAAATCAAGAAAGCAAAACAAAAGGTAAAGGGTATCCCCAAGCTACATTTCTCCAACTCAGATTATTCTAACCATGATCAAAGCGCGGTAACACCGGAGTACAAAAATCAAAAATTGGTTCTAAACCCAAGAAAAGAGAGTCCAAAAATAAGGAACCCACTAGGCTAAATTTTGACAGCTTATTTACATCAAACCTATTTAGTAACGCAAAGCGGAATACCCAAAAGAAGGCAATCCCTGGGTTTTCGGCAGGAGATAAATCCAAAGCATTGAGGGAGATTATAGGTAGTATCCCGACTGACGAAGAAATTGACATGCGGAGCTTGTCTGAGCACAAAAAGGCTATAATGGATTCTATATTAAAGTTCACGAAGAGGCCAAGAGCCGACCACGAGGGTGGTTGGAGACATCCTAACATGAAAACAAGCTTATTCCACTATCAGGTATGCCCCAGCTAAACCAGAACACGATGTTCGACTAACGCCATTCAATAGCTTCTCGGCGTGGCATTTATGGTAGTCCTTCTGCCTTTTCAAGTTTTGTACAAACATGCTAACTAACACAGCGTGACCGTGAAAATGCATCTACTGCGCCAAGAGGGGGCTTTTTGTGCGACGAGATGGGTTTCGGGAAAACGATTCAGGCAATTGGTTAGTTACAAATACTGTCCCTACTGTCTCTTCATACTTATGTAAACTACTCGTTAGCAAATATGGTCGACGGGAAAGCACTATTGGATAGAAGAGAGCCAGCAATTACTTTGATTGTCGCCCCTACGCATTTAGTGTCGCACTGGTACTCTGGATTCCTACTCCTTAAACGCTTACGAGCTACTTAATAATGAGTGATATAGGCAACAAGAATTAATGAAACACATCAAACCTGGGGAATTGGGATATATATTTCCATATCATGGAGCCGGAAAGCCTAATTTAGATCTCATCATACATTCGGGAGGGGATAGAAATATTGGGGTCATGTAAGTCTTCTTCAACGCACCTTTTTTAGTAGTGGGAGCTGCTAATCCCCTAGAATTACCACCTATGGTGAAGTTAGATCTTCCTGCAACTTTCCAGTTCCCCAATTTTCAAGCAAGGACGATCAAAAATCATGGAGGTTGGCAAATTGTGGTGCCCTACACCAACTTCATTTTCGACGCATATACCTAGACGGCAGGCAAATCTTAACCCTATTCTAATGGGAGATCTCTAACATTCATTAGAAGCACATGAAATTAAAAACCATACCTCTAAAATAAGTCAAGCAGTCAGGCTTCTGTCCGCAAAATTTCGCTGGGTAATAACTGGTACACCTATCCACAAGTAAGCCCCCTCGCTATATTACTGAACAGAGTTTCTTTCAACTAACCTAAGATATGGTTTCGTTTTACCAGCTATGTCAAGGAATTCTACCCCTATTTCAATTTTTTACAAGTCCCAGGACTGGAAAACCACGATATATTTCATGACAAGATTGTGCAGGTATAAAACAATGGCCCAGTTCAAGTTTATATTGGCTAACCCACTTTAGAACGATGTCGACCATCGCAGACTTCTTAATTGTTTACGTGCATACATGTTGCGCAGAACACATGCAGAAACGCTCTTCGGGCGCCCTATCCTGAAACTACCTGGCATTGACGAAAATACCATTGTTGTCAAGTTCTCTCTCGTGGAAAGAGCTCTTTACCGCAAAATAATTAGCGGTTTCCTGGATAAGAATCTTCGTTAGTTATATTCTGTTTCCTTTTTTTTTCAAATGCGAAGTATGAAACCTAACCGTTTATAGACTCTATGCGAACTGTTGAGGGAATTAGCAATTACCTCACTCTCTTGCTCATGCTACGGATGTTTACTTCACACCTATTAATACCACATAGCGCAATAAGGCCATTCCTTACCCCCCAGTTCATGCTCGAAATGCATCCTGAAGTTGAAAATAGTGCCCAGCTTGAGGATGTCGAGATGTACAACTCGCTTAAAACAATATTCGAGGATCCGATTCCTTCTTCAGATCCTCAGATCAAGGAACCACAACATACTGATCTTCTTACGATGTTTAAATCGGTGGCAAACAGTCCAAGTGCTAGACCAGACGTCATGAATTGCATTGTATGCGAACGGAAACCAAGAGAAGCTTTTATATTATCGTGTATGCATATTTGTTGCAGCAACTGCCTCCCAAAATTATCACAACCCGTAGAGGAGCAGTTTATGTGTCTCTGTGGCTCCATTATACGGTTTAAATCCTGCTTTGATGTCCAAAGTCTCTGCCGTAGCAAGGCAGGGTCAAAAGGAAAAGGTGCTAAACCTCGTGACATTAATGGGCGTGAAGAAGGCTGCATTGACTGGGCTTCTTCTGTCGGCCACATGGTACCCGGTGCAAAGCTAAGGGCAGTGAGATCATTTATTTCTCAATGGCTGCAAGACTCTCCAGGCACAAAAATCACAATATTCACGCAGTTCATTGGGATGATGAGCATCTTATGCTCATTATGTGAGACCGAGGGCTGGGGATACACTACAGTATTGATGCTCCTAGCACTTTGCTCAAATATTATTGACCGTTGCTTACCATTTATGACAGCTTTCTGGGAAATTATCCCATGCAACTAGACACGCAAATATCAAGAGGTTTCGCGAGGAAGAGAAAATCAACATATTGATATCCTCTCTGAAAGCAGGAGGGGTTGGCCTCGACTTAACCATGGCTACCAAGTGCATTCTGCTTGACTTATGGTGGAACGAGGCCATAGAACAACAGGTAGGTAGCGCCATACCATGCTCCTTTTCTACTCCCCTAATTTTGTTAGGCATTTTGCCGCCTATTCCGTATAGGCCAGAAGAAGGACGTCGAGATTATTAGAATATGTGTTGATAACACGGTGGACGATCGTATCCAACTCCTTCAGAGCACCAAATCCGCCCATATCGAAGAGGTAATGGGTTCAAAAGTCTTTGCACAGAGGTAGATCATCCTTACCATATATTTCTATCAATGGGCCATTAACACGGCTATTAGGGACTCCCTCTCTGCGATTCTAGAACTTTTTGGTACGGCGGAGGACAAAAATACCGATGAAGGATATAGATTCTTGTCTGATGAGATAACCCCTATGTCGGTGGATGAGATTTCTTCAAACGCATAAAGGGGTCATTTCAAGGGCAGTGCTTTGCTATATTTCCCCTAGTTTATTTCGAGACACAAACTCATACCCAAAAAAAAAATTTTTCTTATATGAAAACCGTCTGGCGGGGAATGAGGACCCCTGTTACTACCCCAGCTTTTTACCCCCACGTGACCAGTAAGTAGATGCCGAGGGCGTTTCTCAAGAAGAACAATGCAAACCCCACAATGGAAGGGTTGTAGATATATACATTTGATATATTTCGACCAAGGGAGCTATTGTTTTTTCGAGTGTTCGGTCCTCGCGGCGACTCTCCGGCGTAGTGCACTCCTACCATCCCCATTCAGCCAATCCGTGCGAGAAACGCTTGGTGAAGCTCATCCAGTAGAACGATATAACAATGGCAGATGATAACAAGCGGTTGGGCACCCTTTCACAAGGCGGATACTATGATCTCGGGAACTATCACCGTCCTGTCAGTACAAACAACCCGGGTGCCCAAGCTTGGTTCGATCGGGGGCTGATCTGGAGCTTTGCCTTCAACCATGACGAGGCAGCAGAGTGCTTTCAACGAGCCATCGATCAAGATCCTGATTGCGCCATGGCATACTGGGGGCTGGCATACACTTCTGGGCCCAACTACAATATGCCATGGGCATTTTTTAATGCTGAACAGCTGGGATATGTGGTGAATAAAACCCATAACACAGCGAAGCAGGCGGAAGAGAAGGCAAAAGCGCCAACCGTGTCAGCGGTTGAGAAGGCCTTAAGCAAAGCATTGACGTTCCGATATCCCCAAGACCACCCTGTGGAAGACTGCTCTGTTTGGAACAAGGGTTATGCTGATGCAATGAAGTTGGTATATCAAGAATTTCCCGACGACATTGATGTGGCGATGCTGTATGTAGATGCGTTGATGAACTTAACCCCATGGAAATTATGGGACCTGGTCACTGGGAATCCGGCAAAGGGAGCACACACACTGGAGGCCAAAGACATCCTTGATCGTGCGCTGGCCCAGGAAGGCGGACTTTCCCATCCTGGGTTACTCCATCTTTATATTCATCTTCTGGAGATGTCTACCACCCCAGAGGCAGCATTACCGGCAGCTAACCGCCTAAGAGGCCTCGTTCCCGACTCTGGTCATCTAAACCATATGCCATCTCATATCGATATCCTCTGTGGCGACTATCAAGGAGCCGTCACGTCGAACTCAGATGCGATTGTGGCTGATGAGAAATTCGTCGCGCAGCACGGAGGGTTGAATTTTTACACTCTCTACAGATGCCACAATTATCACTTCAAAGTATACGCAGCTATGTTTTCAGGACAGTCGAAAATTGCAATTAATACCGTTAGACAGATGGAGGCAAATATACCCGACCAACTACTACGTGAATCTTCTGCAATGGCGAATTTACTGGAGTCGTTCGTCGCAATGCAAGTACATGTTCTTATCCGTTTTGGGCTGTGGGATGATGTCCTCGCACTCGAACTTCCAGAGGACCAGGTCCTATATTGCGTAACCACGGCAATGAGGTTGTATGGAAAGGGAGTTGCTTATGCGGCTACTGGGAACATTGAAAAGGCACGAGAGATCCGCGAAGCCTTTCATAACGCCGTGAAACGTGTATTGCCCACTCGGACAGTATTCAATAATAGCTGTGGTGACATCTTAGCTATTGCATCCGCAATGTTGGATGGTGAACTCGAATATCGTCTTGGGCACTACGACGCAGCGTTCGAACATTTGCGACATTCCATAAAGTTATACGATTCGCTCCACTACGATGAGCCCTGGGGCTGGATGCAGCCGACTAGGCATGCGTACGGCGCACTCTTGCTCGAGAGAGGCCATGTCCAGGAAGCCGCCGCTGCGTACCGAGCAGATCTGGGGCTTGATAGTACCGTTCCCCGTGCGCTGCAGCATCCGAATAATGTTTGGGCATTACATGGGTATCACGAATGCCTCGAAGCGCTAGGAAAGGCAGATGAAGCTGCAAAGGTCGCGCAACAGCTTGCTACGGCACTTGCCGTAACGGATGTGCCCATCAGATCGTCTTGTTTCTGTCGACTCCGCACCGTTGCCAGAATGTAACTACCGTAAATGAGCGTATATATTTTCGTTTCAGTGTAAATTGCATAGTGTGAATAGATATAGCCTCAATCTAAGTGCTAGGATGCCTCCAGGTAGTTAAAACAAAGTATTTTAAGCACCAATATTTGTGCCACAGCGGGCTTACACCTATATCATGCCAAGGTGACCTACGCGCATGCAAGAGTTGCAAGCCTGTCAGTAGAGTTGCGTGAATAAACTCAACTTCATTGCTCTATCCACCATATTAAAACAGGCAAAACACAAAAATAAGAAGCAAGGTTAACAACTCCTCAAGGCAAAGCCGGCCACAGAAGAGCATCTTCCGTTGTCGGCCAGCGCTCAGTTCATGACTGACTGTAGGTGTGTATATGAGATCATCAAAAGCCGTGCAAACAGTAGACATACAGAGAGACGATAAAAAGATCAAGCTACATGCCCCTTTTGGAAGCAGTAAAGGCAGATTTCGTAGCATCTGGAGTGGTATCATTATAAAATATATTTTTTTAATTCGTTTGAGTCGGTGGTTGACTAAGATTGGATCTTATTGTCTCCCTTGACGGCCTCAGCGTAGGTTGGAGGAGACCTGTGCTCGCCCTCGGGCCTACTGCTGCTTCCCTGGTCCTGTGCACCGGTAGCAGCATATCCACCACCAGCCCGCTGCGGCTTTTGAGGGACTGGAGGCGACGGTGCAGGCCTTGATTCGGGGTTCACGTTGGTTCCGTACGTGCGCTGCTGCTGGTGCTGCTGGTGCTGGTTTGGATGGGCCTGCTCATGAGCGATGTAGTAATAAGTGACTCGGCCTGCTTCAGCGTCTCCGCGATGTTGCCCCACGATCGGCCTGTATCCATCCGGATACTCGTCGTCTGCTTCGGGGTACTTTAAGATGATATACCAGGCATGCAGCAGACCCGGAACGTATCCCAGACAACAGAGGGCGATGTTGATAAGAGAGTCAGCAGAACAGACGCCGACTTTGATCCAGACTGCAGTGTGACAAGCGGAAACGTTAGTATGCTTGCTTTATAGCCACTAGGGAGAGTGGGCTGATAAGGGTAGCGCACCTGCGATGGGTGGAAAGAGGACAGCAAGAATGGCCAGGAAGGCGTCTGGTGAACACATTGTGGAAATGAGACGGTGTCGATCTGGGGTCAGTGTATCCTTAGTAACTCCTTTCTCTTCTTCTTCTTCTTCTCCTTGTCTCCTTTTGTACTCCCGTAGACGTGAAGCTGAAAAGTGGCTGCCTTGCAAGTTTCCTCGAGTTTGCGCCTCGGTGGTGACGTCTTTGCTTAGTAAGTATATCACGTGGAGGCCACCTCCATCCCCGTATAACTCAGTAAGCGCTCTACATATAAATTTACACAATAATACAACTATGAACCGACTATATCTCCCCGTGTTTATTCATATCTATATCCCCTTTGTCTACATCCCTACGTCTACGTCCATGTCTGTCTTACAGTATGCTTACATAATGGTATTGATGTGTATTGAGTGCTGCAGAAACTTCAGGGGCGTGACGGGATGTCCCGAGGATGGCGTAAAAGTGGCCCCATTATGCTTTATCTTATTGGCTGCTATTTTATCTTCAGCCAACCAGAAGTCTCTGTACCAAAAAGTAACTTACGGCAAACAACAGAAGATACCACGCCTTACCGCTTTTGGCCCTGTCGCCCGACGTCTTCCAAACTCCTCACTCTTTTTTTCTCTTTCTCTTCTTCTTGTTCCTGTCGCTCTCCATCTGGTTTCTACCAGTTCAGTCGATTCGATTCCTCGTCTTTCATTACGCCAATTTGTCGGCAGACTCGCCCGTCCACTCGTTCGTTCCGTCATAAGGGTTTGTCGCTGAAGGGCTCTGTTTTTTTTTTTAACCTCTCGCCTGGAACGTTTAATTACTAAGAGAAACCGGCAACGTACCAACTCAGACATTCCACGTCGAACAGCAACACGTCGGGCCTTTTTCATTCATTTACTTCAGGACCTCCTCGAGGCTACTTCTATCGCTCAAAGTCTACGAATTCCGCATTCATGTCGATGCAACAAGGTGTTACTCTGTATATAGTTGTCCCCTCGTTGTGACAACTTTAAACAAGAAACGTCTCGGTAATCAACTTGCAGACTCCCCCGTCGACGCAACAAACGACATGTCTAGAGGCTGTATCTCACTAAGGGGATCGAAGCAATGCCCCGCGTTCCATTCTGCTTCCATTTCTACCAGTGATCCCTTGGTCGGTCTATAGTACGTGTTTTCGATACTCCATCACATGAAAATCAGGGGTTAACCTCTTTTTTTGATATCCAGCCCTTTTCTGCGATATGTCTCCAATCTCGATGATTTCGATGAGAAACTTGGATCCTACGTTCACAACGATTATGTCAAAATGAAGTATGTTCTGTGATTTTATCTTTATTTTTTTCAATGGTGTGCGCGCCTCTTACTACATTTCCGAGTGACTGATCATATTCTGCTTTGACAGGTACCAGGACATACTCGGGTGCGACGGTGTGGACTTAAGAAACACCACCTCTCTCTATGCTCAATATACAACCAGTGTAATTTGTAATGGAATAATACAAAATTCAAAAGAACCATGCAATTTGTCCGAAGACAGCGCCAGGCCACTCTGCGCGGAAAGCTGTGTAAGGTTCTTCTTTTTTTTACCCCATTATGGAATATCATTGCTAATTCTCTGATTCAGGCTATGGCTGCTACAAGCGAAGAGATAATTACCGTTAATCCGGACTTGTGTCGTTCTCCCAACCGCAATTTCATGGACCAAATTCGCGCCGACTTTACAGTATGTGCTATCCCAGCCAACTCACTATCCGGGCATTGCATTCCTGGCTCCGACAATGAGCCAAACGAATGTGGCTTTGGACCAAATCTACTAGGCCTCTGCGGTTTCTGCTCTCAGAATTCGGCCAATGGCACCGATACCTGCTGTTATGCTGCGAATGCGGAAGCCCGTTGTAAGGACGTCAAGCTTCCGCCAATCACCTCATTGCCACCACTATTTCCGCACCCAACCACCACATCTACTCCTTCATCGACTTCAAAACCGGATAGCGATGGCCTCAGTGGCGGCCAGATTGCGGGAATTGCCGTTGGAGCGGTATTGGGATGTGCCATTCTAGTTGGATTGGCCTTCCTATTCGTCCTATGGAGAAGACGTAAGCAGAACGAGTCCGTCGGAAGCATATTCAACCAACCCACGCCTCCTCGTACCATGGCAACGGCACCATCACACCCCACCGCGACTTCAACTAACAAGCAGCAGAATGTATACGAAGCCATTCCCGGAGGCCGCGTTGCACGAATGTCAGCACTCCAAGGTGCCAGCAATCCGCCGTCAACTCGCGCGTACCACGACTCGGATTCAGAAGTGTTCGCAGACAGCCCATCTGGGGCCAAATCGAGACGGATCCCACCAATTACAGGAAGGAGAAATGGTTCACTCTCCAGTGCATCCGCGCTCACCAACAATGGTGACCCGTTATCTCCCAAGTCTGGCAGTGGTGGGCAGTTCTCTTCCCCTGAGGGGCTTGCCAGCAACCAGTCAGAGCAACTCCCCTACTTCCGCGACTATTACTCTCAGGATGATATCCATCCCAACGATAAAGTTTCTGTTCTTTGGGCATATCAACCTCGTGCCCCCGACGAGTTTGAACTGGACAGAGGCGACACGTTGAAGGTTGTTGGTATATGGGATGATGGCTGGGCGACCGGTATCCGCGTCAACGAGAGAGCAGAGGACTATGATGGAAAGCCTAAACGCAGCTCACTCAGAGATAGTGGTGTCTCTCAGGGGTCGGAGGCACGACCGCCATCGTCTCCAGGCTCCGGAGAAATAAAAGCATTCCCAGTACGTCTATCCCCTTTCCCCACTTGCCCTTTTTTTTTAAAAAAAAAAAAAAAAATTTTAACTAACTCCATCTAGCTTGTCTGCGTATGCCTTCCTCAACACTGGCGGAAAACAATCGATGGCTACCTTGAAGGAGGCGACCAAGATGCTCCATCTTAAACGATACCACTAGATTCGGGACTTGCCTTTGCTTTCTTCCCCTCCTTTTTTTTTCATGCGTTGATGACATCAGGCTCTGGCGTTATATATTTCTTTTCCCTTTCTCTTTTGTGTCATCTAAACCCCTTTTATTCCCCCTATTTGCGTCTGCTTCTTCTATGTACGGACTAAGAGTTTTATCCTCTTGCGGCAAATACCTCGTCTCGATGTGTTAGCTTCTTGCTTTGATCGCATTGATATCCATTATACCTTTTTTGTTTTTCTTCTCTCTTGTTTTCCTGTCGTGCAAAGAGAGGGTTCGCCTGCCCTTACGGCACTCTGTTTCAAGATTACTCCTTCATAAAGATTTTGACAGTTCAAAAACGCTCACCTACCGGTCTAACCCCCAAGTTTGGGGTTTATCCGCGTTCCCTGAGCAGTTCTATTACTTTCATCCGATGCCACAGCACAGCACTTACTTCCTCTACTATGTAGATAGAGGCCCCCCTTTTTCCCTTCTCTCTTATTACTCCTTGTGCAGGCCAAGATCCCCCTTTTTCCGCATCTAGATGTTAGATGTTAGCTATTCGTTGCTGTATGTACTATTATCTTCAATGTAGTTTATACCCAAGAGACTCCAAGCCATGCTGCGGTAGTCTTAACCCTGGTTAATTACCATCCTCCGTCCCTTAGTATACATCTACACCCATCTATATACAAACATACCTCATCTTACAATTCTCCCTTTTTGCATACACAGCATATAGGTGCCATACCAACATATACAGTGATCGGCCAACAAGGCCAAACTCTCTGAAACGCATATACTATGTACATGCTATCCGGCTCTCTTATGGACATGGGTATCAGGGCTTATGTCCCCCAACTCCTGTCTGCAGGCGTGTGGATGTTGGATAAAATGGCGTGATTGTAGGGATATATATCTAAGTATACACAAACCCAACGCCGTGTCATGCCATGCCATGTCCCTTCTTTGCAGAACCGCCATCGTCAGAAGCAGAGGGACGAGGATCGTGGCGTGATAGATGCACATCTATACATAGTAAACATGAACGCCTATATAACCAAAGAGATATTATATACTATATATACATACGAGTATGTGTCTCTGGCGTGACTGTTTAAAAATAGAGATGGCCATCCAGTCGTATAGATTTGTTTGTTCAGTCGGCCCCATACGCAGAGAAGGGACAGACAGAGACAGACCCGATGCCGTGAACTCAGGATACCCCTGATATCTCACCTCTCGGTCCGTCCAACATGTTCTTTCACCGCTGCTGACACTGACCACGCGCTCAGGCTGTTTCTGCTCGGTATTCCTTTTTTTTTCTTTTCTTTTTTCTTTTCTTTTCCTGAAGAACCGTTTCTCGGCCTTATCGTCCGAGAGAAAGGAGGCTTAATGTATCTTCTTCCTCTCAACAGCCTCAATTGGCCACTCTCTCACTCACTGTCTCCTTTCTCCTCTTGCTTCTCTTCCTCTTCACATGATACTTCTTCGTATGCTCAAACAGAGCCACGTGAGATTCGCTTTGTTTTTTTTTTTCCCCTTCGTGCTGCTGACCATCAAGTCTGTCTGCATCCCTGGTGTTTGATAGATATTGCCGTTTAAACGAATGAGTAATGGATTTTGGACATGGCGTTCCTTTTTTCATCGACTGTTCCTTAAAGCAGGCAACCGTTACGCGAGCCTTGTCTTTCTATCTTGCTTGCTGTTTGCAAAAAGTCTCCGGTAATTTATTTATATGTATAGTTATTTGTTAAAAAGTCGAAGCAAGGAGATTTTTGTTCGGTTCGGGCTCGTTTTGCCCTTGTCTAAAAGCCATTTTCTACTGAGGGTCTTCATTTTTTAATATTAAAGGAATCGGCTTCATCTTTTTTTTTTTTTTGTTTTGGTTTCATCGGCGGGGTTAGAAGGTCGTTCGGAGCTTGCTTGCCTCTAATTTGATTCTGGCTTGACCAGAGACAAAACACATACACAGAGCTCGAAAGACCAAGTTTGAAACCACCAGGGCCGAAGAAGAGAAACAGTCAAAGGTTGGTGGCTCGTGTCATCATCGACGGGGTTGGCCGAGTATATCCCCTTTGGCCTTGCACTCCGGGATATGGAGACTGCTTAGGTTAGAATAGTTGAATGTATATATGCCAGTTATATGTAATATGCAAAAGATGACAGGCTAGTCTCCTTTTCATGGCGTCATATATGTACTCCGTATATATATGGTTGTCCTCTTGGTTTGCCGGGCTGTGGCTTGTTACTGGACGCATCCTCCGTATATATGGCAGCGAAGGCCATAACCATCCAACGAGCCTCCTAACTGCCGCGGCCGCCACACTCGGCCTTGAGACGAACGCTTCTCTCGGCTTCGGGCTCAAGCCGGACGCCATGACCGGGTCAAAGGGGCCTCCGCGTTGCATGTATTTGCACAACGATTATACATCTTCAACTGCAAAAACTGTTGGTTTCATGACTTGCCGTGGGGAAAGCAGACAATGATGAGCATCAAGTGTATCAGGAAACACCCGATCGAAAACACGATCCCCCATAATCATTAACGGTGAATGTATGATCTTCCCAAGATCCAAGATGTTTTGCCATGCTCCCTTGACAGTGAGTCTATGATTCAAGGGGAGCAACTGCTAGGGGAGACCTGGTCGACTCTTCTCGTCAGAAACAAAACAAACCAGCAGCCCTTGGGTCCTTGTATACTGGCCATCTTCGAAGGGAAATTTGATCTTTGCCCTATGTTTTTTCTCTGGATAACGATCAGATGGAATGGTCTGTTTACTCCGGTTTTTTCCCCCGTATTATAATTGCATCATTCGACGGACTCGAGGGCCGATGCTACATATTGGCGTCTTGAGGTAGCTGTCCCGTCATATTTTTAGGTATTTCTTATTATATATATGCTTCCTACCGCCTGCTAACAAGCAGATTCCTAATGAACGCGTAATCTTGACGCCCAGCGCACAGCTGCTCATCATTTCTGTTCAGAGTAAGTAGTTAACGGCCGGCGTTCAAGCTGGTCATCATCCGTTCTTCCGGCCTGGGGTGGTTGGTCCTTTATTTTTTTATTTTGAGCCTCCCTGAAGTAACGATCGTCTATGCAGGGCACAGCGCACAGCCCTGACGGAGAAAGATGACGTGACAGGAGAGACGGGATGCGCTCAGATCTGAGATGTCTGGCATCAAGCTCCGCCGGGGGGAGGGGGGAAGGGTTGGAGATGGAGGATGGGACGTGGAGAATCCCTCCTTTGAGATATACATACGGGGTGCATCCAAGTCATGCATTGGGGAGAAATGCTTATGGATGCCAGCGTATACATACATGAGTCCAGAATGCCTGGAGAGTTATCCGTCTTTTCTTTCCTTTCCAGTCTGCTTTGCTTTCGATCCGACCAAGGGTGATCGCCATCTGACACAGCCAGCTCAAGCTATATGACGATCACTATGCATTGCTGGCGGGATCTAAGCAAGTTCGTCTTGAATATCCGGAAGAAGGTGACAAGGCGACAGGCTCGGAATGTTGGAGTTTGCGCTGGCTGCTACGTCTATACAGATATGCAGGAGTATTACAGCACACCAATCTATACCATATAACCAACGATATCGGCAAGCAGAACACATGCGGAATGCTAGCCAAAGTCAATTATAATCTGTTGACAGGTCTGAGTACCATGGAAAGGAACAGCTGTCTGACCATCACCGGTAGCCATCGGCCTAGAACCTTCAACTCCAGCTTCACCCTGAGAGTGTCATCGGCCGCTTTAAGCAGGTCCAGAGCTTCGGCTGGAACCGTTAGTGTGTATCAAGGCAAGGACAAAAGGGAGAAACGGCCAAAGGGGAAGAATGCCGTTCTTCGGTTCAGGCGCAGGGCCATAAAACCGCAATTACAGAGCAGAGCCATCTCTGGCCTGGCCTGGACTGTGCTGGGCGTGGAGAGAGCAAGCAAAATGTTACGTACAAGTTATTGCTCTTCTTGTCCCTATCGCCCGAAGAGCTGGAGAGGCTGCAAAGAAAATGCAGTAGGTGACTCTACATGTTGGCCACGGTTAACCCAGGGGTTCGCTTGCAATGCCTCTCTCGCCTATCCAGTCCGTCCAGCGTGGCCCCTTGCCCCGACCTTCTACATAGCTGACCTGTCGATGTATGTATGATAACTTGCGAGTGCGTCTTCTTATTCGACGACAGTGCTGGTTGTGTTTGCAAGCTGCCTCGCTGGGTCCCTGGACTAGTTGGTGTCATCGACGGGCTTTCAGTTCCGTCGTCAACCTCCTTGGACGATAGAGTCCGTGGACCATGTTCAACACATCCCATGCATATCCCATCTCTCTCTCTCTCGTTCCTTCAATCCCAGGGCAGTGATCGCTTGGCTTCTCACTCGTTGCCCGTTGGCTCTCTCTCTCGCTGTACGGGATTTGAGTGGAGAACTCTTTTTTAAACGCTGCGTACATTTTACACAGGTCCCCGCAGGAAGGAAACAACCTCTTCAGGGTTGTTAAGTGTTTGTTCCTGGGGCTAAATTATCAGCAATCCAGGACGAGACGGCCTTACGGGACGAGCTTGCGGCCAGCTTGCGGCAGCGTGCCAGGGGAAGGGGAACCAGCAGCTCTTCGATAAGCCCATTCGTATATACATATATCGCCCCAGGGAATGAACATGAAAGAAAAATTAGGTAACAACCCGTCGCCGTCTGTTTTTGATTGAGACTGCGCAAGCCTAGGCCGATTAGAGAGCCCCTTGTGCTAAACGACGGGATTGCGTCCCAGGTTGGCCTTGTCTGTTCCGTCCAATCTGGGCGCAAGATACAAGACTGGCCACGCTGCTTCCAGATTATTCCGGAGACGCATCTACCCTACTCTCGCATGCCTTAGTGAGCAGCATCTTTGGGTCCCGTCCTTGGGATGGGATAGGGGACTTTTTTCTTTTTTGCATCTTTAGTCTCTTGGCTGCGGCCTATCCCATAACCAACTCTTTTGCTGCCTTCTTGTTCTGTCCTCGGACAAGGGAGAGATGTTCGAGTTGGTGCTGCGCAATGGTGGTTACGGCTGGACTGGTTTGAAAGGCGGGAATGAATAAGAAGTCTATCCTTGATCCATGGTGGCGATGTTCGTTTGCTCGCACGGATGTGGAGGCGTCTCTTTTCCACTCTCTTGCACACACAGCTAGGCGGCACAGTCGATGGACCGGCGCAAACGACTTTTTCCATCATAACTAATTTTTCTTTTCTTTTTGGCGTGCGGAGTATACATTTACTATGTTTTTCTTTTCTTTTGAGAAGAGCCCGACTGTAGTTCAAGTCCGTAGCAACCCATGCTCATGCTCGATGCCATCATCATCACCAGGCTTGGCCGGTGAACGAAGCCACAGTCATCGGGATACACACTTGAGATACACGGTGAAATTGTACGGAGTATAGAGAGGAGGACTCTCTTCACCAAGACTGCAATGGGTTAAGGAGACAAGTCGGCATCCCCTTCCGCTCCACTTACAAGAATATACATACGGACTAGCGATCCCATGCCGGCCGTTTGCCCGCCTGGAAATGGACACCTCCCAAGCCTCGTGGCCGGTCGGGATTAGTCGTTTACGGTGTGTGCATCGGGTGGAGGGACGGCTTTCGGTTAGAAAGACAGCGCTGGAGTCGGATATAAAATTCTAGAACATGGAGCCTCTCGATACGGAGTATGTCTACTCTGACCGTCAAGGTGGGATACTGTCGGCTCGCGGAATCGGGTAGAAGGCTGATTATATTGTGGCTGGTCGAGATACTGATGGTATACGGGGGGTGGAAAGGGTATGTAAGTACATTGTATGTAATGTCTGAAGGAGGATCGAGGAAGCCCAGCTCTTTTACCTATCCTGCTTCGACATGGGCAGCTTCAGCTTCAACCCCCCCGGGGCTCGTGATGTAATATATCCCGGCCACAAAGACTCCTCCCCCCGGGCAAGGAGGATCAGCTACCATGCCATAGATTGTATGGAGTATATTCATCACTAGACAGAGCGTTTGACCAACGGATATCTTTCGATTGCAAATGGCAAAGGAGAGTGAAGAACGCCGGTTCATCCATAGAAGTGGAATCAGACATGGAGAATGAAGAGGGGGAGTCTTTTATTTTTGGCTGCCTCCATATTTACTTTGTATAGAGATATAATAGGAGACCGATATAGGGGGGGACAGAGCGAGGGTTGCTCTTGATCTGTAACAGCGTTACCTACGCCGGGCCCCTTGACGTCTTCCCACCCCTGGCCGTACGAGAAAGTCACAAAAATGAGAACCTGGGCTAGGAAGCCATTATCAACCTAACATTATATGGCCAGGGGGGGGGTCATGAAATATACGATTCGCTGGCTTCTCGATTACCTCCTTGTCACTTAGGGGCCTCCCGACGGGACACTATAGCCAGGAGCGATCAATAAGATGGCCTGTGTGATAGGGATGTTCCTTATAACCAACGAGATACATAGCTAGTAGCCTGGCATCTGTGTCAAAGCTAGGCTATTATATCGACCTTCCGCATACATCCATCGGTGGCGTCTATGCACTCCATATGGCAGCATATACGTACTGATATATATCGCCGGTCACACATTGATATCCTTGCATTTACAACCTAAATCGATCTCACGATGGATCGAGCTCGTTTGCCGCACATCCTTACGTATATCCATCTTACACGATGACCAGCTAGTTCTCACTCCTGGAAATAATCGCCTCTGCCCTATTATAAGGGCACTTTGCAATACACATTGTTCTTCCATCGAAAGAGAAAAAAAAAAAAACGAAAGAGAGATGCAGTGCGCGCCCTACGAGGCGGGTGATTTCGGACTGACGCCGTTATTGTTATTTTATCTGCTTAGCTGGAATATGGATGAACTTGGGACTAAAATACGCCCTGGAGCTTCACCATTACTATGTATACCATCACAGGCATGAGATCCAGGGAAGAACCAGAATAAGATGACGTCAAGCTTGATGCCCAAGTTTTCGAGATGGGCCAGAGAAGGAGATCTTCATCTTATAGACGCCGCACATCATGAGCCAGCTTTGCCAGCCAGACGAGGAGATACGCCAATACAACCCCTGTCCGTGATAACCAACCCGATGTATGTACATGTGTAAATGTACAACTGAGTCTGGAGAAGAGCTAGACTTCATTCCACTTCCACATTCGGTCCTGCACGGTTGGATGCAGCCTTGCAGGTGCAGGAAGAAGAGCGAGGGTCGAGGGTTGCATGTTTCAGTCTTTATGAAGGGAGAGAAGTTCCGTCGCATGGCCGCATCTGCCTGGCTTCTGTACGACTATGTGTGATATGGGCGTTTCTTTTTTTCCTCCCTTCTTTTTGACCTTTGCAGAGGTTGGTTCATTATTCCAACTGTCCACCACAACCGCTAGAATCTCCATCGGATCGGGCTTCGGCAGCAAAAAGCAAAGAGGAAGAAGTGGTTTCTTTTTCTGTGTATTTTGTAAAAGATGAAAAAGAAAAAGAACCTATACATATGCGGGAGATCATGGCCCGCCTTGTGATCCTATTCGCTGACTCGCCGCCTGTATTGAGATGTACTTCAGATGGTGTATGTATACATTAACGTACTGTGCCACTGATCATACCCGCGGAATTATACGTACAATAACATGAAATATGCCTGTATATAGAAGAGCAAAAAAGGCATATAACATTTACTCTATAGTGGTTAACTCTGTAGGATACTGCATGCAACTTCCCGTGCTAAAGCTCGCAGGGTCAAGCCAGGGCGCGCCGAACAGAAGATCAAGATAACGAGACCCGCCTGTCTGGAGCAATTAATGAAGAGGGATAGAATCATATAACCAGCCTAACTAACACCAGGACTATAACTAGGGTAAATTAGTTTCTTAACACTATAGATAGAAATAAAGGGGGACGCCCTTCCCCTTGGGACGAGCATATATATATAATAACAATAATAGCGGAAACGAGCAGATGACCACGGCAACGGCCTTCTATGAAGCTGGGGACGGCGGTATCGAATGAGCCATACAGATATTCTCCGTCGACCAAAGAAAAAGTGGCTACCCAGCAAGTCGGAGATGGTAAATACGAACGTTGGCATGCTCTTAGCCGGGTGTCTAGACTAGGAAGCACGGCGTAAGCAGGCAGCGTACTGGGCCGAATAAATTAATTTATACGGCAGGCGTTATATATATATACATACGCTGTACGCCGAACGGGCAGTTTTGGCACTAAGGCAAGCCGTTGACGAAGCGACTTTCCGGCGAGATAGTGAGGATAGTTACATCGTAAGATATTCGAGAGACACTCTGACTGACCCGGCAAGACTCGGGGGATGAGGAGAGAGTCAGGGGGACGTTTTTTTTTTTTTTTTATCTGGTTTACTTTCTGGCTAGTCTTTGGTTCAGTTGGAGATTTTTTATTTTTTTTTTTTTAATATGTGATATTGATGTAATTTTTCCTTTTCGCATGTTTGGGTAGAGAAAGGTACAGGCGGATGCAGGCCGACGAGGTTATTGTAGACAAGACGGCTGGACATACACAATAGTAGAGACAAGAGTTTGCCTCAAGAGAAGATCATGTTGATCTATATCTGACCGCAACGAGCATGCGCAATGGCTGCAGCGGATAAGAGATTATAGGACCGTCGCGGTGGTTAAAGCTGGTTCGACCTCTTCTTCTGCTTCTTATCCTTCTCTAAACAGACGTTGCTGGACCAGGAACGGGAATGCAGAGTTTACATAATACCCTGTTTGATTGCCGAGGGCCTTTGTCTCTTCTGCTGCAGGGCCCCGATAGCAAGGATAAGCAAGGGGGGAGAGCAAAGGCTGAAGATTGATGAAGCGGGATCGAGAGGTACAGAAGGACAAGCGAAGAGCCAAACAAGCGAGATGACTGGCTGTTTCCCACCGTGGGGAAGGTCGTGAGGGTTCGTATATACTCACATGCTCAGCAATTATATAATGCTTACGGGAGTGTTTAACTTGTTGCACGATGTGTATACAAACGGACGGATGGACGGGCTAACGGAAGAGAGACGACTGGCAGCAGCTTCCCTTGCCTTTGGCCGGTTCCACACTGGCGCTTCGAGGGGATACGGGCGAGTTTGGTGTATATACATACACACTTGCTGACCATGTAGGTGTATGTACATAGTATATTTCTAGAAGCTTTACCATACCAACGGACGATACGGGAGGGTGCAGGACAGGCAAGGGATGGGCTTAGGTTGGTTCGATGATATCAAAATGCACACATCCCTGGTCCCGCGCACAGAGTTGTACAATGTAAAAGAGGCGATTTAAAGTACTTTTTGCGGGATATTTCGAAAAGGGCGGAGGATTTTATTTGCTGTGCGACTGGAAGGGTCTCAGGCCAAACGCTCAAACCCGGGAGACAGAACGGACGAGAGAAGAGGGAAGTGGAGCCTGTTTGTGGTCGGGCGGTCATTCGGGATGAGATGGACGAGCCGGAGTTGTGTAGATAGTTGTTAGCTCCTTCGACTGTATGCCGACGGGATGAATGGAGAAGAAAAGGGCACCACGACTAAAAAAGACCGTTTGGCCAAGCCAGGGCCGAGACAGACAAGTGCAAAAAATTTGACTTGATGGCCTTTCGGTGTGTAATCGCCGTGCATAGAAACAGCTTGGGCGTCACGATATGATGTCTTTCGCCATAAAAAAAATCAGGAGATGCGGTCCGACGGCCCAGCGGCCCTGTAATCCCGTGGTCCATCTTCCAAGCTCCCAACGCCTTAGATCTCAAGTGGAAGGTCGGAGTGTGTAGTGTGGGCGGTCAGTCGTGAATTAAATAAATATACAACGGATAAATACCTGGCTCCAGGGGGGGTGTTTAGTGAGTGTGGAAAAGTCCCGCCTCCAGAGGAAAAAAAAAACATAACATGTTGTGTGTATGATGTCCTTCCTCCCCTCCCTTCCGACTTGGCCACGGAGCTCGACAGGATGAACCAACTACCGTTGGACGATGGCCTGACTTTTTCCTTTTTCTCCATCCGTTAATGCAGCTGTTATTATATAGATGCATTCAGTAAAAGGTCGGTATGCTTTTTCTTTTTCTTTGGCTCTTTTGCTCTGGCGCGCTAACCAGCGATCCGGATGTGCGTAGCTGATAGAGGATCATGCCCATCTCTCTCTTGAAATGCGTGAACATCGCCGACGATCCGATAGGCGAGATGTACTTGAATATAGTTAGTGCAGTAGAAAGACATCATCCATGGTCGGGATTGCAATGCTGCTGGGTTGCATAGGAAACATTACATATAGCTATGTATGTAACCGATGACGAGTTTGCGGCAGTGTGCCAGCGTGGTTTGAACCCGTCGTATATGTACCTTCTTTACTTCCCTAACCCCTGGGAGAATTGTATCTGTTCTGCTGTGCCATGTGTGGTGTGAATCGACGTGATGATGTGACTAGCGTCCAACACCTCCCTTTTTTTTTTTTTTTCAACAATCAAGCAAGCACTCTTCTAGGCCTCCCAAGCTGCATGGAGTACATGAATACTCCATACTATGTACATGAAGACCAGGTGGACTCTCCAAGTTCCCTTTTGCCCTTCCTGCTCCCCATGCCTTGCCTGCATCGGCATCCGGGAGACGCCTTCCGTAGTGGCTGGCGCGACGGCGACGGGTTCATGGTTTCTGACCTGACCTTGCTCACAGGCACAAGAAGCACGACTTGCAGCCAAACAGAACGGTGCCAGGAGCATAAGCGAGCTTCTTAACCCCCTCCATCCATGGTAAGCAGGAGGGAGAAAAAAAACGGCGTCATCGTTCTGATGTTCCCAGGATATAGTCTTGTTGTGACTGGCATGGAGATCTCAGCCTCCATGACGGACTTTCAACAAGGCGAAGATCCAACGAATCAGCCAGCGCTAAACCAAGCAGTGGATTCGAAGGAGTAAAAAAAAAAAAAAAAAGGAGCAGCATCAAACCAAAAAGCAGTTCATTCGGCAACGCGCTGGCCCCTATCCCGAGCCTGTGAGCGATCGAGATGGGCGGTTCTTGTCCCTTTTTGCCGTGTACTTCTCCGAAGAGAGGATGCTGATACGCTCCTCTTGTTCCACCCGGACGTGATTATGTATATTCCTCTTTGTCTCTTGTCAGATGTCCACCGTCACCACCATCACCATCTGCTGTCAGCCGTTGTTTAGTACTTAGCAGTCACTGGCAGACTCACTCCATAGGTACTCCGAGTGATGTCCATCTCCCGTCTGCCTCTACCCCATGTACCCTTCTCCTCACGTCTCCTCACGCCTCCTCCGCATGGCGTCTCTGTCTTTCCAACACTCTCTGTAAGTATCCGACGTTGGTTCCTCTTCGTCTTCGTCTTCTTCTTCTTCTTCCTTGGCTTTTCCTTTCTTTTTTGCATCTCGTCTTTTTGCAAGCATCCCATGAAAATGACCTTCTGCCCTCCTTTTTTCAATACGAGATGGCCGTTTTTTCAATACGTCTTCTTTTTCCAGGTGAGACCCCCCTGTCCTGCCGCCCTTCGCTGCCCTAGTCTTCCTTTTTTCTCTTCCCTTTTTTTCTTCTTTTCTTTGCAAACTCCCGCCTTTGTTAGTAATAACATGAGCAGAAGAAGAAACAGAAGAGCAGAGAGAGAAAAAGAAGAGAGAGTGTGTATGTGTTGTGGGTGTGAGTGAGTGTGAAAAGGCCAGAAAGGGAAAAAAGAAAATATAAAAAGGCCTCGACGGCGTATCCTCCTCCTCCCCCCTGCTCCTCTCTTCCCTCCCCCTTTTTGCAAATATCAAGGTGGACTATATAAAAAAAAAAAAAAAAAAAAGAAGAAGCCGACTGGCCGCTCTCCAGGCTCTCGGAGTCAACCGAACTTAGTCTTCGAAGTGGAAAAATATAATATCAAGAGAAGAGGCAGTTAGCAGAGGAAGTATATGTATATACATATGCAAACCACCACCGCGTGCCTGGTTCTCCCCCAGACTTGATACCCTCCTTACAACTTCTTCTAACCTGTCTGAAGCTTCTCTACGACTTGAGTCTGCTTACTGCTTAACTGCTTACTACTTGCTACTACCGAGAAGCATCCTGGATCTGGCTCAGAGGAGAGAGCTCCCGCCTACCAAGATGCGCTCCAGCATCGCCTGCTCCCGTTGTCGCCGGAGCAAGATAAAGTGCGTCAATGCTGGCATCGACACCACCTGTCGAGCCTGCGAGTCCTCCGGGAGAGAGTGTTCCTATCCAACTCCAGCTGGTGCTGGCTGCCATTCGTCTGCCGGCGTCAAACGGGATATCACAGCATCGTCCGGTGTCGACGATGAGCGGGCCAACAACGCCAACGGCAGCACCAACGGCAGCACCAACAATAACAACAACAGCAGTGAATGGGATAACCCCAAGCGGCAGCGTCACAGGAAACATGCCAACGCTTCCGTCTCGTCCAAGGATGCCATGATGAAGCAGAACTACATGCTCGCCCTGGACTCTGCCATCCTCACCCCCAAAGTATGGGAGACCCTCTTCGACCTCTTCCAGCAGCACTTTGCTACCATCCTGCCCTTTCTGCACCCTGCTACCTCCCTGGCTCAGATTCGTCACCTCACCGGCTCATCCTATGCATCTACCGCTACGACTACTACTACGTCTTCGTCAGCTGCTCCCACTCCGGCTACCCTCGACGGGCAGCATGCTACGGATCCGTCTCAGAGCCCCGCGCCCAGGGCAGAGGTGTCTCCGTTGATCTTACTCGGCGTCCTGACCCTGACGGCCAGGTTTCACCCTCAGCTGGCTCAGCACCACTCACCGGCTTCCCCAGTCAGCCCGTGCAACCCAACCGTGGCATCGGAGTTCTACGCCAATGTCCTGAGGGCACGGCTGGCGGGCACAGATGGCGCTGACATCACCGTCACAGACCTCAACCGCGTCCAGGCTCTGCTCATGCTCACCCTGCACGAATGGGGGATGTGCCGCGGAAAGAATGCATGGATCTACCTGGGCATGGCGGTCCGGATATCACAGGCCATGGGCCTATCCTTTGAGCCTGCCGAAGACGAACCCTCTTACCCTTCTTACCCTTACTCGTCCAGGCGGCCGTCCATGCACGCCGAGCTCGACCAGCAGAACCAGCAGAGGGAACAGCTCAACTCGGACGACGTTATCGAACAGGAGACCAGGAGACGCACCTTTTGGAGCTGTTTCATCCTCGACAGATGTCTGAGTAACGGCAAGTTACGTCCTCGTATGCTCAGAGTGCGCGAGATCGGCATCCAACTACCCAGCGAGAACGCTTTTGCCTTTGGTGAACGGGTACGGACCTCCCTGCTGAGTGATGGTAACACCGGACGCAACGGGCCCAGCAGACGCTCACAGAGCTACGACTCTCGAAACGGGTCGACTGCCACCGCCAACGCAGTCCAGATACCCAGTCTAAGACAGTCCATCGGATATGGCGACGAGGCCAAGCCGAAAACGTGGCCACCCATCTCCAGCCACAGAAGTGACGGACACGGTGACCGGATCGATAGGTGGGAAGTGGGTGTGGAGGAATGTGTACTGGGTCGGCTCGTTCGCATCATTCGTATCTGGGGATCTGTTGCGAAGTGGGCCTGCGAAGGAGGCAGAAGGTGTGTTTACCAAAGGCCTTCCCCATTTGTCCCCTCTTTATTATTCTAACAAAGATGTAGATCTGATCAGTGTCCTCCGTGGCATCACGAATCCCGATTCAACCAGCTCAGGGACCAACTGCTAGAATTCCAGGAAGGCCTCTACCGGAACCTACAGTACAGCGCTCGCAACACTGACACGCACATCATGTATAAAAATTCCCTCGCACCATATGCACTTATGCACATCATCTACTTTCTTTCAGTCATTGTCTTACATCGCGCATACCTCCCTTTCCTGCCGCTCCGGCCCATGGATCCACAGGGGCCCCTTGATGAGCCCTCCTATCCTCCCGAAAGGTACAGCGTGCCCGACGGCTTCTGGAAGGATAGCGCACGCGAGCTCTTTCGCGCCGCCAGACAGATGGTGGAACTCGTTCGCACCTGTCACGAACGTGGTGTGCTCATGGAGACACCCCTGGTCGGGTTCGCAATCTACAACGCCGCATTCATGGGGATATACGCAGCTCACTTCAACCATATGGACCAGGAGGGCTACCTATGCCTGAAGCCGCACTCACACGACGCCGCCGCCTCTCCAGGTGGCACAGCAATGACCGTGGGAGCAGGCAGCCTGGCACAGGCGGATGTACGGAAATCCATCGAGATTCTTGGTGAAATGAGACCTCGGATGAAGATGGCAGTCGGCTGGTTCCGAACTGTGCATCGACTACATGGATATTTCTGCAAGGTCAAGAGGGACCAGAAGCGTCCCTGGAAGATGAACGGCGCAGATGGCCAGCAGCAACATCCATCATACCACAACAACAGCAGCAGGGTCAGCGTTCAGCACAACCGCCACGCTTGCGCCTCGCAGATTGCCCAGAACACTCTGTACGAGGAACTCAGGCAGCTCGACAAGGTCCTCATGGACCTCGGTAGCACAGAAGACCAAACACCCGAGATGAGCGGGTCCGACGACGACGTGGCTGCGATGCTATCTGCGAACATGGTGGAGCAGCACCACAACAGCGAGACGGCCAACAACATCGTGAAGAGCGAGCCGGGCGATGGTCCGGATGCTCACCATGGCAGCGACGGACATGCCGTCAACGGGGTTCTGCAGCGGGATTCCTGGGTGCCGGTCAACAGCAGCAGCCCTGCTGCTCACTCCATTGCCCCCATCTCGAATGCAGCTGCTGCAACTGCTCCGGCAGCTGCATCTACCATGATCATGATGGCCAACGGATGCAAGGAAAACGGCGAAAAGCAAGCCTCCGACTGCGATCGATGGCCCATTCTCCCGGCTCCTCAGCAGCACCAACAGCACCACCCGTCGACCAATGCTCCATCCGCCGCTTCGCCCTACAGCCTGCCTCCGTTCCAGGGCACGTATCGCGACACGCCGTCTTCGGGGCTGCCTGCATCTCCCCCAAGCTCTGCCGGTACGACTCTTCCGCCTCCAGTCCCATCCACGTCCGCCGTGACAGCAACCACGCCAGCTGCATCTTCACCATACTTCACCGCGACTCCTTCACCGTCCAACTCAAACCCAAACCATCGCTTGCAAGCTGTCCAACCTTGGCCGACATCCCGACAACCTCCTCCACCGCCACCATACTCCCAATCTCTCCCTTCGCTGAACCTGGCCGCCCAGCAGAGCTTCCCCTTACCTCCTCTCCAGCCGAGTCTAACCCACGGCGGCCAAGCACACGGACACGGACATGGACATGGGCCTGGGCACGGTCATGCACATGGCTCAAGCAACCGAACTCCTCCCCTTTCGCAGTCAAGGCTCGATCTAGGCTCGTTCCTGGCGCCACCACCTACTCAGCAGCAGCAGCAGCATCAGCAGCATCAACATCATCACCAACAGTCATTTTCTCGGCAGGTCTCGCCATACAACTCCTATGACACCACGAATGCCAACCCTCTGTGGATGAGCAGCCTGAACGGAGAAGATGTGCTTGCCTTTATCGAGGCCGACAGTTTCGACAAGTGGTCTACTGTTATGCCTACCCCTAACGGCCCGCCTTCTCCAGCTTCGTTACCCAACATGAACGGCCACTACCAGGCCAACGGCTACACCGCCAGCTCTAATACCGGTGCCAACGCAAGCGGATGGCTAGGTCTAATCTGGAGTGAATATACCCATTAATTTCTTCATCTCACGTCTTTCCATTCTCACGTATTCCCTGCATCGCATTGCACATCTGATCATCTCTCTCTCTCTAGTTATCACTTTTCATTATCTTTTATGTTTAATTTTACGTATAGCTACGTTATCTGTCTGTTCGACTGAGCTACTTACTACATTTTATGGATCGGAATGGGACCTGGGTCTGGTAAGGCAATGGATGGGGTTTAGGCATTTGTACGGCATGGATATGGCTTTATTTTAATGTGGTCTTTTGTTATTTTCAATCAAGGGGAACCCACTGTATGATGTTATCGGATCACAACCATCTACTTATATCGTTCTTCGCTATACATTTTTTGTATTTTTTTTCTTTTTCTTTTTTTTTTCTTTTTCAAGTTCACCTCCAACAGCTTTTTGGGTGTTTCTATTACGTTTCTGTCTCAAGCCCTACTTTGACAGCATCACTTCACGGTAACGGACCACGGTAACGAAACGGAAGAAAAGGAAAGAAAAGAAAAAAAAAGGAAAGAAATAAAAAGAAATACGCATTAATATCAAAATAATGAAAATGTAATCGTCTTCGTCGACTCCATATTTCGTCTCTTATATAGTTAACAGCGCTACTATATAGACGTTTAACAACTAACTATCGAGAACAGACTCGATCCGGCCGCAGCTAAGCTCAAGCTCTTGATGATCAGCTGCATGAATCCATGTACTTATGTAGACATATATGTATATGCATATGCAGATGGATGACCATATACCATGTTTATCATCCTCAGTGCCTGCTGTCCCTTTTGCGCTTTGACGCCAGCATCGCCTCGTTCTTCCTCGGGCCGTCCGCCGTAGAAAGCACTTTACGTACAGTCGTTTCTTCATATCTCCTGCCATCGGGAAGCTTTTCACCAGGTTCTTCGTCTTTCAGCGCGGGAGCCGTCCGTATTCCCCCCCCACCTTCGCCGTCGCCGTCGACCGGCCAAGGAATCAGGAACCAGTCCGTAACGTATTTAGTCGAACAGGAAGAAACGCCAGAGGGTTTCGACTCGGGGGGTCGGTCTGTACTTTCGGCACCAGCAGGCCGTGTTGTTCAAACCGTTGTCTATCATGTTTTAGCTAATGCTTATGTAGCTTGAGATTGGGGGAAGTTTCTTTTTTTTAAGTCTTCTTGATATTCGACGGTGCCGCCGATCTGATCTGATCTGATCTGCATCTGCTTTTGCTTTGCTTTTGCTTTGCTTTTGCTTTGCTTTGCTGGCTGCGGCCGGGCGGGATCGCGATAGCCTATGCGGACTGCGGCGGGAACTCTGTTTCCTGCGCGGGGACGAAGGTTGAAAAAATATACAGCATACATACATAGCATGTGCGTACTATGAAGTTGGCAGCGCGGCATTTTTTCGACGGCGATTCAGCTAAAAAGTCGGGCTGGTTTGTTGTTTTTTTCTTTTGCTTTCTGACGATGGCAATATTTCTCTTTTCTCTTTTCTTTTTTCTCTCTCTGTTGTCAGTTGATTAGAAGAGAGAATGGCGGGCCGGGAGGGTTTTGCGCTTGCATAGCTGTAACTTGTTCGGTGTCTTTTTTTTCTTTATTACATTCATTATCTGGACTTGCTCTTTCTAAGTTGATTAAGGGAGTTGTATATAATGACTATAGGAAGAGTGGGAAACAGGAAATAAAAGTGGTCAAAAGGAAGGGTATCAATCAGAAGAAGGTATAAAAAAGAGTTAAAGTTACCAGCCGCAGACGGTGTGACAGCGCGGGTTTGACAGTGTGTGAGGTAGAAGAGGGAAAAAGGGGCATAAAACAGTCGATGTCGACGGTGGCGAGAAGCGGGCATCTGTTACATTCCCGGCATCTTATCGCTGCGAGATGGGTAGAACCTGAGGGATAAGAGCTTGCATCAGAAATATTGTCCGCACGAAACAGGCAAGGGGCATCACTCACCATGCCGCAACCGAGATGATGATGTATAGTGTCATTAGCTGAACTCCTTCTAACCAGTGTGACTTTCCGTCTTGGATAAGGTAGTTGACCTGTTACAAAGTCCTGTAAGTAAGACAGGTACCAGATGAGTGTTTTGATGATTGAGGCGTTTATACATACCAAAAGAACAGTAACGAAGAGGACCGTAACCTGGAATCCATCGAAATAAAGTGTCTAGCTCTTGGTTAGTATATATAATATCAGAGTATATAAAGAAAAGCATCTAAAGGGCTAGGTTTCAGTACCATGTCATCCTTTCCTATAACAGGGTAACATATCGTTAGTCCAGAGCTCCATAGATCATGATAACTAGAACATATATAAGAACATACCAGCAATCCAACCGATGACTACAAGTAGTGGTAGCACAAGCAGGGCAATCTGCATGCTCGAACCGACAGCAACTCCGATCGAAAGATCCATCTTGTCCTTTGCCGCTACCGTCACGGCAGTAGCATGCTCCGCAGCGTTTCCGACTATCGGCAGCAGGATCAAACCAACGAACGTTTCTGAAATTCCCCCAGAAGTAGTGATTGCATCAATAGAAGAAACCTATTTCAGTTTGTGAGCGGGGAACGTAGTTTGAAGGGGACTTTATTGCCCTCTCCTCCGTGGATATGTGCATACCATTGCCTCTGCGCAAAGGGCGACCAGAGCAGTTGAAGCACAAAGAGTGAGAACAGCGACAAAGATGCTGAGCTGAGGCTCCTCTTCCTCTTCCTTCGGAATGACGACAGGGTTCTGCTGGGCATTTTGTCCTCCCATGGTGGCCGAGAATCCAGCACCAATTTGAGCAATACCTTTGCTAGCATCGCCGTCCTCGACCTTTTTGGATTTTGATCTCTTCTCTACCTTCTCGCTGGGCGTGTTGAAGATGGAGGCATGTGACTTGAGCTGGAAGAACAAGTAGGCCCCATACACGACGAGCAAGATCACACTTGTGCCTAGATGAAGTGTTAGTATTCATTGTCTCGTCAAGACGCATATATTACTAACCTCGAGAGATTTGAGCGATGCCAGCCTCGCCATCTAGTTGATACGGTTAGCAAAATGAAACCTCTGCGGAGAGGAAGCTGGAACATACTCCCGGACCAGGTATGGAAGGCCGTAGGAATTATAAGACTGCCAACGGCCAGCGCGAGTAGACTGGAGGCGGTCTGGGCCACCGTCACGTTGAAGTTCTGCTCTATACGGTTTACTCCTCCCACGAAGAAGGACATGCCCATAACCAGGAGCAGATTTGACAGTATACTTCCGATCAAGGAAGTCTGCACGATGATGATCTCGTCCTTGAACAAGGCAAGGATAGACACAATCAATTCAACAGCGTTTCTTCGTGTACGGTCAGTAAGAAGATATTGAAAAATAAGAAAAGATTTAAACGTGTGAAATGCTTACCCAAAGGTTGCATTAAGAAGGCCGCCGATGGTCTCTCCGGTTCTGCATGGAAACTTGTTAGAGATAAAGGAGGTTCAAATTGATCTCAAAGATGTGACAGTACCTCATGGCAATCTCTTCAGTCGCAAAACCAAGCATTGAAGCAAGAGGACTATCCAATGGGTCAGCTATTGATTGGCTTTCTTTCTCTTGTCACCCAGCGCCCGTTTCTTACATGATGGCGATGAAGTTGACAACGAAGACAGCGACGGAGTTGACTTTGACATAGAACATGATGACTACAGACCGTCAGCATTATATTGGAGCCCCCCGGCCAGAAAGAAATGGAACAACGTACTTCCAGCAGGAGCCGCAAACAAGAGAAGGTTGATCCACGAGCTGAACAAGGTAGCTCTCAACTGCACGGCAATGGTAAATTTCTGCGTGTGTCCAGCTGCTGGCTCCTCCTCCACCGGGGTGGTTTGTTGCTTATCCATCGACTCTGAACCTTCCGACGCTCTCTGAATGTCCTGGTCGGTGGCTTTGACGCCTCCAACAGCGCGAGTGAGAGGTTCAGTGCTGGTCACCGACTCTGTTCCTCCCTGGAGCCCGTCAGTTCCAGCGGTTGAGGGCGCAACGCCATTCGTAGTTTCCCCCTCCCTGTTCGAGTTCATGTTCGTCATCGTGTAGTTGTCATGGCCGCCGGCCTCCAGGCTCGACGACAACGTCCTCTCCGGACGAGACCTCGTTCTTCCAAACGGGTTATGACTTGGGGATTCTCCTTCAGTATCGTACCAGGCCAGCGACCTTGCTTGGCTGCGATAGTGATCTACCTCGTCTGTTAGCAGGAGAACAAACAAGAAGCAACGACAAGACTTTTCCAAGGAATGACAAGCTTCTTACGCATCTTGGGGGGGGCAAAGTCGGTCAAACGGTAGCTATCCTTAAATGTTCTTGGTGGTGATTAAAAAATGATGTTATGAAAACTGATCGAGAAGAAGTTGTAGAAAATAACCAAAAGGGGAAATCTTCAACGTCCCTTTTTATTTTCCAAGGTCTTTTTCTCAACAACCAACCACCTTTATAAAATCAGGATCTTCTCCGTCTCACGGTGAAGAAAAAAAAAGGGGACCAACCCGAGCCAATTCCACTAATTTCCCCGTTTTTTTCCCTGCTACACTACATCAGCGTGTCAGGAAAAACGCGCTTGCGCCCCTTTAATTGGAGCTAATATCGGGCTCCTATAGAATTCAGCCACATCGGCCGTATACGAGCCACCGCAATTCTGCAGGCTAAGAAAGCAGAGGAAGGAGAAGCTCAAGAAGCTTAGATGGATGATGTTTAATACGGGCCCAAGCCACAGATCCAACGCCATCCCACCCTCCGACGCTGCCTCTGCCTCATCCCGCCACCTTGAGCTCACCCGTAACGCAATCATCGCCAACCACGTCGTTGGTACGAAGATTGCGCACGCAATAAAAGAGATGGAGCAACGACAGGCTGCGACGGAGACCGCTATTTCCGCCCCTGGAAAGGTTCTGCTTGCGGGAGGCTACCTGGTCCTGGACAGAGACTATACCGGCACTGTTTGTGCCCTGGATGCGAGGATCCATGTGGTGGTGCAGCAACAGAATATCGAAAGACGGTCGCCGGGTACGGATACGCAAACGGATGCTCATAAGCAGCTGAAAGACGGGCAGGTGGCTGCAGAAGCATCGGAAACAGCTGAAAAGCCTCCGGCCAACGGCGGGGCGCAGGAGGAAGCTGTGCAGGATACCGTCATCGTCAGGTCACCGCAGTTTGTCGATGCTGTATGGAAGTACAAGATAGAGCGATCAGATAATGGAGGCGGCGTCAGGGCCGTGCAATCGGACGATGGGTTAGTAGCTTGCTCTCTTCATTTCCGTGCACCCTGCTTCTTGTTTGCCATGGCGTTTCATATTCCCGGCGCGAACGGGTTAACGAGCTAATCTATCTTGAGACAGGCCCCGGAATCCGTTTGTAGAGACGTCCCTCAACTATGCGCTGACATACGTGAGCTATGTCTCTGCCTCTCAGAACATAGGGTCGCTTGCCGTGACCATACTTGCAGACGATGATTACTATTCCGAAACGACTGCCAGTGGTACGTCCCATGGCAGTTCTGCAGGATTTAAGAAATTTGGAGTTCGGCTGCAGGATGCGCATAAGACAGGGCTGGGTTCATCTGCCGCATTGGTAACCGCTTTGGTGTCCGCGCTCGTCGTTCATCGAACCGTACAGCCTGAGAAGCTCACCCAGAACAAACAGAAGCTCCATAACCTTGCACAGGCCGCACACTGCGCTGCCCAGGGGAAGATTGGCTCTGGTTTCGATGTTGCTGCCGCCGTCTATGGATCGTGCTTCTACAGACGCTTCTCTCCGTCCGTGCTTGCTGACCTGGGCGAACCGGGCTCTCCCAAGTTTGAAGATCGCCTGTTTGCCGTCGTTGAAGATCTCAACACCACAACCCCATGGGATGTCGAATACCACGATGTCGGGTTCGAGCTTCCCGGAGGTATGCAGATGGTCCTCTGCGACGTTGACTGTGGCTCCCAGACTCCCGGTATGGTTAAGAAGCTGCTTCGCTGGCGGGATGAGAACCGGGAGGACGCAGATACTATATGGGCCAATCTACAACTAAACAATGAGAAGATACGCCTTGAATTGAAGAAACTCTCACACAATCCAAGAACGGGTAACTTCAACGAAGTTCGTAATCTTCTCCTTAAATCGAGGATGTGGATCAAAACAATGACCAAGAAGAGCGGAGTGCCCGTCGAACCTGCCGTGCAGACTGAGCTATTAGATGCCCTGGGTAAACTTGACGGTGTCATCGGAGGCGTTGTTCCTGGTGCGGGGGGCTATGATGCTGTTGCCTTGCTCATCGAGGACGACCAGGATGTCATCGATTCTATCCGTACCTACCTGCAAGATTGGCATAGTACCGTCAAGGACGACTTTGGCGGCAAGATCGACAGAGTCCGTCTACTCAATGTTGGCTATGGCTCTGAAGGCATCCTCAATGAGCTGCCAGTCCGATATAGCGAATGGATATAGGCCTTGTTTCACCCTTTAATCTTGATGGAAGAGTGACTAACACGCTTTGATATCACTTATGCAGTTTACGATCATGAGTCAACGACCCATAACTAGACCGGCTATTGATTCTATTGCGTCTTTCTATTAAGCATATAATAATATCAATATCAATAGTAACTTGCTCTTCATATATATATAAAAAGAGCGTCACGTGAACAAAAACCACTTTACGCGCAAACGCGAATTTGACGCGACTTTTTTTTCTTTTATCAAAACTTCAACTTCGCAAACTTGAAGAAAAACAAGCAGAAGAAAAATATATATCAAGATCGATTGCTTCCTAGGTGCAGACAACGTCGTTTGTGTTAATTAATTTTATGTTATTTTTAATGAGAAACGCATCATGTCCGCACTTCTAGATAGCCTCATGGCCGATAGCGCTGGGCTCGACAGCTCTCAGCGATCTGACCCCCCGCCAACGAGCTCCCGCCTCCCGCTCCCCTCAGAGAGCAATGCGCCCATGAGTGAGGCACCTGAGTTTGCAGATGACCAGCTAGTTGGGCCTGGGAGCAGGTCGTCTCACCGTCCCCGACATCCCATGTATAGTAGAGGGGCCCCCATCGTCCGCGATGTTGCTGGTGAAAAGGTGCAGCAGGCCTTCGAGGAACTGTTAGAAACACATATCGAAGACCCCATGTCATCCGGCGCTCCTCCTACATCTTCGGAAATGCTCAGTGATAAATACTATATCTCCCAGATCCATGGAATGCAAAAGCTACAACTTTCCACCCTCTATGTCGATTTTACCCACCTCACCTCTAATCAAGTACTGGCCGATGCGATCGTTAACCAGTACTACAGATTCCAGCCCTACCTTACAAAGGCACTACATAATTTAATTGCGAAATATGAACCCCAGTATTTCCGCGCACATAGACAGCTTGGAAGCCATTCTTCACAGGCCGGAACATCGACCGTGGCTCTCGATAGCACTGAACCCGACTCTCTAGCCGGAAAAACTAGATACCAGCAAACCGATAAGGTGTTCACCCTTGCATTTTATAATCTTCCGCTTGTCTCTCGGCTTCGACAGCTGCGGACGGCGCAGATTGGCATGCTTTGCTCCATATCAGGAACAGTGACGAGAACATCCGAAGTGCGTCCAGAACTTGCTTTGGGAACGTTTATCTGTGGAAATTGCAATGCTGTCTGCTCGGATATTGAACAGAGTTTTAAATTTACAGAACCTACTCAGTGTCCGAATGCGGTTTGTGGAAATCGTGTTGGATGGCGACTCGATATTAGAAAAAGTACTTTCGTTGACTGGCAGAAGGTTAAGTTGCAAGAGTCATCACACGAGATACCCACTGGAAGCATGCCTAGAACTATGGACGTCATCCTACGTGGAGAGATGGTCGACCGTGCAAAGGCTGGCGAAAGATGTATATTCACCGGAACTCTTGTCGTGATTCCAGATGTCAGTCAAGCAGGGTTGCCGGGTGTTCGCCCTGAAGCAACTAGGGATTACGGAAATTTCAGGGGCGGTGATGTTGGCGGCAATGGTGTCAGCGGGTTAAAATCTCTCGGTGTGCGGGATCTCACTTACCGCCTCGCATTCCTTGCAAGCATGGTAACGCCAGACTTGTCAACTCCTGGCCAGTCATCAAACCAGAACCTGACGGGCCAGTCTCCAAATATCCTTTCCTCCTTGAACCAGGTTGAGGTGCCTGATGACGTTGAAGATGAAGCGCAAACGGCCCTGCTTCACTCTCTAACTCCCTACGAGGTCCAGGACCTAAAGCAGATGGTGCATTCTGACTATATCTACGCTCGACTTATAGATTCTATTGCTCCTATGATATACGGCCATCATCAGATTAAAAAAGGCTTACTCCTTCAATTGATCGGCGGTGTTAGCAAACGAACAGTAGAGGAATCGATGCAGCTTCGTGGTGACATCAATATTTGCATTGTGGGCGACCCATCCACAAGCAAGAGTCAGTTTTTAAAGTACGTCCATCCTTCATATTTTGCTATAATATAATTTGCTCCATAAACTAACCCTCCTCCCAGATACATTTGTAAGCTGCACCCTCGAGCAGTATATACTAGTGGTAAAGCATCTTCTGCTGCTGGTCTTACCGCTGCGGTTGTTAAGGATCCAGAAACTGGGGAGTTTACAATTGAAGCGGGAGCATTGATGCTTGCTGTAAGTCTTGGCCGAAATTCCCTGGCCGTCTAATGGATAGTATCATTTCTAACATGCGTTTAGAACGGCGGTGGGATCTGCGCGATTGATGAATTCGACAAAATGGATATAAGTGACCAGGTTGCTATCCACGAAGCCATGGAACAGCAAACTATTTCAATTGCCAAAGCTGGAATCCACACAACGCTCAACGCTCGCGCAAGTATTCTGGCTGCTGCGAACCCTATCGGGGGAAGATACAACCCTAAGACCACTTTGAGAGGAAACCTCAACTTCAGCGCTCCCATCATGAGTCGATTTGACCTTTTCTTCGTTATTCGAGATGATCCTAATGAGGCAGTGGATAGAAACCTTGCAGACCACATTGTGAATGTCCATATGAATCGGGATGAAGCTGTGAAACCTGAATTATCCACGGAGCAGTTACAAAGATATATTAGGTTTGCACGGACATTCCGACCAGTCTTTACTGAAGAAGCTAGGGCGTTGGTCGTTGAGAAATATAAGGAACTTCGTGCCGATGATTCACAGGGAGGCATGGGCAGAAGCAGCTATAGAATTACTGTCCGACAGCTGGAGAGTTTGATTCGACTATCTGAAGCAGTGGCGAAGGCCAATTGCGTGGAGGAAGTCATTCCCAGCTTTGTGAAGGAAGCCTATGATTTGCTACGGCAGAGCATTGTTACTGTCGAGAAGGATGACGTGGATGTTGATGATGAGGAAGATGCCGCTGCCGCTGCCGGAAATAACCAGGCTGCTGCTGAAGACCAGAACATGATGGACGAGGATGATAATACCCAACAGATTACGGACACACAGCAAGGTACCGGTGAGAGTCGGCCTCAAAAGATGAAGATAACATACGACAAATATATGCGTGTACTGAACGTTCTCGTACGCCGCGTTAATGACGATGAGACCCGAAGCGGGGAGGGTGTTGAAGAGGAGGACCTCATCCTTCATTACCTCGAACAAGTGGAGTCTGAATTAAATAATGAAGAAGAACTAGAACAAGAACGAGCCTTGGTGACGAAGATTTTGAAGAGAATGGTTAAGGTATGTTTAGCACCCGTACAAATCCCAAATCCACGTCTTCCATTTCCTCTTTGCATCGCTAACATGGCCATCAAATAGGATAACATCCTTATGCAAATCCGCGGAGACGGTTTGATGGAAACTGACAGTGGAGCACAGCCTGCAGACGAGCCCAAAGTGGTTTACGTATTGCATCCCAACTGTGCAGTCGAAGAGATGTAGCCTGACCCATACTTGCCGACCATGATTGCTTGAATCTCAGAAGCCTACTATGTTCTAGATTTTCCTTCTCTTTTTTAACGCTCATGATTAGGTTCTTCGTTCTTTGGATCAACGACCATTAATGATAAGGTAGACGAGGGCGATTTTGCATGTATGGTGTGCACGATGGAGCCAGGCGTGTGATATGTTGGTTGATGCTGAATATTTATCGGTCTGTTGCAATTGATATCCAAAATTGATGCTTTCTTCAAACGATAGGAAACGTCCTAGATTACCATCTCCTCAACCTAAAGTAATAATAACTAGAATATATGAGACTATTAGTAAGAATCATATCTCAGGAAAGGTGCAATGCATTATTTAAAGTAGATTGTTTATGCTTTATTCTCTGCGACCACGACTCTTCATCGTCGTCCATCTTGTAGCATAACTATTCAACCAAATACTCGGCCGCTTTGCCCTTGTATGCTCATAACATTCTCCAAGCCACCAAGCACACCTCGTGTTCGATATTACTCGATACCAAGAGCACTTGACCCCCTTGACTAAGCAAAACATCTGCGATAAATACACCAACAGGCACCGTATAACTGATCCGCAGTGGAAACAGGCCGAGAAATGGCGAGGCGAAGGAATGTCAAGGGTCTTAAGGGCCCCACGGGTATACAGGCCCTCTAACAACCCATCCCTTGGAGCGCAGAGGCTGATCAAAATTGACAGAGGGCCGCTCCGAACAGCAAGAAAAGGAGCTTCACGGAACCCAGAAGGACGAGATGAGGAGCCAGCATTCGATATGGCTTACACTTGCGCTTGCTAGCGGCGCATTTGCCGCTATGAATGGGTTATTTGCGAAGCTGTAGGTTCATCGTCTCCGTTTGATAGCGTTTGATATTTGTTCCATATGGCCGTGTCCTTGTGTGACGCCTTGGGATGAGCTATACATGAAGTATCTTTCAATGAACTTCGTTGAAATGATTATTATGGCTAGAGTACTGGTTCAATGGAATTTTGCTAATGGATTGGATAGAACCACGACTGAGCTCACTACCGGCATCTCGCGGGCAATCTCTCACCTCTTCTCGTCGTCCAAGACGACTACTACGCTGGATGTAGTGGTAGAATACATCGTTCGAGCTGTATGTATTTTCTCCCAAAACACTTATATATACCAAGCATTGCTATGGTTATGAAAGCATGTACTGATCCCGCTCCAGGCCTTCTTCGGGTTGAATCTACTCTCCAACTTCATCATGTGGACGCTCTTCACTCGCGCCCTGACTGCATCTCCATCGACAACCAAGGTAACTATCACAAATACCACAGCAAATTTCCTCGTCACCGGTGTACTGGGTATGTTGGTTTTCCGGGAGAATGTAAATGCCCAGTGGCTGCTCGGTGCTGCTTTGATGGCCGCCGGATGCATTATTGTTGGGATGCGGGAGAAGCAGGAAGACGAGGCTGCTGACGCCAGCACTGGTGAAGAAGAAGACGACGAAATTGGTCTTACTGGCAATCGAAAGCCAGATGAGGACGACAATCTCATCGCCCTCGAGGAAGATTAAATGTTTTATAGAGGAAGTTCAATAACGCGTGGGGTACATCTGATATTATAGAATGTTACATATTGGACACACATAACTATCATGTCATACATAGCAATTAATACAAAAATATAAAATCTTTAACCAGCAGCAGCCACCCTAATAATCTCTCTCTTCCAGCTCGAAATGAGTATCGATCTCTTCGGTGCCATCGACTATCTCCGCAGATTCATGTCTCCTCAGTTCCTCCGGAGGAACCCGAGCGTACCCTCCTATCCCAGAGCCAGTTCCCTTTAACCAGAAAATCTTCCTTGCGTGCCCGGTAACCCATTGAATAAGCTGCCACGCTATTTTCTCTACGATACCTTCCTCGGGCCCTGCGTGGATACCGGCCGTAGTATCACCAGTAGCGGTAGTATTTGCATCTGCATGCTCTTGATGCTCTACTTTAAACTGATACTTTAAACAATCCTTCACAGTGACCAGGCCTGATAAATGGCCACGGTGCTCGACCAGGATTACTCGAGGACCCATCTTCTTGAATATTTCCATCACGGTCTCGAGAGCAAGGCGCGGATGGACGGTGATCGGAGCCAAGTCAACATATGGGCTCAGGTCAATTACTCGGATACCTGAGGATGATGCTATATCATCAAATGTAATAGGGGTTCCGCCAGCGCGCCACCCCCCGTTTTGCGGAGAGGAGGAAGACGACGGTGTAGAAGGCCCGAACATGTCACTAGATTGTGAACTTGAAGCTGGGCCACCACCAACAGATGTTGGTTGGCGGACGAACTGGCACCTAGCATTTGGCGCTAATAGTCCCTCTCGTTTTGCGCGCCTTATTGCATACTGAAGCTCAGTACGGCCGATAAAACCAACTAGGGTCATCGAGTCGAAATCCTCAACAATAGGGAAGCCCTGAAACTTGTGCTTCTGGAGAAGCTGTTCGGCCTTGTGTATAGAGAGGCCTGTTTCGGAGAACACAACAGGTTTGCTTGTCATGGCGTGGGAAACTGGGACGTTAAATATATGCTCTTCCTTGCTATCTAGGAACGGAAAGCCATTAAACCAGATCATGCGGTCGGCAATGCCTCCTTTACCAAACTGGTCACTAACTGCTTTTGTTACTCCGACGACAATCTATTATGAATTAGCAGATGTGTCAAGAATACCACCCGATGAAATAGTAGCCGGGTTGGGGCCTTACCATTGTAGGAAGAATATAAGTCAGTGCACCGGTTAACTCATACATAATAACCGTCACTGATATAGTCAAATGCATTATGCCACTCAACGCAGCGCCAGCACCGAGAAGGGCATAAGTGCCGGGGGTAATGCAGGGAACATCAGGTTCACAAGATGCAAAAAATTGTGAGTCTGGGAACCTCTGGTGGAGGGCTTGGACGAGTATCCCGACCATTCTACCGAACGAGGCGCCGACAGCCATGGATGGCACGAAAATACCAGCAGGGACCTTACACCCGTAGGATATGATAACAAAGAATATACGGAGAATAGTAGCTCCTAACAGTGAAATGACCATCGACCAGCGGTTTTTGGCTCTGTATAATGGGTTAATATGCCTGTTTCAATTTGACGGGGCTGCTGGAATACACTAACTGGCAAATCCCATTATAATCGTGCGGGCCCTCACACTCTCGAAAGAGGATCTCCATCATTTCGGTCATATTGATTCTCAAGAACATATTCGGATAGCAAACCAGAGCTGTTAAACCGGCTAGGGTTGTGGCCTCGATAATTGGGTGTTTCGAAAGATACTTCTTTCTGAATGCTTGTGCTCGCAGGTTCCATTTCATGATAAATGCACCATAGAGTCCCCCAAAAATTCCGAGAATGATGAAGAATATAATTTCAAAAGAATGCCAGGATCGGTCGTACTGGACCTGGAACATGACCAGCTGACCCGTGCGGAATGGATTTATTATCTAGGTCGCTGTTAGCACCATTGCATGACTTATACGTGTGAAGACGTACAGCTAGGACACCAGTTGCTACCAAAGCACAAAAATAACTTCTCCAGAGAGTCTTCAGTGGAAAATAGGATGCCATTTCCTATACAACAGTGAGTAACCCAGTCAACAATAAAGAACCGATGGTGTAATTATCAAGCGTACCTCAAGGGAAAATAGCACTCCGCCAATGGGACTTCCAAAAGCAACTGCGACGCCCGCAGCAGACGTTACGGTCAAAATCTCCCTGGTTTTGGCAGCATTTCGCTTATATTTGCTAAACCAACGAGATATAACGTTACCCGTACAGACAGCAAAGTGAACGCTAGGGCCTTCTTTACCAACTGCGAGGCCTGAGCCGATAGACAGCGGTAGGGCGAGAGATTTGATCACTAGGGTACGGGCACCAAGGAAGCCCTTCATGATGAACCCAGCGATGATGACTTTGATTTCAGATATACCGGAGCCTGCTGCATAAGGGGGAAAGGGATTAACCAGCCCTGCTGAACAAAAGGCAAAGAGAATCTAAAAGTACGTTAGACAGCAAAGTTCCCAGTGGATTTGCAGGTTCAGTCATACCGCAAACAGGAAGTAGACAATATAATTAATGGGAGAGAATGCACTCCATCGCTTCCACTCGGGGCATCCTAGACAGAAACGCATGGTCAGATAAGGGTCCGTACTCCTAGACCTCAAAAGGCTGCTTACCGTCTTCTGAACCCCAGCAGCAAAAGGCTTCATTCAGATAGAATCCAGTCGTACAGTATCCCAGCTTCACGTCCGCCAGCCACTCCGTAACAATATTCAGAAAGCCAGCATTGAGTCCAATGGCTACACCGACAATTGTCATCACAAGCCATGCCTGGCCCGCATCATAAGCTTCATCGAGCTTCCGTCTCCATCCAAATGCGCCTTCTTGGTCCCAGAACCGAGCACCCTCTGTCCTCCGTATGCGTCGACGAGTCTGCTCCTGAACGGCATCCTGCACCCAATCAATGGTTGTGAAGTCCTCGTAACGTTTTATCTCGCTGATTTCCTCCGTTATAGCTGTCTGGCTGGCATCTACGCCAGTAGACGCTCCGGTAGCCGCTTGCGCATGGTCATGGGAGCGAACGGAATAGGTCGACACCCGTCGTGGCTGGGGATTCGATGGTCTAGAGGCATTCGACTGTATCGAGAGGCGGTTCTGCGAGCGTGGACCGGCGAACGAGGACGAGGAGAGGTGTGTCGGGTTCATCACACCGATCTATATGCTGGGTATCATGCTCTTTTGGCCTGCCGGCTCGAACGTCGGAGAAAGCAGTTTTTGAATCAAGCGGCAGCCAAACGTCAAACCGGGAATTCACCTTGCCTTGGACTGCATCGACATCAAAGATCCCACCGTCGAGAGATGCAGCGTTTTGCTGTAGTTGAGGCGGCAGGGAGAGCTGGAGGTCCAGAGGCTGCAGTGTTTATTGCCGTTCTTGGCCAAGCAAGAGAAAAAAGAGGCGGCTTCGTTCTTGTTATTACTCAACTACAAGCCGAACTGCTAATAGGATAATTTTTGGATGCACATATCAACAACGTCTTGGTAGGGAAAAGCAGTTCAAAGACGGCTGGAGACCCTGAAACTGTTTTACTTGAACAAATTCCAAGGTCGAGAAGAATGCCTCCCACCAAAGCCAGCCGGGAATCCTCAGGCGAAGCAACTGGCCACTCATCCCTGCCGTGTATGTTATTTATCTTGCGGCATAGCATTTTTTCTTTTCTTTTGCGCTGTACAAGTCTAGGTCTCGCTGACAGAAGCCTCTCCAGTGGCCAGGATAAAACGGATCATTCGGGCGGATGAAGATATAGTACAATGCTCTACGAGCGCGACCTTCCTTATCGCCGTTGCCACGGTATGACTTTCTTCCCACCACACGGGGAGGCAAAGAGAATAGATACGGAGGCTAACGTCTGTTGCGCGCGCCTTGTAGGAGATGTTCGTTCAGTATCTCACAGAGCAAGGATATAACGTGGTCAGGTCCAACAACCTGAAGAATCTACGATATGCCGATATAGGTACGTACTCATACCTATGCAAGAGTGTGCCTATACACTAACCAGTGTCTCTAGCTACTGCTGTTTCACGTATCGACAACCTCGAGTTCCTCTCCGATGTGATCCCCAAGACTACGACGTACGGTAAATTCAAGGAGAAACGAGCGAGGGAGAAGGCAAAGGAAGACGGCCAAGTTGTGAACCAACGGACGCTAAAAGAGATGCAAGCACGCCAGAACGGGACGCCGGAGCGTTCTCGGGAAGAATCGATGGTCGATGTGGGCGAGCGGAACGTGAACGAGCTGTCTCCCCGTCCGCCGATGGTTATACATGCCTCTCGATCCCGCAGCAGGCTCGTGGACGAAGATGCCGCCCAGCAGCGGCCGGACAGGGACAACGACGTCGAAATGACCCTGTAATATGCATGCATTTCTCTCTCTTTTTCCTTGGGCGGCGTTGGGCATGTTGTATGTCGGTTCATTACCTGGCCGGCGTATGGAGTAGGCATAATGACAAAAACATCATCAACTCATACCATCATCTTCAACTCGTATCATATCATCGTTAAATATCAAACATCAAATATCAAATATCAGCATTATCGATGTAGATGTCGTGAAGTTCCGACTGACCAATCAGTGTGCGGATGATTCCGGCGTACCTAAAAAAAAACCACCAAAACCGAAACTTCAACCTCACAACTTGTTTCGATATAGACAAAAACCGTCGCCAACACCAACCACCCCCAGACAGACAGAGACAGACAGACGTCTGCGTGCAAGTCTACCGGTTGCGCTCAATTACTCTTCTTCTGGCTCGCCATGTCGCCTCTCGCCGCCTCTTCCGCCAGCTCGCTCCGGGCGTGTGCTCGACATGCCAGCGTTGTCCCTCGCGCACTCGCTGTGTCTTCCATCGCCCAGCACCGACGAGGAGTGGCCTCTGATGCCTCCCAGAGCTCTTCGTTCGATAGTCCGTTCGGCAAGAGCAATGCCTCTACCTCGACCTACAAGATCCCCAGCTTCGGCAAATACGCTAGCCCCCGTCGAGAGAGCACGAACAAGACCTTCTCCTACTTCGTTGTCGGTACCATGGGCATGATGACCGCTGTTGGCGCTAAGGCTACCGTCCAAGGTGCGTTCCGTCTTTGCGTCTTTTTGATGCTGGCGGTCAATTGGGGATTACGAAGGTATACTGACCTTGCCGGGCTTAATTCAGATTTCCTTCTCAACATGTCCGCCTCTGCCGATGTTTTGGCCCAGGCCAAAGTTGAAATCGCCCTTAACTCGATCCCGGAGGGCAAGAACGTACGTTATAATACACACCCACAGAGCTTCGCACACGTTGTTAGGTCTTCATATCCATTCTTACACAAATGCTAGGTCATCATCAAATGGCGAGGAAAGCCCGTTTTCATCCGTCACCGAACTGCCAGTGAAATCCAGGAAGCCCAAGAGACCAGCTGGGAGTCGCTCCGAGACCCACAGCCAGATTCTGACCGTGTCAAGAACCCTGAATGGCTTGTCATGTTGGGTAAGATAACCTCATTGCGTTGGCCTTTCTAGCAAGCTGTGCTTGTCTAACGCATGTCAACTTGCTTCTTATAGGCGTCTGCACCCATCTTGGTTGTGTGCCAATTGGCGAAGCTGGTGACTTTGGCGGCTGGTTCTGTCCTTGCCACGGCTCCCACTACGATATCTCTGGCCGAATCCGCAAGGGTCCCGCTCCATTGAACTTGGAAGTTCCTGCCTATGACTTCCCAACTGACGATACCCTCATCATCGGTTAAGCAGACCATTCTTGACCCCAATTCCGCACATCTACTCTTAACTTTCAGCAATCTTTAAGTGGTTTCAGTAGACCCAAGAGAACAACAAAAACGGGCCAATCCAACTTCACCATGGGCCTACTTTCTAACGCTCTGCCTGTTATTCTATATCTCCTTGGGATGCGGGGTGCAGTGGTTTTCTTCGTTTTAGATGGAATGTACAACTCTTCTCTGGGCCTCGTCCGACCTATTTGATCTTGCTTGGGAGCTTGTCCATACCTGTATTACTTCCCCTGTTTTCCTATGTCTTACCGATCTGCTCTATGCAAGGCTTCTAGTCTCTTCGTTTTCTGCATCTCCAGTTTCCCTTGTATTATTCTCCATATATAAAGCCCTCCTCCGCTTTCATGTATTTCTCCCTCCCCCACCTGGACTAAAATTTATAGGAATATTTTTGATAGAAATAATGAGCATGGAAGGTTAGACAAACTTCAAACCAAGATATGTCTTTTTCTAATATTCTACATGTCTAGACCGAAGTTAGGGAATGCCTCTCTATGTACAAATGATATACAGTTTATATTTGTGGTGTATTCACTCTCGAACGCTTTTCTTTCCCGCTGCTCCATCTGTCGTGTCATGTCCAAGGATGATGATGCCCATAAATGGCTTTATAAATTCACCCTAGCCGAAAAATAGCAAACAATACTCCTCCCATCACTGCCGCTCCTACCGCAGCGCTTTCTAGCACCACTGTAGTCAGGTCGCGCTGTAAAAGCGTAACACGCCGTTCGGTGAAAAAGGCCTGGGCAGTCTTTCCCCAGGACTCGGGTGCTAGGTCAAGGTCCGGTGGAAGCATTGGAGTCAGAGTTGGTAATTCCGGGGTCGATGGCTAAGCCTCCTCCACAGGCTCATTATGGGTGGAATTTTCATCCACAGGGGTTTCTGGAGCCAATCCAACTTTATCTGCCTCTGCAGACATGCCAGACGGAGCTGCAGTTGTAATGTCAGAATCTTTCTCAGGCTCAGACGCAGTTTCCTCAGGTTGAGAGGCAGCTTTTTCTTCATCGACCGCCACTATATGTTCCTTGGGAAACCGTCCGTTCTCCCTCTCCAGTGCTTCTGCGACTTCTCCTCGAACCCCTTAACCAGTCTTCGTCTCCTCCAGGGCTCAACCGCAATCTGGAAGATGAGGAACAGCAGCACGTTGACACCCATAAGGCCCCATGTCCCCCAGGTACTCATACGCCGAATCTTATCGGACCACACCTGCTCCTCATGGTACCGAGTCAGTATATTCTTGCTCAGCGCGGCGGTAGCTTCTTCTGCTTCGCGTTCGGCGTTTGAAAGAGCTTCTTGAGTTTCCATTTCCGCTCGCTCGTTAACATGATCGGATCGGTAGAGCGATGTGAAGCGTTCAAGATCTGTCGGGGTCCAGGCATGTTTTCGTTGCAGAAGCTCATTGACCTCACGCTGGGAGGTTGAGCGGCAGTTTATGGCGGAAGAGTAAGCTTCTTTTGCTTCACGAACTTTGACACGAGTCTGGCGCACGCGTTCCTCTATATATCGGAGGTTAATCATACTCTGCCAATATTTAGTAAAGCGGCTGCAGACGTACCCTGGGCCCGAATATCCTGCTTCAACTTCTCAATCGCCGTGTACCCGGTGAGGTCATTTAGATGCTGTCCGGCAACAAAAATGTTAGATTGCAGATTATCCATCAAATCTCCAAATTTCTTCGAAAGATTGGACCGTAGGCGTTCCTCCTGGGATGGAAGTTCACTCGCGCTGAAAGCAGACTGCTTTGCCGGACTAGAACCACCTGCTACAACTTCCTCCCCTCCTCCGTCTTTAGGCATCTCCTTCTTCATATTTTCCCCCAGGTTTCCTTTGTCATGGTGACTAGAGTAGAGCCTCGAGTGCGCTCTCAACCGGCATATTAGACAAACAAACGCATTATTTCCAGTCCGTAGTTGCTGGCCAGATGGTCGTTGAATGGGTTGAGACGAAAAGCTGCGTAAACGGCTGGATGCGCGGAATGAGCCCGATTGAGAGAACGCCCCGGGCCGAAGAGACTCCCTGAGAAAGGCAAAGGGTGTAGACCGCATGCCAGGCATCGCAGGAGTGATGATGGCAGACTACAGTCTTGGAGAAAGCATTGTACAGTTGTTGAGCTGCTGGTTCTTTTTCTTGTCTTTTTTTGGAGGTGGTGATGTATTGATACGGTTTTGGCGGCCTAAATATAGCGGTATGTATGTACGGCTCTGTTAGATTGTATTTTCATCTTATCTAATCTTTCTACCAATATCAACATCTTCAAAACATCCAAGAACGAGTGAAAAAGACCTTCTTTTCTATAGTTTTTCTCCTCCCACCCCGACCAACATCCATGGCAAGGACTTGAGGGCATTGTTCAACCTATATTTGATCATTTTAGTATGTTTATTTCTTTTTTCCAGTCACACGAAAGGGAATCATACCTTCTTACACCCTCGGTTATGGTTTCTTCACTATAAGTGTATACAAGTCGGAACCATCCTGGCTCCATTCCATTCTCTTCGCTAGGATGGATAAACACGCCGCCCTCGACCAATCTCTTTGCTACAGCAAGTTCTTTCTCTTTCTGCGACATAGGATTAGAAGGGGTGCTGGGTGGTAAATATCTGGAAAGGTCCAGCCAGAGGAAACATCCCGCGGTTCTATCCATTGAAACGCACTTTTAGTCTTGTCCCCGTCTCCGATATAAATTAACAGTGAAGGGGGCGGACACTCACGATCCCTGCAGGTATTGAATGCCGTGGTTTCGGAGAAGCCTCGTTGCAAAGTGGTAGGAGGCAGATAACTGCTTTCTAGAGCTCTCGAGGTATTTCGGCACAAATTCTTCATCATCCAATATCATAGCTGCGATGTCTAGGGATAGTCCCGAAGGGTTATTCTGTCTCCTATCAAATCCCATATGTTAGGCTTCTGGATACATGGAATCATCCTCCGCAGACACTTACGATGTTGAGCGGACGGCCCTTTTTACCAATGGATTTTTAGTGATCAGACAGCCTACTCGAAGTCCTGGAGCAGAGAAGTCCTTTTTCATTCAAGTTAGCGAATATTGTACCAACGAAAGGCCAATGTTAGGACGCTTACCTTGCTCATCCCATACATGACATGGAGGAGGTTCTCGTCAATCAATCCTTTAGGGTCAATGCTCAAAGTAGAGATAAATGGCATCGCTTCGCTTTCACCAGAATCGAAAACGGAGAGCGCATATATCTCATCGCTAACCAGATGGATGTGATGCTTCTGGCAGAACTTGAATATTTCGACAATGGTTTCGCGAGGGTAACAGCGTCCTATTCCTCATCAGCCTTGCATTCCTTCCACTTGGTGCAAAGAGATTTAATGGCTTCAGAATCGAACTCACCAAGTGGATTGTGAGGATTCACAATTATCAGCACACGGATATTTATGCCTTTAGCTTTAGCAGCAAGTAAGGCCTCTTCATACTTTTCCACGGCCGCCGGAGTGAAGCCCTCAAGTACTTCCGTATTCGCATAGATTGATTCGAGCCCTGGCCTGGTCCCCCAATCAAACTTGAATCTCCCGTAAATCGGGCGACTGATCAAGATCCCATCCCCTTCATCTGCCAGCGTAAATGCAAGTAGCTCATTCAGCGAGGGAATGGAATTGGTCGCAAGTACCTCGCTACTCTTCACGGGCATATACGGGTCAAAATATCTGTTGATATGACCTGCCATAGCAGCCGGAAACTTTTTACCACCACCCGCACTGGAGCCATACGACCACACTGACTTGTCGAATTGGAGCTAAGGTTATATTCCGATGTGAATATCTAGCGGTTGGCACTGGCTATAGGATGGGCTGCTCCTCACCTTGCTATTAACATATGCGGTCAACTCCTCGTGCATCAATGGCTAAAATAATTGCTATCAGCATAACACCCCTTGCTAAATCCCGTTATTCGTGCAGAAAGAGTCATACATTCTCCGCTGTGCTCAATGATAGCAAGCCAGATGGGTTTGATTGCGCATCGTATTCGGTTTTTCCATCGAGTAGGGCTCGCCATGGCTCATCGAGAATTCCAGTGAGCTTCTTACCTCTAGTCGACAACATGATAAGGCTCTATATTCTAAATCTCAAAACAATAATTATGAAGCGCTCCTTTGCAGAGAGGGATAGCAACAGCAGGCCATGAACCTCCTTTATTTCACATACACAGCCCGCCCTGTCCAACCCTGCGGGGAACGCCGGCTAACTAACATAACATGGATCATGCTCGTTTTCAAACGCCCTTCACAAAGCGGCAGACGCCACATTTCACGGCCAAAATCAGGGCTCTCAGGTTTCACTTCATTGGGACTGTGTAGTGGATATATTGGCGATGGCTCAGAACATTTGGGTTAAACTAGGAAACTTGATCCGCCAATGTAGAACTCCCAAGGTACCAGGAACCGAAAGCTGTAGTCTTAGTATACGAGGGCAGGTTATTCGGCAAGCTTATAATATTTCCTCACTTTCTCCATTACTTACTGTTAAAGCATTCAGATGAAACCACCTCTGGATTATAGAATGATGAAAGGACGAGAAGGGTAGTTTTATTATACATTGGGTCTCTAAAGGCTGTCCGGATATGTACAAGGTAAACCTCTCATGGAGAATATATTCTAAACCATACATATTTAAATCGTTTCTTCAAAATGATGTACTAAATCAGTTACAAGCTGGCAAGCTCGGTCGTGACAGTTCGACAAATCCTTGTCTTTTCCCCAGAGATCCCTACAGCTTCTTAATGTTTCGAGAACGGTTTCCCTGGCTTGAATTTGACAGAGATGCTCTGCGGGTAATTCGAGAGGCGAGTCATCCTTTATGAGGTGGAAGCATAGAGTCATTGCAGCCGTGAAGAAATCCTGCTTGAAGAGTCTTGAAAACCATGTCGAAATGCCACGGTTATGCGCTGCTTGTTCGCATAGTTCTCTCTGCTGTGCAAGGAGTGCTAGAGAACACTCCAGAGATGACCAGTAAGCCACCGGGTATTCGATAAATGCCTGAGGCAACTTCGCAAAATAGCTATGGAGGGTGAGTAGTATTCGGCGGAAGTAGACGTTTAAAAGGATCCTTGCAGGGTCAATGCTGCTGTTCCCTAAGCCTGACGATAACTCGGCAGATTCGGTAAGGCATTTTGGAGATGCTTGGAAGATGACTTCATATTCTTTCATCTTAAACCGAATCTGGCTATCATATTCCAAGACGTCTTCGTATTGAAGAGACCCATCCGCCGAGTTCACCATCCTCATTATATCAGCAACGAGAGGGAATACATCATGTAAAACGACCAGGACAGTGGAATCCGTCCTCTCCGGAAGCAGCCGGCTCAGTATTTCACCGTTGAAAGACTCATGTATTTCATCTTCATTTATATTAGCCGGTGCAAAACATGTAAAGGTTTCGGTTGTGATCTGGAGTGGCATCCCGGAGAGCAGCGATTGCTTGAGGTCCATGAAACATATCACGGCCCATAGACGATTTCTCATCTCTGCATGAAAGGGTGAATAGACCTTGTTGCTACTGCTAGAGTGCATGCCTACCATCATTGCTAGGCGAACTATGAGACCAGTGAGTGGCCAGCAGGCCTCATGTTCAGAGCATGACATGGTATGTATCTGTTTCGCGATGACCATCAGACATAAGGTTCTGAGGTTAGCTAATGTAGGTCGGTATAGGAATGGGGTGAGCCTCAGACAGGTTTCTGCAGCGGTCAGTAGTGTATGCCGTAGCTTGGTGTAAGGCTCCGTAGCATCAGACGCCTCAGCTCTACATGCGTCGCATCCAAGGGCAAGAATTGTGAAGTATTGGGCGAGCCAGCCGTCATCAGCTGCACTAGGTTGGCACCAGAACGCTTGAATCTGGAGCTTCAAGGTTGGAACGTGGAGAATGCGGTGAGATGTTTCAATAACATCAAGGTAAGCTTCAACAAACTTGTCGGCGACCTCCCTGCTGGGAATCGAGGCTAACATCGCCTTCCTCGTAGACTTGGAACGACGTGGTCTTTCGCCAAATGGGTAATTTGGCGACCATGTACTTTCTGGGAAATCATTTTCATCGTCAGGAATAAGCCTCTTATTCCGGGAACATGACGGCGAGTAGAGCCTCTCCATCTATATACTTTGTTAGCCCTGGTATTCAAAGGAATACAATACACCGCAAGGGGAGGGGGTAGGCATTACATCCAGGATCAAACCGGACCAATGTGTTCCTGTACGGAATTTCGATCTCCATATTCGGTGCGTGACTGGTGCTTGGGGTATCTCACTTGAAACCTGTGAAAATAGACCGTCATCGTCGGTAGTCCTTTCGGGCTTTGCGTAAACACACTCGTCGGCCTTGTTTATTTTTGCACAACGACCGCAAGGCAACTGACGGTCACAGCGTACCTTCATACGACGGCAGCGAACACAGGTTATCGTATTTCGCTTTCTTCTGCGCGATACCCAGTGTTGTGGCCCAGCCTCTGTGAGAGAGTGTAGCTTTGTGCAAGCTAGGGCCGTAGACGGGGGTGTATTTTCCTTTTTCCCGCCCCGACCAATGTTAGAATTTGAAGCATAGTAGTTATGGATAAAGGGGAGGAGGGTGGGGGTGGTATAATATCCCATACATTTGAATTCGAAGCTCCGATGGATCCAAGGGTCTCACTCGCTTCCGAGCCTGCAGTAGATGTGGCTCCGTTCAGGTCCGCCAGCCATGCATCAATCTGATCGGGGCTAGCGGGATCAGATAATGCAGTGTACGACGTGGATGAGGATTCAAGGGATGAAGTAGCATCTTCTGCTAGATATGAACAATCGCGGTTCGCCTTAAGGCAGCGCGAACACTGTGGTTTTGCTCTGTCACAGCGAACTTTCGCCTTTCGACACGCCTCGCAGGTTTGCACCGTCCGTGTTCTTGCCATTGCCCAGTCAAGAGGCAAGCAAGGCAACAGGGAAAAATAATGTCGAAGCCCCGTTTTTGCCCAGGAGAGATAGGCTGAGAGAAGCAAGTGATGGTATCTATGTTTCTTCTGGATGCGTGGCCAAATTATATATATTCGGCCGAGCTGAAGTCGGCGTTGATGGGCGCGCCTTTGCTGCAAAATCCGAGACTCTGCGTGGGGGCTTCTCCACAAGGTTGATCTGATAATTCGAGCAGCCCGAAGGGAATCAGAAGAAGGGCCTGGCCTGTGGAAGCCTGCTCACAAACTCGTATCAGCAAGCAGAGCTAAGGGAAAAACGAGTCAACTTGTAGGGCGAAGTCGGTTTTTCATTCTGTTATTTATAGTTAAAATTGGAGGCTGACGATCTTATCTGATTGATAATCTTATCTCCGTCAATCAGATAACTCGGTTATATGGGGCTTTCTACACGCAGTGCGTTATAAGCCCATCAGCAGTACGGAGGACGATAAACGAAGAGGACAGGGAACAAGTAAAGAAGGACCTCATCGTCAACGCTCTACCTTGTGGTTTTGCCTTGCTTTGCCGTTAGATATGATGAGAGGAGTGAGGCAGATTTATATTAGGGGGCACACGCAGATTGATTTAATATACATCTCTATAAAGATAAATATTGAGCTTTTCTAATTAACAATATTCCTCTATCCAAGCTGTCATCTCTCCAATCGTTGGGCACTCCAGGAAGAGCGAGCTCTTAATCTCCACCCCTAACTCAGCACGGAATTTTTCCGACAGTACAAGGGACATTAGTGAGTCGACACCCAGCTGCACAAAGCTGGCGTCTCCAGTCAGCGCTTCCACCTCCAGTCCTGTCTCGCGTGCCATCAGTCGTAAACACTGCGATACCATGTTGTCCATGGGGTCGGCCCTCTCCGATTCAGGCGGCGTCGCAATAGGAGACTCCTTGGGGGTTGAGCTCTCAGAGGATGGTGCCAGTGGTGGCGTAGACTCTGGGGTCTTGTAGGCTATGGCACTGTTTACAATGGGGTTTGAGGTAGCAATTGCTGGCGCGGGGGTTGGGACCGCAGGCGTGGTCGGGATGACATTGTGGCCTTTGGCGGTTGCAGCTGCAACAGGCGGAGCAGGTCCAGCAACTGAGGTTGTAGTGGGAGGCGAGAAGAATCGATCCATTAGCAGCCGGGGAACGCGACGGAAGCGAATCATGCCCACCATACCAACGATCTCTTCTCCCTGGAGAATGTAAACGTCACCGCCATGCATGTTCGGGTCCTCTGGCAGAGGGAACATGCGCACATAACTGCGATATCGAACCCCGGGCTCCAGCTTGTTCAGCAGGCGGAAGCTGTCGCATCCCGGCGTAACGAAGAAATAGTCCCGGGTATTGGATGCATCGCTACCGTTCATAACTAGACCTGCCAGGTGAGAGACGCTATCGATCCAATGCGGCGGCGTATGCCAAGTGCCATGGCGTTCTGGGACGAGTGTCACTTCGGCCATAGCCTCGAGCTCATCCAACACAACCGAGTCCATGCCACGGTATCGATCGGCATAATCGACTACGTTCTTGAAAAGAGCATAAGCCAGGGGCTTGGAGAGTCGGCTGGCTTTGCCTTCAGCAGCTCGTTGTTCCAATGCTTCGATGCGTCCTCGGACCAGATGCGTCAGCCTGGCCCACTCCTTCTTCCAGGCAACTGGGTCCTCGAAGCGAACCGTTGCTGTGGCGAAAGATTCAGCTGCACACTCACCGGTCTCCCCGTCAGCATTGAACCATGCGAGAGACATGGAGTTGGTAGATAGATCGAGGTGCGCCTGCAGCACCAATGGCTGAACGCTTCCCTTGGTCTTGCCGGCGACTTGCGCATGCAAAACCTCGACGTCCGCAAGGTTCATATGGACGTCCTTGACATTGGGCACCAATCGACGATAGAGATATTCACCCACAGTGAAAGCCATGTCAGACCAAATAGACTACAAAATGGGTTAGCTGATGTTTTATTCTTGGTATTGAGAGAGAAGGAAAAGACTTACAGATGTAGCAACTCCACATTTGTTCATTGTATGTCCATGTATGGCTTCAAGAAAGTCGGGATGCTGCATATCGGATATCGTGTGGAGCGTGGCGGTGGTGGCCTCAACTGTTTCTGCAGTGATCTGGTGTACCAAGGACGTTCGCAGCGCCGATGGTCGCGACATGGAAAGAGAAAATGGTGTTGGCTTGGTCCCATGCTTGAGGTGAGCCTTGTCCAAAGTCCACGTCCCAATGTACGGAATCCAGTAGTCTGTTTCATTCCACCGGTACTTTGGCAGATGCAACAACGAGTACTCACACTCGCGCGGCCTGAAGAATTCCGCCCAGAAAGGCGTCAGGCCCGCGAGATGGAGGGTCACAAGGCTCTTGGATATGGTTGCTATGCTGTCTTCGTTACGCCGGCAGGAAGAGACAACGGACGCTGAAGGGATCATACCACGCACAAGCCCTGCACATATTGGGTGCGGCCCAACATCGACCCAGATGGTCTTGGTGTCTACTAGGCCCATATCCTGGGCCGCTTCAATAGCTGCCGCAAAATCAACGGTTTCCCTCGTGGCACGGCGTAAGTAGTTTGCGTTGAAGGACTTCACGTCGAAGACGGCAGTGGCCAGTAAAGGTGACAGCACTGGAATGCTTGGGGCTTTGAATGGGACCGGCATTGCCAGAGCCTCTAGACCATCCAGGATAGAGTCCATCTGTGCTGTATGGAACGCATATGGGACATCTAGGAGCGTGCATTTGATGCTCTTTGCCTCAAGAGCCATGCGGATGTTGTTGATCTCGTCCTTAAGACCGCCAATCACAGTATCCTGGTAAGTATTGCAGCATGAAACTTCGTATGCAATGGCAGCCGTCTCAGGCTCGCTGGCAAGCATCTCCTGGATAGCATCTTCTGATGCTCGAACTGAGAGCATCGAGTGGCTACCCGGGGTGCATCGTTCCTCAACCAGCTGCGCACGCCGACCAACGAGGTAGAGGGCGTCGGCAGCCGAGATAACGCCAGCAACCGCAAGCGCAGCGTATTCACCCAGACTATGTCCGATGACAGCGCTAATGCTCACGCCTAGCAAGGACCAGAACCGTGCTAGGGCGATTTCAAGTATCACAACACTAAGTTGCGTTAAGATTGGCGACGCTGGACTATCCTCGATGCTGCCATCAATTACGGGCACGACAGATGGGAAACCGAGTCGCTGCGCCAGTCGATCGAGCTGCTGCACTTGCGCACGGAAGTAAGGAAACTCAATGAAGAGCTCCCTTCCCATGCCACTATAATAGGCACCTTGGCCAGTAAAGGCGAGCACCACTGAGGGAGCCTCGTTCGGGATCGGGCGCATTTCGGAAGCGAAATTAGGGTTACAAAGCTGGGATCGTAATGCTTTCTGAAGCGCTGGAATGCAGGAAACGGCAGTGCCAAAACGCATGCTGTGGTGCATCCGACGGGAAGATGTTGTGTAGGCCAGGTCCGCCAGGCTCGTCTCCGGATGTTGATCCAAGTACGACAAGAGACTCTCCATGTTAGCCTGCAGAGATTTCTTGCTCTTTGCAGATATGAGCACTGGATGAGTGATGCGGTCTTCTGTGCTCTGGGCCTTCACTCGCTCCGGTGCGTCTTCCAGCAACAAGGTAGTGTTTCCCCCGTGTGCCCCAAATGAGTTGACCACAGCAAGGCGCTTCTTGCCTGCAGGACGTGGCCATGGCGTGTTCTCCATGGCAAGCCCAACATTTCGCCGCTCGAGGTCCTTAGGGATGGTTGGGTTGATCTCACTCTTGATACCGATGTGCATGGGAATCATATTTTTCTGGTACACAAGCAAGGCCTTGAGAAGCGATGCGATACCTGCTGCAGCTTCACCATGTCCGATGTTACTTTTCACTGCCCCTAGATAGAGGCGCTGATCAGGTCGGCGACGGGGCGTTACTGGTGCGAAGACATCAGATACGGACTCAGACTCGACTGCGTCTCCAGCCTGAGTTCCCGTACCGTGGAGCTCGATATAGCTAACATCAACCGGGTTAACGCCAGCTTGGTGTAGCACTTGTCGGTAGTTGGCCCTTTGCGCCCCAGCGTGCGGGTGAGTAATCGAGATAGCTTCTGCTGAATGATTTGTGCGAGCACCGAGGACCACAGCCAGGATATTATCATTGTCAGCTTCCGCATCCTCCAATCGTTTGATGACAACGGACCCAATACCGTCAGCACGACAGTACCCGTCTGCATCCTTGTCCCAGACCTTGCACTGTCCCGTCTTGGAGAGAAAGTGGGCATTCCCGAGGCCACAGTAGTTGTCTGGATCAGTTATCACATTAAGGCCGCCAGCGATGACGGTATCAGCCTCGCCGGCCCACAGCGCCGAGCAGGCGGCCTGCACGGCGGCAAGCCCACTAGAGCAGGCTGTATCAAGATTGAATGACGGGCCAGAGAACTTGAAGAAGTAATTAATACGACCATTGGCAAAGGCACGCTCGCCACCGGGAACCGCATATGTGCTGATATTCTGTGACGCATTTAGTTCTCTCCAGTCATCACTAGCCTGGCCGTAGAATGTGCCGATGCGGCTAGGGTGTGTTGAAGGGGTACGACCAGGAACAACACCAGCCATTTCCATAGCTTCGTAAGCTGTGACCAGAGCAAGTCTCTGCATTGGGTCTGTTTGCTCGGCCTGGTTCAGTCAGCATCAGTGAATTAAGGATTATCTATGTGAGGGATGTTAACATACCTCTCTTGGAGACATGTTAAAGAAACCTGCATCAAAATAGCCTGGGCGGTCAATAAAGTTGCCAAATGGAGTCTGGGTTGCATTTTCTGTTTTTCCAGTGGGATCATAATGGGTGTTTAGGTCAAATCGATCTGGGGGCACCGTAGTGTGAGTATCTCGGCCTTCTTCCAGCAATTTCCAAAAGAGGTCGAGATCATTAGCACCACCAGGCAGTCGACATGCCATGCCCACAATAGCAAGTTTCGAAGAGGCGTGCGAGTGAGGCCGACGGGGACCAAAGTCTTTATGAACCCAGCATACCAGGTCGCGACGGATGAGTTGCTGCTGCTCTTTGGTAAATTTGGCCTCAACGGTGGAGTAAATGCCCCGAAGGACGAGTGAGGTACGGAAGGAGTCAATCTGGCATTTCCCCGACGTTTCTGAATCTAGCTGGAAATGCTCAACAATGCCCGCAGTGACATTGTCGAGATAAATAGTGCCAGTCAGTAGCTCAGTACCAATTTCAAGGAAGAGCTCCCTGGCTGTCCTAGCGGCGAACGGTTTGCCGGTTTGAGAGGAGAGTAAGGCTAATCGTACAGAACGGTTGGGCTGGATGACACTCTCAGCGCTATTGATGACGGCATCTATATCATTCTGTGTGTATAGATGCGATGCATGGCAGAGACCATCATACACAGGCAGTGGGAGCGACTTGGAGTAGCGCAAGGCAGGAGAGTGCTGGAAGGCCGCCTTGATGCGGGATGGCGGTCCGCTCACACTGACGGATGTCTTGTCTGCAGCACTGACGAAGACCTTGGTCAGTTCAGGGCTTTGCGTGTCCGCATTGAACTGATCGAGCTCATCCTGGACGCCCGCCTGTGTCGTCTCTGTGACGACGTGAGCCCAGCTGCTTAGAGTGCCATCTGGCTGCGGTGATTCGAGCTTTGTTGAGATATCGGCGACGTATACTCCTAGCCGGAAGGAAACACGCACGCCTTCTGCTCCATTTTTGGCGACATCTGCTAAGCTGCTAGATAAAGCAACAGCAGCAGCAGCTAAGATACCGATACTGAGACCGGCGAGGACAGTTCGCGATGGAACCAGGTCCCATTCCGCATCCTCGGCTTCATAATGGCTATTATAGAATGTTAACTTCTAAACCGGTCTATAAGGACAGAGACATACCCAATGAACATGCCCAATTCTAGGATAGTCAGCATAGAGCTCTCCATGGCAGCACCCAGGGGCCCCTGGCGAAAGTCGACATTGGCGAGAGCCAGGACAGAGTCAAAGGGCGGCACCAACTCCTTGAGCGGCCGAGGGAGTTTCGCTACCTCATCTTTCAATATCGCTGTCGACTCCTCCAAGAATATGGACAGCAGCTTGAATCGCCTGTCTTTGCTTTGTTGATGTAGCCGGCGGAAGAGGTCTTTCAAGTCATCGCTGGGGAACTCATTGCTGAAGAAGACCACCCGTGGGAAAGTTGGATCCATGATACTGTCGTATAGTTGTAGTTACAATGTTTGTTGTTTGAAATGCAGAAACGTCACACGGTTAACTGGGCTCTTCTCGACGAACCATGGGAAAACCAGAGCAGACGGCCGAGTTGATGAAGACTTCAAAAGACTTGGCTATAAACATGTGTATAAAACCCGAATGGTATAAAATCCGAGGGACGAACTCGATGGCTGCTTTGCACAAAGACCGACGGAGGCAGTGCCGGATGCAAAATCCGAGAGAAACTGTCTGATACCACCAGCAAAAGGCGAAGAAGTTTCATATAAAGATTAGTACCCCAGAAGAAGCGAGTCAGAATGGTTCATTCTTGACAATCATCTCTGAACATCGTTTGCCAAACTCGCCAATTTCGCCATCACCATGTCTTCCCTACCTATGTTTGACTCCGTCTCCCGTTTCCTTCCAACTGCAAATGAGGATGAGCAGTTTTGGTGGAAGCTGACTGGTCGGCATATGGCTCGCATGATGCATGAGGCGGGTTACCCAGAGGACCGTCAGGTCGAATGCCTCCTCTTCCATCGCTTCAAAGTCGTTCCCTGCCTGGGCCCTCGACCACACTCCGACAAACCTTGGTACAAGAGCCGTGTGGGTGGAGGAGCAGCAGACGGCTGTCCTATCAACTACAGTTGGCGGTTTGGCACTTCCGACAGAAAGCCTCATATCCGCAACTTTATCGAACCCCTTGGAGCTCTGACAAACACTCCAGCCGACCCACTCAACGAGGTAGCCACGAAAGCGCTCCTACGAGATTATAGCATGACGCTGCCCAATGTCGACTTGGAGCTATTCTGGACCTTTGCGCCTCACTACCGGCCGCGTATCATCGAAAAGGCGGACATGGAAAAGCTTGCCGGTGCCTCGTTGCTTGTGGGTGCAGAAATGTCGCCAGATTCTCGTAACATCGATATCAAGGCATACATGTATCCTCGAGTCCCGTCCCAGACCAGCCAGCTCCTCACCACGATCCTACCCCAGGCCATGCGCGACGCTTACGGCGAGGACGTGTGTCTCGACAGCCTCAATCTTGTCCGCGACTTCATGACAAACGACCCAGAGGGAAGCCAGCTTACTCTGACTGGTACAACGGGGATCGATTGCTGCAAACTCCAGGATACACGCGTGAAAATCTACGTGATCACCCGTAACACCTCCTTCGACCACATCGCCGCCATCATGACACTGGGCGGCCGACGGCCAATCTCAGAGGAGCTCCTTAACCAGCTAAGGGCACTCTGGTTCGAGCTCAAGGGAGCCCCAGCAGACTTCACCTCGTCTGAGCAGCTACCAGCTCAGACCAAGCCAGATGGTACCAAAAATCCCATCGTCGTCCCATTCTACTTTGATATCCAGCCCCGGCTTGCGTTACCAGACGTGAAGGCATACGTCGACGTGAGCACCAGCCCCGTGAGTGATCTAGCGGCCGCTGAAGCAGTGGTTCGTCACTTGGAGCGCCATGGCAGCGGACAGAATCCGAAGGCCTACATGAACGTGTTGCAGGATATCACCCCAGTTGAAGAGCTGGAGACGCGAAAAGGCGCGCTGGCGTTTTACTCTATAGCTGTCAAGAAGAATGAGCTAGATATCACCTCATACTTTAACCCGCAGGTGTATAAGCGCTACTTCGCTCATGAAGTGCAGCTCAATGGACAGCGAAGAAGTGCATTTGAGTAGATGTATTGTCTGGGTTGTTGTATTTTTGTTTCAATCAATTTTAAGTTTCGGTCTATAACCCCAATATCATGAAATCTATATTCATAATCTTCATCACCAGTTAAGGCAAACTTGCAAAGAAGTTCTATCGAACGTTTGTCGTTGTATCTAGCTGCTCACGTGATTGATAGTATGTTTATTAATAAGCATAACTAAGGTTTTTGGCTCAGCTTATTTTTAGAAATGTCTATTTTTAGAATATTGTCTTTATCTTCAACTTCATCTCCAGTATAACAAACAGCAAAACAATCGAGCCGGTTACTGGAAAATGAGGGGCGGTCCGCCGGTAGTTCGGGTCTTCACTCGGGCCGTCAACATGATGACGTCCCCTCCGTATTTATCAAACGAGCCAAGACACTCCATAAAAGCCGCTGCTAAACCCCGACATCAAGTACGTCTCGTGTCTTCCGTGTATCTCGGTTTTTGGAACCCTATTGAGTAATCGTTCAGATCGCAGACATCCATATTATTACCATGTCAACGTGATAATCGCTCGAATATGGCTCAAACAATTCATCACACAAGCTATCGACAATGGCGAAGCCCCAAGCAACGGTCCTGATTATCGGCGCGGGCATCTCTGGCCTCACAACTTCCCGCCTCCTCACAAACAGCGGCATTCCCAACATCGTCTTCGAGGCATCGACACCGGACCGCAGCCAAGGATTCGCCATCAGTCTCCAGGAATTTGGATACTCCGCGCTCCTCTCTGCCCTGGGTGATCTTCCTCTGAGTAGCTTGATTAGGGGCGTCGCGCCAGACCGGGAAATTGGTGGCACTGGCTGGATTGACCAGGCATTGAGGGACAATTGCACGGGGGAATTGTTAGTTGCTCCAGACCTCACAACGGCGAAGCAGACGGTTGTGCGTGCGAATCGCAATGCATTGCGCCGTTGGATTGCGGATTGTGGGGAGGAGGAGCTCGATGTGCGGTATGGACATAAGCTGCAGAGCGTCGAGGGTACAGTGGGCGATATCACGGCTGTGTTTGAGAATAAGGCCAGGTACCGTGGGTCACTGGTTGTTGCTGCTGACGGCGTGAATTCTACTAGTATGTGATCTTTTTTTTTTTTGCAACAACCTGCTCTGTAGCTGTGGATGCTATATAACTAGATTGATAAGATGAGCTGACTATGAGCAGTCCGCTCCCAGGTTCTCCCCGGTGTGGTACCAGAGACAATTCCCTTAATCCACTATCATGGCGAGTTCCAGCTCTCTCGCACTGCCTTTGATGAGCTCATCCGGCCTCATAGTGGGCACTCCAACATTCTCGTTGGCGTTGGCGACGGGTTCAACACCCCACTCTCAATCTGCAATATGACCAAGACGCAAGTCCATCTTGACTGGTCGTACTCACGGACAGTGACTGGTGATGATGATCTGCTTTATCGCCCCAATCTCCCTTCTGAGGAAGCGAAGCAGATTCCCCCAGCGCTAGTCAAAGAGTTGGCCGCGTTAGCCCTAGCGGAGCCGTGGAAGCGCTTCTTGAATCCCGAGTCACTCAAGAGCCATCGGGTGTTTCATTGGACTACCAGGTGCGTGTACATGACGCAGGACGACGCTCGGCGCGCTGGTGAGCAAGGCGTGGTCTTCGTGGGTGATTCGTGGCATGCGATGCCAATTTTTGGCGGCGAGGGAGGGAATCATGCGCTTCTTGACGGTGTCGAACTGGCTGATGCCGTGGTTAAGGTTGTGGCCAGCCCTGGAAAGGATCATCTAAGCAAAGCTGTTGCAAGCTATTATGCTGGCGCGTGGAAACGATCCCAGGAGGCTGTTCGACGGTCAACCCAGCGCTTTTTCCTACTCCATCGACCGGCGGCGGAGTGGAAAGAAATTGCAGAGAAGAAGAAGAAGGCAGTATAGCATTTCGGTTAATATAGTCGTATGATATATATACTACCATGTCGTATACAGCCCCGACCTATAATTTTTTACTATAACTGAAATATAACTGAATAAACCAAGTCATGTATTTCCAACTATATTCCCCTAAGATTCATCTAGATTAACTTGATTAACTAGGATACCCACGCACCCTATTTCTCTTCCTCTGATCTAACGCAAACCATCTTCTCTTGAGCGGATCCCCCGGCTTAAATCCCACTCTTCGATCTTCGGCCAATTTCCACAATACCTGTAGCAATGATGGCGCCAAAGCCTTCTCAACCACCTCCTGCGGCACTCTTCCATACATAGCAATCACAATTTCATTCAGCGTCAATCCACCCTTGGTCTCTCCCACTCGTCCTCCTTCACCTTGAGCCTGTTCTCTCGTCAGCGTAGACAACATCATTCTCTCTCGCCCTTCCCTATGCTTCATATACTCCTCCAGCTTCTCGGGTAGGTTTCCAATCACCGCACCATGTGCTGGATACCCAATACCGCAGCCCAACGACGCCATATCCCCCAGGCTATGCATGTAACGCCCCAAGTCCTGGGCAACGCTGAACCCATGGCCTAGAACGTTATCCCCCGTGAAAAGGGCGTTCTCTTCCTCGAGTTGGAAGCACATATGATCTACTGAATGTCCAGGCGTGAAGACGGCGCGCACAGTCGCGCCATTCACGGAGAAAATTTGCCCATCTGTGATAGGATTTTGGCCTGCGTCCGGGCAGTTCTTGTATATTTTATCTGCGAGGGAGGGGCTGTGTGCGAGTAAGTCTGGGACGCCGCCAGTGTGATCACCGTGCCAATGGGTAAGTAGAACGTAGGAGAGTTCAAGGTTATGAGTACGAAGGAATGAGGAAATGCGACTGATCCAGACAGGGAGGCCCTTTTTGCTATGGATTAGCTGACTTGGAGCTCTCTGGAGCCGTAGAAAAGAGGCTTGCTTTACCTGTGCTGTGTCGATGAGTATACGGGACCTGCCTGTTCCAACGAGATAGGTATTTGTTCCCTGGAGATGCATGCTACCCGGGTTTCCGCCTAGGATACGGACAACGCGTTTGCTAACATGAGATATTTCTGGGAGAGTAGGCAGGCGGCCTTCACGGCCCATGAGGAACTCCTCCCAGAAAGACTGGTTGAACGGCATTCGACCGCCCATGGTTCGGTCACTCAAGGGTCGATCCATATTTCGAGATGCCACTCAGTAGAGAGAAAGTCTTGTATGTCGGGCGTGAGAAAGAAGTTTTGAGACTGAGCCCTTTGAAAACAATCTTTTAGGCGGCTGAACAATGCTAAAAGCCGAAAGTTATACATCAGTCAAAATCCGAGCCAATACGACCGTGGTCTTTCTTGAGCCCAAGAATCGATCTTGCTAACACCCAAGGGGAAAATGGTATTACCATTCTTTCTGATAAAGCTAGGCAGGCTATCTTTATCTCACATGGCATAATTAGTAGTGTAATGGTGGGATTGTATATAGATGGTGGATGGTTCGGCTTTTGCATGTTTATATTCTATATATAGTAACACATGGTACCTGCTTCGGAATTTAAGCAACGCCAAGCTTCGATAAGCATGTGATGACTAAGCCAGAACGTAGAGCTCTGCTTATATAATAGACAGGGCATTGCGGGACTAGCCGAAAGGGGCAGCCTTATACTTCAAGTTCCTTTTGAGTAGTTCGCTAGTTGCAAACCTGATAACATCTTGACGCACAAAGAGATTAATCCTTGGATCCCTGTGGCCCCTTTCATTGGTACGCAATCAACTTCAGCAGCCCAACCTTCAGTTCAAGTTTGAGTCCCATTACATATATATGTTGGAATGGTACTAACCAAGAAAGAAACTAGGACGTCTAAGATAGAATTAACGCTTTTCTAACAAATTATTCGACTCCAATATCTCACATATCATCTATTATGGACCCCCTGGCTTTTAGCAGGTTGGTGCTTCTCCTTTTCCTTCTTCTATCTTAACTCATTAGACTCCAGAGCGTAGTTCCATATCACTAATTGTGCTCGTCAAGAAAGGAACATGTCAGCTCCAATAGTTTCGTCATGGTGTAAGCTAGCCATCACCTCTTCCCACGCCCATGACTGGTCAGCATCAACTAAAGGTTCTTGCGCAGCAATCACCAGCTGGTTATCGAGTGAGTGCAATAACGGGTCCAGCTTCGGTAATGATGACGAAATTGGGGCCACCCCAGCTACTAATGCCAAATCTGGTCCGGGATGTGAAAGCTCTGTTGCTGGCCAGGGCCAGTTGCTTAATAGATCACCACTTGACGTGATGCTAGATTGCGAAGGAGGCGTATGCGGTACTGACAACGTGGTTGCTATGCTCGTAATGCCAAAGGTCGGACTTGCGGTTATGGCACTCGTGCCTAAGGTTAGCGACAACTTTTCCCTTATACGACACATCATTCTCTCCAACGTGGTGCTGATGGCCTTGCTAGACCCTGAGACAGCAGCCTCGTGTTGCTGAAAAGCGGCCTCCACAATGGGCCACGCGCGCTGCATCAAAGCTCTATCCTGGCAGACATAGCACTCTGATATGGCGATGGCGAGTGCCCGCCATGGAACCGTAACGAACCAGCGGAACCCTTCGCCACGGGGATCGGTGTGCACGAGCTGCACTTTCTCAAGAACATTTAACGCCAGTGAAAGGGGCCCCGCGCTTTCATTTGTGCCTGTTAATGGTATCATACAGCTAGTGCTACCGCCGCGTGGGTGCCTAAGCGGACGGACAGCTGAAAGTCTTGCACCAGAGACGAAGCACTGGATACGATGCCATGTGAACCAGGCATACGGTGTAGATTCAGGATCGCAATAAAATAAAAGACGGAGCGTCCTCTGCTCAAATTGTTGGACGTGCTGCTGCCGGGTTTCGTAGTCTCCAACTGATGGTTCGAAATTGAGGAGCCGGCCCGCAACCTGTACGTGGTACGACACCATGGAAAATGTGGTGTCTGTCAGCCCTTCCCGGTCAGGGATGTCGTGGGAAGTTGTCAGGCTAAAGTCAGAATCATTAATGTGCCTGGGTGGAGAGAACGATGCTGTGGCCTCTACTACGCTAATTAGAGGCTCGGAAGGTTGGCTTAAAGAGGTCTGAAAATCCAGCAAACAGATAGTCAACCAAAGCCGCTTCCGCATCTGCTGGCCGAAGAAAGTCTCATCTGCGCCTCCAGGTAAGTCGAGCGCTTTGGCGATTCGCACCGCAAATGCCATTAACGTCCATACGGCACGACTTGGGTCCTCTGACCTCCTGGCAACCTGTTTTGGGAAATTAGAATATTCTGTTCGGTTGCTTTGTGTTGGGTTTGGTTGGAAAACTCACAAGATACAATACAAACGCTTGGAGGGTGGTAACTTCAGGAGATACCAGCGGACTACTCTTCTCTAATGCTGCCTCACATGCTCTTCTCGCGCGGGCAACAATACTGGACTTGGTTGCGTGAAAACGTGCCCAACTTTGTGTCTCCGTTAAACTGGTGGCTGCTACGTAGCAGATGGCTGAGCCCAGGGACTCGACTGCAGCATGGCGTTCAGGGAATCCTAGGTATCGTTCTCCCTGTAACATCCATCTTTCTACAGACGGCCGATGTAGAATTTTGATAACCGGGTCTACGTTCAGTAGATACACCTGGCACAGTTGCGTCGTTGTCTCTTTGTCCTCGATGATAGAGGCCCATCCAATTTCCAGGTTGGATGGTCCGCTGAGACCCAGCACTCTTAACCCGCCATCACCCAGGGGCATTCTTGACGAGTCTGGCGTCGGTGCGCTGGCATCTTCAGTTTCATTTGAAATTGATTCAATGGCATCCCGAGATTCCTGGTCCTTATTTTTTTTTTAATCAGCCCTCTTCTAGCTTATGACTGTTGTGGCCCATGGCTCACCTGGTTCGAGCTTTGGCTAGCAGATGAACGCATACTGTCCACCAGAGCCTCCAACCTGCGAATTCGTTTCTTGAGGTCTTCATCGGCCGCCGTGCCAGCACCAGGAGAAATATCGATCCGTATCGACGCTTCGGGGTCCTCTGGCGAGATCCTCCGCAAGCGTCGAGCATGGGCACCTCGGGGCAATCGTGGCCGGCGCACAGGAACACAAACCACGCCCGCAGACGCACAGTTAGTGCAGGGATCGAGCTTATCACACTTAACTTTACGCTCACGGCAGAGCTCACAACTGAGATGGGCATTTTGCTGGCGTTTCTTTTGGTTTCGTTTCTCCATGTCCGGTTCTGTGCTGAATAGCCGTGCTCGTAGTTTTGAGCCTTTCGACACCGGACTACCTTAGCTATATAAACACAGAAAACCAAGACGCATTTGACATCTTCCGGTATATTTGGCACGCGGGCTGCTGAGCCTCAGCCGAGACGAGAGTACTCCGTGTTGAGCCCATTTGGTCTCGCCTTTCAGCAACACGAGCAAACACGAGGAGGCCTTTGCAATGCAACTCTATCTCTTTCGGAATATATATATATTATATATATAGAAATATACTCCATACAACGTTTGGCACCGTCAGGCACCTGCTAAGTGGGTATAAACCCGGGTTCGATGGCTGACCTATAGCGGAAACTGGTTTATCTGGACGTTGCTTCAAATCACTCTGTGTCCGGGCAGTTTGCCAACGGAAAAGCCACCAGTGAGCAAGAGAGACGAGTCTGACACGGACGACGTCATTTGGTGTTAGCAAGATGCACCGGCTTCTGGTTTCTTATTTGCTGGTATGGGCGTCAGCAAGAGGTAATCCTCGCATTGCTAACTCCAATACGAGAATAAACTAGTTGAAGAAGAATTGCATACTTTTGTGTTTCCCACTCTTGTTGACTGCCGCCTTGTCTCCTTATCAATATCTTACAGAGTTAACCATCCAGCCTAGAGATGCGCTACAAACCTTCGTGGCTGTGCCCTAGCATCACCCTGTCCGCGTTATGCTTTTTGCTAAGAATGATCTTCCGTCCTATCCTGTGTGCAGATCCAGATCATACGTGACACCTGTTGATAAATAGTTACAGTTCTTTCGTCAACCAGAGCTGAGGGCAACTCGGGATGCAACCTCCTCGCTTGAGGTCTCCGGGATAGCCCTGCAAGCTCCTGATTCACCTATGTGGGTTCCCAAGTGCTGACTATATATGGATCCTCATCAAGCATAAATCTTGGATGTGTCCCATGTACGAGAAAAGCTTAGTACTAAGTGCAGCAGAATGGGTCAAATACGAGCAGGTAGCAGGCTGATATGTAGCTGGATAATAAATGCCCGGCGAATAAAGAGGCAATTACCTTGGAGGTGTGTTGGCATAAAGCTTATAGTTTAAAGGAAATACATTGGTGAGCTTATATATCGTCAATGAACAAAGCGAATATGTTAATTTTGGTGCGAGAGCCAGCGATCTGCTTAGGCTTCTGATTTAAATACAACATTTGACATATAAACAACAGTTATATACGATAATCTATATACTCCAGCCTGTGTAAATCCATGGACAACAGCTCAACATCCCGCGATAAGAGTGATAGTAACCAGCACGATAGTAACCAGCCCACAAAGCAGGCTGCTGGGCGCCAGCATCGCCACGCCCATCGACGACGGCGCCTTCTCGCCGATCTTAGCAACCATGCGATCCCCGATAGGAGCGAGTGATTCCTCAAAGGTGCTAAAGTTGTCTGCCTTCCAGTCTGCGCCGTTGACGCCCGGTTTGGCATCTTCGCCCTCGAAGGCGACGAAGAGGACATCGTGGGCTTCATGGCCGTTGTTGCCAGTTAGGTGGTTTTCGGGGAAACAGGCCTGGGCGAGAGAGATGGATACTTCGCCTGTGTCGGTGTTGCCGTTTGTATCGCCCCATATGCCGTAGAACTATGTGGATGTTAGATATATATATAGATAGAAAGATAGCGGACAACACACCAGTCTGTTGTTGCAGACGACGGCAATGACGCTGAGGGGCTCTATGCCTGAGTCTGAGGGGAGATAAGATGGCTTCTTGCCCTCGTTGCCGAAGACGACGTAACTATGCAGGTTCGAGTCGAGGTCGTCGATGCCGTAGCTTGCCAGCTCGTCCTTGAACGTCGTCTGACCTTGACCCGTCAAATCGTTGGCGCAGTCTCCCTTCGACCTGTTGGCGCCGTCGCAGTCGACGTCTGCGTCTCCCAGGCGGCCCATAGGGCTGGGGGGACCGCTCAGGTAGACGACACCCTTATAGTCGCCGCAGTACATGAATCCGCCTGGCACCGTTAGAGAGGTTCAGCACATCTCGAGGAGGACAGCTTACTGCGTCCATGGCCGTCCTTGAAGCGGTTGCTGCTAAGAGGCTTGTCGCACTGGTTGTTCTACCGCATTGTTAGCATGCGCTCTATACGGGGATGTAAGCGGGAGATACCTTTGCATAGTCGTAGAGAGCCATGAGATTGTCGGGGACGGGGCGGCCAGCTGCAGAGGCGAGGCTCGCCAGGCCGCAGAGGGCGACGCAGAGGACGGTCTGGAGAGACATGTCGCTGTCTGTCACTGTTGACGGCGAAAGCTGAAGAAGGGCGAGGGCTTTTAAAGGCGCCTGGCTTGGCGTCGCTTAAGTTCAGGGGCAGTCGAGTTTAATATAGAGCAAGACGTTACAGATAAAAGGCTTAAGGCGCCTCATCTGAGTCGCACCAGACATAAGCCGTGGAGAGTCTCCTCTCATGAGCTTACGTGGCAATGGGTTAGAGATATATCCTGGAGTATTCAGCTAGGGTGCACTCCGTAGAAGGATGTACTCGCTGGGCAAACAAGCATCTCCAACCGCTAGCTAAGCCCCCGACCAAGATGCCTGAGATGCACATGAGCCTCGGCCGCCCTGCGCGGCGGTGGGGACGGAAGATGCGCCATCCTCGCGTCTAGATCGTAGATCGTATGGCAGTTGGATGCCGGGGTTGTTCGTCTTGTTATGTTTTATCCCTCTGTCGATAACTAGAGTCTAGAAGGCATCCTGGCATGGCTCAGCCGGCAGGGAGTAGACAAGTGTCGGGGTATATACTATGTTCCCTGTCTATCTTCCTGGTGAAATATATGCTGCCCTGATCAGCTTCAGCGGACGTTGACCCTTTGTCTACCTCAAGATATAAGGATCCAACTTCTCCCCATGAGTTGGGGCTAGAATCCAGATCAATCAACACCCCAAGTAGGCCTCCGCCCAACTTCCTTTACCTTGTTGATCAGAGGATCCAACATACACCAGGCCTTTTCACCATGGGAGGGTTTATATGGAGGCTGGGGTCGATCTTATCTGATTGATAATCTTATCTTCGTTGATCAGATAACTTGCGCAAGCAGCAAGACGATATAAATGTAGGAGAAGCGGGAGACACATTCTCATCTTCCGTGTACCGACGTGATGCAGTTATATTGTCTTGTACGAGTTATATGCGATTATGATGTACTTGAGCAGTCCTACATCCATATTACTTTGATAACTCAAGTAAACTTATATTTCTAAGCAATAGTTACACTCTATCTCTCGAGCCTAGTGAAACATCGCCAGTGGCTCACGGAGACAGTCGTTCAACATTCCATCTGAAAGTCTTCTCGTTCCCATCCACTTCATCTGCTCCATGCTGCCTCACATACCTAAATCGATCATGTAATCTACTCTTCCTCCCCTGCCAGAATTCCACCGACTCCGGTACTAGACGAACTCCACCCCAGAACGGCGGCAAGGGAATCTCCTTGACGTCCGCAAACCGGGCTTCCATCTCCTTCACTCGATCCTCCAGAACGGAACGCCCATCGTCTCCTCCTTCCACAGCGCCCTCATCTTCATTCGACCACAGCCGCTTACTCTGCTGACTAGCCCAGGCACCAATCTGGCTCCCCCTCTCCCTCACGCGCCAGTAGGTCTCGCTCTCTTCCCTGGAAAGCGGCTCGATTAACCCTTCAATCCTAACCTGCCGTTCGACACTCTGCCAATGGAACGTCAATGCTGCCCACTTGTTCCCTTCGTTTACTTGAGGTTCAGATCCATCGAACAGAGGCATAGTTTCGCCGTCTCTGTCTCTATCGTTGCCAAAGACCTGTCCGCCTTTGCCCGCTCGACTGCCCCAGTTACTGTAGATCACCCACCCCCGCTCGTCGAGTTCCTTCAGATACACGATACGCGCACTCGGACGGCCAGCGGGCATGCTGACCGTAGCCAACGTACAAGTCTCTGGTGCACAGGAGGCGGGCACTTTTGCATTTTTGAACCAGGTGTGGAACTGGTGTAGTGGGTTAGGATGCAGATGGGAGTATAGTAGAGGTGGGTTGGTGCCGAACTGGTGTGCGCGAGACGCATGTGAGACAGCCGCCGCATTCGCGACTGGGGTAGACGTGCCGGAGGAGATTGGTTCGTCTAATGATGCCAGCAGGTGCCTGGGGAGAGGAGTCGCGGTTAAGTCTTCCGGCATGATGGCCAGCTTCTGAGCCGGGCCAGCACTCTCTGGTGGAGGAGCGGCAATGTCACCCGGCGCAACTATCGATCATCAGATACGTGTGCTAAGATACGTGTGCTACTGGTAAATAAAGGAGGATGTAGTATACATACATATCAATCTCTTTGGGTGTCGGTGATACTGCGCGGCAGAGGCCGGTTCGCCTTCACTCGCTGGATTCGGCGCCATCCTATCAACAAGTGACAGCGGAGAGTGAATTGGTCGAGTTGAACTGTATAGTTGTTGGATGGTGTATCTCCCTCGAGGGGAAGCAGGGCGCATACGTTGTACCTGACCGTCTGCTCCCTTTTTCCTGGTTTTGGCTGCTTGGATGTCTCTCACCCCGCGTCAACGAACAGATGGAGGGGTTGACTGGCCCAGTGGGCAGATATCCGTCCGGCAGTGTAAAACGACGCAATAATGGTAAATCCTTTCTGAGCAAGTAGAAGGAAGAGACGAAAAAGCTGGAGGAAGACAAGAAGTTCTCCTGGATTCTTATTTTCTTCTGGTCTCACGCCACGGGATGATGTAAAGGCTTCGGCGATTCTCGGCGATACTACTTATCATAATATCTTACAAAGAGAGGATGTATTATTATACAATGTTTTTTGATATTTTTCTCTCGAGATCTATAGAGTAGGGAGTTGTCTATTAATTCAAGCCCAAGAGACCAAATTCTCCTGGACCAGCCAAAAAAAAGGCACAACTATCAAAATCAACCCCAGCTGCGGCCTGCGCTCAAATAACGCCGCACTTTTTGTATATCAAAAGAGAAGAAAAGCAAGAGAAAAACACCATCCACACCAGGCCCTCGGTTGTGCAATTCGCATTCCAGGTTCCCTCCCTTCCCACTATTCAAAAGAGCCAAATGAATCAAATATCAAGCTCAGTGTCAAACAAATGTAAATGTGACCGAGACCAATCGCTTGGAAACGCCGTCTCGATGATGTGGGAAGACCAGCCCAACTAGCCTTATTAGATTAAATCAAATCTTCTCGAACTTCTTTAGCCGAGGGATGGTAGGAAAGTAATCAAAGCAAGGAAATAACGTTAAATGATCCCGAAACGCCGGCCGCTGTGTATGGTACAGGGAAATGCATGAATCAATAAACAATAAATGGTAATAAAAGGTATATATCTTTTTTTTTGTAAAGAAAAATGAGTAAATGGGAATGAAATGTTCATGTCGAGCGAGGGATATTGCACCCCCGGCACGGCGTTTTTTTCTGGTAGTTTCTTTCTTTTCAGGTTTCAAAGCGAAAGGGTGATAGTATGTGGATGCGTTTATGGGGTATATGTTTCGTTGCATCACACAAGGCTGGTTTAGATGGATTGTGCCTATGCTGACTGTCCACCATTGACCAAATCCAACACCTTCCCGGTGACTGCGGAAGGATAGCCGCGAGACATCATCTCACGCACCACGCTATCAGCGCCGGCATGATCTTCGGCAGCCAAGAATGCCCTTGTCATAGCCTCGTATGTGCTTGGCTCACGTTTTTCAATTCCCACGCCATCGTACACAGCTTTGGCATTGCGGACGTTGCCTACCGCAGCCCACCCGTGAATGAGGGTGTTTGCAATGTAGGCAGTCATAGCAACCTTGTTGGCAGCCATGTCAGCTAGCATGGCAGGAGTATCGGAGACTTGATGGTTAGCCACCATTGACTCGAACAGGGCCTGGTAAAGACATGCTTGTGGGCGAAGGTGAGGTTGGGCGAGGGCAGAATCGAAGGCTTCCCGGGCCCCGGCCATGTCGTGAAGGACGCATCCCCGAGCATGGATGAGGGAAGCGTAGTGCACGGCTTCAGGAAGCTGACCGGAAGCACGGATGGAATCCAGAACCTCGGTGGCAGCAGCCATGTTGACGGGCTCGAGCGAAGCATAGGCATCGATAAGAAGCTTGTAGGTGTGCATTGTGGGCTGGATGTCCTTGGATTTCATGCGCTCGTAGTATGCTAGCACCTTGGAGCGGTCACGCTTGGTGTTGAGGAAGTACTGGATGATGGAGTTGTAAGGGGCTGGGCGAGGCTTATAATTTGGCATTGACTCCATTTCATCGAACATTTCTTCAGCAAAACGTTCGTCACTTACACGGCATAGTGCATTGACAATAGTTCCATAAGTGACGCTGGTGGGTCGAACGTTATTTGCACGCATCTCGGCGAAGTAGAGCAAGCAGTCATCAATGCGGCGAGCTTTTCCTAATTTGCCAATGAGGGCATTGTAAAGGAATGAGGTTGGCTCAACCCCCTCAGAGGTAGCGCGATGGAATATCTTCACCGCCTCGGTGGCCTCATCGAATGTCTTAGTCGACTCCTTGAGAGTTGTGATGTAAAGACCAAAAGTGTTGGCAGATGGAGCAGAACCCATGTTCAAGAGTTCCTGGTGGTACTTGGCAGCCAGGTTACGCTCACCAGTGGTGAGGCAGGCAGCAACCATGGCATCCAGGATAGAGGTCCAGCCATACTTGACAGCGCTGTACTGTAGCATCAGCGGAACATCATGTTTAGCCATACCCAGAATCTCATGTACCATGTTCATGCGTCCGCACTTGGCGGCAGCAGTAATCAGTTTGGCGTAGGTAATATAACGGGGATGTCGGCCAATTCGGCGCATGTTCTTAAACTTGACCATGGCATTGTTGAGATGGTCTTCGATGCGTCCACGTGGAGACTCAAGCAGCTCTGCGATAATCGATGAGCCTCTGAAGTCGGTAGAGTGAGCGTATGGGTCAAACGAGTCCTCCGGCCTGGCTGGCTTTAGTCCTGGAGATGGCTCAGGCTGAGCTTGGGGTGCGGCAGGGGCAGGTGCATTGTACGATGGAGTGGTGAATGTGGGAGCACTTCCATGGATATAATGGTGCCATTTCTGCACGATATCTGGACGGACATCTCCCAACTTTGTAACACCTTGGTCCAGAAGCTGCTTGGTGTAGTCATCCAGGCGAAGGCCGGCATTCATTGCAACCTCTAGCATGTGCACAAATCGGAGCGGATGTGCAGCATCAAACAGAGTAGAACCATTGACTAGAATGCCAGCCTGTGCCTGCATGGCGAGAGTAAGGTCTCTAGCGGTCAAGTGGGATATTCCCATTGGCCCGAGGCTAGCTACAACATACTCAGCAACAGGCGAGACGAGGCCACCGTTTTCAACCATGCACCACATCAGCGTCATGGCGGAATGAGGTGAGAGCGGCGCAGCAGCCTGAATAAGCACACGGCCAAGCAAGTCAACGGCTTCATCAATCTCCTCCCGGACCCGCTGCTTGTGATCGTTAGTTGCAGAGCTAGAGTTAGTACTTCGGATGCGCGAGAACATGCTTCGGGCTTCCATGAGACCCTCCTCAATCTGACCGCTCTTCAGCAATGCAATGGTATACATGGCTACAGGCTGAATAAAGCTTGCAGTGACACGAGAGCACGAAGACAGGACGTCCCAGAAGGGCTTGGCCATGTCAAGGCTACCCTGACGGATGTGGAGGGCGAGCATAGCGATAGCTGGCTCGACGGAAGTGGCAGCATCCGTGGTCAGGAGACTGTACGCACTAGTAGCGGTGGAGACGTCATTGGCATCGGCTGCCGCAACGCAGATATTTAACGCTGCATCTGTCAGGGCCTGGCCCTGCAGCTGGGTCTGGGCAATTTGCAAGGCTGAAGCATAGTTACGGTTGTCGAGGGAGTGTTGAACAAATCCATCCTTGACGATCACCTCTTCAACTGCCTGGAGACGTTCCGCCTGTTTCTCCACACCGTCAAAGGAAGCACGGATCTTGTCGAAGAAGCGGCGGGCCCCGTCTGTCTTACCACAGGATAAGTAAGCCTTGATGACAGAGGCGTACACTTCAGCGTCCTGGCGTTCGACGATGGCAAAGTTTCCGTTATTGTCAGCAATAGCTAAAGTTTTGTACTCATTGTAACATTCGACCGCGCTCTTGAAATCGCCTTTCATAGAGAAAGTGTCGACCATGGGTGGGAACATAGCAGCGTGAGGGGCGACCTTGTTGGCCTCCATGTGTGCGAAGATCTCAATCATCTGGTCGATATCCCCCTGCATAGCACAGGCAGTCAGGAGGGAGCGGTAGACGGGGAGCGGGAAGGCGATTTCGGGGTGTCGGGTGGTAGCAACATTGAACAGCTTGAGGGCGATAGGGAAAGAATGGTCCTCGGCCAAGAGCTCGCGCTCGACTTCGCTAGATTGGAAGATGAATTTGCCAGGCTCTTCCATACCACCGAATCGTACTCGAGATTGCTCTAGGTCCTTGGCCATACGAAGGCAGTCCAAGGAGCGGGTAGACAAGAGTTGGACAATGATTTTGTACGTGTTCTCATCAGGCATAACATTTCGACGAAGCATGTCAGAATAAACATCGAGAGCCTTGGGGACGGCATTGTGCGTCTCTGGGTGAAGGTGGATGGCAGCCTCAAGAAGGGCATTGTAAGCGGCCGCCGTGGGTTTGACACCGTCCCTCAAGAGGCTCTCGAAAGCTGCTGGGACCTGAGCGTGATCTCCATCCTTGGCCAACTTGACGACTCCATCGGACCGAGACTCACTCCGTTTTTTCTCGTAAATGGAGTGATCGTTGACTGGGGTTCTGGGGGAGACGATGGTGGCCCCTTGAACAGAGGAAGCCGGGGTCTGGTGGGATTGGTCACCACTCTCGACATCGAAAACTTCACTTCCGGACTCGATGGCCGAAGAGTGATGTTCAGACTCGGCGAGAGCGTGTGCCTCCTGGATCTCTCGGATCTCTCTGGCAACGGCCTCGTCAACCTTTGCACTGACATCCTTATCCACTGGAGCACTCTCAACTTTCCTCGAGGAGCGAACTTCACTGCGACTCCGTGCCCTCGAGACAGAGGCAGCGAGCTGATCAACATCCGAGTCCTCTAAGGTTTCCTTCCCTTCCTTGGTCGGCTTCCAGCCAATGCGCTTGGTGAACTGGAACTGCTTCCAGTCGCTGTCGTCCCCGGTCTGCTGAGCATGCTGCCAGGCGGCGTAGTATGCGGCTAGACCGGAGTCACCGTTGGTAGTGCCGGTAGCAGTGTGGCCGGCCTTTGCACCACCGGCGCTGGACGAAGAGCCAGAAGCATTCTGGAAAGCGTTCTGGAGCTGTGCAGTGCGAGTGAACTTTACAGTCTGTGGGATTGATGTGATCTGATTTAGGGAGGAAGCTGAGGGAGCGTATGAGGATTGAGAGGCGGCAACGACAGACTGGGCGTAGCCGTGGACAAAGGTCTTGGAGAAAGTCTGACGCGCGAGATGAGTGAATGGCTTAAAAACCATTTACGTTATTGAGGACCTCTTCAATGCGAAGAGGAGATACTAGAAGAAGAACAAGTCTTGAGTCAGCCTCCGGATCGAGTAACCTGCCCAACGGCTTTCAGTACCACGTCAACACAAGTCCATACATACTGTAGCACCGGGATGATTGAAAGAACGCAGGTTCATCCGACGACCTACAGCCGTCAATGAACGCGCTAGATGTAAAAGGTATATATTATTAGGTGTTGAAAGAGAGATAGAGAGGTAGGGGAGGTCGCGGATATCTCGATTGTATAGATGTGTGTATAGATCGATAGGGCTGTTGAAAGAAAAAAGGAGCGTAGAACCCTACGCCCTAGGGGACTTCTCTGCCTTTATAGTGAATGAGAGAGAAGAGAACGAGAGAGAAAGACGACGAGCCTTCGAAGCTGAAACTTGAGACGTTGAAGGAGAAAAAATCACAGACGTCGAAGAAGGAAGAAAAAAAAAGGTGTTATAACTCACATTATATGACTAACCCCGCTGACTAAGCCGCTTTTCCGTGTCTTTTTCTTGCCTTCTTTGGCCCGATCGGGAAAGTGGGGACAAGGGGCACAAGGGCGGGTCCTGATTGGCGGGATCACCCGGGCCGGTCTCGTGACCCGTTACCGATGGACCGCCGCGTTCGTTACGAGGAGATGAAGGATATAGATCACCATGACGATAGAGAAGAGAGAGAGAGATGTCTGTGATACAGCGCCGTGGAGGATGATAGTCTGTCTTGGTCTCGCACAGCCTCTTCCACGGCAACACTACTATACAACCAAGGAGAAGAGCAAGATACACGAAATACACGGTATGTACGGGCAAGAAACGAGGGGCGGAGCAACTTCCGGAGTTCTCGGAGCTTTCGGAGCCGACCAGCTCGTGTTTATCCCCCTTTTTACGATGGCTTGTGTTGCTGACTCATCGCTTCCGACTTATTTTCGTTCAAAGGATCTTGATATCAAGGACGAGGCTGAAGAAGATGCGGTGGAAGAAGCAGGATAGAAAAGAGGAGGGTGTGGAAGACAGAGGACGACGGGAGAAGTGAGTCGAGGTGAGTCGATGCTTCAAGATCAAGAAGCACCAAGCACAGACAGCAGGGGTTGGTCGCATGTTTCAACGGTCATTGGCACCCCTTGCTATCATCTTACGTACTAGAGGCCAGGCTCCAGTGTTTCCTGGTTTTTGGCGGTCCCACCAGGATGCGTCCAGAAGCTGTGGAGAAACCCTGACCTCATACACCTTGTGACCGAACGGAGGGAAACGGGTTGTTGCCAAAGTGTCGACTTGGTCTACTTGTCATTGTTGCTGCAAGGCGAGAAGGGATGGCGGAAGTCCTCGTTACCAACAAGACCTTAACCTATAAACAGCACTCGAATAAACCGCTTAAAACCCTTCTTGGTTACAACTGTCCAAGTCGGCAACCAACCCGGAATAGAATCTCTTGCACGAAAAAGGCAGGAATTGAACATGATTTACTTCATGCTACGACTAGATGCCGACACGTTTAGATCCATCATGGCTGAGCTTTCTGAAAACAGGTTTGATGGGAAGAACGAGGAATGAAGAAAGGTGCACTTCCAGCCGCTGAGAAGGCTCTTCATCCTGATATGAGATATGGCTCAATATTTGGGCGACCATGATATCATTGTTATCCCCAATAGCCCGTCCTTACACATCGCTGCCAATTCCTCCAGTCCAATAGCAATTTCTAGGACGGGGTGCAGCATCCTGTCTCGACTCCCTTCTGCACTAAAAAGGCAGGCGACCATGCTAACGACGCTGCATGTCCCCAACTGTAGTCAAGAAAACCCAAAATATACTATCGATAAAAAGGTCATCGTTGTCCCCCATAGTCCCCCTGCAAGGCGCTGAGCGGTCCTCTCAACACTAACAAGTGTGACAGGAAACTGGAGTCGCTGTTAAAATCCAAAACTTCTATATATTTCGGAATTCTCGACCACCCACCCCTTCAGATTTTCGAGATTGGACACCATAACCTTAATTGTACTAATCAATATATTATAAAGAGATAATACTTTTATTAAAACTACTAAATAATAATACACGATTAATACAATAATTACACTATACCACCACACTCGGTGGATTTTTGAGCCTCAAGAACACACGAATTTAATCCTCGGCTTGGTGAATGCGGACATTAGACGCACCCGTGATCTCCTTAATGTCTTGGAATAGGTCGGAAGCAGATGTCATGTAGGAGATACTGCAGTGCAGGTTCCCGCCGAAGAGAAGTCCGATAAATCTCCCGTACTTATCTAAGACAAACGCCCCAGAGTCACCACGAGCAGAAAAGTCACCACGAGCAGAAGAGTCATCTTCGTGAGAAGGAGCGATAACCCAGTCTTGTCTACATTTCTGGGTTGGCATGTCCCCAGATGGGCCTCCTAAGGTCCAAGAAAGTAGCGTTGTGGTTTCTATCCCGTTGATCATTCCCTTTGTGAAGCCTGTTGAGCGACCTAATTTGAATACAGGTATATTTGTGTCAAGCATGAAGGAGGCCTCGGTAACATGAGTTCCACTAATTGGGTTAAACGCGCTATACATCGAAACCACCTCAGGGGACAGCTATATGTTTTAAATTTGGCAATCAGCAGACTATTATAGTCGGTTATACGGGATGGATGGAGGTATATACATACCTTGTTACTAGATATCCTTCCTTCGTCAACTTCAATTAGGGCCCAATCCAACGAGGAGTTAGACTCAGCTAACCGTAAACCAGATGCCGCATAAACTGTACCAAAGTAGTTTCCCCCATCCTTCATGAACTCCTCGGCCGTCCGGATCTGATGCTCTAGTTTAGCGATGCATTTCCGTTTGATCTCTAACAGCTTTTGTTGTGAAGGGATAAGGAAAGCGTCTGGTTCACTTGCGAGCTTTTCAAGTTCGTAGTATTCTGGTGTACGGTGCCCTTCAAGAATCCCACTGTATTGAGTCATCATGTTATCATGGTCACGCTGAGAAGGGTGTGATAGCTTGATTCTATTGGCCGAGTCTCCTGGTTTGATCCCCTTCTGCTCCCACCTATCGCGTTCTGGTTTGGGAGTATCCTCATTTACGACGCAGTGGAAACAAGTCAATCCGTAAGTTTTCGATGATAGGTCTGGGAAATCTAAAACGACGAAACCTCCGAAAGTTCCGCCTCTCTTTGTGTCCCGCAATGTTGCTAGGGACCCTCCGAAACGAGCTTTCCGATTCCAGTCACGCTCGTCAAGAACATCGGCGCCCTGTGTATCATGTGGGTATATATCCCCTCGCCCTATCTCTACTGCGACATCTTCAAGCCCTACAGAGTCGATAACATCTATGATGCGATCTCTGATTCCACTCCAGTGTCTCGACACGATCCCTGAGATTTCCCTGATGGTGACTATGATGGTTATAATTCGTTCTTCACCCTCTCGACCACGCCTGAGAACATCTAGGGTACGCCAGCGTTGTCCGTTCAAGATTTTAAGAATTCTCTCCTTCAGACTGGGCCAGATGTGAACAATTCGATCATTCGGACCCACCGGGTACGAAAGTATAGGCATGTATGCAAGAGGGTCAGAGATTTCAACGTCGAGATCTATGTGTCCAGCTGAGACACATATTTCCCTAATCTTTCGACATAGCAAGAGCCATGTCGTATCTACAGGGCCTTTTTGCTGTGCACTTATCAATATAACTGGTGTCGGAGGCCTGCAAGAATTTCGCCAGCGGCGCTTAATGACTGACATTGATTCAAAGTCAATGCCTGAGGTTTGAATTTCCTGCATGATGGGGCCGCGTAGCTCCGAGTTGAACACTGAGGTAATAGCGTCTGTGGCGGTTACAGGGAAGACATCTGCAGGCAAACGGCATAATATGGGGCCCCCAACGCGCAGATCTTCGACCAGTATCTCATCATCAGGTGGTACAGGTAGGGTATTGTCCTCTGACGATGATGACCCGTCACGCCATTTTAGCCGCCGTCTCATGGGAAGGTCAGCCGTAGAACTGGATGGAGCTGTATGCAGCCGCAGCGGCCCTGCATACGCGACTTGTGATGTGTGGACACGAGTCTGGGCCATATCTTGGCAGAGGAGAAAGGCTTTCTAAACACGAGGAATCTTGTTGCGTCAACGAACCAACGCGTGTTATGTAGTTAGCCTGAGTCGGACCGCCAGGTGTGAAGAAGCAAATACTTCTATAACGCGAAAATATATCTTCGGGCAAACACGATGCAAAAGAAGGCAGCAGTGAGAGAGAGAGAGAGGTTGAGGCTTAATAAAAAGAACTTATGACAATATCGAGTTTCTTACATATGATTGGTCATCGATAGTTTTATACATTATTGGTGTAGCTCACGTGATTAACCTTATTACGACATGCACGGACCACAGAATACTGGCCTTTTTGTCCTGCATATACAATACATTGTTACTATATCACATTCATACCTAGATTATATCGTTTGTTACTTACTAACTACCGAGGCAGTGAAGCATCAAGTGCGGTGGCTGCTGTCCCTAAGCATCCATGATGGCTGTTCAAGCTTCGAGGCATTTGGACCACTGAATCACCGAAACCAGCATCTTTCATCGCGTACGATGAAACTTTGCCAGAGGTTTGCTTCGGTCAGCCGGACTGGATCTCTATCTCATCTCTATAATCGTCATATATTGATCCAGTACTGGCCAACATCACCGATAGCAGGTCCATTTCGTAGCCTTTGCTCCATGGCGGACTCACCATCCTCCACGACAGAACAGCTATATCACCCTGTGATAGATATGGAAGACCTAGAGGGATATACGCCTGGAGGATACCACCCAACAATCATTGGAGACTCGTTTTGCGACAGCCGCTATACCATAGTTCACAAACTCGGCTTTGGTAGCTACTCAACCATTTGGCTTGCCCGCGACCAACATCGCCAACGCTACGTGTCGCTGAAAATACTAGTTGGGGCAGCATCACAGGATAGTAACGAGGGTAAAATCCTCCAGTTACTGGCTAAAGGTGCTTCAAATTGTGTTGAGAGACAGTTTATCCCGCCTCTGCTTGACCAATTCTCCTTCGATGGCCCCAATGGCCGCCATCTATGCTTAGTCGGAGAGCCTGCCGGCTGCAGCATAGCCAGTTCCAAGGAGAACAGCACAAACTTCATGTTTCCTCGAGGCGCTGCCAGATCCGTTGCCGCTCAACTCATCATGGGTGTATCCTATCTGCATGCAAACGATGTATGCCATGGAGGTGTGTTCACCCCAGAATCAAATTACTATGGGCTTTACTTACCTCAAGTGAATTAGATCTCCATCTTCACAACTTTCTGCTTCGTGTCCCGAATTTTGATACCCTTAGTACGGCCGATCTATATGAAAGACACGGCAGGCCGTGTGAGGTGCCCGTCCTGCGAGTAGATGGAAAGTCGAACACGCCACATTCGCCGCCGTACGTCGTTTATCCCATGGTTTGGAAGTTACCTGCGAACAAGATGCTAGACCCGGAGGTAATCATCTCAGATTACGGGACATCATTCATCGTCTCGCAAACCCCGTCTCCAACACTACAGACTCCAGCCCTTTATTCACCTCCTGAAGTTTTCTTCAACGAGCCCATAACTATACCTACTGCAGCCGACATATGGACTCTAGGTGTTGTTCTATATGATGCCGTGGGCGAGCGCCCGCTATTCGAGACTTTTGCATGGGACCCAGATGGCATTATCGCCGAGATGGTCAACACGTTAGGGGAGCCACCTATGCGATGGTGGCACGCCTGGGCTAATCGCTCTGAATTTTTCAACCCCGACGGTTCATGGATCACCAACTTCAGGCGCATTAGTACTCCAGAGTTCAGGCGCCTCCACAAACGTATGTGGGATATGGGCCGTGGCGAGACTCCGGAGACTTGTGAATGGGATGTTGCCGGAGGCGAGTTAAGGGCACTGGAGGACATGCTTAGAGCTATGCTGAAATTTGAGCCAGCCGAAAGGCCAACGGCGAAGCAGCTTCTGACGTCTGAATACATGGTAAAATGGGCCTTACCAGCCTGGGAACGGCATGTGAAGCGAAGGAACTCCGGTACTGTTCAGCATCATCATTAGAGCTGTTAACATTGTGGTTAAGCAATCTATATTTATGATTAATCTATCTCTAAAATAGAGACTAGTCCTTTATTAAATAATCTATAGTAGAGTTAGATAATTAGATATACAAATAGAGGATTTCTACTACTAGGGAGCAGTACAATATTGGTTATCGTATATTACATGCATTTGATTTTAGAGAGGTCATAGTAACAGGCAGACGCCAGGGGAAATATTTCGTTTTAATGTACATGTTCTCCTCTCTTTTTTCATTTCCTCCAAGTCGAATGGGTATATGCAATGCCAGGCAAGATAATTAATTCCGCATCCCCCTCCGTAAAGCAGCCAGTAGGTCACGGGCCCCCGGGCACTGCTCAATATGTTCCAGAAACTCCCTCTTTGACAGAGCACACATGTTTGTACCAACCAGCGCCCTCGGTGGGTTGACAAAGCTTACAACGCGATAAATTGCATAAGTGAAGCGGTACAGCTCAGACGCCCGGTAACATCCTCGACACCAAAGGCCGTTCTCCCGGGAGTTGTCCGGCTGCAGAGAAGGGAAACAGATAGACGCCATGCCGCAGCACTCGTCTGTCCGAGAGCAATACTGAGCGCGTACTAGCGCCCCTGTCTCTTTGTCGCGTGTTGGTTCCAGGGGGGCAGTCTGGAAATGGTCTAGGTTGGGCATACGACTCCTCCCAGGCGGTACCGGCACAGCTGGTTCAGGAAGAGACTGAGAGAGCTCCTTGGCTGCCTTGACGCTGACCAGCTTCAATCGTCGGCGGCGTGAGAGCTCGTGTGAGACGTCGTAAACCCCGTAGATGCTCCGCATGATAGGGAGCGTCCTCACCTGGGTCGTGGTGAGGCTGAAGCAGTATCTAGCGAGGTCGGTGGTCATCACCCACAGAGAAGGGTTAGAGCGCTGGCACTCGTAGCAGCACCTGTCCAACGTTGGTAGGAACAAGAAGGGCCCGTACTGGCCGCACCAGACGCATGATTCCGATCTAAGAACGGCACGTAGCCTGCCAGCCGGGTGGAAGCTGATAAGCTGTGACTTCCCGAGTGCCTTGAGGGTATCTGGAGCATGCTTCATAAGCTCACGATATGCGGGCAGGCTCTCGACCACGCTTCTGCCTCGCTTGGAGACATATGACAGGCGAGACAGAGTGCGAAAGTCCAGGCTGTTTAACGTATCATGGAGGATCTCAAGGGGCAAAACATCCAGCCGCCCGATGGAAGAAGGGCCAGAATGAGGAGGAAGAGTTGAAAGCTTTGGCGGATCCGAGACGGAGATCCTTCCTGCCAGCTGGTGAGGAGGGCGGTGGGATAGATGGGTTATGAGATATTCTTCAGACAGCTGTTCATCTGGCGTCTCATCCGGGGTAGTAGACATGGCGGTTCCGGAACGCTGTAGGCCTTTTGGTCGTAGCACCGTTGACAGCAGCAGAAGAAGAAGATGTTTAAATATCAGACAGAGACGTTGCTGTCCTGTGAAAAGCTGTGGCTTCTCGGTGGCACAAAGCAGAAATTACTAGCTGACCATCTCTCACTTTGTCTGAAGATGATGAAGAAGACAGCAAACCAGGACGGCCAGACAAGATGTGCTGCCGTCAGCTTGAGGCTGTTGAAAGCTGCCCAGCGAGGAAGAATCCATCTTCCAGTTAGTAACAGCTAACGGTTAGTTATTATCCATCTCTCCTCCCTTGGACTATCGCCAGTCTTCATGTTTACTGACTTGTGAGCTGGCACCAGCAAGCTACGCCTGGTGAACTCGAACTGGAGCATCGCCTCTCAGGCAAGGGTAGGCAGATGGAATATTCTCCTATGGCGACCCTCATCTAGGCTCTCGTCGGGCTCACGGAGAGAGACCCCTGATGGATACGAATCTAGGATACAATCAAATCACTCTCTGACGGGCTACCGGATGGCCCTTTCTATCTATCTATATATATTCAGACGTTGCTCAGCTTTCGATCAGCCTACGACACGATTTATATACACGCAGCATGAAGTCGGAATTAAACATGGCAAGCCTGTCTACTTCTCCATCTTCTCCAGGATTCCAGGATGTCCAGTGTTGATCTACGAGACTAAAACAGCTGGGTCTCTCTTCTCTATGGATCGTTCTCCTCCTTTTACCCGTTATGAACGTGTGGATGAACCCTCCAGTGTGTTCGGAGTGTTTGTACTTCTTTGGACGACAGCGAAAAGGATACAGGAGTGCTGCGGTCGATGAGGGCGTCGGATCGATAATCGTCCTACCCATCCATGCTCATTCACCTGCTGTGATCCCACCAGGCTATATCAGATATCCGGTTCAACCGTGGAGATGCAGAGTTCCGGCCTAGATATCTCGTGAAGTCAGTCTCAATCTGCATCTCTGCGTAAACTTACTCACCCCCATGGTTATCCAGTTTCTTCCATCTGAGGAAGCGTTTCTCGTATGCAAACCCCATGGAAAAAAATCCCTCTCGCTTCTAGCGTTGTTCTTCCTTTCCGACCCGCATATGTCACCATGCCGATACTACCTTGGGAGGCTGTCATCTCTTTTCTCTCCACCACCCTGAAAGACTGAAAAGTGGCCTCTATCGGACGAGCTATGCGGAACATCAGGGGTAGACCTCGAGCATTTTCTTCCCCAGAGTTCAGCTAACAGGGCGTACCTGGTCTATATTCCTTGTGTCTATCTGTACGTTCTTCGATGTGCATTCACAGCTGGTCTTGTCCGTCTTCATCATAGCCGTCCTACACACGCGAAATAACTTGCGCGGAGATTAAACAAAACATTGAATTCACAGTAAGTCCACGGCAACTAGTCGCATCATCCGCTGGCTAACCAGTGGTTTTAGGACAGTTTGAGTTTTTTCCAAGTGCTTGGTTCCTATGAAGGATGCTCGGGTTTTTCTATGGATACCATGAGCCCTGTTCCGGCCCAGGCATTCTACTCCAGCATATATATACTATGTATGCGAGCTAGAAGAAGATCCCCCTGGCGCATAATGGAGATAACTTGCCCAGCATAGTATGGAGTATACTTCAGAGGGCCAGCACTTGCATTGCCTGCAATAATTCAAACCAGGATGCCTGAGCGTAAATTCTCACCCGCGGCATGACTCTGATTGAACAATTCAACCTTCCACACCCTTGTGGTATCTCGCAATGCTTCCCCGGCTCTACCGAAGCGAAGTATCGTGGGCTCGTCTCCCTTCTTCCGGGAAATTACCCCCTTTCGCCCCCAGCGCCTTGACGGCCCCAATAGGGGGGAAACTTGAGAAGTTGGGGTTAGGCCAGGTGAAGCCTGGTTATTTAAAGACGGAGGGAATTCTTTATCCTTCAGGCCCTTCTCTCCCGCAAGAGTCGATTCCTCATGGCGTAGCGCCTGTCTCTCTTTTACACATACCAATATCAAGCTACACGTCCGCTCTTTTGTTTAGATCGATCATTCGATATACTTTTCCTTCACCCTGACTCCGATTTGCCGGAGCCATAACAGGAAACATGGTACGATTCCGCCAGGCCGTCGCTGGCCTTTTGCTCTTCTCCGGCGTAGTGACTGCTACCGAGCCATGTGCCCAGGTTGCTGAGGCCCAGCAGAAGCAATTGATGGAACATCCCAATAGTATGTCTGAAATGTTCGGAAAAAATCTAGAGGAAGCGCTCGCTGACAGCATATATAGCGACCACATTCACTGTCACTGCAGAACTTGCCCACGCCTGTCTTACCTCAGTCCCTTTTACAAAAGATGACGCTCTTCGCCTGCTTGATGGACTGCCGTACTTCTGGGACTGGCAGTCTACCAAGCCCTTTTTGAAGGACCCGCCAAAGGGATACGCAGTGCCTGGCACTGATCTCGACGGAGGTCTTGCAAGTATCCGCCAAAAGGCCGCCAGCGACGGCTACAAGAGCGAATTCGACTTCCAGTTCGAATTGGATGCCCTCACCAGAACTGTGCATGATGGCCATTTCAACCTGGCAATGGACCTCCTCTATCTCTTTTCCTTCGTTCGTGGTGACATTGGCCCCATTGTCTCCATTTCGAAGGATGGAAAGGAGTTCCCCGAGGTCTACGCCGTCAGTGAGTTGCAGTGCCTTATCCTTCCATTGTATCTACCCTGCTAACATGTTCATATAGAGGATATCATGGCTGGATTAGCGAATACATCTGCCATCACGAAAATTGACGGTCAAAGCGCCAATGACTGGTTAAAAAAGTACTCTTTCAACGGACGCTCCCAGGATCCTGATGCCCTTTTCAACGGCCTGCTTTACGGCCTCCCTCGCACCGAGGAAAGTAGAGCCGGTTCATTCTACTCCTACGCCGGTCTTTACACTGGTAATGATATTACTGTTGAGTATGAGAATGGACACAAGATGGGGTTCACAAACTACGCTAGATTCACTGCCAACTTTACCGGCGTCAAGGATGGACGGTCGTTCTATAATAAGTTCTGCGGCGGCAGGTCATCTCGTTCCTCTCTTGCTGAGATACCGGAGACCCGCCATAAGGACCACCCTTTCTTTACTAGCAGCCCGATCTCCCAGCCACCTAGCTATGCCCTAACCGCGCGCTCCCTCCCTCCTTATATAACTCCAGTTCAGAAATCCGTTAATGGCGACGTTGCCGGCTACTTCCTCGAGGGCAGTGACTCCCACATTGCCGTCCTCTATCTCAGCACCTTCGCCGGTGGAGCCAACTCCACCGACACCATCTGGGACTACAGTTATACCATCACCAGGTTTTTGGAGGACTGCAGGAAAACCAACAAGAAGAAACTGATCATTGATGTCAGCGGCAACCCGGGTGGTGTAATATTCCTTGGCTACGATGCCTTTAAGCAGGTGAGTCAGCTTGATATTCGCAATACAGCGTAAGACAACACGCTAATACCATATATACAGCTCCTTCCAAATGGAAAGGTGGAAACTCCTTTCAACCAGGGTGCCATTGAACAGTTCAACCTCATCGGCAAACAGGTCAACTACCTCCTTACCCACCCAAAGGCTCCGAAGGCCCCTGATGCCGAACAGGAGAGAAACGACATCTTCGACCTCAACGCATATGTAGACCCCAATGGCAAGAAATACAAAACCTGGAGATCCTATTTTGGACCCGAGAGAGTTCGCCAAGGTAATTTCATCCACCTTGGTCTTTGGGACTTCAACAACTCCGAGATGTCCCTCAAAGCCGGTGGTCTCATCGTTTCCGGCTATGGTAACCGTACCCAAATCGCTCCCCAGGCTTTCAAGTTGGAGGATATGGTCATCGTCACTGATGGTGTCTGCGCTTCCACCTGCTCCATCTTCTCCGACCTGATGAGACGCAACGGCATGAAGTTCATTTCTGCCGCCGGTCTGCCCCAAGCCGGGCGCATGCAGGCTGTGGGAGGTGTCAAGGGTACCCAAGTGCTTTCCTTCCGAGAACTATGGACCGAAGCCCAGTTGCTGCTGAAGAAGTATTCCACCCCCTTTGAGGAGCGTAGGCTAGAGAAGACAGCACTTGGCAAGATGGTCACCAAGGGCGCGTATGTGCTTCAACGCTTGACCAATAAGGGTTCTGGTGGCCGGATCAACTACCGAAATGCCGTTTATACCGACGACAAGGCCCGAATTCCTCGACAGTTTGTGTACGAGGCTGCTGAATGCAAAATCTTCATGACCTTGGATGCTCTCGTCGATGTCAAGGCCTGGTGGGGAAGAATCGCACACTCCTGGTGGGGTAACAAGGACATCTGTGTCGATGGCTCCATGGCCTGAGCACTCGTAGTGTCCATGATAGTATATTAATGGCGGATGTGTGATAATAGGGAGAATGCCCTAACATGATACTCTGTGTATACGTGATCTTCTATTTATACATATTGATATTTTCTATTTTCAGCAGTAGACTTGGGCGAACACAATTGATAGACGGCATTACAATCGAATACTATTGCAGAGCCATAAAAGAGAGAAGAATAATATCTCCAGCACCGAAAAAGCTCACTTCAATTCTTCATCTTGTATCCGGATCTTTAATATCCAGTCTACCTAAACACATAACCTCCCCCTCACAATAAGAAGCGATCACATCTCGTCTCTCATCTTACACTTAAATCATCAACCTTTCAACCTTCTGCCTAATATTGAGAATCTGCGCCTGCAAATCACTAGCCTCGTTCGCAGTAATACTGGCACTGATAACCGAACGGCTGACACCACACGCACGTCCCAGCGCAACCTTGCTAGGCACATAAACGTACGGAGTGTTCTTGTCCTCGCACAAAAGCGGGAGATGGAGCAAGATAGCCAACGGGCTGGTATCAGCGGCCAGAATAACGAGCTCGGAAGTTCCGCGATTAAGGGTTTTGGTAGCTGCAGAATAAGACGCGTTAGTTATAGCTTCGCAAAACATGCACGCACGCACGCACGCATGAACCGAAGAAGGGCATAACAAACATACCTTCGTTGGCACCCTTCTTGAGCTGGCGGTAGTGAGAAGCCTGCTGGACGAGGTCGAGCAGTTCAGTAGTCAAAGCTTCATCGGCGATGGGCCAAGCTGGTAGAGAGAGCGAGAGTCAGCGTTTCCGATCATTCCTGATGGATTGTGAGGGAGTTATGGTAAATGATTAGCTTACCTGCTGATTGTTCATTCGCCATGTTGACTTGTTCCCGTGTTTAAGTGTACGTGTTAAAGAAGGGATGCGTCGCAATCAGGTTTCTCGAGGCCCGGAGTCCTGTTTCTTCACATGTAGCGGCTCGTAAGCGCTATTCTTGGTGGTGCTGTCGGGGAGGAAGTTGGCTGGTTAATTTCTCGCAGTTGATGGAAGTTGAAGTTCTTTTTCCTTGTGCTTTTTTTTTTCGTTCTAGAGCTGCTTATGTAACAATATTACCTAAGTAAGCACGTGATATACCCTAAGAGCGCAACTGCCTAACTAGCGCCAAGTGTTGCCGTATAAACATGAAAAGCGGACCCGTGGCGCAATGGTAGCGCAGCAGATTCCAGATCTGAAGGTTGTGCGTTCAATTCGCACCGGGTTCATCCCCACTAAGCTTTCTTTTTTTTCACGTTGTTTCGAGAGTCACAGAGAGAACTGTCAATTTGTCTGTTTATAAAGGTTTCTTTTTTTTTCTTTCTTTTTTTTTTTTTTTTTTTTTTGGAAAATAACACGGCAAGAATGATAATAAGCATATTAACTATTAAGCTACTTCACAACACAATTGAGCAAAAAAGACCACATACAACTACAACACGTACAGCTTCACTCGCAGTTGCAATTGCAGACAGGCAAGCTTGGCTGGACGCCCGTAGTTCCCATCTCGAATTATTCCAATTTGTTACTTTTTTTCGGGGTATAGGGTATCAATCGACCAAAGAAAACTCATTCAAGCCGCATCAAGTCACCATAAACATTAGCATCATACTTGGTCCAGGACACCGTAGCCACTAGACCAGGAATCAAGACACAACATAGGAAAATGTTCATCTAAAAACAAAAAAAGACGACTAGTAGTAGATCTTCTCTTCATGAATAGGAGGCAGGCCCCTCTCTTCGTCCCATGCAATCTTGCCCTTAGTGTCCATGGTGGCGTCATCATCGGTGATCGGAATGTAACGGCTAGTGTGCAAGACTTCTTGGCGAGAGACACCAGCTTCATCACGAGGAATCCAGAGTAATGGCGCCGTTGAGGTGATGGATGGGTGGTAGTAAGCGTTTTTCTCCACTTCGGTGGGATAGTCGGTATCGAACGCACCGTGGGGAACGAGCTCGCGGAGCTGTTCGTAAGACTCATACTTGTGTGGTGCGAAGAACTTGGCGAACATGTTCGGCTTCTTGCCAGAGGGGCCGCCAGCCTTCTCGGCATCACCGTTGCGGGAGTCAGGAGCTTGTTGTCCGTTGTTCTGAGCGAGAAGAGCCTGGTGTTGTTCTTCAACTGCCTCGAGGTTCTTTGGCAGGTACTTGAGAAGTGGGTTCACAGCGTTGAGCAGAGAAACATGGTAAAGGACGGTGAAGACCAAGAAGATAATCATGAGAACCATGGGACCAGTGGCAGCCCTGTCAGAAGCAGTGCCGATGGCGAAAAGACCAATCAAACAGATGATGAGAAGGTAGCAGCCAACAAGAGTCTGCTTGAGGGCGCGTGGATAGATCATACCCTTGGTGTCAATATCGGTGTCGTTGACATACAAAAGATTGTAGCGGAAGGAGAAATAGAACAGGAACATGCCAATGGCACCGAATCCAAGGACCAAGGGGGCGATAGCTCCGTAGGTGATGGCTGGCGGAGATGTTAGTTAACCGTTGCAATCCGAGTCGGGAGAGTCTTACCAATGACGACCAAATTAGTGAGAACGGGCAAGATGGTACCCCATCCCATACCGGCAAGGGAGGACCAGCGGGTGTACATCTTTCTCGGAGTGTTGTCCAAAATCATACCAAGAATTTTAGAGATGATCAGGCCCGAGATCTGGAGCAGGGCACCAGCACTGAAAGTCAAACCCTGAAGGATAATGTAAGAGATGTAGAAGTTGGAAACGGTTGGGATGCTTCGGGCGAGCAAGCCAGGAGCCGAGGTAGGATTCTTGATGATATCGCTGACGGCGCTGGAAGCCGCAGAGGAGAGGGTGACAACCAAAAAGACCTGAACGACTTGGAAACCAAAGTAGAAGTTCTGGGTGCGCAACTCGACGGCAGCCTTTGTGGGGCATCCTCCGAGCTTAGCAAGGACTGTAGAGCGACAGTTAGTATACTCATGTTGTCTGAACTGAGAGAAATTTGAAAGAGACTTACGTCGGAGAACAATTGGCAACAGGGCCATGAGGACGGAGAGCAGGATAGTTGGGAGCAGTGCAGTCACAACACCGAGGATGACAGGTGGGATACGGCCGATGAATCTCAAGAATGGAACCTTCTCCATAAGGAAGTTGATGTTGGAGATGGCACCAACAGCGGCAACGGGGATGGCCCAGAAGATAATGAGAGCAGTGACGGCAGAGACGGTGACAGCGTAACGAATGATGAGTTCCCACCATTTGATGCGCAGGTTGGACCAGATGATTTCATCTGGGCCGAGACCAATGTAGCGAGGAGCCATGTGTAGTGGTAGGTTATGGGCCACTTGAAGGAGAGAGTTAAGGTTAGTATTTTTATCCGGCCCAGGTACAAAGCTTGAAATGAGTACGTACACATCTGATAAGCGGCTTGCGCCTCATTCTGGGTGTAGAATTCCACAAAAACGGCCGAGATGCGTGTTGCGTCACCGTTGATGTGGCGGTTCTGCATTTCATCGATAAGAGGGGTCAAACGTCCGATTTCCTCGCGAGTCCAGTTGATGGTGTCGACCTTTCTGCCGATGATGGGGAGGAGTCTGTGAGTTGGTCTCTTCGAAGGCTTAACCCATCGAGCGGCGACGGAGCCAGACTCAGCTTCACCAATGTTTCCTTCAGCAGCGGGGTCGGCGACCTCGGCTCCCTTCTGGAGAGCCTTGCCACGGGCCACGTTGGCCATCTTGATGAGCTTGGTCTCGGCGCCTTCGAGACGGAAAGCGGCCTTGTCACGCTCCTCAACCAGTTTCTCGAGCTCCTTGACATCGGTGACGAGCCAGACGTTCTTGACCTTGTCGTTTCCATACATGGAGCGAATCCTGGCCTCGTCACAGTACTCTGCCGGCACGGAGGTGAAGAGCACGGTCTTGGAGGAGATGCGCTCAGCGTACAGCGGAGACATGAAGTAAGCCTGTCGCAAGTTGATAAAGTAAAGCAGCTCACGGGTGACCATCCAGAACACAAACCCTTCAACCCGTTAGCACCTGGTACTTACAGACTGTGGCAGAAGAAAAATTTTAACCTACCGACGAAAATCCATGCAATGAAGCAGTGGGCGTAGAACCGGTTCAGGTTACCGGGAATCTTGTTGGTGACGTTGCCAATGGCAAGCATATCGAGCTGCTTACGGCCTCCATGACCGGTAATGTTGACCGGGAAGAGCACGGGCCAGGTGATAAAACATCCAAAGAAGCAGATGGCGGTCGCGATCTTGAGGTAGCGCAGCAACAAGTAGGCGTCCAGAGACTGGTGGCGCAAGACATAGGTATCCGGCAGCTTTGACATGGACTTGAGCCATCCAAAGAAACCCGGTTCAGGTGGCGGGGTGCGCTCCTGCTCGCGAAGAGCTCCAATATATGTTCTGGGGATGTACTGGCGGCGCTGGCTACGGCGCAAGATGACGAACAGCAGCACCATAACCGCTGAGATGATCAGGGTCGGCACAAGAGTCGAGACGAGACCAGAGAGCGAGTTGGAGGCATCGCTAGGCTTCTCTGGCTCGTCCTGTAGTGTCATTGTCTGTCAGCTATCTCAAGCTCCTCTGTTTACAGGGGGGGATGATGGGGTACGAACGCGCTTCGCGAAGACATTGAGAGTGTCCATGGCTGGCATAGACACCCTGCGGGCGATAGAACTGTCTGCAGCTGGTGTATCCTCTTTACCAACGCAATAGTAGTAAAAGAAGCCTGAGGTCGACGAAGCAGAGAGGAGAAGAAGGTGGAAGAAGCGGAGGAGAGGAAAGAAAAAGGAGGAAGTTCGAGGTTTTTGGGTCTTCGTCCTTGATTTGCTTTAGCTTCCTAGTTCGGGACTAGCGAGCAAGGGAGCTGCAGGCCAGGTTTCCCTTTTGGGACGAGCTCGCCGATTTACTTTTTGTTTGTTTTTCTTCTGTTTTTATTTATTTTTTTTTTATTTCTTTACGTTATATCTGATTAAAAATGTTCCATCTCCTTCTTCTTCTCCTGTTAGCCATGACACCACGAGCCAATAACCATTACGTAGGAAGATCTCGGTCACCAGGAAAGGCTCGACTTTTATCTCCTCATCGTGTTTATGCAAGATCTTTTTGTTTGTCTTCAGGGCTCGCGCTAAGCCCGATACGGACGGATCGGGCCAGACGTGGCAAATTATAGTGGAGTCAGGGGCCATGCTCACCGAAGTCACTGGTACCTGCTTCTACCGCAGAAGTTGTATGCGTCCAGAAGTATCAGTGACTTGAACAGCCACAGCGGCTTGTCAGGCGCAAGAGATGGTGACGTGATGCAAAGGTACTTGTATCACCACCAAGCGTGGGCGGGGGCGGGAAGTACCTCAGCACAGGCAAGCCATAGCTAAGCGACGACGTCACCCTGAAACACGTTGAAACGACCTGGACATGTATATTACATGGCATGCTGTCATGGATATAACATACACAATACTATATGGGAGGTCGAGTAGACTGATTACTCGACAGCGCCATGCGGACTTCACGCTCGAAGCGCTCTGACGATATCTCCAGGTCGGCCTGTCTCCCCATCAGGATACGCAGCAACACCTCCCCAAAGAGGAACTGCAGCGTCTCCCCCAGTGCGTTCACGGCCACCATCAGATCTCCCACAAACCATGCCCGGTGGCCATTCCGTAAGTCCTCGTGCCAGCCCTCTTCCAGCAGGATCCACAGCAGCGTTTGGGCAGACCGCTCCCGGTCCAGCCCATGCTCCACCACCTTCATCGCCAGGCCGTTGATGAAGCGGGCGCGTTTATCTTCTTCCTTCAGGTCGAGCAGTGCCGCCACGATGTACATCAGCGATGCGATGCGGCTCTGGTAGCCGATCGTCGTGGACTGGATCACATACCGGCGCTCATGGTGCGGAACCTGCGTCGGAATCGGCCCTGATGCCAAAATGAGGTGAAGCGGGCTGTGGAACCGAAAGGCGTCAAGGTACTTCCCTGCCTTTTCTCCTCCCTCTCCGCTCGTATCGGGCGATGGCGGTGGCCGGAGGGACTCTGCATGGCGTAGGAAGGAGACGAGGCTATCGCCCTCGCCCGGCGTCAAGGCTAGCCGTGGCGTCCGTTCCCCAGGACCCCGGATGAGCCGTACATAATGTGTACATGTGTCTTCCACGCCCCAGTCCCTCTGCTGTCGTTTCTTGGCCCGCTTCCTCGTCTCTATCCGAAGCCTGTTCAGCGCTTCTTCAAGGTACGGCCACCCCTGTCCGGGGACCCCATACCGATCCTCTTGCACGGACAACGATGCCATCGCCATGGTAATATTCCCATTGCTCCAGTCATTATCAGCCTCTTTCCTTCTCCTCTCCTTTTGCAGCTCACCATCCAGTAGCCGCTGTGCTTCAGCAATATAGGCGCGTGAGGTCTCCGTCCCCGTCTTCCTATGCCCAAACACACATGCCTCAAACCTCGCGCTATATGTAAGTATCACGATATGGAAAGTCGCCATATCATTTAGCGCATACTGAAAGACACATGTCTTCAGATGCCGGTTCTGCCCCGACCAGTATGCCAGTTTTGATGTCCATATGTCCGCTAGCTTCTGCACTTCACGGCTCTGCCGTAGTGGGAATGTGTCGAAGGGGTCCAGTGTGCCTACGCCAGGCTGAACTCGGAGGTTCATGGCATTAACAGGCTGTGGGTAAGTAGATATTGGCGTGGATGAGGCTGATCCTGACCGCTCCTCCTTCTCTTCACCGCCTGCCTGGCCCTCCCGTCCGTTCAGCCACAGCAATATCCTCGCCGAGTTCGAATCTGATGTAAGCGTAGACGCAGGTTTTATCATAGACTTGGATAAAGGCGCGATTACCCGCTTTCCGCCAGGCTGGTTGGCCGCGTTAAGAGCATGCTGCTCGTGCGAGATAGATAGTTGCCCATGGCTCCCTTTCCGCTTCTCCCGTACATGATGCTTCATCACATGTGATCGTTTACCCTTCTTCGACGATGTTTCGTCTACGAAGAAGAATTCTTGTCGTCCCTCATTCCCTTTCATCGTTGATGCTTTGCCGCCGGCTTTCCCCTTCGATAGGCCTGCAGACCCCCTTGGATTGCGCTTTTTTGTTGTAGTAGTTTCCGCTGTGCTACATGTACGTGCTTGGGAGTGGTCATGACACATTTGCGGACCTGCTAAATATCCAGTCAGCCTTTCATTTTGCAGAGATTGATGATCATCACTGATACACAATGATAGACGGTATGATTTTGTTATGTGGATAAGCAATGGCAATGACTAGGTGGTATGCATATATATGCTCCCACCTTGGTTCGTATATACGTACCCTGCTCAGCAGCGGCAGTGATGGGGTGCATCATCACCGGTCCCATAGCGTCTTCTCCGGCTCACGTTACTCCGTACAGGTTACTTCAGGCTGAAGAGCAAGGCGGATAAAAGGCCAACAGGGAAGCAAAATGGTAAAAAGAAAAATAAATGCTTCCCGTCAAGACAGGGCGATAAGCAAGCGAGAAAGGGAGGTTGATCGTTTTTTTTTCCCCTTTTTCCTTGTTTAGTCCGAAACAAAGCGCTGGATCTGGAGTTGCTTCAATCGCATGGTTGGCTATGCCGTGCGTTACCCTCACGTAATGGTTCCCAGATCGTATATGGGGAGCAATACTATGCGGAGAGGTATCAGGAATGGGTTGATGATCGAGGAATAATCATCAATGATCAGTCAGTCAGTCAGCCCAGCAATCAATTCAATCAGCCAGTCAGAAGTAGTTCTGTGTTTGCATCAACAATGCAGACCCCGATGGCAGGATAGTTAACCTTCGAGGCTGACTGTTCCGCTGGCAACTAATAGTGCGATGCTTGCTTTTGGCCAGGCGAAGAGAACCAAAAGAAAAGAAGAATAGAGGGGGGGAAAGTCCCAGGTGCGTGGTCCAGCTGGCGTTCCTTTTTTTTTATATAATGTTTTTTATTCTCTCGTTGTCTGGAGGGTGAAGAGAGGCAGTGATAAACTATTTAGTACCAGCCTTTTTCTGCTCGTATTTTAGGCACGGTCGGATCGCAGGAGGCGGGCATGGGTGGATATTTGTAACAGGCCAGCTGGAATTCATGAACACTGCACAAGCGTTAGCATTTACCTGATCTGGTGCTAGTTCATATTTCTAACAAAGCTGGCCATTCAGTGTTAAATGTCTTGGTTACATAACTCGTACTTCATCCGTTGGTGTATCAGATACCGCAATCCAGGCTCGCCTGAGAAGCGCGTACCCGTCCCTCCTTGAGGGTATGTTTGTTCCATGAGGGCCTCGTTCAGTCCATTCGATTCGTATTTCGGCATTGGTTCAGCGAGAGTGAAAGAATAAACAAAAAACAAACATCCAATGGCTAGCTAGAGGCGCGGGGAGATAAAGGCTAACGAGCTGTGATGTGCCCGTTAACTAGCATGGGTGGTCAACCGCCTAAGTTTACCGAAGCCATGGAGATCACTCGCCTCCATCAGACCACCTGGCTGGTTTGGCCATGGAGCATTGGCCGTGTCCGCGGAGTTTCTCGGTTTTGTTCTTCCCTGGGTTGTCTATGTACACCGTATATACATAGTTGAGTCAGTGCATGCATGTTGCCGTACGAATTAGGTAAATGGGGGAATATAAAAGTTGCCAGTCGCCTGGACATCCGCACGCACAGCTGGCTGATCCCAACATAAATAACAACCTCCTCCACCCAACTGCATGTACATAGTACTCCGTACATGGACTGTGCATTCACCCTCTAGAGACTAGCAGGACTAACAGGTATCAAGGGGCCGATATATATGTAGGTAATCAGTCTCCCGTTCTAATTTCGACCCCTGTTTTGTGACCTGCTTAAAGAGGAATACCCTGCATTGTATAATAAATGTTTGTTTTTTTTCTTGTTGCAGGTATTCGAGATTGGACGGAACGGCTACCGCTGCAGCCAATGCGCAGTTGATATATTGTGTGATAATTGCTCAGCTGGGCTTGGCCACCATGTTGTGTCTTTGAATAATGTTTATGTAGTGCACATGTTGCTTGCTTTTCCGGTGTATCCGTGCATGTAACCAGCGATATTCAAAGTCAACGCACAGGGAAATTGATATCTTTCTCGCCAGATTAAAATGTCGATGAAGAAGATATGGAGCCGGCATTTCGTCGCTGTCGATGTCGGTGTGGCTCCCTCCTTAACAGCTGAGGCAAAATAGTTGTCAGCCCGTCATTATTGTCTATGTCCATCTCGTTATCACCATCACTGACATCTCCCGGTTCTGGCCTCTCATTTTGCGTTTGCATGATGCTTTCGCCACCGGGTCCTTCCCCATCATACCCGGTCTCACCATCGTCAGGCGCACTATTCTCCTTGTCATCGCTTGCTATACTATCGAAGTACGCATCCGTAACGCCGCGAGGTGGAACTATCCATTCTGGGTCTTGATAGATCAAGAACGGCCTTGAACTGCGATAGTTGCATGCCATCTTCTTGTCTTGAGTCCTTTCCCTTAGAGAACCAGGGTTTATATCTGTGGTAGCGTTGTCATTATAGCCACCATAGGCTCCATACGTGTTTGTAGCGCTTGATGAGCTTCTTGTGGTCGTGCTATAATACTTGGATGGCACCGTCCAACCCACAGGTCCCAGGTACGGTGACTTGTATTCTGACCGTGATTGGAAGAAACCTGATGTTGATACCCGCGTATTTGTATCCTTGTCATAAAGGATGCCGTTCTCCCAATGCATGATGTAGCTTTCCGCTTCCGATACCAAGCGGCGGTGAGAGTATGATTGGCCACTTTTGTTGCTGAAGCATTGAGATGGCGTCTGCGGCAGACTATCATTGCCAAAGGTTTCTGGGCGAGGCTGAGGGGGTCTCTTCATAGGGTCCATGTCACCCGATCCTTCAAATTCTCCATGGTATGATTCTAGGGGGAATATGAATTCTGGGTTCGGGGTTAGACGGCCGAGCTTTCTCGGTGAAAAGGATGAGGAACTGTTCTCTGACATAGGGCTCTCGCGGCTCAGATTTCCCTGACGTTGGCCAGCAATGTTAGAGCTCAATGTGTAGGCAGTCCTGGAGAGAATCAGTGTATACCTCGTGTCCATCGCAGTCACCGTTCATCATAGCCAAAGTGCCACGCAAATTGAGCTTATTCTGCTCCGATAAACGTGCCTGTTCTCAAGAGAAATAGTAAATGGTTAATCTTAGGACTCAACAGTTGCTCATGTGTCCCACATGAAAGCTTATGATGTCCAATACCACACATACCTGCTCTTCTATATCCAAGGCCATCTCAAATTCCACAGGTCCGAGTTCAGGCTCTGAGGTGAACCTATCAAACCCCCTTCGTACCGGAATCAATTGAGACATGGCTAGGAACTCTTTTGCGTGAGCCGTTGTCTTCGAAGAAAAGATAACCTTCCACGCCTTCAAAGCCCAGAAGAGAGCTCGGTTTGACCGGGACTTCACCTTTGGTGTATAAAGTGATATGGCTTGGGGGCTGCTGCCTGTTCTTCAAGAGATACTACATCTGTAGTAGCTATTTAACAACAAGATATCAAGTGCTGAACAGGGTGGAAGAGATGTTGTTGATAAGTATGAACCAAATAAAAGGTCTTAGAGCAAGGAAGAGCGCGTCACTTCGTGTTATGGAAGAGAAGGTGTTCGCCGCTACTGACTTTGCCCTTTATTTTGGCTGAATACGCAGAACTAGAGTATCTTGCCAGTGTGGTCAGCAGAGCAAGACACGTAGTATTTTTATTTCTTCCAATTCACATCAAATAGCCCTTATCACGTTTTGTGAAAGATATTGCGGCATATTATATACATAATTAATGTGACTGAGTTGGGTATCAGGAGTTAATACAAATTATAGACAAAGCAGTTCTAAAGGACTATATAAATGGCCAGCTAGGCCAAAGATCAAACATTGCATACACGATACCAGAGTGATACAGGCAGAAATAATCTAATATCCATCCGTACCAACAAGTGCACGGTAGGCCTGCCCTTTCTTCCCAAAGAACCCCTGGATATCCGCTGCCAGGTCTTCGGGAACTTCCCAAGCAGCAAAATGGCCTCCCTTCTCAAATTCAGTCTCCCTTACTACATTACCAATAGAACGGCACCATAACATCGGAAACGTAAGCATCTCGCGCGGGAAATGTGCAACAGCAAATTTAACATCAGGGGAATAGCAAGTTGCTGCGTCGTCACTTGAGACGCTTCCTGGGCCAGAAGGCGCGTGGTTGAATTCATAGTAAATCCGAGTTGAGGCAGCAGGTCCTGCACGGGAGAAGAGGTATATTGAAACCCAGGTCAGAACTTCGTCTTCAGTCCAGGGATATGAGTCTGTCCAAGCATGCAATTTCTCATATATCCAGGCCAGTAGGCCTACAGGACTGTCTTGAAGGCTATATCCGAGCGTCTGAGGTCGAGAGCCTTGCTGTGCCATGTATCCGTTACCTTGAGTCAAATAGTTCATGGAGACTGCAAGCTTGGCCTGATCTTTTTTGGAGAATGGGAGTGTGAATAGAGACTTGAGGAATAGTAGAGGTGTTCTCCACGGGTAAGGGAGTGAGAGGATTATGAAGTTGGTATGCACCGCTTTTACATGTGAAGGGTATAGTTTCGCCATGACTCGAGATATAATGCCACCCCAGTCTCCTCCTTGTATGGCTGTATGGGGTAGTTGATATCAGTGTTTATACTTGATATGCTAATGGCATGTATGCTCTTACCGTATTCTTCATACCCCAAAGCCATCATCACGCCATGCAGAGCTTCTGCATACTGTGCAAGCCCGAAGCCTCTCTAAGTTGACCGTTAGAAGGAAATTCAGTAAAAGTGGATAATCAGGCCAAAGGTATTACCTTTTTAACTCCGTCTGAGAACCCAAAGTTGGGCAGAGATGGAGCCACCACATGGAAGGCTGGCTGACTCTCATCCCCCGTTGTCAACAGAGGTAATAATTTCGTGACTTCGAGAAAACTTCCGGGCCCTGGTGAATGATATCAGCGGTAATTTACATAATATTGAGTTAAACGGGGACTCACAGCCATGAAGAAAAAGCAGGGGGATTGCGCCAGTTACCTTGCTTCTCTTGTGAACAAAATGTATGTTCAATTTATCGAAGCCTGCTACATCGACGTCGACAGTAAACTGGGGCACCTGTTCATTAAGCCGTTTTTCTGCTTTCCGCCAGTCAAACTTGTCCTTCCAGTACTCTGTGAGGCGTTTTATATCATCCAAGGGCGCACCCAGATCCCATTCAGAGTTGTCCAGTTCATCCGGGAAGGTGGTAATCTCTAGTTTCTTTTGAAGTATCTCAAGCTGCGAATCAGGGACAGAAATCTTAAAGGGCTTGACGGCACTCATAGTTATCAGATACGACTCTACTATCTTCAATTTCTTCCAATATTGTACATGAGATTAGAAGACGCCGTTGGATATGAAGTTGTTGACGTCCATACGCCAAGGACAGTGGACCGAGGTTCATCTCGACCCCCTGAACCGACATCTTTTGGAGGTAGACCAGAGCTTCGCTATCTAGAAGTGAATATGGTCAATACAAGGTACTCTTTAACTCATTATATCTTCAAAGTTATGGCATCGTCGGTTTACAGAGTAGCGTGAGTCGAGGAAAACTGCATAAGAGATGACCAGCACACATACTATGTATACTATAGGGTCTGTCTACGTGTATATATAGCAGAGCAGCTATCTTCGTACTATTCGTGACACGGAGATTAAACAATAGTCATATACACATCCCCACGACGAAAGACGCCGTGGACTCCTAGTGCTCGAGAGCCTTGGTTTTGATTTTCTGGCTTAAAGTATGGCGCTGATTATCACCGAAGCTAGGGCGGGAAACATGGGAAAGTCTGGGCCGCACACGGCAGATACCGTCGAATGAATTTACGTCACCGACACAATATTCTAGATGGGCCGAAAAAAGAAAAAGAGGTTCCTCCCGTTTAGTACATGGTAAGCAAGCCCTAGTTTCTGCATATCCAACTTACTATGTATGGAGAGCGCAAGTGAGCCTGGAGAAAGCCATCCAAACAAGGAAGTGGTTGACATGTTGGCGGACTCATGCCCATAATTCCTTTTGAGGGTACTATGTAGGGCCACCTGGAAGAAAAAAGTGGCAGTTGTATTCGGTATTTAGGCGGATCTACTCTGGTAGTTACCCATCGTTATCACGCCGGTAGTCATGGCCGGTCGATAAGGGCGGTTAATAGTCCACCCAACAGCGTGGAACTGCGAAAACGACAAGAACGGGATATATTCGATAGAAGGCCCACAGAAGCCGAAAGCAATGGGAGTGATCAAGCCTCCCGGAACGGTCCGCGACCTTGAACTGACAAGCATAGCAACCCAACAGTTGTATTTCTTGTAAAGGCAGCCATAACTGCACCTCCTCTCTATGAAACGATCCAGATCCCAGATTTACCGGCAGGATAAGTTTTGGGCGCCAACCCAGGTATAAGCCATGGCTTTTTATGATAGTCGTTGCTCAGAACACAAGGGGGTATGGAACAGCATCTTCTTAGAATCTGCTGTTTGTCCCTGGGCTGCATCATTTTCATCTTTTTCTTTGTTCTACATGATGCACTGCTGACTAAGCCGACCCGGTATCACGTGCAAAACCAACCCTTGACCAAGATCATTTCATGTGAGTTACATGAACTTTTAACGGCATGAGGATTTTGATATGACACCTGCTTGTGCCATCTCTGAGCATACACGTACGGAGTACTGTGTAAGGCGAATCAGCACCCCTGCCCCTGATATCTCTTGACTGGGGGGCGTCAGTACATTTCGAATCTCATTATCCAGGACCTGTGGAGTAACAACAGATAAGCTAAAGCGACACATCCAAAAAGTGTTGGATGCCACCATGTTCCATACGGACCAATACAGCCCTGGCATAACACTCAATTGCCACAGCGAGAATATGGGTATATATATTCTTGCCTGCATCAGGCCTGCCAATGCACTAGCACACACATATTAGCAGTAGCTTGCTGCACTGTTAGGTTCACCTCCACTTTGATCGACAGATATCGCTTGCTTCGATCTTTAAACGCCCATTTGTTGATTAATTAGCACGCATTACGTATAATAGCCATTATTGGGGGTGTCAGTGTATGCAGGTTTCGAACCATATGGAGAATTGGAGGTTTTCTTTTCTTGCGCGTATTGGAGATTACGGGAGACTTGCTTGGGTGGCCGCTCCGCGACTGACAGACCGACACTTGACTGCCCAGGGCAATTGAAGTTGAGGAGAATGCATCTGACAAGAAGCAATTCATATATAGACAAGGAAGCGGGTATGATGAAACAACCCACACCCATAAGAGCAGCTTATATCGAATTGAGGCCTGTAACCATGGACGGGGCGATTTTCCATTCCTGTTTGAGTGGCGTTTAGATTGCGGAGAAAGTATCGCAAATCGCATGGCGGCATCATCATATTTTATACTTAATAGCTATACAATATTACTATATGTCATCCTGCTCTGGAAGTAACAAAGCTAAGCATATAAATGACATCCATTCTTCGCCAATGGAAACATATATTCTGATTCGCACACGTGGATTCCGACTGTTTCTTCAGACCAGAGTTTGGTCTTTTCAGCATCACATACTATGTACGGAGTCGTCGGTTGACAGATGGGATGGACAGGAGGGATAAGCCCTGCAAAGTCAACGATGATACCACCCTATCCCGTCCTACCAGAAGCTCACCGGGAATATACATAGTATAGGCTGTTCACAACCAGGCCGAGCTAAAATATGCATTGGACAGAGTCATGTATGTACATATATATACATCGAAAAAGGGAGCGAGTTACTTGGTATCTTGCCTGTTCGAGCCCGTCCTCCAAGGAAATCGATGTCATCATCTTCCTCATCAGGTTAATCTCGCCTGTTTCCCTGTCCGTGAGATCCATACACGCTGACTGATATGTACATATAGGCATCTCTGTGCCGCTGCAGCACCTGCAAGGATGAACCCATCGTATATGTACTTACATACATACGGCGTGCGTTCGGATATACATCAGCTGAACAAGACCAATAGCTCACTTTTCTTATATTTTTCTCTGCAGGATATGATTAGCGAAGAGTAAACTGATCTACCTGCTGCATGGCGGGTGTTATATACACAGGTAGAAATGAAGGATCCGTACCATACAGAGTACCTTCTCTCAAGGCGTTATCTAGCTGCATATTCCATGTCATTACCCGGTGCCCCTATAGCAATAGTATTATACTTAATATATGGACAGATTAAACGACACCCTTGACGCCAGCGGAAGAAGGGAAACTTGGCTTCTTTGAGAGCCAACAAACAGCGTCTTAGCCTGTCCGCAACCGCAAGGGTATCCCTGTTTCACGAATACGAACCGATGGGGGACCGCGAACAACTTCCCCATGCAAAAGACATGCAGAGTCCAGAGTATAAACATATACTTAGTACGGAGTACAGACATGACGGTTTTTGCATGCTTATGTCAGTTTTCTTCCTCCATGAACGGGAAAAGCCCGCGAAGTCCGCCGGAAGGTTAAACAAGAGGATTCGTGAAGATGTGACATCTGCTTCTTGCCGTGCAACTTGGAGCATTTATTGAAGAGCGAAAATACAAAAGGGAAGAGGTAGCGATATGTAGATGGTTATATATAATATGTATTTAAAAATTATAAAAAAGTAAAAATAACACCGACGTTCCCCCGTTTTAAGAGACTCCATGCTAAGTTATCCATGTTTCCAGTGCTGATGGAAAGAAAAAAGGACTGGCTAAAAGAAGGAAAAATGCAGCGCTATCATCACCATGTTGGCTTCCTTTTAGTTTTTTGCTTCCGAAAGGGAATAAAATGAGATTTAACTCCAGAGTAGTATGAAAAAAGAAGATAAGATTATGCAGTACTGGAGGGTTTTGTTGGGTTGGATGTTTATAAGGGAGTGTTTAAAAAAAAAAAAAAAGGGCCGGGTATGTGGTGGTAAAAAGGACGGGAAAAAGGGGGTTAGACGCAACCCCCTGGGATAAATTTGAAGAGAGGTCGAACCATGCGTCTGCCACTTGAACCAACCGGCATGGAATTTGCATATTTGTTGATGCTGCCAATACCAGACAAGCAAACAACGCATACATGCAGAGGGTGGAACCTTCAGTACGGTTCGTTCCCTTGAGTTCGCGCACCGTAGATGAACCAAGTTCGCAGGACCTGAAATAGGCGAAAAACAAGAGTTTTCAAGGCATCAGCTCACGTAGAGAAAGTGAAATAGACTGGTTTCCTATGTTTTTAACCTCCTTCGTCGAAACGCGGCTAGATCAATGGATATAGAGGATGTCGATGAACCGTCGTCCACTTCGATAGCTCCCATCATTTCGGGCGGCGTTTTCACATCCCCGTTCATACTCATCTTCATCTTAACCGGCTGGAGCGAGTCATTCTGCATCCGTACGTCGGAATCTGCAGGTCCAAAGGTTTCAACGGCCGTGCGGTCACTTTTGCTTTCCTGTGCATCTTCCTCAGCCTGCTGCTGTAGCTTCTCTGCTTCCTTCTCAGCCTCTAGCCGGGTCCCTTCAGCCTGAGCCATTTCTAGCGCTGTATTAAGCCGTTCCAAAGCCTTATTAAGCTCTCTAGAACAATCGCCGTTTCGTAGGAATTGGTGGGCCGCCGTCTCACATAGACTCTGGGCAAGCTCTAGCTGCTTGTCCGTCAGGTCGAAGGCGGAGGCGGACTGTTTCGAGGGGGTCATGGAAGAAGGAGCAGCAGCAGCAGCAGAAGTGGCTGTGCCGTTAGGAGCCTGTTTCGAATCAAATTGTGTACTGCGGGACTTTCTAAAGGATGGATACTGGGGTAAAGCGAGAGTATGGTCGTCGTCATCTGGGCCTGCAGCGAATAGGTTGGAAGGAAACGCCCGACGGCCAAAGTCGATTTTCATTATATAGTTCATTCGACCTTTTCGGATCTGGTTGCGGGCACCGCCTATGTCACGGACAAGCCGTTCGAGGACTGTCTGGGTGTGAGAATCGTAGTGTATGACGACCTGCTGCCGGACTCGACGGGCGACACTGCTGTCAGCGTCCGAAGGGGCGGAAGCGGTGCTCTCTGGCTTCCGTTTCCTGTTGATGGCATCCTGGTTGTTCTGGCGGGTAAGCCGTTTGAATATCATGGGGTCCATGAAGGGGTCTTGCGGGTCTAGCTGTCTGGAGGGAGAGCCGGAGGAGGTCTTATCCTTCTTGGAGGCGACCGAGCGGTGGTCATCGTCCGGTCGATTGGTATGGAGCGAGCTGTTCCGTCGTCTTCGCTGCCGGGGCTTCGACTTGGACAGGCGGGTGTATTCCGCAGCAAACTCGGCGTGTTTGGCAGCCGTGTGAGAGGCCAGCTCGGTGACTCGAGTCAGCCATATGGGGATGTGTTCGATGAGGTGAGAGAAGCATTGGGACGGGTCGACCAGAGCCCCGTTCATCTTGCTGCTGGTCGTGTTTTTTTTTTTTTTTTTCTTTTCCCTTTTTCTCTATGGCGAGGAATTGTTAAAACCAGCCGTTTGTTTCGGGATTGTTTAAGAATCTGGAGAGGAACCAGAGTGTTCGTCAAAAAGGGAAAGCCGTCGTAATGGCTGGTCGTTAAAATTGTCGTATGCTGGCTTTTGTAGTAGACAGGTTTGGTGATGCTCAGCGACGGCCAACCTTTTGTATGCGCAAGAATGGAGCAAAAACGAAGTTATGAGTAAAATAAAAGAGAAAAAGAAAAAAAGAAAAACCGGGAGGCAAACAGGAGTGACGGGCTAGCAGGATCGAAGAAAAGGAGCCATAATGCAATTGCGTTCTCAGTCTGGCTGGTCGACGGAGAAGCAAGAAGTGGTTGGTAGAAGGAAGAAGAAGCGGAAGAAGAACAAGAAGGACGAGGACGGGGCGGGCGGGCGGGAGCGACAGGAAGCCCCGACTTAGCCTAACTAGTTATTTTTAAGGCTACGCCAACGTCGTCCTTCACTGAAATACTTGCATACATACGTAAAAGATACGACATGGGGGCGACAAGGTCTTCATCCTGGCCACCACCGACATATACACACACAGGTCATACACGGTGAACCCTTTAAGTACAAGGTGTGTGTGTGTACGGCAGGCCATGGATGTTGCTTCTTTGACGCAGGATGTTGATATTAACAGTACTATGTAACTGAATTGACCGGCCTCTCAGCTGAGAACGGTGGGCTCGATGGTAAAACATACAACCTGCCTCTCCTCCCACATAGTACGGATATATAAGCATCCATCGCAGGATAGGCCGATTAACTGGCGGTGGAGAGATGCACACAATGCATCGACATCAAGCAAACCCATGTCTCGCATACTATGTATATCTATAAGTCGTGCACACTGTATGACCTGGGAAACTCCGTCTTCTTCTCCGTCTTCTTCTCCGTCAAAGGGAGCCCCCGGCATTATTACTCTAACTGGTTAATCTCAGGTTATCGTCCTTTCTCTCTTCTTTCATCTTCCTTGATCCAAGTCACCAAGGCACACTTGGGTTAATCTTGTTGGCTCTTAAGCTTGGGGGGCAAGCCTCCTTGCTCCCCCGTCGTCTGTTTCACCACGCAAATCATCGACCCCCTTTTTTAATTTGATAGCCGCGTGGGTCGTCTTCCTTTCCCTCTTCTCGCTCTCCTACTTCTTGTTTCTCTTTTTTTCCATGGGGATGTTTTGTTTTTTTAAGGTTCTCTTCTAAAAACAACCCTAGCCTCGGACTTTGTCTTGCAAAAAAGAAAAGAAAAAGCCGTTGGAAGTGGATGCGCTCTTTGTTCGTTCTGTGACCTGCATGGAGATTTGTAGATGATAATATAGTGAAGGGGGGCTACGTCTTGTAGTACATTCTCTGCTAGCTGGTTAGCACTACGATGTCTTTTAGATATTCGATTTATCGATGAGTGTTGCAACTATCGGGTTTGGAGCAGTTCAGAGAGCTCTAGAGACGTAAAGATCAATATATAACATGGCGATTCTAGCTTCGAGAAATATATACAGGCACTGTTCCTGGAATAGAGCCTGGGTATAAACACAAAACTCCCTCCTAGGGGTCCTCATCCATCCTCGTTTGACGAATGAGGTCGAGCGTCATCCTCTTTGCCTTGAGCTGGGCATTGTCACTATGTTCAAGAATCGTTGTAATGCCAGATATTTTTGCGATTTCCATGGCGTTATGACCGTTCGAGTTGAGGAGAGTAATATCCGCTCCGTGCTTCAGGAGCAAACGTATCATTTCGGGGCAGCGCTCTTTGCAGCTTCTCATAAGCGGTGTAAGCATGTCATTATCTTGAGTATTGACATCTGCTCCTCGCACCAGCAGCCTCTCGGCAGCGTCCACGCATTCCCAATTGACAGCAGTATAGATCGGGGTTTCACCTCTGTGATTCTTTGCATTGACGTTCGCACCGAGTTTGTCAACTAGGGTCCTGATATAGCTATCGTGTTCTATGTTACGGGAATGGAGAGCGGTGTTGCCTTCCTCATCTGCAAGATTCACTGAAATTCCTGATCGCACGAAAATCTCGATCATCGAGTGTTCAGCTTCCTCTACGGCTAAATGGAATGGCGTCGCCCACCGCGGTTGAGTACGTGCAGGATCTGCTCCGTGTCGAAGAAGTAGTTCAACCATTGGTTCACTTTTGGACTTCACAGCAAGGTGAAGCAAGGTATCGTACGTTGCGTAGCAGATTGCATCGACATGGAATCCATCGTCCACAATGGAAGAAATCACCTCTCCAACTTCGAATGAAATCGCATCACACAATGCAGTGCTTTGCTGGTATTCTTTTGAATCCTGCTTTGCGGATAGATAGTTGAAAAACGCACAAAAAGCCCGCGGCCGCCCGTCTTGCGTGGGTTCGAGTTCCGGTTTTTCTATTGCCGCCGGCTCATCCGTACATCTCCATACCAAATCCGCTAATTTCCGCGATGGATGGTGGCGAAGAGCGTCAGCCGCACATATCCATCCTCCCTGGCCCTCTAGATATTGTGCAAGCTCGTCGTGCTCGCAATCCAGCGCTAGGGCAACAGGCGTCTTCTCTTCAAAAGTTATTGCGTTGACATCGGCACCATTCTCTATGAGCAGTCGAGCTGCCTCGATGGACCCGCCCCTAGCGGCAAAGTGAAGTGCGGTCGACCCGGTCCTTCGACATCTGTAATTCGCCCTATCTATCAGGAGTTTCAAAATGTCTATAGATCCATATAGTGCCGCCAGGTGGAGGGCACACGCAAACCTCCCGTTTCTGCGTTCAGATGAGTTGTCTTCGGCATCCTTGTACCTTTCCAGATGTTGCCGAACAACAAGTTGATTCCCTCGTTCAATGGTGATTGCCAGTACAGATCTAGCACGGCCCTCTGGCGATTCGACTTCGTGCTGGTATTGCTGCCGCAGGAGCTTGAAATAATCGTCGCGGGAGAAGAGAGAAGTGCGGGAGCGAACAGCTCCAGTGAGATAACGGCTTCCCGCGAGCTTCAGGCTGTAGTAATCAACCACGGGTAGAAATGAGAGAATAGAGTCGATGAGCTCGAACGGCAGGCATTCGATGGCTGGTGTAGTAGCCATCTTCTGTGGCCTTACCGCTCATATCAATAGTTGCATTGTATATAGTTGAAGCAGATGTGACCCAACTATATATACCTTGCGTCGGTTGTCTCCAGGCAGCAGCGGGCTCGCTGGTGACTCACTGTTGGATTCACCCATGGCCCTGTGCCAACTGAAGTTCACTCCACAGGACAGTCAGTAGGTTGCATAATGGCTGTGCCCAACAGCCCATTTATAACTGCATACTCGCAGTGCATGTATCCAGAATGTTGGTCTTCCGGATGACGGATTGAGACAGGGTGTTTGTTTGCCTTGTTTGCCGTGCTTATCTAATTTGATAATATCACGTGAACTTCTTACTCAGCTTGTTCTTGGAGCCTCAAAAAAACATCCTCGGTTTCCTCCTTAACCATGTATGGGCTTCAAAGTCACCACATAATACTACGCTTGGAAGAGCTCTGGCCGCTTCCAATCTTTATTCCAGGCCCATGTTTGACATTCAGCTTATAGCCTTTGTACGTTTCCTAGGTCACACCAGAGAGGAACCCGCGCGATAGCATCAGACACAAAAGGGCTCAGTGGGCGCCCATGTCTTACTATGAAAGGACGTTATAAGGGTCAGATGGGCGGGAATATTTAGATCTTTCGCCGTTGGGTCACACACCGAGCCAGTGATGTGAATGTGGCAGTCGTTCATGCCTCTGACTGCTCAGCCAGCTCTAAATATCCACTAGTTATTTGGTGCTTAGAGGATAGCTCTCCCCGAGACATAGGGACTTGAAGTTGATATCGTACATACGATCCTCGGAGAAGATACAGACCCTGCTATTGTTAAGTTGCGACAGCAGGCACGAGATATTTAGATCAAGAAGTTACCCATTTCAACAATATCTTGCATAACACCCAAAAACAAGGGAGATGGTTTCAAAGAAATCTAAACAGGTACACACTATGTTTTCTACACCTCCGGAGTGTAAATTCTTAGTAAAAACCACTAATATACTATAATATTGTCGATTAGGAATTTTCTCCGATATCCAGCTCACCGAGCAGTTTTAAGACCAAATTATGTCGATAATGGATACTGTAAATGTACAAGTTAGATGGCACCGTCTACACGGATACACACTGATCGAACCATCTGAACTCCTCCGGATAACGATCAGCTCCATTAGAGAACAGCAGGATAAGGATAATAAGCAAGATATTCAACCCGGGAGTTAATCTGCAGGTCTCATCGGCTTCAGGAAAGGACGCTCCGCGGGACTTGCAGAGAAGGACTAGGAAGTTCGCTTACCCTTCGAGTACACAAGGCAGAAATTGAACTTGGACGAAAGTTGAAAAATGGAAGCTGAATATTAAGGTCAATGATAATGTCATTGAATCCATAACGTACAAGCTTAGCGATGCTTCAGCTTACACTTAATATTCCCCCTTAACCCCGTATGGAGGGCGTCCGGGTCCTAGCCTACTAATTGCCTTGTCAATTCGTCCACCCTTGGAGGAGTGGCCCTTAGCCTGGTCGATGATAACTCCTGTTGACGGGTAATATACATCTCTCTGCCAAGGGGTTGTCTGGTATCCCAAGTACGGAGTAATACTTGGCTGGTTCCCTCCTGCTCTCGATGTGGAGACATAACCACCCTTGGCAGAGCCTGTTTTGATGGCAACGTTCGTATATCTTCGATCTTCTATCCAGGCGTCTGTTTGAGTTAGTTACTATGTATGTATGTCCGTGGAATAAGACTGTAAGGGGGGTAGAGGCGTCCTTTGTTTGAGGTCCAGGATGGTCATGCAGGGTCACTACAGTCCTAATTAAGCATCGCCTCCTTGGGGAAATCCTTCGTCTTACAACGTTGAATACGAACTCGTTAAGCTTCTTGTTGTCTCGGGTTTTCATCTTTTTCCTATTTGGGACCTTCATTATTTTAGTCACGTGTATTAATCAGCATAGATGACTAAGCTTATTTCCGTGAAAGAAAAACATTGCCTTGTTATGCTAGCTGTTATGTCGGTTGCTTGCTATGTGAGTGTGCTTGCTATCTGCAGAAGGATGGCAACCTTGGCCACATCCCGTAATCAACATGAATCTAATCCCCAACATTATCACCACTTGATATCACTGCAGAAGAAAAAGGAAAAACGAAATCAAAAGCACGAAACCATATCATACACCTCCATGTGATCCAGATTAAATCACCAGCATTTTTACTCTGATATTCTGGTGTTTGGAAAAAAAGACCTTGTATCAAACACCCTCTTCTTGGGTTGTTGGGTGTTGTTGCTCCTGCGCTGGTTCACCTAGAGAGTTGCCCTTTGTAACATGTTCTAGCCAGCCGTTCACATGGGCACGAAGGTCATCCATGGCCTTGTTTGCTTCGTTGATCTTTTCGCGCGCTATAGCCTCAAGTTTCAACAGCTCCCTCTTGTAGACGATGTCCACCGACTCCTTGATGGCGTGATTCATGCTATCGTTGGAACAGCCGGGTTCTTCAGCAGTGTCGTCGACAACGATGACTTCTGATAAGAATGTCGGTCAGTATATAGGCTACTGCCTTGTTGAACAATGATGAATAAAGGATTTGGATTACCTTGTTCGTCTTCCCTGCTTGCGGAGGCCTTAACGTTTTCGCTTCCACTCTTGTCATCGCTAATGGCTTCACATTTTCTCTTTCTTCCTCTCTTGCGGCAATGAGCTTCCGCTGGCAGTCACGGCGGTTAGATTGATTATGTTCCCACCCCCTTCTCTGATACCAGATTCCATGGAGATAGCAGACAGGTCAACTTACGATCAGTGGCATCAACAACTCGACGGTGCTCACAGCGTTTCCTCTTTTGACGACATGAATCGCAGACCCTTGTCAACCGCTTGCCCGCTTGAAGATGGGGGTTCGGTGGTTGGAATCGCTTCTATCAAAGTGAATTCATGTTAGCTAATTTCTTTCTTTCCCTCTTTCTTTGAATATTATAACCCCTCTCCTTTTTCATTGCAAATGAGGAAGGTAGACTTACTTTCGTACCCTTCATCCATTCCTTTCCCATGTTTCGGAATCATGTCAGTGAATCTGACACGTAGAAAATACCACAAAGGGGGGCTATCATTCACTTACGCGATTGGCCTGTGCGAGGTGGTAGCAGTCATTGCACACAGGGGAGTTGTAGAGCGTCCCTGTAGCCTCTGCGGCCCAGCATCTCGAGCAGACGTTGCTGCGAGCGGTCACCTCCTCTGACTTGACTGACTGAGAGTCTTCGTCTGCCTCAGCCGTGGCAGACGGATGGCCCTTGACGGGCTTGCACTCCTGAGCTCTCGTGCTCGAGGAGGCACTCTCAGCGTCAGAGTCTGTTTCCAGGGCTCTTTCGTCGCCCTCCTTGCGGAGGTTGTCTCTGCACGGATAGCAGAGACCGGTCTTGCCATGAATGGCCCTCTTGTTGCAAAAACGTCCGCAGTAGGTGCAGCGGACGACCATCTCCTCGGTCTCGGACTCCTCACTATATTCCCATGTTATTGAATGCCCCATCTTGAGAGTCTCTTCTCAGATATATCTTCTTCTCCGATCGTCCTTTTCAACTCTTCTGACCTGAGATATATATCCCAACGCGTACGTGACAGAGGACCTGAGGCAAGTAGTAGGAAGGCTTACCTAGGGAGTCCGGCCCTTATCTGTCCGGGAGTCCTTTTTCCTATTTTCTTTTTAGCCATGTTTAGCTACACGTTGTAGCATGATAAACATAACAATAACCAGGACAAAAAGGGTATAATGAATACTGGTTGTCCGGCAGTAACATGGCAAACAAAAGGAGAGAGAAGAAGGAGAACGGCAGAAAACAACGAGAAGAAGTCTTTAAACAAGAAAGTGCACTTTTCTGCGGGCGTCAAAGAGGGAGAGGAGGGAACCATACCCTGACGACGAGAGAATTATCTTGCCTGAAGAGAATAACGGCCAAGCAACCCTGCTCTGGTAGACAAAGGCTTTGTTTTTCTTTTGTCAGGCTCTCTTCACACACTGCCCTGGAGCTCTCCGTAAATGGGTGATGTGATGCCGGTCTCTTCTTTCAAAACTGTTCCTTGTTAAGATAGTATACGCGGTTGTCAAAGAGCTGCTGGTCTATCAAGACAATCTTGATACGGGAGCCTAAGATCCAAACTGCGCGTGTGGGAAGGGAATAATGTTCCTGTAAAGAGAGAACAGAAGAACAGAAGAAGAGAAGGCTGTTTTGTGTGAAGAAGGCTGGGACGAAGCGAGGTGTGTTGTGTTATTGATGAGCTTTTTCATCTCACTTCACTTTGGTGTTGTTGATATGTCCTAAAAAGAGTAAAAAAGGGCAACTACAAAGAGGACATTGAACTATTGAGTGTACGTCTCTATCAAATCAATAGGCAGTCCTCTTACAACGCAGGCCAACATGGACAGAGTGTATGCATGTATACATCTTCCGAATCTTGGTGTCAAATCACGGCCATAACTGCTCTCCTTTCCACGTGGATGAGGTATCAGACTGTACCAGCTCCCATCTGAACCTCTCATTTCTGTTGTTCCCTGGCCCCTCATCATGGATGTATTCAACTTCCTCAGGCTTGATAACCACAACCCTGAAGTTCTTCCTCGCCACGGGATTGTTCAAGGCGCTAAGCCCTTCTCCTCCATCCCTTAGAACCGGTGCAGGTCCCGACTTTGGTGCTCCAGGAAGATCTTGTGTAAAGGTTCCTATAAAAGAGTTAAAAAAAGATATGATACACCGATCTCAACAACCCTATGAACGTACCTCTCATGCCAGGAGAAAGATTGGCAAAATGAGTGGTTATCTCCGTCTCCCAGCTCCATGGCTTGTCTGAACCCTCACCACGGAACCGCATTGATTTTTCAATCTCCTGTCTAGCCTTCAATTCAACGGGATCCGAGTTATCTCCGCCAACGACGTATGCCTTCCCTTTTATCCTCCACTGTGCAAAAGCCTTAGGTGACCAAAAGAGGCACTCCACCGGTCCGCTGACTTCGCCGCCAGCACTGGCCAGGATATGTCTGACTTTCTCGGATCGAGCATCAGTCGTGATTGTCAACATGTCACTCTCATATTTTCTCGGGTTTAGATAGGAGGTATCTCCGTCATCTTTCTCTCGGGCTGAACCTGAAGCTGACTCCATGTCACGCCTCGCATTTGGATGTAGTTGCAGGTCAGCGAAAAAGCCACGCAGAACACAGGTCCTGACCCGTGGGACTGCGTTACCGTCTGGGCTCAGAGACACAGTTGCAAGTGATAACAGTGGACTGCCCGTAACTTGGACATGTTCCTCGAACAGTGAACGCCACGGTGCGGTCCTAGCCATGACTGATGTTTGTACTATGCCGGACAACCCCCTAACCAGACACAATGTGTATATAAAAATCAAGTAGAAGAGCTGTGTCTTGAGATATCCCGTTCACTTCTTCAGGGGCGTCCCTCGATTTGCCAGGGTTTGATGTGGCCGCGAGTGGGTATAATTCCAATCCACTTGGCTTTACCGTCCGTCCCCAGCCTCAACGAGGCCGGGAAAAGAGCAAAAAAAAAGTAATCCGTCCCTGGGAAGGCTCGAACTTCCAACCTTACGATTACCGAACTTCTTATTCTTGATGTTCTAACAGTCGTACGCGCTAGCCAATTACGCCACAGAGACTTGCTTGTTGGTGTCGGGCCGCCCAAAGAGTACTATCACCGTATAGGTGAAAGTGAAGGGCAGCAGATGGTAGTAAGCCGCAGTTGTTTGTGGGTTATATGTAGTTTTGTGGTTGGGACATAGAAGTCCTTTGAACAGTCAACTTCTATTACTGACTAACCGAGTTGTGCTTTTTTTGTGGCGTTTCGACTTAGCTGATGACTAAGGTTAGCGATACCAGAGTAGTTGCTATAGTATAGATGACTTCGTCTCGGATAGCAAGGTAACTGAAGTGTGTAAAGATAGTACACTATATATATGAAATATGATATATTTACTGGTTAATATAACCGTTGGTTGTTCATATTCAACTTGCCGTCGCTTCTACCCTGATTATCTGATCTAGATAAAGTGCACGTGACACAGAACGTCAGTTCTTCTTTTTTGCGTATCTTCGAGCTTTTGATAACAAAAAAAAGCCAGCAACAAGTCAAGATATCGAGACTGAACAGCCCAGAGAGAAGGAGCAGAGCCGGTAAAGATGCGTCTCACAGTTGAATTGATCCAGAATTCACTCTCATACCTCAACCCTTTAAAAGAGCGCGAGCTAGATCTTCGAGGTGCGTAATGACAGAGAAAGCACCCTAGTCAAATCTGAAAAGAGCCAGATACTACACTTTTTCTTTCCTGTTCTTGGTGAAACCAAAACATACACACAAATGGAGCTGCGTTGATACTATCATTATACCCTTCCGGGGACGGACTATATAGGGCACAAAATTCCTGTCATTGAGAATTTCGGAGCGGCCAAGGTGAACATCGCGGTCTTGCACATATGTTTGTACAATTTTGAAATCTAACTTCGCTAATAGGACCACGATGCAATCGATTTCACCGATAACAGCATCTCCTCGATATCTAACTTCCCCTTCTCACCACGATTACGGTCTCTTCTTCTTGCCCGGAATCGCGTCTCCCACATCCAACCCTCGCTAGCCACCTCAATTCCGAACCTGACAACCTTGATCCTCACAGCAAACAATTTCTCAGAGCTAGCGGATCTAGAACCGCTCAAGACGTTCCCAAAATTAACGCATTTAAGCCTGTTAGAGAACCCAGTGACGAGGAAAGAGGTACAATCCCCGCCACCATATTAGCTGAACTTCAGTTATCGCAAACAGCTAATATTGATATTTCTAGCATTACCGATACTGGATAATCTGGATCGCGCCAACAGTACGCTTCTTAGATTATCAGAAAGTAAAAGATGCCGAACGTGAAAAGGCAAAAGAACTATTTGGGCCATCGACAAAACAGCCTACGGCCTTGGCGTCGAAAATACTAGGAATAAAGTCTCGCGCATTCGACATATCTGCTACCATCGGTACAGCTGCATCTCCCTCTTCATCAGGCGGTGTGGGCGGCGAAAAGCCACTGCGGGTTAAACTGACGCCCGAGGAGAGGAAGCGGGTTGAGAAGTTGATTAGAGAAGCCAAGAGTTTGCAGGAGATCACAAAATTGGAAAAGGAGTTGAACGAAGGGCGAATACCGCGTGGTGCTGCCGATGCTGATGCTGATAATGATGTTGAGATGTCTTGAAGCTACGACACAGGCTTAATCATTTGGGTTGGGGGGTTTTTTTTTCATATGTATGGTGTTTATAAGAGGGCTCTTCTACACAAAATATTCAAGGTCAAATTAGTTCTATACTCAAATGGCACTTGCATACTTTTTATCTATGGAGTACGATGAGGAGCCGTATCTCTGTCAACTCGTAAATAGTACTTGTTCGTGCGTCTTGGATGCCGTTTATCTAGACATGGCATGGAAATATATATATGTAACTTCATACAAGCAGAATACAATATCGTGCCGTGAGCTAACAAAAGAAACAGACATCACATAAGCCGAACAGCTTTAGAAAACACCAAACCGTAACACCATTATTATATACAAACACAACTCCGTATTGACACTCGGAACAGGGACATTGGTATCATTTTTTACGAGTTCGTAAGTGGCGTAGAATGTCGAGTAGGACTTGTTGCCCGGGACTTTCGACCGATAGTCGTTGGCGCAAGAGCAGGTGAGTATAGCCTTTCCCTACTCTCGGTCCTGATCACAAGCCCACGTCTGTCCATGCAGTTACTAATACTCGCTAGACTGAGCGATGATGAATTGTCAAAATTATATTTGGGGCTCTGGAGGTGAGGTGTTCGACGGGCGCCGGTGATGCCAGGGGGTGGTGAGGAAGAAGACTGGGAATCTTCGTCTGAATCCATGCTTCCTAGCTCAAAATCTCGATGGTCACCCTCCTCGAGAACACGTTCGTAAGAGACTGCTGGGCCCCGCCTAGAGAAAAAGGGTATCTTTCCCCTGAAAAAAGGGACTTTTCTTCTCAAGTTGCCTCCTCCACCACCACTACCACGTCCGAATCGTTGGATGATTTTACGATAGATGCGAGACCGGCGTTCTCGACCGAAAAGGAAGAAAATGACTATTAAAACAATAAGAGCAAAAAGAAATAGTCCCGGGAGGCGACGGGGGGAGTCTCCGTCAAATATGGAGTCATGCCAATGCTCACTTGTACCGTTCTTACCAGAACTAGGTTGTGACGGGATATGAGGTTGGTTTGAGCTAGGATATTCGAAATCGTCGGGGATCTTGCCGGGGACATTGCTGCCGAACCCAACAGGCAAGCTACCCTTAGCTGGGGGCACTTGGGATGAAGCGTAGAGGACAGCCTTTCCGAGGGTCCAGCTCACTTCTGTTGCATTGATCTTGTTTACTGCCTGGAATGGGTCAATATAGCTATTCTTGTGGCCGTGCTTGCCGTGTTCTGCAAGCTCTTCGGTGACACTGTTGGTATTATTGGTAGTGGATCCGCCTCCGGCCCGTGGTATGCCAATACCGTCATGGAGGATGTTGATAATCCACGCTGCCTTGAAGCAAACCTCGTAGGCAGTTTCCTGGTCAACCTTGCCCCATTTCTTTTGTTCAATGCCATCCTTGATAACATTCCAGGGCGTTGAACAAAACTCATTGACACGCATCTGATAGGTCTTGAAGTCATATGCCTTGTCTTGATGGCCCATCTCAAATATTTCATGGGTTGTATGCCAGTACTCGCTAATGCCAACAAAGTGATTGACATCAAAGTCAATTGCAGGGACGTGCACTCCGTTCAGCAAACAGGGTTCATCCTCGCAAGGAACATCTTTAGCGAGCAAGGGGATCGTTTCGTGCAGGCACTGCTCAAATTTTCCATTGCCTACCAGGTACGGATCTGTGCCAGCTACTGGGCCGTCTGGTGGGAGAACGGCTCCTTCTAGAGTTGCACGCAAACCTTCCGGAAGACAAGGGTCAGGGTGTTGCCTGTTAACTACGTCAGCAGGCGATCCCTCCAGGAGAGCCTTCACATAACGTGTCCTCGCCTCTCGAACGCCGAATCCAAGCCAGGAAGTAACGAAAACGTTATATTCGGTTGATTGCCCGTTAAGCTTCCTTAGACGCAGCAGCGTCAGGTCATTCGCGTGTTTCTCTGCTTCTGTCGAATTCGGCGCAAACGCTAGCTGTGCAGAAGCACCGCCCATGTCCAGAAAGCCATACGTGTGGTGTCCCTTGCCATGATCGTGGGCCTTTGGTTCGTCGAAACCACCTAGAAGATAATTCGTCGCGATCCAGCCATAAAGTCCTTCGGTTTTCCCATCAATTACTTTTATGTGGGCGCCGCAGTCTGGTAACAGAAAACCAGAATTGTCGCTGATGTAGGAACATATATTTTTGAGGATTTCATTCTGTTCGTTCTCGGGGAGCAACCTCATACCAGCTGTCGCAAGGAGGAAAATTGGCGTGTCCTCAACCTCATTACGAGGGATTATGGAGCGTACATGTTGGAGGAGCTTGTGTAGGTGATCCGGGCCAACGTTCTCTGGGGCTTTGGAGAAGGACGAAACACCTAGGTAGATAGTAATTCAGCAATTGAGCGAGCCAGCATATCTTGCACACAAATGTCGGGTGTTCTCGTACCAGGTTTTATCTTCTTCGTCCATTCCTTGGTGGTTTCGATGTGTGGCAACCTTTCTAGGTCCTTACTACCGGCGCCCTTTCGCCCTTTCTTTGGCCATCGATAGACATGTGCCCTCGTTCCCTGGAGGCCATGGGGCAGGTACACTTAGCTATGTTGCTCTGCAGAAGCCGAAGTAGAATGGTTCGTTGTAAAGGCGGCATAACTTACGGACGATCCAGCGTCCAAAACTATCGCATACTTCCCTAAATAAGCAACGAGCGCATATGTTAGCGAGATCAATCCTAAACGAAACGGACTAATATTGCCGCTCGACTTGAAACAGCACGGAGTGTATACATACATCTCCCCATATCTCGAGTATTAGATGAATATCAATATACAACTTTGTCACCATAACATAACGACCGTCGTCTCCAGAGAATCGAACCCGGAATGTAACACTGATTAATATAGCTAAAAGAACAACACCGGCATCTGCGGCATTTGCGGTAATAGAAGGAATTATATGGATTATCGACTCGAGTCCAACGGTTGCCCTGAGGTAGGGAAAAAAGGCTGAAACGAGATCTGCGTCTTGCGCTCGTGTCCTTCAGGAACGCAGTATCCGATGAACGAGTGGCGGGTGAAGATGACCGGCGCTGGGGTTGCCTGACGATGGACAGAAGAGAAGAACAGAGGATCGAGGTGGTGTTAAAGTAGCCAACGACGGTTACAGCCATCCATCGCCTTAATATGAAGAAGAGCGCGCATAAAAAAGAGTTGTTGAAAGTGAAACACAAAAAGAGGAAAAAACAAACTTTCGATGACAGCATCAACGCCAAGACTTTGAATTCTTTTTTTTGGACGCGTAAGGTGGATGAGTAAGCACATCACGTGATTATACAGCCTTTCGTCCGTTTTTGGTGGAAGCAGAAGATGAGGAAGTTCTTGATGGCGATGGTAGGATCAAAGGGCCGCTTGCCACCAAGCTGTGGACACCTTTGGTTGTCTGAGGGGAAAGTTACAGTGTTTGATCCTTTGGGGGTGGCCTTCTCCATAGTACAATACTCAATAATCAGCACTGATATCGGTGCATCAAAGGATAAACAAGATACGATGGTAGCATGGACAAAGTATGTATGTATCATTATAAAGAAGATCGTTCTTGGGTACTGGGGTTGGCCCCGTTCTCGTGCTGAAAATGCTACATGATAGGGTATGCGTAGTAAGTTTGATAGACAGCCGACGTCGTACGGATGTACATTCAAATGAGCCAACAGACTTGACTTATCATGCGCTATTATAAATGTTCTTGTTACAATATGTGTCCAGTCCAATGGTTATATGGCGGATACATTCACCAAGTTTCCTGACAAGGCAAGGTTGTGCCCCTCCCCGATACAGTGATTGAAGGGATAAGTCTTCGATATTACTGCGAATTATTAACTAGGGTTCTACGGGTACAAAATCTCGAAAGTATCACGCCATGTTACATGCTGAATGAGGGGTATGTAATGATATAGAGACTGTTCGTGCATACATGGTCAGTTGGCATATCTTCGGGTTGATGTATGTGTTGTGGTTAGGGTTTCGGGGTTACAGCTTTGATGCTGTGTCAATTGCTCGTCGTCTTTGTATCTGCGAGGATAGTTCAACTTCTCCATCATCAGAGGCCGGCTTGACTGGCTTGGCTCTCTGGAAGAGGGTTCTTCCCATGGTCTCGCTCAGCTCAAGAACGCGAGAAGAGATGGTTTCCCCATCACGTCGGTTTTTTCTTTATTAAAAAAAATAAGGTTAGCCGGGCTTGCCGACGTGTATAGGATTCTCAAATTTAACTCACCCTTCACGGCGCGATTGGGCAATCATGCGGATAAACTCCCACAGTTTCCCTTGTGGAAGCAACTTGTCTGTCTCGGGATCCCGCTTGGGGGTCCATTCAGGTGAGAGGCGCATCGTCGGTGGTTCGCGGGATTCCTTACTCTTAGCAGTGATGATGATGCCCTCTTCCTCAAACCGTTGATAAGAGTTCTTCAAAATCTCCTTGTTGACAGCTTCAATATAAGAAAGCTCTCCTTGGTAATATAATGTTTTTCCAAGCTACATTCGTTAGCATGTTAATAAATGAGCGAACCACTGTACTGCAGCGTACGGTTTAAGACGTACCAATTGAGCATTGCTTTGTGCCTTGTTCATATCAACCCAGACATTGGCCGGGTCTGTGAGCGGTGGTGTTAAACCAATAAGGGAAACTGTTCCCAGCCAGCACGCCTCTATAAACGGCCACAGCAGGAAGCAGTAGAAATCGTAGTTTTCACGGCCACAGTTCCTCTCATGCTCGCTAAGCTCGATCATTTTAGGAACATTCAATCCATCCTTTGTAACCTTGATCACATTTCCTCGTTCCAGGCCATGCAACGTCTTCTCAAGATTGGCCGTTAGACCTTCTGGAGGGAATATAAACTCGCCTCGGAACAGCTATAATACTTGATTTAGTCCACATCCTTGATCTGGTTAGGAGACACTGGGAAATACATACTTGTGATAAGAATGATACCCGGGTAAGAAGTTCATCATAAGAAATCTGTTGGTTGGATGGCCCCCCACCTTGCTTGACCCGGCTATAAAGGGCAACAGATACCAAAGCCTCAGGAATGAAAAGGTGGATGGTCATGTTTCGGTAGAAAGACAGCTGGAATCGATCAATGACATGGAACGTCTCTTCCGCAAGACCAACCGTCCTCCCAACAAGCTTCGGACCTAAAACCTCTAGAGCACGCTCTACAACCTGTGCAGTCGGGGCTCTATAAAAATGCGCAACCCGTCCACCTTTCTCCTTGACACGCTGACATAGCCAATCTACTCGTCGGGATAGTTCGGCTTTGCCGACACCCCTGCCTCTCAATGTCAAAAGGACTGTCCCTACAAGTGCAGTGGGCATGATAACTGAGGCATCGTTGATCTGAGAAAGGACGCGATATCCAAAAGTGCGAAGGATTCGTGAACGTTCCTCCTGGCTAACATTTGCCATGAGGTTTCGCTCAGATGGCATCTGGTGTATTTTGGTAGTCTGTTGAGTAATGAAGTCTTTCAAACTCCACGGTTCATGAAATCGAACGTCAATTCTGCCAAGTTTTAGCGAGAGGACGGAAGAAGCTGAAATAAAGTCTCTTAAGTTCTCCTTTTGTTTCGGCTGACCGAGAAGCTCGCTGATGTAAGATTCAGTTTCGATAACTTTGTCGTACTGAGTGCTGACCGGGCATATAAGCGCGTCCTCCACACGGCCAGAACCAACACTGTCCAAAATATATCTAAGAATACCATACTTTGGTGGTAAGAGTTTGCCTGTTCGAGACCTACCACCCTCGACAAAACACTCGAAATTATGACCGTTACTTAGAAGGGTATCAATGTATGCTTGAACAAGAGCATGGTATAATGGATCGTTTCCAAACTTGCGCCGAATCCACATAGCACCTAGATTGGTATTATAAGCTTCCTTGGACTTTATAACTCAACAATCCGAACATACCTGCGTGTTGCAAGAAGCTCCCAAGTAATGGGATGTTCAAGTTGTCACCAGCTACAACGACAGGAAGCGCAATCCCCAGACGATAGCATATAACTTGAAGAGATGCATAGTCAACATGAGACTTGTGGCAGGGCAAGAACACAATGGACTGTTTCTTTTTTGCTGCTTCCTCGGCGACTTTCCTAAGCCGCAGCACCTCCTCGCTAGAAACGTGGATTCCTAAGGCACAGAGCTGTTATTCCAGGCGTTCAACCAGTTCAACGCAAACAAAACCCTCGCCTACCTTGGTGGTATGCCCTGGTCAGGGCTTGGGTCGTAATGTAGTAAGCTCCCCGGATAAAAGACTTGCTCTCCATCTTACAAATCATATTATCCATCATGGTATCAACTACTTCACGCAAGCTAGCCGCGATCTCCTCCTTTCTCCTGGCGCGCGCATCGACACTAGGCCCTCCATTAGAACTCGCCGGCGCTGTAACATTCAGCAGGCCTTCCTTCTCCTCGGTCTTGACCCGGAACTCCGCTAGCTCTTCGATCTTGCCAACAAGCGCGGAGTGGTTAGCTACCGAAGATTTCATCTTCTCAGAGAAGCCAGAGTAGAAAATAGGCTGGCCAATGAAATCATCGTATGCACGCCACCCGGTACCTGACACGAAGAGGCTGATTTCACGGAAGAAATCAAAAGGGTTTTCTCGAAATCTGCCCATCTGGTGCATCAATCGTCGCTCAGTAACGCCATCTGTTCTCTCGAGCCCGGCCGTGAACCCAGTAGGTTGGATTCTGACCTGATCTCCAACGATTTCAAGGTCTGGTGCCAACTTTGGTACATCCGCAGGTCCCTCTTTCGCAGACATCGTTGCGATCAAACGGTGTAAAGAGCTGTATTATGGAAGTAGAAAGCTGCCAATTATAACACCTTCGACATCTCTGCTCAGTAACACACCGGTAACAGGCTGAAGAAGAGAGAAAAAAAACAGGATCGCAGTTCACTCCCCTTTCTCACTCTCGTAGAGGTCGTAGCATGCCAGAACAATATCCCTGTTGTCTCTCTGCTCTCTTCTCTTCCCCCATGCTTGTCCATCTTTTTAATCTTCGTCTTTTTTTGCTTTTGCGGAGATGATGACTAACCTCGGCCCGGGTCACCTGACACCCAACAAAAAAGAGCCGAGGCGGCTTAAAAGAGAAAAAAAAAAGTGACAACAGCAACGCCGAAGAAGACATCACGATTAGCTGCTGTCTTGAGGGTCAGCGGAGCGAAAAACTCTTCACGTCGACCTAGGATGTAGAGTCGAGACAGTCTGGCATCGCGCGCCGTCCTTTTTTTTTTCTCTTCCCAGATGACTCTTTATTCTTTATATTAGAGTATCAAGCCGGCTATTTAGTTCAAACGATGTGGACTAGAAGAGTCTCCAGTGAGCCATTGGGTGTCCCTCTTTAGCATATTATATCATGTACCTAACATATTCATCGTTAGTACTACCCGCAAGGCTTGCTAGCCATCGTCGATGCCTGTCCCAGTCAACAATCGCAGTATTTAGGGATGTGCCGCCACTCCGGAAATATAGGAGAGACCTCCTCATTTCTGGTCGAACTGTGGGCTTTGTGCCTACAATGGGTGCCTTGCACGATGGCCATATGTCCCTAGTTCGCCAGGCCGCCCAAGAAAACACTGATGTCGTTGTCAGCATATACGTGAACCCGACCCAGTTTGGTGTAAACGAGGACTTGGACAGCTACCCTCGAACGTGGAATGAAGACTTGGAGAAGCTAGATGCCTTGAACACGGAATTCGAAAACAAGCCAGCGTCTGGACACGGCCGTATAACTGCAATTTTTGCTCCTACGACCAAAGTAGTGTACCCTACACTACCCCCCACCTCCGAGTTAAACGGAGACGGAAGCTTCGTGACGATAACGCCGCTCGCGAACAAGCTTGAGGGGCGTTCCAGGCCTGTGTTCTTTCGTGGTGTTGCTACCGTGTGCACCAAACTCTTCAACATGCTAACGCCCGACCGGGTCTACTTTGGCCAGAAGGATATACAGCAATCTATCATTATAAAACGCATGGTGAGGGACTTCCATATCGATACCGAAGTCAAGGTTGGCCCTACAACGAGGGAACCGGAGGGCCTTGCAATGAGCTCCCGCAACGCATACCTCGGCTCCAGGCGACGAAATGTTGGCCTGGTCTTATCTCGCGCCCTAAGAGAGGCTGAAGCCGTCTATCTATCCGGAAAGAAATCGCGAAAGGATATACTCGAAGCTGCGAATTCCCTGGCGAATTCTACTTTGGCAGGACAGGAACAACTTCCTGCGGCTAAGCGTGCAAAGTTCGAGGTGGACTACATCTCTCTTGCAGACCCAGACTCACTGGAGGAGCTGGAGCATGTTGACGAGTCGAAGGGTGCCGTCCTAAGTGGTGCCGTGAAGATGTATCCTCTGGAAGAGCCGCAAGAAGGAGAAGACTGTGGACTTGGAGGAGGAAAGGTTCCTGTGAGGCTGATTGATAATATAATCTTACAGCCTTCGTCCTGATGTCTGCTTTCGTCTGGTCTAGATAACTATATACCATAGATCCTAAGTTCCCATATTCTGTGAATATCTTGCCATAATAACAGGAAAGAGACCTGGATGTACTGATAGCTATCATTAGAGTGTTAATATATAGTCATCACATATACTTGAAGCTCTTTATATCTACCTGCCGCCGCATGCGGAACTTAGGGCTCAACGCTAGGGTCGAGGAACTTTTTTTCTTTTACTTTTTTTGCTACAAAACCATAAAATCTTCGATCTCCAAGAACAGAGAGCAAAAAGAGAGAGAGATAAACGGCGAACAACCGTCTGGTTTGCTCTTCATCATGGCGGACGATGGCATGCTTATGAACTTTGACGTTGGAGACGGGATTATCAGCTCGCAGCAGAAATTTAAAGGCGGGAAGTGGAAGGACCGCCTCGTCGCCAAAAAAATTGCGGACCACCGACACAAGAAATCAAAGCAGCCATATACCGCAGAAAACGGCAGCCAGGGCACAAGACGAGGAGAAAGAGACCATGGAGGCGCCTCCAATCGTCCACCGAAGCGGCAGAGGTTGAACAATGGGGATTTTCAACCGAGTACCGCTACCATAACTGGGGTTTCCAATAATTCTGGCAGCAAATATGCTACCGGCCCGCAAAGACAAGTCATCTCGTCGCTATTCTCGTACAATCCCGTTCCTACGACTGTTTCTATGGCGGATACGTCTACGGTGCAAGACGACGCTGAAGCTCCCAAGGCATCCAATGCACCTCTCATCGATGGAATTGATACATTTACCTCTCTCGGCCTATCACCAGAGCTTGCGGCGCATCTATTGACTAAATTGAAGCTGAAGAACCCTACCGCGATTCAAAAAAGCTCGATTACCCAGCTATTAAAGGAAAACTGTGATGGGTTCATACAGGCAGAGACTGGCTCTGGAAAGACGCTTGCATATCTCCTACCCTTGGTACAGCGGCTAATGAACTTGTCCGGTCCTAAAAATACAGAGGGAGGAAAGGGGGCAACCACTCCAATTCACAGAGACTCGGGATTATTTGCAATCATCCTCGCGCCAACTCGGGAGCTTTGCAAGCAGATATCTGTGGTACTCGATGGATTATTGAACTGTGCTCATTGGCTGGTGGCCGGCACAGTTATCGGTGGAGAGAAGAAAAAATCAGAAAAAGCCAGGCTGAGGAAAGGGCTGAATATCCTTGTTGCGACTCCCGGACGGCTTGCGGATCATTTGGATAATACCCAAGTTCTTGACGTGGGCCTTGTGAGGTGGCTAGTTCTAGATGAAGGTGACAGGTTGATGGAATTGGGTTTTGAAGAAGAGATTCAAGGCATTATTAAAAAGTTGGACTCGAAAAGGAGGCCAACGTCCAAGATTACAAACCTTCCGCCCAGGAGATTAACAGTATTATGTTCTGCTACGTTGAAGATGAACGTGCAGCGTTTGGGTGAGATGAGTTTGAAGGATGCAGTACACATACAGGCAGACCCGGCAGATGAAATAGAGGATGGCTCTTCTGAATCTGGAGATGCGCAGAAGGCCTTGGAATTCTCAGCACCAGCTCAACTCAAGCAATCGTTCGCAATCGTTGCATCAAAGCTACGGCTTGTCACCTTGACAGCCCTCCTCAAAAGCACATTTGCACGCAAGGGAACTGTTATGAAGGCTATTGTTTTTGTTTCATGCGCAGATTCGGTAGACTATCATTTCGAGGTTTTCAGTAGGAAATCCAACAAGGCCACGACAGCTGATGATGGTGAAAAGGGAGAAGACTCAGATGCCGAAAAGGCGCCTACCACTAACTCGTCTATACAGGGAACAGTAGCCGAATCTCCAACGCTATCAAATCCGACAAATTTGGTAGTACTGCATAAGCTCCATGGCTCCCTTCCCCAACATGTTCGAACCGCCACGCTCTCCGCATTCGCCAAACAAAAGGATACCTCTGTGCTAATCTGTACAGATGTTGCGTCTCGTGGTCTTGATCTACCAAATGTTGACTTTGTTATTGAATATGACCCAGCATTTTCTGCCGACGATCATCTTCATCGTATCGGACGTACAGCTCGATTAGGTCGTGATGGTCGTGCTTTAATCTTCCTCCTCCCTGGAAGTGAAGAAGGATATATCAATGTTCTAAAACGCGGGTATCGCGATGATAATGGCAAGGCCGTAACGCGCAGTGACGAAAACGAAATTTTGAAGAGAGGATTTGGTCGGAATAACGGCTCGGTAGGCCAGGGATGGGAAGAAGCAGCCACGGAATTCCAACTAGATATAGAACGTTGGACACTAGACAACCCTACCATCCTAGAAATGGCACGTCGGGCTTTCCAATCCCACATTCGAGCCTACGCTACTCATGTTGCCAGCGAGAGGGAATACTTCAACATAAAGGACCTCCATCTAGGCCATTTGGCGAAAGGGTTCGGATTACGAGATCGGCCAACGAAAATCAACGTTCCTGGCCTCCGAACCGGCAAGGAAGAAACGAAAAAGGCGTTCAAAGCAAATAGGGCAATAGATTCCGGGGATAAGAAGAATGATTCTGGCCCCAAGAATGATAGTGCAGCCGATAAGATGCGGAAGAAGATGAGAGAGCACATGGCGGCAGCTAACGAGTTCAACATTGCTTAAAAATAGGCGCAGTGGGCGATTTTTTTTATTTTTCTTTCACTCATGATTGAACGGTGGGTATGAGTCAATCAGTATATATCCCATAGCGAAATTTTTCCATCTTTTGAACCTGCTGCAATCCAATGCGTTAACTGTGCTTTGATGCTTCTCCTTTGCTTAATTTCCGCAAGCGAACGAGGTTCATTCTTCAACGTAAGTGCAGTACTCTTAGCTTCCTGGGTTGAATCGACATCTATAACATCGTCCCTGGTACCGCTGGATTCGATGTCAACCTTAGCAAACGCAATAGAGTAGCATCCTTCTTTGTGCCATTTCAAAACTGCCAGTTCTTTCATTGACTTGCAGCCGTATACCCGGATTCTATTATCCCACCCTGCGGTAGCGAAAATTTTATTATCTGCCCGGATTCTCAGCCCCTGTTGTCCAGAATGTTTGGTATTCACTAATTTGAAATGCGTCGATTCGACTCCACCTCCTACGTCGGTAACGTCGGGTTCTAGGGCGGGTTGTAACCTTGGAATCGGATGTTTAACGATCATTGCATCAGCAGATGAAGTAATGAAATATTCTCTCTCCAGAGAGGGTGATATATCAAGGGAAAGAACCGGCTGCGAGTGTGAACGGTTTGTATATAATAGCTCCCAGTTCCATGGAGAGTCGGGGCTTCCCTGTTCCGCGGCGAGTAGACGGTCGATCGGGCCTCGACAGGCATGAACCATGGCACTTCCGTCCTCGTAGCCAGATATGATATAAATCTCTTCTCCTTGAGATGGTATGAACATTTCTAGGGCCATCACCATACCGGTGTTGACTTTGTTGTCTGGCGAGATGACACATAACCGTCTTTCGGATGGCAGGTGAAAGATATCGAGGCCTCCAGTATTCAAAGCATTTGGGACTGCCAGAAGCATCTGAGGCGGGGATGAGGTTATTTGTACACCGGATTTGGCTGCATCCCCAGGCTGGATCTCCTTCGACGGGAGAAAGCAGTACGTGAACCCACAAAAGTTCAAAGCATTAACTGAGAGGGAATGTAGCAGCCATGGTTTGCCTCTCTCTTGGGTGTCACTTTGTATGTCCACGGGCAAGATGTTTCCTACCACCGCTTCATCCTTCTCATTCAATCTCCAGACGCAGAGTTTATGGTCTCTTCCATGTCTTGTTAAAAGGGTTAGAATAGTTCGTATAATACACTGAGTATCTAGAGTAAACTCACGTAAATATTCTCTTCTCCATGCCTGTTTCTAGCGCAACTTCGACTCCTGTAACGTTCAAGATGGACCCTTCATGAGCTTTCCATGTTGCAATCGCCCGTTTACTCGTGATATCCCATACGACAACCCATCCGTCAGCATCTCCAGAGATGAGTCTCGAGTTGCGGCAATAGAAATTGAGGGTGTGTATCGGGTTTGTATGTCCTCTAAGAACATATACAGGTGTAGCAGGAGGAAGTTTTTGACCTGGCTCCGAAGAGCTTTGCTTATATGGCTCCTGCGCTGCCATATTCCCTCAATTATGGGTAGAGAAGAGGTATTCCGATCGAAAGTAGATATTCTTTCCTGGGTATAATAAGCTATTATCTGCAGTATGGTTAAGACAACTACGATGAAACGCGGTTTTTAGTTGTGGGAGAAATTTGTTCTTGGCCTAAAATCTTTAGATACCAAAATGCAGTTTAGCAACCAAAGAATAAATCAACCTTACGGAGAGAAAAAGGAAAAGCCTGTGATGCTCCATATGTATATGCATTTCGCCTGCCGTTTAAGTATTCAAAACAATACTAATATGCCTAGACCCGGTCCTCTTCCATACCCATTGCTATCTAACATCATATAAAACCCATAGGCTCATCCCACCAGTCAACAATACAGGAAGAACATTAAATCTGTAGATTTTTAGCCCATCAAAACGCCAGAAGCAATAGATGACCGGAAATTAAACAATGCCGAGAAAAAAATTAAATCAATAGCTCCCTGCCGTCGAAAACCATGCGCCAATGCCTCGTATTCAAATGGTAGAAGACTTCTATTCAATTTGCCACCAGATGAAAAGAATCAATACTGACCATATTGATAATTACCTTGGGGACTGTTTTGTGGTGCAACATAGTGGTTTTGATATGGGTGGTTGGCTGCATTGAAATCAGCGGCAGCCATCATCGGGTTAACAATCCCCTGGGGAATAGTGGGCCTTGGAGGAGGAGCAAGTCCCACTTCGGGAGGTAGCAATGAAGGATTCAGGTTCATAGATGCTGTGGCTGTCGAGGTTGTGGGGATTGGGGACATCATAGGCTGTTGCTGTTGATGTGGATGTTGATGTTGATGCTGCTGTTGGTGTTGGTCCTGCGGCATCGTCTGGCTTTGTTCAGTTTTAATATTCCACCCCCATTTCTGCATGAGATCTTGCTGAAGAGCCCCGATCTTCCAGCCTGTCTCTTTGAGAATTTTATCCATGATCTCTAGTACTTGTTCCTGGGAGGCTCTGTTAACAAGGCATTCGGCTGCAATAACAAGACAGCGAATAGAAACACTAGCGACTCCCCTAAGAGATGCGGTCAGCACTGTATCCAAAGAGAACTCAACGAACGAGTAGGTAGGTAAAACACAAACCTGTCCTTGACATGTGCCACAATGCCGCAAATATCATGAGCGTGACTCTGCTGGGTTGTTAGCATCGCCTCGCTAAACTGGGATTCAGTGGGATGCGTTTTTGCCAGGAGAAGACAGGCGGTATGATAGAATAATCGAGCGACCACAGAAGATCGTTTTATCAACCTAACACTTGTCAGTATATGTGGGTTACCACGTAAAGTAAATATATGTTCCTTATTTGCTCGGGGAGCTTACCAAACTTCAGGGAAAGCTGACTTTGTCTTGGACTGCCATGACTGTAGGTATCCAAGGGGCCGCATCGACCGAGGAATACATCTCTCCCACTCATCACACCAGCCTTTCATTCTATTCCACTCCTCGCTTTGCCGGTTAATATCAACATCGTGGCTCGGTCTCTCGTGCAGCAAGGGCTGAGGGGCTGTTGCTCGATAGTTTGCGACTTTTGCGCAGATATATACTATCCTGTGGGTCCATAATTCCTCATTTCCGACCATGTTTGTATTGGCTGGCACCATATTCATATCTACACCCCATGTGTCTGGGTCCCAGGCTAGCTTCCAATTGTAATGAAGACAGCTTAGCAGCTCCATGCCGACGTTTAGCCAAAAGCATGCACCGCCGACTCCGGATGATCTACCATCCCAATGGCACTCCTTTATGAGAGCTCGGGCGCCGGCTATATGGTTCATACGCTGTGTGGCCTTTGTAGACATGACCTCGTAGACGTTGAGGACCACAGCAGTGGCGGCAGATAGAGCAGAGTCGCGATTAGGATTTTGAAGATATCCGAGCAGGTCCTGGGTGGCGGAGTTGTAGTAATATAGCGCTTTCTCCTCTTTGTAGGTAGCATTTACAAGATGCAAATGGCGAGCACCGCATGCTAGGAGGGCATTCAAGAGCATTGGCTCCCCAAGGGCATAAAACGGTATTATACGAGTGAACTACATAGCGTAAGTAGATGATCCTTAACTGAGAGAGGGACAAAGATAAGGGACAGAAATGCTCTGTCTAGATACGTACGTGTTTCATAGCATCCATTGAATCCATCCATAGGCCAACCTCTTCCACAAATACTTGCATGAGGAGTACTTCTTCCGGGGTATTCAGACACGGCCTTGGATCCCTCGGTGGTGCTAGAGTGAGCACGGGTGGCTGTGGTACAGGCTGATCTTGAACTACATGGTTAGAAGAGGACGGCTGCTGAGTGGTTTGAAACATAGATTCATACCCTTCAGCAGACGGGGCTTCAGGAAAGGTCAGTAAGGTCGGCGCATTGGCCAAGTTCTGATGGGAGGACATTGGAAATCCCATCATATTTGCAAACCCGAATCCCGGTGGTTGTTTTGTGAACTCTTCGTTTCTGATCGGACGATACCTCTCAGATCCTCCCAAGTACTCTGAAGCTATCTCCCTCGACTCGTCTCGAAAGTTGACCTGCCATGTCTGGGGGGACGGCGCAGCGTATGGCGGTGCAGCAACCTGTGTATCGATGAAATTAAGCCTCACTCCACGCTTGCATTTCCTATCGGACTTCTGGCAATTGAGACATCGTGGAACGGCCTCGTCACACTTGAGATGCCGTTCCCTACAGGTTAAGCATCCCGTCCTCACTCGTTTTGGTTTTGAAGCCGTCGTCCCCTTTGCTGCAGTCGGGCTGCTGCCGCTGGCGGTGGCTGTCGCAGTCGCAGAAACCTCATCTCCTCCACCCGCATCTTTCTTCCCAGTGCTCTTCGGCTGCTCAGCTGCCTGACCGGACCCCTGCGCAGTAGGTAGAAGCTGATAACTGCCTCTAATCTCACTACTTTCGGCCAGCGAAGGTACAGGATTCGAGGAGGACAGAGCTAGGGAAGCATCGAATTCGTTTTCCTGCATCAATTGCGGTCCAACACCGGATGCCATGGGTATCTTGGCCTCATATGAGAAGTTCCAGTATCCAGCGATGCCGATTATTGCTCTCCCTTGTTGTTTTTTGAATCGACCAGGCGACGAGGGCGGCGGGAAGAGGAGAAGAGGCGGAGGGAGAGTTGCGATTAATGGATTTCTCCCCGTTCGTTCGAACACCGTCAAGCACTTATCGCATTTCTCCCTCAGTCCGGAAGTTCAGGAGAAGAAAAGACGGTCGCAACTGGCCGTGGAAGGATTGCAATCCAGCTCAATGATGACTGGTCAGCTCAAGGGCGGCCCATAGGGCTTAGTTTTTTTTTTTTTTTCCCTGGATGTCGTACTTGCAGCTCCTGCGTCGGACGGCTTCTTGGTAGACAAGGTCGCTGCTTGGTCGGCCTCGTATCTAGCACATCAGACCTGCTGGTTAACATATATTTACACGCACACACATGCACCGTACTCGAGCAAGGGCTTACTGGTAGTTCTAGAGGGATCCTATAGCTCCGACAGCGTCCATTGGAGGGAGTTTTTTTCTTGGTTGTTGATGCTGGAGAAAAGAAGAAAAGGAAAAAAATCGTTTTATCACCAACTAGCGACTTATTTACTATAAAGTGCCTGAATTATAGACAAGGCTCACCCCTTTGCCATAGCTAATAGTTATATAGATACTGCATAGTACGTACTATGTATGTGCAATAAGTAACTAGCTGATAATCTACTTGACGCCTCCCCCCCATATAACTGTTAATTATATATCTAAACCCAGCGTTGCGGTTCTTGGGAACCAAACTTTCTGATATTTCAATTATTTATGAAAATCTCGATGAAGAGATTTAAACATTTTGCATGCCGTGCATTAGGAACGAAGATGAATATACGATTCAGAGATCATATTTGCATCTGGCCTGGCGGAGGACAAGACCGCAGCTTGGCCATCCCGTCTTTCCTTTTTCCTGGCCTGGTTTCCTGTGCTACTGGCGACGGCAAATTGATCGAAAACGGGCTGTAGGTTTAGGTAATGTAGAGATACTCCGTACTTTTTTGCACTCATTGTCCGGACTGGTCATATATCATATATTCTATGGCAAGTCGCTGATTATTTTTAGTAGGTGGGATGGCTGAAAAGGGAACCATGAAAGTGGTGATGCCGTGCGTACGCACTTACACACGGCCTAAAAAGGGCGTTCCCCAGAAAACGCTTCTGTGACATGTCGAAATAGTTTATTGACATGATAGGCATCATGACTTCTGGCCTAAACGCGCCAGCTTAACGGGCAGGACGAGGAACAAGGCAACCCAGGACCATATGATGCCGACGATGAATGTTAGACGGAGACCTTGTTCGTATGCTTGTATGACTATAGTCGGGATGATGGTTAGCAGGGCTGAAAAAGTGGAAAAAGTGTCCAGAGTAACATCAAGGCAACCGCTTCAACGTACCTTGACTTTGATGGATTGGGTCCAATCGGTGTATTTCTGTAATAGACTCGCGAACCCGTGTGATGATGGCTTGTCTATCGTCGCCAGTAACCATTTGCTTGAGAAAGAACAGAAGAGAGTTTTGCAGCGTCCAGCTACTGACCGCAACGCCAAAGACCGACCCCAGGCTGCGGAACAGACCAAGAGTAGTGGTGGTCACGGCTTGTTCAGCCTGGGGGCTGACAGAAAGCGTTGATATTAGTGTCGTTGGGAATGCAAATCCCTGGCCCAGGCTGGAAGGGATCAGAGCAAGCATGGCCACCCAACCCGGAGTATTTCTAGTCAGGCAGCTAGTAGCCACACATCCAATGATAAAGCAGCTAAATCCTAACAGAAGCGTGGGCTTTAGTTTTCTGCTCCAGGTAATGAAGAACCCGGTGGAGCCGCTGGCCACCATGATGGCCAGAGAAGACGCAAGAATCCTGAGCCCAGAGCTGGTTAGAGACTCCATCTTCACCGCCTGGAAGAACAAGGGCACGTTGAACAGGATGGTATTGATGATCATTGTTCCGAAAAAGTTTGAGAATATCAGGTTTGCCTGAGGAAATGTGGATAGGAGCTTCAGCGGCATGACAGGTCGCTGGGTACTTGCCTCGATCACTAGGAAGGGGATCACGCAGATGAGGAATGCTACAAGAGACGAGATGACGACCGGATGAGACCATGGTAGAATGTTTCCTCCGAGGTTCAGCGTCAGCAACAGAGCTGAGACTCCGGACACGAGCAGACACGAGCCTTTGATGTCGAGGGTTTTGATTGCCTGTGATAGCGTCCAGCCTTCATTCCGAGCTAGCTCTGGACCCAAGGGAGAGGGGATGGTGAAGTATGATATTATAGCGTAAACGAAGATGAATGGCAGTTGTATGCCAAATGCAGCCCTCCATCCGAGCGTGTCCGCTATGTAGCCACCGCAAGCCACTCCCAGTGACGAGCCGATGCCATTACATATATTTAGATATGACTGATACATCCCCCTGTACTCTATACGGACAAGATCAGAGCTGATGATCATCCCAACTGAAATCACACCTCCAGCCCCTAGACCACAGGCGGCTCGGGCGGCTATGAAGCTGCCAATGCTCTCAGCAGTAGCACACCACGCCGTAGTGAGCAGGAAAGTGATGACAGCGAACATGTAAACCGGCCGCCTACCAAAGACGTCTGAGATGCGGCCGAACACCGGCTGAAATGCAGTAGAAGTTAGCAAGAAGACGGTGGAAAGCCATGATGCAGAATTGGCAGCGTGAAAATGCGAAGTGATGGCGGGATGGATGGAGGCCATCAAAGTTGAGTCGAAGTTGGCCAGGAGCCACGAGAACATGATGCCAGAAAACACGGCCCAGAACTCCGTTGCGGAAACGCTGATGAAGTGAGGATGCGCGTCTGTCCTGTGGCTGGATGTGCCATCTTCGTTGCCGTGGTCGTTTTCAGGTATAATGGCCGGAACGGTGGGCTCGATTCCTTCTACGCTGACGATGGACTGGACTGGGGCCAAAATGTCAAAGCCTGGTCCCTCATCGTCCAGTTTTGGATGAAGAAGAGGTGTCTCCTCATCGACATCGCGTGCTATAGCCATTCCTCAAATGTTGACCACAACTTGCAGTCAGCAGTGTCAAATCTCACACAAGCACTCCCAAACATGTTCCAGAGCAGGCTCTTTATATGTCGATTAATGAAGCCTTGCCGAAACGGCCCCTCGTAACACAAGACGGTGAAATCTTCACCTCCAGGATTATTGTTACGAAGACGCTAATTGCTCGCTTGCCAGGGTGTGGAGCCTATAAAGGGATCTGGCTGAGACTTCTGAGCTGGAAGCAATTCGAGAAGCGAATCATCTTTACTGTATGCACTCCTGCTTCTCGAGACGATTTCAAGCAGGACCAGGATGCGTTGCCGCGGTGGTAATAGTACAACGTAATGTTTGACGGTTTCTTTTGGAGGCGTTGATAGAGTTGATATCGGTCTTCTTGCCCCTGTTGATCACGCCGGCAGACGTTAAAGAGAAATAATCTTTATCTTTAACCTGGAGATGAGACAGGAGACTCCTTTGGCTGCTCCAACTGCTGCATACGCTGTGTGTGCTGTGTATGCTGTGTGTGCTGTGTATGTTGTGTGTGTGTACAAGTGTGGGTGGAGTTGAAGATGCGGCGTTATCTCCGCCTTTCCCCGGAAGACTAAAAGGACGCCATCACTTTAAAAGATACCAAGTCAAGACACAAAAGACAAGTCAAACCCTTTAGAGCAAGAGAAGAGCGGAAGAGAAGAAGAGAAGAAGAGAAGAAGAAGAAGACAAAGATGAGACGCCCAATACGCCTTGCAATTCTTGAGTGCGACCATCCGCTGCCCCAAACCGAGGCCAAGTACGGGCGGTTTGGAGGGGTTTTTAAGGCGCTGCTGCGACAGTCTGCAGAGTCACTGAACCAGCCTAGCATCGTCGACCCTGAAGTCGGACTGGACATCTCTGAATATGACATCGTAAAAGGCGACGTCTATCCAGCCCTGGAGGACATCGATGCTGTACTAATCACTGGATCGAGTGAGTTTCACCTGTTCCTTTTTGCTTCCTGGACTCCAACTGATACGCGTTGGTAGAATTCGATGCCTTTGATACGACTACGCCTTGGATTAACAAGCTGGTCGGGTTCACTGCAACTGTCCTGGCCCAAGACCGCGTTAGGGTGATCGGAGTGTGCTTCGGCCATCAGATCCTCGGACGAGCGCTGGGCGTCAAGGTTGGCCGCAGCGATGTAGGGTGGGAGGCCTCTGTGAACCCTCTCACCCTATCTAAGGAGGGCAAGGAGATATTTGGCGTGGAGAACCTGGTGCGTCAAGATTGTTTCACCCGCTATTAACGGATAAGAGCTGACGAGTATAAATAGAGCATCATGGAAATGCACCGTGATATCGTGTTTGATCTCCCACCCAATACCGTCTCGCTCGGTTCTTCGCCCAAGTGCGCCATCCAAGGCATGTATCGCCCTCGCAGACTCTTCTCCGTCCAGGGCCATCCAGAGTTCGATAGAGATATCGTCATGGAGATTATGCAGACTAGAAAGGCAAACTACCCTCCGGAGGTCTTCGAGGCCGCCATGAAGGTCATCAACGACAAGCAAGATGGTGTTCTTATCGGAGAAGCCTTTTTGAAGTTCCTGGCCGAGGACTGATGATTTTCCCTTTCCTATATAAGTAAATGAGATTATGACGTATATATGTTTATGAACAGGTAGAACAATAGATGCAAAATGGTTTACTGCCCGACTGACGTGGTATAATTAATGCATTGTAGTCAAAGTCTCGCTGCATTAGTTTTTATATAAGTATCATGGCGTTCCCCCAAATGAAGGAAACAGGGCTTCCAATCTGCTAGACAATCAAAACATCCCTGGCCATCTAGCAGCGGGGGATTGACAGGGCGTCACTCGGCAGAAAATATAGTGTCAATATCTGCTTCCCCTCTCAGATATATAGCCATTGCAGCATGGCCGTAGTCTCTACCCCAAGAAACATGCAGTAAGTCAACTTCCTTCTCTTTCTAAAAACCCTGGGTCGGCCTCTATCCTTCTCTCAAATTTGGCCCACCAATCCCTGAAACTCTTCAGCGGAACGACCTCTTCCCCCTGTGCTCGAGGATCCGAAGCAGCAAAGCTAGCAAGGAAATTGAACGCATTCCCTATAATCCTCTGCGCTAGCACTTTGGTAGACACAGCGGACTGACCTGTCCTCTTTACAAGCTCCATGCCCGAAGACTGCACCTGTGGCTGCTGCAATGTAGCTAGCTTCTCACGGATGACCTGTGTAGACTCAATTGATATCCCCAATGTGATGGTAGAATTCGGGTTAGCAGCATTTATATTAGCAGACCCTTCGTCCATCATCTCGTTTTCCTGCTCTGCCTCCGTCATCGGCCTCTGGGAACCGGGAATGTTGACTTTAAAGATAGCTGAGGGCTTCTCGTTGGCTATGGCTCCGAGGAAGCGGAATTCAGGCTGTTGCTGCTGGCCATTGCCCAGGGCCGTGGTGGAAGGTTGGTTCGGGAACTGTATGTATACTGCAGCGGCGGCATCTGGAGGCAGAGTGACGCCCGGTAAGAGGAAAACAACGATATGAGAGAACTTGGGTGCCGCTGGGAACGTGAACGCAAAGTTTGTTGGAGGCGTATTCGGGTCCGGTTGTATAGGAACGGCCTCTGTGAGACACGGCCGTCCTGGTAGCACGACCGAAAACATGGTTATTATCTATAAAATAGTGGTAGAAAAAGAGTCAAACACAGGCTTGAGTCAAGCTGCGAGCTGCAGGGTATAAGTATTAGTTATATTGTCCCTTTGGGGCATCATCAGCTTGCTTTCCTCTACGCCGTTCTGCATCGAAGATGGAAGAAACTGAACGATCAAAACAAAAAAAAAGCAACTGGGATGTTTTTTTATCGATAAGAAAATGCACAATGAGATCACTAGTCACGTGCTCATAGTTATCAGTCTCCCATGTTGGTAGAAGGAGGAGAGAAGAGAAGAGATAAAAGACAACATCTTAAAAGCTGCCAGGATGGGGAAAAGCAACCTAGATCTTGTCAATGAGTGTGACGTGTAAGACTTGTCCTTTTGATAAGTAATAAGGTCGAGTCTGACGCTGCTAGATTTCCATACTACCACGACAACCCCGCCACCTACCAGAAATACAGAGCAAAGTACCACGCATTCAAGATATCTGGCTACGAAGAAACCTTTGGCCTTATTCTTAATTCCATAGTGGACAAGTTTCCCTGGCCTCAGGATCTCTGGGAGGTGGACGGCGAACAGCAGACGGTTACACTGCTTGCACCTGAAGACGCTACAGAACCTCAACGAAGCGCTCTCTTAGCCCAGACTCTCGAGACCGCAGCAAAGAGTGGGAAGGTCGAGGTTCTAAAGGGCTGGCGGAACGAGTTATACCCTATATATGGACCCCAGAAGGAACTGGTTGCCAGCGTTGAACGGGCAGGCAGTACTCTGTTTGGTATATTGAGCTATGGGGTCCATATGACGGTTTACACCCAGGACGAGCAGAATGGCATCCAAGTCTGGGTTCCAAGGCGAGCGAAGACGAAGCAGACATACCCAGGGATGCTGGACAATACTGTTGGCGGCGGGATTGCTACAGGAGAAGAACCGTTTGAAAGCCTAGTCCGTGAAGCCATGGAAGAAGCATCTCTCCCGGAGGACATCATACGACGAGATGCCAAGTGCTGTGGGTGTGTAACATATACCTATGTCCGAGATGAGAGAGCTGGTGGTGAAACGGGGTTGCTGCAGCCTGAGTGCGAGTACGTCTACGATCTGCAACTCGATCCTAGCGTTATACCCAAACCGTGCGATGCTGAAGTAGAGGATTTTTGGTTATGGACCGTCGATCAAGTAAAGGAAGCACTGTCGAATGGCGAATTTAAACCAAATTGCGCCATTGTTCTCATAGATTTCTTTATCAGACATGGACTCCTCACACCGGAGAACGAGACAGACTATCTAGAAATACTCGCTAGGATACATCGCCGGCACGAATTCCCGACTGCCTAACCTATCTATATAGTAGGAGGCATCCTTCTCACCAAGTGGCCTCCCTCTCTCCTTTCTAGATCTCGTTTGAACTGTTAGCCTTTTTGATTATATTCAAAGATCATGTTCTGGGGCTGACCATTTCGTCCCACTTCTAACTCAGACGCCAGCGCGCAATGCAAAGCAGACCGAAATCATTAAGACCAGCATTTTTTGTCTTCCTTGAAATGTTTTTTTATTATTATTATGCTTCACTCATGTATACGTAAAACGTCGTCCGCAACCCTTTTGATCTATTTCTTCATAAGAAGATAGACATAGTCGATTTTGAGCGGACTGAGCTTGTTGTAAGGGCCATCAAGATATAACAAAAGACCGCCAAAGGAAACGAAGACAGCCCTTCAAGTCTCTAGTTAGCACCTAAGACCATCAACGTCTAGAGCCTTGATAAACTCACATGTTGCCCGCTGTACCGCTCTCCTCAAATCGATAGACCTTCCCGTAGCAGACATAGTCGTAATCGTTCGCGAGGGTGTTCTCTCCCATCCCTACGTCTCTCCACGCAGCTCTTTCGCCAGTTGCTTCTTCTTTGCCATCGAGGGACAACGTCGATGCCAGAGCCAGTGACAACGACTCTCCGGGGGCGCATGGATAGATCTCCGTGTTCACATCCAGTGTGAATGTGATCAGATGGTCCGTAGACGTACAACTGATGCGCGAGACACGGTCATATTTCTGAGCATTGATTGAGGTGATGCTGAAGGTGTCTTCGAACAGGATCGGATCTGACATTTTTGGAGCGCTCAAAGTATGTAGTTCCCTTTCACTTCTTCTCTTCTTCCCGATTTTTCCTCCGTCTGACGATTGAATCTATGATATCTTTCAAGGCGAGTTCATCGAATTTCAATCTTTTTGCTTGCTGTAGTTGAAAAAAAGAAGCCGCTGCTTTAGGTTTTCATGTGGGGCCGCTTTTAGATGACGAGAAAAGACATTTTGAGAGATGAGAAAAAGAAGAATTATTCAGAAATACCACAGCGAAAAAGAGGAAGCTTGATAGAAATGTCCTTTCGAAAGAGAAATATAGGACTCTCTTCCGGTGTAGCTCGCGACCCTTCTACTAATGCGTCGGGTGCACAGCATGTCCGACAAGCACCTATGCCCGGGTTGCGCCCCTCCCCCATCGATGGCCGCCAAACCACGTCGACAGGCACCGCTACTCTGGATAATCTGCTGGCTGGCCATGCGGGATTGGCTCTTGGAAGCTCTCTACTTGTCGAAGAGAGCGGCACGACCGATTTTGCCGGCGCGTTGGTGAGATACTATGCTGCGGAGGGCGTTGTCCAGGAGCATCGAGTCCACGTCGTGGGGTTTGATAGACAGTGGGCCGCCACTCTTCCCGGACTGATCGGAACTGCAGAAGCCTCAGAGAGCAGCTCTGCTAGGACGAAGGAAGATAAGATGAAGATTGCTTGGAGATATGAGCGACTGGGAGGGTTCGGGCTTGGGATTGCGAGCTCCAGAGGTACACATATACTCAACGATCCATACGCAATACGCTGTGAAAATGACTGAGACGAACTGATTGCTATATAGTTCCAGTTGCAGATTCTGCTCCCGACTCCCAGCAGGCTTCCCAAAGTAATGCGCCAGCTGTCTTTTGCCATGCATTCGACCTTACAAAACGCCTTACCCATCCGTCTATAGAGTCCATGAACTTCATACCACTCCCAAAGCCAAGCTCCAGTCAGGACTCGCCGTACTCATCCATAGCCAAACAGTTATCCGATGCGATCGAGGGCTCTCCTCCCAATACCGTCCACAGACTCATCATCCCTTCACTACTCTCGCCTGCCTTATACACACCTCAAGCAAGTCAACCCCAACACGTTCTTCAATTTATGCACAACCTCCGCGCCCTTCTCTCCACCTACTCGAATCAATTAACCGCCATGGTAACTCTCCCGATTTCACTTTACCCACGATCCTCGGGGCTGGTCCGGTGGATAGAGTTGCTATCCGATGGAGTCATCGAGCTTGCCCCGTTCCCACACACGCTCGATGCAAGCTCCTTAGCCAGTTCTGGGGCAGCTACCAACCAGGAAGAGCCACCGCAAGGGATGCTCAAGTTACATCGCCTTCCAGTGCTGCATGAGCGTGGTGGTGGCATGGACAAAAACGTAGGCGAGGATTGGGCGTTCACACTCAGCAGGAGGAAGTTCGCGATAAAACCCTTCTCCTTGCCTCCGATAGATGGTGACAACGGCGCTCAGCAGTATGATACCACGTCCGGACCTAAAAAGGCAGACCTGGAATTCTAGGCCTTATATACCGGAAAAGCAGTGGGCTGCTAACTCCGTTTATAACTCGTTTGGCCGTCATCCCGGTCATACATAACGGAATCATTAAGCATCTCGTCCAGCTCAATTTGCTCCGACAAGGCTGGTCCACCGCCGGCCATCGTCCGTAGATAGTTACGATCAAATACTCCGTCCCGAGGATCTAATCGAAAATTGACATCCCGGCTTCCAAATCCAGCTCTCAGGCAGAAGCGGATAGTCCAGAGAGCTAATTAAGAGAGTCAGACCTATCCTGCAACAGGTAATATCGGGGGTATCTAGACTTACCAAGTAGAAGTAGAAGCAGTGATAGCCCAATTAGACCTAGTAGCGATAGTAAATTCATCATTAAACGATATAATCGACTCGTAAAGCTGCTGGCAACGCAGCTTGTTCTACATGGAAAAATAAGCAGTATGAAGTTATATGATGACTAACAAACTTATATCATCACGTGAAGCTATAAGCATTTTTATTGTATTTTTTTTTCTTCCACAAAAAAACCTCTTCATGAAGAGATGGAAATATTCAGGAATCCCTCGAATGAGGATGAAAACCACTTGGTAAGTGTATAATTGTTTTATTTCTACTTCTCACTTTGCATTATCACATGATTATTCTAATTACTTAATCTGTCAATCCCCTGAATCCCAAAAATGGGAATAAATGTTTGAGAAAAGTATTCTTTTAAATGACTCGATAATGCCTATATCATTTGCTCTTTATATTGGAGACCGCTTGCATTTAATTCAGTAACTAACTGGTCATCTGGCAGCAGGTAGTATGGACAATAAATCTTGCCTGGCCACAGGGGAAGAACCAGAGCTTCCAATTCCAATCTCTTTGATATCAGGCCGCTATTTTCTATTCTCGATTGATGCAGTAACATATCTACGTCGAGAACATCATATCTGCGGCGTCCTGGTAGGGACTCTACCACAAGTACCACAACAAAATGTATTCCTAGGCCTGCCACTGGAGCTGATGCCTGAGGAAGCTAGACTGTTGGTAGAGAAAGAAGTGGCTTATGTGATTGATGATACTCAAGCTCATGCCCAGGGAGTTAGAAACTTGTCCGAGGAAAATAAACGGCAATATCTCAATGAACTAAACCAGAATGGACGCCAGGTTTCTCTTTTTTTAGCGGGCAAAAAGGCAGAAAGGCGAGAAGTAGCGCTGAAAAAACAAAAGGCCAAAGAGGTAAAGAAGTCCAAGAAAAAGGCTGGAAGCGAGAAAACAGAAATAGAAGAAGAAACTCCATCACACGCCGAGCCAGAGGTCGAAAGTTATGATGAGCTTCTATTCGCACCTCCTAAGAAACCTGCTGTGGAAGAAGTTGCTGCTGCGTCCAGGGTCTCCCTCGACGTTGGAGAACATATATTAGAAGTCACTCCTGCTACATCCCATGGACTATTACCCAGGACAGCACCCACGGTTCCTGCATTTCTCCCAGAAGCCCCTCCATCCTACCCACTATTTGCTCACCTACATTCACAGGGATACTTTCTCTCCCCTGGGCTTCGTTTCGGTTGCCAGTATATGGCTTATCCTGGCGACCCGTTAAGGTTTCACTCTCATTTCCTAGTGTCCTCTATCGAATGGGATGAAGAATTTGATCTTATGGATCTAGTTGCAGGGGGACGCCTGGGAACCGGCGTGAAGAAAGGGTATCTTGTCGGAGGTTCTGAAGAGTCTGATGTTGATGGAAGGCCCAAACGGACGGTTAGAACATTCAGTCTCGAATGGGCCGGAATGTAATGAAGGCGCGCTCTATCCGGGTCTATATTGACAACATACCACAGTCGTTCTCTCGACGTGAGCTTGACGACAACCTTAGTCAGAGGTCGGTTGCAGTTGGAAGAACGCACGTCATGTCAGCTTCACAACTTAGCTCATTAAGAGCATAACACAGCGAAGGCATTTCGCCGGATAACATCTAGAAAGCGTACTCCGTAGTATTACTCAACCGAACACTTATTTTCGTTAATATCACATGGGATACAATTAAATATCGACTTCATTTGTTTGTCAAGAGCCTATTCCATACTATGTATTAGGGGCTGGCCGCCTGCCTTCATAGCTAAGAAAATACACATATCCAGCAATAGACCATTAACCCATCTCCAGAAACACACGAAGTTACTGTTTTCACAGGGTTTCCCAGAGTTCTTCCATAATCTCGTTCCTGTAGCTCTCTTTCCTTTCTTCCACTAGACTCTTTTTCCTTTTATCAGATGTTCCGTTTATGGGACGTACCGTGGTTGAAAATTAGCTTTGGAGAGCTCGATGGCGTCCAAATGACAGCCCATTCTTGCTCTGGATTTCACGATAGGACTTTTCTGTCTTCACTATCACCTGATAAAATTTTGATTAAGTGGTAACACCTGCTCCTTCACACAAAACTTAACAATATCGTCGCTCTTTGAGAATCTATCTCAGAGATAGTCCAAATTCTTCCACTTGAATTTCTTGTTAGCTCGTTCTGGAGCACGGTTTTCAAACTGATTCCCATGTAATTCGAAAATGAGATTTCTCTTCTCAAGCTCTAGTTCCAGGCCTTTAGGTAGAGTAGAAGCCTGCCCAATCGCTTCTTTCTGTCCAGCTTCAGGATCAGAATCCCGGGGGAGAGGTATCTCAAACCTGAACACTGTATGTTCCTTTGGGATGGCTGTAGCAGAGTAAACTAATGTTAGCCAAAATGAGAAAAAAGATATTAATTCTCAAGCAACATCGTATTAGGGAAAACAGAACCATACTTTTCACCTCATTCTTATCTGTAATCAGCACAAATGCAAACTTCGAGTCTCTGACGATAATTCCTTTCACTCCAACACGACTTACACACCGACTGCGTACAACCTGAATATCTGCGCCATGGAAATCTGCACTGGCCAGCTTGCTTCCGTGGCTCGCAGCAGTTATTCGGTCAGTCCTTTCGGTGCCTGTTGGTTTTCCAGCTGGATTTGGACTCAACCGTGGAACAAGGTCAAGAACCTGCCACATATACTCAACCCACAGCTGATTTAAGCCCTTGAAAATTTCATATTTCATCTCTTCTTTAGGCAGCTTATGGACTCCGAGCGTCCGCTTCTCGCGTGCTGAAAGCGGTTTTGGCTTCTGCTTGCGTAAAAAGTACTCTTTCTTCCGTATACGCTGCAGCCGGCGCCGTGACCGGTTGTCGGATGGAGTAGGCGACGTAGGACGTAAGAAGAGAGGTCTGTGTTTGACCTTCTCTGAGAATAGCTGGTCTGCAGTCTCTGGTGAATGCGCTCGTTCGAGAAGCTGATGTGCAATGTGCAGTTGAGCCATGGTTTCTCCCAGCCGTCACTCTGGGTGACGAAATATCTTCCAGATGCCGATTTCCGGTAGCTGGGATTTCCTGTCTCCCAGATTCCTCCTGCTGTTCGACTTTGATTCTGAGTTGATGTTAGTAGCAAATCCTTGTTTCCATGCTGTAAGTCGGCTTATTTCAACGATTAAAAGAAGCAGATAAATAACGAGCGCACGGAAAATGAAAAATTTATCAATTTTATATTGCTGGTTCAATAAATACTTTTTTTAATATAAAACAAATTGTTAAAATAAACGGAAAAAAGACGATGGAAGATCCGAATTTCCCGGAACCGAAAAGTTGTGCCCACCAACCAAATATCAACTTCACACAAAACACCAAATCAAAGGAGATCAAAAACGGAACCACTTTTCAGTTAAAAACGAGAAAAAGATATCCTGGTGGATGATTGATACCGAGATGCCGCCCTATACTGCCTCTACCTCAATTTTTGGCTCTTAGGGATGTGTTTCAAGTCTGCACTATAGCATGTCCGGAGGCCATACTGAAAGCCACACACTCATTATGGCGTCAGTATCGTGATTAGAGAGTGAATAAGCACCGGATTTCGGATTTCCAGTTAATTTGGCCTTGGAACTGGTGTCCCGGGCTAACCAAACCACGGTTGGGTCGGCTGATTGCTGCGAATGCCAACATGGGCATGGAACTTGCGTCATGCACGAAGAGCTGGTAGATATAAAGGATGGAATCATGCCAGCATCCTGACCAAAGGCAGGATCTTTTTGAGGGGGGGTGCTTTTCCCGTTAATGGAAGCAGGGGGAAGATGCTGCGCATTTCTCTGATCCGGCCGCCCATTAGCTTAGGTTTGACCATTGAAGTAAAAAGGGAAGATGAGAATATACCCACTATGAATTCGTTGAGACTATGCTTTCTCCCACTTCCTTTCTATGTTGGTGGTCGTTTCATCTCCCATCTTCTAGCAATGTGCCCCCGGTGACGTTATCTTATGGAGGATTCCCCCTTTCCTAGCCCTTCGTATAACAACAGTTCACTCACGGGGATGGAGGTCTGAGCCTGTGTTTCAGTCTTTTCTTTGGCTCTGGGGCGGGGGCAGAAGCAAAAAAGGCATTTAAGGGGCACGGCCTAAGTGAAGTGGACGAGAACGCGGATTAGGGGGATATTGACCGAATCACGCATATAATCACGGGCGGAATTAGGAGCCGAAACTAGGTTCGAAGGAGATAGAGGGCAAAGCGGTCGCTGCCAAAGGTACCCTGATTTAATGTGTCTTGATCATTGCTGCCTTCATCGAAACGTTCTGACGCGAGGCAGGGTTAGTATCAGAAGTAGGAGCAGCAGCAGGATCAGATGCAGGCGCAGAAGGCAGATCCGTATCCGGAGCGGAAGGCAAAGTGGGATGAGCAACTCCGTCAGCGTTACCCTGATCTAAGATCTCCTGATCTGAGTTAGGAGCCGTAGCCGCAGCCGGAGTGGAAGGCAAAGTGGGATGAGCAACTCCGTCAGCGTTGCCCTGATCTAAAATCTCTTGATCCGAGTCAGGAGCCGTAACTGCAGCCGGAGTGGAAAGTAGATCGGGAAGAACAACGTCGCCAAATATCCTCTGATCAACGATACTTTGATCAAAAGTATCCGGATCAGAGACAGGAGCCGTAGCCGCAGCCGGAGTGGAAGGCAGATCGGGAAAAACAACGTCGTCAAAAATGTTCTGATCAAAAGTCTCCTGTTCAGAGATAGGAGCAGGAGCGCTAGGAGCGGAGGGCAAATCGGGAAGACCGACGCCGTCAAATGCGGCCGGGTCGAAAATGCTCTGATCATAGGTCTCCTGATCAGAGACAGGAGCAGTAGCCCAAGTGGAAGGCATATTGGGAAGGGTGAGGCCGTCAAAGGCGTTCTGATCAAATGTACCTTGATTAAAGATGTCCTGGTTGAATATCTCCCGATCATATGCAGGAGCCGGAGCCCAAGTGGAAGGCAAATTGGGAAGGGCGACACTATCTAAGGCACCCCGATTGAAGGTTTCCTGGTCAGAGCCAGGAGTAGGAGCCCACGTTGGAGGCAAAGTGGGAAGGATGGCATTGTCAAAAGTACCCTGATCAAAGGTCCCTTGATCAAATATCTGCTGACCGGAAGCAGGAGCCGGATTTGGAGCAAGGGTGGAGGCTGTAGCCGGAACAGAGATAGGAAAGGAATTATGGTGTGAGGCAGAAGCTGGAGTTGGAGCTGGAACTATAGCTGGAGCCGGGATTGAGGCTGGAGCCAGGACTGGAGCTGGAACTGGAACTATAGCTGGAGCTGGAACTATAACTGGAGCTGGGACGGGGGCGGGAGCAGCCGATACTGCCCTCCAACCTCCCCTGTCTAAGATCTCCTGATAGGGCCGGAGATGCTTGCAGTTGTGGCAACTGTGGCCTGGTGCTGGGTTTGGCCTAAGGCCATCCAGGACCTCGGTCGTGATATGGCTTGGGACTGCCGGCGAAAAATAGCCAACAAGATACCTAGCGAGGTTGTGCGTGTTGACCCAGACCAAGTGTCCTCTGAACATTGATGGTGGGGACATATTGGAGGGTGTGTCTTTGCTTTTGGATGGCAGGAGCTATCTGAGATTGTCGATGATAGGTAACCAGAAAGTGCAGCCTTGGATAAGTTGAAGAGATAAATGTCAACGCAAGTCAAGCAGAGCTTTTTGGCAGCTTTTATAGACAGTCAATAAGACGACGCTGGATGAAGTGGCGTCAAAACCGTTGACTCCCCAGGGGCTCTGACGTCGTTGATTATCTCTCCCCCCAAGGTTTTGCCGCCAGGAGGGCTAAGGGGAGTGCTTCATTCTCCTGAAAAAAAGACCAAGTAATGCCCATAGGTACACCTCCTCTACTCGTTATGCTGTATTGGATGTTTGGACGTTCTACAAAACGAGACTTATCTTCCCCTACGACTACAACCAACTACTTGAACATGGCGCCCTCCTTCCTAGGTCAGATAGTAAACAGGAAGGAGAGATTCCATGCGCAACAATGTGCTTTTTGCGGATCTCCCGGAACCCTTTTTCATGAATTGGAATGAGGAATTTGCCGTTGAACTTTCCCTCTATACCGGATCTTTCCAGGCCAATAGAGATGAAGTCTTGCGATCCTTGTGGAGTTACATTTCAAGCAATGGTAGCTGCAAAAAGCTTGAAATAGCTTAGTTTGGAGTATCTCGAAACGGTATGCGGGATTTGGCAATAGAGGCATATCTTCTCTTCTAGCTACAGACAGTCAGAGGGATAGGTTTGCTGGTGGAACTTGTGCTGGGTTTACATTCTCACTTGAACCATGTACCGGTTGGGTTATGGTGGCGAGATACAAACGTACGATTCTGTGTTTACTGTTTGTATCCAGCCATCAATGACGGTCTGTGACCGTTTTTGCCCTGTTCACGTCTATCAAGGATGACAGAAATGATCTACGCAGATAGTTATCCTCTATAGGACCAGAAACGAGGGCAAAGCTGTTGTGTCTCCTGCGTTGGGAGCCTTCTCCTGAAATTCTATGAGTCAACGACAGCCGCAACCAGAGGGAACGAACTGATGATGCCATCCTTTCCTGACCCAGGGACAGACAAAACCAAACTATTTTATTGCACTCTAATTACTTCCGTTTGTTTCTTTGGCCGTCAAGGACAAAAAAAAAGGGGGGGGGGGAAAGAAAGGATATTATCGAAATGAAAACGAAAGATGTCATGGGCAACAATCGAAAAAGAGATCGAGTTCAATATACAAGAATGGGGGAATCATCGTTTCATGTGCGGCTTATAGGAGTCCAGCCCAAGCACCAAGGGCGACCAAACCAGCAAGGGTGGCACTTCCCTTGAGGCCAGCAGCGGAACCGGGAGAGGCGGTTGGAGAGCCAGTCTGGCCAGCAGTACCGGTGGCAGAGGTAGAGCCTGATTGGGTACCACTGGGAATGCTACCACTGGGGATGAGAGTTGCATCTGGGCCGCCATCAGTGGTGCTGGTGCTGGAGTCGGTGCTGGAGCTAGAGCCGGAGCTAGAGCCGGAGCTAGAGGTGGTGGTCTGAGTAGGGGCAGAGGAGGACGAGGATGAGCCACCGTCGCCAGAGAGGATACCTCCCTGTACTTGGGTTGGTGTACCACTCTTGGCAACTACCTTGGCTCTGTCCTTGTAGTCATTCTGGTTATCTCCAGAGTGTCTGTTTACCCCGTATGTCAGCTTACTGCTTTTCTTTTCAGGGTTTCCTACCCATTTTCTCATCCAATTTTCTTCCCCAGGTATGTGATTTGACTTACGGCTCATTGATGACAAGACTCATTCCGTTCTGGCAGTGCTTAGCGACCGAGCAGTAGATCCATTTGGTCTTGTCGTCTTCGATTGAGACGGTGAAAGTGACGCCCTTGCCCTTCTCAACGGTGTCAACAACGCCGGAGAAGATGCCTTGACCTTCAGCTGGCATGCATGGGCTGTCGTATCTGCCCAAGGTCACATCGTGGTGGCCGTCGACAAAGTGAAAGACGACCTGGTCTCCAGCTTTGGCCTTGATGTTGTCAGGCACGAACTTGAGGCCGCCCTGACCGACGTTGACGTTGACGGTTTCAGCGGCAGCGATGCTGGCGAGAGCAAGGGCGCTCAGGAGAGACTTGCTGACAACCATGATGTTCTGTATGGACGTCGAGACGCTGGGAAAGATTAAAGAGAGAAAAAATGTATGGGAGCGTGTGTTCTTGCAGAAATTGCTATATTATTACCAGTTAGAATGTTATAGAAAGAATGGCCGTGGCCGCGGGAGCTTCTTTATATACATAGTTAGAGAGCTCCAACTTCAATTTACTTTTTCACCCTGTTTTCTTTTTTTCTTTTCTCTTCTCTTTCACCTTCGAATCATAGAGAGTGACTGTGAAACCCATGCTGCCGCAGGTTTTTCTTTTTTTTAAAGCTATGTTTACGTATCTTACCAGGGCCAGCAGAGCCAGGGTCAGAGTTCGCCATCCAACAAAGCCCATATATCTTAACCCCTAGTCCATGAGCAAATGGCGTTTACCAGCTTTGAGATGGAAGAAAAAGAAAAGAAGAGTAATACGACCAGAAAGGCGAGAGAAAGTCGAGATAATCCTAGGACCAGCGTGAGTGGACATGGATATCGCCATTAAGCAGCGGACTAAGAAATCATCGGCAGGTTTGACATATATCCAAAGGAGCGTATCTCGCAAAGCAACCGTCTGGATCCGTTCAGGGCGGTTAGGAAGGGCACAGTCGAGGACAGACATGGGATACCCTTGCCCTTTCGGCTTCCCATCTCCTTTTACGTTGATATTCAGGGTGTTATATATGTATAATATTGAGGTTTGCTCCCCCTGAACAGTTTATCTCGAACAGACGAACGTTGCACATTCCTGCTTACCAACAAACAGCCTGTTGAACCCTCTCATGTTGTCCTCACTATTCCCATATAGAGAGGCACGACAACCGACAGCCCCGGGGTCGACGCTTGACTGCGTGGTCGCAGGGCCTGGAGAGATCTACCTACGACGCCAGGGGCGTTTTGGTCTGTCAGTGCTAGAAAGTCCGGGGTAAGGGGATAGGCAGGGCATATTACATAGTATGCAGTTCTTCAGCCAACCTTAACTGCACAGTTGACAAGCGAGGGCAGAGATGGCCAAAGTCAAATATATCGGGGGCATGCGTAATCTCTGCGGGTAGCCGAATCACCAGCAGGCATTCTATATGGTGGAGTGGTTGGTTGGTTCGAACAGACACACGAACATGATTCCAAACGCTATTAGTCGAACAGCAAGGACATCATCATTGGGATCTTCTATGGATTACAAACTTCACACGGCCTGGATGGACACAAAAGTCAAGCAAATTTTAGCGCCCGGTTTCAGGTCGAGGCCAGCGAACCTTGATACTTCTCGAACAAGCAGCATGGGTTCCAGCGTTCGCTCGATGGCAAGAGGATGACTACGTTTGTCTCTCATGCCTGGTGCACACACATATCACCAGACTTTAGGCAGATGCATGACATATGGCATGGCTATTGATCAGTCCTACTCGGTTGCACCTGGAATCGAGGGACCCCTTTGCGAAACGGCAGTGCCAGGGTTGGGGATTTAACTGTCTGAGCCCCTACTTTATCGTCACGGCATGGCCCCGTATTGGCCGATTACAACAGCATCGAGTATCCATTGGACAAGATCCCGAGGCCATGAAACCTTGAAATATCCTATCTTGGTCGATCGACAGAAGGAGCCTCATACCCTTTATGACACCCTTTTACATGGCCATCCATTGGCTGTGAGCCCGTCACGACCACCACGAAACCATCCAGTCACTTCCTGGGTATCTAGCTTGTTCCCCTGTTGGATACGAGCTATACCGGCTGAGTTTATATACTTCCATTCAAACAAATCCTATATCCAAAGGCCATGACTTGAACCCTCGACTACATCGCCCAGGCCTTCTCTTCTCGCCCGATAGCCAGTAGAAGCAGTCCCTCATATCTTGTCCCAATTCCGCCTAATGAAACGTATGTTCAAGCTGGATATGTAATATTCTTTGCCTGAAGAATGCTCCATCGCTCTGTAGCGAGGACTCGGAGCTTTGCTCTCACTAGATGAAATATACGTCGATGGCTCCGACGCGGTTTTCTGGTGTACCATAAAGGGCCATTTCAAGGGAATACGGACTCCAGCAGGGCTAGATACCAAAGACCTTCACCCACGGCCATCAGATGAGGTCAATCCATACATTTTCCCCTGTGCGGAAGCTGACGGGGAACCAAATCACTCCCGCTGAAGCTACCACACCGGACATAAAGCACCGAAAGGCCATGGCAGGTACTCGGATCGGGACAACCTGATTTATACTCGGATCTAATTCAATCCCGAACCCATTTCGCCAGAGGTTCTACCGCCTGATGCGATTCCTTTTAACAAACGCATGGTACGAGTGCCATGTTCAAATCGAATATTACGGAGGCGATCAACCGTATCTCTGCCGGTCTAGGGCTAGACTACAGTTCAACATCGCAGTAGGTCTCTGCCAGGCGAAACATTCAACAATCTTTCGTTTGAATACTCTCCGGCCGGCCACCTCCGCTGTGGCCCATATAGAATCAAACATTGAACCAAGCAGGCTGTAAAACTTATTCTTTTCCATACTCTCGCTTGCAAAACTACATCTTGTCATGTTCTATGCAAGCCACAGTAAAATAATATATATAATATCACGTGGAATGAGCTCGACGTTGCTTCTTTGGCATCCTAAAATAGTTATTATATCTTTCACTATTAACTATTAGAAGGCAGACAAGATCTAACTAATGACTAGTTGTCCATCTGTGTAATCGTCCTACCTGGTACAAGGGCTATACGGGCTAGCAAAACACAGCCTCGCCTCTTTCCGTCCAGTTCAGAGCAGCCAGCAGCCAGCAGCCAGCAAGCGGCAAGCAATAACGCTTCATCATGTCAAACACAAAGGAGAATCAGAGGCAATGCAGAGTCCCCGTGAGATCGACCAGGCCGAGGCAAGGCAGGCCGTATCTCCACGGTGACATCATGTATCTCATCGCAGACTATCTAAGCCCGGTGGACCTTCTCAGCTGTATACGTGCGATCCCTCCCTTAGCCCATCTCCTGACCAAAAAGCAGGTTAACAACCGCGGCGACGACGGGTCGTCGCTGTTACACCTCGTCGTAACGGAGAGAGATGTCCGGATGGCAGAGATTCTTGTTACCAGCGCCGTTGATCCGAACGTGCCGGATGGAGACAAGGCAACTGCATTCAGTCTCGCCGTCAATCTCGGATACGAAGACATGGTCAAGCTATTCCTGGAGTGCAAGCAGCTTGACGTGAACGCTGTGGATAACCAGGGCTTTACAGCGCTTATGGCTGCAGTCCACAAGGGACACACCGGCATAGTCGACCTCCTCTTGCAGCGGGAAGATATAGATTTCAACATACGCAGCGAGAAAGGGGATACTGCGCTTGTGATAGCCGTAGGGAAAGACAATAGTGGCCTGGCCAGAGCGCTCCTCGGGAGAGAAGACCTTGATGCCAGCTTTCCGGGCCACCGGCCTCTTTTCCGTGCAATATACCATCCAGACGCATCGAGGTTGAAATTACTAATTGACCGCAAGGAGGTTGACATCAACTGCAAGACTGAAACTGGCAGGACGATGCTCATGCAGGCAGTGGAATTTGGACACTACGAGGTAGTCAAGTTACTTCTAGGGCGGGAGGACCTTGACGTCAATGCCATAGACCATATTGGAGACACGGCCTTGATCATAGCCGCATTCCGTGGATTCAACCGCATTGCCTCCTTGCTAATGGAGAGGAAGGAGCTCGATATGAATTTTCAACACTACGACGGCACAGCGCTCATGCACGCCGCGCGCACAGGGTTTGGCGACCTTGTCCACGTACTGCTCAGCAGACCTGACGCTGATGTTAACATACAAGACCATCACGGCCGGACAGCGCTCATGTTCGCAGCTCGTGATGATCTCGGTTATACAATGTCCGACAATGCGGTGCAGGTCCTCCTGGCACGAGACGATACCAACGTCAATATCAGAGACCGCCGCGGCCGGACGGCGCTCATGATCGCGGCAGAAGCCGGACAGAGACGCAACGTCGACTGTTTGCTGAAGAGAGCTGATATCGACGTTGACATAGAGGATGCGACTGGGGTCAACGCCCTGGCCTACGCAGCTGCTGGGGAGCATGAACTTATCGGGGAAATGCTTCGAAATTTTGTTGGTGCTAGGGAGCAAGGCATGGGCTCTCTGTCAATAGAAGGTTGCAACATTACATGTAGCTGAAGCTATATAATAAGTTGAGTATTGCTGTACACCACAGCTGGCGTATCAGTGGATCAGTCTCCATGTGCTACCTAGACAGTCAGCTAGGTAAGAATCAAGCTGTTCGGGCGACCAGGCTCATCTCCGCCTCAGTCAAGAACAACCAGCCAGTATAACAGTGCAATGTGCCCACGGCGTAGTCTGTTCAATCTATCAGCACTATCGCCAAACTCGGGTCTAGTTCTATATGACGTTCGCACTATGGTGATATAACTGCAAATATCAATAACGGGATAATGAATAGTATTGCCCGCCCTTCACCGAAAATTCACATCTCCGGCAAAATTACCTTCAAAGCGGTTTCCATGTCTGGTCTGCTGTATTGCACATCCATATATTGCACCGGCAACACAAGCTCTTTTGGATACAAAGATATTATATGCCATTTTACTCGGAGGTTGGATTGCCTCCGGAAAAGGCAAGCCAATGGCTCTAAAGTGCCATAGTCCGTTTGTACTTAGCATGAAGTTTGATACTGGTCAACGATGCCAAAGCCCTCCAAGGCTGATAATCACCCAGTAATTTTCATTCTGGTCGACCTCATGGAGATGTCACTGTGGAATACCTAGGCCTCTTAAGGTCTGATTGATCAAACGTTTTCACGTCAATTACCCAGGCCGCCCCAAACGTATGGGTTGCCCCCTGGTGCGACTCCAGAGGATTTGGTTGCGAGGCAACTTCGGCGATAATATGAATACAATCACCAACAAGTTCGCGTCCCGTAAGGAATACGCATACTGATATTCGAGTGCTTACTTGGTTATCAACTTTGATTGGCCGGCAATTGAAAAAGGGCTTTGCCTTGTATCAATTTCCCGCTTAGTAGCCCAAAGTTTACGGAATAGTCAGTTTGGCCATTTTTTTTTGTATGTTATGGGTACAACGAAAGTAGATGGCTGTAGTCGTCATGGCGTAGTCAGAGGGACGTTGGTAGTTATTATTTCATCTGATTTGTTCAGCTACCACACACCTACGCTACTTTACAGTACACTATTAAATCTAGTACTTAGGTTAAACTATGTCTGCCCCAAGGGTCCTGTCAGAAGCAGGCTTTATGGCCTGTGACGGTATCTGCTACCAATGCTTATCATGCCTAGACGGTGCTTGATCTTTGGTCGAGTGGCAATGTTGCTTGCTAACACAAGTAGCTGTGTTGTAAATTGTTCATACAATCAACTAGTTATTTATGTTAGATTGTTTCCATAACCTATAATATATAAAATACTCCATAAATATTCAACAAAGATGTTTACCCCTAGTAATTGTGTAGTTTGGGGGTAAAAAAAAAAGAAAAATGAAATAGGAGCAACATCCGCGCCAAGGCTGCTATGCAGTGCAAGGCATGGGGGATCCCTCCAAGTCCGCATAAAGGATGAGCATGAAGACAAGTCCAGAGTCATGGCGATCCTTAACTCCGCCCTCATCCATGCATCTGATCATATGAAAAGTGGTAAATCATGGCCTTTATTTGCCTGGTGTTTGAAGGTGTGTATGTATATGTATAGGAGCTGATCTTCGAAGGCAAGACATCCCTGGTTAGAACGAGATGTCACTCAATGCTTGTGTTTCTTCTGTGTCTGACCGTACATTTATATCACTGTTGATATATATGCATCCAAGGAGATGGAGGTCAGTTGCCTAGAAAGCTGTCCTCTACTCCGCCCTCCACAGCATGGTTGCAGGGGTCCGGACCACAGCAAGTTCTTGAGTCCATGCAGAGTGTTGCAGGGGTCGGGGGGAATTAGCTTGAAAACATTCAAGCCCTGCACCTCGATCAGTTTAAAATCTCTCAGACATCCCCAGATACCTTTCTGGGGCGACTGATTGCCACCTTCAAGAGAGCAAGTCTACCGTGAGATTTCATTAACCAGAGCCACAATGGACGTGAAATCGCATAGATCGGAGGGCGAGACTGTGGTGGATGGAGAGATAGAGAATGGTGCTCTTGAATTTTTGGAGGACTGCGAACACCGAGAGAAGCAGCTAATTCGAAGGGTCGACTGGCGGCTGTTGCCGATTATCGGAGCTCTCTACGCAATCTCTCTTATCGACAGGACAAATGTATGCGTCTTCCTCCAGTTTTCATTGCCTTTGAAGAAAAGCGGAAAGCTGACATTGGGATAGATATCGAGCGCTCGTATAGCCGGCTTAAACGAAGAATTGCAGCTGTATATTGGATCGCGATATTCTGTCGTTCTGCTAGTGTTCTTTGTTCCATATTTCATATTCGAAGTATGTTCTGGAGACTTGCTCCGAGGAAAGAGCTACAATATGGAATAGTTACTTACATGTGCGAATTCAGCTCCCATCGAATCTGCTTCTGCGTAAAGTTGGCAGCGCCACCTGGCTAGCTGGTATATCATTCGCCTGGGGCACGTTAATGCTGGGATCGGTTTGTATCTTCCAGCTATAGGGCGCAGATGGTGCACGGTTGACAACGTCTCTCTTTAGGGTTTCGTCCACAACTATGCGTCCTTGGTGGTGCTTCGATTGCTCCTTGGTCTATTTGAGGCTGGTAAGCTGAGCGAGAGGCAGAAATAACATCAAATACCACCGGTTAACAAAATACATAGGACTCTTCCCTGGATGCGTATACCTCATTTCCTGTTGGTATATGAGATATGAGGTTCAAACCAGGTGGGTGTCTTCGGGTTATCCATTGGATTGTTGCTGGCCTTTCTGACCCTAAAAATGGAAGATTGGCTATATTCTACCTTATTTCTGTCCTTGTTGGCGGTTTTTCAAGTCTCCTATCATTCGGACTAATTCAAATGGAAGGCCTGGCCGGGTTCCATGGCTGGAGATGGATCTTTGTAAGTCACACTACCTTCGGAGGGTTTTGATAAAACTAATCGAGGTTGACGTTGGAATAGATTGTTGAAGGAGCCATGACTCAGGTCATTGCGATTGCGGCATATTTTCTCATCATAGATTTCCCGGATAAAGCAGCAAAGACTGGGTTCTTGACGGTAAATGAAGCGAAATATATTTCGCACCGACTTGAGAAAGACAGGGCAGATTCTGTCGCAGACCCTGTCACTTTTGATAAATTGAAGCGCCATTTATCAGACTGGAAGCTATGGATATTGTAATTCAACCGGTGGCCCAATCATTCTGAGGACTTGCATGCTAATGGTATGGTTAATAGTTCCATGATGTTCCTGTCAACCACAGTACCGGCGTAAGTTCCCATATGAAGCATAAAGAAAAAGCAGATCCGAAAGGAACATGCCGTTAATTCGACAGGTAGATATGCGTTAACATATTTCGCCCCCACTATCATCCGGGTGAGTTGATAGAATATCCTCCAAAAGATTACCCCCTATAAGCTAACCAGCCGTCGTCCAAGGCTATGGGGTATTCTCCAGCTATTTCGAGTCTTCTAACAGCGCCTCCCACGGTATTTTCCTGTATTGTAGCTATGGGATTTTCGTGGGTGGCCGACAGATATCGGATGCGGGCGCCCATTATCGTCGTCCAGTGTCTTATCTGTATCATAGGGCTGATGCTAACGGCCTATCACCCAAACAATAACGTCCGTTATTTCGGCTTCTTCCTCGGAGCAGCAGGCTGCCAGGGCAACATTCCAGCTATCCTCGCCTACCAGTCAAACAACATCCGGTACCAGTCCAAACGAGCTATCGGTACCGCTCTGCAGATTGGTTTCGGCGCCCTGGGAGGTATCGTTGCGTCGACAACCTTTAGAGAACAGGATGGGCCAAAGTATGTCCCTGGCCTCTGGGTGACTACAGGGTTTCAGCTGTTCATCATAGTGGCCGTGGCATGCACATCCTTTATCTTCTGGAGAAGGAACAAGCAGGTCGACGATGGCACGGCGAAGACTCCTATCGAGGGACTAGAAGGGTTCAAGTACACCCTTTGACAAGTGTATTGTTTATTCTGTAATAATTGTTGTACAGCCTTTTCTCTTATAATAAAAAATGAACGAAACAATTCAAGTCCCAAAAAAAAGAGACCGCTTAGTAAGAAAATACACGTGATTATAATACGGTATTTGTACCTGAACCGAATACAGGTTTACCATTACGGTTACAGTTACGGTATTACCAAAACGCCAACTTCAGCTTCTTTTTCTTCTTGGGCATCAAGCAAGAAGGCAAAGCAAACAAGAAGCAGAAAAGCCCACAATCTCCCGACACAAAGGTAGCCAGCAGAATCGCATCCCGACAGCGACACAGCAGGCATCCTTGGGGACAATATTACGCCACAGCTCCACCGACTTGTGAGGTAAGGCCTGACAAAGCAGCAGGCATATTGAATGTGTTGCTAACCCTCCAGCTATACATAGCACTGGCACATTTTGCTATATGTGGGCAAAACACAAGTACCAGGGTGTCTTCATCGTTACTCTGTGTGCACTTTGAAGATGAGTCAGGCGACCGGAATAAAGAAGAACAAGTTTTTTTTCCTTTCTCGACCGAAAAAAAAAAAGAACACCTGGACCGTTGTTGGTGTTGCATTTGCCATCGAAATCCCCCACGATGCAGAAGGTAAAAGGCATGGGATTCCCGTAGCCATGGACTGGGCCGCTGGGCCGTGAGAGGAAAAAAAAAAAAAAAGGATGCACGGGGCTGATAAGGGTTCGCTGAAGAAAAAGGCTACGGGAGAAGATTCTACCTTTTCCGTCAATCTGGGACGCTGCGTGGACGAAACGAGGTGACGGAGCCCGCCTCGTCCTGCCCTGCTTTGCCACGGATGGTAGGCAGATGACAGAGGGCTGGCCCAAATAGATCATGACACGAGCATGCTGCAGACAGTTCGTTCTTCGTGAATGGTTCTATGGTTCCAGCGGAGGTATATATGTGAAGTATATATAAGAGCATTCTACCCTGGTCAACATCAGAACATTCGGAAGACAAGGGCACACTGTTTACAGGCCAATACGCAATTTTCTTTCAATCCCTGTTTGCCCTTTTGGTTTCTTTCCTTCTTCTGCCCTGCACTATGATGCATGGGGTGGACAAAGAAGGGGACCTCATTAATTCTGCACGGGTACGAAGTTGTTGTGCATTTTATGCCCTCCTTTCCACCAGATATTGTTAATATATGTGGTATAACATATATATGTCGACTCCGCTATGAGACCATACCCGTACGAGTGGGCTTATTATGATAGCCAAGTCAAGGGTGCAAAGCATAAAACCGAGGCATCAAGACAGGTGAGTGCATGCATCTAGAGTCGAGAGTAGTTAACCTCCGTCTTTGCATGCGCTAGGCATCATGAATCCAGCTAACCCTTCGAACAGGCCGAACATTCTTCTCTGAGAGTTAATAACACGTGTTACTGACTTTTAATTAGCCCTAGCTCTACCACCATGCTATACCACGCTGACTGCCACCAAGCGATCTAATTACGTACCCCGTGTTCGGCGGCTGATCGAGATGAGATTGAGATGAGTGATCGCATACTAATACTGACCGGCCAGCCAAACCAGTTCAGGTACAGTATATACAAAAAGGCAAAAGAGGAGAAAAGAAAAAAAAAAGAAAAGAAGAAACATGACCAGCCAGTCAACCTACCAGAGAAGAGCAAAGGGAGTATCACAGCATGACAGGGCAGGGAAACAACTTCCATTTCGAACCCCCTTAACCCTTACACTTATCCCCTCCAATTCAAAAGCCAACCAGAATGCACCAATGCGATAGCGAAAGCGAGAATCCATCCACGCAACGATGCTGGTCCACGGGATACACTTCTAGAGAGACAGCATCTGTCCCTGCTCTGTGGTTCCTGACTGGCTGATTTTCGCAGCCTGGCTTGGCGAGGCACACATGGATCAAGTCATGTTTATCACTTAGATGGTTTTATCATGACAGCTACAGGGTTTGATAGGCTTGGGAGGCGAAAAGCAAGGCAGATATAGAGTAATAATTCATCCTCAGCTATGAGCAGGGGTGGGGAGGGCGAGTTGCTGCAACATCAACTCTGCAAGTCCCGGAGCACACTATGCACAGCTGGTCATCATACTACATATGAGAGAGGGGGTGGTTTTAATTTAATGAACTGGAGGGATTGAATGGCCTCATTCCTGCCCAACTATTGTATATGCATATAAGAAAGACACGGAGATTAAATTCTGTTCCTTGTTTTAGTTGCGTGTCTAGTTTCTGAGTGCATATGGAGTAGTAATAGCGTAGGCAAGAGGGGTATAGTGATGCACAGAACATGCTGATCAATCTTTGTCAGATCGTAAGGTGCGTGAAAAAGCGAAGGGCGGGTCAGGGGGAAGAAGAGGGAAAGGGTTAGGGGGAAAAAGTGTGTGTGTACTTAAAAAAGCGTTCGGTGCCGTCAAAAGTCGTAAATAGTCGTGTAGTAAAATAGAATAAAGCTAGCTAAAGAAGTGTAGAAGAAAAGGAAAGCAGATAAAAGAAGGTAGAGGACAAGCAGAGGGTTTTGAGAAACAGACGGATGGAAGGATATATGAATTCTCCTTTCATGTTCTGCGTCTCAGGAAGATACATCAATAAGCGCCAGCTTCTCTTCCACACGTCGTAGTATCTCTGGATCGGGCTCTGGCTTGATCTTTTTAGGCCTGTGTACCAGCGTTAGAATGAACATGATCAAGTGTGAGTGAGGGAGAGAAGTAACGTACGGGTCCCGAATGCAGTCGCTGCACCGTTCATGCTGGCACTGCAGACATATCTTCTCTCCGCCCGTAAACATGGACGAACATTCATGGCATGTCCAGCGTACGCGCCGACGAGGCTTCCTCCAGACCCGTTCCTGCGGTTCAAACGGGGGCTCTGCATCGCCTGGATAGCCGTCAGGATATTTGTCCAGTTTCGCACTGAGACATGGTGTCAGTATAGTGTATGTAACCAAAGCGGATGTAGACCAAAAACCTACGGGTCTCTGGGACACTTCTTGCATCGAACGTGCTGACAGTTCAGACACTCGGTTGCATTCCCATCAAACAGCGTATTGCAGACATGGCATGTTCGCCGTACACGCTGACGAACGGGCTTGCGCACCAGGTCCTGACCGCCCGTCCGGCTGGGGATGGTCAACAGGACCTTTTCGGTACAGGTCTTTCGCCCTTCCTCCCTTGCACGGTCGCGAGTAGTACCACCGCCGGCAGCAGTGCCGCTAGCAACGTTGACAATCTTCTTATGAGAACGTTCCTTTTTCGGTTCGGATGTATGTGCATGTCCGGAAGCGGCCTCAGGCTTGGATGGCGGATATCTGAAACACTTCTTGCATCTGGTGTGTTCGCACTTGACGCACACCTTGTCGGCGCCAAAGGTGGCCAGACAGCGGTGACAGTTACGACGGACGCGCATGCGGATAGGCTTCTCGATCCGTTCGACTTCACGGGGAGGCTGGCTGGCGATGATACCGGCCGGAGAGGAGGTCATGCCCGTAGCAGGGCCGGTGATCCATTCGCCTGGTTCGAGAGTGAGGCCATATTTGGCAAAGAGGGCGCGGGCGCGTTCTTCCTGCATGGACGTCCACTGGCGAGGAGCCGGAGAGCCAGCGTCTGCGGGCGGTGAGGCCGGAGCTGCAGCTGGAGTAGCTCTTGGGCGAGCGGTGACTTGAGCCGACGATCTAGTCTTTGTTAGCACATACACCATAAACATACAATATATATATATAATAAGAAAGATATGAAGATACCTTCTTGATTCTCCGGTCATGTCGACGGAAGCTCTGTTCGAACGAGGCCCCTTGAGGACGGTTTTCATGCGCTGGATGTATTTTGAGAAGGTATCCTCTTTCTCCTTGTCTCCGCCGGGCTTCCCTGGTTCCCTGAACTCGGACATGGCAGACGGACGAGTGAGCAGGCCAGGATATTAAAATGGGAACGTAATAATATATATGGTCTGATTCGAAAAGAAAAGAAAAGAAAAAAAAAAAAGGGTCGTAAGAAGGTCAGACGTTTCCCCCCAAGCCCAACAACGCAGAGGCGATCCCAGGAGTCTTCTTCTTCTTCTATTTTTGCAGACTCTTGTAGGCAGCCAATGAGGGTATCGAGCGTGGTTCCAACACCCGGGCGAGCTGAACGATGGGAGGCCCCGAATCCGTGGAGTTGGGAACGATGGATGGGACGGAGGATGAAGAAGAAGGGAGAAGAAGATGAAGAAGCGGAAGTAGATAGATACAAAACCCTTGGTCGAAAGATTTAGAGGCAGCAAGCAAGCGGTCCCTTTTTGCTTTTTTCCCTCTTTCTCTGTTTCTTTTTCTCTCTCTCTTGCTCTTCTTTCTTTTTTATCACTTTTTTTTCACTTCTCTTGCGTGTGTCTGGTGAGTTGTCTATGGAGAGCAAACGGGGTTGCGTGAATAAAAACAATAACTAAAAAAAAAAAAAAACGCTAAAAGAGAATAAGCGGATGAATGAGAAGCCTCGCTGCGACGGGAAGATGTTGGATAAACTGGATAATAGCGACGGAGAGGAGGATCGACGTGGGCACCCTTGGTTACCAACTGCGAGCACCGAGTATAGTATGTAGCATAATACAGGACCAGGGGGGGGGGTGAGAGTAGGGTGGGGAGGGCTCCGGGAGAAAGAGAAGAAGAAGTGAGGGAGAGAGAGAGAGACAAGAAGAAAAAAAGAGAAGAGAAAGTCAAGCCATCAACTCCATCCATCCCCCCGTCCACCGTCCCATCGCCCGCTAGCTTGGGTGCGGCCGCAGCCCCGGTTCCACCGTTTCGCCTCTCGCTTCTGGCATCCCTTGGCATCTTCGGAGATGGATATTCACACCCGCCAATCTACACATTCTACACCGTCATTCTGGTCATCACAAACCCTCTTTCTGTCTCTAACTCGGTTTACCTTCTGTATGATAATATATCTTCTTCTTCTCTGTAGATATAAGAAAGATCCGGCAGGGTGGCGCTCCCGTTACCGTATTACACGTATCCGTATTACCATCGCGTATCGATACGGCTGCCGCTTTTAGCTTTCGCATGACTCAGCCACCTGCGAACCCACGGCCAACCAGCGGCCGCTAAAAGCAGCGGGCAAGGGAGGTGCCCGATCTACCCCCAGTTAGGATAATGGGGGCCAGCCACTCTCTTCCTCCAACCGTGAAGGGGAAGGAAAAAGAAAGGAGGAAGGGAAGAAGACCAATGAGACACGACCCAGCAGAAGAAACTTTTGAATCCACGGGACGAGCCCAAGGATGGTTCGACATCCTATACTATGTATGTATATTTACTGGGATGTTCCAGTACCGACATCATGGCGCTTAGCGTAAGTTCTCCCGCTGCATCGCACACATATTATGTAATCCATAAACAGCCTCTCCTCCTCTCTCTGTCGCACGGTGTGCACTCCCCTCCTCTCTATCCCTGCCAGTCTCATGTTCCACAATGCGCTGGCCTCTTCTCTTTGGAGGTCTTCTTCTATAGTCTAGATGATATATATATATATATATACCGTACGGTAAGCAAAACCGAACCACCGGGACCGGGCTTGGCAACTCCCGGACTTTCCGTAACTTACCACTAAACCTTAAATGCTAATCCCGTGACATCTGAAAAAAGAAGTTCAAACGCAGTTTTCAGGATGCAAACTTACACAGCGACAACACACAGCCATACATAGTACATGCTATATAGCAGCATGTTAGAGAGCCATCACTTATGCGAAGGCTACTTTATATCTGACACTTTGAGTTTATGCTTTGGAACGTCCTCTCCAGGAAGAGTCTGGGACCGGCTTCCTGGAGCTTTGCCGAAGGACTCGCGACCGCCGCGCCCTCTCGCCATGGAAGGCCTCGAGCGCGCGGGAGACGAGTCTATGGAAGATGTCTTCCTCCAGGATGACCTTTGCCCGACCATCGCAGAGCATGCGACACAATGCCAGTCTCTTTTCCACAAGTGCATGGCCATGCCGGAGATAGTGCCAGACCCTACCGTCGTGGACGACCAGCTGGCACGCTTTTCTCTGTGGGCATCAAACATGGATGTTTACGGGCCACTCAATGTCTCGCTGGACTACAGGCTCCGCTTCAGTCCCACAGCTGCGGATATCATACATCAGCTCCTGGATATTATTTGCGATACCTTGCTCTCTTGTGAGTACTTTCCGTGCCACATTCAGACGGACTGAAGATCAAGGCTAATGGGGGTCTCGACATTAAAATTGCTCTGCTTACACTGCAAAAACTTCCCAGCGATGAAGATGAGAATGCGGAGAACGTCGACAGCGACCAACCGTTAGAGGATGATGATGGGCCGGCCGAGGCTGTTAGAATTACACGCGCATCCATGTACAGCGTACAGGACAACGAGGACCTGGGTTTCCAAGACGATGACGCTGAGGCTGCAGATGGCAATGTAGACATCAGTGCACAGGTGACAGTACTCGACCTAGAGGACAAAGACGACCTGGGTATGACGAAGCTTCAGCACGCGGTGCAGGCCGGCGATCTAGGCTTGGTCGAGTCCTTGATCCAGAGCGGCGCAAGTGTAAATTTTAGGGACGAAAATGGCCAAACGCCCCTGCATTACGCTGCGGAAAGGGGCTTCTTCGAGTGCATGGAAGCCCTGGTCGAGCACGGTGCGGATTTATATATCATTGACAACTCTGGATTTTTCCCCGCTTCTTTGGGCCGTGGTTGCCGGGCAAGAGGGCGCAACTACGGGACTGTTGTCCATGGGCGCTGATGCCAATTCATTCAGCGCCGATAGAAAGTCTGCGCTCGCCCGGGCAGCCAGTCTGGGATGACTGCTAAAATGCTAGTTGAACACCGTGCCAGCATATCTGATACCCGAAGTACGCAGCAGACTCTGCCTTTGGGAGAAGCGGCAGCTGCTGGCAACCTCCTTACTGTTCGATTGCTCTTCGGACATGGTGAGGATCTGAACCATCGTGATTGCGATTGTTGGTCCGCGATACATTGGGCAGCAGAGGAGGGCCATCTGGAGATTGTGCGTTTGCTGGACGCTGGAGCCAACCCCAACGCTGTCAACTCGTACGGTACGTCACCATTGCACTGCGCTGCAAACGGAGGGCATGTTTCCATTGTGAGCTTGCTCCTCCTAGGGCAAGCCGACCCACCCAAGTCAACATGCCACGGCTGGACTGCACTACACCACGCCGCCTTCATGAGGCACTCCCATGTCGTCCAGGCCCTCATAGAAGACGACCGCATACGATCCACTGCCTCTCAGCAGGACAACCACGGCTAGTCCGTTCTTCATTTGGCCGTCCACAGTCGAGATCTAGCCACCGTCCGTATCCTGCTTGATAAATCTGTCATTTCAGAGCCTCAGGCCCTAATCGACGAAGACGGCCTTACCGCAAAAGAATGACTGGATCGCGGGCCGACAAGCCATTCCCAGAAAGCCACCAGCAACTTAGCGTTCAGTAAGTCGCGCTGTGGCCGGGCCGTCACAGCCTTCGCCAGGCTATTACCTTAGGCAACATCCCCATGATCAAACTTCTGTTCAAACTGGGTCACGATATCAATGGCATGAACTCTGGAAGGAAGACTGCGCTCTACTATACCGCGAAGAAGCGCATGCTTTCCATCATGGAACTGCTTCTTGATCTGGGTGCGGACCCCAACATTCTCCACGCGGGGCGGAAGAATTCATTTCGACTGGTGACGCTTTACTGCGGCTCAACCGAGCAGGATACCGACTGACCGAGGTGGAGCGCCGGATCCGTCAGGCACTTATAGTGCAAAATCAGCCGTCTGTGCCGGATCAACCAGCTTGGTTCATGTCGGACGAGTCGGCTTTACCAATGCTGGACCAATCTGTCTCCCCTGGGCCGGACCGACCATCCTCGTCTGTTCCAGCTTCGTCAACGCCACCTTCTCCGGATCATGCAGCTCCAAGTAAACCGACACGCTCGCCGGCGCCTACACACCAAACAAATCTTGAGATTTGACAACTAGGTTAGGGATGTGACATGGCTCATGCCCAACTAACGTAAGTACAGTTTGGCCCATTCTCGCAGTTCGTCCGTTTTGCTCTCCTGGACGAGCTCCTGTAGTACGGGCAGACTATCCCAGCGGTTCAACGCCACAAACTTGAGATGGATGGACATCAAATCGAGAAGAAGGGGAAAGCAGAGGGGAAAGCCCAGCCCTTTCATGACCAGGTCGACAAATCGCGACGAACGCTTGAAGCGTGCGGCGAAGACCTGCTCCTAGAGCCCAAGTAGCTCTTTCACCCGCTCGTCCACTGGGTCCGTAGGTCCCCTCAGGGAAGCAACTCCCAGAAGAGCTGGCAATTTGTTCACGCGCGCCCCGTGCTCCGGTAATTCCTGCGTTATCTCTCCCTCGAATTCGCCAGAATGGCTCGCATCAATGGCGTGTCCATGTCGCCATACTCCGCCTTGGCCTCGAGATGGGCGCCGTGTTCGAGCAGCACAGACACGGCGTCCCTGTGCTGTCCGGTGACCGCGATATGGAGTGCCGTTAACATGCTTCGATCTTTGAAATTGACACGCGCACCATAGTCAAGCAGCAGTTCCACCATTTCTCGGCGACCTTGTTTGACGACCCAGGACGACGTCGTCCAGCCGTAGTTGTCCTTTCGCGAAATGAGGCGGGCATACTTGCTGATCAACAACTTGGCCCAGGGCACGTTGCTAAAGTATGCCGCGAGATGCAAGAGTGTGAATGAGGGCGGGCTTCCGCCGTTCTTCTCCTGCTCCCAGTAGATTTTCTACCATTCGTCCCGGATCGGAGAGTCGACTTGGAAGAATAGACGTGAGCACTCGGACGGCGCATCGATCACATGAATAACGTGGTGGAAATGCGCCGGCCAGTACTGGCTGGCATAAGATAAGAAGGGATCGTGGCTAGACATTTCGTGAACCCTTCCGGGATTTCCGTATCCGCGTTCGACGTGTGCTAAGCAGGTCTATATGAGAGTCCTGTGGATGTCCTGTCTCATATGGAACATTTTGATCCCTTCGATGTTGACTTGATCGCTCTAAAAGAACTCTTTTGCCAATCCATGAACTAAGTTGACATCTCCTTCGGCCGCTACAAGCAGCCCAGCGAACCTAAGCCGATTCTTGGTCACTTGCGTTGCTAGAAGAGTACCAGCCGTCTTAATCCCTACAGCTACGGTCAATTCTTCCAGTGTGAGGGGCCAGGCAACGAGAACGACACATTGAGGAATAGGGACCAATACTTCCTTGTTTCTGATCTGCAGAAGAAGCCGCTGATAAATCCCACTTAGGCCTTTAGGAATATGGCGGAGAACTTCATCGGTTTCGCTCCAGCTCCTGCCCTGAAGCTCATTAGCAACGAATCCAACCCACAGAATGGTCCCATCAACGCCAGCCAGCAAGGTCTGTTGACTATCTTTTTGGAAAGGTTTTGCTCGGATGCCAGTTCTGCAACTTTAGCGAAGATGTACCTCTCAATATTATGTGAAATTTCAATGTTGGAGGCGTCCAACTAGATCCGCTAATATTAGCCAAGTTTGCTCTCCAAAATAGCCTGCTGAGGCCGAGAGAAGATAATGAGTTTCAGCCGTGGCCTTGCCTTTTCCCCAGACTTCGACAAGTAATTACTAACGGAATCGAGAAGCTGCCTGAGTGATTCCTTTTCGCATTCATCCAGACCGTCCAGAACACTGACTACCTGGGAAGATGTGCTCTGCTAAAGTAGGGCCAGGAAAATCCTCTATAACGAGACAAAACTGGAAATAGTATATTTGGTTGTTTCCGTTCCCTCAAAGGAGTTCTTGATGTCTTTAGCCAGATGCGGATGGAGGTCCATCCATTGATGTAGGATGCCTCTCATGATAGTCAAGGCGGTATTCCGGTCCTTATCGCGGTTACTGCGGAAGCAGTAGAGGAGAACATTATCGGCGGCGTCAACTACTGGCTGTAGCACCTGGGTAATATAAATCGCCAGCATAGTCTTCCCTTTTCCAGGGCCACCTGAGATCCAGAGGAGTGAGTGATTCGCATCTGCCAGCCACTCTTAATAATAGGGATGCTGTATAAGCCATTCGCATGTGCCATTAATCCTGTCCGCTTTCAATGTAATGAGGGACTTCCGATCAACCATGGGCCTTGTTAGAAGCAAAGCGTCAAGAACGGGCGCAGCCTCAGTATACGAGTTTGTGGCCAGAGGCATTGTATTAGACACCATAGGTATAAAAGAGAGGACCTCTTTTGCATATGCTGCAGCTGCTGCCGCGTAGGCGTGCCAGAGCTTAGACCTGTGCGAATCCGCGTAGTCGCAAATTCCTCGAATAACCAAGAACTGAGCAGCATCCCTTAGCCCAGATGCCTCTGTCTCGAAACAGATAACGCCATGCTTATGTGCGAACTTGTCCTGGGCCGCTCCATGGCGCTTCAAATGATGGCTGGAGGCAGTCAGGCCATAATGAACTATGGGGTCCTGTGCCTCCCAAGGCGTCGCCGGGGCGTTGTGTTAGGTATGTTGAAGCTGCCTGGCCTATAGACATGATGATGTGCGGGTCAAACCCAAGGGGCCTTAAATATTAACTGTAGTAGGTTTACCTATACCTAAACTTTTGGGACCTATAAATATGTAAGGGCTGTGAGGCCAGATGTACTAGAATAGATGAGTTCCTGAACGTAGCGGTACGGTTGATGAAGAACTAATCGCTAACTTCTGTTGTAAGGAAGAAAGCAAAAATATTAAGTACAAGAGCGCCAAGGATTGATAAGGTAAGCAAGTCACATGACCTATAAAGGGCCATGGCATGATAGGTAGAAGGCCTATAAGTATAGCTAGTAAAGTCTGGACTTATTAAGTAGTATTTTTCTATTTATTTTTAAAAAATATCTCAAAGTCTTAGTATTAAAGTACTAAGAAGAAGCTATAAAAAATAGTTTATAGGCGTTCTCAACATTTAAAATTAATATAGAATCTATTTTAAAGCTTATCTAAAACTTTCAAAAAGTACTTAAATTTAACCTACTATGTAAACATAACCTATCTAAATGCCTATAGGCTACGGGTTCGGCGTTGCACATCCTCATGTCCTTTCCGGATCATTGCGCGCATTGTTGTGGGTGAGCAAAGCAATCAATCAATTTGAATCAAACAAGGAGTACAGCAACGAACGTACGAAGGGACAGACAGGCTCTTGATCAGCGCTCTCATTTGGCCTGCCGCCTCATCATGGGCGCGTAAGTGACTTGCTTGGGCCCACTCATGCACCCCAATTTCTCGATGCCTTGGGCCAGAAAACCAGCCAATCGAAGTCTCAAAAATCTTGGCTGTTGCAGCATTGGGCGCTTCTCACAGCTACTGGTAGGTGCACCACACGTACATGTAGTACTTGTCCAATTCCTGATGGGAGGATTTGGAGAACGGCACGAGCACGGACGACTACCGATACCAGTACCTGTGACTGTGACGGTGCCCGATAGGATCCATGTCGCGGTGGCCCCAGGTCATGACATAACTTGTACATGCAGATTCCCCGCTTTGTCACGAGGGCCAATTGCACACAATTTGAAGTTGAACAGCCCGATATGGTTGGTTCCTGCATGTCCCGTCACACACACGGGCCGTCCGGGCTGTAAAATGGAACAAAATGATGCGGTCACCAACAGTTAAAGCGGCATGGCTGGCGCTTAGCAAGAACAACGGAAGAAAAGGGCCGGCAGTGCAAGAAACAAAGCAAGAGGGAAACCTCTTTCTTCATTTTGCATCTCCCCTTACTCTCACAGTCCGGCCTCCTCACATTACATTATCATCAGGCACGATAGCAGATGGCATCCGCTCCCCGTCTTCGAGTTCCGCCCCCGCAGCCGCCAGAGGGTCACAAAGGGTGGGGAATGGAATCCATCAGTGACACTGTATCTAAGGCCAGCAAGGTAGGACGCTCAGTTCTTCTCTCGTTCGATGAGATGCCAGAATGGTTTCGGCGTGAATCCAACCAGTGGATTCTCCATGGCTATCGGCCCATCTCAGGCTCGGCTCACGCTTCGTTCTGTAGTTGGTCGTATATCCACAACGAGTCGGTTAACATCTATTCCCACCTCATCCCGGCCGTTTTCTTCCTGCTCGGCGAGTGGTATATCCGGCAGTACCTTACCAGCAGATACTCCGGGGTCACTGGCGCCGATTTCATTGCATTCTCCGTCTTCATGTTGACGGCCGTGACATGCCTGTCGTTGTCGGCGACGTATCACACCTTGATGAACCACTCCCAGCATGTGGAACGTTTCTGCCTGCGGCTGGATATGCTGGGTGTAGTAATCTTTATACTGGGTGACCTTGTCTTGGGAATATACATGGTTTTCTGGTGTGAGCCTTTGCCGCGCAATATCTACTGGTCTCTGGTTAGTTAATCTCCATGTGCATAGTTATGTTTTTCCTCGTCCCAGACCTGGTACTTGAGCCTAACCCTCTCGATTGATAGATTGGAGTTTCTGGGACGTTGACCATCTTCACGACAATGCATCCCAAGTTCCAGGGCTCAAATTATCGCCTCTTCCGAGCATTAATGTTCGTCGCGACTGGCTTATCCGGTGTTGCGCCATTGATCCATGGACTCAATGTGTTCGGCATGTCGCTGATGATGAGAAAAGCTTTCCCCTATACACTGGCAAAAGCAGGCTGCCTTCTATCTGGGACTTCGTTTTATGCAGTAAGTATCCCAATTTCGCACACAAGAGAGAAATGGACCCTAACACATGTGGTTCTGAAGACCAGGTTTCCCGAAAGTCGATATCCCGGCAAATTCGACCTATGGGGCTCCCATTCGATCTTCCACGTCCTGGTGGTATGCGCCGCTGTGGTCCAGTTGATGGGGTATCTGGATGCCTTCGACTATGCCCACGCAAATCTTACCTGCTCGTCTCCTTGAGTTATGTATACGTGCCGGGTATGGAGCCCAAACGCTGACTATAAGATGTTGAAGCATATGATCTGATCGCTGCTGGCCGTGGCTGATACTTATTATACCTGCCATCTTCGGAATGGGCTCGAAGATGGAATAAGGTCCCATTCATCTTCACCCAATCATTCCGCCCCATATTACCTAGATAGACCAAATACACTAGCCATTTAGGCCTACCCGAATAGAGTAGATAAAAGAGGCCCTATTCTATTTACTAATAAAGACTCTCTTCTATCTTTAGTAGAACCTTGAAGTACGCCACCAAACAGGGGGTTAGCAAGGGTATCCTTGTTGATATGTATTCAAACTTCCTAGTAACTCACTGTGCTTTTGTCAAGCGTTGCGAAACGTCTATACATAGTATATCTAATGACGATTTGCCCATGTACAGTAACTTATATTTGGCGGTAACCTCCCCTCTGCTGCAGTGCCTGATGCTGCAAATCAATTTCATTAGTTGGGCAAGGGCAGAGCCTGGGGTGGCGTGCATGCAGGACGCTGAGACACATGATCCTGCTGTAGCTGCCTCAACTTTACTCCAACAATGGCATTCGCTCATCTGCAGACAAGTACAGATACGATGCATGCATATACTTGACAGTTGGCATGAGACACGAAGCCCTCCCCAGCCGGGTTTGAGATGGATGGGCGGCTTTACAATGACTTGCAGTGTGCCGCATAAGTAGCTGATGGGATGTACATTAATTCTTGCCAGGCCCGGCTGCACCGCTGTGACGGCCGGGATGAGAGCCTGATCCGATCAATACACAGCACACTTCCACCGTCGACCAATGTTCTTCCAGCCAAAGAGTCCCAGTGAAGTCTTCAAACCCATCATTTTGGATGTGCAACCATGGACGACGACACTGATTCCCGAAGCCTGCTGCAATCCGTGCTTGGATTGTTCGCTCTAGGTCGACCGCAAAGGTCAGCAAAGCCAGCGTCACCGAAATCACAGAAACGCGAGGCCTGGCTACGGACGGATGCATTTCCGCAGCGCAATGATCTTGGAGAAGCTGAACCAGAAAGCGTTGCAAGGACTCTGCGCGCATTTGAACATCTTGTTCAAGACGACTCTGATCGAAAGATAGATTCCGTAGGTATTCTTGATATACAGCAAGCTCCAGTATTTCGATCTGTTGGCCTCCCTCACTTCCCGCCTACTAACGACAGTTCGCGGAGCAGAGCTTCCAACAACCCCGAAATGAGCAGTATCCGGAGCTTCGCCGCATGGTCCAGAATCCGAATCGTGATCCGCATGCCGGCCCAGGCACTGTCATTCGCGTTGGTAAACGGAGACGAGAATGTGATGATGCAGTTCAGGAACTTTCGCACTTGGAACAGGAGAGCAAGAAGCGCCGAGTTCTGCCTCGTGAAGAGCCAACTCTTGGGCCCAATCTCGAAGACCCCGATGCCGAATTCGCCGTGTTGATGAGGAGACATTTGGTGTCCTTGGATAATGCGTTGCGAAGACACTGGGTTTGCGTTTGCCAGAAGTGCTCAGGGTTGAGCGTGAGACTGTCGCTACCACAACACCAAAAGGACCTTGAGGCTGAGGCGAGTTTCGAAGTATTCTTCGGCGTGCAGTCCGTGCCTAGAACTGTATTGCAAGAAGCTAAAATCACGGTCAAGTAAGCTCTCGAAGCTTTGTGTGATGACCTTCTATTTGCTAACACTGTCGATGCAGACGCCAACACAACAGCACATTGAGGCGCTCATCTGAGCCTGTAATTAGCAACCCACCCGACTTTACCCTATGCCAGAGCATCACAGAGTCCCTCGGTCAGCGAAACTGCTTACATTTCGCTCTCGAGAATGGGATATTTCAGAGGCTTCGCCCGCAACCAAAGGAATTTGGTAGTGACCAAATGTCTCGGGCAGTATCCTTGTCGGCATTGTTCAATCGCCAGCAAGAACTGCTTCGTGGTGAATCGGTACTGCCGCTCAAGGGGAAGCGAGTGTTGGCTGTTACGCTGGCTTCAGCACTTCTCCCCTTCTTGGAGACACCGTGGCTGCAGTTTTCCTTCAATCACTCAAAGATCCAGTTTTTCGAGCCATGGCAGGATGGAGAACTGCCCAACATCACGAAACCGTTCCTGGCTCTGGAGCATGTTCCAATCATCTCAGCCCGCGGTACAGACACCGGAGACAGCTCTGACGCCTCGAAGCATATGATCCATCCCAATGCCAGTGTGCTAGCGCTAGGCATACTCCTGTGCGAGCTTCACTATTGCACACCCGTGGAGCTGATGGCAAAGGACCCGCATGTCGCCAGGAACGTCAACGATGATTTTTATACCTGTCTCGATAAGCTTCAGACTCTGGAAGACGACGCTGGCGTGGATTACTATCTCGCTACGAAGGCATGCCTTACTGGGGAGTACTATCCCCTTGGACAGCACGCCGACTTCGAGGATATCAGCGTCCAGCGGCTCTTCTATCAAAACGTCGTCAAACGGCTTGAGGCTGTGATATTCAAGGCATGGGGCATTCGATTAGAGAACTTGGGTTCTTTCGATTCTCGACAGAACGAATCCTGCTGGGGCTCTATCGGTAGAGAAGTTGTCCGCCTCCATACGGGCAAGGTCGATTCCTCTAATGCAAACAATACAGCAAGGGCAAGTCCGCATCGTTCAATGCCTGACACCGCGCCCGCAAGCTACGCATCCCGCCACTCAGATATTGTGCTACGGATGCCGGCACAGCCTTCGGGATCGCAAACCCACGGACGTCTCACCGAGACTTCACAGAAGAGCTTGTACTTTTTTGATGCAAGCCACCAGACGGGTCCCAAACAAGAGTGAGGTATTCCCTATTGGCTGTAAGACTTCGTCGTACTGATGACCTGCCAGGAATCCACTCTCGGAGGGATGGATGGATAATTTGCTGTCCTCGATCTATCCCTACGTTGACCCTGTTTCCGAGCTTGCAGAACCGGTACGAATAGCGATTTTGGACTCCGGACTCGACCCTGAAAACCCATTCCTGATCGAGGACCAGCAACTAGCCAACCCACGAGTCAAGGAAGCGCGAAGTTTTGTACATGGAACAAGACCGCACGACATTCGAGACGAGATCGGGCATGGCACTCATGCTCTTGGTCTCCTTCTAAAAGTTTCCCCATGCGCTGAGATCTATGTCGCCAGAATTGCGCGAGGAGAAACTCTGGACCCCAATACCTACGATGACATTGCAAAGGCAAGGCTGTGTCTATACCAGAACAGACTTTTTGGACTGAGCTAATGACTTGTGCAGGCCATCGATCACGCAGTTGAACAATGGAAAGTGGACATTATATCAATGCCATTCGGGATTCGTGAATATCACGAGCGCATGAGCACAGCTATATCTAATGCACTGAACAAGCGGACGTTGTTGTTTGCGGCAGCATCGAATTATGGAGCAAATCTTGGCAGAGCTTTTCCAGCTCAGTATCCCAGCGTCTTTTGTATACATTCGACGGATGGAAACGGCAATCCCTCCAATTTCAACCCTACAGCAAGCGAAACGGACGTCAACTTCAGTCTACTTGGGGAGCATGTCTCTTCTCACTGGCCGGCCGGCGTGAACGGACACGATCAGATTGTCAATGTTATGTCAGGAACATCGGTCGCAACATCGATCGCCGCTGGCCTGGCCGCGTCGGTCCTGTCTTTTGTCCGGCTGCAAGATCAGCACATCGCTGTAGAAAGTGAAAGGCTGGGGCCGTGGCTGAAAAGGGACAATTCCATGGATGCGGTCTTCAAGAGTATGGTCAGACGGAGGCGGGGCGTAGGCTATGACTACATCATGCCTCATGTGCTCTTCGATAGCGGCTCGACAAGGGAGGATGTTTACGGGAGAATCAAGGATATCAAACGGAATATGTATAAATACTAGCAGAAGCCTGGGAATTCACCTTCCATCACACATGGTTCACTGGTGTCTATCTCAGTTATAGTCCAAGATTCGTTTAGTATGATTAAGCGTAGATGCTGCCGTTCTTGGTCACATCCGGAACAGCCTCAGCAGTCTTGATGTCAGCCTGGTATAATTGCCTAAGGCAAAGGAGTCTCCACAACCGGTGGGAATGCATCAGCCACAGCAACAATGCTCGCTCTGTTCAGAGGGTATTGTGGCGCTGACGTGGAGCGGATGATAGACCCAGGACATAGCGGGCCCGTTGGTGGTGGATGTATGAAATCGGATGTTGGACAGAGAAAATATGTCTTGGTAAAGGACATGGCTTCAAGATTCAGATATCAGATACCGGGCTTTCCCCAGGGCTGAGCGAAATGATCGAAGGAGCGGAAGAGAGGCCCGGTTCCCATAGGCACTGCCTGGTATGTACATATTAACTCCAGTGCCCCTGGGCTTTCTTCTCATCTCCGCTTATCACACGCTGCAAGACCAGCCGCTGATCGCGAGCGGCCAGTGCATTTTGTATTTGTACTTCATGAGCTGCTACTTCTCTGTAGCCCTGTAGTTATACTACATATGTAGTATGCATGGCGCACCTGTCATGCCGCTTCTAGGGAAGTTTGCGAGCTTTCGGGATGGCAAGAAACTATTAAGAAGCACGAGCTTAAAAAGGAACAATAGAAAGTCACATGATACCCTTAGTGGAAAAAAGAAGTGCCGATGCTTAGTATATGATTATCTAATATAAAATGGTGTGCTTAGTCAGAATCGTACGCGATGAAATACGGATGTACTTATATATGAAGAGGAGGTTGTTGATTATTCCTTATTAAGCTGCGTAGATGAAGATACTACATAGACTCGATTAGTGGACGCCACAAAGAGGAAGAGACCGTCACCTTTGCTAACTGCTCAACAGTCGACCGACCGCTACTTCTCGATGCTCTCGTGTCTTGTCTCTATCAGCGATTCACTCGCTCTCCAGGTGCTTCCCCTACTCCAACCCGTCGTGCTGGGCGCTGGACCGAGGTTTCCACCCAGCAAGCATACATTCACACACTTAAACCGTGCAGGGGAGAGGCCCGTCATTTATCCCTGAAGAAAACGGGTTGCATGATGATTGCATCGGCAGCCTCCAAGGGCATCGGAAGCAAGAACTTATACGTAATTAATATCACCACTTCTTTTCCCACGTCTTAGCTCCCAACGTACAGATAGTGCAGGGGAAGATACTTTTATACTCCGCCACCATCGTCGACCACAACTTTTCAACGTTCGCTGGAGAAGCTGATATTTAAGCATGTCGATCGATCCACTTGGGAGGCCATCGATTACTCAATACCATCCTGATCCAACTGCAACGATGTACTCAACCAAGGACATCTCATGAACCCACGGTTTGGATAGATATATCAACTATCCTGGGATATGTCATGTGTGATGATAAAGAGAAGCCAGGGAGGTTGGGACCGTGAACCATTTGCCCTATTATTCAATACAACGTGGTTCCAGCCTTCCCGTGAACGATACCCACGATCGATCATGAAAACAAGGATACGTCTGCTTGGTTTCGGGTGGCTTGCCAGGGCCCTGGGCTTTTCCAACTCATAACTCAACATGGAATACCCATGGGTCACCAGAACCAATCTCAACAAGCCACAGGTCGCGGGTATATTAAATCAATCTCTTCAGCTTTCCCAACGAGTGCCTAATGAAACATTTGATGCGTTTCTCTCACATGGATATTATTTTTATTTTGCATACATGGACAGGGGGCTAGGTGTGTGACAAGACATCCTCTTATCCGTTGGTAATTTGTCCATGATAGAAGTTTTAACGAAGACGTCAGTTGACTTGTTCGAAATTTTAGCCGCAGCTTCCACCTTTGTGACAGGTATAAGTTCATGATGGATATATATGATATTACTTCTGCACCACCGTGGCACACCGAGAGTAGATGATGACAGGAATCAAAAGAGGACCGACCCTACGGTGCAGCTTGAAGCTTCTTCTCGATCTCTATCACGTCTGTCTCGCTCTCGACCTCTATCACTCGATTAACCTCTGCGGTACTCCTCATCAGCTCCACGGCGCCGGCGTACATCATCCTCTGCGATGGGTTGCAGTTTTCTGGAAGGTAGTACAGGAGCACGTATGGCACAGCAAGACGCCCAGACGCCTAGATATGACCCGTCAGCACTCCTACATCAAGCAAATAGCTTTTTTTTCTGGCCTGGCCTTGCACAGAGGGGTTTGAAAGGCAGTACCTTCGTCAGCGGGTAACTCAGTAAGATAAATCGTGGCGAGGAGTCAGGGAGCTCCTCCGCCAGATCTTCCATATTTGAGTAAACTTCATCGTCAAAGGGCCGGATTTCCTGGCTCTTCGCATCTATCATATCTATATCTCGGTGTTATTATCTGTTGCAAGCACACGGCGTCTTGTATCTTCCTCCAGCTGCTAAAACACGCTAACAAGCCCAGCACGAACGACAAGCTCCGTAGATATATCAGGGGAAAGTACATATCATAGCCTGCGGGTCTTTTGCTCTAGAAGTTCCCAGGCGGAATTTACGGAGTTTCTCGTTCGTCTCGGGGGAGAAGGAGTAGAGGCGTGAGTCCGACTGTCGAGCGGTTAGCTGTCTCTGCTTTATATGCCCGGGAAGGATAACTGCATACCATGATATCTTCAGTCTTCCCTATCCGTCCTAAAGCTCCGTATTAGTTCTCTACTCGAGGTCTTGAGGCTGGTGCATAAGTTGGAGGGATGTTGAAAAAATGTGGGGTGACGCACTTCGGTTTTTATTCCCCACCAGTTTTTGGCCATTTTTCCTCTAAGTAATATATCGAAAGAACATTCCCAACTTCCAGTACGAATTGGCCGCCGATGTATAGTCGCGTAGGCCAGCTAATCCGACATCTAAGCCGGCCGCTCCCTAACTACGCCCACAGTTCTGCTGCTGTCTTCCCGCCTACGTCCCAATCACCAATGACATCATCAGCATCGTCCGCGAAGGCGCGGGAAAACTTCAAGAAGACGATTTGCACGGCAGCATGTCTCATTATCGGCGACGAAGTGCTTGGTGGTAAGGTGTGCTATTATCTATCACCCGTATAGCCCTTTATCGTTTCAATTATCCCTGACTGGCCTGGTTGTCTTCCGCTGCAGACCGTTGATACAAACTCCCCGCACTTTGCGGAATACTGCTTCTCCCTCGGTATACAGTTGAAGAGAGTAGAAGTCATTGCAGACGAAGAGAGCGAAATTATCGAGGCTGTTCGACGAATGAGTGAGAAATATGACTTTGTCGTAACCAGTGGAGGCATTGGACCAACGTGAGTCTGATCTGCGCTTGTAATACCTTGCGGAAGACTTCAGTAACCAACCCCGTAACTGATCGGGTAGACACGATGATATAACATACCAGTCAATAGCCCGAGCATTCAACCTCCCACTCGTGCTCCACGAAAAGGCCCTGGAACGCATGCGGCGGCTCTCCAAACCCCAACAGGCCGGCCCAAACTTTGACTGGGACACTCCCTCCGACGCCCTGACTGCACGACTACGCATGGTCCACATCCCCACGGACAAAGACCTCCCTCTTGAAGACCAGGCTCTCTTCATCGACGATGATCTCTGGGTCCCAATCACGGTGGTAAACGGAAACGTCTACACTTTGCCTGGAGTGCCGTCGTTATTCAGGAGGTTGCTTGCCGGTCTAACCGATACTGCTTCCTCGCCTGTCAATCCGGAAGGCAAAGGGATGCATAGGATACTGATATCTACCCGCTGGTCGAGAGCTCGGTTGCCGCGTATCTGACTGATCTGGCTGCACGGGTTGAGCCCAAGGGCGTGAAGGTCGGCAGCTATCCTAGATGGGGGAAGAGGAGGAATACTGTCACCCTGGTAGGCGCGGATCTGGAGTTCTTGGAGAGTCTGGTACCGGAGGTTGAGAGAAATGTTGAAGGGAGGAGAGTGCAGAGGGAGGATGAGGACGATCCTGAGGATGTAGAGGAGGAAAAGATATAGAGATATCCCCCTGTCTTTTTGTCTTTTAATTGGTTATCCATAGAATCATATATAGGCTTGTAGGATATTAAGAATCCATCGTCGCTCTCTGTCTGGTCAGATGTATATGGGGATAGAAATTTACAAGCTACTTCACCATTTCGGCCACGGGAGGAACAGTAAGAAGAACCGCATACATATTGAGTTTTTTATATGTAAAGAAAAGAAACAAAGCAATGAAACAGCGAACGAAAGAGTAAGATCTTTCAAAAGGAAAAGAGATTAATAAAAGGGGAGAGAGAGAGAAAGAAAGCGAGGTAGGCATGGTATAGTTGATATCATGCCATATTTTCTACTTCTCTCGATATTCTGCATCACTTACAAGGCGGGAACGAAACAACAGGACTATCCAATTTGACATGCACTTGGAGGGGAAACCAGGAGAGAAATCAACAGCAAGGGCAAATGGGACACGGAACAGAGCAACGTTGATGGAGAGCGTTAAATGATGTAGAGACAGTGTATATTGGGATATCAAAACACAAGCAGAGGCAGTCAAAAAAAAAAGGAAAAGCAAAAGGAAATGAGAGAAAGGATCAGAAATATACTCACAGCGAAGAGAAGAAAAGGAAAGAAGTAAACAAGAATTTAAGATGGTCAATATCTTCCGGGTCAGGCTCGAGTTTTAGGTAGAGATGGATGCATTCTCTTTATCACCATGATTGAGCAGGTAAGATAGATTAGGGGGGAAGAGTAATAGAAAAGGTATGAAAAAGGAAAAGAGAAAGGAAATAGAATTAGAAAAATAACGGTCGATAGATAAGATAATACTAACAGGAGATGTGTATATGGTATGGAACGCGACATGATGGTAGTTTTGCAGTGACCCCAGGACGCAATAACGAGGCCGATATCAAGAAATAAACAGCAGAACAGTGGGGGGAATTGGGGTAAATGGCAGACAGGAAAGGGGAATGAAAAGCCAGAGGAATCAATAGAGGGAAGAGAAGGGGGGAGAGAAGAAAAAGAACCAATAAAGAGTATATATCGACATGATGGAAGTTCCAGATAAAAAATAAATCATCAGACCGGAAGGCCAACTTGTAACTTGAACGGTCGAGGGTTGAAGCTGATTCGGTGTAGTCAAGACATGTATTTTTTTGATTCTTTTGTTTCCGGCTCTGGAACAGATTCGGACCTGGGAAAAGGCGTTGTGTTTTCGATGGCATGCGAGTTACTGTCGGAGACATGGGATTTCCGGGTTTGTCTTTCGGCTTCACTGGTTGCTGAGTGCTTTTCTTCCATCCGGTACACTGCCTGTTTGCACCTTAACCTGTTTCCTTGTTGGCCGTTATGTGAAGTTTTTTCTTGTTTTTTTTTTTGTTTCCCTTTTAATCGTACACCTGTTTCCTCTCCGCTACCTCGTGCGCGTCACTTTATCGAATGGCCGTCCTCGTTGGTTCTCCTGCCCTCGCCCTTTTTTTTACATGATAATGCACTTGGCGCAGCATCCTCCCTGCTCGCCCTGGTCGTCTATGTCCATCTTACCCTCTGGCCCTCGAGATCCAAAACCGCCACCACCAGAGGAGTAAGATGACATCTCTTTGTTGTATCTGCGGATTTCCCTGACGATATCGTAAAAGGCGTTGTCGACGTTGATACGTGACTTGGCGGACGTCTCGATGAATTTGCAGCCAAAGCTCCGTGCTAGCTTTTCGCCATCTATTCCCCAGTGTGTTAGCCAGTGTCGACGTTGTCACTCCGACTGATAATGGATGGGGACTCGTACCCTCTTGTGATACTTCTCTCTCCTTCTCGAGATCGCACTTGTTTCCGACGAGGATGATGGGGAAGTAGTCCTTGTCCTTTACTCTGAGTATCTGTTGCTGGAAGGTGACGATTTCTTCAAACGACTGTCTGGACGTGATGGAGTAGACGAGTAGGAAACCCTCTCCGGTTCGCATGTACTGTTCTCTCATGGCGGAGTATTCCTCCTGGCCGGCCGTATCGAGCACATCTAGCAGGGCGACCTCGTCGTCGATAACGCATTGCTTCCTGTACGAGTCTGTGACCGGATGAGCCTTCGTTCCATGCACACGAAAAAACAAACAACAGGAGGGGGACAGTAACGAGAGGAAACAGAGGAAGAGCGGTCGAGAGAGATGGAGCACCTTCGATTGTAGGATCGTATTCATCGACGAAATGGCTTTGGATCAATTGGATGGTCAGACACGATTTACCGACACCTCCTCCGCCGACGACGACCAGCTTGTATTCTCGGAGATACTAAACAGGGCCAGTTAGCAGGATTAGACGGACGCACAGGTTTAACAGACGCAGGACTGACTCGTGAGGCCATGATGTGTGAGTTGAGTAGTTGTCTCTAATCCGCGAAAAGTACACGGTGAGGTTTTGCTCTTCTAGATGGTTTTCCCGAGGCGAGAGAAGAGATATAGAAGGCGAAGAAGAGTAAAAAAATAAAAAGAGAAAAAAGAAAAAAGAAAAACTGCTATCAGATTATTCTCAACTCCTTTTTCTTCTTCTTCTTCTCTCTCTCTCTCTCTATGTGTGTCCAAGTAATAAATAAGAAGTAATTATGCAGAGTTCAACGGTTCAAACAAGCAGCGCGAAGGGTCTTTTTCTTCTTTCCTTTTGTTTTTCTGGCAGGGAGAAAAGGAAAAAAAAAGGGAAGAGAAAAAGGGAAGAAGAAAAGGGAAAAAAGGAAAAAAAAAAAAAAAATAGAAAAGACGCTACTTTTTACACACTCACACGCGCCAACTAAAGAAGAGAGACAGAGAGACAAGAGAGATAAACTGGAGATGCAGGGCGATTAGCTGTCATTCTCTACTTTGATTCTTCTTCTACTTGATCTACTTCGGTTATGCTATATGTAAGTGAAAGTCGACATGCGAGTGACCATGCAGGAGCAGAAGCAGCATCATCACCATCAACACAAGCAACACCAGGCAGAGGCAACCGTCTTTAAACCCTGTAGCGGGTCCGCAGTGAGCGTCGCCCATGACTACGAGCCTGGAGCAAAAAAGGAACTGCGGAGAGCGCGTCAAGAGGCCAAAAGTCATGCAGTATCAACGGCGCCTTCAAACGAACCACAGCAGCATGTACTCACGAAAAGCTGCCTTGGCGCATTTACGGTATGGGATAAAAAGGGAGAGAGGACGAGGATCAGGAGAGAAGGGGAGAGAGCAATAAAAAGGGAAAATAGGGGGGCTGGAAGGGGCGGCGCCAGCCATCCCAGGCATAGTTGATACTTAAAGCCTTTTTTTCCCTCTTTATTTTAACCTAGGGGCCAGGCCGGCTGGAGCAATGGTCATATGGTCGGTTTTCCTCTCCTCCACCAGGCAGAACAGAGGAGATGACTGGTGGGAAACAGAAGGGAGCAGACGGGGGAGCAAAGAGACTGGACGGAGATTTGGGCTGCACCTACCACCACTTATCACGGCGCATTGCACGGTGACAGGACAGCCACTAGACGGACGCCCTGTCGTTGGCCGTTCAAGCTGTCGACGGACGGATCTTTGGTTGGCACGTCTGGCTCCGTGACTTGCTGCGTGCGTATCTAGTTCCTGCATATCACAGGAGGCATGGAGACCCAAGACTGGAGTGCATCTATTGCGCCTAATTTTCCTGCTTTCATTCGGATAGTTTGCCTTTTCTCCAGCGATGGACGGCCGCCCTACTTCTCCCCCCATCATTACCGGTCAAGCAGGAGGATTAAAAGCAGAACGGATCAGCCCTGTCGGGGTTTCACTCGCCACCAGCTCTCCCTTGCTTATAATTATCTTGCAGACGGCTACATCTCGGTATGGACACCCCCCGTAGTCGAGCTACCCTACCGCTAAGTATACAACCCACCACCCTGTTCGTCGGCTCGCTGGCCCCAGTCCCCAAGAGTCAGCAGCCTGGGCAACGCCAGCCTTAGCCGGTGTCAGTCACGGAGCGGATCTTCGCCCCATGCGGTTTCGAGTGGCCCCCCTGGTACACATAGTATTAAATTTTTCACTACAGAGATCGACCTATGTTACATTGTCTGAGCTGACAGTGTGATATACATATCTACTTCATGCGCGTGGATATGCGAGTGGTACTATATATGTAAGTCTTCATGCAATGTAAATCACATCCGACGACTCAACAACTTGTACGCTGGCACGAGATATGATACTCCATATGTAGCGCCATCACCGAAGGATCCGTATGTATGTATCATTCCTCTTATCGCCGTCCAGTCAAGATTGATATCGAATGACATATATCAACTCCGTGTCCTACATATATACTACTGTGCTTTGCGCGTCGCTCTATCAGCCATGGTGGCGGCGCTTAGGCTTTTTCATAGTAAAACTTATATTCACATATACAGACAGACTAGCTATCACAGCTCCGTGTCGAATATGCTCGTCATCTCTCCCATCTCCCCCTTTGATGTCGGATTATTGGGCAGCTTTCGCGTGGAGCTCCGGGTGATAGCCCAAGCCATCGTGAATGTCGGTATTATCACGTGTAGAAGGTCCTCTCTTTTCTTTTCTGATATAAGATTATTTTTATTCTTTTTCTTCTATGATATAGTGTGGATAAAGCTTGAGCTTGGCGGATAAAGGGGGTTGATGGCGTTGATATACTTCTCGTTGATGGATATAGGGTCCCCCCTTTCTCTAAAGAGCAAGATTCTCCTTCTATATACATGGTCAAGTTTCTAGTTGTCCCCGGATTCATATCATTTGTCTCTTTGCCTTATCATTTTTCACGTCTTTCGATGTAAGGTTGTAGGTGAACCCTTGATATGACCGTTAGAAAAATGGCAGGACGCAGGAAAGGGGAAGCATGAGTGGTTGGTTCGTTGGGCCGAACTTACTTGGTGCTGTGGATAGATCAGCGTATCCGCGATCACGACGTTCTCCCGCCGCCCAGCAGTGAACACAATAACTTCCGCAATATCCTCTGCCGTGAGGGGGTCGCAACCACTGCATCCAAGCTGTCAATTATTCCGAGTCGTCTTGGGGAGGAAGAGGAGACTTACGCATAAACAGCATCGGCCTTGGCTTTATCTCCGTAGAATCGCACGACGGAAAACTCCTGGAAAAGGCGCCCTGCGTTAATAATGATCGTGGTTCAAATCACAGAGCGAGAATATATCCTTACAGTTTCAACCTGACCTGGATCAATCTCAATCACCCTGATGCGGGTAGCCACAAGTTCCTTTCGGAGGGCATCGGAGAAGCTCCTGACTGCCGCCTTGGTAGCGCAGTAGATGCTGCCACCGGGATATGCCTCCCTACCAGCGATGCTTCCGATATTTATGATGTCTCCCCGTCCACCTTCGGGTCTCTTCTGGAAAATAGGTAGCACAGCCTGGGTCATGTGAATCAAGCCGTAGACATTGGTGTCGAACATCACCTCCAGATCCTCCGTGGCGATCTCAGGGGCCTTTGCTACACCTCTGACAAGTCCGCTTCAAACCACCAGTCAATAAAGAGAAATAGTGAAGGAGTGGATGGAGTGGGATCCCTACGCATTGTTCACTAGGATATCAATCTCCTTGAACTCCTCAGGCAGTTCGGCGATGAACTTGTCGATATTCTCCTTCTTGCTGACATCCAGTTGGATGGGAAGCACCTTCACGCCCTCGCCAACCTCCGCCTTGATCTCTTCGGCAACCTGCTTCAGCGAATCGAACCTCCGTGCCGTCAGGATGAGTTTCAGGTTCCTCGGTGAAGAACGGGCGAATTCCAAGGCGGTGGCTTTGCCAATACCGGAAGATGCACCCGTCACCAGGACCGTCTTGCCGTCAAGGCGTTTACACATCGCGGTGGCCATTGTCCGTCGTGTGTAGGTGCGGTGGAGGATCTGAGCGAAGGTACTACTATTATAGATCGAAGGTCGGCCGTTGCTTAAAGCCACAGATCCTAGGTTAAGGGTGCCGAGAGTTCTGATCCAGGTTTGAAGACGAAGCATGGGAGGCCCTATCAGATGCAGACAGGATATTTGCTTGGTGCCCAAAGACGAATCGTCAATTGGAATCTCTCTCTTGATAACTTGACGTCTTGTTCATCAAAAATGCGACTTTTCTTCTTTCCCCGCAGTTTTTCCCTTTCCCGGATTAAGTAAGTCGGTGTTAGGACTTAGCGCCGAGCTTAGTCAAGATCATGTGACGTCACTGCAGAAGAAGATGGAGAAGATGAAGACGAAGATGAAGACGGAGAAGATGAAGATGGAAGGAAGATTTTGATAAAGATGGGATATATGGATGTCATTCATATAGCTTATTCTTCATAGCTAAAGAGCGGCCATCGAGGTCATTTACTGCATGTTTGCTCTTAGGGGGTGATATGCCCGGGCTCTTATGCTTTGCTGATATCTACCACTGTTTTGATTCTGGATCAGGCTACACTACCTACGCTGCTACTAGGGGATACATCAAATATCAGTTCTACAATAGTATCCTTTGACACTAGAAGACAAGAAGTCTGGCTAGTAAGGTAGGCCTCTACTGTCTGTGAATATGGATTGAATAGCTAATATGATCAGTTAATACAACATCATAATAGTCTTATTCTATATAGATAACATAAAAGTGTAAGCATGGATATTTGTCTGCTCTTCTACACACCCTGTTATATCCAAATATGCACCTTTTGATGCATGTTTATTCTCAGCTTAAGTGAATTGGTTAATATACCCTTTGAGACGGTCTCCCCCTTTATGTATTCAACTTCTTGCCGGTATCCAACTTCACGGGCAAGCAATAGGACGCCGAGATCATTCACACAAAGATGAAGAATAAAAATACAAAAGAGTGTCTTCACTGCGTTGCACAGTCATGCCCTAAAAAGAAGAGGCGGCCTCTAAGGGCACACGAAGCAGGACGTTGGCCTTTTTTACTGCTTCTTCTACCACCTTCCGGCACCTCTTTTCTTTCTTTCTTTTCACAAGGTGGAAGACTGATCACCTTATTCCTTTAATATTTAAAGGGGTTCTTCTTCTTTTTGAAAAGTTTTCTGTCAAACAAGTCTCGTCTTTGCAAAGTCATTGTCCTCCGTTGATAGAGCAGAGTGGATTACTCGACCTTTGTTCTCTCTTTGATATCCGTGAATCTTCGCGTGAAAGACTCGTCCTTTGCCCTCTATAGAGTCGGTTTTTGCAAAGGCTTCTCCTTTGACCATCAAGGCCTGTTTCACTCGGTTTTGTTCACTGGTTTCATTTGCTTGAAAAGTACCATTAGCAATGGCTCCTAAGAAGCATATAAACTGGAAGCCCTTCACCCAGAAAGTTCTCGAGAAATGGGCCACCAGCTCCCTTCCCAACGTTCCATCCGCTCGCCACTGCACTATCGGACATCCCTCGCGGTTGAGAGAGTCTGGTACTCATGCCGTTGCTTTCTTCTATCTCGTCACAGCAGCAGACCCTGGCCCCTGGTATGTAATCGATAGTGTTCTGTGGGATACGGAGAAGAACTCGAAGCTCTGTGAAGCAACATTCATCGTGCCCTGCCGTGATCCCCCATCAGCTCGCCATCCTTTTGTCTGTGAGTGGGACGAGGGCCTGCGTGTGTATGTCGTTCGTCATTATCAGGAGCCTGTGAAGGAACTAAAGAACGAACCCAAGGCCAAGGAGTCAAAGAAGGATGCTGAGGAGAAGGGCCCTGCTGCTCCTTCGATTATTTCATACGATGGAGCCTCAGATGAGCCGGAAACATGGAGCCCTGGTACTGCGAACGAACATTATTCTCTTGACCATGCACTCGATATCAAGTGTTTGCCCCCTCTGCCTGATGATTACTTGGACGATGGCAGCTTGTATGAACCAGGAGAGGCTGCTGCACTTGAGAAGGATGGAGAGATGGGATCTCAGCCATCGACTTCATCGTACACATCCACAGACAAGCAAAGCAATCCCCTTGCCGTCCAAACACTTGTTTTGGGCGCAGAGCGTGCTAAAGATGCCGAGCAACCATCCATTGGCATGAAAGAGGAGCCGACAACTTGTACTTTTGAGGCTGATACTGTCGATGTGCAACGTGAGGAGACTCCTGAGCCGAGTGTGTTGGCTGATAACGTCACAGACCAGCCTTCACAGATGCTCGATGGCATTTCTACCAATCCTGACAGCGTTGAAGACACAGACACCGACGTTACCAGCTTAGATCTTCCCGAATCTGCTCCGCAAGGTGTGTACGAGGAGTTCAACGCAGCCGACTATGAATACAGCCCACCAGACACTGACCTTTCCGAGGAAGCCCTGAAAGAGCTACGCTGGAGAGTTCGCATGTGTGAAGAATACCCAGAGATTCACCACTATAATTTCTTCGGTGAAGCAATGGCTGGGCCAACCTTTACTCCCCCCGAAGTATCATTGTTCGTCCTTCTGCAGGGCCCAAAGAGCTGGTCAAGCGATGCCTCCGTCCGTGCTTCCGTCTTGCGCCGAGCAATCAGGTTCATCGATCCCATTCTCTACACCGGACCTGTCGAAGCTCTCTCATACCACGGGTGCAATTCTCTCATCAAAGCTATCACCGGAAACGTTCACCGATTCTACACCATACATGGATCCTGGACCAACGATGATGGTAGGTGGGCCCAGGCGCGACCAATTCTCGACCCTACAGACCCGGATATCTATTATACTGAGCCCTGGCTTCCAATCAATGGATGGTTGAATGTCCATTGGAGACTCTGGTCGAGAGACAACTACCGGAATGGGATGAGGGAGATGAAGCCGATGCACAAAAAGAATCTCGCTCCTGTATCGAAGTCACCGCTCTCAAAGTGCATGCTGGCGAGCGAGTTCTAGGAACGTTGGCTGTGTATTCCAGGGTTCGGGGCTGGTTACTGATGTGTGTTCAAGAAGATTGCTGCAACTTTTGACGGTGGGCGTCGTCTCCCGCCTGGTGCTCACTTGGGTTCGGAATGGATATTATTCAATAAAACTGGCTATCAATCATCGAACCTTACTATGCAACCTGAGAGACCTTTGCCGCCTTTCAAGAGTTTTCGGTATGTCTGTTAACGAAGGGTATGACGGTATGAACAGAACTTGAAACGATATTTACGAAAGGATCTTTGCCATTTCCACTTGATGAGAAAGGCAATCTGCTACTGATGAAGCTATGATCTGAACAAGAAATGTACCTATAACGAAAAGCTAAAAATAAAACATATAAGTGGTTCTTCAATTAAATAATAGCTTTGGTAAAAAGAAAATGAGCAGCGAGGCTGTGCTGAAGAGGGTGTAGGGAGTTGAATAGGCTGTTCATCAACTTCGCCTGTTGAATGGTTAAGAGAAGGATCGGGGAGTGTAAGAAAGGAAGAGAAAATAAAAATATATGCATCTGCCGACCGACCGCCTTATCCGAATATCATAGTGAGTCCATACCAACCAAACACCGAGCATGGAAGCAAAGTCATGTATCATAGAATAGATTGACATAGGAAAAAGAAACACAAATTGGTAGGGGAAAGGATAAAAGGATGAATGAGGTTGCTGAAAAGCGAGAAACTGAGCGACGAAGATAGATACACGAAGAAAATATATAGTGGGCAAATATCCCTAGAACGGGGGGCACTTTACTTCAAGGAAGCTAGCTCTCTCTCCTTAGCACGCAAGGCCTCACGCATATTCTCTGCTTCACGCTGCAACTGAGCCCTTCGCGCAGCTTTCAAGTTATCATCACTTGTTGCGGCAAGAGTCGGCGGGGGCAGAGAGTGGTTACCATGGGCCGCCTGTGTAGTTGGGGGATTCACTGGATTCGGAGAATAAGAGCGAGGCCCCGGTTGAGGCTGTGCCTGGGATCTGGCCGGTGTGTTTGAGCCAAGAGCTGGGTCGACGTGGGATTCGGCAAAGCCAGGATCTGTATGGTTCAGTAAAGAGGAGATGGAACTTAGACGGCCTGAGTTTGGTAGAGCACGAGCACCGGCTGGGTTGATGGGAGGGAGATGAGCTGAGGCAGGAATGTCGGAATGTACGCGCGTAGCTGGAGGCGCTGCTTCGGCGGAGGTGCTCTCGGAATGGGTTCGTTTCTTGGAGTTGGGGGAGCGGTTGATCAGGGTGGTTAATCCAGAGGGTGATTGTGTCAGGTCCGCAGGGGGGTTTCGATGATCGCCAGCCAGAAGAGAAGAAGAGGGAGGCAGAGTAGTTGTTGATTTGCTATAATAGCCTGTGAAATCAATGGGTGGAGGAGCAGTATGGGGGTATTGGGCTGCATCATAGGCATGTCCATGTTCGGACCGTGCGTAGGTGTTGGTATCGGCGTTGGTGGTAGAAAGACTGGCAGAGTGTAACTCTGGGGAGACGGAAGAGTTGTCTGAAGAACCAGCGCCTGGAGAACGATCCCTCAGGGCAGGGACGACTCGTTTTCGTCTTTTGATGACCGTCTTTTTCATAGCGACAGGTCGATGGCTGCCATGAAGTCGATAGTAGAGACCTGATTGAAACTATTTAGCAAGCAGAGCTGAGAACGGTAGCTGGGAGGACATGTTCCTTACCACAAGCATTACATATAGTATTCCCTTGGTCATCTCGCCTCCATAGCGGAGTAAGAGTGGTACCGCAGTTTTGACAAGCCTTTGGCATTCCGCTGGCATCCTGAGTTGCGCTGTCCATAGCATCCGGCCCACTTTGAGCCTGCTCTTCACTGATCTGAGCGGATGGTGACGGTCTCGTTTGACGAACGGGAGGTGCTCGAGAAACAGCCTTGTAAACGCGATTATTGTATGCTGGACAGCCATCGCATCCTACAGCACCACCAGTTCCGTTACAACTTCCACCACCGGGACAGGTGCCTGCAGAACCGCAACCGGCTGCATTTTGAGCACCAGACGCATCACTCGCAGTAGGAGAGGCTCTTGGGTCTGAGGTTGAGCTGTTTGCGTATCCGCCAGCTGCGTTTGCTCCAGAGTCACGGATCCGGTTTGTAGGTCTGTCTGTGTTTCTGGCTTTGAGATACAGGCCGCAAGCGTTGCATATGGTTGAGCCGGAAGGTGACCTGCGCCATAGAGGCGTCCGTTTCGTTCCACAGTTCCTGGTGGAGAGAATGTTAGCATGTCTAGTAGAGAGTATACTGTATGGGTACCAAGTGAAAACTACTTACACGCACTGATGACCCAGAAAGACTTCCGCATTCCGTGAGGCCTTGGGAGACGCTCTTGAGCGACTCGAGCTCTCTGGAACTGGATTCTGTTCCGAGGGCTGATTATGTTGTTGCTGCTGCTGCTGCTGCTCGTTCTGGTTCTGCTCCCTCGAAGCAGCGGCGTACTCGTCCTGAAATCCGTCCATGGCTGCCCCGAGATTCACCTTATCTCCGTCGGTCGACCGACTGCCGTCAAAGTTGTCAGGTCTGAAATCCGCTACTCCACGCGCAGACGATACCAGCTGGTGTGCAGCATCGAGATCCTCCGCTGATGGTTGACGTATCATATCGCGTTTCGAAACTGGGAATCCGCGTACGGTGTCTGACGGGGATCGAAGGGTGAGCATCTGCAGTGTCTGAATCTCTTCTTGGAGTGCTTTTCCGCCCGGCTGTATAGTTCAACGGTAGATGTGGAAGACTTCTGAGATGGAAAGAAAAGGATATGACGGTCTGCAGGCTAGGCTGAGTTAGACAAGGCAGCAACTATTAAGGATGAGGCGGTTTATGTTTGCGATCGGGAGGTTTGATATGATCAAAACAACGAATAGGCAACCGCTGTATGTTGGATGGAGACAAGCAGCTCAGCTGAAGAATCAGGAGGACGGCAGGAGGAGTAGCTGTTTGTTTCAGCCCGATATCAGCTCATGTCTCGCTGGCTCAAAGGCTAGCTGAAGCTCGAGGGGAAGAGGTGGTCGAAGGAGGCGTAGTCGAGTGATAGTATGGACAGACGGTTGGAATATAAAACAGAAGCCGCCGGCCTGGATGAAGAACAAGAGAAATTCACTCCCGAGATAGCAAAGAGGATGACACGACGAAGCGAATTTATTCAGCGTACTATTGGCCCAAGTTTGGGGCGGAAGATTTAGAAAAACTTAGGCTCATTCAAGATATTATATTTTAAAAAAGGCGATGGGGCCATCTTTCGTTATCAGATCAAGCGACCCCCTTTTTTGCCTTTCTTTTCTTGTTTTCACCCACGACAAGGCGACCTTGGACAAGAAAGCAGATATTTGTGGCCGTTGAAAGCGAGGTTTAGATGATCTGCTGCTTGATCCTTGGTCTCTTTGAGGTTTTCTTTTTTTTTTTTTACGTAGTATGGCTTTTTGGTATCTCCTTTCGCTGGCTTTTTCTTTTTTGGGTGAGCGAATCTGATTATCTCCATCTATTATCTTATCTTGATCATCTCACGGCACCAGAGCACGCCACCTCCAATCTGAACCCTTCTTCGCCTGCCTCCCTTTCTTGTTTCAGGCGAATCTCTCGGGGCATGGCCTGTCTAACCCGCCGCACCTCCGTCTTCTCTCTTCCGCTTCTCTTCGTCCTCCGCTCGGTTTTCCTCCTTCGCCTTCTCGTCTTCTTCCCGATCAGATTTGCTGATAAGAAAATTAACCTCATCAGCCCCACTTTATAAGCTGCTGTGCTTTCCTTCTTTGGGTTCTTGGCGTTGGTAATTGCATCTAGGACGCACCTTATTGGCTACATCCGCTGTATAAGCATTATTTCGAGCAGTTTTATTGGTTGTCTCGTTCTTGGGTAATGGACACGTGATATAATAACGTTAGTCACGTGGACGCAAGGGTGTGCACAGACTTCCCAAGGAGAGGGAAAAAGGGGATAACAGAGAGAGAGAGAGCACGGGAGAATTACATCGTACGGATAGCTTAAGACAAGTACGTTATGATTGTATTCCAATATATAGTAGAATAAAGAGCCGGAAAAAAGTTGATAGTACGGATAATAAGAAGTAAAAACTATCCGCCCAAGTTCTCGTGTGCGCGTTGCAAAAAGGAGTCACATCAGGGTTTAATACAGGATATTCGCGATTAGGGGCGCTGGTTTAGGATACTTGGGTCAAGGACCAAGTCGGAATGCAGGCCGGGCCAGGGGGTTAGATGATTTAGACCTGCTCAGCGCCCCAGCCTGGGTCGCCGGCATCCTCTCGCATGTTGGCAGGTGGCTCTATCGATGGGATGTACTCGAGCACACAGTAGCCCAGTCCAACGACTCCGATAAGCGATCCAGCAATGATGCGCAACACACTGTGCTCGAGGATGATACAGCCGACAAACACGTAAACTATACTATATGTTAGAGTTATCCTTTAGATGAGATCGATGTTCCTTACAAATTCCTCGTCCGATGAAGGAGAACATGAACGAGGCATGTCTGGTCAAGTATGGTGGAACATTTGGTATCAGTTCCATACCAGCAGTAGCTGTCCACAAGGTTGGAGTTAGCACATCCATAGCTATAGCCCGCAGCCGAGCCCAGGAGATATAGCGGGCTTCATACCTAAACCGAAGAGGATGACATAGACGCCGATGATGATATTTCGGCTGGATTGATATTGATTAGCCGTAGTCCGGAGTAACCGATCAAGTAACAGGCCCAGGAGTAGAACTTACAATGATAAGGAGAAGAATTGACTGATTCCGCCCAAGATCATAATAACACCCACCCCCAAGTTGACCAAACGGCTACGTAGTTAAGAAACGGGTTAGCTTTAAAATCATTTTAGGGACCCACGCATGCTAGCCTTAGTCCGCAGAGCAGACACACAACTACTGCCCCATACTCACAATGCATTAGAGAGATCCATCTTGCTTGCTTATATGATACACCGGTAAATAGGAGAGACTTGTTATAGCTTTCGTAAAAGAAAAGTGTGGAATATCGTCTCAAAGACAAAAAGAGGTTGAGAATTGTATAGGAGGTTCGCGTTGAGTAGTATGGTCAAAACTGATAAACCACGGATATCAAGCTGTTATATAGAGTTCCTGGTCGTCGTGTCGCGAGAAGAATATCGTAGCCTGGGCCAGGGAGGTCGGAACACCTAGCTAGCGGAGCTTGGGTCGACGAGGCGGTAGCCAATGGAAGGACACTACGTCTTGCTCTTTTCACAGTCAGCAGTGTGGCACTTTATCGATGAAGAGATGGATAACTTTGGGAATCGCTATAGGAATCGCTCGACTTACCTTGAAGCTGTTGCTGGCTGTCGAATCGCAATAATGGGAAGCAGGAAGGAGCTTTTATTATTGTCTTACTAAGAAATTACGTATGCTTGGTCACGTGATACATTACCGGCCAGAAAAGAAGGAAAAATATTTGCAAGCGACAATCTTAATATAAGGACCAATTGATGATATCAAAGGGGATTCTGGACAGCAAGGAAAACTTCAGTGGTAGGCTATAGCTGGTTTATTGAATAAGATATTTAAACTGTGCTGACGATCCCGTCTTGTAAGTTAATATCAGTGAAGTGTATTCCCGAAATTGGCCAACTACAAGCCATTCCCCGAAAGATACGGGAGGGTGCAGAAACACCCTAAAGTCGAGCTTTTGTCTTCCTTTCTGCAAGAGCCTCCTTCACCAAAGCAGCAACTTCAGCACAACATCCAAACGAAGTCTGATATCCAAACCCGCCATGGCCATAGTTATGCACCACTGCAATGCCACCGATCTCGTCCTTTTCGACTCTAGTGCCTCCTTCTCTGAGAGGTCGTAAGCCAACACCATGACGAATGATATCAAGACCTTCAATGCCTCTCCGTTTGCCGTTTTCATCCTTGCCAACAAGTTGGGGACATACGGCGATACACCGTTTCATGATGCGGACTGCCAGGCTAGGCTCCGGCTGGCTCTCCCAGTTATTCACCTGGTAGGAACCGCCTAGGATAGTTCCACCTCCTAAACAAGCATATGAGTGGTCTGCGTAATCTTAGGATAAATTATATATGCACAACGATGCAAAACGTACCGGCGGCTCTCATCATTATATAGCAAGCTTCATCATCGCCATCATCACAGCCTGATAACGAGTACATGGCGCCGGGATCATTCCGCACGACGACGACCTGGCCACGAGCAGGATACATCTTAGTATCTTCAACTCCGCCTAGCTTTAATGATCCTAGGCCGGTACAGTTGACGATAAGATCTGGTTTTTGGCCGGAAGCATGTACGTTTGCGGCGTCCAAGATATGATTGAATGTAGCACGCTTGAATATGACGCCATTCTTGCGGCATTTGGATACAAGCCATGCCAGATAGACGGGGGTATTCATGCAGACTGAAGTGAAGGCGGCTTCGTTGTCCACTCCAGCTGGAAGATCGCGGTCAGGAGTCAGCGTGAACTTTTAGTAGATAATTAGCACAACTTGATCACGGCTATCTGCCTCCTAAACAGGTTAACTCATTGACGATAGGGATAGTACATCAGGAACAATGTCTTTGTACCAAGGGTCCGGACGAAGCAGTTCTTTGAACCATAAGCCCGTTGAAGATTCTGCGTCCTTCTTTCGATTTATTACAACAGACTCTACATTCGATTAGCATGGTGATAGATCCTAGCGTTGGGCGCATCCCCGGTTATCTCCTTACTTTGGAAATGAATGCCAGCCTCTGGATGGTTCAGTGCTAAGTCCTCAAGGACAGGCCAAGTGTTTGTCTCCCATCGAGCATGCGCGGAACCCTCTGCGCCTGTACTGTTTCCCCATAAGAATCAAACATTTATCACTGGTTAGCACATTATAACACGTAGCCGGGTCTGAGTGCCATAGTCCGGCTAATGCAAATATTTCCCGGGGCGTGTTTATTTGCACCTACGGGAGGAAATTGGCGCCAGCCCACATTGAGCAATATTCGATATCATAGTCGCCAGGCATATGTTTAGCTGCAACAGTGATCTCGTTCGACTTCTCCTTGGAGAGCAGATATGCCGTCGTCAGCCCGATGACTCCACCCCTGCGAAGGTGTGTTAGTACCGAGGTCAAGGAGGTATTCCGGAGAATTATCCTTTTGAGATCATGACAGCAACGTACCCAATAACCACGATTTTGTTATTAGACGCCATAGTTCAATATGAAAAGAAGAAGACTCCTTCGGGTGGTTGTTAGGAGTACGGTGAGCAAAGCGAAAGCTGCAGGAAGACAAACCCGAGGTTATAACCTGAATCTGACAAGTAGTTAATTTGGCTATCGGCTGTGTGCAACAGCCACCGCTAACTACATGCAGTAATAAAATTCTCCGTTATAAAGCCACTCCATGGTCCGCCATTTGATGGTTTCAGTACCTCATATATATCTTTTGATAGAGCAGTTTAACAACTATCACATCTAACCGCACATGGCTGTCATAGGGATCTCTCAATACCAAGTTACTATAAAGGAATGAAACAATCAACAGAACGAGGTTACTACGACAAAACGATAGTGAGCATCATTACGATGCTGGAATACCTTACCCTTGCCAGTCCCTGCATAATTCTATCTTGAAGATATGTATGTTCCTTGTCAGGGAGCTAACTAATCGCGGGCCAATAGCTCGCCCCTGTGTTTAGAGCCTCCATGGGTTGAAGCGGGTTCCAACAACATAATTAGAAGCCTTGAGTTATCTGCAAAAGAGTTGGCACTGTTGCTTAATGTGTGATTGTGTAATGTCTACTGATATATTTCATATGCTTATAACTGTTCTAATTTTCGAAATTCGATCCAGATCTTTTCTGTACCATCACCGGCGACGAAGCCATTGTTTCCGGGATACTCGCTCTCGTCAGCCACTGTGGTTTTGTAGTTCGTGTACACTGCTGCCAGAGCGTTCCTCATTACTGGATATGATTATTAGAATCATGCATTTACCACCGAAACAGGGGCCCATGATTTACTTACGTTCCATCCCAATATGCTGGCCAATACAACCCCTACTACCACCGCTGAAGGAGAACAAGGCTTTGTTCTTTCCATCTGTATATTGGCCGTTCTTTTTAAGCCAACGGTAGGGGTTCCAGACGAGAGGATCATCATAGAGGTCGCTGCTACGATGCAGTAAGTGAGTATAAGCACCGATACGAACCCCAGGGGGTATGTTCTTGTATGGACCGATATCCGATAGACATCCTTGAGGTGTCACTCGAGGATCCATTCCAGGAGGGCTATTGCGTAGTCTGAGGCTTTCTCGGATAACTGCATTCAAGAATGGCAGACGTTGGAGATCTTCTGGGGGCGGCAGTTCCTGCTGTGAAGGACTTTGGCTGTGATCCAAGTAGAACGGGGCAGGTAAGGAGAGAAGTTCTTGACGAAGGTCATCCTGAGCCGTAGGGTGTCGCGATAACTCGTAGAATAAGTAACTGAATGCAATTCCTATAAAGAACAAATAAGTATCCGTCCAAAGGAGAGTTTCGTTGTATTTATCATACCCATGGTATCTCCGGCGGAGCCTGTATCCAAACCAAGCTACAGTCAGTAAAGCGCCTTTGAACTAAATGAAGGAAAATATATAATATCTCACCAATCTGATCATTGCATTCACTGGCTAGCTCCCTAAACTGTTCATCACTGGGAGTGAAGCTCTTTTCAACGCCATTTTCTTGAGCAATGCCATTCCTCACGGCATTATAAACGATTGGGAGCTCCCCTGGGGCTAAAGGCTCGCCCGTAGCGTAGCTTTTTTGAATACTTTGCTCTGCCCTTCTTGCTTTGCTACTTGCCCAATCTTCGCTTAGCTGCCTTATCTCAAAATATCCCTTAGGGAGCAAATGGGCTCCGAATTTTGTTAAAGTCTGGGTAATCCGTCTAAATTCGCCTAATAAAGAGGCAGCGTTCGACATAAAAATTACTTGGTATATCCCAAGCCACTTCTCCCTGTAATCCAAATCCCGAATTAAATTATGCCCTTCGGATAGCCCAAAAACGAAGGCAGACATAAAGTCAAGCGGGTATGCATGAAGTAATGGAAGAACATCTACACTCCCAGCCTTTGTCTCTGATGCCTGGTCGAATATTGGCATCATTCGCCCTAGTAACATCGTTTTAAGAAGGGCCTGAAAATGTGGAGAGGACTGGATATATGCCCGTGAATAAACTGTGGAAATTCGGCCTCTGCGACGGCTATGTTGTTTGGCATTCAGTGAAGTAAACATATTCCGGGTTCTATAAATAATCAGCCCGTGTTCTCGTCACTAGGAGTCTACAATGTCATACCCATGGTTTATAAAATAATTGTAGGTCGAGAATCTGTCAAAATTCCGCTTTCCAACTCCATATGCGCTGTCGAAGCCTTCTTTACAATTGGTAGCAACTTCAGTAGGCCCAAGACGTACATATGGACCATTTTTCTCAAAAGCTGCCGCAATAGCTTCAAAATCAGTGCCTTGCCATCTGTGCCACTTAATCCAGGCTCCTGTAATAGGAGCAAGGGGGTGAGCAGACGGGATCTTAGATAACGGAGACAAGAATATTGGGTAGATTATGAACTTGAAGATGAGTGCCGATATGAGAGCGGCAGCTCCCAACCGTGGCCATTCTGCATAGAGCGCTGACACTACTGACATGATGTTCTAACTCTCCGAGATTGTCACTGCAAGCATTGATCGAGGGAAGAACTCAGAGTCAGAAATGATGCAGAATCTGGTAGGATTGGGGCCGAGACCTTTTGACATAGTGATAGGCATTTTATATTATCCGCTAACTACCTGCAGAGTTATATACGTTACGATCGTGATAATTCGGGTTTCATCGACAGGCTATTTCCTTATCGTTTGTACCAAATGAATACACCGCTTACTGCGAATGTGCGTGATCCACGGTATCAATGCATGCATATGTGATTTGATCGCCCAAATAGCGGGTGGATCCTAAATTTTCAGCTCTCCACCTTTGCTCGTATGGGTATGCGGGCTGCTGTGGCGATGTGTCTGAAAAATTGGTCGTCTCCTCGTAATCCCATGGAAGATTCACTCCTGAAGGAAGAACTAGCAAGGATTGACGCAGCACACAAGGCTTCCGGATGATCCAACATGTTTGCCCGTATACATATACCCTTGTGGGCTTACATATACTATGTAGTAATTCCTTGGATGGCCGGTTCTTGAGAATCGGATAACCACCACCCACACATCCTACCTAGTTATACTTTAGATCCTTACAATGGTAAGTCAATTGGCTATAATACAAGGGACAGCCATGCTAATGTTTAATATAGTTAGTCAACACTTTTTCGGATCTAAAGCCTACATAGTATAATTTCACACTGTCAATATCATCAATTCCGGCTTCTAAGGTTTACAAATGTCCACTGCTCGTGTAGCAATATGCTCATTATTGCAGCTAGCCACGCCTCATATAGCTCTATAACTTTCTCTAGTCCCACATCAATGTCCATATAATTGATGAGCAATAGCAGCCAATAGGATATGTGCCTGTTGGGATGGTTTACCATCGGTGTCAGTTTTACATATATAGTACAAAACTAGCTGTATAACTCAAGCATATATGTCCTTGATCTATAATCAACGGTGGCTGGGTGCTTTCCCCATTTTCAATGTCCAATCAAGGAGGCTGCTTCAATCCGTGGTTACAGGGCTCAAGGAAGCGTATGGTTTCTTGAATGAGGTCAATTGCATGTCTATCAAATACGCGTCATTTCTCAAAGACCTACCGTTGGGAACTACCCCTCATATAACCGATGTCTGCAATATAAATACCTTGTGCAAAGGTAGGCATTACATTAACCACACCCATAGATCAATTACATCTCTTCAATTCTACCCGATCACATATTAAAATATCAAGCGTTCATTATGGCCGCTGCAGAGCACACGCCTCTTATATTCGCGGATGATGAGTGGTCACCACTCAAGTCTGTCATTGTCGGTCGTGCCGAACATTCTGCCTTCCCTTCAGAGCCACTACAAATGATAGAGGCCACGATGCCATCCGAGCATGTCCAGCACTTCAAGAAGTCAAATCCCTTCCCAGCCGAGGTTTTGGCTGAAGCTCAAAAAGAGCTCGACAACTTTGCCACCATTCTCCAAAAGGAGGGAATCCGTGTTTATCGCCCCAAGGAAGTTGACTGGGTCAAGGCTGGTGGCTACACCGGTGCCATGCCTCGAGACGGCCTTATGACTGTTGGAAACGTCCTTATTGAGGCTCCGTTTGCCTGGGGATGTAGACGACACGAGATTAAGCTTGGATATTCAGATATCTTAAACGAATTGGGCAAAAGCGGCTCATCCCGAATCTGTCGAGCTCCAGAAATTATTGGAGAAGACACCTTGTACTATAAGAAGGCGGTGAATGGTAACGCTGACGGCAGCAACTGGACAATCAACAACACCCGGCCAGCCTTCGATACAGCTGACTTTATGCGCTTTGGGAGAACAATAATCGGACAACTTAGCCATGTCACCAACCGCAAGGGAGCGCAGTACCTTCAAGCAATGGTTCCTGATGGTTATACCGTGGAACTCCTCGATACCACTGACGAGAGTGCGATGCATATAGATGCAACGATCCTTCCACTTCGTAGGGGGCTCTTGGTATACCACCCAGAGCGTGTTACTGAGGAAGCCCTCCGCAGGCATGCTGTGTTCAGGGACTGGGAGCTTCGAAAGTACCCCTTCGTACCAAAGCCGCGTGGCCCCGAAGGTCCCCCGTTATTCATGTGTTCTCCTTGGCTGGTGCTGAATGCCCTAAGCTTGGACGAGAAACGCATCATGGTTGAGGCCAATGATACCCAGTTTGCTTCATGGGTGAAGGAAGAGTTTGGCATGGAACCAATCATGATCCCGTTCCAGCACGTCAACAGCATCGGCGGGTCTTTCCACTGTGCAACTGTGGACCTCGTGCGGACGTAAACTTAACTTTAATTTAGGTTAAGGTTTCGCGATTGCGGGAGGATCGTTGCAACTGTAAAAACGGCCCAAAAATGGGGGAATTTGATGTCATGTATTAGCCTTAACTTACTTAGATCGTGGTCTTGGTAGAATTAGTCAATAGATCTCAGTTACCCGTTGTTCCCCAATTTCCGGCTATCCACAATCGGAAACTCATATAATCATGTGAACAGTTGCATCGGAACATAGAACACAGCACACTCAATTGTGAACCCCTTCCATGTGCAGGATCGAAGATGCGGATGAATTGGAAATGGAACTACGTCCCGCATTACATCGTATATTAATTACTCTTGGCACTGCCATACATAAACAGGCTTGGCGCAGGATTATGGCCTTGCATATTAGGTGCATATGTATACATACGAGGCATTGTATCCTGGTCAAGAAAGAATACAAGCTTTAGCCGTATTATACAGATATAAGCTTGTAATGAAATAACCCGCCTCGAAACTGCGAGTTCTTCGCTTCTGTGTCCCTACACTAAGCGATTACGCGGAGACTGGGATGAAGCCCAATCTAGTTTATTCGGCTCCACCATAATACAGCTCACCCTTCTGAAACCTCGTCCCAAAATTTAGCTGATGGCCTCAACCATCTCGAAATTGACAAATATACCCGGCAAAATATCAAGCGGTGGACAGATACATGCTGGCAGCTGTAATTTGAAGAGACTTCAGGACAGAGAGTACTTTGATGTAATAAATGAAACCAAGCAGCCATCTCTCTTTGACTCCTCCGCTAAGAACAATACCATCAACTATTTTTTTACTCGCATAACAATGGGCTCAATTACGCCCTCGCAAGTGGTTCCTCAGCCTGAGAACCAGATTGAGGAAAAGCACAAGGTTGTTTGTGACTCTGAGGCTCATAGGTTAGCAGAAAATATTCTTTCTCCCGGGAATTTCCCGACCAGTTTTCCAAGCCTCTAACAACACGTCAAGGCCTGGAATGTGGCTCCCAGAGCACTTTCAAACACGCGATGAGTATGTTCGACAGGTACTGCAGGAGGCCAATTCCAGCCACCAGATGCTATCACCAGCTTTGAGGCGATTTGAAGACTTGATTGAAAAAGATTCTCGCATATACATGTACTTCATGCAAATGTTTGAGGAGATCCCCTGTCAACATCCATGTTGGAAAGAACCAACAGGTGGCGGAAGGATCGGTGACTACAAACACATGTTACATGTCTTAAATTATATTGTGACAAATGCCCCCAGCTGGAGTTTCCCTGGTAAGATTGCAGGCTTGGTAGGGTTACCAATGTTTGCCGTATTGGACTATGTTCTCGGAACAGCAAGGTAACTTCATTCTCCCTCCTTTGATCTTTATTTCATATACTCTGTACTAACACAATGATAGTGGGTATGCAGCCTTTTTAGATCCGGATGTTAACAAGTGCGTCAAAGAAGTTTTAAACGAATGGTCAAGCTTTTTGCAAGTATGTTGCACCAAACTACCATCGTGCTGAGCTTTTCTAATATATACTATAGTCTCCCAGCTCAACGCACGTCCTGGACTCGGGGAAGACAGGATGGCTTAGCCCAGAAGCTTTAAAAGCTCTGACAGATGCAGCAAACATTCCAGGCCAAGCGGAGCTTAGTTTTGAGGAAGTTTACATATGTGATTCTTCTGCGGTTCATTATGGATTCAAGTCATGGGATGGTGAGCTTACTAGTCTATACCCCTCACGAAACTCGGTACCTTTCCCAAATTGTTTAACCATGTCTCTTAGATTTTTTTACTCGCAAGATCCGCGATAGTGCCCGACCAGTAGCCTGCCCGGATAATGATAATGTTATTGTTCACCCTTGTGAATCAAGCGTGTACAACATTCAAAGGAACGTGAAACTTCGTGATAATTTCTTTGCCAAAGGCCAGCCTTATTCCATACAGGATATCCTAGCACACGAGCCTTTGACATCCTACTTTGCTCAAGGGACCGTGTATCAAGCATTTCTGTCTGCCCTGGCGTATCATCGTTGGCATTCCCCTGTTTCTGGAATAGTCCGTCGAGCCTTTGTGCAGGATGGGGCGTATTTTAGCCTGCCAACATTCTTAGGTGTTGGGACCTTGGAAGATATCCCAGACCGAATGATCCCAGCACAGGGTTATCTTGCAGCAGTCGCAGCAAGAGCCATCATTATTATTGAAGCAGACAACCGGGAGATTGGGCTGGTTGCCTTTGTGGCTATTGGTATGTCTGAAGTTAGCACATGTGAGATTACGGTGCAAGAGGGCCAACACGTGGGAAAGGGAGACGAAACTGGAATGTTTCATTATGGTGGATCGAGCTATTGTCTCTTGTTCCGTGAGGGTTTATACTTTGATGGATTGCCAGATGTAGAGAGGGAAGAAAGCGTAGCTGTACGAGGGAAACTGGGTACCGTGAGACTATGAAACGAAAAAAATCGCATAAAAATGAGAGGTGTTCCTCCATATTTTGCTGCATGTTTATGTATAGCTGGATACCAGATGTCGATCGCAAAATCTACTGGGTGCTTCTGCGCAAGTCCAATATAGCTGTCGAACTGCTACAAGTGGGCAATGGTTAACACGGCTGCTTGATATGTGTTATGCAGAAGTTATTCGACAAGGGTGAGAGAGAGGAACATCCGAAGATTGATAACAACGGGCACAGACCCCTCGATAAGGCAAATACTACGAACCGCATCTACCCGTGTCTAAACCCCACTTTTACCGACATCATATGCGGGTCCGGGTACGGGAAGCGAAGCGAGGTGGAACCAAGGGTTTGCCGACCTACACGAAGTCGCTAGGCTCCCTGCGTTAGACGCCAAGCGCCGCAACTACGGTTTCCAACAGGGACATTGTACTATGTATCAACACCTTGTTATATTATTGTATGAAGTGAAAGTCTCCGTTCTATCCTCTCAGAGTCGTAGATAGAGGATCCATAGTTAACAGTGCTAGCTTTCCGGGGTAAAACACTTGGTGCTTAGATTGTAAAGAAGGCTGCATCATGCGTATAGAGACCTATCCTCTTTGGGCTTAGCATAATGAGTAAGCACGGAGTATACACATTTCCTATTTAGGATTAGCGTTATTACAGAGCATCAGGGTCGAAGATGCACAGCAACATTCAACGTACATAGCAGATGCATCATAGCAGGGTGACATGAATCCACCGAACGCCGTTCACTGAGTTGCCACAGGTGAGGCTCCCTCTGCAGCTGCTTGTGGCAATTCGACAGTTATTGGGAATGACTGCGGCCCTTGAAAAAATAAATTCGAATTTACCGGAATACAGTTTTGCATTGCCTCCAGGATACTGGAATACCCGGAACAAATCCCATCTATTCAGCTCAGAAAACACGAGTTAAATGGGAATCACGAATGAGACCAATAAAAGGAAATGCGGTCGGACCAAATCACAGCTGTTTTGCGCTCTCGCATGGGTCCCTATACACGCAGGCCTAGGTCTGCTTATATATGCATATTTCTATCTTGCATCGCTGTTCTTCCCTGCCATTTGAGGGATACCAGAGCAATGGACCAAAAATTGAGGCAGTGGGTCGATATTTAGTGCAGGTTGACACAAATCTTGGCCACAGCAAGAAAGCTCCATCCCTACACACAATACCCAGTCGATGCTTGATTTTGCGAGTTCGACGTACATCTTGCGTTGCCTACGATGAGTACCAAATATAGCTTGCGTTGCAGGCTATATTGAGAGAATCTCCACATTTTGGCGGTGACGAGAAATGGCATTTTTCTTCTTGTTTATGCGCAAGTCCAGTTTTCCCTGCAATGTATCTGGGACTTTGATATAAGGATACACCCAGGCTTTTTAAAGCACTGATAAAACATTTTCCCATATTTTCATGACCCCTAAACGAGTACAATCCTTGTTTGGTGATATTACTCCCAGATTAACGTCCTGGATATCCGCAATTATGTTACGGCGAACCCCAATGGCCCGTCTAGCTCGACTGCGAGATCGAAAGAGCTCATATGTCCGTAGGTATATTTCTCTATCCACTCTGCTTTTCAATTTCACCTAACCGGGATGTTAGGATTTTCTAGCTCCATAGCCCAACTGCACGCAGCTAATATACAATCGGCGAACGATGCTGAACATATCCGGCGTGTCCACGGGCACCTAATGGATAGCGGAGTGCTAAAAATTGTTATGGGATTTGAAGATAAAAACAGCAATTATCTTGAACAACTCATTCAGAATCTGAACAAAAACCATAGCCATGGTCTCCCAATTACACACAGCGCATCCAGAGGGTGGTTCTGGGATGTTCGCCCAAGTGCAGCCGCTGACCCTACAGTCAATAGAGCACGGTCGGAGACCGCTCAAGACTTCCCATGGCATACGGACTGCAGCTACGAGAAATGCCCGCCACGGTTCTTCGCTCTACAAGTACTTCAACATGACCGATGTGGAGGAGGAACGCTTTCTATCCTAAACTCCGTCAGCCTCTTGGGTCTCTTATCCCCAACAACACGACAAGTCCTGGCAGAACCCGGGTTTCAAATTAAAGTGCCCCAAGAATTCATAAAGACAGATGCGACTTTCATTGTCGGAAGTGTACTGGGCGTTGATGAGAAAAATCAGCTCACGCAGCTCAGACTCCGTGAAGACATCATCACACCACTAACAGAGGAGTCCAAGGCTGCCCTTGAGGAACTCCGCGCGGTTCTCCGAGGCCCAGGGGTGAAGGGGGCAACGTTGCATCTGTCTCCAGAAATGATCCCTAGTGGTTCCATTGTTCTCATTGACAACAGACGATGGCTGCATGCAAGGAATGAGGTGAAAGATCCTGGCCGACATCTGAGACGGGTCCGATGGGACGCTCGGCCATTTGCCACGGCGTCTGGTGCGGCAGCATGACGAAATATATATCGAAAAAACTGCAAGGCCCTCTTTCTTTCTTTGACTTTACGAGTACATATATATTACACCCATCGTATACCCTCGTCCTGGAAACAAAAAAGCAAACATAGCCTTTCGGCACCCGAATGGCAGTAGTCTCATTATTCAGAAATATTAAAAGTAAAAATAAGACCCCTCGCAGCTCAATCCCACCAATCCGTTCACGCCCTAGCGAACAGCCAAGTGATGACCTCAAGTATATACAAAAAATCGGGGCTTCGTACATACACATATTATAAAATACCAGAAAAAACGTATGTCAATGGGTATACATTATATATCAAACCATTGATGTATAAACCCACCACGGAAATACGACAGGCACATGGTAGTATACCCAAAGGATTAATATATATATTTCGCCTCATCCTCATGATGATCAACATATGATGTATGTTGGGTATCCTGACTATTATCCTATCTACTCTACCGCTTTCCTGGAGAGTAAAGGCATCCGTCATGAGAGCGCTAGACATTCAGCCAGACCCATCTCCTCTTCAGCAGATATGCCTATCGCAAAGTGACCCTCTCCAGCTGGTCAGCCCTGACTCCGTTGACCCGGACATTCGCAACAGAGAGCGCATCAATTATCGCCGCGCCCTTGACCAAAGATGTCCTCGAGAATCCTGGGTTCATGACTGCTATCTTGCGGCTAGTCCTTACCCAATATTCATGAATGAAGCACATAATACCCAACTTCAGAAGCTACATGCAGCACTTGTACTCGCTATCACGAATATCTTAGAACGATGGTGGACTGACTCTGCCGCCAATTTCCCTGCCAGGATGCCACTGGAGCCTCAAGAAGAAGATCTTTTACAGGTAATAAGAACAGTTCATAATATCCTAGAGATGTATACTAATTGACTGGAAAAACCAGTGGATTGAGAACGACGCTGCAGACTTCGTCAAGCCTATTAAGGAGTGTCTCGGATCGTGGCGATCAGATTTCCTGGTCGAGGAAGCAAGTCCTTCTACTTCAATAGAGAATTTCCGCATATGCGAAATCAACGCCAGGTTTAGCTTCAACGGCTACTTGCTGCTGACATACGGACAGGATGCTATACTTCATGTCGGCGAACATAAATCTGAATTTGGCAGGGCAGCAGATCCCGAACGAGTGAGTATTTGGTCTTCAATTCTTCAAAGTGGAACTTTTTACCAGATTTTCTTAACATATAACCATACCCTAGTTTATTAACGGACTATTCGGCCTATTTGACATTGAACGTCCGCTGTATATACTCAAAGGCGAGGAGCATGGCCATGACGTCTACATGTTCTCTGCATATGTGAAGAAAGTGACCGGCTCTCCCGTAATTTTCGTTCGACCCAGTGAGCTAAGACTTATTCCTTGCTCCGATGCCCCATTCGGAAAACGACTTTGTCGAGTTGTCAAGAAAGACTCTTCGGACGACACCAACCATGGTAATGGTAATATAAGAACGATCCACCCTAAGACCTTCATGCACGATGGAGAGTTAGTTGAAGAAGTTACCCAGGTAGGCATGGAACTGCACCAGCGCGAACTTCGGGCATTGCCTCTGGAGATGCTAAAGCATATCTCTCTCCGCTGTTTTAACGATATGAGAACAATCTTCCTTGTGCATGATAAGAGAATGCTGGGTATAGTTCTTCAGGAACTTGAATCTTTAGTTCATAAGCATGGCATCCTCACCCAAGAACAAGCAGAAATATTACGCAAGGGAATCGCTACGACGCTGCTACCAGGCTCTCCGGAACTTGATCATTACTATCACCAATGCAAGGCAACCCCAGGGCTAAAGGATGATTTCCTACTAAAGCCAGTGAGGAGTGGTAAAGGGGCCGGGATTCTCTTCGGCGACGAGCTACCCACTGAAGCATGGCTGGAGAAGCTTGAAAGATCTAGAAGCCCAGCTCTCGTCCCTGGACAGACGACTTACGTTGTACAGCGTCACGTCAAACAGCCCCGATACGATATACTGTTTGGTGAGCAGGACAAGAAACAGCAAAACTATCTCATAGGCACGTACCACTCCATCAATGGGCATTTCCTTGGAATAGGTATATGGCGAAGTGGCCCTGGTAGAATCTGTGCAGTCAGTCGTGGTGGTATTTGGTTGGTCTCTGTATTATCACCAAAGTAATCTTCGCTCATTACTTAGTTATGCATGTTTCTTTTTTTTTAAACATTTTACCTTCAAATGTATTTTTTCTTGGGTTTGGTTTACCGTATATTTACTACATGGCATGCTATTGGTTATTTAACTACTTATGGTATGCAATGGAACATTGAGTTAAGGGCTGGAAGAAAGACGGCTGTAACGATGAGCTGCAGCCCAATTTTCAATCCTGCTGACCATGGCTCGTGATGGAGCTGTTTATAATATAACACATCACTTACATCTCGGCCCTGTTCCGCCATATTTTCGGTGATGCGGGCCAGATCTTAGTGTGTTATCATGCAATGAATTCTAAAATATCCTCACATGGCCGGCTTATATCTTATTCTCCTATCCTACACTTTGAATTGATAGCTACAACCTACCTCGCATCCTGTTGAGCTAGTTCGTGTACAAAATACAATGCCTCCTAGCTACTACCCCCTTTCGGACATCCTAGCAGTCGCTAGGGTGCATCCATTCTATTCAGATGCGGAGTACCCCCCAACCCCCGAAAGCCTTGTCAAGGTCCTGGAGGCTAAGAATAAAGACGAGAGTGTCGAACTGAGGTCATTCCCAGTAATACGTAAAGATGCGATGTATGTACCTCTTCTAGGTCTTATCAGGATCCAAATAATCCTATGCTCTGCAGTTTTATCAACTAACGCACCAGATAGGTACAAGTCGATTGGAAGGCTGTCGAAGGATTTAAGCCCCAACAATGGGTATCGCATATTCACCTATATTAGTATCACTGGTGGGGGCTCAGGGGGCACTCCTATGGCCTTTGCCACCGATGCCATCGAGAATCGAAAGCAACGTGCTGTGACAGGATCGTTTGTGCGAGCCTGTGGGCTAGTTGGGCCAGGAGACTGGGTCCTCAGTTTGCATATATCTGGTGACTTCTATAGGTACCCAATTCAAGCATCACAGCCAGCTAGATCATATATATTTGGCTGACTAGTACCACAATTAGGGCACTTGATTTGTGCACTGAGATACTAGAATGTGCAGGTGCTTCTGTCCTATGCGGTGGCCACTCAATGCCATATCCTGAAGCCGTCCAAGCAGTGGTTGAATACAAGGTGAACGTGGTGATAGGAGACGGGAGCCAGTTGCTTCAACTTGCACTCTATGTCTCCTCACTCCCACATGAGAAACGGGAACCAATCAAGCTCACCAAAGCCATATACACATCTGAGCAGCTAGTAGGATCCCAGCGAGCATTCTTCCTATCCGTTTTCAAGGGAATCCAGCTCTGCTCGATACTGGGAAGTGCAGAGGCAGGGCCCTGGGCGGTTGGGAACTCAGATATCACTGGGAACGCGGAGCATGATTATGCTGATTTCATCTACGATACTCGCTCGATGATTATCGAAATTTTCCCCTTATCACTAGAAGAACCTGAATCAGATGTTAAAACCCGTGCTGGCCAAGAGGACCCTCTTCCCGAAGGAGAGAAGGGAATCATAGTGCAGACATCTTTACAGCGTCTTCGGAACCCTCTGCTCCGATATGTAACCGGGGACGTTGGCTCCCTCCACCCTCTTCCTGAGAAGGCTCTATCTGTGATCCCAGCGGAAGAGGCAAAGTATATGAAGATACTCCGACTGTATGGCCGCGACCGAAGATTTAGCTTCAAGTGGTTTGCCGTGTATTTTGAGATGGATAAGGTTGAAGCTTTGATGCGAACTGAAAGATTTGGTGTGTTGCAGTGGCAGATTATTCTCAGCCACCCGGGAGGGTCACCTGAAGTTGCATTAGAGATGCGAATATTGAGGTCTAGCGAGAGCGATAATTTGATCTCTGTGGAGGATATGAGGTCAGAACTGGAGAAATTTTTCGGTTTCTTGCCAATCAACGAACACTTGTTGCATTTCAATTTTATCCAGACCTATCTGGACTTCGAGCGCAGCAAAACAGGCAATAAGGTGATTAAATTTATTGATAGAACGAAGAGCTGAGTACCTCTATATAGAGAGGCACTATCCCAAAATAGAGAACTACACCTTTTTCTCACATAGAAAATGGGCATTCAAGTTTTTTCTTTCGCAAATGCCTTCTAAGTATTCAAAGTTGGGTCTGTTAAGTGATGGGATATTTCCTCTGCAAGCTATGATAATAGAAGTTGGTAGGAGTAGTGATGTACTGACGGAACCATAAAGCAGAATAGATGACGCTACAATGCCACTGGAAACAGAGAAAGCAGCCGTACAGATGCAAGGCGAAATCTATGAGAACTTGTAGGGGCCAAAAAATGCTCAATGGAGTGATAATCATGGAGTGGAGAGATATTGGCTTCAATACCCCGCATACGGGCAGGCCGGCCGGATGAAAGGAGGTGAGCTGCTTGAATAATAGCAAGCTAAGCTCACGAAATAGATAAAATCGCCTGTAGAGCAGCAGCCAGGCTCATGGTAATATAGTGCCAAAATGAGTGGAGCGATGATATAGATTTTGAACACCTTGATAATTACTAGCATAGAGCAGGTTTGGACGTAAGAAGACGGTTAATTTTTGAGACTGGAGTTGTAGAACGTACATTAATATACAATGAAATCCCTGATGAAGAGAATAAAATAGGTATAGGGGATAGTACTTAATCATAGAAGTGTTCATAAACCGCGTCAACCTTGCCCAACCGAATAGTACTAATCGTCAGGTTGGCTAAGGGACTACATAGTGGAATAAAGAGAGGTAACTTGAAAGGTGTTGAGGAGCAAAGGGTCTCTGTGTTTCAGCAACCATCTGATGATTCATTCGAGTCACCAGTGCCAGCCGGCATATAAGTACCATCCATTGCGGTGTAGTAATACTCAGGGCAAACCGCAAGTTCATCTTTGATCGGAAGACGGGACGGCCTCGTATTAACTATTATCCGATACTGTAGATGACTAATCTAAATATTTGACACTATTCCAAGATAGGACTAAAGTAGCCCCTTATTATGTAAATTCTCCTCCACCCCCCTATATATGTGTTAACTATTAATATATGCAACTACGGAGCGACAACCTGGTCAAGACGTTGAAAAGAACAAAGAGGGTGTCGGATTTCCTGTTATTATTACAGGTAACCCGCTTTTAGCGAACACCAGTGAAACCGTCAGGAGGCCCTTTGCCCTAAAATCAACAAAACCCTAGGCCGTTGTACGGATTCCACTATATATATACCATACCCCAGGGGAAACACGTAACTGTTGGCTCCCCAAGAAGAGATTTGTTGGAAAATCCTCCAATAACCACTAGCGCGATTATGCACAGTGATAGTGCACTACATAGTACACCTTTCGGAGCTCCTATGCTAGTTTGGTATCCACTTTGGCGTATAAGGGAACAGAGTATCAGAGGACATTAAGACAATGAAAATGCTGCAGGGGCCCCTTGAAAACCGTGTTGACAGGCCAGAGGAGGCGGATGCGCTTTGCTGGCCGGAAAAAATGTGTGCTGTTGTTGGATTTCTGCCTCCTTGACGTGACAGCGGCTGTGCTTGTCCATCGAGCTCTGGGTCCCTGTTCTGCTTCACACTCGAAAAAAATACGGAGTATTGAAATGGGGAAATGCGTTGGATCAATACGCCTTATCCCTCAGTTACTGAAATTGACTGCCGTCAAAACTCTCCTGGGAGCCTCATTTCTCTGGTTGGTCATATTCCAATATTGTCGATATCAGTTCTGGCGAGACCCTCACTCTGCATTTTTCAATGACCGCGCTGGTGTTTACGACCTAGGCTACAGTCTGAGCCGTGAACGTGAAGCGCATCACTTCATTACGCGGTATAATGCGCCCACTAAGCCGCCTGAATCGATCAAAGGCGGTAGCCACCCGTTGTTTTGCGTTGCGTTTGTGACCGTCCGGCGAGAAGCGGACGACTACTTTGATCCCTCTATTGGGTCCCTCCTTGCGGGATTAGACCCACGAGAACGACGGGCACTCCATCTCAACATCCTCTTCGCCGATACAGACCCGACCAAGCATCCGAGCTGGGGTCAGAAATGGGTAGATCGGCTTGCCGATGTGGCGGAGAAATACAATATTACCGAAAACCAACTAGGGCATTTGAAGGAACTAGAGACGGAGAGAAACTTTTATGAAAAAGGGGTGTTGTATGTTCCCACCCCCTTCACTGAACCGAGATAATTTTTCCTTAGGGAAAATATTAACACGTCTTAGTGACTATGTATATGCTCTGAATTCATGCAAGAAGTCCAACGCTCCGTACACCGTAGTGTTCGAGGATGATATTATCATCGCGGAGGGCTGGATGGCAAAGACACTAAAAGCCTTAAGCGACATCAAACGTATGCCGTCGGACAAACGACCGTGGATCTACCTTCGCCTCTTCTATACCGAAACAGCACTAGGCTGGGAATCGTCTGATTTTGCATATAGGAATATGCCTCTCGTCTTCGCAACTGCTATGCTGCTTACGTTCGCTTGTCTAACTGTTATCCGTCGTCTTCGTTCCTACCGATCGCTGATAGACTTCCCAACAACCCTAGCAATAAGCATGGTTTGCGTTCCGGCTTTCGTTGCGCTTGTATATATGACCGGAAAATATTCTCTAGCCCCTCTCCATGGGGTTGTGGAAATGGCTCCATATGGATGTTGTACGCAGGGTATGGTGTTCCCGAGAGACCAGGTCGATGGGCTTATTGCTTATCTTCAGAAGAGAGGGCATGGGCAGACGGATACCATGATCGAAGAGTATGCTGAAGAAAGTAAATTGATCAGATATGCTCTTGTTCCGCAGCAACTTCAGCATGTGGGACTTAAGTCCAGCCGTGATAATACTGAGCTTAATGCACAGAGCACCTGAGCCTTTTACTTTGAGCAGAATAAACCTAGACTACTTAGGAAGGAACATGACCAAATTATACAAGAGAAGGAGATTAGGGAACTTTTGGATAAGCATGGTGCTGGTAAATAAAATCGAGGACACTTTTTTTTTGGATATCTGTAAATATAATATCTTTATCCCGTTTCATGACTTAAAATTTCCTACTACTATGCTCCCATGAGAGATTGATCTGCACTGCTTATAGGATTTTCGTGTTGGGGCCTCATCTAGTAGTACCATGGTATAGCTTGCAGTCAAACGGCGGCACCAGAGCCAGGTAAAACCTTGGTACCCAGGAACTGTTCCCGATAATCAGCCCGAATATATCCTCATCAACTCGGTGCCATATAAGTCAATGATGTCAGAGCTAAGGATATGCTTGTCTTGAGTCTTCGGGAACATGTCAAGTATAGCACTGAGAAGTACTTCCAATACCGTAAAAGTGTCAGCCTGGCAGCGAGTATATCTGTTGACTCTGGTTGCAGCATCCCATGGAACGGTGTTTACCACGTCCAGATTTTGGCTCCGTGGGAAGAAGATAAATTCTCGTCTTCCGGCCTCTCTGCTTCTTTTCCCTCTTTCATCTCACTATCCTTCATATATACTATCATATATCGTTGACACAGCCTACTCACACTCACTTAGGGTATATCCTTTCCCTTTCATTTCTCAAACACTCCGCTTTCTATCCTGGGACTCCTTCTCGCAGTGCTACTTCGGTGTTGCCCTGTATATCCTTGCCGGATATCATTCTTTTCTTTCTCAACGGCTTCTTATTTATATTAACTGGTAAGTCGTCCCGAAGAAGACTAGCGCCCTCCATGGGGCTCTGCTGTATCACATGACATATATCTCCCTTACATAATCAACTCATGACCCTTAAATCCATGTAACCTCCGAGATTTGATTATCAAGAGAAGAAGCAAAAAAAAGTTGTATCTATACAAAAAGAACATCTGCTGCTGCTGCCTCTCATCTTGCCTTGTCTTCCTCTCTGGTGGCTTTCAGCTGGAGGTTGAGGGCTCCCCTGGTGGACGGTCTAGCAGTTGACAAACGCATTCACAAGCTTCCCTCTTGGCTCAAGAAGCCTTCTTTTCTTTTTCCGCTGCCTCATTGTTGTTTCTTTTCTGCTGTTATTTCTCTCTACCTTGCACATAATACCTCTTTGTACACAAGCTCTCTCTGCGAAAGAGTGCACTTGTGGTCTGATTCTCTGCTGCTTCATTACGCTGTTTGGGGGACTTTGATTCCCTCAATTGCCACCTCTATCTCCCATGCCTGAGTTACGAGCGATATCACTGCGACCATGGCTGATTCACTTCCCCACAGCAGAATCGTGCCTATCATGTCTCCAAGAAGGTCAACTTCACAGCCGGCTAGTAAGGGATCCGCCGAGCAGACGGGGGAGGCAAAGATGGTGCAGAAGAAAGACCTGCACATCGAGTGCCTGAAGGAGCGGAGGCTCTACGCCGTGCCAACTCCGGGAGACGGTGAGCTTTTCAACTTCTTCCTGGGCTCATCTTATAGTGACGATAGCTAACGTATAGTGTATATGGAATAAAGGCAATTGCCTTTTCTACTCCCTTTCCGACCAGATCTTCGGCCACCAGGGCCGTCAAAAGGAAATCCGAGATCGGCTTGTTGAGCACATTCGCACAAACGCGACATACTTTGTACAGTTTGTGTCGGATGTTGGTGGAGAGAGACGGGCACCCAAGAGAGCAGCGGCTGCCCAGGCCAAATTGCTTTCGTCCAATGGCCGGGTAGCGACATCAGAGGGCCAGTGGGCCAAATTTGAGAAGCTGCTCTCCAAGATGAAGAAGACCGGGTTTTGGGGCGGGTCGGTGGAGGAATCAGCTCTGCCAGCTATCGAGAGATGTCTACGTCTATAGCGACAGGCATCACTCCTTCACCAGCCACTCCCGCTTAGGGGACCAAGACACCAGCCAGTGCACATTGCCTATCACGTGAGTTCTCAACTTCCCTTCAATTTATGGCTGCTTTTACGGCGAACAAGTCCTAATGATATCTATAGAACTTCCGGCACTATTCCTCAGTACGGAGTGTTGATGGGCCACATAACGGGGTGCCTGAGCTCTCGAGGCCGTCTGGCTGCCAGTTAGGTAGCCAGGGCTTGTCAAGTGAAGGGAGGCAGGACGATGGCGATGGGGCCTCATCTACGGATGATTCAACCACGGCAGCCAGAGAGGAAAATTGGCCCACGACCATTGCCGAGGCGTTCCCTGACATTGACGAGGACACCCTAAGGTGTGCGCTTAGGCGGTATCTCGCCAATCTCGAAAGGGTCGACCTTGACAAGGGCTCGCCGATTCTAGAAATTGACGACGAGACGTTCAAGGCCATCCTCCCTGCATTTGAAGCAGACTTTATCCGGAGTATGAAAAATCTCCAGGGTTTGCATGGTGTCTCGTCGTCTCGGCCCTCTTCTCTGGTTGCTAGCAACAGCCCACCCGTGCCTGCGTCTGCCTACGCCTCTGCCCCCGTGTCCACACCTGTCCCCAGGCCCGAACCGGAGGTGGAACCTGCAGCTCTGGGCTCCAGTCCCACCAAGCCTCGACGGCGTTTGATCAGGGGAGCCCGTCCGACACCACGGACTCTGTTGGGGTCATCCTCTCGCTCGTCATCACGCAACAGCACAGCCAGCAAACGGTCAGCTGGCCATAGTGATGACGATGATGATTCAGATGGCAACCGACCCCTAGTTCGACGCCAGCGTGGCAGGGACCGCAAGCGACGGATCCTCCAAGATGTGACCCTGGGTCTCTCAGACCGAGACGATAATGAAAACAACGACATAATCTCTGTCAGACCAAGAGTAGATCCAGAAGCGGTAGCCGAGCAGGCCGAAGGTTCTCTAGATGACGAAAGGGCAGCGGATCATGAGCAGATCGTAGACGGGTCTGTCTCGTCCGCCACCATAGAGGAAACAACATCTTCGAACGATGAAGCATCCACCGCTGGCGAAAGTGATAGCGAATTCGAAGAAGACTGTTGAACCTCCGCTCCTTTCTTCTATCTCTTTTCTTCTTCAGAGGTGTGTATCTCCTGGAGTACTCTCTGCTTGAGCCGCCGACCTCTGGACTCTGGCAGGCATAAAATAATAAGCTGGGCAAGATCTAGTCTCTCTCTTCTTTTTTATCTCCCTTTTGGGTCGAACAATGGAGTTGGGTTTTGGGTGGTTTGGAATGCATAAGAGCGGGTTTATGGGAGGGAATCTTGCATTGTTCTGCCGGCGTCCTGTTACACGGGAGATAGACATGTTTTCTATTTCTTTTTTACTTTGGCTACGACATGATGATAAACACGATAAGAAGAAAAATAATACGATTATGATACAAGAGACATGAAGTTCTGTTCATTCTTGGGGTTGTCTTTCTGAGTAACTTTGATGCTTCTCTATGATGCTCATTGGGGGGAGAAACAAGAAATATGGACTCTGAAGATATTTTAAAGTACAATCATCTCACGCAGTATTTACTGACACCCGTGATATCCTTCACTCACAAAGCCGTCTTTGTCTATTTGAACTTGTTGATAGCGGCGAGGATTGGCTCAGGGCTGGCACCGGCAACGGACTCGAGCTTCTGTCCATTCTTGAAGAAGATGAAGGTAGGCATGGCCCTGACGCCGAGCTCTGCAGCAAGCTCAGAGCACTCGTCGACATCGACCTTGTAGACGTCCACCTCGGCGGCGAAGGTTTCACTGAACTCGTCAACTTTGGGGGCGATGGCCTTGCAAGGACCGCACCAGGTGGCAAAGCAGTCGATGAGGACGAGCTTCTCGCCGGCCAGGGCCTTGTCGTAGTCTCCGCGGCTGGTTAGGTTGGAACGTTAGCTGAGTCTTCTCTTCACAACGAGTGATGATGGCGGGGTGTTTTGTGTGTGTGTGTGTGTGTGGGAGGGGCAAAACACATCCAGGGGGAGGGGGGAACGTACTTTTTGATTTCCTGGACGACCATGTTTGCGGCTGTGGGAGAGAAGAGCTGCGAGGCTGTTGATGAGAAGGGTCTTGTTCTTGTGTTTGGTCTTGTGCAGGAGGATGGTTGCTGTCGTGGTGAAGAGGAAGAAGGACGGGCGCGCGAGGAACTTAAATACGGCGAGACGGAGAGTGGGAGGAGGAGGAGGGGAAGCCGGCCCAAGAGCGGCCGGGATGACGTTGTTGCGAGCATGTTCTCTTCGGTAATTATTAAGACTCTTTTTATATAAGAGTGTATCTTGTGGATGAAGAAGAGCAGGACGAAAAAAAGCTCAAGGAGAACGTCCGAAGAAGAAAAAGAAACGGTCGAGGGTGGCGGCTTGGGGTGGTTGCAGGCGTTGGCAGGGGAGGCCTGTCAGCTAAAGGCTTTAACTGGGGTTAACTAGGGATTAACTGGCTTTAACTGGCTTTAACTGGCTTAGGGGCTCAAGCCTTAACTTGGGGGCTCCAGGTTGAATTAGTAATATGCAGACAGTCTAGACTCGCAGCGTTTCATCTACTTTTACATCTTATACAGACACGATATAGATGTTATTATGCTATACATAGTAGACTCTTCTAAAGAACGGCCATACTTCATCCTCTCTGCCTCCTGCTCTGGCGGTGTAAGACGGTCACGTCGAGTTGGTCTTCATTTACCATGGAATCATCCCTACGGATGACATAGTCGACCGTAAGGTATGTTCAACACTGTATGTTGTAGTCGTGTTCTATGTATATATGTAGCCGTGACCACCAGCTAGGATACGGACGGACGAGTTGATAATAACCGCAAGCCTGTCTATGCCATGCATATACACGCATGCACATGTACATACATGTAGTATTTATATCCTGCGGGGTGGTTCGACATCTCGAGAGTGGCAGCCAATACTCAGGTGGACGTGATGTGTGGCATCATCCGATGCAGACGCCATGCTGTATGATAAGAGCGGGCGGCCTGAGTCAACCATCCATCATAGCAAGACGTCGCCGACTCTCACACAAACCTGGACTTTTTCTTCTTGTCTTCTTCTGCCATGTACATATGAAGGTTGAGCTTGAGCCATCAAAGTCTCTTATATTTATTATCTATCTTTCTGCATGGCCCATGTCCATCTCTATCCCTGTCTGCCGTCTTCCACTCGATGGACCACGGAAGAAAGTTGACCTTTCAGCAGACAGGGACGGGACAGGACAGGCCATGCAGGCAGACACACCTCTATCTGTGGTAGTGCAGGAAGGAATTCAGGACGTGTGATGTTCGCATAGCAGGGGAGCGTTAAGGGAGGTTTCTTCATTCCTTCTTTCGGCCATGACTGAGCTGCTGGGAGAGAGAGAGAAAAGACAAGGGCCAACACAGGGGATATCAAAGGGGGATGAGAGAAGAACAAAAGAAAGGAAAAAAGGAAAAGCCTGAGATGGGAAGGGGGAACTACAATATTGACAAAAGAAAGGAAGGAAAAAGTGACAAAGGGAATAAGAGAGAGAGAGGGAGGGAGAAAAGAGCTTTGGTTCTGCGGCATCAAGAGGGATGAAAAGAAGAAGAAAAACATACCGACCCGACCGATCCGAGCGCCGGCAAGAAAGTAATGAAAACTTGGAGAGGGTATGATGCATTCGTGAGAGAGGAAAACAAGCAGAAGAAAACAACAATGAGGATTAAAGCATTAACGTACGACCGTCTTTTGGGAGCCCATCCGTCCGTCCGTCCGTTCCAGAGAAAGCAGAGAATGAAGGAAAGAAAAGGAAAAAAAGGAAAGGGAAGAGGATTAAGAGATACATGGTGTTGAACAACCGGGGTATGGAGAGCACGCTTTGCGAATCTGCAGCAGTAACGAAGACACAGGGGGGAAAAAGAAGATGCATGCGTGACAAATGAAAGATGAGGAGAGGACAGAGAGAAAAGGGAGTGATGCAATACGTTGATGATAGTGAGAATCTAGATCTCATATTCAGGCTTGGAGGGAAAGACGCCGGAACTGCTGAGTGACGCGGCGCTGTACCGTCTGGACTCTGCTCGACACAGGGTGACAAGCTTTGCACTGCCGGCACTGATATGGCGGATATGACGTTCCAGATCAACGCTGTGAGCACGGCGGATCTCTGGCTCCGTCTCGTCGATGGGGCTGACTTCGTTCTCGCTGTCGATAAATTCGGTGAAGAGGCCCTCGCGAGATTTTGCACGGGTCTCGGGGCTGATCAGACGAGCACGCTTGCCGACGCTGGAGTGCCATGTTGGCGGGTCTCCGTCGGCGTTGGCTAGTTCCATGCTGTCCTCGATCAAGGGGCCGATGTCGTCGACGACGAGGTCTCGGTGGCCGTCAGAGTCCACTCTAGCATCCGTGTCTTCTTCCTCCTCTTCCTTGGGCACGGGGAGAGTGCCGAAGTATTCATCGCTGCTGACTGCGTTGTCGTCGTCCAGCTGGCCCTCGGGCTCGATGGGGTCGTCCAGACGTTCACGAGTCGAGCCGGGGCTCTTGAGGGGTGCCTGGGAGAGACGTCTGGATGGGCGGCCGGAGAGCCAGCTGCCCTCTGAATCTATGGAGGCCAACGACTGGGCTAAGAAGGTGCTGTTGGGCCTGGTGTCGGGGCCAGGAGCGTAGGCTCCCGTCGACATGCCGCTGATGCTGTACATTTCCGCACCGCTCATCCGGTGGGAGGCGGAGTACGAGTCGTCTCTAGGGTTGGAGAACGGCTCGGGCGAGTACACACGCGACCCCTGGGCTGCCACAGAGCCATCGTCGAGGTGTTCGGTGAACTTTGAGGTGATGGACTGGGTATCTGTTCCGACACGGTGAGAAGAAGCAGTGGTGGCTATGGGTGCGGAGGGGTGGTACGGCTGGTTGATCCGGGATCCTGAGCCACGAGAGGTGACTGAGAACTCCGACGAGCTGTTCTTTGGGAGGGCGTTTAGCTTGCGACGATGGGTGCCTCGTCGACGGAACAGTTGGGTCCAGGTCCGGCCGAGCTTGGTCTCGTTCTGGGTGGTGCTGGGCTTGGTCGATGCCTCAGAGACGGAAGGTTGGCGGAACGCAGGGTGTTGGCGTATGTCTGGGATCTCGTCCTGGTGCCCATTGGGGGGGATGGCGAGTTCGAGTGTCTGTCCATTGCGTGAGACAAGGGTAGCTGGGGCGGGGACCACTGGAGGGATATCTATTTCTTCGTCTTCTTCTTTCAACCCGGTGGAGTCGACGGGGTCCTCCTTGATCAGGCTTTCCTTTGAAGGGTCACGCAGCCATGAGCTAGGCTGTTCTGAAGCCCTGGGGACTCCCATTCCGTCGGGGGAAACAGAAGAAGAAGAAGACAGGTTGGCCTGGCTGCCGGCCGTGAACGTCTCTCGTTCTTGTTCATGTTCAACTGGTGGTGGTGGTGGTGGAAGTGGTGCCTCTGCTGTTTCTGGCTCGGGCTGTGGAGGTGGTTGACGAGAGGCCGCCGCCAGAGCCTGCTGTTGTTCCCTGAGGATCTGTCTCTTAACGAGTCTCCGTCGTCGGTCACGATCCATGAGCTGGCGCAGAGCACCGGCGTCCATGGAGTCGGCGAGGTCTTCGATCTTCTTGCTGCTGTTGGCGGAGGAATACTCTGTCGAGAACCATCTGGGCTTGATCTTGTCCTTGGTGGTGGACGACCTGGATATCTCCGCCGTGGACGGGAGAGAGGTGCGATTGCCATCTCCATAGCGGAGGAATGGCCGTGGAGACAAAGCGTTGAGGGCACCAAGCTTGAAGGTGTAGGACGACTCTGCCGGGTCTGAGACGAGCGGGCTGGAGTAAGAGGTAGCAGCGGTGGCAGTGGTGAAAGGGTCGGAGAGGTGTCTGTCTGCGGCCTTGCTCGAATCTGCCCGGTTTCTCTTGGGATCCCAGACCAAGCTGCCCATGCGTTTGATTTCCTGCTCCCGTTCGGCGTCGTTGCGTCTGCGACGCTCAGAGCGACGCCTCAGGATGCTGGGCTCGGTAGCATTGCGTCTACCGTGCAACGTTGGGACCGGATAAGCTTCACCATCGCCCTGCTGAGACATCGTCTTTGGCGCGGCCCGGAGTTTCGAAGGGGAGAGCGCATTGACGGAGGCAAAAGTGTCCACCGAAGTGGGCTGTCGAAGCGTTCGACCGTCAGGCAGGGTCATGGGCGACGAGAAGGCAGACGACGTGCCGTCAGCAGTGGTAGCGGCCGTGGCAGTCGTGGCAGCTACAGGAGTGGAAGAGCGGTGGAATGGGGAGGATGCGTTGCGACCCGGCTGCAGAGCTGGGCCGTACTTCTGACGCTTGCTGTCTCTACGGACAAGCTTGCTGCCGGCTGAGAGGCCATCGTGACCGTCCGTCGTCTGGGCTGGCGGAGTGTGTGGTGTGGTGGCTGCTGCTGGTGCCGTGGTCGTTGCGAGCTGCCGCTGTTGCTGCTGCTGCTGCGGCTGATCGACGGTAGCGGCAACGGCGTAGGCCTCGTCGTCGCCCTTGCGAGCTCGTTTCTTATGACGGCCAAAGGGCCAGAGAGCCATGACGACCGGCTTCAGACTGCGCGCCAGCGCAATGGCCTTGCACCGGGCAGACCACGGCCAGCCAACCCGCTAAGGCTCGTCAGGCGTAAAAAGGGAAAAAAAAAAGTGACGTGTTAGGCTGTTGATAGGGACGAAGTATACGAGAAGATCAGAGGCGAAGCGACGGGAAGAGACAGCGACATCAACCAGAGAGAGACAGTGATAGAGAGAGACGGGTGATAGAGAGGAAAAAGGAGAGACAGAAGAAGAAAAAGAAGAAGAGACAGCCTGTCCTGGCTTGCTTGTTTCTTGGTTGTTGGAGTGAAAAAGTGAAGATGTTTTTGTGTTCCTTGGTTTTTTTTGGTGAAGAAAAGCAGCGGAAGAACTTATGACCGCGAGAGAAGATATAAAGAGTGTAAGAGTGTAAGAGTATAGAGTATAAGGAGTATTATGAGGAGGGATGTTAGTTTCAGGGTGATGGTGATGCTCTACATGCAACTGTTAGGCACCAGGAAGATGAAGCTGCCGCGATTACAAGTGGATGGCCTGATGGCAGCCTTGTTTCATAGGATACACATTACAGTAAGAGCACTAGAAGACAGGAGGAGGGTGTGTATAGATCATATCTGGATGTTACATGTCCTGTTACTGGCCAGGCTCCTCTTCGGCCGTAGGGGTAGGAGTAGCAGACGTCGAGACAGGCCGTCGACGGTCTCTGGCAGACGGAGGAGGAGGAGGCAGGATGGAGTACAAGGCTGCCGGTTCACTGCTGCTGCTGCTGCCGCCGCTCCTCTCTTCATCTGCCCTGCGATCTGGTTTCACAGAGATGTTCTCTCCCGGTTTTAGGCTGTAGTCCCTGGCCTGTTGGTGCTGGAGTCTCTGTGGCACTCCCGTCCTGGAAGAAGAGGAGGAAGAAGAAGTAGTAGTAGTAGTGGACGTAGAGAATCCGAGTATCTTCCTGGCCTCCTGCAACGCGACGCCAAAGTCAAAGGCATCGCTTCTGTCCTCGAAGCCAACCCCCAGCACAGCCTTCTTGCCTTCGCCCTCGACCCTCACGGCAAAGAAGCGCGAAGAGTCGATCGCATGCTCGACCACGCTGGGCTCCACGTACGGCGCCGCAGCGAACAGGGCGCCCGTCTCGCCGTCTTCGAGGACGATGTCGGTCCTCACCTCCACGCTCTCTTCTTCCTCGAGCTCGTCGGGCAGCGCCGCCAGCGGACGGTTGGGCGTCCTCAATTGTGCGGCAGGAGTAAGCGTAGGCACCGCGCTCTCTACTATGCGGAGGCGCGCGGTGAAGATTTCTCTCGTCTTGTTGCCGTCCTGGGCGTCGGGGGCAGTCCAGGTCGAGGCCTCGTAGCCCTTCATGGAGGTCAGCGGTGGGATGGAGTAGACATGCACTGCCTTGCAGGTGTAGAGGACGCGCTGGATGGCCTCGGGGGGCAGAGGCTCGCCTGTCCTTGGGTCCATCGTGGTCCTTTTTTTTGTTTTATTGTATATATCTCTTGTTCTACTGTTGTTATGTTGTTGTTATGTTGTTGTTACTGTTGATGTGTAGATGATTACAGGCCCGGACCTTGCAACGTCTATCTGTAGATCATGTTTATGGAGTCATGAACTTCATTTCGAGTAAACATGTATGAGAGTAAACATGTATGAGAGTAAGCGTGTACAGTGAAGGGTGATAGAAGTCGCCTCCTTGCTCTGTCTATCCCCGAACATGAACCCCCTTGGCCACTTTCTGGTCGTTCAATATATCAATATATTGAGCCCCCGCCCGGCCGTGCCTGGGAAGATTGAAATATATTAGCATTTCTTTTTCATTAATATTTTTTTCACCCCCTCCGCTGGGCCCTTCTTAAGCCAGTGTCACATCAGGAGCTCTCAATCTCCTTTCCACGTTTCAACCGGTGTAACGCGATATTCCCACACCTTGTTGTGCAGGCTGTCAGGTTCTCCCGGTGTTGATCCGTTCGAGCCCAGCGCCATGGGGTTGGCCGGTCCCTGTACCTGTACCTGTGCAAGGAGGCGAAAAAAAAAATAAAAAAAAAAACGGAGTCAGGCGGGACACAAGATAGACTCTCAAGTCAGTAGATACGAAAGATAAACATCAGAACCAGATCTTGATCAGTTCCTCGCTGACGGCACTTGGGGTGAGCACGCCCGCCTCCGTGATGAGTGCGGTTATTAGGTGCGGTGGTGTGTAGTCCACGATATCGGGAATCAGTCGCTGGTCGTCTTTCGAGTCGGAGGACTTCGGGCTCTGCTTCTCGGTGGCCGTGGCCGTCTTGAAGTCGATAACCCGCTGATCGACCGGCGAATCATACTGGCCAAGCGGGAACAGTCTCACAAACTTATGGCTCTCGGCAACAACATAGAATGGTTTCCCCATCGCCTTCGCAAGCAGGCCCATCTGGTACGTTCCCATACGGGATATTATACCCCCGTTCTCGACTACCCCTTCAGCCCCCACGATGACCGTGTCTACCATCCCCATCGAGTACGCAACCGCAGACTCGGGCACCGTCGCGACGGGAACGCCCTTGGAACGCAGTATCTCGACCGTATCCATCCCTTCGGGTACGGCGCTACGTGACTTCTCGTGGCTGTGGCCGTTCGGGAGCACGTAGATGACTCGGAACCGAATAGCTGGAGCACCTTGGCTCCCTTCCCCCGCAGCCTTCTGCAACATGGCGCCCACCGCACGAGATCCCCCGTTGGTCAGCACGGTGCTGCCGTCTCTGACAAACCCGCTCCCAAAGGCCGCAATCTTAGCTCTGCTTTCCTTGGCTCGCTGTATGAACAGCCGTCCGTTCGACAGCAGGTGAGCTCGGATGGCATCAAAGTCGCCGGCCGGACCCAGCTTCCCCGGCCGCTGAAGCGTCGATATCAGGTACCGCTGGAAGAGATCTGTGCCGGCAGATAGGCCGATGGGGTTGGGAATGGACCGTTTGAGGTGTTCGGTGTGTTTGTTTAGTAGATCGAGGGTTTCGGAGATGGTAGAGGAAGGCGAATGGGTTAGAAGCAGGACCAACGCTTCTATAGCGGCTATAGGCATCGTCAGGTCGGGGTCTGTCTGCAGGAGCTTGTGGTATGTAGCCACAATGCTGTCTCGTCTGTTAGATCTTCACGCCACAGTGTATATACTGGTACGTATAACCGGTAGACTCACTCGAACGGCTCGGTATCCCCATTTGAAGGGGCCTCCAGGGCTGGAGACATGTTGGCTTGTAGCAGCACTGCAAATATCAACAATCCTTGACTGATGAGACTGATACTCAAGCTTTGTAGCCTCTTCCCTCCCTCACCGCGGGGTAGCTTCTTCGGTACAAGTGAGCAAGTCTTGCAGCTAGATTGGTTGCCAGGCGTCCTCCCGTAACAGACACGCTTGTTAAACAGCAACAGGCCGTCCCGTATTCCTTGTACCGTCTTGTCTCTCTTCTTAATTCTCTTTCTTCATCTTTTCTTTTCTTCGATGACTCTTTTTTTTGGCTCGAGAAGGGAACAAGATAAGTTTGACTTGTTTGCACACACTAGTCTACTTTAGGAAAGTTGCTTATCATGTAAACAAAAGCTCGATGTTTTTTTTTATCTTCTTCTTCTTTGGAGTAAAAAAGGACAGAGTTGAACAGCTTGCAGACAGCTGGATAAGAAGATGGCGTATAACTCGAGGGCGACCCAGCAGTACCATGGCGGCCAGCAACATAACCGCCGGCAGAAGAAGGAGAACGATACAGATGCATTTCTACGCCTGGTAGGTGAGCGGCTCGGATGATATTCGAGAGAGAGAGAGCGTGGTGTTGACGTGTGATATATAGCCAGACAAGGTCATTGCAGGCTGTATCAACGATATCGGCATTCCGTTCACGGTGGCAGACCTGCTCAAGCCAAATCCACAGCAGGTCCAGATGGTATTTGAATGGTTCGCCGAGTTGTTTATGAACACTACACGAGAAACCGTGGAGCCGGCCATGCTTGCGGCAGCAGAAGATATTGCCGGTGACCAGGCAGATATATTTCCACCAGACACACGCAACTTGATGGGATTTTTGGTCTCGTTACGGAAGTTGATGCTACAGGTTGGTCTCCCTCGTTCATCGAGCTCTCGTTTTACCATGCTAACCGAGCATCCGGTAGTGCGGAGTTCATGATTTCACATTCACCGATATTACCAGGCCCACGTACGACCGAATTGCGAAGATATTCTCGTATCTAATCAATTTTGTACGCTTTCGGGAGTCCCAGACGTCGGCGATTGACACGCATTTCAACAAGTCCGAGGATACAAAGATGCGCATTGAAGCGTTATATGCCGAAAACCAAGAGTTGGAACAGCGGCTGGAAGATATGAAGAGACAGCAAAGGGAGATGGATGGTCTGGTGAGGGAAAAGACGAGCCGGAACGACGAGTTGAAATCCCGGCTGTTGGAGTTGAGGCGGAATCAGGAGCGGGTGGCAGAGTCGTTTGAAAGGGTGAAGGGTGAAAAGGCAAAGAAGCAGGCCCTGCTAGAAGAAAAGACAGAAAAGCTGTTGAAGAGTCGCCAGGAGTGTGAAAAGCTACGCCCTTATGTCTCACAGAGCCCCGAAAGCCTACAATCTGCCCTGACTGAACTATCCGACAACCTGGCTCATGATAAAAACCAAGTAGACGGCATGGAGAGGAGGATGCGTGCCCTGCGGACATCGATGAACACCTTTACCGTTGTGAATAATGAAGTCCAGAGCTCCATCAAACTACTAGAAGATATATTGGTAGAGTTACAAAAAGAGGACGACCAGGAATCCAAAGGCATCAAAAATAGGGAGGCCCTCGCCGAGAGAGGGAATACAGTGCGAGAGGTAGCGCACACTGAGAAGCTCCTCCAGTCGCAACTCGCTCGCTGGCAGGAACGCATAGAGGCCCTGAGGAAAAGCAGTAGGGAGAAGGCAGAGCTGGCTCAGGCTCGGATGGAAGAGCTTCACACCATACAAAAGCAGCTTCGAGAGGAACGAGCCGAAAAGCAGCGAGAGATGGAGCGTAGGCGCATTCGGATCGAGCAAACTGAGAAAAAGGTACTGTTTCTATACATATATCCCTGTCAACTGAAACTGCGCAACTAACAAAATTTGATAGATGGCCGATCTCAAGGAGACTATCGAGGATGAGATTCATCGAGCGCACGATGAATACTTGAAGATGGAATCCCATATCAAGCTCTACACGACCGAGATAGAAAAATGCCTCTAGGGGGTTGATGTCGACTTTTTTCATGTACGATAATGATTTTTTTTAAGATACCCACAGCATCGCCGGAGTTTTTTTTTTTTTTTTTACTTGGAAGTATTGATAATATGATATGATGACAATGATTTTCTATCGTTTCTACTATTGTTCGCTAGATTTGGTTTCTCATACTATATCGCTCCGTCGAACCGAAACCACTTCTTCATAATCTGCTTCACTCGGACGGTCTTGACGCCAGACAGCCCTTCTCTTACTGATCTGGTCATCGAATTCAAAAGGGGAACTTGTGCATCCCATATCCTGGAACCACGCTCTGCTTCATCCCCGTCATGCACAGGTTTGCATTCACACAAGACCAGCTCGACTCCTTCTCTGGTAGCGGCCTCTACTGCGAGAGCAGATGTCCTTGATAACCCCTGTGCAGAGAACTCTACCGTAGATGAATGGATAGAGACCATATTGACCACGGCAAGCACAGCACTGCCTTGATAAAGGCTGCTACCTCCTTCTTGCCCATCTTGATTTTTCCGTACCCTGAAAGCACAGCCTAGATATGCCCTGAGGTGCTCGATGGCAGGGCAGAAGACCAACTTCACCCTTTGAGAACGGGATATTAAATCGAGTGTATTAGAGAGCAACCAGTGGTGGTTTTCTGTATCTTCTTTCTCATCTTCCTCCGCTGCTTCTCCTCCGTTCTCTTCTGCTCTGGTTGAACCGAACCGCTCCCGTGTCAACGACTGAGCCTGTATATCCGCGTATAACTCTTCGATAAAGGCATCCCGAGTCGAACACGAGATTAAAGTCACTGTCGAAGCATCGCTCTGTAGAAGATGCTGTATAAACTCGACAACGGAGTCGAATATCGCGATGCTCATGCTGATCTCAGGCCTGGAGACACTGGCTCCTCACGAGGGGTATCTGCCCTTCATCTATGGCGTTTTCTCACTGCATATTCAATTCCTTCTCCGTTTCTTGACAGCAGATGTTTATTATGCTTGTATGTTTGGTTCTTGGTTGCTGTGGATGAAAGATGTCACGTCGCCGTTTTTGTCATGTGGCTCAACATCTCGAACTTCTTCAACATCCAAGAGAGAAAAACAAGCACGCACAAAACACGAATTTCAACCCCAGACCAGGGGAAGCCTTTTCAAATCGATCGTTCGATGTCACTCATCGGCGGCAAAGTGGGGGAATTAATAAAAAGTTATTTTTGATATAGCTTATCATGGAGACGATATCACGGATCTCATCGATGCTAGAAACAGGTACAGCCCAAGAAAAACCCTTTGGAGGAGAGCACTTCCGTCTAACTCATGGCCTTCTTCGCAGCTCGAGAGCTCACCCTTGAAGCTGCTCAGTCTGCAAGTTCGGTTAGAAGCTTGAGACCGTCCTCCTACCCCCCCCGCACCGGCTCGGTATCGCAGATCAAGAAGCTGCTTGATAGCAGAAACGACCGAGATATACTAGACGGTCTACGTAAGGTCATTTCGGTACGATGGCTGGTGCTGCCCTTGACTATTGCTGAATATGTTCGATTACTGAAGAAAAAGCTTCCTCTAGTTAATGTACCGGGCCGAACCATGTCTTCCCTTCTTCTCTGCTGTCGTCAAGAATGTCGCAAACCCGAATATAGAGGTGAAGAAGCTGGTGTATATATACCTGCTCCACCATGCAGAAGCCGAACCAGACCTTGCGTTACTATCGATTAATGCAATTCAAAAGTCCCTGACGGATCAGAATCCACAGGTTCGTTCTTTGGCTTTACGGACAATGTCGGGGATAAAGGTGCCTGTGATCAGTCAGATCGTTTCTCTTGCTATAAAGAGAGGATGCGGGGATATGAGCCCTCATGTCCGTAAGGCTGCTGCACTAGCAATTCCAAAATGCTACCGTCTCGATCCGGGGACGCTGCCACAGCTCGTCGATTACCTTTCCATTCTACTCGGAGATAGCCAGTATTTTGTCGTTGGGCCAGCCGTTGCTGCGTTTTTGGAAATATGCCCGGAGAAAATTGACCTCATTCACAAGCACTATCGTAGCCTTGTGAAAAAGCTAGTTGATATGGATGAATGGAGTCAATTGGTGACACTGAGGCTTATGGTCTACTATGCCAGGAAATGCTTTCCTAGGAGGACCCAAAGAGTAAAGAAGACAACCCCCAAAGGGTTCTACGACGAAGATAATGAAGAAGATAAGGATGACGGCAATCTTAGCGAGGAAGAATTTGAAATTATCGACCCGGATCTCGAATTACTCTTGAAGGCTTGTAAGCCATTACTCCAAAGCCGGAATTCAGCCGTGATCGTGGCCGTCGTCCGCTGTTTCCGCTATTTAGGGACGGTAGAGCATCTGGAATCGGCCACAGGGCCATTGATTGCCCTACTCCGCAGCCCGCAGGACCTGCAACATGTTGCATTATACAATATCATTTCCGTTGTCCTCATATCTCCAAAACCGTTCGTGAAATATGCATCCCACTTTCTTGTTAGGTCCACTGATATACCGCATATCTGGCGTTTAAAACTGGAAATATTGACCATGCTCTTCCCCCACTGCGGTATGCACTTCAAGGGTGTGATACTCAGTGATCTAGAACATTTTTCCAATGGGTCGGATCATGATCTAGTTCGCGAGAGTGTCCGTGCTATTGGGAGATGTGCGGAAGCCCATAGTGGTTCCTCTATGCGCTGCCTTCAACTTCTTCTTCGTCAGATCTCAAGTGCTGATGACGTTTTGGTTTCAGAAGCTGTAACTGTTATTAGGCATCTCATCCAGCAGGACACTGCGTCTCATAAAAACACTGTGGTGATGCTTGGGAACCATCTTGGAACTACGAGCAGCCCAGGAGCTAGGGCAAGCATTATATGGCTAGTGGGAGAATTCGCCGGAATCGACACCCATAACAACATTGCACCAGATGTATTACGCCTCCTGGTAAAAGGCTTTGCAGATGAAGCGGAACCGGTAAAACAGCAAATTTTACTATTAGGAGCAAAAGTATACCTACATCATCTCCTTAATGCCCCTGCAACCTCCAATGACCCCAAGAGCCCCTCAGACCATGAGCAAGGTGGCGATAATGAGTTTGATGTGAATGGCCAGGTTACACCGAAGGAAGAGGATTCTATTACCACACTATGGCGGTACATTCTCCTGCTAGCCCGGTATGACACTTCATATGACCTCCGTGACCGAGCTCGTCTATATAAATCTCTCCTTGCCGTGCCTAGTTCAACACAGCTTGCAAGCCTTCTACTTCTGGCACCTAAACCGATTCCTCACACTTCAACACCATCCGAAACGAGGAATAACTTCCTTATTGGCTCATCAACTCTGGTAATCGGTCCTGAGGCCGGCCTGCATGGCTTGAGAGGCTACGAAGATCTTCCTGACTGGGTTGAACCTGGGAAAGAGCCCGATCCAAAACTCCGCGACGACGAGTCCAGTAAATCTGGTGTAGGTTACGGCGAGAAGATTAATACAACAGCTGGAGAACGACTGGATAAAGCACTACAGGAACATAACGTATCTGGGAAAGGGAATATGAACGGGAAAATAAGCAATGTCCCGAAGAACATGTCTCTAGATGATTGGCTGGCTGAAGAAGAGGAAGAGGATGAATATGAGGAAGATGAAGAGGGTGAGACAGAAGAAGAAGAGACGGATGAGGAAGATGATGAAGACGAAGAAGGGGAAAGTGAATATGAAACTGATGAGTCTGGTGAGGAAGAAGACGAAGGACAGAACCACCAGTACGCCCAGTCCGGAGTTGAATCTGCAAAACTACTCAAGTGAGCTAAATCTCTTAGCAATATAGAAAGGCATATATTTACCAGCATGGTGTAAATTAGCACCTTAAAAAAGTCATTCCATGAAGATAAATGCGTTATTATAGTATATTCTATCAATACGTAGGTGGGCATAATAACAAAACATATGGATGCATATTGCAGCTCACATCTGTAAGATGGAAGCCCTCAAAGCTATCATCATATATGTAGTTTGCTGTCGGCCATCTAGGGATGTGGCGTTGTCATCATGGTCAAACATCAATGAAACCAACCAATTAAAGAAAAAGTATGCACCAAAAGGTGTGCTTAGTATTGATATATTCAGGATCACTCGGAATTATACAGTGAAACCCTGTGTATATATATATATATATCTTTGGCTTCTTGACGGTATCGCTTCTACTTTCTAGGCTGTGTCACATTGAGAAAGATGACTTCTCCATGAATCTTCTAGCCATGGCGATGATTAGACGAGTGGGAATGTGTCTTATAGCCATGACTATGGAACGCCATGTTATCCATTTACGCGTTTTGTGTCTCTTACCCGGATCTCTACTTGATAGGTCCTTTTAACACTGGGAGAATGGACACTTTTTTTCGGCTCTGTTCCGCCAACACCTAGGTATTCTGTCCACCTTGGAGATTGTCGATGGCAGCTTTTGATATAAGAATAGCTGGAATATAATCAGATATCAATTGAAGTAAAAAGAAAAGAAAGAAGAACAAGGAAATTATTATTTAGCGCGTAGAGCGCCATATCCAAGAATGAGTAAGCCATGTCAGAGCTGACTTAACGGATTACCAGCTTGAACAAGAGGAAATAAAATGATTAGCTCTCCTGAAGCCTCTAATAATAAGGATTCTCCTTTCTCTGGGAGAGAGAAAATTAACGGCAGTTAAATGACCTTCAGATATGGTCAAGGAGTCACACGTAGCGAAATGAGCGAAATTAAATCCGAATAGGTTTTGGGGTACCGATCTGGACCCCCACCGGGTTTGAGAAACTTGATATCATGTGAGAGGCCATGGGCCATAGGAATTTTGAGGAACCAAATCGGAAGAGACCGTGGGTATGGGTTATTAGAGAATCGAAAGTAATGATAACAATAGAGAGAGCAGGGAATAAGGCCAGAGAGCGGATAAGCGGCTTACCAGCGCCGACTAGGATATAATCAGTAAGGGTTACTTTGAAAAAGAGCCTCGGGGTATATTGATTCAAGTCGTACCTGTAAGCTTCCGCGACGCGGGGATGACGACGCTTGAGCCTCGGAGCCACATCATCTACCTGACGCTGGGGTTCATCGTCAGATAGCTCGGAGGACTCACCCTGCTCACTTTCATAAGCTGTCTCTTCTACAACAGGTTTGTGAGAAACAGTCTCTTCCGCAGTCTCTTCCGAAACCTCTTCTGCAACCTCTTCTGCAACCTCTTCTGCAACCTCTTCTGCAACCTCTTCTGCAACTTCTTCTGCCTCGTCTGCAAATTCTTCTACCTCTTCTGCAACTTCTTCCGGAACTTCTTCTGCAACTTCTTCTGCAACGTCTTCTGTGATCTCTTCCACAACAGGCTTGCGAGGAACAAGTTTATGTTCTGCCATCATCTCCCTCTGACGAGAGATGAGTTCCTTGATAGGAACCAATTCTCCATCAGAGGGGAATTCAGAGAAAATCGGATCACCCATCATAAAGGGCCAGTCCTCCGTATTCCGGATATTTTCATTAAACTCCTCGGCTGGTTTATTTAAAAAGTATTTGGAAATTGACATTCCCGGAGGTAGGGAAGCATAGGGGGGTAATTTGCAAACGTCATCAAGATCACTGAATATCGAAGGTAATGGCCGACCAACGGGATGAGGCGGCCTCCAGACTGCCAGCGTGGGTTAGACGTGTATGAAGATAAAAAATGACGGGGCTTACAGAACAAATTGACATACCAATCTGGCCGTTTGCAGCTCTATTTTCTGGGGTATCCAAATCATAGAATCCTTCGACATGGTTATCAGGCCGACGTGACGGAGGGCCGTCCCTACCTTTACGGCCCTTTCCACGCCATGATTGGCGGGACGGTCCATCCCATGAAGCTGGTGGTGGGCCATCCGCTGGGTATTCCGGATAATCACTTTCTCGGCGACGGCTGGGGCGACGGGAGTGATAGCCTGGAGGGGGAGAGTCGTTGTAGTGGTATGGTGGCATAGGGCCAGGAGAATCATACTCGTAACCATTCATTGGTGGGGGAGGACCATGAGGATCATATGGAGGGTACCCATATGGAGGCCTGTGATGCCATTCTTCCTGGTCTGGGGAAGCTGGCGCTGGATGATCATATCCAGATTGATGGTAACCGTAAGAATGTGATGGGTGAGAAAATGAACGCTGAGGTGGTCCTCGCTGGCTAGGAGGGAATTCGTCACGGTATTGATGTCTTGCCCCATCAGATGTTTTCTGGCGCTTTGACGGACGTGGATGCTTATGGAAACCGCTATTAAACATGAACGTTAGCAGGTCTCAGAGTAAGACGCAAAAAAAAGGCGAATAATGTACAGTTACTCATTCGACTTACGGTGATGTCTCATGCTGGTACTCTGGACAATGTTGGGCCATATGATCGAAAGATCCACAAGTATAACATGCTGGTGGTGGTTGATCTGGGGGAAATTGAGCGTTCATAGAGTGAAAAGATGCATGACTTTGACCGCTCTTCTTCGAACGGTAACCGTAGCCACCCCTACTCCCACGATGTGATTTGTTGCCAAAACCTGGGGCTGACCGTCGACGTTGGAACCCTTCATCCGGGGAGCCCATCTGCTGAGGTACCATACTTGGTTGCAGCTAGAATCACAAGTGATGCATAAAAAAAGAAGAAAAAAGAAACGAGAACAAAGGAAGAATGAGGACAGCCAGGCCTGAGTTTGTGGTCGTTTTCTGAGCAGACAGGCGCTTTATCTCATGCTTGGGTCCAATATTGAAGCTGTCAAAACACGATATTGACCAAGACCTCTGCAATGTGGCATTGCCCACCGCGCTACGGAAGGCCGTTATGAACCTGATACTGGTGGTATAATATGGTGTCTGAGAATACCGGAAGTTGAAGGGTATTCCGGCCGGTCATTAAGTACGAATTCACAGCGATTGCTCTGGAGAGTGAAGTGTCTGATTTCAACCTGACCGGAACAACGCAAGGGTCTTATCTCAACTGAGACCAAGATGAGGGATGTCGGGTTCCCCAGAACCATCCAGCTTGTACCGAGAGGTAATGAGATGCAGCAAAAGGTGAGGGTAAGAATAGAAAAAGAAGATGTATCCAAAAAATGAAGCTGACCTTTCGTTTCGTCCTCTTTCACTTCATCGTTTGCGCGCAAAAAGAACGAAGAAGAAAGTTGAAGTTGCGAAAAGCAAGAGCAAGTTTGGGAAATTTCATGGCTTCGGAGTTTTATTTTTCCCTTCCAGGCCCAAAAAGGGGGGTCACGTGTAGTCTTTATCAGATCTTGGACTATGTCCATATATATACCATGATTCACTAGCAGCTATAGAGATGTATGCGGTGTCAGGGAATATAAGATATTTCGATTGAGGATAAATTAAAGAAACAGAGAATTTCCCCGTCCATAGAAGCGCTGTCTCGGGAGAATGCATATCGATGTACGTGATTATGTAAGTATATACTTAGTCATCCATCTTTGTATCAAAAAGTAGAAAACGACGAAACGAAGCAAGCTGCAACTGTCAGCTCTTGTGCTGTTGGCTCTATGTATAAATCATGAATGCTCTCCACTCCTAGCCTCTTGACGCCCTCTATCAAACCATGCGAGTCCCGTTCTCTCAAATCCCTCCCTCGTTATTTCGCCCTGTACAGCAGATACCTATCAACCGTACCCTTTTCCAGACAATAGCACCCGCTTTTAGACCGCCCAACTGCACCGGATAAAGGGTAGGATAGAGGCCTTGCTACCCTTACATACTATCCAGCACTCTTCACAGGCGTCATGCCAGGTCTTCCAAGTTAGTGCGGCCAGAACCGTTGTAATATGTGATGTTTTGGCCCTTGCCTAACTTGTTTATCTTTGCAATGTAGCTAGCATCGACTTGGACGAGTGCATCGAACGGATCTACAAACGTGAACTGCTGGCAGATTCAGTTATTGAGGCGATATGCTCCAAGGCGAAGGAGCTGCTGATGAAAGAGAGTAATGTCGTACACATTGCTGCTCCCGTCACCGTTGTCGGCGACATTCACGGCCAGTTTTACGACCTGATTGAGATCTTCAAGATCGGGGGATTCTGTCCAAATACGAATTACCTCTTTCTCGGTATGCACCTTGTATACACGCTTGTTTATTTGTTTTCTGACTTATGTACAAGGCGACTATGTCGATCGAGGACTCTTCAGCGTGGAGACAATTTCCTTGCTTATCTGTTTAAAACTCAGATACCCTGAAAGAGTGCATCTTATCCGGGGAAACCATGAATCGCGAGGCGTCACACAGTCCTACGGCTTCTACACCGAATGCGCTCGCAAGTACGGAAATGCTAATGTCTGGCATTACTTTACCGACATGTTCGACTTTTTAACCCTAAGCGTGGTAATAAACAACCAGATATTCTGCGTTCACGGTGGCCTCTCCCCATCCATTCACTCGATAGACCAGATTAAGATCATCGACCGGTTCCGCGAGATACCTCATGAGGGCCCCATGGCTGACCTGGTCTGGTCCGATCCAGACACAGAGCGAGATGAGTTTTCCTTATCTCCTAGGGGCGCAGGGTACACTTTTGGAGCACAGGTGGTCAAGAAGTTTTTAGAAGTGAATAGCATGTCTCACATATTACGCGCACATCAGCTATGTCAAGAAGGCTACCAGGTGCTCTACGACGATCGGCTAAGTACCGTGTGGAGCGCACCGAATTATTGTTATCGATGTGGGAATTTAGCAAGCGTCCTAGAAGTCAGTGACACCGGCGAACGGTTCTTCAACATCTTCGATGCGGCACCGGAAAATAATGACGTTCACCGCGGAGATCAGTCGAACCAGCAAGGGAAAGACGGACAGAATCCTGTTATTGAATATTTCCTATGATATCCTCGATAATATATGCAGAGCAGAAAAGAAGAAAATCATTCATCCAGCCAGCGCATTTTTAGGAGTTTTGGTCATGGTTATTTAAAGCATATCACCTCCAACGCAATTTTAAGGAAAGAAGCAAGAAGCAAGAAAAAAATGAAGAAGGAAAATTGGGAGGCATCTCGTCATTTGAAGGGAGAAATTAACGCTATCTTGGAGGATGAATCTCTTGTCGAAATAAAAGATCAATCGTTAATGAGGAAACAGTAATGCGCCAAAACGGATGCGTTTACGACTGCGAAGGGTGTCCAAAACCCAAAGATCTCTTTTTTTTTCTCTGAGGTTGGAATCGCAACCATATCCCGGTACGAATTATGAGCACTCTACCAGTCTTTGGCGATGTCAAACGTCCACTCGAACTTCAGATGGTCGGTATCGTCATCATCGACAAACCTGGAGACGGCGTTATAACGCCCTCGTGAAAGCATGCCAGAAGGTGCTTCCTCCTCGTTGACTACAAACCTCATCATTAGCAAGGTGCGCAAGAACGTTCATGAGCATGGATGAGCGACTTACATTTCTTCTCATACACTGGCTTATCCGTTGTGTTTGGAGCATAGCTTCCCTAAAACAAGCTATCAGCATCAAACCAACATAGAAGATAGAGGAAAAACCAAAAAAAAAAAAAATGCACCACCTACCAACATCTCCTGATCCTTGCTCACTCTTATGCCCTTTCTTTTAACGACCTGGACGTATTTCAAGCCGCTGAGAACGTCGTGCTGGACCTGGAACGTGGCCTTGATGCGGAATCGGCATCCTTCCTTGATGGTGAATGGTTTATTCTTGAGACTGTCGACGGCACCGGGTTCGGATAAGTCAATGGTGATGTCTTCTCGTCCAGCCACCTCGAGAGCAAGGGACTTGATGATACAAGTGCGAGGATCGTTGGGGTTGGATATGGGTGTGCCGCCTCCCAGGCCTAGCGAGGCCTTCCACCGGTTGAGGGATTCGTCGTTTTGGTCTAAATCAGGCTAATTAGTGACTTGCGATAGAGAGTAGCTTGAACACAAATAGATTTATGCTCTTCCATGGCCGGCAGCATGTAAATCAAGAGGCAGTAACTAGATCTGAAGCTTCCCGTGAAGGATAAACATACCGAGCTGTTGGTATTCTTCAACGGTTTTCTTCTCACCGACTTTGAAGCCGTCGGTCCTGGTGGCGGCCAACTCATCTTCGTGGTCTACCATGTTGAATATAGAAAGAAGTTCAGCTGTAAGTAGTTAAAGGGCTAGGCAAAGTCTGTACAAGACAAGCTGTGAAGCTGTTCAAGTTGAGCGTTGGCAAAAAGAAAGTTGAAAGTCGATGTTGTTGTTCTTTGTTGGAAGGTTTGTTCAAGTTTCTACAACAAGTGGGGTAAAAAAACGATTTCTCTACTTTTTGATATTTAAATATTCAAATTATCCCATGATGAAGCTGATTTAGCTCCCTCGACAGCTTTCATTGCTTTACAGCGACATATATGTACCTCTGCTTGGTCGTACGGCGGCAGATATCACCTTACTGGCATGGCTTATAGAAGAGTTGAACGAGATCTACAGCGTTCCCCCCTGTTATCAGCCCGTTTATAGATCATGGGAGTGACTCAGACAAGCAGCTGAAGGAGGGACAGCCTCACAACATTCTGCTCCGTATATTCTCGATCCTGCTTCTCGATTCTATCTGATCCTTCCATTGGTGGATCGTGTCGGTACGACAAGGCTCTCTTCAAAGCCTTGAGATATAAATATCGTGGTCTGTCCAGGTAATATAGGAAGAATAAAACAAGCAGAACATCAAACGAGCAGCCAGAACAAGATGCCACTCAGTATAGCCGAGTTTACCAAGGCCATTGCCCCTACATCCGAGAAGACAACCTACAGGGGCAACTGTCACTGCGGCAACGTGAGGTTCACCATCAGCATCGGCACGCTGGAGAAGAACAAGGTTGTCCGGTGTAACTGCTCCAGCTGCGTCAAGCATGGCTATCTGCTCGTCTATCCAAAAATCGAGGACGTCGTCTTCACCCATGGCAGCATGGACACGATGTCCGAGTATCGCTGTGCCACCAAGTCCCGGCCACACAAGTTCTGCGGGAACTGTGGTACACCTGTCATGATTCAGCTCGAACATGGAGAAACCAATCATCTGCGAGAGAACGTCGCAGTTAACGTATGTTCTTTTTCTTTCTCTTCTTTCCCACCGCTTCTTCCTCCTAGAGTGGTACTAATGGTCCATATAGATCCGAACACTGGAGGATATCGACGAGGTCCTAGACAAGCTTCAGTTCCTCGAGGTTGATGGGAAGAACTACATTGGAGAGAGATACTCTCTGCCTCCCCTCTAGCCCTTTTGTATTCGTCTCATGTCATCTTCTGTCTCATCTTGTACCTAGCTGTTAGCCAACAATCTCCTCTCAATATGCGGAATATCCCACTCTGCATGCACTCCGCAAACAGCCTGCCCAACCGCCCTCATCGTAAGAGGCCTGCCCTGTAAAAACCTGCCCTGCATCTTTCATTCCTTCGTTGATGCCCAAAAAAACATGAAAAAAAGAAAATAAAAGAAAAACCCGCCATAATGCGTGCTTACTAAGCTAGCGTCCTCTTCCCCGAACTTTTTCCCTTTTTTCCTCTTTTGGCTTTTGAAAGAAACGCGCATTTTGCTTCTTCTTCATTTCTTCACCCTTTTTTCCCCTTCTTACTTCTTCTCTTGCCTTGCTGTTACTGCTCGCAATCGCAAATCGCAATAATCGTCGAGTCGCCCTGAGGTAGAGATAGTGTCAAAGGGCGCATTCACTGCTCTCCCCGAACGTCCCATTGAAAAGCATACTTGTCCAGGTCTCCTAGACCAATTTATTCCATCACGATGCGACCACTTCCCGCGCGCCGCAACCCGCAGCTACATGGCAAGAATTGTCCGGATTGTGCGTTAAATTTTCTTGTGAATTGTAAATGTATATTCTCTCTAACTCCGGGTTGTAGATGAAGACCTCGTCGCGCGCCGCCGTCTAGGTAGGACGAACCTCGCTGTCGCCCCAGCGAAAATCGGCTCTACGAATGCGACTATGCCCTCGAACCTGGGACCGTTCGAGTATGCACATCTCAGAGCGCCTCTTCCGGCTGATCTGAAGGGCTCTGAGATCTTTCCGCCGAAGCAGCATCACATTGACTCCTATTTCCTCATGGTGAGATTCACCTCTGCGCGTCGTTTGAACATGCCATAACCAAGACCTATATCAGGTATTAACATGTTGATTTCCTTAGCGACGGAGTCGTGATGGCCATATAAGCGCGTCGGGAATGTTCAAGATTGCCTTCCCCTGGGCTAAGCATTCGGAAGAGCTGGAAGAGCGCGACTACCTTCGGACGCGTCCCGAAACCAGTGAAGATGAGATCGCTGGAAATGTTTGGATTTCACCAGAACTAGGTGTGTAGAAGTCATTTGTTTTCCTTGACACCATCAATCTTGGATCTAACATCCAGCCAACAGCTCTGGAGCTAGCACGGGAGTATGATATCGTGATGTGGGTTCGCGCCCTTTTAGACCCAGCAGACATCCTAGAGCGAGGAGACAGTTCAGCAGCAGACACAGAGGCGATTCCGGAACCTCCCAAGTTTGATCTGCCGCCACTTGACACTCCTCTTCTCGCTCCACCAGAGTCAGAGACCACTCGTGGCAGGGCCAGACGGTCAGCTTCACCATCCAAATCTGCCTCAGGCCGGAAAATTGCCATCCCACGCAAGTCGCGTCGAGCGCAAAAGGAGTCAAGTGCCAATGCTAGCACGTCACTTCAAACTAGCTTGGAGGCAGCTGCCGCTTCACCCGCTCCTGAGAAGCCCGGAGATGAAGAACAAGCGACTCCCAAGGTGAACGGCCATGACGAAGATGCAGGAGAGGAAACTAATCTTGTCAAGAGGCCTAAGGATCGTGTGACTGTAGAAGTCGAGTCGAAAGTGGACTCCGTAGGAGAAACGGAAACCACAACCACTAATGTCACCGTTCAGATGCCCGTTGGTCTTGCCGACTTGCCTATGCCAGAAAACACCGAGAAGATGCTGGAAACTGCCAAGGAGATGGTCGAAGAAGCTACCAAGCTCCAGGACCAGGATGGGGAGGCTGAAGAACAGGCTGGATCTCCTTCACCTAAGAAAATATCTAGGAAGCGAAAGGCTGAAGAGTTGGTGGTAGAAGAGGATAAGGAAGAAACCGAAGATCCCCATGCATTGAAGAGGGCTAAGATACTCGAAGATAAGCTCAGAAATGAGAGAGTACGGAACCGTGCTCTATTCGGTGTCACTGCCACCCTTGCCATGGCGTAAGTCCAACTTCTTATTCATCACATCGATTTTCCTACTAACATCTCCCATCTAGTGCGGCAATTCCTTATTTCTTTTAGTTGATCTGATATATTAATAATTGTCAGTGCCACTTGGGACACTGACGGAGTCTTCAATTCTCTGCTTCCTTTTCTCATCTTTATTTTCTTTTTTTTTTTTTTTTTTTTTTCGTTTTCCCGTCAGATTGGAATTGGCACTGTGTTGCACTTGATAGTTATTCTCTTCCCAGTTATGTTGTTTTCTGATTTTTTTCCATTTGCTTCTATATTGTATTTGCTATTGCCTACCCCCTCTTCACAGTTCCTCCATACATATCCTTCCGAAAGCCCTGTTTCATCCCACCATATTTGTCAGAATACACGACCCTTTCTCTGTCACAGCATCATGTGGTTCCTCCATCCCCTTACCTATATACTAAAACACCCATTATGCCGGCATGTCCCACCCAAGCCCTGCATTGCCGATAAATCCAACCTCTGTCCCTAAAACCCTACGCTCCTTGCATCTACCTGGATGTCGCTGGCTCCTCGACCCTAGATAACACTACACGCTACGTCCTTATTTCACCGCCCATATAAAAAAAATTCTATAATATAACTCGCTAACCATCCTCCCGAACATTGCTTAGCGCACTGGGGTTTTCGGCGTCAAAGCTGTGCATGGCATGTATCCCCTTCCCTTTCCACTGAGCCCAATCTATCTATCCCTTTAAAACATCGGATTGCAATCCCGATCATTAATCTACCACTCGTGTCTCACTAACTATGCAGACGACTAGCTCATCGATGGAGTTCAAATACTGCTAAGGCGCAAATATTATGACCCTCGTTCGGCTAACGAAATAAAGGGGCCGGAAGAGCATGGATGGAGTTATATCAGCTGTTACAATTTCACTCCCATGTTTCGGTTCTTTTTACTTGCCACCCTTCAGCCTCCCCGTCGGCTCCGGTGTGTAGTATCTTGGAAGCCACTATTTATTAGTGCTGATTCAAGTGCTATCCACATATCTGCTTGGGATGTCGAGTTCTCTCGAGAGCACGTTAAGGCTGTTTTCTTTGTCTTTTCTTTTTCCTTTGTGTAAATACATTCAATCACCTGTGATGGTAAATTATCACTATTTAAAATAACAGAGAATCAAAGTCCTAATGTGCTATTAATATTATATGCAATCTATCATTTGATTATTCCATTAATTCTCATCTTAGTGACTGTTGGAGTTGAAGTATTTATTTATAACTTGGGCTTTATCGATAACGAAGGCTTGGCGGAGTTTCCACCTTTAACCATGAAAAAAGAACCTCGAGATCAGACAGCAAGCTGAGTCTGATTTTGCCGCGACGTTCTCCGGATGGGAGACTGGGTTTCTTATTTATTTATTTTCATATAAAGCCTTAGAATCTACGGTTTATACTGCAAGAAGTCGGATATAATGTCTTTACCAGGCTTGGAGCTCTCTCAGCCCACAGTCGAAGCCCAGAGAGCTCCCGCAGCTCCAGTACAGCATATCCTTTCCAAGGACTCAGAATGGAGATTTGAAGTCGCATTTGGAAACTCGGTTAAAGTGAAGGTATGTTATCTATATACCTTTCTCCTGCAGTAGACGGAAAGGAATACGTCTGGCATTACACCTTAAGCTTTTGGCTGATATATCTCTCTTCTCCATTGCGAATAGCTATTGTCCGGTACTGCAGAGTTATTCGGAACAGAGCTAGCCCTGTCCCAGACATATACATTCTCCGGAACAAAAGCTGCCATATACACCTGGCATGGATGCACACTGGAGGTCACAGAAGGGGAATCCGTTGCCACCGGGGTGGTTGGGAGCGCTCCTGTTCCCCCGGGATCTGGCAGCGGAGGCTGTCAAGTGGAATACACCGCCGAAGAGACGCCGATGATAGACTATGCGAACGTACACTTTTGCGCTCGAGACAATGCGGGATGAAGCCAAGGCGCAGGGCCGAGGTGGTCCTCGGGTGCTAATAGTAGGGCCCGAGGATGCGGGAAAAACAAGCTTAGCGAAGATATTAACGGGTTATGCGACGAAGATGGGCCGTCAACCGTTTGTGATTAACCTTGATCCATCAGAGGGAATGTTGAGTGTTCCTGGTACTTTGACGGCAACAGCATTCCGGACACTGATTGACGTTGAACAGGGATGGGGAAGTAGTCCACTGTCTGGACCGACACCCATACCTGTGAAACTGCCGCTAGTATACTTCTATGGTTTGCAAAGTCCCTTAAATGGGGGAGAAGAGCTATACAAATCTATAGTCTCAAGATTAGCCCTGACTGTTGCGGGTCGGTTGGCTGAAGATGAAGAGGCAAAAGAGGCAGGAATCATTGTTGATACCCCTGGAGAAATCAGTCAAGGCAAAGGAGGTGGAGAGGATATCATTAACCATATTGTTACTGAGTTTTCCAGTACGTCTGTACCGCTTTTCCTTTCCCTCATGAGACCATTTGCTTATATTTTCTTAGTTTCAACGATTCTCGTACTGGGATCAGAACGTCTTTATAGCACGATGGTTAAGAACTATGATGGAAAACCAACCTCTACAGCCTCTACAGCGCCCACGTCTGATGAGAAGATATCCGTCGTGAAGCTTTCGAAATCAGGAGGTTGTGTTGACCGTGATGAATTTTTCATGAAATCTACCCGCGAATCTCAAGTTCGATCTTATTTTTTCGGGACATCTGCACCCTCAACCGCATCATCGGCTCTTTCGTCATCTACAGCCCCGGGATCAGTCATATCCCTCTCTCCCCACGGGCAGCATGTCGACTTTGACAGCTTATCTATCTATAGCATCACAATCAACAATGATGAATATGATGGCATGAAACAGATAACGAATTCTACAAGCGAGTTTTCTTTCCTGCCCGGTGGCAGCAATGATAATGGTGAAGACGAGATCCCTTCTACGTCTACTGCCTTAACGTCTGGTCCTTCATCCACTGGCCTCCCTTTCCAACAAATACCTCTTAAAAAGCTAGTTCCTTCTTCCGATTCCCCAGTTCCACAAGCGCTGGAAAACACTCTATTAGCAATTACACATGCTCCTCCAAACGCCCCTTTGAATGAAATCCGAGATGCTAGTATCATGGGATTTCTTTATGTTGCCGGTGTAGATTCTAAGAAAGCCAAACTCAGGCTATTATCACCTGTGGCAGGGAGAGTGCCCGCGAGAGCGATAATATGGGGGAATAAATGGCCTGGGGAAGTACTTGGATTGGTTGGATAAGTGCATTGCTATCAAGCGTTACGTTGATATATGAGCATTATACATACATCGAATTGATTGAACATAGCTGTTTATTTCATCATCTCTCGCGAGAATAATTCTTAGTATTCCACCTCTTCTGTACACTATCGTATCTTCCTCATCGTACAACGTACAAATGAACACCGAAATATATATAAAAAAATACAAAAAAAAAATACAGGAATTCCTTATACATGTTGCAAACTATCAAAGGCACCAGACGTGAAGAAACTAAAAAGGACTCCCAAAATGAGATAAAGAAAAAAAAAAAAATAGTGAAAGTGAGAATCAATCATTGGATGTGAAATATAAATCAAAGTGCGTCAATATAGGAAAAAGAAACTGTTTCGGCATAAACATAAAAAATGGACCATCATAACAAGTTCATTCCCATCTTTTCCACTCCGCTGCATTTTTCCTCAGTTCAGCATCACGGTCATAACCCATTGAAACATCTTCCATAAGCAGCTGCTTATTCTCACGGAACGCGGTCTCAGCCTGGTATCGAGCCAAAACTGCTGCCCTTAGATAGCCAAAGTCTGATCGCCTAATAGCTTCACGGAACATCATCCTCATCCGGGGGCTGTATAGTTGGCAAGATGCCTGGCGGGAAACGGGAGTCTTCTTGTCCAAAGACATTTGAACAGTTGGAGACACCAGTGAGGCTACAGGGCTGTTCCCGAAGGGCCAGACTACATCATCATAGCAGTCTTCACATACGGTGAACTCAGGCAATTCATCAATTCCGTGCCAGGGACCTACAACGAGGTGATCACGCGGACAGTCATATAGGCGATTCTTGCGTTTGGCATATCGAATAAAGTCTCTTAGGTCAGGCTTATGTCCTGGGTCGTGTCGATGACGGGTAGCTGCGACATCGAGGAGGTCAAGATATTGAATGAAGCGAGTGCTGCCGCATCGAAGGTCACAAGTTCGCTCCTGTGAAGTTGAGCTAGGCTGGAATGAATCACGCAGAGATGGCATTAGAATTCTGACATTGCGAAAGCATGATGCGCAAGCATTGAAGCTAGACAACAGTCTGCCAGTATCAGGATCTATGACCCGGTACCATGTTTGGGTTGAAGGCGTACGGCCCGGGCAGCTCTTGTAAATCGATGATGGGCGAGTGAGCTGGTATAACAGTTCTAGATGATTTAAGCCGAGTTTCATCGTCTGAACCCAGGCTAGCCGCGCCCAAGGTTGGCTCAGTGAGCATCGGATGGGCAGGCCAAGGGGCTGACGAGGCGCAGGAATGACAAGACTCTCGAATCGAGTCTTTTGTATTTGCCGTGTACAAGATGGGCATATGTTCAAATGATTTAAGCCAATGATGGTCGACCAGTCACCGTAATCGGCTATGGCGATTGACCTTGGGCATGGGGCCAACGAAGCAGGAGAATCGTCACGACGTCGTGGAGAGACCTGTCTCTGGGGCTTGACAGCACCACGACTCACAGCCTCTCGTCCAGCAAGGGCTGAGTTTGGTGCCGGCCCAAGGGCCATGGCGTTTTCCTGATATCCAATGTATTGAGGCTGTATTGGCATATCTACTGCAGGCAGGTAAGAAGGTGCAGCCCAAGGAGCATCATGTCCATTGCATTCATAACAAGTAGCGGGTGTGATATATTCCCACCCGTCAGGATTGTAATCCTGGCCACTTGGGCTAAAAGCTATGGGAGGAAAGCATGGCTGTTGAGCTAAAGCCCCGTCATATGCCGTTCCAGCTGAAGTAACTGGTAAACTCGGCACTGGGTCAGCGTTGGGTCCATCTGTTGGATCCGGATATCGGTGGGTGCATGTATCCAACTTGGACCGCTCTAAGCGAGGCAGTGAGCTGTTGCTGCGGCGTCTCTCTGACCGAGAGGAGCTCTTCCCTCTACTATCGCTGGTCTCAGGGATATAGCTATACAGTTCCTCTGTAGCTATGGGTTTTCGTCGACGACTTGTTCCTCTTCGGCGAGGAGTTTGTTCAGTGGTATCATCCTTTCTCGATTTCCGGTTCGATTTAGTGTCTGGAGCTTCTTTCTTGAGAGGTTCATCGACAGTAGGAGGCCAGTATTGTGCTTTGTGGGAGTTTCGGTGTGATGAAAATAATTCGTCGTCACTATACCATTCTCCCGCATGCTGGCGGCGGTACGGCCTCCTATCGCCGTTATCAAGCGAGATATCAAATCGCTGAACAGATTTCCATGAATCTGGAAAGTCGCTTCGGTTATCAAGTTCATCGGCAGAGTATTGGTTGTAGGTTGCTGCCGGGTGGCTTGTAACCTTCTGCTGGCCTGCATACCCTAGTGAGTTATTAGCCCCTTGTGATTGAGGGCCCTCTGGCCCCGGAATCACTGTTTTATGATGAGATCTTGAGCTAGAGTTAGATTGTTGGCTTGACATGACATCCTTTCCAGTGGCAGTGGCTGATTTGGGCTCCGGCATGTACTTCATATTAGCCTTAGATGGGGCTGGGCCCATTCTAACTCTAGAATATTCATCTTTTCCAGGTGGCTCTGAAAATCGGACCTTGTTGGCAGGTCTCCTTTCTGACTGGCTTCGTTTGAGTGATGATGGGTTTGGTTTAGTGTCCGGGGCTTTCCTGAAAAAAGGCATATCCGTTTCTGAGGCATTCTTTTTTGACATTATAAATTCATCATGATGGGCTGACTGGTTGCAAGGCCCCGGAGTTTCCACTGGTAATATAATGGGCCACTGGTCGATTGTTCCTCTCGATACAACAGAGTCATCATCTTCAATGCGTGATGACAGAGAAGAATCTGACACTTCGTACGCGAGGGCAATGATCTCGTCCTCCACACGAGGGGCCGGTGGCCACTTGTGCTTTGGAGCAGCGACCGCGCACATTTTTCATGCAAAGAACAAACAAAGATGGCAATGTGCTAAAACCAAACAAAATGGGGAAGATCCAAGGTGGACAGGTATCGGTTGAGGTCAAGGCACTTCCGGAACGAGATTTATCTGTTACAATACTGGTGAATTAGACATCATCCTGGAGAAGATCCGGTGGCTCACGCGACTCAAACTCACACCAGGGTCGCGGTAGCATAGAATTGACATGGAGTGTAATTCTTGTAAAATCAAAAGAAGGGTTGAAGGGGTCAAGAGAGTCAATGTTCAACAATCAGGCCGGAATTGCTTCTACACAACAAAAAGTCGTGAAAAAAAGGATCGAGGACTCGGAAGAGGCGATTGGTATATAAGGAGAGTGTCAAGGAGGGTCGGATATGCGCTGGGAATGCGGAATGCAGCGGGACATTGGTTGGGCATCAGGGGTAACTCTGACAAGACCCGTTATTGGGCCGAAACGAATTTTGATACATATATGCAGCCCTGCTGGGTACGTAACTGACAGTCGGCAGGACGCCCGTAGCATGTGTACATATGCAACGCATGCCAGAGAGTTCGAGACATGAAACTGGAAGACTTTCTCTCAGGAGAAGAACCGTCTCCTTGCCTTGTTTTCGGCCTTGTTGTTCAAGATGTGTGGAAGGAGGGCGACCAACGGCTTTCGGGTATCAATTTAGCGGCGACACGATGCCTGACCGGGCAGTCTCGCTAGATGCCGTTACGATAATAACAGCTCGATATCATTTGCTGCGCCGTCATTGTGATTGATATTTGTTTTTAGTGATCCGGATATGGCATAAGCCTTTCGTTTTGCGAGGCGCTTGGAACACATTTAAGGCTCACCAATCAACCCTGTAGGGCAGGGTTTTTTAACTGTAGATGCCCCCTTGTTTTGCCTGTTCGCTGTGGGCTAGTTGATACACGAAGCAGGCCACACCATTTAGGGCGAGTCCTTCTATTCGCGCCATCAATTAAGGAAAACGTCATTTCCCGAGGGCCTGCATTGAGTCTTGCTGGAGAAGTGTTGGAGGGATTCGCATGGTGGAGCACAAGGTACGCCCGACAGCAGGATTCCTGCCCAAAAGACTTTTTTTATGAAGAAAAAGGAACCATAAAGCGTGGCGCTAAGTGTGATCCTGACCCCATGCTGGCCCTCCACAGAGTTGGAATTACAGGTCTGTGATGTCTGCGAGAGGCAAGTAACAGAGAGAGAGATCCAACCAAATGCAGCCGAATCTACCAAAACGAACATTCATTACTGGATTGCCACTGAGGTTGATCGACTTTGCGCCATACCCGGGAATTCACCGAGGCGCAAGAACAGGTTCTGTGCGGGCGTTGGTGGCCCGTGGATATGAGTCGAAATCCAGGCTTCTAATAGGATGTAAAACTGGTGTGCTTTTGAAGATGGTTGCATATATAGTAATTGTGGCAGTTTTGAATACAGGAGTATGTAGTTTATACTCTCTCGAAGAAGTATTTTTTTCACGGTTTATGCACTCTATCTGGAGATAGTATGTCGTTGGCCATGACATGGCAATGCAGCTTGGTTCTTGCAATATGACGTTATACTCAAGGCTTTAGCAACAACTTGCCAGTTGTCTTCCTTCCTTCGATATCCTACATTGGTTCAATATCAGTGTTAAGCCATTGAAATGGGATAGCCAAAGACTAACCTTATGTGCCTGTTGGATATCTTCAAGTGGATATATCTTATAGATGCTAGTTTTCAATTTATCCGTCTCGAGCAGCTGAAAGAGCTCCGTTATGTAGAGATCAAACTCTTCACGGGTATAGATGTAATTGAAGAGCGTCGGACGGCATATTTTAATGTTTTTTGCGGCAAGCACCCTATAGGTGGAGAGGTTAGAGCGCATACATGAGCCAGCAGGCAGATGAAAGGACTCACGAGATTGGGAACGGCGGCACAACACCACTGGAGTTTCCAAAGAAAACTACAGATCCTTTCCTCTTGACAGCCTTGAGACTATCCTCCCATGTATCCTTGCCCACTGAGTCGTAAACTGCATCCACGCCCTCGCCACCAGTTACCTCTTTCACCTTCTCCAGCCAGTTTGCCCCCTCAGGGCTTTTGTAGTCAATTACCACATCGGCGCCCAGACCCTTGACGATTTCAACCTTCTCAGGCCCTCCTGCGGTACCGATAACCTTTGCACCGGCTAACTTCAGTAGCTGGGTCATGATGATGCCCGCTCCGCCAGCAGCGGCATGAAGAAGAATCCAATCACCTTTCTTGACCTCGTATGCTTCCCTGATGAAAGAAAGGCATGTGGCACCGGTCAAGAGTACCGCCAATACCTTCTCGTCAGATACCCCGTTTGGAATCTTCGCTACTCTGGTTGTTGGCGGAGTGCTGTACTCTGCGTATCCTCCGCTTCCAATCCACGCTACACGGTCACCAACAGCGAAGTTGTAAGGATTCGCACCTGGGCCTAAAGCCACGACCGTACCGGCGCCTTCTTTTCCCAAGATCTCAGGTTTAGCGGAGTCATACACACCCTTTCTGAAATACGTGTCGATGAGATTGATTGCAGTGAGATTGTTCTTGACAAGGACTTCTCCTTCTTTGGGAGAAGGGACAGGCAAGTCTGTCTTATATTCAAGAACCTCAGGACCTCCTATTTTGGAGACTAGAACGCCCTTCTGAGTAGCTGGAAGAGAGGACATGGTGCGGATGATAGATGGTTGACCTCTTGAAGCTGGTGTGATGTACCTGCAAGAACGGAGTCCTATCGCGGGGCCTTGACTATACCGTCCAACAATGAATGAACCGGCGACTGCTCGTAAACTCGTCTTCATATATCCGCAGATGTAGGCCGTAGCTGTAGATTGGTATACTTGTTCTTCATATAGACAAATTCCCCCCCCAACTCTAGTATGAGAAGGTGGCTTTTATCTAAATGCTTCGTGATTTGAAATCACCCCGAAATGCCAAGCATTTTGCAAGGATAACAGAAATTTGGGGTCTGCAATTTTTATATACGGCTTAATTACGTGCCAGTGGATGGAACTTTGGCTGGCAACAGCCCCTATTCCCTACAAGACGGCTTGCCATCTCGATTAAATAGATCAGAGTTGGCCATGTTGCTTTGTCGGTAAATAGCTTTGCTTAGACGATTATGTACCACAGGTTATCCTAGCTCATGCGGATTCTGGGATTGATGAGACAGGCCTTGTCTACTCCATCTGCTATCCGCGTATAACTCTTGGGGATCACAATGCACAGTTTCGTCCCCCGATGGCTCGGGGGCCTTGTCAGGGTGTGATACATTATTTGGCTGGCCCTCATAGCCCCGAGAAATGATAGGAGACTGTTTAGCCCTCCGCCGCATAAGGAAAAAGACAGCTCCAGCGGTTAAGCAAAACGGCACACCCAAACCTATACCCAGCCCTAGCGCAAGGCTTTTGCTGTGTGATTTATCGTCACCTTTTTGTGGGCGCTCTCCCTCGCTGGTATTACTTGGTAATGTAGTCTGGGGTATAGAGGAACTTCCCGTAGTGCTCGCCAAAGTACTTGTCGGGGACATCGTAGTGGATGTCCTTGAGTCCTCGCCGAAATTAATATAGAACTGGCCGCTGATGAACCCACCGAGTTGTTGAGATTCCTTTGTGCCTCGAGCATTGACTATGCGGAAGACAAATGGAGCTGAGTGGTTTGTTGCGTCGGAATAGCTCACAGTCCAGTCATACCAAGTGGATGCCGTGTTCACTTCGAGAACGGTTAGTAAGAGGCCGTCTTTAGGAGCCGGGCATAACTTACAGGTAATTCCAACGGGGCTATTATAATTCTCCCCCTGTATCAGGTAGAGATTCGTTGCTCCGTAGATCGAAGCCCAGCTCACATTCATGTGGGATCCTTTGCTCACACACTGAGGAGATCCGTTTGGGTAGTAGAATTTTCCATCAGAATATTCCTCGGGCAAGGGAAGCTCCACCGAAGGGCATTCGGCCAAAGTATAAGTGATTATCCAAGGGACTACGATGCCCCAGTGCGATCGCATAGTGTCGAGTTTTCGTGAACCACGGGTGTTGTCGTGAGCGAAATGGGAGGGACGAGAAGGAGAAGGGCATCATCACTTCAAGGCCAACGGTTCGCAATATATCCATGATTGCCTGCGGACTATTACACTCCCGCAAGGATTAAATGCAGCAAAAAAGCACGGCGTGTACAGCGGTAGGTATACACAGCCTATCATGCATGGGGCTTCGCCGGCGCCAAGTTGTTATGCTATGTACCCGGCGTTGCCGGATCCTCCGCAGGGATTAGATGTAGCCCGCTTACTATGTATAGCAATGGATATACCCAGCCCATCCTGTATGTCTCAATAGGGGGCCCTTCGGTGTTTTCTGGTCGTTATAAGGGATTGGCATGCGCACTTTGATTACCTGTTTTCGTTTAAACGCAATGTCAAGTCCATATCAAACCCTCTCTCCATGGTACCCCTAACGAGCGGAAGAGGACCTGTGCGCCGATGGATCTACTTCGCATCCCCTTTTCTTAGCTTTCTTGTGGCTGGCTATCTGTTCCTGTCACATTATCCCTTATATCATAGAGGTAAAGGGCCCCTTAGGCCCCTTACTACTCCATCTTCCCCGTCAGGAGAGATCGAGCGGCCTCGGATAATAGCTGGCCTAGAGGACGTCCACGTTGTGTTTAAGACTGGCGCAACCGAAGCACTAGCAAAGGTTCCAGTCCACTTTAACACGACCTTGCGATATGTCCCCCATTTCACATTATTCTCTGACTACGAGGAGGACATTGCCGGGTTTCATGTTTATGATGTTCTGCGAAGCGTCGATGCGGCGATCAGAAATAAGCATCCGGACTTTGAACTCTATAGGCGCCTTCGCGACAAAGGTAGGGAAACTCTATCGACATTGAACACGAACTCATCCAACGACGTGAGCACTCCCGCAGGGAAACCAAACAATCCTGGCTGGATCTTGGACAAATGGAAGTTCCTCCCGATGATGCACGAAACTCTCGGCTTTCGGGGTAACGCCAAGTGGTACGTCTTCATGGAGGCAGACACGTATATACTCTGGGAGAATTTAGTAGCCTGGCTCGAGAACTTCGACTCCAGTAAGCCACACTTTCTTGGCCACCAGATGCAAATTGGAGATATTATATTTGCCCACGGGGGGTCTGGCTTTGTGCTATCCCGTGCGGCTCTGGAACGTGTGGTCGAGTACCATTCCTCTCGAGTTAAGGAATGGGATACGCTCACGGATGATCACTGGGCTGGCGATGCCATTCTTGGGAAGGCTTTAAAAGACGCGGGCGTCAACCTTCTTTGGTCCTGGCCGATGCTCCAAGGCTCGACGCCCTGGGATTTTGATCACTTTTCACCTGGTTATCAAAAACTGCCCTGGTGCTATCCTCCAATAGCCTATCACCACATGGGCTCGGAGGATATCAGAGAACTATGGGAATTCGAGGAGAGATGGTCTAAGAAGGTAAAGCTGCACCGAAGATATAAAAACTGCGTGCAAAGGTAGATGCTAACTTGGAGCATTAGAATGGCAATTTGACCCTCATACATTATCGTGATGTATTCCAGGAGCTCACACAACCTCGTTTTAATGCTACGGAGGAAGCTTGGGATAATGGCTCCCTGGATGTCGCCGCAGGAGTTGAGACGGCGACAGAGTGCGAACGGCATTGCGCCAAAGACCTAGAGTGCCTCCAGTATTCCTTCGGCAGTAAAGAATGCCGTACGTCAAAAGTGGTTCGGTGGGGCAGCCGTAAACCTGGAGTCATTTCAGGTTGGATGTCGGAAAGAATTAACGAAACTGCGGCAAAATTAGGTGATTGTGAACAGACGCATTGGATTCGTCCAGAATAGATTGTACATCGCCAGACGGAGCCATTGAAGATGCCACAACTTTCATTTTCAGCGTCTCCCATCAACTACTGTCCTATCAAACGGCGCCTTGAATACTCACCGGTCTCAGCTGTTAGTCCGTTTGCTTCTCCGCAAGCTGTTTTATATCAAAAGAATAGCCGAAGACGAAGGTGGAGATGATAACTAAGATGATGCGATGTCTATTGATACGATTCCATGTATTGGGATAACGTAGATATATAATCGGTTAATTGTATGGGTTAAAGAAGCTGCTTTCTAGTAGCTAAAGTGCATTGTTTGTCTTACTACTGTAAAAATCATCCTCAAAGTCATCAGCCATACGGTCATAGAATGCCGTACTGCTGTTTATCGACTGCTTACGTCTCAATATCAGTGTATTCTTTTTCATCATCATCATCATCATCTTGTTCTTCTCCATCCTTCTTGGTTCCCCAGACAATATGGTCGGCCCGTAGATCTCGTGGCTGCTTCCAGGCCAATATCCCTTCATTAGGTAGAACCGTATAGAAAGAGCAATATGTAGCCATGAACTTGTCGAAATAATGAATTCCGCAGTCAAGTTTCCACACGCTTGCATCGACCTTCATGCCGATGAAAAAGAATCGCAGAAGGCTTTGCTCGACATAAAATTCAAACTCCATGATATCACTGTGGCATGTTGACATTTGGCCTGGTGCAATATCCTCGTCGGGAAGGCTGGGATCACGCCACGCAATAGCCTGTACTTTACCTATCGGCTTGAGATCTGGGGCATGCTTGTTGTAGAAGCCGGTTACTTCAGTGGTTGGAGGAGTGATGGCTGTAAGTTCAAATCCATCTTCATGCACGAGCTTCGCCCCCAGTTTATTGGTACTGGCTAGGTCTCGGAATTTGACCGCCTGCTCGAGGCTTCCTGCAGCGGCAATGCCAAACTTGACTACTTTTCTAGCAGTAGTAAGCGTCATTAATGGGATGATATCTGAATTCGCGACCCATTCCCGTTCTTCCGTGTACGAATCAAAGAACGAACCGCCAAAGAGAGTTGAACAGGCAGTGTTGAAATCGCCAGGCGCATTGGCGTTTGCTTGGTGAGCCTTCCAAAGCTCACCAGTGGCCTGGTCGGTTATTTTACGAGCGGCCAGAATGTCGTCTCGGTACTCTGGGCAGACATCATGATGTAGGATGTAGTTGAGAAAGTTCTTGATCGTGTGGGTTCCTAGCTGAACAAGCTGCTCGGTATCGACGGCGAACAGCTGAGGGAAAACAGACGACCTATAAAGGAGTAAGCATCAAAAACACAAATGGACTGCCTAAACGACTGAAAGACGAACAAAAACCCTTTAGCAACAGTTTCAAAATCAACGTTCCATTTTTCACGGTCTTGTGGAATACTAGATGTCGCTGTCGCCGTGAGAATATCCTCTGCATCCATCGCCTGGAGATTTCGTTGATCGTTTCCCTCGAACATCTTTGGTCCAACATCGACCCCACCGAAGGCCATGTACTTTGTGAAGACATGTCTTCTGTTGGAGTCTAACCGTCTCTTGGCTTGGTATCTCTGGATTGCCATCTCGAGGCGTCTATAACTAGTGGTTAGAAGGGTGGGCCAGTAAACTCAGATACTTCTTGAAACTGACTGAATTGCTGGTTTAGATCTAATTCCCAATTAGATAGTTATCTTTCAACTGCATAAGTATACAAACTTACGGATCATAAATTGATTTCTCCTCGGTATACTCTGCTGGGGTCATGGGAGCGTCAACATAGTATTCTTCGAAGCCAGTTGGTTTCTTCCGTCGAGAAGGTCAGTTTTTTTCAACATTTAGACACATATTATCCAGGCAGGGAAGCTAACCTTGCCCTTCTTCCCTTTAGACTTCTTCTTTGGCTTCTTCTGTTGGGTGACAGGCACAGACTTGACTGTAGACTCCGCTGCCAGCTTTCCACCTTCGTCTCCCATGCTTTTAACAGCTTTTTCAGCTTCTTCTTCATCGTCTTCTTCAGGTATAGGCTGAGCATCATCCTGTTGCTGGCCAGAGTCACTATGGCCTGCCTTCTTTGGACGATGAGGCAAAGTAATCGACTTGCTGCTCATGATCGGAGCAAGCTTAGAAGCATCAGCGACCGTGTCTTGTTCTGGGTCCATTTTGCTGAGCTCGAGGATTGATTATTCGAGTGAGCTAAGCTGTATGAGAATGCCTCGATGGTAGAAGGCCCTTTTGTAGGTGGTTGAGATGAGTCTCAGCCTGCAAGTCTGGTCCTGTATTCAGTGTTTTTGTAAATAGAGAAAGAGAAACCTCTTCACAAGCCAAAGAAAAATTCACTCTATAAACTGGTCACTTCACTTCTTCTTCTTCTTTGCCTGATGTATCTCATAGAAAATACATCTGGAGTTAAGGAGAGAAAGCCTGATACACAGTAAGAGCGTGAAGTCTCGGTGACCGCTTCTGTATTTCTTTGTGCTGCTCAGCCATCTTTTGTCTCTTGACTAGCTATCGCATAGCTGCATGAAATACTACTCATCCTGGCTCGGAGAACAAGCAAACCGGCCAGTCTTTTATATCTATTTATCACTGATGAAGTCGAACATGAACTAAAAGGGAAACAAAAAGTAAACAAACTGCTTTGCTTAGTTACCAACATCTTCAAGCCTCACTCATCTTGGCGTCTTTCTATGACTTGCATCGAGGATCGGATTTACGATCATGACCGCAAGTTTATTCGTTACATACACGCCAACGTTTGCTGCTGTGGCTAATATCTGAGCCATCCAACTTTTGCCTGGTCGACAATCGGTGGCTGAAGTTGGTGGTACGATTATATCGACCTTCCCATCTGTTCTTCCTAGTCCTCTTCAAGGGAGTTTTTTTATCTACAGACATGCAGCCGTCTAAGAACCAGAAGCTCGATGAAGAGAGCTTCGTGGCGTTCGACCATGCCGCCGCCGGACAGTAAGTTACTGGGTGAGGATGATGTTTGTGTGCTCTGTGGTTATTAACTTGATACATTCCCTCCCAAAACCACTTGCGAGAAGGACGTGAGCTCGTCACTAATCTTTCACCCTGTCCGATAGTGAGGGTGTCCGTTGCGATGAATCCGGCTCTCTCATAGCGAAGCCCTGCACCCAGAAAGAGATTCTATTTTACGAGTCGGGTGCAAACCACCCTGCGTTTCAGAAATACATGCCTACCTTTATCGGCTCGCTTCGTGCTGGTGCTCCCAAGGAGGCTCTTAATCTATCGACTGCCAATGCCGAGACTCCACTAGTCATTGCTTCAGCAGAGACGTCCACGGAGAAGTCTTCGTTACCTCTCGAATTGGCCACACAGACCGATAGTATCGCTATCACCAGACCGGCAAAGAGGCCAGATGAGCCATGGGTTCCGTCTGGCGGCAAGAAACTTGATACTGGCCTGTCAATCGTTCTGGAGAACATTACAGATGGGTTTGTTCGGCCAAACGTCCTGGACGTCAAACTTGGCGCGAGGCTCTGGGACGATGATGCTGTTCCAGAAAAGAGAGAGAAGCTTGACCAGGTGGCGGCCGAAACTACAAGTGGGAGCTTAGGATTTCGCATCGCCGGGATGAAGACATGGGCTGGTCAAGGCCAGGATATCACCAAGCTCTCTGGGCCGGACGTGGATGTGTCCGCAAACCACCTGCCATCAACCGCCAGCGAGGAAGTCAAATCCAAGTCTAAAATCATCGAATCAGAGGGCTATCGTCGCTTTGATAAATGGTATGGCCGGGGGTTCAACGAGCGTAATGTGCATGAAGGCTTCGAAACGTTCCTCGCTTCAGCAAAGGCTGGGAAGATAGATCGTTCAGCCTTTTTAGCGGCCAGAATCGCCGCCGAACTACGAGCAATGCAAGCCGTCTTGGAATCAGAAGAGAGCCGTATGTACTCCGCCAGCGTCTTGATTGTTTATGAAGGCGACCCAGAAGCTTTCGAGAGAGCACTCGAAGTAGAGAGCAAGGAGGCTACTATATCGGAAGGCCTGTCCACCAGGACTACCGGTCATGGAGGCGATAATGATGACGACGATGAAGAGGAGGAAGAGGAGGATCTACCTAAAGTCCATGATATTCGTCTGATCGATTTTGCGCATGCGAGCTGGACCCCTGGCCAGGGACCAGATGAAAATCTTCTGAGAGGTTTGAGGAACGTTGCGAAGATTATGGAGGATCTAGCCAGGGCCTCCAACTAAACCGCATCCCCTCCAAGAAACCCGCTCCTCCATGCGCAAAGGGAAGGAATTAAATAGACTAGAAATGCCTTTTATGCTTGCTCTATAGATGAATGAATGATATTACGACCTTCTGCACGATTGTTTATCTGCATATTTATCACGTGATATTGAATTACATAAGACAAAGCTTAATTATCTTAGTCATTCGCCTCTAATCTTTCTCTTGAGTCTCAGTATCAAAAGAACAATTGAACGTCAGGAGCTTTGCTATCGAAGAATCGGCCATTCAAAGGTTAGCAAGCATGTTTCCCACTCGCGTCTTGCTGAAACGGTCAGCGTGGAAAGGTAAGCGCATCAATCTCCTCTAGATAAGCTAGGATGGCATCAAATTAACATTGTATATCCTAGGTCCAAATATCGTACCGTATGTTTGAAATCCTATACCAAGCATTGTGATAAAAGGCGCCGTTGTTGATCTCAGTCCTAATGATAATCACAGTCTTCCGCTACCAAAGACCATTCCTCCTCCTCCGGGCACACCCGCCATCCGCACCCAGGCTAGAGCAGCCACCATTCTGCCTAATTTTGTTGGGTTACGATTCGCAGTTCACAACGGGAAGCTATACCAGGAAGTTTTAATCACTGAGGAAATGGTTGGAAGAAAACTAGGGGAATTTGCGCCGTATGTTTCCCATGATCATGGAGTAACTATTGTGCAGTTTGGACGTTCGTCTTGTGCTGGGGCTAACGTAGCGCTTTCAGAACGAGAAAACGATTCACTTACCAACATTCGAAAAATAAGTAAACTCCACCGTTTGATCTCCTGCGTCGGGGGGGGGGGGGGGGGGGGGGATAGGAACAGAAATGGAACCACTAGCACTGCAATATATGTTTCTGCAACATAAGGCTTCCTGGTACCTTTACCTGACTATTTAATTTTCTTTTTGGTTATTAGGTGTTGATATTACTTGATCTTTTAGCATGGGAAGGCGAAGAATTGCGCAGTATGGATGGAATCATTGGGATTACACGACTCGGTCATTTACTGCGTTGTTCATTATATCACGATTCATTCAGTATAGAAATTGTACATTATACACTAGAGTCTTCCTATACTATTTTCTCCTTAAATGAAACCTGCTGTGCCATACTCACTAGACGCACTACCGTCCACCATGTCGGTTGATTCTTGTAATGATCAGGATATATGGCCGAAGGTATTAAATAGTAGTAAAAAAAAAGAAGTCCAACTCCCACCTTCAACCTAATGCCCACCTGCATATATGCGCCTTTTCAAAACATGAATTAGCAATGCGCCAGCACATTTCACTGTGAGATGCTCTGGGGCAGTAAGACCTAGCCGTGACCAAGTGACAGATAGGGAAATGAAAGGGTATCCAAATGAGCCGGAAAAACCTTGAAAAAGCACGTATCGAATGAAGAGAGGGCCGTGGGATGCTTCGCCGATATGTATTCACCTTTCTTTATCTGTAGAACTCGCCTCTCTTCACGCTAACTCCATACTCGCCGACGGCCATGCCTAAATCTTCCATGGTAAGGACGGTCTTGCCTTGGGATCCACCCTGGCCGCCGCCTCCGAACCCGGCTCGCTGGACACCAAGGTGTAGACCGCCAGCGCCTGATTTGCCTTTGGTTCCTCCTTCACCAGCTCCGGCAGCTCCAGCAGCTCCAGCACCACCGGGCTGACCGCCCTGGGCAACGTTGCTGAGACCCGCAGTCACATTGATACTGCCCATGGGGTTATTGGAGGAGGCACTGTTCGAGCTGCGGATCCGGGAATACTGGTATGAGTCCGCAGCGATATCCGCAATGAACTTTTGCGTTGCTAAGGCGAGAAGCCGGGCAAGGTGAGGAGGGGTGTGGTTTGGCCCCGGTCCTGGCGGTGGAAGGCCTGCAACGGTTAGGTAATGGGCAGTTACAGCATCCGGAATCTATGGGTTTTTTATAGTCGTTAGTATCATTGACCGGACAAGGAGGTGGTAGTAAATCAACATACAATAGGCGCGTAGTCGTCCATCTGGCTCAGAAACTCTCTCAAGCTGGTATCTTTCTTCGATGGTGGCACTATCGATTCAATACCGTTTAGCCCAGAAGCAGGTCCGGGAATGCCTGGAGCCGTGTTTGTCGCCGGGGCATCAGCAACACCAGCACCGGTGTCTGGTGCCGTAGTATCTCCCGCTTCTGGCTCGGTGTCCCCCATGGTGATGTCTTCCGTAGAGCTGATTTTGATATCTGCTGCCTCCTCAGGGCTTATATCGGCATCCTTTGGCAGCGGTGCACTCCCTTCTTCCTCCCCTCCCGCAGCCACTGCAGGCTCAGACGCTGGGTTGGAACTTGGCGACTGCTGTTTTATAGGCGGCTGGGAGCTTTCCTGGTCTGCTGCTGTGTCCACGGTCTCCTGTGGCAGGGCTGGAGATATCTGCGTCTGTGACGGTGGCGAGGCCGACGTGCCAGTCTTTGGTGCTGGACTCGCGGGATCTTGGGTGACGGTTTGCGACGATGGCTGTGCGACGTCCACCTGATTCGACTGTGGTTGTGGAGGTGGTGGCTGTGAAGAATCTGATTCGGCCATGGTGATAGGTATGCTGTGATAATATATGGTGAAGGTAGCAAGAGCTTAAGGGCAAGGATGCGGTGAGCTCTGCAGCGACAACGCCCTGTGGTTCCTTGTATGGAGCGCGCAGGCTGTCTCCCTTTATCGAGATATGAGAAGCAACAGGATCTTGGGATGAGAGACGATAGGACGGGATATCCTGCGTTCTGAAGGGAGCCAGGACGGGTTCGGTGGACGTTGAATAAAAGATCTCTCGAGCTGCTGGTCTCAACTACTACTTTGCAGGGCCACAACCGGCTTAACAGCAACAGGCCATCGCCAGGGGAGACGCTTTCGGAGTGAGATACTGGACGGCACCGTGAGCTTTGCGGTTTGTTCGAGTCTGAGATGCAGTCGAAGTTGGTTACGGCGAAAGTTACTCCAATGAGAAGATGCTGTGTTGAAGATGGACTATTTAACGTACCCATTGAAAGCTGGGTTATAAACGCTGTTAAAATACAAGCAAAGTGATAACAGACAACGCTTCCCTGCGACCGTCTGCCAAATACCTGGATTCTACCATGTAGCATGAGAATATGGCTACTTTATCGAATGCAGCTCCGTGAAATCAGCTGGATGCCTGGCATTCCGCAAGGATGCAGAAGCCAGGGGGACATCCGAGTTTCTCTCGTATACCAACACCAACCGGTTGATAGATACCGGCAGCAGCTGCTCTGCGCCGAAACAGCTATACCTACTTTGCCGTCAACGGTACTGCTGCGGAGGCTCTTCGTCCTAGGCCTCACCCGTCGCTGGCGGCTTTCCTAGACGCAGCGACACTGCCTCTTCACCACTATTACCCCTCTGGAAACTTGTTCTTCTACGCTTGCTCTTTCAACTACCCGCAATATCTCTTCGATAATAACGCGGCGGACCTGCAGGATACGCCGGTGGATAGTCTGGTGAACCTCTATGATGGCGGAATGAATATTGAAGCCGGCGGCGGTTTGTTCTACCATCAAGGCTCCCATCGTGCCGTGGTCTTTATGCATATGGACGCCTATGACCAAGCATTCCCTATTGAGGCGCATAAGGAGCTCTGACACCCGCTTGAGACGGTGCTCTCTAACTGGATCAACCTAATTCTTATTGGCAAAGTTGTAGGCTCGCTCCCTGGCGAGCCAGGCTTGTTCAACTGTGAGAAGTTCGGGTGCTGGGAGTGGCGGCCCTATAGTGATGCCCAGGTTGGTACTTGTATCGCCGCGTGGGACCGGCTGTGTGAGACCATCGAGGCGCGCATCTCGAGTAGCACCACCGGCAGTGCGGTTGATAATAATAACCGCCATGATTCAGAGCCGTCCCCGGTCCCCCCGGCTGTCTTGGACGCTGCTTTAGTGTCTGATCCTGGTTTTGCGCGTGCCTTTCTGACCCGTGCACGACGGCCTCTATTCCACCGCATTGCTCCAGGGCTCGTCTTGCCCGCGATGGACGAGGCTGGATTTACTATAGAGCAACCGTACACTAGCCTGCCTCGCTCTTAATACCGCCTGTGTGCCTTTTCCCCGCCGCCGGGGAGTATCTGGTCAACTTGACGAGCACGACGTGCGCATTTACCGAGGACTTTAGTGCATCGTCTATTCATTCAAATATTCCACCCTGAGTGAATGCTGGTGTCTATAGCGAGTCTGTTGAGCGGGATCGCCTCGATAACGCGGAGGAAGGGTTTCGGCTGTTACTTCCCTTTAGCTTCAAGGAGCGTCATGGGGAAAACACTGGTTTGGGCGCGCGGAAGAGCGACGGGTCTCTTGTGGGCGGGGTGGGAAGCCTCTTTCAGCATGGATACAAACCCTTTGGCGGCGACAACTACCGCCCCCAGCGGTTGGAATGTTTGTTCAATTGTTGGCGCAAGCTTGTAGACGATGGCGTCTGGTCGGTTGGGCCGGAAGGGGTAGAAGGCACCATTGATACGTTCAGGGAGGCTGACGGAGAGCGTTGGAAGCACTATTATATCCCGCCCTCATGGTAATTCAACCTCAACACTCTGTATGATCAAGGCCAGATGCTTCGGTAAGCTGATCGCCGTCGTTGCCCAGCGGTCCGAGGTTTGCGTGGCACACTCCGTCCGCCGCGGTGGTGTCCTGCCGCAGTGCCTCTGACTTGTTGCGGCGCTGGGAACTGCCATTCCGGCGCCTGTGAGACGGATATGGGGGACCATCGACGAATGGCGAGTGCGGGCCGCATTTTGCTGGAAAGAAGAAGTTCGGTCAAGATGCTGTGTTGAAGATGAACTATTTAATATATGCATTAAATGCTGGTTTATAACGCTGATGAGTTGAAGGAAGACGCTATAGAATATAAGCAAGTAATAATAGACGACCAACGCTTATAACGACGGCCTACCAAAATATTCATAGGCCACTCAATAAAGGGAAAAAGAGAAGATAATGTTATAAAGAAGGATCCACGTAATTTCGTTGAGAGTCCATCTGCATTCCTTCCGACTTCTCCTGTGTTAGGCTTTGATATAGAACCTGTTCGGCCGACCGTTCGGCTAACGAATGCTGGTCTTGATCATGGTGATGGGGATGATGGTGATGCATTTCTTGTTGCTGCGGAAGGACAACCGGCGTGCTTGGTTGCGTGTTGGCATGAGACTCTATACTGCCAATGGAGGGCTCAACAGAGGCTGACGCATGAGCGCCAGCAAGCGCCATCATGCCTTCTATCCCTTCCACATGTGCCTTGTCTTCTTCGCCCTGTTTACGTTCTCGTTCTCTGGCTTCTTGCTTTGCGGCCTGTGCTGGTGCCCGTGTCTTGAGTTCTCCGGTAACGAACTTGAGATAATAAGGCACCTCGATTCCACTCTTTAAGAAGAAGAGCTTGAGGTTGCGTGCCTTATCCTTGAGTTGTACCTGGTTGCGGTCCTTGAGGGCTTCACTAATGGTACCCCCCGGCCCAAACATTGAGAGTATCTGACTCCAGTGAGGACCCTTGACACGATCTAGCCCAGCCATTAGTGCATTCTCCTCTTCTGTGGTCCAGGGTCGCCGTTGACTAGGGAGTCCCGCACGACGGCTACTAGGGGATGATCGTGTCGTGGTTGCTAGCCTGGCACGTTCATAAAGTATTTGGGTGGGCTCGGATTGCGAGTAATGGGGAACGCCTGGCATGTACCCATAACTCGCGTTTGCAGTATTCGTTCTCACTGCGGAAGGCTCGGCTGGTGCTTGGGGGCTATATTGTTGGAACTGAAATTGACTTTGAAGGAACGGAAGATGCGTTGATTGCGGTGCGGAAGTGGTAGGTGCAGCGGCATAGTTTGAAAAGGAGGTTTGGGTGGTGGGTTGACTCTGTGGTGGTGGTGGTGGCGGCGGGGAAGTTGCTTGGGGAACCTGCTGCTGAGTAAAAGGTGGTGGTGATGCCTGAGACACGGGTGGTTGAGCTTGTGGTTGCGCAGGCGGATGGATTTGCTGCTGCGGTGACTGCTGTAGAGGTTGTTGTAGTGGAGGAGCGGAAACGGCGCTGGCTCTCCTTACGCCCTGACCTTGAAGTGCGATTTGTGCAGCACGAGCAGCTCTCGCAACGAGGTCAACCTTGCCAATTCTCCGTTCTATGGGTGCTGGTTCTGGTGGATTTGGGGGAGCTACGGGAAATTGTGTTTCCAGAACCGTACCCGGAGACTCTGTCTCCTCTTCCTGTGGCGAAGTTGGAGATCGTGTCTTATTCGGTCGTTTGGACTATCAAGAATAAGTACTTTTGCCTGTATCGTAGTTGCAAAAGTCATGAAAAAACTAACCTGTTGGGTGGTGAGAGAATCAATATTCTTGCTGACATAAAGGCTAATATCTCTCAAGAAATCTTGCCAAAGATATTTTTCTGGCAGAGTATTGACTGAGTCAGGATTTTTTATTTCCCCTAAGAGTATATCCCGGCGCGACCACGCTCGTTTCACAAAATCAGTTTCGCTTGGAGCTGGGTGCCGAGTGCCTGGTCTTCGTGCCAGTAGCTTAAGGCCAAGGTTGTCGGGAAACAACTCATATAAAATATCAGCTTTTGGCCGAGCTGGGTTGTTCATCGACGCAATAAATGTTTGTGTTTTCAGTTCTAGAAATAGGGCAGCTTGGCTTTTGAGTAGCCGTCCTCCCTCTGGAACAAATATATCCAAAAAATTGTCATGAAGCTCGGAGAACCCAATCTCTTGAGTTCCAAATAGGCTGAACACAAACGATGCCAGGTTTGCTTTCCGAATTATTTCTACCTGGCTGGGGTCTGTAAACCCTAGATTAGATGCGGATAGGAAGGGTTGAGTTGTGGTATAAACTTTCTTGGTGTGGTCGAATAGAGAGCGTAGAGTTGAATAGGACTGTGCATTCTCTGATTGCGGGTCCGAAACAAGTGTAGTAAGATCTTGGAAGCTTGTGCGGGCAACGAAGCAAAGAATCTGAGTGGACTAGTGGATGAATATTAGCATCCATCATCTCGAAAAAGTTCATGCAGCACTCACTAGGTTATCAAGAATTGGGAGACTCTGTGACTTTAGATTCGAGTTTGCCTTTAGGAAGGCCGCATTGGAGGACTCAGCAGAGCTAACTTGCTTGGTAACGTCTTCCATTCTTCGAGTCTGGTCTAGGAGACTGGATATGGCCTCAGCTACGTTTTCCGCCGAAGATGCCTGGGTAGTTGGTGGATGTATATCTGCAAGTTCTTCCTTGACCAGGTCACGCTCAACATCTAACCCTGCCACACTCGCCGTATTACTCCTCACGTGGAAGAAAGCTGCATTCGGGGTATGATGGTGGCTCTCGTACGTCACCGGGGTCGCTCCCACAACCTCGTAGGCGACATCTCCATCTCCAGACGTATCCGTCCGCCGGCGTTTTGCCTCTGGAGGTAGGGATGCATCGTCATCTTGCAGCAGGTGAGTTGGTTTCAGCTGTTCTATAGTAGGTTCAAACAGTAAGTTACCAGGACTATGAAGGCCGAGAGTTGGCCAGATTAAGGGAAAAAAGAACAGCAAGCAGGGGGAACTAGAGGTGATAAGCTCACCATTGGACTCAGCTATAGGTGTCGCAGCCGCTAAGGGTTTGCTGGTGGCCGGCTCGTCGTCTCTGGGAAGATCTCCAGGTTGCAGATGATCGGTCATTGCTGACTGGCTGACTACACGTCGAGATATCCTTCAGGGCTTCTCTTCCCATAAGCAGTTAAAAATGAGGGTTTAGGGATAGGGCGCGGAAGTAGGGCTTGGGGCGTCGTTCTCTTTGGGCGTGTTATTAGGGCTTTCCCAGAGTCTGCCCTAGCTAGCCTCCTTAGGAAGTGGGGCAACTTTGTTCTTACCTCAACGTCTTTGCTTATATAATGAGATCGATCTGCCCCTAAAACCACGACAGCTTCTACAAACTAGCTACGTTGTTGCATGTTGCTGAGAAGGCAGAGCTACGAAGATGCTAATAATATTACAAAGGCGAGCCCGAAATCATAAATATAGACACAGAGCTCCTGGCCTTGAATCTACAACCATGTCTTCTGCAGAGCAGCTCTATACCCGAAGATTCCGGTTTGACATCAAACACTCGGGGTGACAACCATAGGATCTTCTTGACATGAAGTCTACCAAAAAAAAAAGCTTTTAGGTGAAATTTGGGTCCTGGACATCCAAATTCTACTGCTACCCGCTAGAATCCGGCTTGTAGTCATAGATGTTTGACTCACAGGCTGACTCTACAGTACATGGCCCTACACTATATAAAGCCGGTAACTGCATCGTTCAAGCCTGAAGTCTGCAAAAACTTTTTCTATCACTGTCGATATCCTAAACCTGCACTGCCTATAGCTGCACTCCTATCGTTACTCTTCCTCAAGCATTAGGTGTTAGTGTGAACTATTGGATGCTCCCACCAACAACCATGCATTTCTTCTATATTTCGTTGGTTCTATTTATTCTTCAGGCCTCGGCCTCGGCTAAGAGCACTCCGCGCCAGGTTGTGTGGGGGTCAGTAGCCTTTATAAGAAACGGAGAGACTGTACCTTATGGCCTGTCCGGAGCTAGGACTCTCACTCCTGTGGGTGCTCAACAACTAGCTGGTGCTGGCTATGCATTTCGAAGCCGCTACCTCACTCCGAGTTTGAACCCTAGCCTTTCACTCTCTAAGATCAAGGGGCTCTCTAGCTCTTTGAATAACGACGAAATCCAGATATCATCCACTTCTGACCAAAATGTGGCTGCGTCTGCCCAGGCGTTTATGCAAGGCCTTTACCCACCCTCCATCGGATTAGCAGATTCCGGAAACATTCTAAGTAACATGGCGGATGCCAACGGTAGTACAACTGATTATCCCCTCAACGGATACCAATATCCACTTATTTCGACTTATCGCGCGGAGGATCCCATCTCCGCTCACATTTCCGGACACAGGAACTGTCCGAGGCATACGGAGGCAGTGTGGGCTTTTGCTTCCACAAAACCGTACAAAGATCTCTTCGAAAGAACCAGAAGCTTCTACGGAGGTATATACGCTCGCATGCTCGTCGGAGTTTATACCCGTGACATGGCCAGTGTGCTCTATGCTCCTTTAGTCTACGAATATCTTAACTACCAGTACACCTACAACTCAACCGCCCGAGGCATAATCTCTAGAGCTGATGTAGAAAAAGCTCGCCAATATGCAAATGAATGGGCGCATGAGACTTCAAGCAGTGCGGACGTCAGCTGGTCTAAAGATAGAATGCTCGCCATAGGGGGTAGATCCTTGGCATACAGTATCATGTTTGCGCTGCAGCAAAACGAGAGAACTCAAGGCTCATCTAATAAGTTATCCCTGTTATTTGGCGGGTATGAGCCTATGATGGCATTCATAAATATCGCCATTTCAGCTCAACATCGAAAGGGCTTGAATGGCATCCCTAACTACGGAGCATCGATGGTTATTGATCTCTTCAGTGTAGAGGAAGAAGATGGACTTGTCGAGTATCCCAGTGACGACTCGAAGCTGATGGTCCGATTCATGCTCAGGAATGGTACTGATGCGTCCGACCCCGAGACTAACTTCACGCCCCACCCGATGTTTGGAAATAGTCTCCATCAGACTGCAATGCCCTACAAAGAATTTGTATCCCAGATGGTGTATAATATGAAGTCCACTTCCGAATGGTGCCGGTCATGCAACAGCCGACAAGACTTCTGCTCCCAATACGTCAACCACCAATCCAATAAGGGCTGCGGTGTCGTCAACCTCCATCCCACAGACACTGTCTTGCTTCTATTTCTCGGAGCAACGATTCTGTTATCTGCAGTCTCACTGGTTGGCATTTCCTACATTCTATGGCGATGCCTAAGGAACAAGCGTAAAAGAAGGGTGACTCTTCCTAGCTACGGTGACAGTGTGATACCTAGGCGCTCCTCCAGTACAGTGAGCAGCAATTATACAGGGGCACTCTCATGGAGGCCAAGCATCAGCTCGAGTGGTATTGTTGAAACACCAAGCCCTCATGAGAGCGATATCGAGATGATCCTAAGCCCTACCGCCAGTCCGGTAAAGATCCGTGATACTGTCTGACAGGCTGCTTCAGACTGTCCTGAGCATTTTTGGTGAATGATGGGCTGTATCCTAATAGCTGTATGGGAGTATTTAAATTATGTATGAGTCTTCTTTTACTGCTTTCTTTAAATAAAATTCAGAATATGGCAAAGGGATAGTTTTTAGGTCAGAGTTGAAACACTATTGTTCACTATTGTTATCTAGCATCGATGAGACTCCATATATATAATCTTATTCACTATCAATAACTCCCCCCTTGAATAGAGAATATGAATGGGTGTTGTTACTACCCTTCCTAGTATTTAGTGTGAATAGAGAGAAGGTGTTGTTGCCGCACCGACAATAACTCCCCAAGGAACAACAACAACAAAAACACCTAGAGAAAGACAAGCAACCTCTTATTACTGAACATTGTAAAACATATATTATTGCTTCCTTCTTCATTTTCTTCCTTTGCTTCCATCTCACTTCTTTCCGTTCTATATTTTCTGTGTCTCTTCCTTCTGATTCTCTGATTCTCTGCTTCTCTCTTCCTCCTTCCACACTGCAAAGACTGTCTTTTATATGAGAGAGAAAACCGCTTCTTCTAGCTTCATCCACCGGTCTGAGAGTGCCTCTTTTACCTAAACTGAGCTGCTGGAAAGGATCTCTTATCCTCTCATTTGCTCCAAGCCTTCTCGTTATCGATTCTGTGCCAATTAAGGGGCGATATTTAAGGAACGTCATCACCTGTATTTCGAAGGGTCTGAAGCCCTATATCAGGGGATATAGGGGAGAACATCAACTTGTCCACCAAGGACTCACTTCTACCAGAGCCGAGTCTAGAGATCTCTGACACCAGAAGGTGCCGAAACTGCTTTGACGGAGACGCTAAGTGCGAAGGAAAGTAAAAGGTGACTGGCTTTAGGGACGGACGGGTATCTATTTCGTTTTCTCTTACAACTACGGCACGAAAACAGCCGGAGATTGAATGCTACTTGGTTGTCGTACCCTGAAATCAGCAGAGTGTGGCGTTACGAGTCTAAAAAGCTCAAAAGCTATGGCGGCAGCTCTAGCGCAGAGGCCAGGTAAGCAATCACACCTCCCTTTAATTGCCAGTCAGGGTATAGTAGTCATTTTAACTTGGTTTGATGTTTTCCTAGGCTCATCGGCAATCTTTCGAGAAACAATGAATACTGGTAATGACGGAAAAGAAAAACTTTGTCTTCAGGTATATGAAGATTTGGAGACGGAGAAAGGCAGTCTATCGCCTTCTAGTACCACAAAGCCTAAACCTAGGAAATATGACATTGAAACATTGTTGAATATCGGGAAGCAGCTGGGGAAAACGGATGGCCCAAAACGGCTGAATGTCAGCAGCCTCTATGGCAGCGGTAAGTGGGGTATCATTTTTCAATACCCTTGGAGGGTTGACAAATATGCTGACTCTGGTGGTTTATAGGACGGAGATCACTGGGTTCTGGCTCCTATGTATTGAGAGAAAAATCAATCAATCATACTCGGACATCAACTAACATGTCAATGGACTCGGAGGCAAGCTATCACACATCCCAGTCAACATTTGTCCAATTTCCAACTCGTCAGCCAAAGAATGCACCTGAGGGAAACACAGCTCAGACAAACGAAGGGTTCGCTCGATTTTTAAAGGAGCATGCTTCACCAAAACATCACAGAGTTACAGCTGGTGGCCGCATAGTTCCAATGACCATACGTACTAGTCCCACATCAGAGTCCACACTGGTTGCGAAAGCGGAAGAGCCAGCAAATCGACAAAACATGGATCCCTCTCACTCCATTAAATCCACCAAGGAAGACGAGCCGAAGCCCGACAGTGGGACCCTGAGACGATACCGCACTCGAACGATAGCAGATGGCAATGGTCGATCGGAAACCGGTAGACGGCGGGATTCCGTTATCAGTCAAATTAGTAAGGAAACAAACACGGCAGGGACTGCTCAATATCGGACACCTGTAATAAGTGCATCTGTTACCGCTAACCCCACGACACCCGGTCAGGCAGGCGGCCTGAACTTCATTCCGAACTTAGGGAATCAAGGGATGGATGGGATATCGATATCACAAGGCCAGGCAGATCAAACTGGGTTTCCATTCCCCAATCTTCAACAGTACTACTCTCAATCTGGCATTTCCGTGCCTGCTTCAGACCAAGCTCAGGGAGCCTCCCAGGCTCAGTTTATGAGCCCAGTGTGTAACATTGGGCCATATCCGACACCGCCAGGACTGGGGATGTTAAATCTAGCGCAGTTGTATCAGCTTCAAGGCGCCATTAACCCTTATGTTGGTCCTATGACCCCAGGGGTAAATATAGCACAGACCATAGCTCCAGCCACTGATACTCGCAGTCTGAGCAATATGTTTGAGAACGCTATCCAGGAATTTGAAACAGTCTCCACGCAATTATCGAACTTGGATCGTTACATGGCCGTGCACACTTGGGATATTGATCCAGCCAGCAAGAAAATCCTCGTTATCCAACGAATGGAGCTGGTCACGAAGCTGGACGCAGCCAGGGTTCTCAAAGAGAATCTAGAGACAATACTCCGATCCGGTGCTAGCAATGAGCTAGCAATGACGGCGAAAGCCCATTCGAAATTCCCAAATGCAGGTACCCACGATTTCCTCGCCGCTGCACCATGTACTCCAAATATAAATTCTCAAGGTGGATATTACCAACCTGGGTTATCCAACACTGGCGGAAGTTCATTCAGCATGAGCGACGCGCACGGCTTCATGTCTCCTATTCAAACAAACGAATCTCCATATCTGTCTCCAGAACCATACTGCGATAATGGATACCTGTCAAATCTACCAGTAACTGGAGGCTCGAATAATTGGACGACACCAGGATTGAATCCCATGAGCATCTTTGAGAAACTCGCTGACGATGACGATGACGATGACATGAGAATCATAACCTCACCAACCGGACAGATGGTAGCTGAACCAATCAACACGTGTGTGCCTCCCGAGCTGAGAGCCATTTACCAAAAAATTGAGTTGGCTGCGAAGCGTAACGAACCCTTGGGGCTTCTTTTCCAGGAATTAGCCAAGGTTACAGCACACATCACCCGCATAGGGGCAAACAGAGGCCGCAAGCCCGATTTGGTTGGTTCTAGAGTTGAGGTGCCTCGCGGACGGCCAAGCGCTCGACTCGAGATTGTCGACCCCAAATCAAGACAAGCGGCCGTCACGCAAACCCCTACACCTGCCCGAGGCCCCAGCGCCACTGAGTCTTTGAAGGAGCAGGCGCCTTTCAAGAAATTGGGTAAGCTGCAGCAGAGCCCGCTCTCTTTCACACCCTGCGGGCAGCACTGTCGAAAACACGACTCTAGAAAAGTGGAGACATTGGCAATCGAACAAAAGGTCAACGCTCATGGGTATTTACCACCCTTCGATGGAGGCGGGGACGTGGAAGGGAGCCAGGGCCCTGGCCGAGCCAGCCAGGCGGAACCAAACAAGAACGACAAAGCAGAGGATGCAAAGTCAACCAATACCGAGAATGCATGGGCGGACTTGCTTCGTAGCAGACCAAATCCCAATCCGATGGACGTGCGCAGGTTCTTCAAACTTCTCCGGGATGAGGACTCTGCAGCCCTTGACAAATATCGGAGAGAGAGTGATCGACGGGCACTCGGCTGACCAGGTTGGTCATCATCATATTTGCTCCCCTTCATCGAGCTGTCTTCCTTTTCTTCTTCTTCTTCTTCTTCTTCTTCTTCTTCTTCTTCTTCTTTAATTTATCCCCACTGTCTCCATCAGTTGCTTTGCGTTACAAGTTGATAGCAGTTCATAGTTGATGACATGACGATGTGACGAATCCCTGCCCGACGATGGGCCTTAGCCTCGAAGTTGCATATATCTTATTCCGTCTCTTTTTCTTCTTTGATTATCGGTTTCTCTCTTTATTTCCGCATTGATAACAGACAAAGCCAAGGGGCGGACGTGATCACCGTCCTGCCGGTGACATAAGCCAACAGATAGTGGACTCAAATAAAATATTATCATTCAACCAACCATAACAGCGTATCGTGGACTCCTCCGGAGCCTCCCGTGTTAGACACAAGCATCGTTTCCACCCCTTGTTTAGCCTTTCTTCTATCTAGTTTTATCCCTGATGTTGTTGCATTTTGCTTGCTCTTTTCGAACGTTCGATGTTGGTTCTAATTATGTAAGCATAAACGGAAGAACTAAACGCCGTAACCGAAGTCGTCACGTGGATTCCGAATCGAGAAAGGCCAACCGCATCTAATCATTTTGCCCCCGTTTTTTCTATACAAGAAGAAGAAGAAGAAGATGAAGGCGAGAAGGATGAGAAGGACGAGAAACTGGATGATACACACGCGATAGCCAACAGTTCATCTCACCTAGCGCGCGAAAGAAAGAAAAAAGAGGCGTCAAGGGGGCCATGCAGGGAAACGATGGCTGCGGGAACAAGGCGGCTACAGGGCCTCTCTTGCGTCACATCGACAAGTTACTATGTCAAGGTAGACTCCATAACTATTTGTTCTCAGGCCTCCCGCACCAGATGTCACGCTTCTTTCCCGCCTCTCCACATGCAGCGGAGATTGACTTGAATATCGGCTCTCTCGCCAGCGCCTTTTCTTTTTTACGTTCCCACCAAGCACGTATTTTTCCTTTCGCTTGCCTGTTCGCCGCAGGCTTGAGGACCTTTCGCGTTTCTTAGCTTTTCCCTTCTTACGATGATTAAGAGGGGCTTTTCTTACTCTATCTGCATCCTGTTACTTTTTTTAAACATAAAAAGGCTATTTATATTGCATGAAGTCCAGGCGTTTTTCTGTCCTTGATATATCCGTGTATACTTACCCTTTTAGGCCATAGCTGCAACGGCCTCTGGCAGCGGAGGAGATGAGACGGCTTTGATACTTGAGAGTTCGCTGCCGCATACTGCGTACCCTCTCCGTCACACTTCTCTGCATACGATTGAGAACGGAGAGACTTTCTAGATGCATCGGTAAGGCGAGCATATATATATATATATTTGTATATATATTGTGCATTTGGAAGAAAGATACGATGGACCAGATATCAGGCCAAAGACGGCCGGTCCGCTGGCGGTTCTGGGCAAAGGAAGACTCAGATATATCCAACGACGTTCAGACAGACGAAGAAACAACACGAGCAAGATCAGTTACAACATCACTTCGCCGCGTCTCCTCGACGTATACACAGCAAGCACCAAGCTCTTCTATGGAGTATGATGCTGAAGGCGCAATTGATCCGGACGCTGACATAGAACGGCTGGGCAGACAGCGGCCACCGGTATTCAAAAACTTCGCGTCAGAGGCTGCCTTTTGTTTCTCCATCGTAATGTCCCAGGTGCTGACGGTACGATCATTGTCCTATTCCCCTCTTATTTACCATCATGAACTATGAACTGACGAGGGTACAAAGGAATATTTCATTTCTGGGTTTAACGTCATAATACCGAGGCTGGTAGACGAATTCAATATTCCTGATGCTTCTGCCGTGTGGCCGGCTAGTGCATTCCCGCTAGTAGTATCCTCCACTCTCCTTATCTCTGGCCGTCTGGCAGACATGGTTGGAGGCTACTACATGTATGTGGGCGGCATGGGATGGCTGTGCATCTGGTCGGTCATCGCCAGCCTCTCGAAAAACCGCATCATGCTCATTCTATGTCGAGCATTGCAAGGGCTCGGTCCCGCTGCCTACCTACCCTCCGGCATGATGCTGTTGTCAACGGTGTACCGTCCCGGCCCTCGCAAGAACCTGGTATTTAGTCTCTACGGAACCTGTGCTGTTTTTGGGTTCTTTATCGGGATTTTCTGCTCAGGGCTGGCTGCCCAGTACCTCGCCTGGCAGTGGTATTTTCGTATTGGAGCCATCCTTGCGGCTATTACTACCGCCAGTTCCTTCTTCTTTATCCCGTCGGATGCTGCCGAGAGGCGCAAACAAGGCGTCCAGATGGATTATCTGGGTTCAGTACTTATCGTTGTTGGTCTGACGCTCTCTGTCTTTGCGATTACGGATAGCGCACACGCCTCTCAGGGATGGAGGACACCGTACGTTTACGTCTGTTTCATCCTTGGATGTGTGTTTTTGGCTGGAGCGGTCTATGTGGAAGGTTGGGTCGCCGAGTGTCCCTTGCTGCCGTTCGACTTGTTCGACGCACCCTATATGAAGGCCATGGTGGTCGCACTGCTATTCTTTTATGGATGTCTGGGGGTATTCTTGCTCTATGGGACTCTATAGTATGTTCTCGCCTCATTGAAGCGTTCGTCATTCGGCGCCCCTTGCTAACATTTTTCCTCCTAGCATGGTACACATCATGGGCGCCACATCTCTTCAGGTTGTCGCTTGGTGTACTCCGATGGTGGTAGGCGGCTTTGCTTTCCCCATAATGGTCGGATTCTGTCTCCACTTGGTCTCTGGCACTGTCCTCCTTATCATATCCGGCATCGGTTGGATAATGGCCGGTCTCCTTTTCGCAATAATGCCCGACGGTGCGAGTTACTGGGCATACGCCTTCCCAGCAATGATCGGTGCCACTCTTGGCATCGATGTCACATTCAACATCACCAACATCTTCATAACGACAAGCCAGCCGAAACATAGGCAAGGATTAGCCGGTGCCCTGATAAACTCCGTCCTCTTCCTGAGTATTGCAGTGCTTCTTGGGTTCGCGGACGTTGCTCAGGTAGCAACTTTGGACCAGGGAAGAAAGCAGAGTTACCGCGTTGTCTTTTGGTTCAATACTGCGTGTGCCAGTGTTGCGCTCCTGATTATTGTACTCTTTGTCAGAGTCAACCCGGCAGCAAGTGATTTGACCGTCGATGAAAAGAAAAGGCAGCACGAATTAAGCCAGAGGCAACCAGAACCTCAGGAAGCATCCCATCAAGATCATAAAATAAACCATTCTAAAGAACCTCAGTCTTGCAGTTCAGCCCCGTCATAAAACCGAACAGGAGTATTCGGTTGTCTCTATTTACCAGAAGAAAAAAGCATATCTGATTAAAAGATGCTTTCTAAAGAGCAAAGGAAACTCTGCACGTCACCCTTCAGGCCAGCCTACAAAGGTAGATGCGACTAGTATTCCCAGATCAGAAATACTTACCTGGGACCCCCTCTTCGCCGCAGCTGGGAACATGTTTAATATGCCAACTAGCTGCGATTCCTTAATAAAGCCAGCCTTACCATGCACAAAAATGAGATTGATCCGAAAACGGGAATGGTGTTGGTTATATACTGGAGGGGAAATAGAAAATGAGCATGACTAGTATCCTGAAATATAGCTACCATTTATGTAGTAATATAAAAATACTCGCTTTAAGTGCAAGTCAAACTTGGTCTTGTAAATGTGGTAGTTCACACGCCAAGCAGTAACCGTCGAACCCTTTCAGGGATACCCTGGAGAAGGATTGCGTGAAGGATTCCTAGTCCGCTGGCTGCCTAGTTACTAGACTGAATCCGGATACCAGGAACTTGTATAAATAAACAGTCAGATATCTAGTTGAAGCAATAATTTTCTGCACCTCTTTATCTACAAACCAATTAATCCTTTAAAAGTTGTAGTTTCGAGATCGAATAGGTAAGAAGTCCAACCAATGTCAAATCAACAACAACCACTAATTCTCCTAGATATACAATCAGTTAATTGATACTAGACACCATGGCTATCTCCAACTCATACCCAATCCTAATTATTGCCAATCTCTTCGCAGCAATGTGTATTGGGTTCGGCATCAATGCGATCGTGCGTCCTGAACACGGCGTGTCCTTCTTTGAACTTGCTCCACCAACTGCTGGCCCGGAGAAGATCCTATTTAACAGTTTAATGGCCATCTATGGAGTGAGAGACGTGTTCATGGGCTTAGCTATCTTTGCTGCTGCATTCACTGGAGAACGAAAGGCGCTGGGATGGATCTTGCTCGGTGTGGGTGCCGTGGCCTTTGCGGATGGCGTCGTTTGCGCAGTTAATGGTGCGGGAGAGTGGAATCATTGGGGTTATGCTCCCGTAGTCATGGTTGTGGGACTGATGGCACTGGGTGTCTTGGATGGTGGTAAAGCAAAGACGGTTTAGGATGGGCTATATGTTGAGAATTTTGGGAAAAGGGTTGTATATTCATTTGGATTGATGAAAGTTTCTATGATATCTAGATGAAACGGGTGGTTATATTTCAAATAACAATGACGATTTACATCCGCCCTACCACCTGCATACACAACATGCCTATGCTATATATATATAATACGATGACTTGAGCAGGCGTAGACAATCCGAGAAGGGTAAAATCAGGCAGTGACGAAAGGGAGAGGGGAAAAAATGATACACTTGATGCAATATGAAGACGCCACCGCGTCTGCACCCGTCGATGCCAGAGGCAATCGCATACCATGGAACATGGACACTAGGGCAACCGGGCGAAAAAGGAAATAAGAATGAAAGAGCCAACTAGCGTTACTTTGTTTTTAGACATGCATCTCATCAGTGACAAATAGTAGCTGTGGTAACGCTGAGCCAGACTCGAGGATTATCAGACAGGGACTATATTGGTGTCAAAATGAAAAAAAGGAGAAGAAGCCCATATGAATCTGGTGGCTTAAAGCTTGGCCGTATACTGGCTGTGGTTGGGTAATGACATGACGTGGTAAAAGAGAGACAGAGCTAGAGTGGCTGCATTAGCTCTTTTGGGTATTGCTATCATCAATTAGATGGTTTTCATGATAGTCGCCTTCATGGTGAAGTGTGACACTATTGAAATCTTCGAATGGATCAGCGATTTCTCCAGAAGGTGTTGCTAGTCCTGAGTCCATCGGGACGCCTGTCAAGTTACTTGAGCCGCCGATGTCAACACTGGCGCTCTCCTTGACGTTCCTAAAGTTGACTGTATCGATTGCTCTTCCTTGATGGGGTATCATTGGAGGTTTCATGTGTCTGATCAAAGCCCATTGGGTAGGTCTGAAGAAAGGATGAGTCTTGACGTCAGAAGCGCCAGCGCGGGCGCCGAGGCGACGGCATTCATCCTTGATGAGAAGCTTGCGTATAAGCCCTTTACAGAGGCTGTGGTACGTGATTAGAATACCAAAATCGAGTGACGAGAGGGAAAAAGGAATACGTTATAACTTACTTAGAAAGCTGCTGTGCATTAGCATGTTCGGGAAACGGAACCTCGTCTCTTAGGATGTTTGCAAATGTTGCATTTCTGTTTTTGCCTTTGAATGGCGTCGTGCCGTAAAGCATCTCGTAAATGAGGATGCCTAATGTCCACCAATCTACTGCACTTGTGTGTCCGTTTCCTTTGATGACTTCTGGTGCAATGTATTCTTCGGTCCCGACAAAAGAATTAGTCCTGAAATCAGCAATACAAGATTTCGTATCAATTGTAGGCAACGAGTTGGCGGAGGTTCCGTTGCGGCCAATGATCATAGTTGGCGCACCCCCAGGGCCAGATTGTTTCGACAGGTCAAAATCTGACAACATGATATGTCCGGACTGGTGGAGGAGGATGTCTGTTATATGTTAATAAGCGGTTTGAGTGAGGTAGGGACAAGTTCTCATACTCTCTGGTTTGAGATCACGGTAGATAAAACCCATCAGATGAAGGTACTCAAGTGCAGCCGTTACTTCAGCAGCGTAGAACCGTGCATCATCTTCGGAAATGCATTTTCCTGGTCTTGTTTGGAGGGCTGCAAGCCTGTTAGCCTCGTCCTGGCGATTAAATAGAACAGATAAACGCACCTCTGAAAAATTCACCACCACTGCAGTATTCCATGCACAGATACAGATGGTCCTCTGACTGGAACGAATGGTACAGGGTAACTATGAACGGGTGATTACTCGTAGCAAGAATCTCCTGTTCAGCGAGAGCACGTTTAATCTTGTTCCTCTTGATCATCTCTTTCTTACTCAAGACTGCATGTAATGTTAGCAAAGGATAAAAGGCCTAGAGGGTAGGTGTTACGTTACCTTTCATGGCATACAGCCTCTGGGACTTCTTCTCCCTAACCAAATATACCTTGCCCACATCTCCCTTTCCGATCAGCTTAATCTTATCAAAGCTGCCAGGACCAACCTCCACGTTGCGCACTTTGATAGAATTTGAGCTATACGTTCGTCTGTAGCCAGCAGAACTCCGTATTTGACCGGGAAGTGGAATAGGCCCAAGTGTATCAGCATCGGGAACTGTGAGGTTCTGAGATGAAGGCTGTTCGACGAAGCCTAACTTTGCAGTACTGCCCGCTTGTTCGACCAAGGGCTCCTTCCCAAGCTCGGCCGTTCTAGGCCGTTCATCTGCCTTCCCACTTGCAAATAAGCCCTGCGCATTTGGTGCAGATGCAACCCTCCTTAACTTTCTTGCTAGTTCCTCTTTGCTGGCAGCAGTCGGTTGGTCTACTCCAGGAGCTCCGTCAATATGTATACCTGGAGTGTCTGGTGGGGTGGATGGCACGCTATCGTCATTTCGATGCCTCAAGGCAGGATATCCTTGGTGCGCAAAATAAGGGTTCGCATGGGCAGTTGGCGACACACCATCGTCATCGAGAGGATTTCCTTCACTGGCAACGGTAGTAGATCGATTCCGGGTGATATGTGGAAGGAATCTGGATTGAAATTTGGACTCTGGCTTTGGAACAGCAAGGTTGGAATTTTTATTCTGGGGGTTCTGTCCTGCTCCTCCTTGGCTGGTAGAGCTAGTATTGGAGGACGAGCTGTTTATTCGAAAGAAGTTCCGTAATTTTGTAGGGAAGTGAGAGGAGTCGTTTGAGTGTTTCTCTTGCTTTTCATGCTTCTTTCCTGTTAACGATATGCCGGGGAAATTCCGTTTCTCCGAGTTCGCATTTGTTGGAGTCGAGGAGTTGAATAACTGCGTCATACCGACAGCTCTGCACTGACAAAGCAGTGAATATAGAGGACAGTTAACGATTGAGGCTGGCAGGAGCGCTTATAAATGCTTGTTTTTCACTCCAAAAGCAATGGGCCCTCGAAGTGAGCGTTGGATGATGTAAAGCTGGGAGAGTAAGATGGTAGCAGAGTAGACAATTGGCCAGTATGAAGCGGTTGCTCCCTCTTTTCTTTTTCCGTCCTGTGGAAGTACGGAGAGGATGGGTGACACTCGGAGTCGAACTAGGGTAATGGGCGAAGGGAGGCCGGCTTAGAGAGAGGTGACGGGGCAGCGGCTCGGCACCATTGGCATTGACACTGGTGAAACAAGCGGGCCACAGGCTTGCAGTTGCGACGAGGGAGAGCAGGGCATCTGTCTGCAGCAAACGAGAGGGTGCCAACCAAGGGGCAGGGGGGAGAGAGGGAATGCTGACGATGCTGACGAAAGATTCGATGTAGGAAAAAGTCGAGAAGGCGAAGAAGCAACTTGAATCTGAGGTTAAAGTTGACCCGCGCTTGGGGATCCAGTGACGCTTGCTTACTCAACTATTTCACACTCTATCAAGACGTCGATATAAGAACAGAGAGAGGAGAGTAGCGGAGAGGAGGGCGACAGAGTGACAGAGCTAGTAGGAACTATGGAAGCTACCGGAGAGACGAGATAGTACGGTTGATGCTCTCGTCGATATTGTTCTTCATACTTGTATACTCCGACTGTCCATATTGATATCTAGCTGATATACAACTGAAGAACAGAATGATGAGAATGAATAAGAACAGCCGTATTATCGTCAAGATGAAAAATCCCACCAGGAACAGTGATGATAATATTATTGTTATATAGACGATTGTAAGTGACCGTATGTAAGTAACGTTAGCTGCTGTCGCCCAACTCGACTTTCTCCAGTGAACAAATCTCGACCCGCCATCTTATAGCCAACAAGATGGACTCCTACGATACATCTGAGGCCGGGTTCTCTAACCCCCTCATTCGCGATAATCCGTTGCTCTCTCCGTTAGAGCAAGAGGTTCTGGATGAATACTCGAAGCTGCTCGAGAACATGAACAAAGTAGGCTGCCTGGGAAGATATGCTCCTTTTTCGGAAGCTGACTATCGTGTATAGCTCTCTACGTCCCTCAACGATCTCGCCGTCCAGCCGTCCTCTGATACTCTCGATGCTCTGCGGGTGTTGGAGCGGAAAACAGCTACCGTTTATACCTTGCTCAAGGCGAGCGTGTACAGCATCGTTCTTCAACAGCAAATCTACAATGGTGGGGATGAGGGCCATATTGGAGACAACTAGTCTATTTTACCGCTTATCACGATGATGCCGCTTACCTAGGTCAGCCTAAGCTTAGACGAGTCTCTACTTCACTTCTACGAGGACGCATAAAAAGCATTGGCGCATAAGTACAAGGACATGGCAAGTGGATTGACGGAGTTTGGAGTTTGGAACCTAGTTTACTCGTCGTGGAGTTAATGGTTAGAGTATAGGGAATAAAACATAATACTCTAAGATTATATAAATACACTCAAACCTATCCTATAGTAATACATCAGGCATATCGAATGACTGGAGTTCGGCACTATGGGCAAAACATGGGTCTTTCAGACTCTTCCGGCGTAGTACACCTTTCTCACATCGACGAGCTTCTTCCCTAGAGCTCGAGCAACGTCATCGGGGTTTTTCTGGCTCATCAATGCCTTGTAGGCTGCCTTTGCCGAGTTCATCGGGTTTCTAGAGCGAGAAACACGGGCTGCCAGATCCTTGATTCCGGCAAGTTGGCACATTTCCCAGATACGTTGCGAGCAGCGAAGACCAAATCCTTGTGTCAGAAAAAAAAGTTAGTAAATGCTAGGGAGAGGTAGTGGTTGGTTTAGAAAATCATACCTGGTGGTCGATTCATCAGTACCAACTCTGTTCCTGCGACCTTTGCTTTCACATCTCCATATATTGTTCGCCTCTCATATCTTGGAACAGGCTGCATATTGCGAATGGCTCGATATTCAGCCTGGGCTCGGGCAGCATCCATTTCCTCTGACTTGCCTTCACCAATTCCAAGAAGTCCATTTTTATTACCTGCGATAGCAAGAACGTAGGTTTTTTGGATCTTTCCAAGACGAGTTTGATTGACAACGCTGTGACAAACAAGGACCTTGGTTTGTATCCGATCAATGTGGCTTGCATCATAGCCAGTCAGTGCCATCAGCCTTTTCACCGAGTCCGAGACTTCAGGCGCAGGCTTCTCAAGCTGAAATGGCGGAGGAGTTACATGACGACCTATGTTGGTGAAGTTTTCGCCTGATTCGAAAAGGTCTGGTACGAGTGAACTGTGGGGATTGAGCTCAGCCTCTGCCTTGCCGGCTGTCAGTCGTGTGTTGTCGAAAAATTTTATCAAATCCACTACTGAAGGTTCTTCTGGCATGTCCTTTACGAACTTGGCAAGGTCTTCGGCCAATTCATCGTCGGTTTTCAAGCGGGAGTTGGGATCACTGTTTGTGATAGGAGCGCGAATGTGGTGGTCAACAACGGGTTCAATGGTAGAAAAATCATCCACATATTTCAGTGCCCATGGGTCATCTCTCAATGTGAATTGTTTTTCCACATCCTCATCAGGAATGGCTTTCTCTCCGGCCTCAATGGCCTTGATTTGTTCTGGCGAATATTCTTTCTTCATATGCGCCTTTTCTTCTTCAGAATAAGCCTTTGATTTTGCGACATTTTGCTTTAACCATCCTTCAACATCCGAAGCCTTGACATTTTGATGCTTAGGTTTCCGGGGAGCACACGGTATTGGGGTGGAGTGGAATTGCCGGCGTGGATAGAGGACGAGGTTAGGTTTCGAAAAGGTACAGAAAAGGCATCTCGCCGGTCGTGTGACGCTCATTGTAGCGAATTGGGCTCGTAAAAGCAGCTACCGCATCGAGTCCGTCGGTCAGTTCGATGCAAGGTGTGCACCGGGGGAATTGGAGGAGGTTTGTCGCTCAAAGTGCATCAAATCTTCTAGTCAATTGAAAGATTGAAAGAATTTCTTCTTGAAGCTCGAAATAAGATTAAAGTTCTTACCTAATCATAGGAATATTATTTTACCGGATTAGTAATTGGAAGCCTTGACATTATATAAGTTCGTAATTAACATCAAATTCTAAGTCCATCATATTCACATCCCATTTATGCCAGCCATTAAATAACTATAATGTAGATTACATTACGTGGATTAGATGGCCTTGACCCTTCTGTGCCGCCGTGATGCAGCCTAATTGGGATGATTGCGGCATATTACTCTGTGCCGTAAGGCAACAGAATTATCATTGTGGTATATATTCTTGCCTTCTTTTGATGAAGTGAAAGGAAATTATTCATTCCTTAGCTCTCTACCTTCTATACTCAAGGCTATCCATCGTCTTTCATTTAAGTTATTACGAACCAAAGACAAAGAATAGTCTAACACAACATGGAACAACCTCAAACATATGGAATTTCCGCAAATATCTACGGACGCGGAGATCGCTCACTTGGCGACAGGCCGTGTCATGTTGGCCTAGCTGTGTATGAACTTGGCTCCTCCACCTGTGAAATGCATCACATCCGCTGTCCTCAAGACGACCAGTACATCTATGACCCTCGAATTCAACCGCTAGAGGATTCTGTCTTACGTGGGCGATGTGAGCTAGCCCGACTGTCAACCTCCAAAAAAGAGAGAGTTACTAAAATACTCGAGAAATTTGGCCAAAATGCCGCCAATATCCCTGAAGTTGGCGTGGGAAATTGTCAAGATTGGCTTGCTGGAGCGGTGAAGGAACTAGAACAGAACGGCATTCTCCAAGACAGGGAAGGGGTGTACTAGCAAAATATGATCAATTTGACCTCTGATCAAATGAACCAACGTTGCAAAGACGATGGGAAGCGGTGGATTGATGGGCCTGGGCAAATTCCATTTAATGGTGTACCTGATGCCAGGTTTTCAGATCGTGAGGAGAGAAGAATTGGGAGACTGGCTGAGGATTCAGCCATACAGGGGAAATTGGAATCTCTCTTCAACTCAAAAGCTGGGTCTAGTTCTTTGATGCCTGAAGACAGTGATCCCCAGCGTCTCTACATCTCCAGCCCCTTTTTCAGCCAGACCAAGCCCTAACAATGATCTCGGTAAATAAATGTCTAACTATAGGTCAAATCTGTTGAAATATATCTATTATCTGAAGGCTGTATATTTTCTTTCCCATGCAAGATTTGATTATGGGTAAAGGAATTTGTCTTGAAATTATGTGGATCCAAAGAGTGAATGGAATTTGTAAACTTTAAGAGAAGATCATAATAATTAATTCCACATAATTGCAGCAATGCGCCTCATGATTGCTGTTTCAATGTAATAGGGGGGTATATATTTCTCTACCACCAAATCCCAAGATTCCTTAATAGGGATTGTAACCATGACGCGGTAGTATTCCCAGTATTCAGGCCGGTATCCAGAGAGGCCCCAATCGATAAAAACGACACTGCAGTCTGGCTTGACAATGATGTTATCAGGGCGCAGGTCACCGTGAGTAAAGACGATCTGATGGCCTTTCAAGCCCCTAACTGTCTGGTGATTAATGTATTCTGAAACATGACGAGGCGATTCAGGGTCAATCGGGCGTGGATTGGGTGGAAATCTATTCCGCATAGCTTGGATAATTCCTTCATTGAAAGCAGATTCAGATTCGAAGGGGCCATATTCAATTGGCTTATCTCCCCACCATGCATCGAAAATTGGATCTCTGCACGAAGTCTGGCCCAGTCCTCCAATGTATGTGCCTTTGATATCCCGAATCTGCCTCACAGAGTCTTTCAGGCTTGAAACAGTCTTTTCGCGCTCCTCCTCATTCGCATGCTCCCAAAAGGAACTTAACAACTTCCCTTCTTCAAAAGACATGATAATGTAGCAGACGTCGTCCAGAATATATGCACTAATAAGGCGTGGTACAGCCACTGTTGTAGATGTAGCGACTAAGTGCATCGCTTCTGCTTCTGCTAGTCGGACGCCGTGACCGTATTTGACGAGCATTCCAGAGTCGATATGAACAACTCTAGCACCTCCTTTTCCGGGGCAGAGATCTGGCCAGTCGTCCAAGTCCTTTGGGTCTAACATAGTGGATGGAAAACCAACAATCTTTGAGTAGCTGAAGTGTGTTTGCACTCCTTTAGGTTTTGGGCTATCGGGGTCCGCTTTTTGTGCTTCTGGCTGTGTTAAATTGTTGTCCCGGATCGTTCCTCGATTGGAATGTGTTAGAAAATGGTCATCAACAAGCTTCTGAGTTGAGAGACAGTCATTCTCAGATAATGGTCTGCCGCTGCCGCCATATTGAACAGGTATTCCATCCCCCAGGTACTTGGCTAGCTCGCTTTTTTTTTGAAGTATAGATATTTTCTGTAGAACATCATCAGGCAACTTCAATTTATAGAACTCCTCTAGGAATGGGTTGATGATATAAAACCGTGAGAGGATCCCAGGATAGTATGAAGAGATATGCTGTTGAATGGACTGTAGAGCAGCTCTCACATTGAAGATAAAACTGCCGAATTTTTCTAACCGGAGTGGCGGTAAGTTGGATGGACGGCAGTCGACAACGAACGAAGCCTTCAAGTCACCAGATATAGAAGTAGATTGAAGAAGAACGACCATTAGAGCCTCTAGAAGTCCTATGACTATATTTGATATGCTCCCTGAGTACCTTAAAGGCTCGAACAGGAGCCTGTATTTCTTCAGAGCTTCTTCGTCGAGCTTAATCCACATGACGTGATGGCCTTTACAAAGAGTAATGTGCACAAAACTGGAGAGCTCTGGCATTTTCTTGAAAGGAAAGGGGTATGGTTTGACTGTTTTTCGCCAGGACAGAGTGTCCTTGATGGACATGCATGTCCTCTCTATAATCAGGGCATGTAGGGCAGAAGCCTTGATAAAGAACTGTTCAGAGTCAGTGAGGACGAATATCCATAGGTATCTTTAGGGGTCTTACCTTTGTAAGTATTGTCTCAATGAGTTTCGGGTCTCCTTTGACCAGGTCAACCCCCCACATTTCATGATAACCGATTTTTGTATATATAGCTGGGAGAGCTTGTTGGAGTTGGCTAAGGCGAGTTGCTAGGGGTATATCCATGACAAGGCACCCGACGAGAAGGTCTATATCAAATTATAGTCGTGATGAAATATCTGAGATGATTTGGCGGTTTTCTTTGGATCGTGAATAGATGATAGACAATTAGAGAATAAAAGTTGTAGATGAGACGGGAGGATTTCATAGATCGCGCATTAAATATAGTAGCAAAAGATAGGATAATGACTAATAACTTGATGGCACAGATATCTGGTGGTGCCTTTTGCGGTTTAGCAAAGGGGCGTAAACACCTTGATTCTATGGTTATCAATGCCTGGTGACGACTTAGATGCAACTACCAAGTACTTAGTCCAGGCAGCCAGGCGTTTTTTTACCTCCAAAATGTTCATCTGAGCCCCATAAGCTTATTTTCTTTTTACCCCGTAGGGGCTAGCGCCAAACTGCGTATAGTTAACGGATATCCAATCACTAAGCGCTCAGGAACATGGCTGGCGTGCCTTGCCATTGAGTTTCAGGCATCAAGTTAACAGGGGCAATAGCTATACCAGCACACACGTCCATGAACATGGATTAATTGAGGCATGAAAATATCTCGATGCGATAGATACGTTACTTCCTTGGGGCTCATCACGAATCATTTACACTGCCCCAGGAAAATGCCCTTTCACATAGTTAGCTACCTGGCGGCGCAGAGCAGCGCAGCGCCCTCTATGGAAATGCCTTGTTCTCAAAACATATCTTAACGAAAGAGAAGAGGCTGCTATTATGCTTCGTAAGGGCGTGTACCAGGCCATATAAACATCTATTCATTCCTGTTTGAAGCATCTATGTTTATAACTTACATCAAACAGCCAATATTTCAAGCTTAACTTATTGATCTCCTTATATATAAACGTCAATTCAAGATACATCTATCTACCTTGCTATTTCCTCATCCTCCAAACTTCAGTCCCGAGCATAAAAGAAACCCCACTTGCAGCCTGTGCCTTTATCTACCCAATCAATCCCTGTCCCGTCTCAATCCCCAGACTAAAAGCCAAATATGTCTGGAAACTTTCGAGAGATACGGCCCTCCTCCCGCGCAAACTCCGTTACTGGTCCCAGGAGTGGAAGAGCCGATAGAAGTACCAGCAGAGGGAGCATGAAAGACCATGCACTATCTGCCCACCTCTGGGGAAGGGGAGACCAGGAACAAGATGATCCCCGGGCACATTGGGCAATAATGGCCTATGAAAGAGGGGGTACATCGGGGGATATATTCCATGTTCGTAAATGGGACAATGATTATAAGTATGAGAGGTCAACCCGCCCACTAGAAACGACATCTTCCTTTGGCCGAAGCGAGGTAGTGTATCTTTCACGCTCGGGCAGAGACCATGCAGCCGTCGTGCTTGACAACTATGGGAATAACTGGCGGAACTTACCTGATGGAGTGGATCGTCGCTGCCAGGAGTGGACAGTTGGCTCACTTGCAGCATTGGAAGCCAAGGAGATTGTCCCTCGAGGCACAGCTACCTACTGGGGGACCAATGTCGGGAAGTCCTCTCCCTTCGTGGGCAGTCGTCTTGAGGCCGATGGGCGATCTTGGATCCCAAAAAAAGGTGCAGGAGAGCGCTATGAAGGGCCGGTGGATGCTAGGTTCGGTGACAGATCCAAACGCCCCCCAGTGGGTAAACTAAATACCGCCAAGTTTTCACGTCTGCTTGGATAAGCTGAGTGTTGTGTTGTTAGGTATCTTGCAATTGCTGCTTTTTCATTTGTCTTCTCAATGTTTTCCTAATTTCTGTCTTCATTTCTTCATTCTCTCAAACTTGGTAATAGAACCACTTCTGTCATTTAGCTAGTTGATAGTAAGTTATTAGTAACCCTTTCAGTTCATGATAGTAGTTACCTTTAAATCTGATAATGTCTAGTAATCGGGGGTAGGTTGATATCTATCACCTATCAAGCCGATCTACTCATTGAAATGGCCAGGCCATTTCCCATGCCTCGGCTGTCTTTTTGTCATTTCCAGCAAAATGCTCAATGAACTGCTGTTTAACAAGAGCGCATTTCTTCTTGAGTGGCTCATACTCTTCGTGGCTTACCCAACCGTCCCATCCGCGAATTGCTCCACCTAGTGACTCTAGTACATCATCCATTAGTGCCATTCCTTGCGCCCACTTCTCCTCTAATTCTTGATGGTGCTGAATCGCTTCTGGGGAGTACTCCAACGGGCATGGGGCTTTGATGCTAAGTTGGTTCCATCGGCTGGCGAGCTTTATCAGGAGACCTTGAACAGCAGGCTCTCCATCGTTTAATAGCATTCCAACGAGGGAGATAATTTCCCCCTGTAGAGTTTCTTGGTATCTTAGGGCTTGGTAGACGGGTACGTTCATAGAAGCAGAGAAAAGATCGTAGTATTTGTAGAGTGTCTGTGCAACAAGTAGTTCCTTCGCACGTTTCTTCGCATCACCGTTGAGCTCTTCAAAGTTCTCTGGTAGCGACGGCACCGTAAGACCTTCAAGCCGTGGGCCATTATAGTCCAGAAATGCAGGGTGCGTAGCCTGATCAAATAGAGGCGCGATGTGGGAATTCTGCCAGTCAATTAATCCAACAATATCCGTAGGCTTTTCAGGATTTACGAAGATATTGTCCAGATGTAAGTCTTTATGCCATAAGACTGGTAACTGGTAGGCTTCTGGCGGGAGGATGTAATCTGCTATTTTTAGAAAGTCGCGGCACACAGAAAGCTTGAGCGCACGATTCGGTTGATAGCCATTAGGGCCAACAATCCCTTCTGGTTGAAGAGGCATGCTTTGAATAGCCTTCATCTCTCGGTGACAGGTTGCCACTATATATTCTTGTGTAGTGCTCCCTATAGTACAAAGGCTGGTTATCAGATGGGATTATGAAAGGATTAAAGGAAAGAAAGGTCTTACACGGTCCTCGGTCTATGGAAAGCTCCCCTTTGCCATCATCAAAGAAGCGTCGATCTGTAGTGGGTCCAAGAACCCAGCGGCCACAATCTTTTGACTTAAAAGCTGGAAGATGCTTGATCTCGCTTGGTATATCTCTCGGATAATACAACGAACCAAACCCCCCAAGGGGGCTGTTCCGTATTTTAACATCAAAGCTAACAATGACTTGAACAATATCTCTCTTCTCATCATTTTTCAAACGTGGCCAGACTTGAGCAAGAGAGCAGCCTGATGCTTTGTCCATGATGATATACTCTGCGCCTACGGGGTTCAACGCGTGTGAGCTCCAGGAAAGTACTTTGGGGACTGGGATACCAAGCTTAGTTCTAGCCTGGAAAATAATAAACATAAGAGCCTCAGTGAAGCGATATGGTGCCTTGAACGTACAAAGTCCATTGTAGCCACCTCGCTGGCAGTGGTATAGTGTGGAGCACCGGCGTTCGGATTAGGAACCCTTGCGATGACTTGAGAGCCATTCGCCATAGTAATGAGGAGGCTCTTGTTAAAATTACCTTCAGGTAGCTTCTCAACTTTGATGCATGAAGGTTCCTCTTGTCCTACTGACTTTGCAGCGGCCGCTGTTAATGCGTTGATGTTGAATTGGACATAGCGAGCCTTGAGCTGCTGAGTCTCATTAAACAGCCAGCGCCCAGCAGTGTAACGGTAATAATCTGTAAATATTTAGCATTTTGTTTGGGCAGATTTAAATCATGAAAGTCATACCACATTCTACAGTGGAAGAGGCTCGTTTTATCGACAAAGGTACGACTTGGGGCCTTAAGCCGGGGCACCTGAGGGGGGAAAACATTGGTATGGGTGGGTAACTATATTATCATCATCAGGAAGATAAATCCGGTCAGTGGCAGAGGACATCCATCTTTTCTTTAGCTAGGAATTTGTACCCCCAAGATATTCTCTATAATGAATTTATGTCAAATGTTGTACTTAGTCAGCAACGTAGTTAGATCACGTGCACTGCCCCTGTTATATCCGGCAGAGACTTATACCCTATACCTAAGCTCTTTAAGCTTACTAATATATATATATATTAACTAATATATCATTTGCATCCGCGGTTCTTCGTACTTAACAATAATAACTAATTTACCACTTTGGACCGTCAACAACAGAATCACGCTCCAGCTCCAACCTCCCAGAGTCCGAAACTGAAATGCCCCATATTGGTGTATTGTATTCCCACGATCCGGCCCTCAATCTTGGGGTCGGTCTAGCCCAGTAGTCTGACTCTGGCTGAGGGTTAGGAACCTCCTCAGCTAGCCCTAAACCTCTTTGCGCACCAGCTTTCTCTAGTAGCATGAGAGATTCTGTCCTATTCAGCTCCCTTTCTTCATCGAATTCATCTTTGGGCTTCTGCAGCTCAGCAAAGTCAAGTGGTGTCTGTCCTGCTTCGTTGATAATGGACGGATCAGCACCTGACTCAAGTAGCAACCAAACGACCTCAGAGCTTTCTTGCGGCTTGGGGGTCAGGCCCGCCCATCCTCGATACGAACTACCAACGCCTTGTATGTATCCGCGGAAATTGAGGGGACTCTTTGCCACGGCAAGGTGCATAGCCGTCCACCCATTAACGTCTCTCAAGTTAAGGATTGCCTGAATATCGGAACTTGTGAACTCGCGCTGTTTTAGCGCATTGATGAGTTGACTAAGTTGCAAAAAATGCCCTACATACGCCGCGTAGTGCAGAGCTGTCCACCCCCGGGTATCTTGACTGGTGATATCGATGCCCGTAGCTAAAAGTGATTGTAAATCAAAGTCCAGATCACCCGCGCATGCTATGTGTAAAGGTGTTAGAAGAGACTTATTTACTAATAACGGATCAGCGCCCTTCTCCACAAGATACTGAAAAATATCAGTACAAAATGGCTTATACTCAAAGCAACGACGAGCGACATCATGGAGAAGCGTGTTGCCAAAACTATCTTGGCTTTCAACATTGGCACCAGCTTCCACTATTGCTTTGATGGTACTGTGTCGACCACCCTGCGCACAAAATATGGACAGAGATGATCCTCTGTGTCTAGAGTATGCCGAGACATCTACCCCTTTGTCTAGAAGAAGGCGTACCATCGCCTCGCACTCGCATTCACATTGTAGATAGAAATCGCAGTCATGCCAGGCGGCAGTTTCCAGGACACCATAATTTTTTCGTGAACGAATATTTATATCAGCTCCTTCATCTAGTAGCAACATGACAAGGTCCAAGTGACAATTTTCAACTGCCACGATTAACGGCGGAGTCAGAAATTCCTCCTCCCCTGCTGAGACAACCTCTGCCTCTGAGGTATCTACCTCCTCTGCCAAGATATCTATATCTTCCCCCGAGATATCTGCCCCTTTTCTCAGGAGAATGCGGACGATTCGCATAGCACCTTTGGAAATCGCATAATTAAGCGGATTACTACCCCGGTGCTTCTGATTAGGGTCTGCTCCACGACTAAGTAAGAGCTCAACAAGATCCTCACACCCCTCCATAATTGCGATATATAGGGGAGGTAACTTCGGAAAAATCCCCCGTTCAACAGGGTTAATTTCCACGCCCGCTTCAAGAAGGTATTGGGCCATGTCCACATCATGGTTCTTAACCGCTCCCCGCAGTGTTAATGGTTTCTTTGATGGTAATATAAATTTCGCGTCGGTTACTTTAAGGAGGAGTTTTAGTGTGTCGAAGAAACCACCTTCAGCGGCATGGTGTAATGGTGTCCACCCGTTCTCATCAAGCGCAAGGGGATCTACCCCCTTAACGGCAAGAAGTTTTGAGAAAGCCATGGATGGATAACCTACGGCTGCTGCAGTATGTATAGAAGAAGCTCCCGTATGATCCGTGGCCATTAGAGAAGCGCCAGCAGATACAAGAACCTCTGATGTCGTAGCGTGGTGATTAAATATCGCATGATGTAGGGGAGTTAAGCCGCGAGCATCCCTCGAAGTTGGATTGGCCCCAAGGCTGATTAGATATTCAACTAGCTCGGTATAACCATTCGCGGATGCTAGATGAAGAATAGTATGCCCGTTATAATCTATTTGGGAGAGCTCTAATCCATAGTCAAGGAATAATCTAATTATTCGCTTATGGCTAGTAGAGAATCCTATAGTTCTCTTCTTGAATTCCTTGTAGGGCCAGTTAGGGGGTTCCATATTTGTGGCAATATTCATTAGGGCAGTTTGCCTATCCTTATTCTGTTTAGTAGGGTCGGCTTCGTTATTCAGAAGATACTCGACGGTAAGGTCTTGGCCATGGAATGCTGCATAATGAAGTGGTCGCCATAAGGAGCTATATTCAGGTTCGTTAAGGGAGGCGCAATATCTTGTAAGAAATTGTAGTAGGTCGATACGGCCCCAGCAGGCAGCGGCATGGATCGCGCGAATACCCAAGCTGGATTCATAGAACGAAAAGCTTATATCTGGCGCTTTTGCCCTAGCTCCAGCATCAACAAGAAGAGTATATATCTCAGGAAAGTGCGACACAATAGCATTATTCAATGCTTCGGTACCATGCTTTGATAGGTTCAACACATGCGCACTGTCTTTTAATATCATCTGGCAGATATCCAGGTGCCCCTTCTGTGCAGAAAATTCCAACGCTGATTGGTATATTTTCCTCTTCAACAACCCCTTGCCTATGTTTAACAAGTGTAACAACGTCTTTGCCATTTCCAGGTGACCTTCGAATATGGCCCAGTCAAGAATAGTTTTCTGTCCTTCCAAGCCGATAGTAATACCGCGAAGCGCCTTTCTCAAGAGGATGGGGGTCAGGGTGACGTTAACGCGCTTTGTAGTCCTGATAAGAGCACTCAGATCCAATGAATCTAGATATTCTCCAACAATATTGAGTATCTCAGTCGGAATAGTGTTGAGGGTGCAAGGTAAACCCGCTGCCCGGGCATCATCTCCGGTGGACTCTTCGGTTGTTGAGTTGGCCATGGTGACGGGAGCGACGTATCGATATTATGTCGAGGGCAAGGGGATCTCCTGCGGAAGCCTTGCCAACGGTCGAAGTGAACACCGAGAACACACCAGATCAGCAGCTGATTAGGGATAATATGGAGTAGTGAGTGGTAACTAGAGGGCCAAAGGTAGCTACGTCTCGACATGAATTTCCAGCCAAATATCCCGCTGTCAAGGAAAAGATCGATGTTGTCAACTACTTACATACGTTATAGTAATAATTGACAATTTATCAACTTGTTACTACTGAAGAGCCGCGGGCTCTATAGTTAGTTAAAGTACCACGTGACTGTTTACTAATCTCAGATTTTTGGTTGGCAAAGAAAAGAACGAAATTTAAGGTCGTGAAGTATAAAAAAATCCATGTCATTTTTTTTTTTTAGCAAGGCAACTGTTAAAAGCATTCCTTTTAACATTCTACAGGAATGTTCCTCAGGCCACGGACTGTGCACATTGCTACAATTCAGAGACATTTAGCAAGGTGGGCCTCCGTCACACAATTGCCGGTGCCGTCGATTCACTATTACTCGACAGTTCGGCGTGGTATACGAATAGTTGGAGGTTTCGACATGCCGGAGCAAGGCAATGCGCCACGATATAAAGGCGGACGGGAACCGCAACGGAAGAAACAGAAAAGCAAAGAAAAATCCAAGTCTGAAGGAGGTGCAGATGAGGTGGTGGAATTGGATGTGAAAAATCTACTTCAAAGGAGCCGGCGGTCCCCATCAGAAGAAAATGGCAAAAAGCAAAGGGATGATGAAACCAGCGCATCTGTTGTTCACGAGGGGAAAAAGGACTCTCCATCACCGGAGACAGAAGTAACTGTTTCTGAGATGTCTTCGACTGGAGAAGGTCTTGCACTATCGCACAACGGTGACCATGTCTATATCGTCCCTTTTGCGCTTCCCGGAGAGACGGCTCGGATCAGGGTGTACAAGACGATCAAACAGAAGTCCTATAGTTTGACAGACTTGGTCGAGATTTTGAAACCTTCTCAGCAACGTGACAACTCTCTTATAAAGTGCCAGTATTTCGGAAAGTGTTCTGGATGCCAGCTGCAGATGCTCCCATACCAGGACCAGTTGCAGCATAAGAAGCGGATTATAGAAAAAGCATATGCCAACTTTTCGGGAATATTGCCTGAGCTTATACCTGCGATTGGAGAGACAATGGGCTCGCCTATGCAATACGGATACAGAACCAAGTTAACTCCTCATTTCACCCAGCCTGCTCGCAACCGGAAACAAGAGCATGGGAGCGGCCCTCCTGAAGTTCCTCCTATTGGGTTTATGATAAAAGGGCGTCGTAAGGTCATGGATATTGAGGATTGCCCACTTGGTACAGATATAGTCAGAAGGGGATTGAAGAATGAGAGGAAAAGAGTGGCGGAAAACCTACATCAGTATAAATACGGTGGCACGCTTCTGGTTAGAGAAAGCACGAAGAGGATAGAGCGGAACGAGGAGAATGAAGCTTTGCCGTCAAACGATAAAGTGATACGAACGACATTCCCAAACTATGTTGAGGAGAAAACATACATCACGGATCAAAATGCTATCTCGGTTGAATACGTGGATGATTACCAGTTCCACAATATTGCCGGGACATTCTTTCAGAATAACAATTCCATTTTACCGGCGTTTACAGGATACGTTCGAGACCATGCCTTACACCCGGAGCCCAAATCAGATGCAAATCCAATGGAGTCTAAAGTGGCTGCGACATCCAATCCCAAACTAAAGTATCTCCTGGATGCATACTGTGGCTCAGGATTATTTACTATTGTCCTGTCAGGCACTTTCCGCTCCTCTCTTGGCATCGACGTCGCGGCATCGAGCATTAAATGCGCGCGCGAAAATGCCAAACTGAGCAAGGTACCTAACACTGGCTTTGCAGCAGCTGATGCTGCAGATTTATTCAAAGATATCCCCTATCCGGCTGATCAGACGCTACTTGTGATTGACCCTCCACGAAAGGGCTGTGATACAAACTTCTTGAACCAGCTACTTGCATATGGCCCGACCAGGGTATTATATGTTAGCTGTAATGTTCACACGCAAGCTCGAGATGTTGGAGTTTTGATAGAAGGGAAGAACGGAGTCCGATATAACATCGAGAGCATTAGGGGATTTGATTTCTTCCCGCAGACGAGTCACGTAGAGAGCGTGGCTGTTTTGACGAAGGTTGTTGGGAGCAAGCCTGAGTAGGTGATCTCAATATGCTGATTGTGGAAACGGTGGAGTATTCTTGGATTGTATTTTTGTACTATAGAAGGGAAAAAAAAGTCTAGTGATACCCTATCTTTTTTCTGAAATCTGTATACCCTTGGAAAGCGTTTGACCGGGCATTTGGATGGATATTTTCATAGCACTCTGCTACTTGTTGGAGTTCTCTTGCGCTTTTGGATATTTATTTACAGAGGAAAAATATTTCTCGTAAACAGGTACATTTAGAATCTAGAGAGGTGTACTCACCACCACACGCGTAAATTCATTGCGACATAGCGGGAACATTAAAGTCAAGAGCAGGGCTTTCTTTCAAGGTGGGAGACCATCTTATGCGCTTCCGGGCCCTCCAAGTAGCGCGAATCTTCTTACTATGGAAGGGCCAATTTCGTCGTATTCAGCCTAGAAAGGGTAAGTCAGGATGTGTTGAGGAGAAAGTGGGAGGAGGATAAGTGAAGGCTTACCTTGGTATGGCAGTAGCTACGGAATTCGGGCGTTTGTCCTAGCAAACTACCACCGAACCATGGGCCATGACGTTGTCTTTTATGGGTTATAACTTGAACATCCAAACCGCCACTCCTGGCTCCTCCGCTCCGAGCCTCAGAGGCACGGATTCTCGCATCCACGAGGTGCCTAATGTCACGCTGTAATCGGCGACCAAAATCTTTGTATAGGGTAGAGCCACCAGAAAGAACTATGTTTTTGTAAAGCCCACGTCGGACGTCGATGGGAGAGGATTGGATAACACCATCGACAACAGTTGGTAGCGGTGTGAGGAAATCGGAAGAGTAAATCTCGGGGTTGAAGAAAATCTCCGGTGCCAGGAATCGTTCGTAGCCAACGTCTATAGAGACGGTCCTTCCATTGGGAGATGTGACTGTGTGCTTGAGGAATCGGTCTGGTTCTCTGTCGTATCGCGCGAACTCTTTGACGATATCAGGACAAACATAGCAGTATTCCTCCTTGATCTTCTCTGCAGTTTTCAGCGAGCTGTCTGCCTCATGTCGATCGCGCAAAAGGTTCTGAACGAAGTAGGTGATATCTCGACCGGCAATTGGGATACTCTTGATCGAAGAGCCGATAACATATCCCTCCGCCACGGGGATGACGTGCGTTACACCATCACCAGAGTCAATAACCGTACCGGTAAGTGACCTATCTGTGACCTTTGACGATGTCCAGGAAGCTGCAAGGGCAAGGACAGCCTGAACGGCGATATATAGGCCTGCACAATTGAAGGACTCGAAGAAGATCTCGGCAGTGTTTTCTCGGTTCTCTGGCGGGTTCAATGGCTAGATTTGACATGGTTAGAAGAGATTAATATAGACGGTGGCGCAGAGGTATGGGAGTTATTACTGGTTCTGTTAATAGGAAGTAATGGTCCTCCGGCTCGACCCTTAGGTACTTAAAGATGGAGTTGGACCAGAACCTCTCCATGTGATCCCAATTCTCAATCTGTCCGTGTCTGATAGGGTAGTGAATGCCGTAACCTGGACCGGAACTCGCGGAAAGGGCCTCATCACCAATGAAGTAGTCCAGATCTTCGGTGCCACGCTTTGAAGCCAGCGAAGATGTTGGCCCCGCCCCCCCGGTCAAGAAGGAGGGCTTGTTTGCAACCGGCGGCCGACCAGAGCCCGCCCCAGGAGCACTTCCCGCGCCAGATTTTGTAGCTATCGCAGTAGGGAAGACAAAAGATGGAGAGTCGTTTCCGGCGAATCCTAATTGACGGCAGGAGTATATGTTAGCTAAGGCGCTGGGGAGGGACAATAGTCGAGGGGTATACGGATCTATCGCTCACCAAGCTTGGAGTAGCCTGTGCCGCTGTAGGTAGTAAACAGTTAGTCAATTACAATCATAGCCAGAAGCATCTCTGTTTCTTTCTTTCTTCTCTCTCTCTCCGGGAACGTACTTGTCCATGACAACGGCTGGTGTTTGAGCCGCCATTGTTTAAGGTGGCGTGACAGTCAAATCAACAGAAAGAAGAAGAAGCCAAGCTAGGTACGTGTAGAGGAGAATATCGACTATGCAAAGCAGTTTTCTCAGCAGTTCGACTCTGAGAAGACGCCGGTGGTTCTACTTGATCACTGCAGCCTGTTTGGTAGTTTCGTAGTTTAGATAGAAAAGGTGGAGGGAAAAACCGCCAAGACTTGATATCATGTGCTTTTTTTACTTCGACGTCGTCTTTTTTCTCTCTTTCTGTTTCTTCATTCTTTTGATTATCTTCTTCTCGAGTGTAGACTTGTTAATACCAGGATAAAAAAGGTGTTAAGGAGGCCTAAGAGAAAAATGATGCTGAGACTTCTTATACCATCAGGACATCCAGGACAGCCTTAGGTTGGAAACCCCGGAAGCAACAACTTGGACTGTTGTTGCTGCCGCCTTCTCAACCACAGTGCGAGGGGAGAAGAAGAAAGAGAGAAAGGGGAATTCCGGACAGATGCGGCTGCTTCTTCCTTCTCTCTTGTATTGCTGGGGGGATAGAGAGAGAGAAGACTTGCCTCTTGTCCGCTTCTTTTATGTTCTATTAACACTCTCACAATTAGTTCTCCTGAATACTATCTTCAAACAGCTCGTTAAATCCCTGACTTGTCTCTACCAAGTTTGCTTCATCTACCTGCATTATCTACTCTGCCCAGGTCTCCTATTACCGGTGACAACAAGAGAGTGTTCCCTTGCTGGCTGGGCTGGGGTGAAAATGGTGTGCTAGAGAAAGCATTCTTTCTGTGCCACTCGTTTATCTTTGCATCTCACCACTGCTGGAATCCAGACATCTGGACATCCCATACCTATTACTCTTTGCCTTTCTACCTCTTATCAACCATACTCTTAAACAGTGCTAGAAGCAGACAACCGAGTGAGGCCACTTCACTGTGTCCTCTATATACGGGCGTGGAATTAAGAATTCTACACTCAGGTCGCCTAGCAACAACAACATTATATCTGATTCACAACAAGACTCCATTGGACCTTTTCACTTACTCTTTCCTTTTATCTGGATTTAAGACATCTATATATTCCTGGTGCGACCTGTACCTCTATCTATATTGCACCTCGAAAAGCTTCATACCACCCACACTGGCCGTTTAACCCCGTAGCTGGCGGATATTATAAACAAGATGAGCACCCAGAACCAGGATTCTCAGAGTCCGGGCATATCCGCCATATTTGTCCATGCTGGCGCAGGTTTTCACAGCCGCCAAAGCGAGGAGCTTCACCTGTGGGTTTGCAGCAGGTAAGTCGACTGACCTGCTTTTCATGTAGACTGTTTTGTTGACCAGGGTGACTACAGGGCTTCCTCCCTCGGCATGGCGATCTTAAAAGCCGGTGGGAGTGCAGTGGATGCAGTAGAAGTCGCCATCAAGTTCTTCGAGGACCATGAGGTCACCAATGCCGGATATGGTAGCAATCTGACAATTACTGGTGCTGTGGAGTGCGATGCGACCATTGTTGATCATCTTGGCCGCAGCGGTGCAGTTGGGGCGGTTCAAAGTTTGTACCTCAGTTCATCAAGCAGGCCGATTTAAGCTAGCTGACGCACTATTTATCTAGATATCAAAAACCCAATATCGCTCGCAAGACTGATACTGGATGCCTCTACAAAGCCACTCTCGCTTAACCGCGTCCCTCCAAATCTACTTGTATGTGGTGGTGCCACTGACTTTGCATACGAGCATGGAATGCCCGTCCTCCCTGGAGATGTTCTCGTCGCCCCGGCCTCCAAAGAACGATGGGTACGCTGGAAACGAGACCTTGACCATGTTGCACGTAGGCTCCAGACACGAGAAAGATACGCAGAGTTAGATTCTTTTGTCCCTCGGCACGCATCGCCACTTGCCAGTCGAGCGTCTACAGCGGCTGAAAGTAACGATCCATCTTCACATGGGTCCTGTTTTGGTGGCCATTCACCAGTCCATGTGCCTCGAAACCCAATTCACGTTGTCAATATCTGCCCTTCTAGAGATCCCACAAGTATGATAATCCCCAATAGATGTGGATCCCCAATGCTCTGTGTTTCGCGCAGCGATGTTGCCATGGAAGGTGACGGTGAAGTTGACGAAGACTACATCGATGACACTTTCCACCAAGATTATCTGCCAACTGAAGCGACACCTCAGCTGGAGGTCACTAAGAAGGCGGAGAAGCAACACGTGCGTTTGGAAGACACGGAATTAGCTGATGGAACGGAAACATCGAGGTCTAAGGACGCCCATGACCTCGCGATAACTAAGGGTGAGGACGAAATCACCGACACAGTTGGTGCCATAGCTATTGACTGTTATGGCAACATTGCCGCTGGCTCATCTTCAGGGGGTATTGGAATGAAGTACAACGGGCGTACTGGGCCTGCCGCGTTAGTTGGAATAGGAACTGCTGTTGTTCCTGTGGATCCAGATGACGAAATGTGTACATCTACTGCCGCCGTTGCGAGCGGGACGGGAGAGCACATGACAACAACGATGGCCGCCCAAACCTGTGCGGAAAGGATCTACTCGGGAACTAAGAAAACCCCCGGTAAGCCGGGCGTGTATGAGCCTACGACAGAAGATGAAGTCATTAAATCCATGATCCAAACTGATTTTATGGGTATGGTAATATCACGTTTTTGGTCTTGGGATGAAACTGGCTGATGATAATGTTAGGTCATCCCGCGGTGAAGTCAAGCCACTGCCACGCTGCGATTGGCGTGATGACCGTCAAAAAAACTCAAGACGGCATTATTTTTGTCTTTGGCCATAATACAGACTCCTTTGTCAGTATAACTCTCCGCCATACTGTGTTGGGCAAATCTTCTAACTGTTCAAAGGCGGTTGCGAGCATGAGCTCCGATGATGTAGCAGCATGCTGTACCATGTCTCGTTCTCCGGGGGACCGAAAGGTAGCCCAGGGAGGCCGTTTTATCAGACCTAAGAGGTAGGTTCTAGAAATGACCTTATTTCCGATATTAAAACTAGGCTGGATGACTAGCTGTAGTTAATTCTGAGATGCTAACTAATAATGCCTAGATCCAAACATGGCCCAGTTACTTCACAATAAACGCAATATTGGCAGAAACCGCTGGTTCGGCAGTTTTGGAATGGCTGCGAAGCCTTTGTGTGTGTGCCAACCTAGCTATTAACCTGGTATGCTTTAAATTCTATATTGACCAAACGTTGGGTCAAAGTAGCTGGTCCCGCTAACACTAAGTGAGATCACTAGTAACTCCCTGCGGTTCCATCTATGGAATGAAGGGTGATGGGGATTTTTGGGGTAGAGGGGATGAGAATCTTAGAATCTCTGGCTAGAAGGGCTTTTATTTCTCCCCTAAGCCTGGACATGAGGTGTGCCCGTCTGTGCCCTATTGGAGTCTTATCTTCCTCCTGTAACCTACCTATGAGCCTGTATGGCTCCAACCTAGGAATATAGTCTATTCTTGACCATCATGGCCTTCTTATTCCGTAGAGACAGAAATGGAGGACGAAAAAAAGGTAACGAATAAAACAAAGGTATCAGGGAGCCGGGGTAGTTGCCATGGAGCTCGGGGTGGCAGGGCCAGAAGAGACGCCGTTCCCGACCCCGTTGAGAGCCTTTGCGGCAGCCTTCTTGCGTTTCTTCTTTTTGGAGACGACGACGGGTTTGGCACCGTAGTCACCGAGGGCCAGATGTGTGCCGCATGTCAAGCAATTAGCACCCTCGGGCGGTTCGCAGAAGATGCTGAGACAGATACTGCAGACGAACCCGACGTCCACGACCTTCCGGTGACAAAAGCAAGCCGCCCGAAAGTCCACGTCGACCCGGGTAGGCAGCACCAGATTCCGTCGGACTCGCTGGTCAGGCAAAAAGGCAAGCATGAGATACTGCAGGAAGCCACGTGGGGAGTCTACGGACATGTAGATGCCACGAGTAGCGTCGCAGGCCTGCTGTAGGAAGACCGCGTCTCCGGCCAGCTTGCAGATGTCGATGGGTATGTGGAGCCTCTGACAGGCAAAGATGCTGTTCATAATGGGGATATACTGCTGCGCGGAGTCTGCGGCGCTACTGACGGACACGATAAGGATACGTGACTGGAGGCTACCTCCGGCCGGCGACTGGTCGGTACTACTATCACGGTTACTACTAGTAGTACCGCCTGGAGGAGGGGCGCCGCCGGGGGGTGGAGGCAGGCCTCCCGCTCCGCCTGCTGCAGGGTCGGAGCCGGCCGCGGTTCCATGCGTATCTAGATAGGCGATTGTTTCGCGGTTGATATGGCTGAGGGCAAGAGTGAGGGCACCGGCCATCATGGTAGAAGCGGCAGGGGATATTTCTTCTGCTCGGGTGCGTGTGAGAAGCCGGTCAAGGTTACGGGTCAACTGCTGCTCTACCAGGAGAAAGGGACGGTACTTGTTCGGTTGCCGTTGCTGCTGGTGCTGCTGTGGGGGGGCAGCGGGTTCTCCATAGTCGGTCATGGGTGTATCTCCGTCCTGATCGTTATTGGACGGATGGGGGTGTTGTTTCTTTTGCGAGTCGGCGGGAGGAGCAGTGGCAGCTGGGGGTGTTGGGTAGAGCCAGACGGCCTGGTGGCTGTGACTGGCCACGACGGCGACCTTGTTTGAGTAGTTGCATGCCAGATGAGCGTTGATGAAGACCAGCAGGTTCGCCACGGCAGATGAGAGCGGGAGCGTCTCTTGAAGCTGTGCCCACGCATGCGGGTTTGTATCCAGGATGACCGTCAGCAGCGAGGGATCTCGATGTCGTTAGTTAGTACGTGTCCTACAACGTCTCTAACACGGGCTGCCAGGCGTCGATAGACTCACCGGTCGAAGCAGAAGTCGACTCTGCCATCTCTATCTCTTCTCTTTCTATCTTCTTCCCCGTCTTCCGTCTTTTGTATCTTGTTGTCTTTTCTTCTTCAACCTCAAAAAGTCACTGCTTAGTCATCAACATCGAGATAGCAAAAAAGAAAAGGAAGCAAAAGAAGAAGAAAAGAAGAAGAAGAAGAACGAACGAAGATAAGCTGAAGGAGTCGAAGAAGCTCAAGACTTCCGGTTGGCTCTGACAGCGTCTTCTCTATGCGCCTCTACGTAATAACAGAAGAAGAGTGAGAGAGGAAAAAAGAAAAAAAGCGACCAGAAAAATAAAACATCTCCTACATCTGCTTCTTTGACCTCCTTGCGGCATATTCTGGCACGAAGACATACAGACGGAGTGTTAATATCATAAACTATCGGCCTGGGTCTATAAATAAGAAGAGTCTCTCTTCTTCTTCCTCCCAAGTCCCACCTTTCAACGGCGTCCCCCAACCCACCGCAAGCCACACTCAACAGACAAGACACAAGAAGAGACAAAAGAAAAGACGAGAAGAGACCAGTCGACCGGCAGAGAGACCTGTCTTCATCTTCATCTCGGCATCGCCGTCTTTTTCGGAGTTTTTTTACTAGTTATAACGATATATTACTTGCTTCCCGCTTAAAAAACTTCCCCCCTGCCACAGCTTCTGTATAAAAAAGAAAGCCCCGCGGATCCCGGTTTGCCATCACCAACACCAGCATCACAGCCTGCTAGTCAGTCGAAAGGATCACGGCAGACACACGAAGAAGAACGAAAGAAGAACAGTAGAAGAAGAAGAAACGGCAGGATAACGCCCATGGTTTCAGTACATGACCTTGAGCGCGCCAGCACACTAGCCAGGGAAGCAGTCGAGCTCGTCGATGCCGGACACAAGGAGGTTCGTTCTCTGCCATTATATGATGTTTGTCTTTTCTATCTTCCACAAGCTAAAAGGTGAATGTACAGGCAGCATCTCGCAATCTCCGGGAGGCCATAGCCATTGCCCCGGACAGCGAAGATGTCAAGACGGTCTTCCGCAAGATAAGAGAGGACGAGGAGAACAGTCATCCGCTGCTCAACCTCTGTCGGCGCTTCGTCACCCTGCGAGACGAAGGCGCTGCCCGCGAAGCCACCCAGTATCTTCGCTCAGAGGGCCTGCAGCCACCGCCGGAGGTGGCTCTGGAGTGCGTCAAGCTACTCCTGGCTGAGCCTGCTGCCTCCCTGCCAGCCGGACAGGACGATATCATCACCGGTCTTGTACGGCAGAGCTCTCGTGTTCGCAGCTACTTTGCCGGTGAGCTACAGGTTTCCGTCACCGGCCTCTTTGACAAGATCTACGACCGTGGAGATGGAGCTGTCGTCTGTCTTGACATGGTCGTCCTCGAGAGGGGCCTCTGGCAGTCAGAGCATACCAGAAAACACTGCGAGGAGGAACTCTTTCAGCTCTTCATCGCCAAGCTGATGGAGTCCGGCCACGACCACGACGGACGCTCTCTCAAGGGCATTGCTCGTCTACTCGTCGTTGATGCCGAGAGCCTCAAGCACCTGGTCGACGAGGAAGGATTTGACGTTATCTTCTCCTCCCTCGACCGGAGACTGCCTGCTGATGTCAGGAGCCAGGCCACCCTCGCAACCGCAAAGTACCTGGAAGTCTCCGGAGAGGCCGGCCAGACGCTCTGCGCCAACTTCATCAAGGCACGGGTCGCGAAACATCGAAAGGGTGACTACATCATTGCCTTCTCGGGCGCCAGCGTCGTCTTCCCCATCATGCCAGAGTTTGCCGTCAGCCTCTTCCTGACCGAATCCTTCCTCAAATCCCTCATTCCTTTGCTTGCCCGGAAAATCAAGTGCAAGAACCTGGAACTCGCTGTTTTGGAACTGTTCAACGCCGCCTCCGTCAATGGCTCCTGTCGAGAGGCCATATCCAAACACTTTTTGGACTGGCTTTCGGAACACCTGAATGGAGGCACAGACGAAGCAAGTGCCCTGGCTGCCGTGGTTTTGGCAAAGCTTAGCGTCTCTCCCAAGGACGCCAGCGCAGACAAGGACAAGTCCGGAGTTGTTCAAGAGGAACATGCAGACCCCTTGGAACTCGTAAACAGGTTCAAGACCATGCTTGCGAAGAAACCTGGTCAAGATGGTAACAATAATCTACGACACCTTGTCGAAGGCCTGGCATATGCCTCTGTCAAGGCTGAGGTCAAGGAACAGCTCGCCAACGATGCCAAGTTCCTACGTGACTTGATCGGTGTCCTGCTAGGATCTATTGCCGACTCGACCGTCGTCTATGGGGGGCTGATGATAATACACAACATCACCGCCTATCGACCAAACATGTCCGAGGAACAGAAGAAAATGTCCGAACTGAAGGCGTATGCAAATGCCTCCAAGCCCCGCGCAGCTGCTAATCCGCTAGATGACGATGGCCATACCAAAGCAAGGTGCGTCGCGGTCGTAAACGCAGGCGTGATGCCCTTGCTGGCGGAATGCGGCAAGTCACAGTTGGCCTCTCCCAAGGATCTAGTCAACAAGATCATCCTCTCCCTATCCAAGGACTCGAAGGCAAGAGGCAAACTAGCTCAACAAGGCGCCGTCAAGCTCTTGATCTCGTCCGTCACCTCCCAGGATGGCAACACATCCAAGAATGCGGCCGAGAGCACCGTCACAAGTGGTGCCCATGCACTCGCCCGCATCCTCATCTCCGTAAATCCATCTCACGTCTTCCCTTCCTCTGGTTTTCCACAAATCACCTCCGCCATCCGCCCGCTCAACATCCTGCTTACTCCCACAGGATCGACCAGCATCTCCTCCGACCAGCCGCGCGACCTCCTACCGGTCTTTGAAAGTCTACTTGCCCTCACAAACCTTGCCTCCTATCCCGACCAAAGCGTCAGCACTTCAATAGTTCGCTCGGCATGGCCCACTATCGAGGATCTCCTCCTCTCACACCACACGTACATCCAACGTGCAGCCTGCGAATTAGTCTGCAACCTCATGTCCTGCGAAGCCGGTGTAGGCAAGTTTGCAGACGGCACCCACCGCGCCAGCCAACGCATGCATATTCTCCTGGCACTAGCCGATATCGATGACCTGCCCACCCGCAGCGCCGCTGGCGGTGCCCTGGCGATGCTTACTGGCTTTGAAGGCGCCGTCTCTGCCATCGTGGAGCGTCCCAGGGGCATCGATATCGTCCTTGGCTTGTGCCAGGAAGATGACGATGGGCTCGTTCATCGTGGAGTAGTGTGTGTTCAGAATATCGTCGGCGCGACCGGCGATATTGGACGCAAAGCTAGAATATCACTGCGTGAGAAACGTGGCATGGAGATTTTGAGGGACTGTCTTACCAAGACTAAGAATCCTGTTGTCATGCGGAGTGGAGTTGAGGCGTTGAAGCAGTTGGTTGACCGTCAGGTATCGAACTAGGGCGGCACACGTTGACTTCTTAACGAGTACTGTTTTGTTCTCTTTTTTTCCTACTTCTACATTCTGGGATTGGAGGTGTGTTTTATCATTTTTCTTAATTCCTTCACCGGACTTACCCCTTTTACTGTTTCATTTACGTCCTTTTCATTGCATTCATTCGGATATTTCATTTACACGGTGTTTCATTCGATGGCCGGTGGATGATGGCTAATGCTTCATGGTTGCTACTATATGTATACGGGATGGCTCTTTGTTCTTTTTTTTTTGCTTGATACTTGTCTGCTTCAAATTTGCTCATCTGATTTTTACGACGGACGTTTTACCACATGCACTAATATATATAAGGCTTGCACTGATATCAATCCAACTTGCATTAACTGATCCCATGTCCTCGCTTGTTAAGAAAAGACGGATCCCCACTGCTCCTGTAATCCATCCCTGCTTGGTTCGCAGTCCGGCAATGGCCTCGCACCAAACCAAGCAATCCATGCCGAATATTCGGTGCCATAATAACATCGATACTGAAGCTGCCAATGTTCATCATGTCTTCCGATCAAATATCTCCATCAGCCGAGATGGTCTCCTCAAATATCCCAACCATATCCTGTTCACCATTTCCCGTCTCTCCAGCAGCCTTGATCTTGTCCATTAGTGCTTTTTGCTTTTTGCAGCCGGTCCGCTGAAAGCTTTCACCTAGAGATTGATCATTTGTCGGCCTGCGTGAGCATTGTGCCTATGTCAACAGCTCCATGGATAACTGCGATATCCATGTTAACCAGTTACACTACCGAGTTGGTCAAGACTGGCTCCTACCTACATCGATATTCTCTCAAACACACACCGAGACGGCATAAGACCCGGCTGGGCCACATCCGACTACAGGGGCAGTGCAAGTTTCCGGAATAAACATTCAAGTCGACGAAGCTGAAACTCACGGTGTGATATCGAGGCTATGGCTTGCTCTGTATAGCCAGCCGTCATATTCCCTATTCAGCTCCAAATCCATCTAAAACTGTAGAAGTAGCATTCTACAGACTAGACCAAAGAAAGATCTGGGAGCCTTAAGAGTAGGGAGTAAGTAGCAGTAGACTTAGAGAGCTACAGGGCTAGAGAGGAAGCTCTACTATCCATTCTTACTCCCGAAGGACTAGAGGCTCTCCGGCCGAAATTCCGCAACTTTAACTACCTCCAAGTAAGGTATGCACCTAGGTAGGCCCTCAAGGATGTAATATTAACAATAAGGATAGCAATAGTGGAACTCTCTGGAAAGACCTCTAGGTAAGAAGTAGGTGGTTATGTAATAATGCTGGTCAGATAGATAAACATTAAATTATCATTAGTTATAAAGGATTTATCTGCTCTATTCTGATATTTCGCTTTCTAATAACAGACAGGGGCCGCTGGGGGGTGGAAATTCGTGCAGGTTTGGCTGCAGCAAGCACCAGGGTTGCCCAAGTCACACTGACCACCGGATGGAGTACATTGGCATTTTCCGGCCTGGCATACATGGCCACCACCGCACTGTTATAGCAATAAGTTAGTAGACGGTTTTCAGTTGCATGGGGGACCAACGTACAGATAAACCACAAGAGCCGCAGTTGTAAATATCGCTTTGGGTGTCCTTGCAAGTTCCGGCGCAAAGAGTAGTCCCAACAGGACATACGCATTTCCCGGCCTGACACGTCTGTCCACCGGCACACTGTATAATTCAAAGTAATTAGTAAACGGCCAGATATTCCGATAATATAAGCGACATACAGCTGTTCCACATGCGCCGCAGTTGGCGTTATCATTCTGCAAGTTTTTGCAGGATCCAGCGCAAAGATTCGAGCCGGGTGGGCAAACACATTGTCCATTCTGGCAAGACTGCCCGCTACCGCACTATAAGTCCAAAAAGTTAGTCATTGGCTATTCAAGAATGATATACGTTCAATAGATGCAACATACAGCAATTCCACAAGCGCCACAGTTGGCATTATCATTCTGCAAGTTCTTGCAAGATCCAGCGCAAAGAATCGAGCCAGATGGACAGACACATTGGCCACCCTGGCATGTTTGCCCAGCAGCACACTGTGTAATCCAAGTCATCAGTTGTTGAGCAGGAATATTATAAGCGTATAGGGATAGTTGGACTTACGGTCTTTCCACAAGTACCACAGTTAGCGCTATCGGTTTGTAGGTTCTTGCAGGTTCCAGAGCAACTTGTTGATCCCGAGGGGCAAGCACATTGGCCATTCTGGCAAGTTTGTCCATTGCCACACTATAGTTGAATAGAAGTTAGCTGAGGTCTATAAACAACACATATAAGGTACATACTGCTTTTCCGCAGGCACCACAATTGGAGTTATCACTCTTTAGGTTCTTGCAATTTCCAGAGCAATTGGTCGATCCAGCGGAGCATACACAACGACCACGCTCACAGGTCTTTCCATTATCGCACTGTAGGAATGTTAGACATTTTATGTGATAGTCGCCAGTTTTGCTATATGCAACTTACTCCCTTGCCACAAGCACCGCAGTTTGCGTTATCCTTCCATATATTCTTGCAAGTTCCAGAGCAATTGATTGATCCAGCGGGACAGATACATTTACCGCCCTGGCAAGTCTTCCCCGTTCCGCACTATGTCGAAGGTATCAGATAAAGTAAGATGCAAGTACGAATAGGTAAAAACATACCGATACTCCACAGGCACCACAGTTGTCATTATCACTCCTTAGGTTCTTGCATGTTCCCGAGCAATTGGTAGATCCACCAGGACAAACACATCGTCCGCCTTGGCAGGTTTTTCCCCTTCCACACTATTCAGGAGGTGTTAGAGATAGTCCAGGGGGAGAGTAAAGGTTAAATAAACGTACAGAAGTCTTGCAGCTACCGCAATTGTCGTTATCGCTGAACAGATTCTTGCAAGTTCCAGAGCAGCTCGTCGTCCTTGCAGGGCAAACACATCGCCCACCTTCGCATGTTTTTCCACCGCCGCACTATAACGAGTCAGTTATGTCTTCAGAAGTAATCAATGATCGCATTAAAGTATGGAAAAGACACACAGTTATCCCACAGCCACCGCAATTTTGGTTACCAACTGCAACACAGTTCTTGTTGCATAATATCTTAGACGAGGGCTGCCGCGCCGCAGGTCCGCATTCATAGCAAGGCCCTTTACCCCTGGCGGCGAGTGCAATGCATCCTGCACTAAGATGGCCAAAGGTCGTTATACACCACCTCTCACAGCGGTTGTTTTCCTCTTGGTGGGCGGCAACGGCCGAAACTCCAGTGGCTATAGGTAAAGTAAGTACTAATTCTCGAGGCGATTTCTTCTGAAGAATAATTGCGCATTGGAGGCGTCCTATCACTCACCCAGGAGGAAAAGATTGAGCAAACGCATTTTCAGAGAGGTGCGAATGGGATGCTGGATAAAGGGGCACGGTGGGAGAAGAACACTGGAGATTGGGAATGTACTGAACAAATCGACCTGGCAAGAGGGAGAGACCTGAGGTATTTATCAATTTCTCGTCTAGCTATCAACTTCTCATCTAGCTGGTCTAGATGTTCCTCTCGTGGCAAGCCAAAGCCATAGCATTGACTCTACCGCTCGAACCCCCTTTTTTACGCTTATCTGGAATAACTAGTTACTGCATTGCGTTCTCTAGTTATTGGTTGCGCACAAATCATTCCTCCACGTATATACAGTAAAGCCCAGCTGATAGGTATCAAGCTTCACACCAGACAGTAGCTTGGGCCGCAAAGCTGGTGGCGCTTCTTCATCAAATGGGGATATCTCATAAGCGACTCGCTTCAAGCCCAGCCAGATGTATCCATGCTGTTGGGTTTGCCTGCGGGCAGAGCCGAAATCCGCCTCCATAGCTCAACTAATCAGCGCTCTGCTCAGATAGCGGTGGCACGCCCAAAGCCCCAGGGCCATGCATGCTGGTAAATAGTCCTCGATAAGGCGGATTCTACTCCAGATATTCAAGCGAGCCAACGAAGAAGCTTAGCGAGAGGGTCACGTGAGGCGCGTTGAAGCCCGCAGTTTCTATATATAAAGACTTGCAGCTAGACAGAAGAAAAAAAAGGGGAAGCCATCAATAGCAAGCGAGAAGACTAAATTAGCTCTCAGAATGCTATGGCAAACTCTGATATAGGCTTTGTTCTAAACCCAAGCGAACTTGCTACATAGCTTAGCACTGCATCTGGCTGCAGTATTTTGACAACAGGAGCGTCGGACAATCTGACCGACTCTCTACTGTATGAGGAGCACTTTGGACTAAAGGGGCGATTGCAAGCGGGATTTATGTGGGCAACAGATGAATATCACCAGCTGAAAAGCAGTCCAGGTCATATTCTCCACTTGTCTCTTTCATGCCACGTTCACATAGGAATCTATTAGAACTCCCAGATATGGATCATTCGAATGGCCAATTGCGGTCATATTCAGCCTGTTCCTCCTCAGTCTTAGCCAATTGCCTCGAGATCTGGACTTTGGCATCATGGAGGGCAGCTTTGCACTCATCGTACAGTTCATGCTCGATGAAGCCTTTATCTGGCCACAAATCACCCATTCCCTCCTTGAGCTTATCAACAAGCTCTGCCCCTGCTACTGCGCTCTCACTATCCAGCTTAATACGCTCTACATCTGCTTTAGAAAAGTCGAACGGGAACGGGTTATTGCCGCTGACGGCAGGTAATTCAGCCCATGTGTCCTTCAGGTCGACGAAAAGTGATTGGAAGTGCGCATCACCGTATTTGAACATGCGGTGGGCAAGAAATATCAGACCGTATGCTGCAGTCTTTCGAAAGTCAACTGCTCGATACAGATCTGGGTTTTTGGCATGCATGAGCTTTCTCCATGCGATAAATATGTTTTGGTGGGCATAGTCGCGCACAGCTGCCGATCGTTCTTCAGGAGAAAGCTCTGAAAGCTTTGGTCTTGGGGCGAGACTGAGCGTCTCGGGCTCAAGGCCATCCCAGGCGAGGAAGGCCGGATCGGGACTGTGGTTGAAGAGGGGAGAGATATGACAAGACTGCCAGTCGATAATAGCCGTGATCTTTTCGGGGTTATGCGGATCCACATACATGTTGTCATCATGCAAATCATCATGCCAAAGACACGGCATTTCGATAGTAGTGTCCCTTGGTACGAGAGCATCAATGATTTGTTGGTACCAGGCCAAAGAAGTGAGCTTCCTTTGCATGTCTGGTCGGTAGAGATGAGGGCCACAGAGCAGTGCAATCTGTTTTGGAGGTTTCAAGTACTCGACCGCTTTCGTCTCCCGCATTCCGACTGCTTGTAGATACTGTGTCATGGATTGCCCTAGAAAATACTCATCAGCAGCTAAACAAATATGGTATGGCCTAACTTCCACATACATGGACCTCGGTCGATATCCAAACTTGATCGGCCGGCATCAATCCAGTCCCGGCCTGTAGACGGACCAACGACAAACCCTGAATACTTGACAGCTTCGCCATTCTTAATGTAGTGATTTCCCGATGGTGAATTCACGTCTCCGGTGTAGTATAAGCTACCGTAACTCGAGAATGAAACACGTAACCATCGCTTCTGGAGGCGCGTTACGGCCAGAATGACCTGGAGTTTCTGGGATAGCGGCAACGTTCCCCACACCTGAGAAAGTGGAACACCCTCAGCTTTGTCCATGATGATGAATTCTGCCCCAACCGGGTGCGACTTTGCCTGTGAATTCCATGAGTGGACACGAGGTGTTGGCGTATCAAGCACTTTTCTAGCCTCCGAAACCAGCGGTGTTAGCAAAAACGTATGGGTCGTTCATCGGCATATATATCAGATCAGACTTACGAATTCCATCGTGGCAACTTCACTTGCCGTGGTAAAGTGCGCAAGGCCGGCGTTCGGATTAGGCACCTTAGCTACGACATCTCTACCATCGTCCATGGACAAGAGGAACGCTTTGCTAAACATGCCATCGGGGTATTTCTTGACAGAAATACACTGAGCAGCGCCGATCGAGTCTGCCGCAACTTGCGCAAGCCTGTTCATGTCAAACCTGATCTCTCGTCTTCGAAGATTCTCGGCTTCCTCCACGACAAAGCGACCACGGGTGAATTTGAAGAACTCATCGTTCGAATTCCAGTCTGGCACAGATGAGTGATATGCTAAATTACGTCTAGACGAGCGCACTCGCCTTCCTGAGAAGAGCCCATGGCGAGACTGTGATAATGCCAGTCTGCACATATTTCAGCCGGAAACACTCAAGCTGTTCTTGTAGCTGATGAAGTCCAGAGCTTCGTTAACCAATCAAAGGGCGAGAAGAAGCGCCAAGTAGTTGGTTAGTAAGCGCTTTTGCCTGTAACAAAAACAGCTTTAAGATGATCTGATAGAAGCAACATTTCTACAGTTAAGAAGTGATGTAGGATGATGGAAGACTACTGTGTAGTAAGTGTTTCCATCCTCAAGATATGTTGAAGTGTTGATATACCGTTCATCTGTCTATAATGCCACGTCCCCGTGCTGTATAGATCAAAAAACCCGAGATGTCGGCCAAATATATCTCCACCTCGGTGCTATGGAGTATGTACCTACAAGTTATAGGTGACGTTGTATTGCATCTCCAGGTTTGATGCCATGTTGGCTAAATGCTGGCTCAGTGTACACTCTGCTTGGTTATGATCCAGAGATTGATATCATCTAGTTTGCTCCTGTTTCACCGAGTCCCTCCATAAACCATATGTAATATAAACAAGGATTCACCGAGCCAAACAGAGCAGCAGCTCCAGTCACGCTGCTTGCTTTTTCCATCTCAGAGCGGGTCTCCAGCCGTGTCAAAGAGCTCCTCGGGTTGATGTAGAGAGAGTTAATATATGTATATATAGTAGTTGACAGGGACTCCCTTATAGATCAGACCGAGTATATACATAATTCGTCCAGTTCGGAATAGACGGAGCAAACATCTTCTTGAAGAACAAGGAACAAATAATATATCTACCTGTCCGGCTGACCGTCTTGGATAACCGAGAGTACTTCGCGCTCTAAGCTACAGGCTAGTTTCTGGTCGTTGTGGATGTCGAGTTGATATTTTCCCTATCGAGTCATCATTTTGCCTCCTACCTCATTTTTTTTTTTTGCCCTCCTCTTTCTACTCTTCACTAAAACCAGCTTTCTATCCCCTCTGCGACAAAGAACCAGCCGATAGCCGGAGCTCTCCAGAAGTGTAGAGTGACTACCTCACCGCCTCGTTGCCTGGGTTTGCTTGGTAGTGGACTAGTTGACTAGTTGCTTGCTGCTCCACGGGACTGAATCCAGGATTAAGAATAGACAAAGACACCCAGGGCCCATCAGAGTACGAGCAGTCAGTAAGTCTAACCCCCTCTTATTCGCTGGATATTCCTCGGGTCAGGGTGCCTGGGGGTTTCTAGACACCCTTTAAAGGCCATAGTTGATCTCTTGACTAACACTTTCAATAGCTTGACGGTTATCGTTCTCGAACAAAGATAGTCTCCTTGACCGCAACCGACATCGAGTTGACTGGACGAGGCGTGTATAACCGACGAATCAGTGACGGGCAATCCGGGGTAAACGCTTTGGAACACAGCTGTTTCCCTAATCAACACGCACCTGATATCCCTATAACTATACTTTCCCATCTCGACCGCTCACCATGGCTTCTACTTCTCCCCGGGCTCGTTTGCGCGGATCTGCTGCTTAGACTGTGGCTATCCCTGTGCGCCATTCCAGAGCATTTCTCTACTTCCGTTCGTTCACAGTCATCTCACGGCTTTTATCCTCGGATTCCTCAAAATATCTACATTTAACCGTTTTGGAAAGAGCGTTTAAAAAGATCTGAGGAAAAGTAGGAAGAACTCGACTGAGGTCCCGTTTTCTTTAGTTACTGGCAGAGATAATACCCAGAGATAGCTGAACAGGCACACAAAATCACCAAAATGAAGTTTGGCCGCAACCTGCCTCGGAACATGGTTCCGGAATGGAGCTCCTCCTATATAAAATACAAAGCATTGAAGAAACTGATAAAGTCGGCTGTCAACGCGAAAAAAGCGGGCAATGACCCTGATTTAGCTGGTAAGCTCCCTGTTCAATGGTATCTACGTTATACTACTGACAACAATAGGCTTCTTTTACACCCTTGATCGAAATCTCGAGGATGTGGATAGTTTCTACAATAAAAAATTTTCTGACTGTTCTCGTCGTTTAAAGCTGCTTGAGGACCGATTCGGTCACCTGACGGCATCACTACCTCAGTTAGATTCCGAAGAGATAGAAGATCTCTTGGCAGCTTTATTAGAGCTCCGTGGCCAGCTGCGTAAATTGCAATGGTACGGTGAGGTAAATCGTCGAGGCTTTATCAAAATCACCAAGAAATTGGATAAGAAGCTCCCTGGTGCAAATGCCCAGATGCGATATCTGTCAACTAAGGTTGATCCCGCGCCATTCGCGACAAACTCTCGCCTTCTAAACTCCGTTAACTCCATTAATGAGTGGCTGTCTGTTCTGGGCCATGACAAAGTCATGGATGATAACAGCTCAACCCATTCCGCACTCTCCTTGAAGAAAACCTCAGCTCAAGTAATTCTTAACCTTCCTACTAGCTTGCTACTAGCAGTTGACGATGCTCTTCGGCGAGATGATACCCACATTCTCCTCGAGTTACTCCCAACTCTCAAGGTTGCTGCTGATGGACTAGGAGAAACTGTTTACACGAAAGTTTTAATGTCTTTGCAACAGCGATCGATTCTCTACCGCTCCAAAGCTTGTCTTGTTGCCCTCTTACAGCGAGTCGGCTCTCTTGAGGAAGAAGATGATATTAATAAACGAAACTGCATCCACCGTCTGGTTATCTCCATTGGTCGATCGCAGTCAGCGGCGGACTCCGAACAGGCTACCATGGTGTTGAACTTCCCTTCCGAAGTATCAAATTATATTACGCCAGCAGCTACTCCAACACTAAAGCCCCAAAGGCCGGTCGTAATGGAATCGGATCAACCAACTCACCTTAGCCGTGACAGCCCGGTCGTAGTATTTTTACAGTATCTCCTGGACAATCTGCTTCTCCATCAACGTCCCGCGCTTCTCGCAAGAGATATCTCAGGAAAGACCCCATTACATTTTGCCGCACAGTATGGATTTAAAGCCGTTTGCGATGTCATAATTGAGCATCTCCAGGACTGGGACATGTTCGATGTTTCGGAAGGTATCGATGGACCTCTATGGCAAGATGATGAGGGCATGGCACCACTACATTTGAGTGTAGTTGGCGGTCACCCCTTAACTACAAAGGCGCTGCTGGACTCTGAAAACTGGAAAGGCAACAATCAGGATAAAACAGTAATAAGAAGGAATATTTTAAAATCCAGTGCCGTCCTTGCTCTTGCTACAAAAGCGAATTTCGTCGATATCGTTCACCTCTTAGTTGAGGCAGGTGTGAACATTAATTATCAAGATGAACAGGGTGAAACGGCGCTCCACTCGGCGGCGAGATTTGGCCATGATCAATGTGCGGCCGCACTTCTAAAGGGATCTGATGAGCAGAAAGCCAACATTGAGTTAGCAGAGCATACCTACTCATGGACTCCACTTTTTATCGCTGCTGTGGATGGTAACTTGAACATTGTTAAATTATTAGTTGATGCAGGTGCCAACCTTGAGGCCACTGACTCTTCTGGATGGACTGCAAAGGAACATGCTACCCTTAGAGGTCATATAGATATTGCCCGCCATTTGGATGAAGCCATGGCTACCTCTGATGGGGGTGTCGAGTCAGATGGTGCATCGCAGTCCGCAATATCTTCATCCCCTTCAACTCAGTCTTCGTTAAATGATCGAAACTCGAGAGATCGTGCAGCTGATGCGATAAAAACCTTTGGTCATCGCTACTTGACAGACGAGAGCATGATTCTAGTCAGCCTTGGAACCATGGATATGAGAAAGACGGCAGATCCCGTACGCCTTGAACGCATTCCTATGGCAGAGGCTCATTTAACACAGCTTGACACTGCGCTATCTATTGTTGTTTCCGCCAGTGGTGCTCATGGTGAACCGCAGATTATCGATCTACCAGTCCAGGACAATATCTCAACGGAACCGATAGTTTTCCATACTGCAGATTCTACGAAGACCAAAATTGTCTTCGACTTGGTCCCTACTTATGCCGGCTCTAAGGATCAAATCTTTGGCCGCGGAGTAGCTCTGCTGTCTAGTTTCAAGCCCACTGTTGGATCCAACCGATCTAACCTACAGGGAGACTTTGTGGTTCCAATAGTAGCTGCAAAGACCCTCGAGATTATTGGATCTGTCACATTTAATTTCCTTGTCATAACTCCCTTTAGCCATCCGAAAATGTCGGTTAAGGAAGACCAGACATATTGGAAGAGTATCGCGTCGCCTATGGTTATTGGCCATCGAGGTAATATAATTACGCCCTTTTGCCAGCCGTCACTTACCTAACCTATCTTGTTCAAGGTCTCGGGAAAAATATCGCAGGACGCCATTCTTTACAATTGGGTGAAAATACTGTTCAGGTGTGTTGCAAACCCACAGACAATGATTGATCTTCCTAACAGCGGTCCCAGTCATTTATCGCGGCCGCAAACTTGGGAGCGTCATATGTTGAGGTAAGTATTGCAGCCTATTCCCAACGATCATTGGTGATATTGTTTATACTTACTAAAAGCCGTATCTTCCTATAGTTTGGTACGAGAGTTCATTCGTTTATCTACCTATTGGTCTACTGCTAACTTGTGCGGGAATGAAGATGTTCAACTGACAAAGGATCATGTTCCGGTTATTTATCACGACTTCCTTGTTAGCGAAACAGGAATAGATGCGCCAGTCCATACTCTTACGTTGGAACAAGTGTGTCTCCCATGACTCTAGGCCTTAGTATACAGGAACTAACCTGAGCTTTAGTTTCTTCATATAAGTGATGGACGGAAGCCAGCTGGGAAGCAGGCTTCCAACCAAAGCGGAACTCCAACCTCAGATGGCGGATTCTCACATCATCTACAAACACGACCACGGTCTATGTCGGTTGGGGAAGAATTAGGTGTCCCCAATTTGAGCGAGAGAATGAAACATACCAGGGATTTCAAAAAGAAGGGCTTCAAAGGGAACTCACGAGGTGACCACATACAAGCACCTTTTGCAACACTAGAAGAACTCTTCAAAGAGCTACCAAAATCAGCAGGCTTCAACATGGAATTGAGTGAGTTACTTTCAACTACCAGAACCACACATTCGATCCTAATACTGACACTTCTCTTCCTGCCAGAATACCCTATGCTCCACGAAAGTGAAGAGGAAGAAATGGACACATATGCTGTGGAACTAAACTCCTTTGTTGACAACGTTCTCCGTATAGTCTACGACCATGGCGAAGGAAGGAACATGATATTCTCATCCTTCAACCCAGATATCTGTCTTCTCCTTTCCTTCAAACAGCCTTCCATTCCCGTCTTGTTCCTTACCGATTCAGGAGTGAGCCCTGTTGCCGATATTCGGGCTAGCAGCCTCCAAGAGGCTATCCGATTTGCCTCTAGATGGAATCTTCTGGGCATTGTCACTAATGCGGAACCATTGGTGCTTAGCCCCCGGCTTGTCAAAGTCGTAAAGGAGTCAGGTTTAGTCTGCGTTTCTTATGGGACAATAAATAATGACCCAGCTAATGTCAAGGTACGTTTTCTTATGTTGTATGTAAACTGACTTTATCCATCATTGTTTCGGTTGTTGCATATACTTACTACTCTCTTCCGAGTTTGCAGGTCCAAGTTAGCGAGGGTATTGATGCCGTGATTGTTGATAGTGTGCTAGCTATTCGACAGGGATTGACGGGGGTCGAAGCTTAGAGATTGCCCGCCTTCATTGTTATGCAATAGACTTATTTCAGGGAATAAAACAGAAGACCTATATAGCTAGATTCAAGATTACTTTTATGCCATCAATTTATGACAGCCCTCACGAGCCCAAATATTCGACATCATGATGACAGAATAATTTTTCACGATGCTTAATAACCAACACCAGTGTTCTCTTCTTACATTAAACATCCCTCTTGGATACTAGAGTGCATTTCACTCATTCCTACCCGTATTCGTTTCGATTGGTTGCCTCCACGCAGCCCTATCCTATTCTGATGCATAAATACCTCTACAAACCATTCATACCAGACTTTCCGATCATCTGTCTGTCTAAACATGGTTAAAACAATATCGGAGTTCTCAGGAACGTATAGTGGACTCTAGTAGAAGAATATCAGTATAGGTTCAAACCCAGATGGTTACCGAGTCCACATACCTTCAATGGGAAATAGATAGGGAACCAGCTTATCATATCCTTGCTTTTTGCATCCATAGTCAGGGGGTTAGTCGATAGCTCAACGTCCCCATATAAAACGGTTTCGAAATATCCTGCCAGGCCATGACATGTTCCGCCCTCGCTGCACGGGAACGTAAGTCTAGTTTGTCGTGTGTTGTGGGAATTTGAAGGCCTAGCTAATGATTTAGATTCCTCCGGTATGTTAGGGTTCGGGTGCGAGAAAGACCAAGCTGTTAGAACGATGGGAGTGTCCGATTCTTTCATGGGAGGCGGTGTTGTAGAGGGAGTTGAGGTTGAGGTTAACGCCGCTGTGCTAGAAGATGCACTACCCAGGATGGGATTTATAGAGGCAGTAATAGATAGATAGTCGAATGCATGTAGCATAACGACGTATGGAGTCTCTGGAGCGGCTGGATTAGATTTGACCTGACTTTGAATATCCGCAAAGAGACGTGGCGATGAAATCGGGGTGATGTGTGATGAGTATGAAGTGGGAATGGAGATTCCGTGAGTCGGGTTTAGAAGATGTTCAACACCATCAAGGCATTCCGGTGACAGTTCATTATCACCAAAGGAACCAAGAAGTTCCGAAACAATGATGTCGATAGGGTAGTATACAGTAGAAAGCTTGCTACTTTCAACTCCCGCATCTAAAAAATATTGTTAGAATATTATCATCTATTCAAGGCGATACCCGCCACATCATAAATTTGTGTGTCGAATATCTTAGGAATTAAAACATACCTTCGGCTTTCGCCTGGCGGGCTGGTCCTTTCCAGCTTCTCATATCAGAATGCACTAGTGTCACACTCCCGCCCCATACTGCTTCATTCTGTCTCTGGAGATGAACAAATGCATTCTGGTTCTTCTCCAAGGCCCATAATTCTATATCAACACCAGCTTCAACGCTAGCACGGATTGCCCTAGAAACCAAAGGCCCGCGCCCAGCACCAACCACAGCTAATACTACTCGGCCATTAGGGTCCGAAGTTGGCTTCTTTTCCAGTTTCCAGTCTTTTAGAGCTTTAGTGATTGCTCGCTCGTACCATTCATATTTAACTGGATCTGTTTCAAAAACTTCGTAAGTCACGCTTTCGAGATTGACTGTGAGAGGCTGCAGTGGAGCTTGTAGATAGTCTTGATAGCCAAGAGTAAAGTTCTCTACACGAGACCACAGTGGTTGCTTCTTCTCTAGATTTCGTATGTATGATAAATGGGGCGTTATATCCTCTTTCTTCCTGGGAGACTGAGCTGCCTCTGCGGGGGTTGGGGAATAACCATCTATCTTCTCCAGTCCAGGAATTGGGCCGACATCACAAAGAAAAATCCATGGAGGGATGCCTCTCATTGCACGGAATATGTATGATTGATGTGCCTTGCTAAGGACGGGAAAATTTTTGGGGTTCTTCACAAACGATGTGCCCCCCAAAGTAAGAATGCGGACAGGTTCTGATAACCACCTTGACTGCACAGTTGATGGAGGCAGCTGGCGAGGTAATGATAGAGCTGGATTAAATTCAATTATTAGCATAGTTCCAGGACATATAACGGGGACATCTAAATAATAACTAATATTGATCGATAGCTGGGAACAAAGCAAGAAAACCTGGGCTTAATATTAAGGTGTAAGAAAAATGTATTATCCTTACCTACTGTGAGTCTTGTGTGATATTTACAAACTTTCCTAATAATGTTCCATGCATTCCACGTCCCAAACATATCCAGTTGTGGGGATGCTTCAGTCAACGAGTTACTCAAATATTCACGTCTTGCAAATGGAGAAAGGTCTCCCATTTGATTTGTTTCCAAACCAGGGTTATCGACCACAGGTAGCCATATATTTACTCGAATATATGGCGCGGTAGACAAAGCTTCTTGGATTGCTCGCGCATAGTATATCAACCCCTCCCCGTGCAAATTCCCATGGTGGAGCTTCGGCCCGGGGATGATAGCATGATGAACACCACAAAATGCAGCATAGGCCAGTTCCAACAAAAGAACTTGGCGAGATATATCAGCAATCAGCGGATCTGGGGAGCACATATCTATCCATCGACTTGATACAGCAACCACATAATTATTGGTTCCATCGGGTCGTAGATTTGTATCCGCCATTGCAAATGAGGGGATTTTAAGATGTGAAGTGTTACGAGAGGTGAAGTATGTGCCAGTTGGGTCCTGAACGGGTTGTTGTAGCTCAGAAAGGTGACCAGACAGTAGAGAAAGAACACGCGATTGGAAGTGCGGTGTCGTTATTGGTGTGGTAAGCATGTCATACTAAAGAATTATTAGTAGCAGGCTCTTGAATATTATGGAAAAAAAGGAAATAATCATACGCCACCATCATGAGCCAATTGAGATATTTCATTGGTGATGCACAGCTTCCTCTCGGATTCATGCTGGCCAACAACAAACACCGGCGGAGTCCCATCTGACTGGGCCATTCTCCTCTCAGGCGTAATGTCGTAGATATAGCAACACACTGTTAGGCGTGTTAATTATAAGTACTGTTGAAAGCTCTGGCGGGGATCAATTGCCTTGCTCTAGTTCAACTAGATAAGAGAATCTAAACCCATCAGTTGGTATCACAGTGCAAAGCCAATGTCCCAAAGCACGATACAACATAAGAATAAACACAGAAGTCTATATCCGCCTCAACAAGCCATATTTCCTCATTCTGTGGAATAGCTGTTCGTTTGTCGTGATATTTCTGTAATTATCAAAAGTTGTTCGTGGAGAAAATAAAACAAAAAATAAGAAAGTTATGGTGGGAGGGCCAAATTTGGAAGGTTTGCCTTGCTTTCTCGGCTTACTTTCCTATCTGGACCCCCGCCAAAATTTCAACCTTGAATATATAATTTTTTTTTTTTTTTTTTTTTTTTTTACTTTTAAGCAAAACGAAGTAAAGACAACGACCTACGGGCGAACAATACCTGCAAGATATATTGTCTACAAGGCAGGTGGACAGTATACCTATATATTTCCGCCGCCATGGCTACGAGGGATGATGGTGAAAATGGGTCTCGTGCTAAAAGATTAAAGACGACAGCAGACACAGACCCTCGCTCAAATCCGTACCTCGCGCACATGTATGAGAATGAGGATGTATCGAATGGAACAAATCGTGAGTCGCCTCTCGCAGGCTTCAGGAGACATGAGACAACCGCAGAGATGGCAAATGAGGTTGAAAGCGGAGGCGTGAACCCATTTACAGGCAACCAATTTTCAAGCAGATATGTCTCGATACTGAAGACCCGTCGCGATCTTCCAGTTCACCAGCAGAGGTATGCTTGCCATATCAACATATCATCCCTTCTCAATCACGACACTAACTTGTAATAGGAATGAATTTCTAAAGCTTTATCAACAATCGCAAATCCTCGTTTTCGTTGGTGAAACCGGTTCTGGAAAGACTACACAAATTCCCCAATTTGTGCTGTACGATGACCTGCCTCAGTTTCGTGGGAAACTAGTTGCCTGTACTCAGCCACGACGTGTTGCTGCCATGTCAGTCGCCGAGCGAGTCGCGAACGAGATGGATGTTACGCTTGGAGAGGAAGTCGGATATAGCATCCGATTTGAGGACAAGACAAGCTCCAAAACTATTCTGAAATATATGACAGACGGTATGCTGCTACGTGAAGCAATGCACGATCACGATCTTAAGCGATATAGCACCATTATACTTGACGAGGCTCACGAACGGACAATGGCAACCGATGTCCTCATGGGTCTTTTAAAGGAAGTTGTTCTGCGTCGACCGGATATGAAACTCATTATCATGTCTGCCACCTTGGACGCACAGAAATTTCAACGTTACTTTTCCGATGCTCCATTGTTAGCGGTCCCAGGAAGAACCCATCCTGTTGAAATATTCTATACCCCAGAGCCAGAACAAGACTATGTTGAAGCCGCGATCCGCACGGTTCTACAAATCCACGCAACGGAGCCGGAAGGTGATATATTACTGTTCTTAACTGGAGAAGAGGAGATTGAGGATGCGGTTCGCAAGATTTCTCTTGAAGTAGACGAAATGATCCGTGAAGTGGATGCCGGTCCAATGAAGGTCTACCCCCTATATGGTTCTCTACCTCCTGCCATGCAGCAGCGCATATTCGAGCCTCCACCGCCGCCGCTAAAGTCAAAAGGCCGACCCGGAAGAAAGTGTATTATATCCACAAACATTGCCGAAACCTCACTTACCATTGATGGTATCGTGTATGTGGTAGACCCTGGATTTTCGAAGCAAAAAGTGTACAACCCACGCATTCGTGTCGAGTCTCTTCTTGTCTCTCCTATCTCAAAAGCCTCCGCACAACAACGTGCTGGCCGTGCTGGTCGTACAAGACCCGGAAAGTGCTTCCGTCTCTATACTGAGACCGCATTCAAAAAGGAACTTATTGAACAAACATACCCTGAAATCCTTCGTTCAAATTTAGCGTCTACAGTCCTAGACTTGAAAAAGCTCGGTATCGACGACCTGGTTCACTTCGACCTTATGGATCCTCCCGCTCCTGAGACTTTGATGCGGGCGTTGGAAGAGCTGAATTACTTGGCATGTCTGGATGATGAGGGGAATCTCACTGCCCTTGGCCGATTGGCTTCCGAGTTCCCTTTGGATCCGGCTCTAGCTGTGATGCTGATAAGCTCTCCAGAGTTTTACTGCTCTAACGAAATCCTCTCGATAACATCCTTACTGTCGGTTCCTCAGATTTTTGTTCGCCCTGTAGCCCAGCGGAAACGTGCAGATGAAATGAAAAACCTCTTCTCTCACCCAGATGGCGACCATCTTACCCTGCTCAATGCCTACCATGCCTTCAAGGGGCCTGAAGCACAGGCTAACCCGCGACAATGGTGCCATGATCATTTCCTCTCGCTCCGAGCTTTACAGTCCGCCGATAACGTACGGCTACAACTTCAACGCATAATGGAGCGTGAAGAAATTGAATTGGTATCTACACCATTCGAAGATAAAAAGTATTACGAAAATATTCGCCGCGCACTAGTGGCTGGATTTTTCATGCAAGTTGCAAAAAAGGAAAGCCAAGGAAAGAGCTTGTATCGTACAATCAAAGATAACAACGACCCAGTTTTGTTGCATCCCAGCACAGTTTTGGGATATGAGGCGGAATGGGTCTTGTATAATGAGTTTGTCTTGACAACGAAGAGCTTTATTAGAACCGTCACTGCGGTTAAAGGAGAATGGTTATTGGTATGCACTCTACACACCTATTATTGCTTTTAAACTTTATTTTCACCTTCTAACTTCCTCATACAGGACATATCACCGACATACTACGATATATCTAGTTTCCCAAAAGGGGAGATTCGGTCTGCATTGATTCGAGCTGGCGAAAGGCTATCTCGTAAAGAGAAAATGCGATCCGATGCAAGCAAGAGACGATGAATTGCCCAACGCTATTACTACGCCCAGGATAATCACTGATTTATTTTATGACACGTTTGCTTTCTAGCAATCTGCCATCTTTAAGTCATTATGGCAATAGAACACCACAGGTTAACGATGCGCTGAGGTAATGGTAGAGATGACACTGCCATTTACTACAGTAGACCAGTTTTGTACCTTGAATCTAGGCGTTCAAACGGTTTTTTTTTTTGTTCATCGAGTCAAAAGCAGTTTATAGAATATCATGGTACAGATTTTAAGAATTAATGCACAAATTTTGCCTAGAGACCGGAGATTTGCCATAATGCTATCCATTAAATTGTGTATCACAATCATTTAGAATTAATCATCAAAGACAAGTAGAGATGCAAAATATCCACGGCCCCAGATGATTGGGCCATTGATTGGATCTATAATACATAACAGTCAGATCTCCCTTTATCCGACTTTTTCCGCATTGAGCCATATCTACGATATGAACTCCTAGCGCATGCATGATAATAGTACAAATAACCAAGTTCGAAGGTATAGGTCATCACGAAGATATCCTAATATGGACCAAATGATATATAACAAAGTGCTGCCAAATGATGACCCGCGAATGTTAGTTATTCAGGGTGGAGGGTGAGAGATAAGGTTGGAAAAAAGGGTAAAGCACGGCGTGAGAAGAAATACAGCGTTAGCGGTGGGTATTTGGATTTAATTAGAAGGTGACGATTGGTACGATTTGTGAATATTCGACGGCGAGTATTTGATAGTTGAAACCCTTTTGATCTGAGGGGACAATTTTGTCGCAGGCTGTCTTTGAACCTCGATTGGAGTCGGAGAGTTAAATGATGAGGATTTGGAGGTTGTTATTTTAGGAGCCACATATAGCTCAGGCGAGAATGTGTCTGGCTGCGAAAACTTGTGAGATAGCATAGCTTGTATCATATCCATTTGTGATTTGAGTGTAGCCATTTCTGCTTTTCGTGTTTGCCGTTCAATCTCTAGAGCAATGTCGCGAATAGCCAAGTCCAAGGAGTGAACTTTCTCTCGGATTAATTCGCTTTGGCTTGGCTGCGATAATTTAAAGTGTAGATTTCTCATATCATGCTTGTGGCTTTCCTTCTCTACCTCGAATTTCATATCACGGATAGTCAATTCGGAATTTCGGATTTCATATGTAAGCTGATCATACTTCTGCTGAAACGATGCATTTTGGTCGTCAGTTGTTGATACGGCGTGTTGGATTGTTCCCCTGATGCTGTTGACGAATTCTTTGTGCCTTTCATCAATGGATAGTTGAGAGGCGGGTAATCTGGGAAGTTCTGCCGCTGCACGCCAACGCTCTAACGTTGACAAAATGACAATCCTTTCATCTGTGGAATTATACGCATCTTGCCAGTCAATGCCATGAGCCGCTGCTGCTTTCAGTATGGAATTCCCGAGTCTTTCTTTGCCACAAGAATTGCAGAATGCAGCCATATACAATATCAAACGCTCAAACTGGCCCTCATTATCCGCTATAGTGGAAGAGATGTAGTCTACCACCCTCAGAAGTAGCGGGCCACCATGTTCCCAGTCCTGACGTTGCGAATAAAATCGTAGATATGAACCCAGTACATGGGGGTTATCTGCATAACCACGATGTCTCATGACAGCAAGCCAAGCATCCGCTCTCTGTGGTTGATTAAAACCAAGTGCAGACGATATAAGAGTGCTCAAAATTGCATGATCGCTGCCCTTTGGTGGTACCGGAATTTCGATGTCACCAACTTTTGTGAGTTTCCAATACTGCGGTACCCGTAGTAGTTTTCCCCCTAGTAGTCTATTTAGGAAACCATCGAACCTATATAAGTCTTTAGACTTGTTAAAGAAGTCTAACGTCGCTATTATGACACCCTCACCGAGGATAAGGCCGTTCGGGAATATCGAATCAATGATCATGTTCACCACATCATTTTGTCTCGATCGACCAAACATTCTTATCATTAAAGACACGGAAAGCCGTGATAATGGTTCTTCGGATGACAGAATATTTTCGGCAACTTTGATAAGCAGGTCTCGGGACGTTAACTCGTCGTCTTGGTACATCGCGAACATTCGCTTCAAATCTTCATTTAAAGCATTTCTCTCCGCGATCAGGTTTTCATGCTCCACTATTGTGATATTTCTTGCAAGGTCGCCAAACCATGCATCCCTTGAACTCCGAAGCTTCGCAATTCTGACCCGGATATTTTCAAGTTCAGCTAGAAGCTTTTCTATATCTATATCTGGGAGAACGCAGGAGGTTCGTGAAGTAAACGGTACTCCGGCATATAGATGCGCAAGAGCGGGCCGTAATATCATCTTGATTGCGAGTTGTCGTGCGGCTAGCCGCAGGATCGCCCTTTGTCGTAGAATATCATTGAGCGAAAGATCGCTTTCATACCGTTCTATTTCAGCCTCTGATCTTGGATCTACGTCGGCATCGTAATTCGTCAACTCTCTGGGGAGGGATTGGACGTGTGGCGTAGCAGAGTTATCATACTCTGGGTCAAGGAATTCCGTATCAAGTTGCTGTGCTTCTGAGCTTTGACATCTTGCTCCTGCGGCTTGAGTGGACAAATGACGACAATATCTCTGCTGAGATCTATCCGGACCTATAGATGTGCTATACCCCCTTCGTTGTTGTGATGGAGCTGACACCCGAGTTCTCTTCCTCGAGGCTAGGGCTTCTAATCGGCGAAGTTGGTCGAGCTCGAGCGCCTCAACTTCTGCCTTCACGGCTTCGATTTCTTGTTGTCTTTCAATCCGTCTTCTTGTTTTCACACTGGTATCCCATGCTACTGCTGTCGCAAATAAGGTGGCATAAAATCCGGTGATACTGTTCCCGATCAACATCCGTCTTCGACTTGCTGCGGACACAGTGCGGCTGGTAGCAGCATTTGAAGAAGAGCTTTTCAAACAAGAGCCACACCGGCAGGTATAGGCCTGTATCTGAGCCCGTGGCCAAAGAGTCTGCATTATGCGGAATGTAGACGCAGCATCGGAGGGCAGCGATGTGCCGGCAAAAAAGGCGACGTTTGGAAGTTGGCGAGGCGTAATCTAGGTCAAAGGCATACCCTGGCGCATGCTAACAGAGAAATTCATTTTTCGGACGTCAATGGTGAGCGTAGACTGGAAGCAGTACGGCAGCAGTTATGATAATTCACCAATATCGTATTTCTTCGAAGTTCGCAAGACAGGCAAAATTGACTTTGATATATTATATAATCAAAGAAGTAACGCCTGGTGCAAACAAGCCAAACAAGCTCAGCCTCTATAGTGTAACGTTTCCTCTATCAGATGCACAAGGAGGGCGCAATTCAAGGTACAACAGGAATTAATCAGGGCAATTGAAGGGTTTCTAGCATCACCAGGAACCTGGATCTCACAATGATCAGACCATGGAGTATATTGTTAGCCCTTTTGGCCTCTGCTCCCTTTATCAACGCTCACGGATCGCATGGAGACAATCAAGATCACTCGGGGTTTGACTGGCCAACACTTCATATGATAGGTGTGCTATTCTATTCCATAAGTTTCACAGCTGAATGCTCGTTTGTTTTTGTGATATTTTGCATATGTATAGATCTCTGACTTCTAAGGATCATTATAGAGGAGCATCACATCACTTCATTCGATGCAAGGTCCTTCTTTACACTACACGATTATGACAATTCCGGAGTATGGACAACAGATGAGGTTCGACGAACGTACGGTCTAGATGATGAATCAAATGCTGCTTTAACCGAGGAACGAAAGCAACAGATCCTTCGAGAAGTCTTCAATATTTTTGACCCTCTAAAAACCGGGGTGATTTCAGTCAACGACTATGTACGCCTTACGAAGGAAGGCAAAAAGCTGCCCGATTTTGGGACTGGACCTGGCCACCATGGTGACATGGAGTATGAATATGAAATTCATCATTTCGAGAAATACCACGGAGACGATGCACGAGAAGAAGACTTGACCCACCCTGAGGACATTGAGCACTTTAGGAAACACGATAAAGAGTATGCTGAAAGCCTGAGACTGGAGAAACTTGAAAGTATGGATATTGTAGTAGCCAATATTCCTGCGAAATTCTTAAAGAGCCCAAGCCCATAGACCTTTCTTGGTCATTTGACTGCTTTGATTTTCTATATATTGTGTGATACCCTCTGGTGTCTTCACGAAGTTTACGGGGTTATGTGTGAATTAACAACAACGCAGTATGGTTTTCACCTAGTATGTTCAATAGATTTCTAATACCTGTTGTATTATGCTTTGTTTGCTTGTTTCCCTTCTACAACCATGTTTATATTGCATAGAACAGTTCCATAACCTAACTGTTCTCATTTCGCATTCTTGTTTTATATATGTGAATAGGTTGGATATGTATATCAAAAACACAATGCATCACTCCTGGCGCATAGGTCTTCACCTCCTCCACATGATTACACTCAACACCACTTATGGTATAATCGTCAAGAGATCCTGTGTTTGATTGTAATCTTTCGAATTCCGCAATTATTGCGGACCGTGTCTCGGGTATCTCATGAACATTAACATTTTCATGTACATGGACCCATCCACCCTTCTCCCGATCTATCAAAGCCGTAGCGGCGCTCCAGGTACCTCTAGAACTTGGTAGGAGGCCAAGGTTAGCGTGTCTGATCCGCTTCCATATATTCCTTGCCTCCATCTTAGCTTTGATATCTTGCATGACATTAACTGCAAATGAGTTGTCACCGTGAAAAGCGATCACCCGAATATTATCACCATTCAATTTGTGAATCAGATCACCAATTCCATCCACTCTGCCTTCGCCGTCCACCTTCAGTATTTTTATCCCCCATTTATTTGCTTCACACCCTCTACGTAGGCCTTCGATAGACCAGCCATTAAGCTCCCAAGCCCACACTCTGGCGACCCCCATTTTCAAGTAAGAAAATACGAAATAGCCAATGCCAGCGTACAAATCAATGACGGATATTTCCTGGAGGGGCTGCTGAAGCTGCTGTTCGTTTAGGCCATCAAACTTTGATTCTAGTCCAAGTATTCGAGCCTTTTCCACAACGTTTCCGCGGCTGAACATTGTGTATAACGGTGCCCAGATTTGTATTATTCTGGAGTTCTGCACCGCCTTAACCCAGAACGCTTGCTGGAGGTCTAGCTCCGAAGGGTGTATATGTTGAGTTTTAGGGGGTATTATTGGGCCAAAATCACCATATAAAGGGGTAAGATTGGTTGGACCTCGGACCTTGTTCTCGGTTCCAATATTTGTAGTAAGGGAAATCGGAGCGTTGACTGCTACATGAGTTACACCCATCGGTGCGAATATCTGCGCTATGCAGGCGTATAAGTTTTGAAGTTGGACATTGCTTAAAAGGGAGATGAATCTTTCCCATCGGAGGTTTTTGCTAAAGAAATTTGGGGGAAGCAGAAGAAGTGGCTCATATATGGTGAATCTTCTACTAACAGAAGATAGCAAGGAGTTCAAGTCAATACCATGGTCAGTCAAGAATGAGGGTTCAAGATGATTCTCAACAAACACTCTCACTGCCCTTTCAAGAGAGGGGTTTATGGCCTTCTTTCTCGGAGTTTTATTTTGTTTACTCAATCTTGTGTCCTCCATCCTCCTGAAAGTATTTGCTGATTTGCTTGTTCAATCCTCAAGGTTTCATCTTCAAATTTATGCGAAAAGCTTGAAATTCTTGTGTCATCACGTGACTGGTTTGATTGTCCAGTAGGAAAATTCAATATCGGAGGTGAAAGGTTGAACATATCTCAGGATTATTATTATATAGTAAATGCCTACCACTGGCTATATGTTGAGAAAACATATACTAGGTCTTCTCCCAGCATTTACAACTAGCGAACCAGCAGCCATCGACAGGCCTCAGCATCACCCCACGACGCATCACAAAAGGCACATATTCAAAGCCAGCAAGATGTGTTCAAACAAAGACGAGTTTTCTGAAAAAGGAGGTTATATGGAAGCTTGCTTTGTCTGGGGAATTCCATGCACCGAGGATCTGATCCGGGTACATCTCCTTGGAGGTCACAGTGCGGAAGAAGTTCATGCGCCACCTGGAGCCGCGAGCAGAATCGACGTTAAATAAAGCCAGAGGAATACGCACTTCAGAAGTCCACTTTCCCTGAGGTTGAGCTAGCGATGTTTGAGAAGTTATTCCGTCGGCGATGGGATTGGTGATGAAAGCATGATCGAATGGAGCACCGTCTGCTCGATTTTTGGACGGATTGTAGACGAACGCTTGATATGTGATGTTGTTGGGACTGACTTCAAACTCCAGGTATGTCGAAGGGTCGGCATGGCCTGAGGAAATGAAGGCTTCCATCACTTCATACTTCCAGATATCGTCATTTATCTTTTGTTCCGGGTCGAAATAGAAGTACTTTTCGTCCTTTGCCTCGAATTTCAGGTTGATAGTCTTGGTATCGTAACAAAGCCTGACAGTTGTGCGAGGAAATGGTTTCTGGTCAGGTACAGTCTTGTCGAAATCAAGGGAGAAACGCAAGGGGCATCTGGGAACCTGAAAGACAGGGTCATAGGCTGCAGCGCAATTGACGGCTGTAGCCACTGCGAGAATGGTGTTAAAGCGCATTTCTGACTAATGAGATGTCAACGTTCTCGACAGAAGAGAAAAAAGGGGGAATATTTTCGACTGCTACCGGAGACGATTCATCTCTTTATAGTTACTGCCATGGATGACTTCCCCCACACTCGCAGCTCTAGACGGCCAAAGCGGGATTCATAACTACCCCTGCAAAGGCATTATAGCATTTACATACATAGTACATGGGATGCCGTCGCTAGTTCCTTTGAACAGGGTGAAAGCAGCTATATTAGCATTTCCCTGCACCACGAAAATGTAACATTCCAACAGGGCCAGGATATGGCGATTGGCTGACTCTTTTTTCCCTTGCAGCCCATCCATCCCCAACCCCAGACGCTCATTACCACCGTGCCAGTGAGCTGTTTTGGCACAGCTTCGATTGGTGAGCAAGTGGGACATAAGATCCTCCATGTTGCACTGTGGAATGAATCACGCGCGTGGCAGGAGGCTTATCCACTGTCATCCCTCAACTGCTCGTATTTTCAACGGCAGAAAAGCAAGTCTCGACTCCAAGGATATTGCTTAGGCTGTGGATGTACGTTGAGATTGTTGATACTCTGCGTCGTTCAAGGCGTTAACCAAGGTAATTAATCCCCTGTCTTACCTGTTAAGCTACGCCCTGAACCCACTTTTTAACTACGTTTGTGATATGTGATGTTGCCCGAGAGGGTGCGGTACTTATCAATGCAAGCCGAGGCACATCGAACTCAATGCATCAAAGAGTTGCAACACAACTCGTCGGGCGACTGATGTAGTTATAGCCGATAAGTACGGAGTATGGCTTGGTGAAATATCGCTGCACGACATAAATATCATCAAACACTTGAGAAACCCTGGAATAGTTATAGTTAAGAAGTATTCTTCTTCACTCTTGCGCAGTATACGGATAAATATGGGTACGGCCCAAGGCGTATCAAGATCGTTGATTACTTCTCATCATTCGTCCACCCGCAGGCCAGCTACTCCGCCAACCAACCATCACAGACCTCTGTATATAACTTCAAGGCTGATCATTTAATTTTGGCTCTTAAAATGAAGATCGTTCAGTTACTAATGTCATCAAAGCCATCTTTACCCAATCATAGGATTTGAGAGATGGAAATATGAGCTGGAAAATACGAAATTCGCACACCATAACTATAAATAGTTGGGAGCTATCTAATATATATACATACCTCGTTGGCTTTCACCTTCGATGCTGAGGAGTTATGATTTCAACCACCATTCTCAAGCAAAATCCCCTCATAATATTTCCAGTGTCAAAGATCAAAATTGTTGAAAAATGAAGCTACTTCTCTCTGAACTCCTTCTACTGCCTACCCCCATTTTTGCAGCAGTGGGTGGTAGATGCAGCGGTGAATGGAACACGGATCGCTGTATATGCCTTGACCACAATGAATGTACTGGCAAATATCACGGATGGGCGTACCAAGGAGATGCGCAGACGAAGAACTGGGCATGTCCGTTCGATGGGGATAATGTTTGGGGATGTGAGATTTCACCTTGTCCCGGCAAGGGGACGAAGGCCGTATGCAAATGGAAGAGCGAGTGCATAGGAGCAGTACTCCCAGGTAAGATAGAGAAGTCCGTTGTTTCCCTATCCCCGGCTGTGGTATCTAACAGATGATAGACCCTATCTGCCCCGGTGGTGGTGACTTTGTCTGCTGTCAAAACCCTTGAATTCCATCTTAAACGAGAGGGGGAATACTTCCATGAGAGGAGCATTTATACCTTATCTACCTTTCAGGTTTAGTAGAAGATGGATCAAAAGGCTCAGATATGCATAACTGTTGTTTTCAATTATTTATATAATTATACCATATATACGTTCCATCTTCAAGTTTGATATGTTTCATGTGTCTCATAATTCATCCTTCAAGCCCTCGGCTTGCTCGACATACCAAGGATATACGAAATTCCAGCCTGCAGCTTTATAGGCGGATATTGCTCCTTGGAAGGCTGGGCAGACACATCCAGACAGCGAGACATAACACTAGCACTCCCAGTATAAACGGTTGCAAAATCTCGACTCCTTTCGCCTGAGCAATTGCACCGACAGCGAAAGGGAGTGTACTAGCTCCTGAGGCGCCCATAGCTGAAGTGAAGCCAATGGCAGCAACATGGAGATTCCTTGGTAACAATTTCGTCGCAGCAACGACACCTGCGGGGAATAAGGGGCCAAGGAAGAAACCCATGAACGCAACAGCGGTGGCGGAAGCATAGAAATTTGGAACAAGCCAAAATACGAGATCTAGACAGATACAGCAGCCAAGGTAGAACACAACGGCGTGCTTCTCTGTTTTGAAGAATCTAGGAGTAACGAACCCTAGAATCATTCGCCCTAGTGTTATGCCCAGCCAGAAGCCTGTAGCAGTAACTCCAGACGCGAATGGGGAACCATGTCGAACATTGATCATGAAGGTGACGATCCAGCCTCCCAACCCGACCTCTGCACCTGCGTAAACTGCAAGGAAAATGCTACAGATCCAGGTTACCCGGTTACTCAACGCCTCGGCCATTCTTGTGTTGCCCATGAGCTTAACCATCATTTTATTGGCCCTGGGAGATGCTGTATAGGCGTTTATATTGTTTCCGTGCCTCTCAGCTTCATCATACGAATCTTGATGGGCCTCCCGGTATCTAGATCCAGTTGCACTCCAGAACGCCGGAAGCGAAAAGGCAAGGGACAAAAAGGATGCACCGGCAAGCAAGTAGTAAAACTCATACCATTCCCAGCCAGCTTTGGTAATTAGAGCAGTTGCAATAAGAGGAGCCAGCATCCCTCCTAGTCCGTAGAATCCATGTAAGAGGCCAAGGAGTTCGTTTGCATTCGCCATGCCGCCTATCCATGCATTCCAAGCTGCATCCGCAATTCCATTGCCAAAACCGGCAAAGATGAAAGCAACAATAAGGGCCGGGTATGGCGGGTGAAGACAGACGGCAACGTATGCCAGTATATGCGAGCAAGGGCCGAGAAATGCTATACCACGCTGGCCCAGTTTCATATGGATCATGTTGCTGAACGTTGCCGCCGCTGCGTAGCCACCAAGAGGTGACAGGAAGATAAGCGAGACAACTGTGTATGAAATGTTGTAATGTTTTTCAATCTGGAATATATAGGATTAGTACGAAGTCGGGAAGAAGGGGAGTGAACAACTGTTAATACATACATAAGGTATTACAGCCTAGGTGAGACCAAAAGTAACGAGGTCAGTAGCTGGTCAATTCAATTTTTGACAGCGATGATAATGCTCACTCCATATGCTGCATCGTTGGCACCGAGAATGATGAACGTATAGTTCGCAGCAGCAAACCTCCACAGGTTAATGGCTGGCTTGTTCCACTTTGGCAAATGCGAGCGGGATGAATTGATCGAAGCAGAACGTCCGTTTACTTCCTCCCCTGATCGAGCTGGAGACCAATCAGCACTGATTCCTCGCTGTCTTCTGGTACATGATGTCTTCCCAGGAAATGACAGCCTCACCTTCTCTCATCTGAGGCTGTGGAGGAGGCGCCTCTATACAGCCCTGGCTGAGGGTCGTCAATGGGACGCTCATCCTGTCGATAAGCTGCCCCGAGTCACCCGCGAAGAAGCGGCCTATATACACCCAAACGTTTCTTACTGGCCGTGGAAATGCTTCTGAGGATCCAAATGGTCGGAAATGAAGATGGAGAGACAAAGGGAAGACAGGGAGATTATGAGACTTTATATACGGCACGCCCTTTTAAACTGGATTTGCCGAGAACCAACATCGGGGCGAAGAGCATTCTAGGATGGTCGAGAGTGCCGACGGATAGCTCATCCCGCATGGAAACACTGCTTGCAGACGCCATGCTTGGAGGATTCGTGGTGGTTTCTCCGGTGGAGTTGAAGGCCCATATAAATTCAATCCAAAGAACCCTTGCGCGGGCTTCCCGGGGTGCGCCCATGTCAAAGTAGAGCAAAGCAAGGCGTATCCATTCGGCAGCGAAGGGACCAAGACGGAAAGCCGGGAAAAACGACATACGAAATACGATATACGCTCAATCGTGACAATCTTTTACGAGGTTCGATGGGGGAAGTCGAGAGAAGTTGGATATACGGTTGATATCTTTCATCGAACGAAGGCTGGATCGGTAGGAGAAGTCTTTGCCTATGTTTCATGATCTCCAGTGTGGATCAACTCAGAAAAAAAAGAGGACAGCATTCCCTGCAGCAGAGCAGATGGATCTTCAAGACGATGGGAACAGGTATGTAACCAGAAATAAGCAAAGCCAGGTGTACATATATGAACAAGGAGTTCGACTGATTCCACTGTTCAACAGTATACAATACTAGGAAGAACAACAGTTAAATAGACAAACATAAAGAACTCACGATAAACGCCCTTGCAGCAATACAAAAATGCAATTCGCTAAGAAACGAGTGAACTTGGCTTGGGGAACGATCAAGCACCAGGAAGAAAAGAAAAAGGAGACCGCGATTTTAAAACATAAATATGGAGCCATAGGCATGATTAACATGATTCACCCGCTGCAGTACTGTACCCGCTATCTACAATCATAAGTAGTGAGGGCACTTATCTTCGCCTCATTGGACGCGAATATCTTTCAGTTGGTCTAGGTCAGTAATCTGCAGCTGAAGATCCGAGCCTATCGCTGGAGTCGAGTACGCTAAGAAATAACAAGTCAGTCACTTTGGCTGCAAATCAAAAAGTATCAAACGGAGAAAGAATAATTCGAAGACAGGGGCAGAAGTGAAGCTTACGAATGCTGTTTAGTCAAGGTACCCTCGCCTCCCTTGGAAAGATCGATGTTAAAAACGTAGAAAATGCCATCGCTCGTCACTACCATCACCTGTGGCGTATTACTGCTCATCGCAACAACGCTCCTCACGGGTCCAGGCCGCGATTGCTGAGTGCCCGCGGTATGCTTGGGCAGTTTGATCCAGGCAAAGTCCCGCGCCGGCTCCCACATTTCGGTAACACCTTTGGGCAAATACCCGCCTACAGTAGCCGCAACTGAAGTTCCGACTGTTTGTGATGTCCGTCTTATCAGGCCCATGAATGTGCCATCATGTTTGCGGCCCAGAAATCCGTCCATATCCGGTCCTTGGTTTCCAGAATTTTCACGGGGACGATTCCCCGGCGGCTGGCCAGTCATGCTACCAGGTGAGCCGGTGGCTGTAGTACCTTGGTGGCCTAGCTTGAATATATGGACAGTCTCCGTGGCAGAAGAGACACATAGCAAAGTCGATGTGGTGTTAAATGACATACTATATATTCTAGATGGCATCGACCCTCGGCGAAATTGGTATAGTTTGTGTCCGTCAGGTACCGAAAAGACGCGGAGAATTGTCCCTTTATCCGACGCGGTAGCGAGCATGGTGCCATCATTATTTAATGCAACACATGATAGCGGCGACCTATGCGCCTCTATGACGTTGATGGCTTCAAGCTTCTGGGCGTCGAATATTAGCACCTCTCCACAGGTGGGAGCAATATGTGAATTTCCGGGGGGAGTGTGAGTTGGAGCAGTGAATGATGGCGGCGGAGCCTTTTGGGGAAGCGGGTAAGCGAGGTAGCAGTTATCAGATGAAGGAGACAATGCGCAAATTGCTATAAAAGCGCTATATCAGCATATGACCTAAAATTGGTTTAGTTTTGCCATAGCTTCGGCTTATGGATTTACCATTTGGGTTAGGAGATGTTTCAATCGTGTACAACAGTTTCATTGTCTGAATGTCGTAGACATAGATCTGGTCTTCCAGAACAATTACTAGTCGTTTCCGATTTAGTCGAACAGCGAGCACAGTTGTAGGAAAGGTCAGTTCGCAGATAACCGACTGTCTCTGTCAGTATCAGGCAACTATTAGCTACCTTTTCCAGCAGAACGCATCACGGGTCTGTGTCGGGCTGAAATAAAAAACCACTGGCTCACCTTTGTGTTCGTAATCTGGAGTCGTCGTGGAGAGAGTATAAGTGCAACTAGCGATGTAGAAAAAAGCATTTCTAGCATGGCGATGTTTCCTTCTTTCGTTTCATAGCTTTTTACGAACGGATCGGTCGAAAATATGCGATAGCCTTTCGAGGTACCTAAACAAACCCGGGTTGGTTAAAATTGCGTTTCAGGAGAGAGAACGGTCAATATAAAGAGTCATACCAACAGCCAGGTAGCTGTAGTCCTGGTTAAAAGTCACAAAATTCATCGTCATGATGCGCTAGGCTCTGCCGCAAAGAATGGAGATAGAAACGTAGACAAGGATATATGTCTAGAAGGTTGAAAGGACAGCTCGATATCACAAGGTCGCTCTTGGAGGATGTGTTTGCCCCTGGGAAAAGGACAGTTATTTATCTCCAAGCGTTAGGAGTATAGGTCAAGTATATGAGTCGGCAGGCATCATATAATAACCAAGGCGGCGACGTATTGCGAACAGCGATGATGATTGACAACTGATTGGAGCTAGGAAGCGGAAATTAACAGACGGGTATGACGGAAATTGCGACAGCGTGGAACTTAGAGGTTCCGAATGTTCGAATGTAGGGCGTTAACACAGCGAGAGGGATATAGGAAATGTTTAGCAAACAAGTTGAAGCAGAAGGAAAGAAAAGGAAAAAGTGACGAAGTCATCCGCAGGTGCAAGGTACCTTCGCCCAAAATGGCTTAGTGCAAGTCAGATGACGCACGGGAAGACGCACGGATCATAGGTGAGGCTTAAATCATGTGATTCTTATCGATAAGCTAAAATATTATCAAAGCTTGGCATCTTTTTTCTGTCTTCGTCCCCTCACTCGCCTTAGATAGGTTCATGGCATTATACAAGAGAGGTCAGCGAACAGTTGAATAGTGTTAGAACACTCTCTGATAGTAGAAAAGGCCTACAATTATGGGGAAAACAAATGAAATCCAGACAGAGAAGGAAGCTGGCTCGGTTATGGGGGCAAGTCTCTTCTTTTTTGGACCATCCATCAAATGATTCTCTACGCTCCAAGCTAATGCACGACTATCAGACAAATGGAAGCAGTATTGTTTCAAAAAGGAGTGTCGAGCGGATATACTACAATGAACCTCACTTTTTTCAGCATTTCGTCAAGTCTTCCCCACGGAGAGCACCCTTAATAAACCGAGGGTATTGGCTACGAATGTATGCGATTGAGCACACAGTTACAGAATTTCTCAGAGAAAAAATAGGCCACCCGAAGTTGGTTATCAACTTTGGGTGTGGATTGTAAGTTATCTACCCTTTCTTTGCTCAATACGGTCCTCCTTTGTACGGTGATAAGCGATATTTGTTTCTAACGACTACCTTCCCCTAGCGACCCATTAGCTTTCCAATTTCTCTCACGAGAACCAGGTTTATGCGTGGATACTAAGTTTATCGACATCGATCACCGCAAAATGATTCTGGAGAAATGGGACGTTATACAGAACAGCCCTGAGCTCAAAGAGCTTATTCCGGATGCTGTTTTTTCAGGCCATGGCGGCCCGCTTATTCGCGCAAAACAGTATATTGGAATAGGGTGTGATCTTGGAAATCTTTCGGAGTTGGAGCAAACCCTAAAGTCTGAGCTTGACCCTTCCAAGTTTTCAGTACTCTGTACTGCTGAGGTGGCCTTGACTTATATGGCGGTTAAGGCTGCCGATGCATTGATAGAGTGGGCAGGAAGGCTTAGTAACGGTTAGTACTGGGCCATATGGTATCCATATATGGAGCTCTATTTGTGGATAAAGAGCTACTGACCAAGGTATATTACAGATACCCAATTTGGCCTTCTAGAGCAATTCTTCCCAGATGGCCCTGAGCACCCATTTGCAAAAACCATGATAGCCCATTTTACGAAATGGCGAGCTCCACTTCAATCAATCCATATCTATCCCACATTAGCCAAACAGGAAAAGCGTTTCCTTGATGCAAATTGGAAACAAGCACATGCTCGAAGCTTGTGGGAAGCGTGGAACGACCCAAGCTTCTTAAACTCAGGCATTAGAATTTCTCTTGACCAGTTTGAAGTCTTTGATGAGTGGGAGGAGTTTGCTCTATTTGCTTCCCATTATTTTTTGCTCAGAGCTAGCACAAGAATACCAACGTCTAAAGATATCGATAAAGCCGCGAATAACATAGACCCGGAGCCAATGGATTCAGAGATGCGCTTAACAGCGAATCATCAGTCTGACTTCATTGGTCAGAGACGACATGGGGCCTTATTCTCCTTTGGGGGCCAGGTCGGTTTCCATGCAGGGTTAGGACGACAGGCTAGACTCGCATCTACGGACATATATGTGCCATGTAATAACGCTACTTCAGCCATAGCGTGTGTGCCCCCAGGATCACTTACGGCTCGGGTATGCCATACCATTACACAGTTATCCAATGACCAGTGCTTATTAGTTGGTGGTCGAACCTCTCCATCTAGACCATTGAGTGATACATGGTTAATGGAAGGGGGTAGATGGCAACAATCAAGTTCCCTTCCAACACCATGCTTTCAACATTCCGCTACTGCTGTTATGCTTCCGAGCGGCGAAGAATGCGTACTTATTTACGGCGGAAAATTATCAAACAGCAAAGTGACGGCGCAATTTTTGCTGTGGAGAAAGACCGGAGAAAGAGAAACCTGGAGTACATTGACTGCAAATGGTGGATCCTGTCTGCCTCGCTTTGGAGCTGTAATGTCTAGCATTGGCAAGGGAACAGGAGTCCTTATTGGAGGCATGTCCCAAGATGGGTTGGTACTGGATGAGTTTTGGACGTGGCAGATATCCACCAGTGATACTAGAGAAATATCAATTCGATTGACCAACGAAACAACGCGAGTACAAATTTCACATCCGCAGATATCCAAGTGGGTTGCTCGTTTCGGAGCCACGGCGCATCAACTTGAAAATAAACTTGTTGTTATCGGAGGCATTGCAGTCAGTGGGTGTATTCCACATGAGTACGAGGTCATAATCCTGGACTTGAGCGTCTTGAAATACGACAGTACCGATAACAATATATCGCCCATTCCAATGGCCGTAGGCACCTCTCCTGCCCATTCACGGCCACTTTTGGTCGGGCATAGTTCCATCCCTATTACTAGCGGCGGAGTCTTAATAGTAGGTGGAGGAGCAGTGTGCTTTGCCTTTGGCACATACTGGAATAATGGCACCTGGCTGCTAAACCATGGAGGTTTGTCGGGTAACAATAACGAATGGCGAATAGTCCAACCATTGCCGGCCACTCCTACTCCTACGACGATGAATTTCGCTCAACATTCAATGATAGGTCCCTTGCATCAAAAATTGAAGAGAACGTAGGAAATGAGCAGACACAAGAGCCCTATTCGACATCTTTGAGCCAGAGAACAGCTATGGGCGTCGGTGGCGTAGATGAAGTTGAGCTGACTTCATTTCAGGTCCTAGTGGCCAAGCTGTATATATACAAATGTCAAGAACGGTGTAGTCTACTCGTTGTTATAGACAAAGATCCCCTTCCCGTTCCTGTACCCCCCCAGCGTCCCCTGTACGCTGTCAACAAGTTCGTCTCTGGGTGTCTCCCGTGTCCATTTCACCTCCTGCACAGGGATGTCCTTAAACCTACCTTCCCTGGTTAACCTGAAGATATCACGAATGGTCTCCTCCTTCAAGGCAGGATTCTGGTCACTCCACCTCGACACCCAGAAACCATGAAAACTGATGTTATTGAAGATCATTAGCCCTGCAGGTAGCGAGGTAGGTTGTTTTGCCATGGCGCCGTAGGTTATATGTCGAGAATTAGGGGCAAGAACCTTGGCTAAGGCGGCTGCGTTCTTGCCTCCAACGCAGTTAAGAGCCAGGCGAATAGGCTCCCTGCCTGCTCGTGTCAGCTGGTGAACTATGTCTTTGAATTTCGCAGACGATAAGAGGTCTGATTCCGTAATGACAGCCGTGGCACCAAGGGAATGTAGCTCATTCTTTAGCCTATCAGTCTCTTCGACAGTCTCTCGGTCCCTGATGACGTTCAGGGTCTTAATATTCCACTGTTTTGCGATCTGGATAGCCGCTCGACCTACACCCGAGTTTGCACCGTTCTGAATCAGCCACTCCTCTCCGCCACGCATCCAGTCCCATTCACAAAAGTCTTTGATCATACGGTAGGCCGTGACTGGGTTGACGCTAACGGTTCCCGCCTGAATAGGGGCTAAGCCTTCGCGGTCCTCCTCCTTTACCTTGATTAACTGTGACTCGTCCCACTGGGCATGGGTCCGCCATGTGCCCATACCGGAATGTTTCATGATAACCCAGTCGCCCTTCCGGAGAGATTTCACCCCCGAACCGGTGGAGAGGACCTCGAAAGCTCCCTCGTTCCCAGCCACTGCGTGAGGGTCGATTGTGCCTAGAGATGTGCTAAAGGTAGGTTTTGCCGGATAGACACCTTGTATCTGGTTAAAGTCTGCTGGATTGAGTGGGGCGGCAAGCAAACGGAGGGTGCATTGAGTGCCATTGGGAGGGGATATTGAGTATGCGTGTAGACTAGATACAAAAAGAGAAGGTAAGCAAAGCACTCCTTTCCAATTTTTTGAGGCTATAATATAAGAATGTATACTTTAGGACATCTTTGGGCTCCCCGTATCTGGGAAAGACAATGGCTTTTGCCTGTGTGTATCCATAGGCGGAGATGTACTGCCGTCTATCAAGCGAGATCTTGGGTGTAAAACATTGCCGGCGACAGGATTGTGCGAAGATACCGTGGGCCCGGGGAGCTACCATGCTGGAGCAACGAATAAAGAGCTAATCAATGGGTGGCTAATCGAATTTTCGTGCTGTGCTAGCCTTTGGAGCTATCGCGAGCTGAAGCTGGATGTTGTTATTTTTTTCTTGGTCTTTTCCAACAAGCGATGACGTCTGGAGAGTCTTGGCAGGGCAACATCTCTACTACATACACACAAGCCCATTTAGACAGCAAGCGTTTCATATGGTTAATATTAAGAAAATATTTCTCAATGTGCACAGAGTGATGAAACCTTGCTCATCTATAGCTGCAACTAGCACATGGAATATACAAACCCGACCAAGCTACAACCAGTTTCCCCGGAACACCTACCCACATATCGAGTGTACAGGTATCAAATATTCCTATCATTGGCGAAAATGGCGGGCTAAGACTGCCAATTGAAGCTGGTGCTTGTCACTTCGCCCTCTCTTTGAGAATGTAGCATACTAAGGCAACATTCAACGGAGAAAGGGCGAACGAAAAGGCAAACAGAGGGCGAAATAGAAGATGGAAGAGAACATGGGAAACGGCTGACTGAACCTTGGGAGCTATTTACTTGTGTGACCCTCTTGTTGACTCTACTCTTTCATTCTACTCTCCGTCCACGATATAAAGAAGACTAATGCCGAAAAAAAGCAAAGCAAAAAATATAAGTACCTGATATGTCAAAAATGCCGTCGCGGCGATTGCAACGGATAATCGCATTCGGGAGGAGATGGAATGATCCATCTTTCAGGGCATGCAGCTTACCAGATAAACCCCAGGTTGATGAAAGACGATCACTAGGTTGTCAACACGCGCGTCGTCTCCATCTCAGGATGTGTTTGTACTAGCGACGCCATGTCTCCCATAGTTAAAATTGACGTGAGTTTGGGCATCAGAATGCATATATCACCACCTATCGGCTTGCTCGAGCGCCAAAGAATTAACGCTAAAGCAGTGTTCAATTCCCCCTCCGTTTGAAATCATCCACCCCTCCACGAATCGCACGCCTGGGCACTTCTCTCTCTGCTCCACTGCGTCTCCACTGGTGGCATCATTGTTACTGTAGAATGTGCTCTCCCGCATACGTCTATGCAACCGATCGAGAGAAGAAAGGCACAACACGGCAACCAGGACTTACGATGTATAGAAGAAGTGTGGATGGCAGATCGTCACGCAGTGTAACCCACTTTCTCCCCCACAGTGTTCCTCAGTCGTACTTTCGCCGGCTAAGTGTACAACTATGTCCATATTCCTTTTCTTGATTGTCCGAGGTAGGCAGTACGAGCGCAGTACCTACTTATTTTAGGCTGCGAACAACGGAATCAAGGTCGTATCCCTGACTTGTTGCACATCCGGATGCTCCGTGGCACGGCCTCATTGAAAGCCGTTGAACCAGACAATTATTGCCCATCATAATTTATCTGTTCTCTCTCTCTTCCAAAAAAACATACCCACACATTCTCTCTCCTGTCTCTTCCTTTCCCTCTTCCTCCGGATTTCTACCCTCCAACGTTCGTCGTTTTTCTTTTTATATCAAACTTTTGCCTTTCTCGGCTTCCTTCTTGGCTTCTTCACGTGACCAGAATCTAGAAGTTATCTCGTGTTTCTATTGGTTAAAATAAAGCCCATGAAACCTCAAAACGGACTAGCTTCCCTTATTTACCCCACTTTTCCGGATCCTTTTCCACCTGTGCTCGAAACGCTATTGGTCACTTGTACAAAATACCTCGCGTCTGGGGGCTGCGGCTAACTAACCGAAGTACCCGGTACCTTTTTGGACTCTCTGCCCCAAAATCATCCCCGCCTCCATCTTCTATCTTTCCATATTACTTCATCCCGCTGGCCCCCTTCGACTTATATCCATGACTATCTTCATTCTCGCCTTGACGGTGCTCGCATAGCACATATACCCTTTATCCTTATTCACCGTGTCATCCTTTTCAATCCCTCCCGCTTATATCTCGCCCGTGTTTTCACCTTGCTGGCTAGCGGCTTAAACGGTCCACAGACTCCACCAAAGCCCATCCTGCATACAGGTAAGTTGATTCATTATCTATATGCCTGAATACATACATATATATATGTATAGATATAATCTTCATAATTGAGATCATATGCTTAAGCAGAATTAGTTGTGGTTAACAAAGTACCAGTTGCTAACCGTTAGTTACCCCTGTTAGACACACTATACCATTCGTTGGATAGATTTTGCCCTAGCCACCTATCATCGCTGCAAAGCACATACCTTCATTCACTTTCTCTCGGTCATTCATTTCATCATTATAAGCCTGGATATTCTGTCGATACTTGTGTACGCCACAACAGCATCGGGTGTCAATCGGGCAGACCATGTAGCTGGTTCGAACTTGGGCCTCGATTCTGCAGCAATAAAACTATCAACAGGCCGAGGATATTTCTTCTAATACCTTCAAGTACGGCCCCTAGGCATTCAACACTAGGAGGGAAAATCCTTTATTTCTTTTCTGTTATGGCAGCAGTCATACTTCAGCACCATACGGTGCGGCAAACGCCTACCCCACCACCAATTGGAACACCATCACTCACTCTCACTGCACCGTCAACCCGAAGCCAAACCCCAATCCCAAATAAACACTTACCAGTTTGCCCCACTGGCCCTGCCCCCGCTAGTTCTAAGCTCCCTGCCGCCTCTTATTCAACGTCTACCTCACCTTCAAGCAAACAGTTTAGTGTTCAACATCCAACCGCCTTATACCCACCAGACAATAGATACCATCTGGTATACAACCATCCGCCTGTATTTTCGATTAGCGGAAAGCAGTTAGCTGTTGCTCTTGAGGACCTGGCCACAAGACCACTCCCAGATCCGTCCAAGCTATTTCCTTGGCTTCACGGGTTGCACCCAGATAACCAGATCCAGCTGTCATTTTTTGTATCTCGCCGTAGAACTCTACGACGAATCCCAAAATGCCTACGAACGATCACGGTGATAAAGGTCGGCGGTGACTTGACCAAGGGCAAGATCAGAGGCGCTGTTGCACCTGATGAAATTTTGGCTGGATCAAGTTTTATCGATGCAGACCCACGTGAAGGATTTTCAGTGAGGAATTTCCATATTCAAACCGCAAAACTTGCGGCAGTATCGGATATCATTGTATATGGAGATGATGATGCAAGTGAAGAAAGTATCTTGTCCGCTGCAGTGGATATTTCCGCAGCACAGGAAGAATGGATGAGAAGATTTGATCCTGGTCAGGAGTCCAGGCTATTCAACACGTTTGTGGTGTCAAGTAAGTAATTTATACTCCCGTACAAATTGCCCTCCCGTTCATTGGTAGTAGCTAACTGGAAAATAGCGTCTTTCCAAGAAATCGAAATGCAGCATCCAGACATTGTAGCCATCAATCAAAATGGGGTTCTATCAGGCCAAGTCATGGACTTTTGTAAGGAACCTTTCTTGACAGTGACAGCTTCGTCGCTAATCTACATTATCTCATACTAATACGTATCTAGTCCTTTGGGAGCGCCTGGAAATGTACACCATGTCCCAGGCGACTGAAATATCGAAAAATGTATGGCAGGGGCCGTCTCCTGATTTGAGCTATGATATGGGCGGGCCGCCTGCCAGTCATTATGATATTCTTATTGAAACACATGACGGAGCCACCATGCCTGATACAAGATACCTGACGAAGATATCCTCCCAACTCCATAAAGGCCCACATCACATTGAATTTCCGTCCTCGGGTAGCCTTATGGCATCTTCATGGAGTCAACTTGAAGTTTATGATTTCATCGCTACTTGCAGATGGATATACCAACTTGCCAACCCTCGCAGGCAAGAAGAGTTGTCTGAGGATGAGGATGGCGATATACCTATGCAACCAGTAGCTGTGAAACCATGCAAAGTCTTCATACACTGCGGAGACGGTTACACAGAAAGCTCGCTCCTTGCCCTAGCATATTTCATGTATGCTGAGGGCGCGCCGGTTCATGAGGCCTGGCTAAGGTTGCACTGTGAGAGAAAACGAAATTTTTTCGCCTATCCATCTGACGTCACCTTCCTTCTGGAAATACAGCAGAATTTACTCAGTGAGAGTCCGAACTCAAGAGCTCGACAACTAACATATCAGCCTAGCCCTAACTGGATGACAAAAATGGACGGCTCCTTACCCAGCCGAATCTTACCTTACATGTACCTTGGGAATTTGGCTCACGCCACCAACCCTGAGCTGCTTTGGTCCATGGGTATTCGTAGGATACTAAGCGTTGGGGAACCTGTGTCCTGGATGGCAGAGGAAGTTGAAAAGTGGGGTGCGGAAAATCTGTTGCTTATCAATGAGGTGCAGGATAATGGCATAGATCCTTTGACTCTGGAGCTTGAGCGATGTCTGGCGTTTATTGGTATACTCCCTTGCCACCCACTTCTCCCTATCCGGCGATAGACTGAGGTCCTCTCTAACTCTTTCATATTAGAAAACGGTAAATTTGATGGAACGGCAACGTTGGTGCATTGTCGTGTTGGCGTCTCGAGATCTGCGACCATTTGTATTGCGGAGGTTATGAAGTCTATGAATTTGTCTTTCCCAAGAGCATAGTGAGCCAACACATCATGCCCAGATATTTATGACCCTCGCTGACATATTTTCCCCCAGTTGTTTTGTTCGAGCGAGGAGATTGAATGTGATTATCCAGCCTCATCTTCGATTTGTGTAAGTTCGATCCGACGACGCTATGCATAGCATCTAGTCTTTTCTGTCCTCGCGCGTCGTTCTTATTCCAACCATGTACGATCATCAGATACTAATTTGCTTTACCTTAGATATGAACTTCTCAAGTGGGATGAAACCCTTCAACAGAGACGAAACAATTCCTTCCGACGAGACTTAGAATGGGCCACCGTTGCCCGTGAAATCGCCTTGATGAACAAGCCATACTCAAGACAATAAAGTCACTGGCATAACGGCTAGACTTGTTGGAGGAAGCCATTTTTCTTTTACCTCCTTTTTAAACCCTTTAGCCCCCTTTAAAGCCTCCACAGACGTATTTCTACTATATTCCACACTTCTACTGACTTGAACCATATCCATCCGGAAACTCTAGTTCTTATTATTCCCTTCTTTCTATTCTCTTTCTTCCCTTCCACGAAGCTCGGGTTCGCACCTGTCATCCCTATCGTCTATTTACCCAGATGCGGCCTTATTACCTTCATACCCCGCTCCTTAATTCCTTACTTGACGCCTCTTATGATCCCAATGACTCAACGGTGTACGGAAGCAATTTCATTACTACAAGGTCTTTTCAGTCTCTCTCTTTGCTCTGCCTTGAGTGTGAGCGGTTCCTCCGTTTTCTAATTCTCAGCCTACGTTCTATACGAGCTTTACGCAATACACATCAAATTCTCTTTTGTTCCAAAGGTATCAATTACTAAGTAACTTCCAATTTAACTACATACCGCACAGATGTACATATTTTTAACTATTAAGTTAACTATGACAACACAAACGCACACACAAGCGCGCACACACACGATAGTTAAAACTACGAGCTACCACACCTTCGTTCAACCGTAACTATTACTGCCGTACCACTTAACTAATTCTCAACGGCCAGATCAGCTGCCCAAGTCGTTGGCTCTTCTACCTTACATTACACCCAGCCGTCTATCCCTTGCACCAACTGGCCTTGGATCAAGTTAACAATCTCACAATATGACGCAAGATCGAAGACTTAATTGTGCCGATATATGTCAATTAGTATGCTGCATAATCTGCCTGCCAGTACTTGTCCCCCTATATTATGTCTACATATCCAGCCCAGCCCAGAAGTACCGATGGGCCAGGAGGTTCAAAGAATACCACAAGACAGACGTCCCTCCCCTGTCGTCCCACCGAAAGCGGACTCTCTCGATAGGTAATACATTCGATGCCTTCACACAGCAGCAACTAAGAACGAGAGCTGAAAACGAAACGGAACATGACCAAGTGACCCATGACCAGGCTCAATCACCATTATTCCAGATTCCACCTGAGATAAGGCTTATTATCTATGGCTATGTCATAGGCAGCCGGAAGATCCATATAGTGCATACAACCTGTCGTAAACTGGCTTCATTCCCATGTACTGATTATGCAGAGGCCGTTGATGGCGAGAAGAAGGTGAAGAAGAAGAACAGGCTCTGTAACTGTGTAGCCGAGAATGCTGTTCACGCGAATAAACATATAGGCTGCACCGTAGCTGAAGATATTTTGGCCCCCGTAACCTGCGACCACCCAGGTATAGGGATACTTCCCTTACTTCAATCATGTCGAGAAATGTATGGGCTTTCATATCCTTCCTTCAACCCGGCTGGAAAATATACTGATTTTCTTTCTTACAGTTATACCGAGGCAATAGGCATGCTATATGCAGACCAGACGTTTAGTTTTGAGCAGCCTTATGCGTTTCTTGCCTTTGCGCACTCAATATTAACCCAGCGCCTCAAGATCGTTTCGAGCATCGAGATAACACCCTGGGATTGGAGTGTCTTCTATGATGATGGCCGCTCACAATATTACCGGAAAGCCCAACGATTTGGTCCACAGACCCTAAGCGATAAAGAAGCTCTCCCAAATACATGGGAGGTTGCCTGCCATGCTATTGCCAACGAAATGGAAGGCCTAAAGGACTTTCGGCTTAGAGTATACAGCCAAAAAATTCGCTGTCGCAAACGAATATCATATTCTAGACCGCACTCTAATACGCAGGCTACGACATATGTTATTTGCCGTCCCTTGTATCAGATCAAGACGCTGAAAAATTTTGAAGTTGAGCTGTGTTGGCCTGTGGCTTGGGAAATGCCTGAAAATGCCCCGTTCAAACTAAAGTCTCCCTGTTGGGGACGTGCCTATGTCGATTATTAGCTGGATCAATAATATATAGTTAATTATCATATTTCTCAAAGCCATTGAACATATACATTCTTCAACATTATCGTCAATTAAATATAAGGTATATTTCCAGATTGATTAGGGAATATGGTGCCATAGACAGAGAGGAAATATTACATGGGTAAAGGCTGTGATTTGTAGCCACTATAAAGAAACTGTAGGTCGACAGGACCCACATGACGAACAGATGTCAAGACAAATGTGAGAGGGATAAAAGCCGAAGTTGGTAGACGGGGATTGGATATATGTTCAGAAGAGGGTGATGAAATAAACCTGTAGATTTCATAAAGAAGCGGGTAAAAGTTGAGGTAAATCAGAGCAACAGAAGAGGGGGTATAGTTGATGAAACTTTCATAATTCGTTGGGGTTTATAACATCCATCAAGAAGATACAAGGAGTCGTAAAAATGGGCTCAAAGGCGGTAGCAAAACGGCAATGTTGTGATCATTAAAGGCCCAGCTGTGAAAATCCTTGTGGCGGACCATGTTGGTGGCCGAAGAGAAAGAAACTAGCAGCGTTCAAAAACCCGGTAAAGCCCTTTTAAGTCTGCTACTTCAATTACACCTCGAACAAGATCGCTTGTGGCAACTAGCCGTGATCGTATGGCGGGGAATAGAGTATGTTCCAGCATCCATGACAGCTGCTCTCGACGACGAGTAATTGACTCGTCTTCTTGCTCAGCCTCATCATGGCTGGATGATTGGCCTGTTTGTGGGCTTTCAATAGCCGTGGCACCGTTTTCTCTAGAGATGTCAGAGGCTATAGAGTGTGGGCTACTTTCTCTGGCACCTAAGTGTGTCTGATTCTCATAACCACCTCGAGAATTCGATGAATGTGGAACAGGGAGTTGTTCCGGGGTGTAAAAAGCGGCTAACTCTGTCAGAAACGTACGGAAGCAGGCCTCTTCACCACTCCAGTCCACGTATGGGCCTAAGCGGAGAAGGAATCGTGGTAGTTTTGCTAGAGAGGGCATATAGCCTTTCAAAAGTAGAGGTATTGACAACAAGGAGCCATCCTCGGATATAGAAAGGGAGAAATATTCCTTTAGCATCTCCCTTCGATCGATTAGATGTTTTGCAACAGTGGCTGCGATAGAGGTAAAGTCAACACCATAACCTTCATCCACCCCGTGGCTGGTGTCTGAGGTTACCGATGCTGTATCGACATCGTTATTTTGTTTTTGGCTGCGGTAATATTCATTACGCTCCACTTCGACAGCCAAGGAAAGGAGGTCAACCAATTTCGGTGATGACTCGAGGTTGATACACCCAAAGTTCCCAAAATTAGTGAGGCCGAGTTGGTAGAAAAACTCATTACATACCATGCCGTAATCAACTAGGTAGAGCTTGACACTGGACTGCATGGCAGCAACTCGACGCCGCTCATCCACGAGGCCAACGTAGGTACTAGAAGCAAAGATTTCGGTGAGGTTGTTGTGCATCGAGGAGCGAACGGATGCACGTAAGTTTTTAACAGACGTAAGACGAATATTAACTGGTTCCCGGTTTACCTTTTGATAGACCAGACCCTGATTTCCGTTTTGTGTGGCTGCGGGTTTGTCGCCAGATCCTGCCTCTGAACTTGCCGGGGGAAGCATAGATGTTATTTTTCGCAATTTTGCATCCGTCCGCACAAGGTTGTTTTCATATGGCCGTTTTGCTCCAGCTAGCGTTCGGAGAGCTAACCTTTCACCTTCCCCAGTCAAAGCAGTATCTCTGGTTGAGGGCGACGGTTCCGGAGGGCGAATTCCAGGAAGCAGCGTTTGGGTCATGAATGTACGGCTTGAGTCTACTGCAGCAAGCTTTGTCCTAATAGCGCCGCATATAGATTCAATGATTTCATCCTCGTTTAAAAAGTTAACCTCCCGTTTTGTGGGGTGAACGTTGACATCAAGCCGCTGTGGCTCGATATTAAGGTCAAGATATACAAATGGATGTCCGCCCTTTGGAAGGAAAGTTGAATAGGTCTGTTCCACAGCTCTTTTAATGGCGGTCGACTCAACCGAGCGGTGGTTGATAAAGATGAGAAGAGTGGTCCGCTTGGCATGGTAATTGGCGTTGGTAACCCACGCTGAAGTATGGCACCCCCATTTCTTGCCGTCAACCTCGAGGGAAACCAGTTCATTGGCCACGGCACCGCCGTGTAGCTGCCTTATCCGATCGACTATGGAGGAGTTTATCGAGGTAGACAGGCTGACACCAGCTTCTCCATGCTTCTTGCAGGAAAACGCAGTTCCACTGCAGTGTACAGCATAACGGCCAACGATATCAAGGATCTTCGCGTACTCCTCACTTGCCGATCGGAACGCACGACGCCTTGTAGGAACGTTATAGAATAGATCTTCCACCTATACAAGCAATCAGTATAGAGAAGGGTCAATAAGAAGTTGGGGACTGTCGAAAAACGAGCACTAACAGTAATCTGGGTGCCTCTGCGTCCAGCAATAGGCTTAGGGGCAGCATTCTGTCCTGGCTTTGCGGGTACGAGCTTCCCATCACTATAGTGAGCCCTCCAGGCACAACTCGACCCCGCCGTCTTCGTTGTCACTGTCAGGTGAGCAACATGGCTGATGCTTGCCAGGGCCTCACCACGAAACCCATAGGTAGCGATGGAAGAGAGGTCCTCAAAGGCCTGGAGCTTCGACGTTGTAAACCTCTCACATAGAATGGGAAGGTCATCATTCTAGACAGATGTGTCAGGCAATTCCGTAAAACACACAAAGATAACAAGGGGCACTTCGGACTAACATCGATTCCATGGCCATTATCAGTGATCTGGAGAAGCTTCAGTCCTCCCTCTCTGACCAGAATCTCTACTGAGGTCGAGCCAGCGTCCACAGAATTCTCGATCAACTCCTTCAATGCGTGCATAGGAGCCACAATGATCTCTCCAGCAGCAATCTTGTTGATAACATCCGGGTCCAATGCCTCCAGGGTCCCAAGTCAGCATATACAGGTCCTCTCTGCAAAGCTGTCTTATGTCACGTGATACTTACCTGGATCTTCCTAGGCCTGGCAACAGCTGGTGAGGAGCTGGTGTCTGGGTATGAATCCGGCGCTGGTCGCTTGAGACCCCGCGGGGCCCCGTGAGATGCCGAGTCGATGTCCATCCTGTCACTGTCCATAACTACGGAATGATATAGTGACTTTGGTCTGTTTCCTACCAAGAAGTCGGCGGCGATGGGGAGAGCTTGGAGGTTATATGGAAGTTGGACAAAGGGGGTCCCATTAGCCTCTGGCTAGGGGCGGGAGGTTGGGCTGGCCGAGGTCTAGGCTTGCACCACGTTCCCCATAGCAATCTTAAGCTGCATTTGGGCGGCAGAGGCGAAAACGAAGAGCAGAACGAAGAAGTTCTGAAGCAGATCGGGGCGGGCAAGGTCAAGCATCAGATTCTCTTCCCGTGGCCTGGAACCCTCCCTTCGCCGTATAGCGTTCCTGATCGGGGAAGACGCCTCCTACTAGCGCGCGACGATATAGACGGCCCTCCTCGCCGCTTTAAGGGTGCAGATAGCCAAAAACATATAGCCTACTCAGACTCGGCGTGTTTCGTCATCGCCTGACAAACGAAGTACAGAAATACGAACTATATACCCATGTACATACATAGTAGTATGGAGGACATGTACTGAAAGAGATGAATCATATCTCGTCACCACATCTTAAACAGCCAACTGGAAACTGGATCTACATACACCCATACATAAATATTGTAAAAGAGGTACATAGCTCATCCCTGTCAATACGGCCCTGCTATATAGTAGATCCAAAGTCGCTGGTGTACATACATTGTTTACCCATGAGGGGGTGTATTATGTACAAAATACATCTTTCCTAGAGCCAAAGATAAAGGTTCACTGCATTTTAATACCGTCAAAAATTACATAGTAAACCATAACATGTAAGAAAGACAAAGACGTCTGCCCCATGCTTAGGACGGCATTGGGCCTTTGACCCCTGGCATCACCAGTGTTTTGCCTCGATCTCCCGTCTGCCCACCACCTTCACACAGTATAGGGTACGATGCGTATACACACTAATGGTTAATACTGCATGCGAGAATGGTGTCTCTGATGGCTCTGATGTTTCTTTTAATTTCTCAGCTAAGCCCTTCTTCGAGCCTGTCCCCTCCCAGTCGATTATCACGACGATTTTTCCGTTCTTGACCAGTACATTGTTAGGACATATATCTGCGTGGCTGTACTTGATGGTGTACGACCTAGAAAGGCCATGGACCTATTTAATAGGCTCGTTCCAGAACTCAAGCGGAACGTCGCGACGAATATAAAAGTGGAAATCCGCAATATTGTTAAAGGGACCAAAGTGACGGTCTCCGAGTCGATGATCATAGCTAGGCCCTAGACTTGTCGAGCCAACGGTCCCTTCTTCAGGCAGAACGAGACCTCGTAGCTGTTGTACAAATGCTGTGATGTTTGGCCTCTGCTCCTCAGTCAGGTCTGGCCAGGCAGAGCCTAACGTCTGTCCGTCAACCGCATCCATGGCCAGGTACTGCTTCTTTCCACATATATACACTTTTATAACGCGAGGGACTGGGATGGTGGTATGCTTCTGAATAAATAGCATGGCTTCAAGCTCAGCCGGATAGCAGGCGAACCCGATGATTCGATTGAATGGGAGACGGTTGACCCTCGGTGACGATGTCAAAAGGGCAGCCAGTCGTTAAATTTGGAGATTTAAGCTTAACCCAGCAAATCTTTGCCATCGATTCTCATAACTTGAGTATAGTGTTGACCTCGGAAAACCTGGAAGAGCTCATTGATCAATAACATTATTCTTTATGAATAGGCGATAACTAGTTGGCACTACAATTATCTTCTGTTAACTATATAGTCTTTTTAACCTGTTTGTTCTCAGTTGTTCCTCACCTTACTGTATATACCTCTTGACCAGCAACATCATTGGGTATGGTGGGTTACCTAAAACCTGTAGTTAACTATCTTGGGAAAGGAATCAGTCACCAGTTAACTGGTTTACTAAACTGCTTGGCCCCCAACTTGCATCAAAATTACTATATATCATAATTTGGTAAAATTGCATCTAAAGGCCACTACGGAGTACCTGTGTCAGCACATTTGACACCCCCGTTTACTCTGTACTGTAAGTACACTCTCTGCAAGCAGCAGAGGTCAACGAGGACTTGTCACTTTTTCTTCTTTTTCCTTCGCTTTATCTCTTTGCTTTTTCTTTCTTTTGGGAGAAAAAAGGGACGATCACGTGAGAATGGACGCATTCACTAGTTTACATAAGGAAGTCTAGATCGTCACGTGGTTTCAACAACGAAAAAGGAAAATAAATAAGGACGTGGAAATGTAACAACAAAAGACAAGACAGCAAGACTCGGGAAGAAGCACAAGATAAGACGGAACATGGAAGAGGCAGGGTGTTTGGGTTAGTCAAGCGGCTGGGGGCCAGACCAGAGTGAGCCTGATGCCTGTGCTGGGCTAGAAGCAACGACAACGTCTGAGAGTCCGTATTTCGAAGAATATAGACGGGAGTCTCTGCCGTCAAAGCCACACTGAAACTGTGAAACCGATTCCCTAGGTATCCGGCGGTAAAGGCGGACAGCCATCATTACTATGTGCTTACAGAGCCGGTTCTGGATTGACGTTATGCAACATGCAACACTGCTTAGGCGAAACAGAAGGGCGGATGTCGAAAGTATGCCGCGAGCCGGGCCTGTTGCCAATGTTCTTGTCCTGCACCGAACATGCGTGATATGATATGCAACATCTCACTCGGCCCCTGGATGCCTTGAGAATATTGCACATTACCCACCTATTCCGGATCGACCTTTTATGGATCCCGGGTCACTGCGTCTCCTTGCTGGTAGAAACATTATATGTCTGCATGTGCTGGTCAGGGATGCTGGTCCTCCGCTCTGCCGATCCAACACGAAACCTGCTACCAGCCCAGCCTTGCCTATATTTCCAGACATGCGGCCCTTTCATGGATATTCTGGTATGGGTATTAGTTGGCAACAAAATAACAGCAGAATATGTATAGCCCAGTGCCCAGGATTTAGACCACTTTGTCCATTATACATATAGTATATATGCATCTTACCAGCATGAAATGCTTTCCAGGATCCAACTCCAGATCTACGAACATGTACATCAATTATTGAGTAATACTCCGCTCCCGGAAGGGAGGTGGAGGTGCCTTCATATATTTATTTCCCTCAGAACTGTTTGAGCATTTAACCATGTCAATTTACTCTGTACAGCCGTGAACCACGCTAATCGCCAGCCGCCTACATTATATATGGGCCTGAGCATGAGCCAGAGCAACTCTTCCGCGGAGACCTTACAGCAGGTGAGAGATTGGAGCATTCCCACTGGCAAGCAAGAACGGCAGAACTGAGCAGGACTAGACCCTGCCCCTGTTGTGAGAATAAGTGTGCAACTCTCGGCCGCAATCAATCCCTTCCGAACTACACCAATTTATGTTAACATATTATATATTCTTAAGATAAGGCTACCCACTGCAGAATTTTAATGTTAAGATCCGTTTCTTGCATGCATAACAGTGGAAAAGATTTTAAACACAGCCAGGCTCCATACTTCTAAAGGTTGGCACGACTGCTTACTCCGGATACAGTTATGCACTCCGTATGGGCCCAGTGCATGCACCCTCTATCTTATTCGGCCACGTCTCTCAAAAATTCTCATTCTTGGGGAGTGGATTATCAAAAAAGGTGCACCCCTTGAAGAGAACTATAAGCAAGGCTGGCAGAACATCAAAACATTGGGGTAGTCACTGGGATGCTAATGCTAGTAAAACAGCGACGAACAAACTTGCCCGCATTTTATTACTCCTGGGCCGGAGTCGAATGTTAGTCAGCCATTCCGGCTATTGTCTGCTCATATAGCCAAGCGTGATGCCCTCACCCCACTCAGTCTAGTTATGGAACATAACTGTTATCCAAACTTCTAGAGCATAACAGTGGGTCAATACCTGGGTGTGATGGTATTCCTACCTTGGGGGTATTCACCTATATGCTGCAGGGGATTTTTAGCTCCATTATGCTTTGTGTTCGAAGTATTCGCAGAATTGTTGTGTTACCCATATCTATAGGGTAGTGTATAGCAGTATGGATGCTTTTGGGCCTGCTGTTGAAGTCTGCTCATTGTTGGTCCAGAACCAAGTGGACAAACGCAAGATTGCCTGTATCTCCGCAGTAACTGACAGTGAATATGTCATCTCATGTTCGATCCAGGCTATTTTAAAACGCACACCTGATCCGGATGGAAAAAGGTTGATCGTGCATAGTAAATCGTGCGTCTTGGCTGGCGATATATCCAGCTCTTTTGCTTGTTGATTATATACTCTTATCAGGTATATGGTGTAGTAGATGATACATAGTAAGCTCGCTGTGTCACATCGACGAATAGGTCTTCCGCAATACTGATGTGATGTGACGATCACCGTTAATAACTATAGCCTTGCTTTCTGCATAGAGATATGAGGGTTGGACGGTCCGTATGAGCACATCAGACACTTCACACAGTGTCAGTAGATTGTTGACTTGACGATGTAAGGTTGAAGCCTGGCAAAAATATGGAAAACAAGAAACAAATGGAAAATCACGTGGTGGGCCGTATCTGGACATCCAAAGATCCAAGGAAACCATCTAGCTTGATGGCTTTTGATGGCTCTCTTGGATAGTTACTCAAAGATCTTTCGAACGGTTCAAGAGCGCCACTCGATATAATCATACATCAAGCTATCCTGAAATCTACAACCCCCGTCTCTTACTCGGAAGGACACACGAGCCTTTTTTATATGCGCACCTCATCACGATCGCAGCTAACAATGCTATACTGTCTTTCTTCGAACTGGGGTTGATTCATGCTAAGCCCATCAACATTTCTAAGCTCGTTATAATTATATTACTATTTCCATATTCGAGGAACGGTGGGTCTCCCTGCTTAACCTGGGGAATATCCTGCCATCTAACATGGGCGCATTATCTAGGCTGAAAACATGTCTGCGCCTAAACACCTGTTCCTTAGCGACGAGGAGCTTGGAAAGAAATTTGATGACCCTGGTCGGCGCGATTCTATATATCTACCGTCGATTGGGAATTTCTGGCGGCATCTCCCACGACGACGACGAGTTGCCCTGTCTATCTTCGTCGCACTTCTCATTTTTATTTTCTTCAGACATATACCGACGCGATATGCTAGGCAAAAACCACAGTTCATGGACGATCCATGGTTGCGCCCTCCCCATGATACCTATACCGATCCAGAACCCATTGAAATAGACGATACACCTGACGAGAATGGCGTGAAATACTATCGTGGACTTATCGAGTTCGAGTCCCTGCTCAGGTCGTTATATTCTTCTCGCAGCTGGGGGGATAACGTGGACCAGGAAGTGGTTGTCTTTGCAACTGGAGAATTAAAATCCCTGGGTGATATGCTTCCCATAGCATGCGATATGGCTCTAAGGAAGCTAAATGGAGTCCACCTTGCAATCATGGGCCGAGAAGAGATCCCTCTCGCCGATATACAAAGAGCCAATGGGTTTAGGGAACAAGATTGCCCCATAGCATGGCATGGTAAGTGAAGCTCGCTTGCTTTCCAGGCGTAAAGCAAATGTTCTAATAAGGCTATAGATGCGCGCCCAGATCATGCCTCCTCTTCAAGCCCCTGGCGTTTGGAGTTGAGTGTCAGAGCTGCCTTGGTTCATATGTATCGAATCTTAGGTCCTCGAGTTTTTATTACTCGTGACATTGAATTCGAAGCACCATTCTTTATGGATGCCATTGAATTGCGGTCTTATCAAATGGGGATAACTCATATTAGCTTACCAAGTTCACTCTCTAATTTCAAATGGATTGCAGACTTGGATTCCAACTCACTTACAGGTATGACGTCTTGCAGAAGACCAGTCACAGATGGTAGTACTAACTGTGTGTAGCTTGGAACGACGTCCAAACAGAGATACTCATCAACGTCCCTCCTAACTCCTCGGGATCTCTTCGGAAATTACTTAAGTCTCTGCAGCGGGCTGATTACTTCGGGCCGGCACCAGGGCTAACAATCGAATTACCAGTTGACGCAGACCCAACTTTGCTTCATTTCCTGAAAAGCTTTCGTTGGCCGCCCAAGACCGGTTCCCGTCACTTTACGGTTCGTCGTAGAGTATCACCGTCTGCCTTGACATCGCAAGAAGCTGCCATCAGGGTAGTTGACTCCTTTTATCCAAAGGACCCTAGTCTTTCCCATGTGCTCCTAATTTCTCCAAATACTGAATTGGCCCCTTCATTTTTCCACTTCCTCAAATATTCTCTATTGAAGTATAATTATTGTTCTAGCGAAGATACGCCGGCTCATCTGTTCGGAGTTTCCTTAGAGCTACCCTCGTCTCGCGCCACCGATGGGAAACCGTTCTCTGTTCCCACAAGTGTATTAAGACCCGACTCTTCAAAGGAGCTAGCGGAGGTCCCGACTTTACTGTGGCAGATGCCCAACGGTAATGCTGTATTGTATTTTGGAAGCAAGTGGCTAGAATTCCAGTCCTTCCTCTCCCACCGGTTTGCTCCATCCATCCAGGCCAAGGGAAAGGACATCCCCAAGATTCTCACTAAATCACACCCTTCCTGGATGGATTATATGCTTGAATTTATGCGTGCTCGTGGCTACTATCTTACTTACCCGGCATTTGCTACCCAAGACGATATCGCCATAGCCACTGTCCATAATGAACTGTATCAACCTCCCGAAGAGTACGATGACCCTGACCAACGGCAGATAAAGTCTAATTTCCAGGAGAAGGACCTTGACCGCTCTCCTCCAACTCTATCAACTTTACTTGACATCTATCCGGGAAAACTACCGGATATCCGCGAGTTGCCAGTATTGCCGTATACCGGAGAGGCTGTAGGGGAGCACGATTTTACGAAGGGACGAGACTCATTTCTACAAACATTTAGGAAAGAAATTGGTGGTTGTACCGACAGCGATGAGGTACCAGAAAGAACCCCGCTAAACGCTGGTGACCTCTTTTGTCTAGTGGATGAAACAAAATTGAAAGACAGCCTCGAAATCCCGGCATAGCATCATCTCTCGTCAGCAGGCTCATGATATCCAAATACTGTACATTACTGCCAAACAACTGTATGCATAGACAAAGCTGTCACGTTTGTATATACATATGTCATTTCACATATATATCTGGATATATCCTTTTATCTCTGATATAAATTCTATTAGAAATCGCCATATATACAAATTTGATTGATTCTGCTTTTCCTTAGGTTGATGTTGATGTGTATTACGTAATCACTATGAAGCTTCCAGATCTGAAAGCAAAATCGAGCTTTAGAGAAACTGAACTAGTAATCTGGTTGATCATAATTACAACGCAGAACAACCTACCTCGCCGGCACAAACAACGACTCCCGAGCACTCGATCTTTGGTATCCTCTGGAAGTTCTGCCGGGTAGGATTCATACTGACAAAGCTACACCAACCCCGATAATTCCCACCTCTCTCATCAGTTGCTTCCATGGCGAAGGACGAACTGCCATCCTCCTCCAGCGCTGGGAAGGGAAAGAAGGCAGAGGACATGAAGGAAATAAATGGAGGGAAAAATGAAAGCAAGGACGGGAAGCCTGTTGTAAACGGCAAAAAGGAGGAAGAACCTCAAGAAGGTGCGCGCAGCCTCAGCTCTCTACACAAGCTGTTTATATTGAACATTGCTAACGTGCGCGCCAGAGGAACTTAGTGAGGAAGACCAGCAGCTTAAAAATGAACTTGAGATGCTTGTGGAGAGAGTGCAGGTGTGTATAATATATCTAAAGAGCTGACCTCGTCTCGAGCAGCAGATCCATTCTCAGGTGAGATGGCAATAGGCTGATATGTGTAGGAATCCGACACATCCCTTTACAAACCGGCTCTGGAGGCAATCAAAACTTTCATCAAAACTTCTACTTCTTCCATGACTGCAGTACCGAAACCGCTTAAGTTCCTCAGACCGCACTATGATGACCTTACCAAGGTGTACGATGAATGGGCGCCCGGCGATGACAAGGTATGGTGGAATCTGCTTCCATTGTCTTTGAAGGCAGAACTAACAGTAGAGAACAGGACTCCCTTGCAGATATTCTCTCGGTGCTAGGGATGACATATGGAGTTGAGGATAAACTAGAAACGCTTAAATACCGCCTACTCGCGAAATCGGACGACCTCGGGTCCTGGGGTCATGAATATATTCGCCACCTTGCTCTGGAAATAGGCCAGGAATACCAAAACCGGTTGACGGATGATAAAGATGTACAGGACCTTGTGGATCTTTCCTTATCCCTCGTACCTTACTTCCTCAGCCATAACGCGGAAGCCGACGCAGTCGACTTGCTCAGTGAGCTAGAGATGATCGAGGAATTGCCTCGATTCGTTGATGAGAACACATATCCACGAGTCTGCCTCTACATGGTCAGCATGGTCAACCTCCTCACGTATCCCGGAGGACCATCAGTTTTTACGCACAGTCCACGATATCTACCTCCAATATAAGAAACTTTACGCAGGCCCATTGTCATCGCCATACGCCTCATGATCTCGAACTGATCAGAGTGATTCCAGAAACAACGGACAGCGTTAAAATACCCAATGGCATTTTTGCTGGCTCGTCAGCGGATATGGCTTGAGCTTGACGATGATGATATGCAACTGGCGGACTGCCTCGACAATATCGCATTGCCAACTCACTTCAAATCCCTAGCAAAAGAGCTGAATATCCTTGAGCCAAAAATGCCTGAGGATATCTACAAAACTCATCTCGAAAACAACAGAGGAAGTCTCACTAATGTTGACTCGGCACGACACAATCTTGCCAGCGCCTTCGTCAATGCTTTCACCAACGCTGGTTTTGGAAACGATAAGATGATGCTTGTTGATGGAGACAAAGGGCCCTGGGTTTGGAAAACAAAGGACGACGGAATGCTGTCGACCGCGGCCTCATTGGGTATGCTTCTTCAATGGGATGTGGAGGAAGGCTTGAACCAAATAGACAGGTTCACTTATGCGGAAGAAGACCAAATCAGAGCGGGAGCACTTCTCGGAATTGGTATTCTAAACGCAGGTGTGAGAGTGGACTCAGATCCCGCTCTGGCGCTTCTCGGTGACTATGAAAATCTTGAAAACAAGAGCACCCCAATGAGAGTAGCGTCGATCATGGGTCTCGGCCTGGCATACGCCGGATCTTGCAAAGAGGAACTGCTCGAGCTGCTACTCCCGATTGTCGAGGATGTAACTGTTGACATGCAAATTTCCGCCATGGCTGCCGTTTCGCTTGGGATGATCTTCGTGGGTTCGTCCAACCACCAGGTCAGTGAGTCTATCGCTACCACTTTGATGGATGAGGAGAGACAAAAACACCTCAAGGATAAATGGACCCGTTTCATGGCACTTGGACTCGCGCTCCTCTACTTTGGAAGACAAGAGGAGGTTGAGGTCATATTGGATATCCTTAAGGTGATTGAGCACCCAATGGCAAAGCCAACTTCCGTCCTTGCGTCAGTTTGCGCGTGGGCCGGAACCGGCACCGTCTTGAAACTGCAAGAGCTTCTCCATATCTGTAATGAAGTCTTTGAAGACAAGGAGGAAAACAAGGGTGAAGAGCTTGTGCAATCATATGCTGTCTTGGGACTGTCTTTAATTGCTATGGGTGAGGAGATCGGCCAGGATATGGTTCTGCGACAGTTTGGCCATCTGATGCACTATGGCGCAGCGAATATTCGAAAGGCTGTCCCTCTTGCCATGGGGTTGATCAGCCCGAGCAACCCCCAGATGAAGGTGTACGATACACTTTCCAGGTACAGCCACGATAATGATAATGACGTCGCCATCAATGCTATCTTCGCTATGGGATTGCTGGGCGCAGGTACCAACAATGCTCGACTGGCACAACTCCTTCGCCAACTCGCAAGCTACTACCAGCGTGATCAAAACTCGCTGTTTATGGTCCGTATCGCCCAGGGACTCCTCCACATGGGCAAGGGAAGCATGTCTGTGAACCCATTCCACACCGATCGTCAAGTCCTCTCGAGAGTCGCAGCGGCCGGCCTCTTGACTGTGCTTGTAGCGATGATCGACGCAAAGGATTTCATCCTTGCTGACTCCCATTACCTCCTCTACTACCTTGTTACCGCCATGAACCCACGATTCCTTGTCACTCTGGACGAGGACCTTAAACCACTCACAGTCAACGTCCGTGTCGGTCAGGCCGTCGATGTCGTTGGCCAGGCCGGAAGACCCAAAACCATCACCGGCTGGCAAACACAAAGCACCCCGGTGCTATTATCGTACGGAGAGCGAGCAGAGCTGGAAGACGAGGAGTACATATGTCTAAGCAGTACTCTCGAGGGGCTCGTAATCCTGCGAAAGGTTAGTTTTCCAATTCCCATTCTCGATAAATAGCCTATGTCCATGATTGCTGACCCATATTCTCTCATACTTATAGAACCCCGAATGGGAGGAGAGCTCGACATGAGATGGCGATACACGTACCTAGCCCTGTATGTATTGTTAAGATTTTAAATTCATCTTTTTTTCTCCCTCTCTATCACGCATAAGCAATCTGGGCTCATGGGCCTCCAGAACGCATACGTCGTTGATCAACCGTGATAGCTCGCATATCAGTAAGTCCATCGACTATCAGTGAGCAGTTCAGTTTTCCAATAGAAAGTAGATAATTAAAGCTTCAATAACTACGAGATGCAGCCCACTTCTTTTTCACAGCATTAATAACTAATAGCTGGGCTTTTTCTTCTTTCTTTTTCTATAATATGATAAATAGTCAGTCTGCTCGTTCACTCTGCCATAGAAGAAGCTCATGACCAGGATAAATGCAGAACATGTGGGAATCTCCATGCCTCAAGCGGCCCCAAGATGAACACAGAGTACGACGATATAATAACCGTGGCCGGAGGCCCATCAGCCATGCAATAACATCAAGGAGCCTTCACATCTTCCTGACGCTCTGCAAAACAGCTGACTGCATCAACTGAGTCGGCCTTCAGGCTCTTCTCGCTGGCGATGCTTGAGTTACACCGTCTCTTGCCAGCTCATGGTCACGGGGTGTTTGGGCGAAAGTGGACAAGGCGAGGAAGAAGTCGTGATAATAAGATGACTCCGAGCATGGAGAAGTGATGAATATATATAAGGACGACTCTGGGAGACCGTCGCAGACATGCTTTCCCTACACCCAGGTCCATCGCCGCCCTCAGTTCCATCACCCCTTCGTCACTCCACCATACGTGAAGGGGAAGAAGGAGTAACAGGGACGTCTGTATACCATTCCACTGGTCTTGCTACATTCTCCCAGGTCGTTGGAAGAGATGCCTCCTGTGACTGAGGAACTCGTCCGGCGAGTGCCAGAGTTTGGTGAACCTTCGATAGGTGTTGCTATCCACTGGGCTGATCCAAAGGATGTCCTGTCTGTTCTATTCATTCTCGGCGGTGATCTGGTTGAACATGCTTTCGCCCAGCTAGTTGGGACTCCCGTTCCCCCCGTTGCCTTTTCATTCGGTAGGTCACTCTGAAATATTGGCTGTATACTACTATTGCTTACAGATTTGGACAGGATGCGTTTCATACGGGTTGAATGCAGTGGTATCAGCCATCGGTAAAAACAGACTCATGCCAGATACAGATCACCCATGTAAGATCATCAACGGTGAGACGGGGACCTCGTTTGATAACACCAGCTGGGTACTTGGACGACTACTGCGGGACCACGACTACTGGAAGCACAAGGAGGTACACAGCCATCTTGAAGGAAATATTACTCGGAAATGGGATCAGATGAAACTCAAGAGTATAACCACCCACGGCACTTGCTCTAAAGTCAAGCAACCTAGGAAAGCCGGCCTCTGTGTGTCGATATACAAAGCCAAGGAGGAAGGTCTGGGGCGTCCGAAGAGGGATAAATTCGATTACAGCGGGCTCTTCACCACGCTTGCCCAACTTGCGCTTACAGCAGTTCCGTTGGTGAGAGACGGCGACTGGTCACCCTTTTTAACTACCTTGAGCGGCGCTTTACTCTCTATCATATCGGGCTGCTTACGGCAATGGCGGCGGGAAAAGTGGCCTTGTTGCGCCAACTCGGAGAAGACAGTGGTTTTAACCAAAGGGGCTGGTTGTCAGCATGCCATTGTCATCATCGGAGACGGCCGCGGCTTCGACCTCGAGGAGATGGCAGTTGGCTCAGAGGAGAGAGACTTGCCCTGCGATCTCTTTACTAGAGTCTCGGTGCTCATTCTTGCCGTATTATGGGTCCTGCTTGTTATTTTTGCTGCTGGTCTCAAAGCCAACGCGTGGTATGTCATCAGCGCAGGCGGTATGGGAACCATCCAGAACGCATACGTCGTTGGAGGGAAGCGTACCCCCGAATCATTCGGCCTACCGTTAGAATTCGTCGACGTTATCGGCAAACTTGGAGTTATGGATACCCTGCTTGCAGTGGAAGAAAAGTATCCAAATCTGGGTAGCAGTATGGTTTCTACCTTCTTCCCAGACGGCCAGATCACAGAGGAACACCGTGAAAAATGGGATACCCTCAAAGCGAGAGTTACCTTGCAAGCAGGCAGGCCACGACGAAGCCAAACTATTTAATTTTACTCTTGACAGACCATTTTCCACATCAGGAATACGAATGTGCATTTCACCCATTTCGTCAAGTACTCGAATGAGGAGTTACAGGGTTTATTCGGCATTTTCATATCTTATCTATTTAACCATGGGACCTACAGCGGGAGCATATTCTTAGCGGCATCACAATAGAAGTTTGTATTAAAAATTCGATGCCAATAGAGTTATATAGGCTAGAACTACTAGTAGTATGTATGCATAACGATATGAATGATGACAATCCCTGACAAGGACATTACTGGTCAGGTTCACAATATATTCCAACCACATCAATTGGCTAATTTCAAAAATGCGAATTACCAGAATAATTAATTTCAGCTGCATTGGCTTAATTTCCCCAGAAATATCATTCGACATGCTTGTGGATTGCATTTAGTCCTTTGATAATTGTCTCCCGTAACGTAAATCATGAATGGAATGCCCAGACTTACCAGGTACAGGCGATTAACAACGAACTTCCACGAAAGTTCCACGGAAGTTCCAAAAAATTGGTGTCTGGGAAAAGGCCAGGAGATATTTCCCGGTTTCAAAAGCTTGAGTGGTTGTATAGATATAAGAAATTGCGGATAGCTATTATATAATGGAATATGGTTTCATCTAAGCTCCTCGAAGGGCTGAGGAACGATGGCAGATGATCAACGGGATCTCGTACGAACCCGTAAATGCGTAAGACATGGCTGTTCAAGCTTGAACATCTGCTCCTCGTATATGTATGTATATATGTTCATGAATAAGAAGATCCTATCATGTTTGCTTTTGGGAGCACACTGATAACCACCTTCGAAGTATGGAAGCGGGATCCCTGTGTCCGACAGTACCCCCGACTTCCTGAAACTGCTCATTCACATCTGACTTCTGTGTATCGATCAACATTAGCTTACTATATGTGAGATGGAGATAAATCTTCAGCCACACGCTCATCAGCCTCTAGGCACAAATCTTGCTTAAATAGCCATATATTGGCAACGAACCAAGGAACTCAAGTACCTGTCTGTATTCACTTTTCCTTGCAATGTTGCATTTCGCCATTTCCACAGTTTTATATGTAGATAACTTAATTGATAAAGAATTGCTTCTGCCTGAACTGCAACAAACTCTTCGGCAACTCTCAACCCAAATGCATGCTCCTGGGCCTGAGATAATGATCTTCTTCCCCGCTGCCGAGGGTGAGGGGTTTTGTGAACACCAACCCCTGGGTATATGGCATTATTCCGCTTCGTCTTGGTGAAGGAGGGGAATGCATCAGTCACAGTTTGGAGATAGCATTCTATGTCAAACAACGTGCCTTTTTCAGCTCCGTGGTGGTTGGGCATTCTTGTTAAAAAAAGAGTTTCATGCCTGCAGTTTCCATGCCATGGAACTTCGGCTCGATGGACTATCCCTAACCTCAACACAGAGAGATTGTGCTTTCCGACCCTCATGTCTGCCCATAAAGAACGGATAAGCATGTCGTCATATCTATCCATAATATCCCAGTATGTACCTTGGGAGTAGCAGAGGAATTAAGACATGCAGAGACCAGCTCTTCACATGCAAGCTGGATAACCCAGTTCCACGTTAGTTATATCAACGCAGTTATTAACAACGTCCTGCAGGCACGCCTATTATTAGCTCGATGCCCGCTTTCTCGCAGTTAAGATTGAGTAAAAAAAAAGAGTTAAGTATAAACAGCGTTGGGGATGATTTTAAAAACCATCACAAAAAAAGAAAAGAGAAAAGAAAGATAAAGTTTACATGTTGTGGCTATTAGATAATACAAGGCCCGTGCGTATCCACATTAGGACTAGTGCCACGCCGGCGTTTCATGGTAGCACGCTAAGCCTATTTTGGTGATAGTCGTGGTTTCGGGTTCGGATAAACAGATTCCGCAGCCAATCAGGAAGCCGCGATGAATTTAGCGCGCTCGAACTCCAACTTCAAATCAAACGAAACAACAAACCATCAACCACACTCTTTTTGGCATCGCGATCTTGATGCAAAGTACTGGCAATCTAGGCTACTGCTACTCGGGGCCTATACATGGGTATCCCTTCACACTCATGGTATGGATGGCATGCCACACACCCCGACGAGACCCGCATTCAAGATGCAGACTCGCAGAAAAATTGGATATCAAACGCCCCGAGCGCTTCTCGGCCAGCCCAGAGTTGGTACCCAAGGCACCACACTCCCTCTCTCTCGTTTGATTCATTTCTCCATATATATACATCGATCTTCTCTTGGCCGTCACAGTCAGGGCACTGGCTATCTCTTACGTGACTTGCCTTGTTTCCGTCCTTCCTATTCAGACCATGACTATAACACCAACGTTCCTGAGGATCCAGATGGTGTTCGGGGATGCCGTCTCATGGCCAGGTTCTAGGATTCGAAGTATCGGCACCTTTCATCTTCAAGGAAATCAGGCCTGGTCCCCCCTCTCTAATATACCCTCCACACACACTCGTCATGGTCACCCCCACTAACCGCGGGAACCCAGAGCAATAACCTAAAACACGCCCTCCTGAGTCAAGCTTAGGCTTAGTTTTTACCGGTTTTTTTTTTTTTTTTTTGCTCAAAGAGGATGATTAATTGCCCTTGATACCAGTTTACCAGTCTGTGACCAGACCGAAAGGCTCACTCTGCTCGGAGATTGTCCCCCCCGTTATAAGTCCAGCGATTCTATTCAGAACCAGAACAAGGTTCTAATTTCTTCATCCTAAATCTAGACATGTTTATACGTATGTACGTCCACGCTGACTCTAGATGACCCTCCCCCTATATTGGAATTATTTTAATTCCAGATTGCCCGGAAGTTTTTTCTTTGTTAAGATTATACTCCCATCCGCCAAGCCCTGTACGATTGGCCAGATTCCCTAATTTCTTATGCATGACTTCGATTCTCAGCCATTCAGCGTCCCATTATCTAGGAAACGGGAGAAGCGTGACGCCTTAATGCGGGACGCCAACCCGCATGGCATACCGGGAAATTTCTATCAAGGTCGCTCCAAGGTCATCGTCCCGTACCGTACCGCCATCGTAGCTTTTTACTCTTGAAGTGTCAACAAGCATGGAAACCCAGCATCTCTACGAAATTTGCCAACCGTATTCGGTTAACTTGAAATTTTACCTTTTTTATGGTTGTGAAGGCCTGCTTTGGGTGAGTTATATACATACTTATACAGATCCGCCACACTGACGGAAGACTCTACAAACGCAATCTCCATTGTCAGTCTCTCCCCTTGAAGGATTATCACTTTCAACCAGGACTAAGCTTCATCCAGGCTTCTATTTTGTTCCTAATTCCTCTGTTCGTCTAGCTAAAGTTGTCTAGCTAAAGGGTAGTATCAAATTTAAAAAAAAAGAAGGAAAGAAAATACGGGCAGCACCAAGCATGTTCAAATAGGGTCAATTTTGATTTTCCCAGGATCTCCAACATCCTGGCTCAGATCGCCGAGAAGGTAGAACGTGATGAATCAACTAAGTTCTTCCCTTCAATCTAAAAAAGGAGCTTATCTCGGAACAGCTCAGTTTCGTGCTTGAATCATACACTTATTCACCTATATACCCTTCCCGGATGCTTGTTTTAATTGTATGTTTCAAGTGATTATATATTAGACGCTTCGAATCTTCTACATTATTGCCGCCATGATCCTTCCATGCTCCCACTCTTTTCATCTAGATTCATACTGATCCCTTTCGCTGATTTAGTTTATTGGCAACGCTCTATCCGTCAATCTATATACATTGCCTCTTCCCCTGGTGATCAGTTAACTTTGAAAGTTAAATCACGCCTCCATCAAAAAAATACCCGCTGATTTTGCCGGACTGTCTATGACGCACATTAGCTCACTCTTGTCTCATCAAGTTATAATATCTGGACGTTCAACTGATATTTCTGTGCTCTTTCAGCAAGACGAACTCTTCACCTTTCTTTCGGTTCGGCTCTGAGCAACGCTGTTGTTATTATCCAGCCCATCATCTATACACCTACACATAGGAGATTCTATTGTTGATTTGGATAATCAACTAGCTCGACTGGCAGTTGATCTTTCAATATGTGCAACTTTTTTAAGAACTTCTATGTGTATAGTTCGTGTCGAGACCCAGGAAACCATTTCTTTCGCATTTCAACTGACAGCTCTGGCGACCTCAAATGTCCTGGAAGCCCTCACGAGCGATTCATAGTGGTTGTGGGCCAATGTCGAATCTGCAAGCGCTGATCACACGCTTACAATCGTTCTCTCCCTCATTAACTATCGCAATTGCTCCTCGAGCGGGATTTCTTGGTGGCAATGTCAACATCACTTCCATAAAACCCTGCTTCATCCTCTTCGGTCAGTTACCAATTACCTCTTTTATATATATGATCTCGTCACTAATATATGAGGTCCAGAAACCCTCTTATTACAACTACGGATTATTTAGTATGAAGAATTGCGGGCAGTTCTAACATACCCCTCCCTTATACACGGAATGAAAATCAAGAAAGCCACGGTCAGCTCTTCTTTGACGATGTAATGTCTGGGCTATGCCGAAAATATTTTCTATTACGATACCATTTGTCTTTCTTTTTCATTTATGTGCTACCTATTTCTGTATTTTTATTGATTTAAGACACTGATGGAGGAGGGTGATTCACAAAATCTAGGCATGTCTGTCTTACTCCAAAAAATTTTATTAGCGCACAAGGAGTGATGCAACACAGTGTGTTTAGCACACTACCAGTGTATCAGAGCGCGAGATATGCTATTGTTTCCTGTACCGTTACCCGCGCTTTGCTGCTTCAAGGCAAGATTAAACTAGAGTTCGAACAGATCTATATCCTTGTTAGCCTTCCGACGATTAGACGAAGCGAAGATCTATTGCAGTGGACTGATCACATTATGTCTATAGCCGCAAACCCACAGCCATGTTTATATAAGAGTTAATATAGTACATAACAGTGACTGGTTATTCTATAGATATTATTCTTCATTCAATATATGTCATTTGTTATCTCTGAACCGGTAGGTGTGACTGTATTCTACAGGTGGCAATGTCCTAACTTTACCTACGCCATGAACACGATATTCACCCAAAAGAGCTGCTGTAGACTCCGCCACTAGGATCAATTCGACACGACATCTGTTTCAAAGATGGAGATAAGCTGTAGTGGCATCAGCAAGAGGAATTCTTCTTCCATGACCAATCCTAGACATCCCTTTTTGTACCGCCAATACCTCTCCAGGACAAAAGTATGTACCACGTTAATCTAGACGACAGAACCTAAGCTAGTAACTAGATATGGAAACAGTAAAACCCAGCTTTTCTATGGCTGCATTCACTCCTAGATTAAATTATTTCGTAAAATTCATAAGATAAGTCGGTTAGAAGATATTGATATCGAAGACCGCGACTTATGTTGATCATACATTGAGAGTTACCATAGACCCTATAAGTTTGGCTACGAATGCATATCAGCTTCAGGCCGTTGAACGGAACATGGAGGCTGAATGGAGTTAAAGGCGGCTTCTCAGGAGTAAGATGAGTGAGAATTGGCGTCTAGTTCATATTTTTTTTGGTTTGTTTCGTAAGATCCTGATGTATGAAGCAGCCGTTCTATATTATTTTGAATCTTCATTAGTTAAGTAACTAGTTAAAACTAGTCATACACTTGAGAAAATAGTAACTGGTATCGTAGTCAGCAGCTATCTACCCATAGCTCATAGCCTTGTAACCGTCGGACTTCTTAAAAACATGACAAGAAGTACCCCTAGATTGTAGATATAAAAACGTTGTAGTTCCATGCATAGTAAAGGCGAACTCGCCAAGATTTTTTAAATAAGACCCATCGTTCTTCACATTTCTGCAACAGCTCTAAATTACAGTTCTTTTGGAGGCATAAACATCCCTGCCTCGACAACGTGTTTTACAGGGCTTGGTGACACCTGTTCGCTCTCTCCTGATTGTGCTCGCCTGTCTCCCAGGGAGGGCTGCTTATTGCAACCTCGAAAACCCAGAAAGATATTTAGAAAGGGAGATAGCTGAAGGTCAGGCCACTTTTTGTTGTATGTGCCTATTTTAATACCATGGGTTGGCTAGCCGCGGAAAAGAGTGATGGCAAAAGAAATATCGAGCAAGAAGAAGAAAAAAAGAAAAGAAACGGGCTTGAGGTGGCCGCGTTGACAGTAGCTCCGAGGCTTGAGGAGCAGTTTAGGTTTCTGTTTTGGATCGCTCCTTGTTCTCGAAGAGTCAGGCCGAAATTCCAGCAGATGTCATGAAACCGTGAAGGTGGAACTGGAGACTAACGGGGATGCTTCCAGGCCTGTTTCTTTTCTTAGAATAAGATCGGTTGTTCTGACTTCCATGCTCGTCATCTTCAATCTTGATTCAGTCTAGATTTGGCAACGAGGCAGGGGGTATCGCGGTAAATCTTCCCCGACTTCACAATATAAAGACACCATATATTCTGGTGTGAGAGGGGATCGAGGTGAAAGTTCTTGCGACAGTATGAAGGCTGATTGCACGGAGTAGTCGCATGTACCGTGCAATGCTGTTGAGCTTTTGCACTGTATCATTAAACAGCTGCTACGCGGTAGAGGGTAATATCTTTTCGTGCTCTCTTCCAGTGGGCTTGACCGTTATATTTTCTTGCCAGATGTCGTTATAACAGCAGTTCTTACACCCGAAGGTGGTATGCCAGCATACCACTCAGGTAAGAAATTAATTCTTTAGCCAATCTGCCCAAGACTTCCCGAGTTCCCCGGCGGGATTGGGAACGAATGCGGATGCCAGGAACCTGTGCACATTAGTAGGTAGCACGAGTAAAATAGGAAATCATGTCTGCCTAGATGAATGCATAATCATGAAGCCTCCCTTGTACTTAACTCGGGAGATATTATTAACCGTCATCTTATTGGAAATCTCAAGAAATTCTTTGACAGTGCTCCCCCCTCCCTCCGGTTCAGCTGTTTTATTGGTTGTACAGAGTATATAGATGCAGGATACGCGGGGGTGCCATGACCTAAGAAGAGGCTGATGCTCAGCAAGGTACCACACCCTTTTATGCTCTGGTGGCAGAATCGGACGAGGATAGCATGGTTGGGCCTTCTAAAGTACAACGTGCTATATATATACGTTGTATATAATGACTTGTATGTGGATATTTATCAATTTTGGGCATACCTCCGATAGCGAGGTGAGAGGTAATCACGGTTTTGTTTTCAGGGTCCAGGGTATTTAGGAAAGGCGCATGATGTACAGAGGCATGTATTTTTATATCCTATCCAATAGATTCGATGCCTAGATTTCCGATCATTCGTGGGGTTACTGGGAAGTGGCCTTCAAACACATTCTGCGTCATGACCCTTGCTAGGAGGTATCAAACAATGATCTTCTTCTTGTTAGAATTCCCATACCATGTATAGAGTGATGGTAAAAGGAGGAGCGTAGTTGCTGTACACGAAACCCTTGGTATCAACTCCCCCTGACTCGTAAGCAACAAGTATACGTTGGAGTAGACTAACCGTTGCTCTGAGGTATGATGGTAACCTCTACTTGATCGGCTGGTTGTATTTTGGGAGAGAGTCATCCCTCCTAATCCTCCCCGGTTGAGACATCCCAGCCATCTATACATATATATGGCTTGAGCGTGGGGTCCGCGTATCTGGGTAAATGGCGGGAGCTGCCATTCCGGGTGATATGGCCGAGTCAACGTGCACATATTGAACATTAGCTGTTATGGAGAGAGAGTCATGTATACTCTTCTTTGTTTTTCTTGCCTTAGCATCCGCAGGTTCGTCCGCTTGGGCTACAGCACGTTCACTCATATCTTCCTTTGGTATTCAAAGCAGTCCGAGATATCTTCATGGTATCCTAATTTTGTGGGCTCAGTTCCAGTCAATAGTCAATGTTTCTCTTCACATCAGAACTCACCGACGTTGTCTCCATTTTCTCCCACTCTCAGACAGATAAAAGGTCCTATGCCCATGCTTATTGCCCGTTCTGTGAGTGGCGTAAGTTGAAGCATACACATGTTTGTTAACGCATGTTTGCTCTATGAAGGCTGTGTACTCTCCTCGAGTATGGAGCAGATGAGGGTGATAAGTAGACCTAGTTTCTCCAGGAATGGGAAAAAGCCATACTTGAAACAGTTTATCTTGTAGCTATCTGTTCAAATGCACGCTAGCTGTACATGCATACGAGGCCTGCTCTGACAGAACAGATAATAATACATGCATAAATATGCCACTCCGTTGGAGTGGCTGTCTTTTCGTATAGGCTGCTGTGGTGAGCCATAGAGTCTGACCTTTTATATTAACAGTAGCATTGTGGTCACCGTTTGACCTGATATTGGTGATTTCCAGCCGGCAACCAATTGCGTAGAGAATTCGATACTCTTGAGAAGGATGAGCGTATGACTTCGGGAAACCTGGTAGACATAAGATAACTTGGTCAATGTTTGTATCGGCCCTGTAATGAGTGTCAATATATTCAGTGAAGGCCAGTCGACTGTTACCGATGAGCCTTGACTGGTTGGTGAGCATTGAGTATTCGTGGGTAGTAATAGCTACGCCTGTCACGTCATAAGGTCGGCAGTTGGAGATATTTATGGTAGCTACTCAGATGTATCACAGGGCCATAAACCTCGAGACCGGCTTCATAATGTCCCTAGTACTCTATGACTCTTAAGTGAAACTTATATGACCAATACTTCAAGATTCCAGCAGGCAACGGGCCAGCCACAAGCCCAGCAATATGACATTTTCATATATAGGAAGTGTGAAAATATATCCAAGGATAAGTAGCCAATTGGCTACTGGATAGGGGAAGTTCGTCAATCTCATAGGTCTTTGCTGTATGGCCTGGTGGGTGTCTTCTATTTGGCAATGCTACCATACATAGTCGAGCACTTAATTAATCCCATACGCTGTAGAGTAGAGTCAGTTCTGGTTCTGTATTATGACATATGCTTTATTCATTCGTATCTGGTATCTGTATAAATGGACTGTCTAAAAGCCCAATGATTCGCCATGACCTCCCCAAACAAGTAGTAACCTTCATAAGAATGGTATTTTCAAAAATGGAAAGAAAATAAGTCCTCGATCAAGCCACCGTCAAGACAATAATAGAAAAACGCTTCAACAAAAATGCAATCATAGAAAATCGAGATATCACTGTGGTGGTATCATAAAGTTAAAAAGAGTATAAAAATAACCCAAGGCCGAGCGGGCCGCAGAAAACAAATGTAAGTGACATGTACCTCCCAAAACTTTGATATGCCGGGTGAACGTGAAAAAAAAAAAATTAGCAATGTAGGAATGAAGGGCCAGTCTGGCTCCCTGTCTAGTAGTACTGTAAACACCGATGCAATGCAAGAAATAATAAAAATAGGGGGTAAGGGGCAAAGAAATATGCCGAACGAGGGATGAAGATATTAGAAGCCGAGAAAGGGTAAGGAAAATATGAAAATAAAAATGGTATGGCCTGCATTTCCAAAATAGGGGTTCTGTCAGCCTTGATGATAAGGTGTAGCCTGAGTGGTTGGCTGGACTTGAGAGAAGTACTGTTCTCCCCATATATTAGGTTGAGAATATGGCAAAACACCAGCTCGATCTTCCGAATTTCTTTTACCCAATGGTTGGTATCTCATTAGCTCGACAGATAACTGTCTAGGCTGGAGCAGAGAGCCTGCTGGAGGGGGGTAAAGAAGAGTGTTTACAGATCGAACTGGGCGATAGGGAGAGTTTCGATCCAGGAGAATAGAAGATGGAGAAAGGTGAGTGGGCGTACGGACTGAGTAGGTAGGAACGGCGGGTGAGATGGTAGTTGCAGACGTAGCTGTTGGGAAGGTGGTCGGGCCAGTACGCCTTGAAGGGTCAGAGAAGCCAGTTGGCACACTCTGTTGAAGATTAGCGACAGGCAACGGTGCCAGAGAGGGCTGAGAAGCCGGAGGCTGACTCCACCGAGCTGAAGTGTGGTTAGTTGAAAAGATTGTCGGTCGAGGGCCGGTGGAGAGAGGCTGGGTGGTGGTAAGCGGGGCTAGAGTGGCAGGCGTACTGGCTGAGCCTATAGCGTACGATTGGTGTGGCCTTGGAAGCTGTGATGTCATATTTGAGGATATGGAAACAACATTTGTCGATAGCTGGGTCTGCGGGAGGGCCAGTGAGGTGGTTGGTAACTGGGAAGGTTGATAGAGCGGCACAGAGGCTTGGGTTGATGATGGTCGAACCCAGCCTGTTGTTGCGGTTGCTGGTCTCTTGGCTGGGTTCTCATTCACCTGCTCATCCCAACTTCGTTTCCTATGGGCACTTAACGGTTCCACTGACATTGCCGAATGTATTGTAGGGTCATCATAACTAAAAGATACGCCATTTGTCTGTGGGATGCTCAATGACAAGGAGTCTGGTTGGCGACGAAAGAGTGTGAAGAGATATACCTGCTTTGTGGCCTGCTGTGAAGTTCGATATCACAGAGCGTAGCGGCTGTGAGCTGGTGACGTACGGCAGAGCGTCGCCGAGTAACGTCCAGTTTGAGTCTCGATGCCTTTTCGAAATAGCTGAAGAAGACTGATAGCCTGGTCAACCATTGATTACACTCTCCTTGGTAACAAACAGATTATATCGAACGTTGCTAAGGAATTCGACTTCCATCACATGGATTTCTTGAACTGATATGCCCGACACCTCTGCCCATGTCTTGTTTGTGTAGGTATTATCGTCAAGAACTGGATTTAAAAGAGTTAGAGAGGATATGATAGACTGTAATACAGGCTCAACGCTTACACTTGTTCCCCATCATCAGAGCTATGGTCATTAGCCTAAACTCGCTTCCACGTTTCCCTCGCACGGCAGGATTGAACTTCTTGAGGCGGTAGATGAAGAGCAGAGCCAACAGTATAACGTTCTTGCTCACTTGAGTGGTGGTTAGTACTGTGGTAACCCATTTCTTAAATCCCGGGCTTGGTGCAAACTCCAGCTCCAGAAGCGAAGTTGGTGTATAAGAAGAGCCGTCTTCGATCTGCTTTAATTTAGAGGCCTTTGCAAACCAGAATAAACAAGCCACCTACGGGGTTTCATTCAATCAGTATACACACACGCAAATATATTCACCAGGCCGGCCAGATTAAGACGTACCTGAGCAGCAAACTCCGCCAAATTGCCTCCGTTTCCAGTCATGGAAGAAGTGAGCTGAGGACTCGATACGCTAGAAGCTGTAGATTTGACAGGAGAGTTCGACGACGACTCTTGGTTGATATTGGAGTGCTGGCTTATCAGTGGCAGCGGATGCCGCTGTGCTTGTCTCTGTTGCGTGGTGTCTTCCCGCCATGAGTTGGTGTTGGTCGTGACGTTCTTCCTCTCAACCCCAGCCTGGATGTCATGTCTTGGATGCGAGTACCCTCCATAGTGATGCGGCAGCGACGATGCAACAGCAACCCCTATCCTCGCCATTTCCGGAGCTATATTCGAGCAGGACTGTTGACTCGATACTTCCCCCTGCCACCTGGAGAGCTCAGCTCTATCTATCAGGCGTTGTTTGGAGGCCGACGATAGTATGGAGGGCCCGAATGGGTGCGGGAGGAAGTGGTTCGGCGGTATATCGAGGATGGCAGGCATGGGTAGGGAGCAAGAGAGAGAGAGGGAGGGAAGACGGAGGTATATGGAGTAGATATTGGGGGGTGACGGTAAGTTTCGTTGTTATAGCTAGATGCGGATTATCCCTAGATCATGCTGCTAAGTACCGAGCTAGGAGAGTGAAGCAGCAATGCTTCACTAACGAAAAGGATGATGAAGGGAGAATAAGAAGGAGAAGAAAGAGCAGAAAAGAATAGGTCCATGTCCTCAAGGGCAAGCATCGCAGGACATGCAATATGGAGATGACGAAGACGAAGGCAAAAGGGACGGAAGACACCCCCCCCCTTCGGTGGAGCAACAGGAAGAAGCAGCCAGGACAGGATAACGGGCACAGAAAGAAGAAGAAGCTCTCGGCAAGACCAGCGAGGTTCTGGACAGACGGTTCAATCAATCATTCCATCTCAAGGAGACGAGACGAACCGTGGCGGGGGTTGGAGATAGCCAGCCAAGCGGGACGACCAGCCCGTGGATATTGAGGATGAGAAGTCACTAAAACATGTCCGGCAGCAGACACGAGAAAGGAGTCAAAAAGAAAGGGGCAAGTCATAGACGAGCATCATCGATCGAGCAACATCTACATCTACTACATCAACCCGAGGCATAAAAGCCCCCCCAGGTCAAGCAAAAGCGGCGCGCAAGTGAGACGCAAATGAAAGGGGATGGATAGGACGCAGTCTGAGGGTCGCATCCATCCATCCATCCCATCCACACACATCCATGATCCACCGACCTCGTTCTCTGGAAGCACTAACTCTGGGCCACCGGATTGCCATTCAGCCATCCAGCTAATTTTGCACAAAAAAGAAAGTGTAAAAAAAAAAGAGAGGGAGAGCGAGAGAACAGAGCCGGATGGAAAAATGGCAATGGGGATAAGATGCAAGTCTCCAGCATGCAAAGTTATTTTTTATTATTCGCCCTTGGGCGAAGTTTGGCCCGGAAACAAAAAGAAACCTCTAAGGCGGCTGATCGTTATTTTTACTTTTTTTCCTCTTGTTGCTTGCTGGCATCATCTTTCTTTTAGCACGGAGATACAGGAATTATGGATAGGCGGAGGCGAGCCCTGGTTGATGGGACACTGGATGCTGGGCGTCTGACTGTTGGGATGGGATGCAGGAGAGTCAAGGAAAAACCAGGGGGCTTTGTTGGTCTTGACCTAAAAAAACACAAAAGCATGAGAGCCAACGACAAGAGAAGAAAGAGACGAGAAAGGTAAAAAGCAAAGGCCGTGTAAGTATTACATTTCTATAGTACGCCTATTCCTTTTTTTTTTTTTACTTTGTGCTTCCAGGCTTGCCTTTTTCCCCCGTACTTTACGATGCGTATACTTACGATAGGTGTTATTTAGGGCAATGTATATCTTTTGACAAGGGCTCAGGCTTTGACATGTCGGTCAGAGGCCGTCTTGCGTCTCCGTTGTTGCATCTCGTATGTAGCGGCTGGCTGTGATGTTATTATTATTATTGCGTGATAGCAGAGTACGGAACGGAGAGACGCCCTGCTGCAGCTTGAGCAAATAGTCTTGTCTCATCCTTTGGTCTCGGTATACACTGTCTGGCTAACGGTACAGTCAACTCTTTGGTATCAGATAAGATGGTCTCTGGGAGCAAACTAACGAGCAACTAAATCCACATTTTCTATTCGACCCTGATGGCCATATTTTACTGCTATGCACGGAAGTGTTGCGTCTATGTTCAGTTTGAATGATTAATTGGTGGATGTCTTGTGTGTTTCACCATATAGGTCTTATGCTTCGCATAAAGGGGATGGAGTCAGGATGAGACGACACAATGACACGAACAAGAGAGAGCGAATTAAAGAGTGGTAACACGGCAAAGACAAGAGATGAAGAAAGGCTGATCTGGGCGGTTTTTACGGGCCACCACACAAACAGATGAGGATCTCCCTGGCTCCCTAGCCCTCTTTCTCGTTCGCTGCTCGTTCCTCCACTGACCATCCCTCTTAGCAAGCCAGCATGCGTTAACTCCCTGCCAAACCCCATCACCAGGGTGTATAACAAAGTCCGCTACTCCGTATACATGCTTCTACTATGTATGGACGTATGTATGTACAGACAATGGTATGTGTATGACGTGACAGTTTTCTAGCTGGGGCGATACGAATCAATCTCAGGCGACAAGGCAAGGCCCCCTTCCACTTGGTAGGCGTAATTATAATGGGAGATGCACATATGCAACAGCGTACCCCCTCCCTCCTCCGGCTGAGCCTTTTGACTATATATCTCGGGGTACGGGATTTATTGGGAGGATAAAAGAGATTGCTAATTATAATCTCAGCAGAACACAAGGGGTCTTCTTTTCAAACCCCAAGGCAAACCACTTCAACGGAACGGCACAAGGAGAGAAAGAATAATACTTTTTTTTTTCTTTCCGTATAACAGTAGTTTTATCTAGGGCTGTCCTAATCCGCAAGTATAGGTCATTTTTTTGCGGAATCTATAACTCAACAGCCCGCTTCCCCCCACGGCCCTCATATTTGCCTCTTTCGCTTGGGTACGTATATACGTACGAATGTGACGAGGGACGAGAGAAAAAGGCAGACCCTTGAGGTAAGACAGCAAACCTAAGACCTCCCCCGTTCGCCGTCTCTCGCCTATGATACTGGAGGCTGGAGCTGCCTGCTGCCAGCTGCTGCGTGTCCTCTCTGTGGTTGGTGGTGGGAAAAGGAGGCTGTAACAATAACGCTGCCAGTTTTTGAGCGCTAGTTGGCCGCCATCGCTCATCGCTTGTTCCCCGTTGCTCTTTATATTCCAAATGACTCTTTTCGTAAAAGAAAACATGAAACCCCTTGAAAGGTCCGTCAGACCAGAGACAGACAGAAACGGAGAGTTGTTCAGTGCCTCCAACTGTACCAGCTTTTGGGACAGGCGGCGGGATGATCTGCTTTCTTCTCCCCATTAACCATGATAACTATTGAACCAGTTAAACACACCTTGTACTGCGGCCATGCCTGCTCGACTGCTGGCCTTTATCCTTGTCATAGTGGCAGGATTTGCTTGTTATGTGGACCGCCCATGTTCATAGTCCGAAGATTGTACGGATTTCACACCAAGGGAAGAAGAAACCAACACAGACAACAAACACGATGCCCGCAGATGTCTCGAGATTATTGTAAATTTCTGGTCTAAATGCTTAGCATGATACATCGATAAGACACCGAGCAACGACACTAAACGAGTTACCCGGGAATGACTTTCACACATTCGAAGAAAGTCATTCATCATCCATTATGCGTGATGGATGCGAGTTCCGCTTGCTGCCACTGTGCCACCCTTCATGTCGCGGCCAGCTTCGACGTCTGAGCCAAAAGTGAAAAAAAAAAAAAAGAAAAAGAAAGAAAGGAGATGGTTGAAATGAAAAAGAAACAAGAGATTGGGTGAAGGATGGAGCGTCTGGCCCAAGGCGAAATAGATCAATTATTCGGCCAGCGTCGTGTCGTGGTATTATCCATTTGTTGCCGCGATCTCCTCGACTGTCCGTCATTCGCCCACCAAACATGAGCTATACTTAGCTTCGACCTCTTGACGGCGTCTTACCAAAAGCTGAGCCTTGTCTCTTTTTCCCTTGAGGATGACCAGGAGTCAGGGTACATACATTCTGGTAAAAGACGAAGGATCCAGTCATCGACAGACAAGGGTTAACTCCACCATATCACGCAGAAAGGCCGATAATTCGCAGACTTGGGCCAAGTGTGAATCCGCTTAACCAAATATCATACTATCATAAAGAATCTGGTTCTTTCAAGTTCCCTCCTCTTGACTACATATTTCTCTCCGCCACCGGCTCCCGGCATCAAGGTCCAGGGTCCCACCCCGGCCATTTTCCACCAAGCATGGAGAGTACAGCAACCTCGAGCCAACGCTTTGGGGTATACTATCCATGGAAACTCCGAAGGAATGAGAACCGAATACTCTGGGTACATACATACGTACCTGATATTCGGGATTGAAAGGCAAGAGATGCTGAATTTGGATGGAATCTCCGACTTTGCGTCAACTTGGAACATCGTTCGGACGGACAGGGAAAGGCAGAGAAAAAGGCAAAAAGTTACGCCAGTCCATCTACCTAGGTAGTTTGTACGGGGCCTCCGTAACTTTCGTTACATACCAAAACTATGGAAATGTGTGCTATGATATATATGGGTCTGTACACGCCTGCTGCAGGGTGACTAACTAACGGTTGGCGCCCATGCAAAGAGTCCGTCTCAGCCAGATCGTCCATTGGCTGGAGTTCCTTAGGTTTGATCTTAGATCTCTACAGGCCAGAATATCTACTTCCTTCTCAGCTTCTCTCTTGCGAGGAAAGGTGGGACAAGAACCTAAACCTCCGTTGATGGCTGCAGCCAAGCACAGTTATTCCACAACATGTTCTTGAGCAGAGGTAATGACCGCTGCACCTCTGGCCCTGTGATTTGGTTTCGCTAGATCAAAATAATAACAGGCAACGGAAAGGATGAGGATGCCTTGCTGAGATAGGCAGATTTTCACTCCTCCTTTTCTGATCGACAACTGTGGAATCAAAAGTCCCCCTTTATACGCAACATCCTCGGTGATCCATGGGATGATATCAAGAGGATTAAAACAAGTTGGAGAAATGCAACACTTCGTTTGACCTGGAAAGATTTTGTGGGAATCACGGCACAGTAATATCCTTGCCGGGGATCAATGTCCAAGGAAGGGTGACCAAGGCCAAAATAACTCACACACCGCTCTGTGTCTAATTACGCACGAGAGGACGAGAAAATGCAGAGATCTAGTTCCTGGAGATCGCACTGTAGGAAACTACTGGTAGGATTTTGAGCTCTACTGTGTAGTACTACGTAAGTATATCCTTGGGGGTACCAGCGTTGTCCTGGATCTTAGAGGAAGGTCACATTGCGCCCTCGCATACGGGCTAACCTCCTCTCGGAGATATCTATATATAAATGCATATGGAGTATATACTTACGAATCTCAAAAAACCACTCTACGCGACTACTTCGCCCCGTAACATCCGGCTCTCGCGCTACAAAAGGGGCCCCGCTGGAATAGGAAATGCCGAACGACAGGTAACTGGGTATCAGATACATCGAGGTGGCCTTCGGCTTATTGCAAACTCGCTGAAACCCAGGGAAACCAGTAGCGAAGGCCAAAAAGCGGCTCCAAACGCGAAAAAAAAAAAAAAGGGCGTCACTGGTGGATGATTTGTTCACTCTCATCCTTTTCGCTGGAACCATATCACAAGTTTACTCGTGCTTAATAAAACGGCATGCTCTTGATAACTATATCATTTTTTATGGGACCCTGAGGTTACCAATCTACGATCGCTGGACGCCACCTTGGAACCAAGAGGTTTTCTTTTACTTCACAGCGAAAATCTAGGGTCACAAGAGAGAGGGAGAGCTCAGATCATCTGACAATGAATAGCGGCTTTTCCGGGATGATTTTGTGGTTCCTTTTTGCCCGAGCACTACTGTTCGACGCAGCGTGAGCAACGGAGCACCGATTTGCATCCTCTCCGCCGCTCTTACTAGCCCTTGTAAGGGGAAGGGTTGTGTATTCAGGTGTTTTCTGGTCCAGGTGCTTGATCATGGGGCATGAGCGGCCCAGGCAAGTTAGAAACCAGCCTTTCCAGTATTAGCCCTTCTTGCCTGCATGAAGACTTTTGAGGGCCCATCCTTGATCTCGACCCTCACGCCGCTTACCCATATTAAATTATTATTATGCGTACTGTGTAGGTTTTGAAAGCTGAAGGTATGGTGCTTTTCACATGTTTGGGCTCAGTCTGATTCGTATGCTGTTTTGCGTGGAGTTTTACATATGGAGAATTCGAAGTATATATAGCCGGGATGAAATGCTGGCAAGTCAAAATCCGGGCCTTATGACATATCAAAATGGTTAATATGCAAGGAACAAAACAAGAGAGTTACAACGGTCTTGGGTTGTGTTGCTGTTTCGCATCTTGTTTCCTTTCTTCCCGCCTCCCGATACTCCGTAATACAAGCTGTCAGCTTGCTTCGTTATCTGCACCAACCTTTTGGGCAAATCCCGCGAGACCTTCATTTCGTCACTCTTGTCTAGCAAGGTACTGAACCTATCGAGGGGGGGGGAATGCATATATTTTATTTTCGTTGGACGTGTTGTTGTACGGAAACACTTCAGGATCGAATAAAGAGAATGCGGTCATACTTATATGCGCTCTTGTGACAAGGGGTGAACTTTGGAGCTTGGGCTCTCCAGTTAGTTATCCAAGCCTTGCCGGGGTTCGCCGTCTTCCTGGTATTTCAATCACTTTTAGCCCCCAGGCATATTTATCGGGAGTACTCAATCAGCCTGAAAATGCACCCCAAGTGCATGTATATTAACCTATAGATCAGCACATGTAGGATGCCAGGGATTTAGGCCGAAGGGAGCGGGAGCTGGAAACAGTGGCAGGAACCAGCTTGCTGGACGCCACTATCAATCAATTGGTTGTTAGGCTATACTCTGTAGGTATAAGAACATAGACTTAATGTGCCATCGTTAAACTCAAGTAACAAGACGTAAAGGGGAAAATGGAGGCTTCGTAAGATTCAATCTGCAGCTGTTGGACAACTAACTAGCTGGCACACTACATCACGAAGCCTCTTATTCTCGGGAGTAACGATCTGGCCAAGCTCCGTAGACCCACCAGCACTTGTTCCTGAATCTTCTGTGACATATCCCGAAGGAACTTATCAATATATTCACCAGCTTCAGATAAGTGAAGAATATCAGCAATAGCCCAACGTATTGCAAGAAGTCAGGGTGGCGGGGGGTCTACTGATTGATCCTTTGCTATAGAGTTCGCGAGATATAGCTTGGTCAAAGGTCTCAATCTGATAGATATGCTCCTGGCCAGGAATAGGAGTAAATAAACTGTGGAATTTGGAAGGTGGTGTATCTGTCGATGTCACCCAAACGTGCAAAGAATGCTTATACGGCTTCCTTGAGAGTCACTCGATAATTATAAGATCTCACGGAAATATATAACTCTGGGGATGCAGTAACTTACTAGCTCTCCATTGGCGTCCGATTGTGAGCCTGAGGGAATGAGGGATTATATGAGCTGCTTCGAGCTTATCAAATCCTTTCTTAGAAATCAATTCCATAGCTGTCTTTAGCACCGGTTCCCGGTTACCTTGGGGGTGACCAGTGCTTCCTCCTGATCAAACAGACGTGAGATTACGCATTGATACTGTTCACAGATAAGACATGCTCCTTGGATCCTTTGGATACCGAAAAGGTGCGCAGGAGATGGCTGGGGGTACGTTGTCCAGGCGCCTAGACTATAGGAGAAAGCAGATATTAATGTGGATATAGTGGATAGGCGTTGCCTACGGGGTATAAAGAAATGATCCAGCAAGGGGTTATATTCTCGCGCAACTTGTCCCTCTGGATCTTGTTCAAAGAAATCTACCCTTCATGGCCTCAGTTCAGGAAAATACGTAGGTATTGCGGAGTAGCGAATGCCTATTCACGGTGAAAGCTAGACCCTCTTCTCGGAAACCCTGTGAGGCCCGCTTGTCTGCTAGCGATGACGACCTGCCATGGTGTATATAGTATCGATCAATATATGTATTCCTTGCTTGTCCTTGCAAGAGTCGGAGAAGCCATAGGAAGAGTTAACGAAGCCGGAAGGGGTAAGACCAGGACAAAAGTATGTAAACATATCAACAGTCAAAAGCTTCATTCATTCACTTTGCTGGTACCAAGGGAATAATATTCACCGGTATATATGCTTATACCTTGGCCTCCGAAGCGTATATATATACACATATACACAGTTATCCATGGTCCCGCCGCACAGAGTACCATAGGAGTAGCTTATTATTGCTCCTTGGCGTCTATGCTTGTATCTTGCCAACGTTCAATGTGGTAAAAGAGCATAGCTATTTGCCATAATCCGCCTCTCATTGCCTCTTGAGTCTTTGACTCCAACATATCCATGGATCGTGCGAGCAGAAACCAAAAACTTGCCGGCAAGTCTCTCAGGATGAAATATTCTGCTGCCCAGGCCAACATAGTAAGAGCAATTGACAGTTGTTCAAGAAAAGGCAGACGACATACTGACAGGGGATAAACAGCAAAATCGAGCCTTGTTGTGCATCAAAACCATAGAAGACAGAGTAAAAAATTTCTGAACTCACATTTCCCACATTTATCCTTGCCGTGTCAATGGGTTTTGGCCTCTTGGGGCATGGAGGACTGGGATCAAGGGGGCCCTGCGACTTCGTATACTGACTATACATACATAGTAGTATGAATATACTTATTATGGCGCCTCTATGATATTATCATGGCCCTGCTCGCCAATCACAGTGTGATTTCAGGCCTCTAGCTTTGTGATGGGATATCCAAACTGAACTATGTATGTACAGTCACTATATATCATCCTGCTTTCATGCTAATACTATCACAGGTTGTCTCACACACCTATATCATCAGCTTCACCCGGTAGGCTCGGTTGCGAAGTACAAATAACCCAGCCCTAACACTTCCCACCACCTCCAACCTCAAACAATAGTTCTAATTACGTCACACGGGGGTATATATATGAGCCTTGGGAGTCTGGCGAACTCTGTCCTCTTTGGAACGGGGAAGCCAACTCACATGTCCGGAACTCGCAGGTATGAAGTCAGCCAGGAAAAAGTAACATCGATTACTTAGTTATAAACGTATCCCAGCCCCCTGGATCAACATGTTAAAAAAAGGGTGGCGCAGGTTGAATTCACAGCTGATGGCACTTTTTGAATTTATTGCTGAAAGACATCAAAGCCTTCTCTCGAATCGGGGGCCAACAAGCACGAACATGACCAATTTATTTCGAACAGCGATCTTATTTTTCTTAAACATTTTTGCTCATCCCTGGGTTTCTGCACCTCTTTCTTTGCCACGAATCCTAGACGCAAATGTAATTTGGGCATGGATGTACCGGAGCGGGCGCCTCTGTCGATATACTTATAGTTCTTGTTAATAATCTCAGCTCTGGATCTGCAAACTGCATATCGAATATGCCTGGCCGGATTAGATACTGAGGGCTCCGTCCCGTCCCATTTTCGACCTGGTACGTCGGAAAAGAACGAACCATCAGCAGCTGGGGGCCATTCGGAATCAACATGTCTTTTCTCCCCCCTCAAAAAAAGGGAACAGAGCGGGCTGATGATCAAACCAGGTTCTAAGATTTAACGAACTGCCTGTTAATCGTCTGGTTGTCTTTGAATATATTACTCGTAATCCCGCTTGAACCGCTATTCATCTTTACGTATGGATAATAACGAAAAAAAAAACCACGCGGTTGGATTGTGACGTTAAAAAAAAGCGAACCGAAGAGATCCGTTTTACTGAATCATATCTTGTACAGCTTACTGTGCCAGGCCCAAGATTTCCTTTCCATCTTTCTTGGATGTTACCGTGCGCAGACATATACACCAAGTTCCCCCGAGAGCACTTCTTTACCAACGGATTTAACCATCTTTACTGGCTGGACGTTATTTCCATCATCTCAACTTCTGAAAAGGCCAGATTGGTCTAAGCCGCTTTATCCGGCCACTTTTAATGCCACAGAGGGCTGTTGCTCCGTTATACCTGCAAACAACCGACCTATACACCCTATCCTTTGACCTGTTTATGCCGCATGAGGGATAAAAAATGAGGAGATAAGGAACCAACGAAGCCTTTCAAAAAAGGACAATAAAGACGTTGCTAGTATTCTTGCAGATTACTGCAGTCATGGCGAGCTGGATTCCAGTTATTCTGGGTATTTCTTCGCTGACCAAGGTTCTATCCTTGGTGTATTTTGAGAGGCAACATTTATTCTTTGAAATAGTGGTCTACTGGTTTGACCTAGTCCTTCCGCAACTTGCCATGTATCATCTAGCGACTTGGTTGCACTGGTTCTGCCCATATTACAATATGATATCCAGAGAATACAGGTATACAGCCTGAGAGTAAGGACCATAGGAATCAAACATCAGCTTCACACATCCGCTTTGTCCAAGACAAACATGACATACCGTAATGCCCTGCATTATGCCGAGGGCGTAAGGTAACATAATGCAAGCCGCT